CTCCCACAAAGTTATATTTTTTCACACATCTTTATAACCTTCGTTATATTCCATTGAATGAATATCTAACACAAACGATTTTTTGATTGTACAAACTTAGAAAAATGGCTTTAAAAATCTCAAGCATTCTTAGACACACTAAATTTGTTTGTCGGCCACTCCAAAGAGTTTAATGCGTCAGAATAAGAACTGAAAACGTGAAATTAGAAAATAAGTAGACCAAGCTGTAGAAAGCTCAATCAAAAATGCAAGCAAATGCCAGGTATTGTTAAGGTTACCCAATCAATGCTAGACTGAAAATGTTTTATGACTGAAAAAAAATTCTAGCAGATAGGTTGCCCAGTAAATGTTATCTTCCAGTATATACTGGTAAGAATTGAGTTCCAGAAATTGTATTGCTCTTTTTCAATAGGATGTAACAAATGAAATACTTCAACCGCTGAATTGAGAATTGCATAGAACTAACAAATGTATCATTTTTTCAAATCACTTTGAAACAACCAAATAAAAAATTTTGGTCACCGTTTTGGTCATTTTCTGGTGTTCATACTCTAAGGAATGTGAAACAAAAGGTAGCTATGATATGTTTACATTTTTCCATGCAATTTTCAAATTTTGCTGTACAAAAGGCTTTCTCTCCCCCCTCCCTCCCCTACTGAGAGAAATATTTCTTACAAAAGTTTGGTTTCTCAATTTAAGAAACCAGACCAGAGTCTCATATATAATGGGAAAGTTTATGTTGGCATGCATAAGACCACCATTAAACAAAGCCTATAGGAGATGAAAAAGGTGCATCTTAGGAGCCTTTCTCTGCAAGGTGACATGCTAAAACCCCATATATTATATGACCATTAAAGGACCCAGTTGAGCAAAATGTTCCTAGGGTGAAACACCAGCGTTCAATAGGGGAACCAATATGGAATAAAACAGTGCTCATCATGAGAATCGTTTGCATTTAATGCTCTATGAAAGGAAATGAATTAAAAAGGCTCTTTCTTCAGTCTTAATGCCATATTTCATTGGATAAAGAATGGCCATGCCAAAAAACAAAAGGTCACTTTTACAGCTAGGATACAGTAACTGGCACGAAACAGTTCAAAGAAATGGCCTGAAATGTGACCCAAAAAACCTAAATTACTGAGCCAAAACATTTCTTAAAGTTTGCAGGACAATTCTGGAGTAATCATTTTGTTGTTAAGTGTATAATTCCATCTAAATTCACCAAAACAAACAAAATATCTACACATTGATTGAATGAAGTACATTTCGTACAAATGCAGAAAAATATAGTAATTATCAATTCTACCTTTGATAAATACACTCAGATTATACAATTTATCAAAGCTTACTGAAGCACCAGTGCAGCATCTGCCATTATCCCAATGTGCATATTAGGCAAAAAAAGCACAATGTTCCCTGTATTTGGTTTGTTTAAAAAACCGTGACACAGCCCCTTTAAATGTTATCTCAACCTTTAATCTAGCACTTTCTTTTATCTACATATAGAGATAAGCAATAAAAAGATGCATAATGTCCAATGGAAGCAGTGACAAGATGTTTGCCTTTCCATTCAGTAATATCATCAAAGTATTTATCATTTGCTAATATAAACACAGACATGCCTTATTAAGTATAATTAAAGGAACCACTTACTATGGGGCTCCTCTATTGACCTCTTTGGTGCAGGCTGGCCAGAAACACCAATGCCATACCTTGAATGAAGAGCAGTTGTGCTTGCAGACTTGCTTCTGTCATGAGCCTTAGGAAAATAAAAGAACTTTCACTCTCTAAGACCAATTTTTAAGCAGATATTACTTTTTAGCTGATGGCCACACGTTTCAGTGTCACAATTTTTGAAACAGATAGAATAACCTGCTTGGCAAGGTTTTACAACTACAATCTGAAATAGAAAGTAAACTGTAATATCATGAAAAAAGTACATACAGATACTCCTCTTGGACTTCTCAGTTTCTGATCTGCTTTTTGCAGCATTCTGATAAGGTAAGGGATTGGCTCATTTGGCATGTCCTTTATTAAAGTGGCCATCAAATTCTGAAACAAATAATGTATCAAGCATATAATGTATCAAATCAGATCAAATCATGATTAAATCAAATCAGGTGCAAAACACAGACTCTCTATGACTCATGCATACTTTTTCCTTTTCTTCTCATATAAATGTTTCTCATTGTATGTAATTTATTAATCTTATGTAACCTGTTGTTGTTTATTTCAAAAGATTTGTATGTAAGGATTTTAAAATGAAAATAAAATGAACTGAACAGTTCAGTTGTGAGATAATATGCTTTAAATGTTAATTTATTTCTACAGATTTGACAAGAATTTACTACTGTGGGTGAATATTTTCACTGCAGTGAAAAATTGCAGTGAAATGAACAAGAAAAGATGAATTTTGAAGTAGTGTAATTTGCAGCCTGAATATCAAAAAACAGGAAACTATTGACACAGACTTATAGCAACAAGAAGATTCTATCTTTATGATCCAGTTTTAGCCAACATGAAAATAAAAGATTGAAAATGCTTAGTGGAAACCACAAATAAATCCATCTTTTATGCTTCATAGTATGCAAATATGTAAGGCTGCAATCAAAATTGATCAAAGTCTGAACTCCCAATGTGCAAGAGATTTTTGGAGTCTTTTCTCATTTTTCACATTTTTTCTTTCGTCAGAGTTTTTGTGTCGTTGAGGAGGTAAAGACACAAGTAGAAAATGACACAAATAAAAAACAGTATGCGATGCAGTCTTTCTGGCCACGCCCTTATTGGAATGAAATTTCAGTAAGTGTCCACACCCTGTCCTAGGTGGGTAAAAATATCGTGTGTGCACTGGTGGTCAGGGCAAATATATCGTGGTGGTCAGGGCAAAAGGGACAAAAGCGTTGCATACTGAAGTCAGTGAAGAAAAAATCCAATTCTGCTGCGGCCGTTCATTCGTTTTAAACAAATAAGAAAATACTACGAAATACACTCATATTCGAAATAACAAAAATTCTTTATTTCGCCGAGTCCCTAAGTCCCTAAGTTAGGGAAAGGGACAAAGGAAGGGTGCATGAAAATGAACGAATATTGTTCCCCACTGCTTTGACATAAGAAAATGACATTTACCTCAAAAAGTGGCCCTATTTTGTGAAGTTCAAGGTAGTTCTGAGCAATCTGCGCAGCCATGTTCTCGTTTTGAGCCAATGAACCCTAACCTTCTCTTTGCAGCAATTTTCAAACCATCTTGACCTGGGCCTGTTATTGAAAACTGAATTATGATACAGAATGATGGGCGACACCCCCGCCTGCGCAGCGTCCCCGAAACAAATAGTAATATCTGTTGTTGTAGTTGTTGTAGAAGGCTAATAGAAGTTTTTTAAAAAAGTGAATTTCCTATTCGACAGTTTCAAAGTGCCGACAGTTCTTTTTCTTTTCTTGTATTGGGCTGCCGATGGGGTGTCATTGAGAATTTTGGGCGGGCAGCTGCCCCTATGACACCCTAGAGCGCCATCCCTGGACACATGGACATAGTCATTCAATCAAGCCCCCCCCCCCCATTTCAGTTACAGACAAACAAGACTGTTGTACAATGAATAAATCATAACGCTAAATATACTGGGGTGAAGACAGCGGCTGAAATTTTTTGGCAGGAATTGCACGCGAGGGATGTTGGGAGTATATTATTTGTTGGAAAACTATTAAATTTAAAAATTCTTTATATAAACTCTACAATCGATATAAATTGAATGAACTAATAACCTCGCTTTCCTTTTGAGCTAGTGTGCTTAATTGACATCCATGGAAGAGGGTCATTGCATTGTTTTGTGAAGTGAAGATATTATAAAAGTGAAGTGCTTTGTGAGATTTTTCCAAATATCTCATTTGTTAATATTTGCAAATAAACTACAATAAGCATGAAGAATATACATGTAATCTTTATAAGAGTATTTTTTTAAAAAATACGGGGCTCGATTCACTCAAATAATAAAAATATCATAAGAACGTGTCCAGCCTAAGATTAAAAAAAGCAAAAATTTTGTGTTTTTGGGAAGTTTCCCACATGCAAACAAAACAGGGCAGCCAATAAACCAGACAGCTCCAAATGTTCTGCAAAACAGTTATTTAGTAGTCTTAGAAGCAATTTATGACATGTGGATATAGAAAAATAAATTATGAAAAGTAATCAATAAAGATAACACCCGGATCTCAAATTATCTAAAAAACCAACATCGAGTAGGGAGAAGTCTATATTCTCCCATGACTGAGACAATCGACACTTTAAATGAATTTTCTTCGTAAACTAAAGCGTCACTTGATGAAAAGATGAACTGACATACAACAATGGAAGGATTTGAACTCAAAATCGTTAAATTAATTGCAATTTTTTCCACTTTGTGAAGCCTATAGTTAACTCTAGAGTTTCAACTTTTCGTCGAAGAGACCTATTTATTAAAGATATCGAAGATGCCAAGCTGCAAGACGAGACCTGAATTTCCTTCGTTTTGAACAAAAATCTTTGATGTCACTGCAGTTTGATGACTTTTTAAATATGCTCAGGCTCCGTTGCAAGCACCGCGCAGCCTTTGGGCTAGCATGGGCTATAGCCCCCCCCCCTTACTTTTTTTTGCAATAATAGGCTAGAATATTTGTTGAAAGGTTTACCCTATCGCAAATTTGGATATTCTACTCCTATGTGGTAGCAGTTCTTTTTGACTGTGAACCTTTTTTGTTCATTTTCTAAGTGTTTTACCTTGTTTAATGATATGATGTATTTTCTAAATTGTTTAGCTTGGCGTTTTATTACCTTCAAACTAATTTTATCTACTTATATACTTGTTGATATCTTCTCTGAACGAGATTGTTTATAAAAGTTCAGTAGAAATGATCAAGTACTTTTTAGAAGGGGCGTATTCCAGCTTTCTAGAGGGCGTGGCATCGACAATTTTTCTGGCATACCCATTTTAGCCCCTCCGCCTTTATTTTGGTGCGCTGTCCTTGTCCGTTGCACCTATCACTATGGCTTAGTTCCCTTTTACAGTTAATCTTTGGATTTATTCTGTTAAATATGTAATAAAAAACTATAGATGTTTGCGTTTCTAATCGCCAGGGAAGGAAGATTACAAAAACTCTTTAAAAAATTCATTTCATTACGAAAATTCTTTATCCGGTGCAAGATAATAAATCTGTATCAGACTCTGTATCAATCGCAAGATATTAAATTTTTAAGGGTTCTTCAATACTGTTACTTAAGTTCTTCAATGCTGTCACTTCAGTTCTTGCCTTCAAATAACAAGCAACGAACTCCTTTGCTTCGCTCATTTGACGAACCGACTTTAAGTCGGCATTGCCCCCAGGGACGTCGCTAAAAGAGGGCACTTTCCCCCCATACTTTGTCCGTCGGCACATAATTTTTCTCACCCCTGTAGTATAATTATAATCTTTTTTAACAGTTGTAACATGTTAAGATTTCTGTAGCAATTCAACTTGCTAACTATGGCACTAAAAATGCTTCAAGTTGAAATGCTAGAGTTATGAATATTAAAATAGAAATACATAAAAGCTGCATAAAGAATTACTTATCTTATGACCACACCTAAAAAGAGTTAAGACGCTCTTTTTATTGGCAAAAGCAATATTTAACTCTTCTGAAAAACTTTTTGGCTTCGCCTCTCTTGACCGCTCACCTTTTCTGTGCTGGCTTCGTGCCTTTTAACGAACTGCCTATGGTTTTGTTTGCTTTAACACTAACGATGAACGTGAATGGTGAATAAATTTAACAAATAAAGTAAAAATAACAATTGATTGTTATCAACAAACAAAAGCAATTCTGAATTATTGATGTCTATAAAAAGAAGATTAAAAAATTACAGAAAGTAGACTTCTCTTTCAGTCACATTGTGAAATCTGAAACAAAATCTTTCCCATTTTGTTTCAGATGGCTGCAATTAATTTAGCTATATCTCACTCTTTTTACACTAAGCAGGTCTTGATTTTTATCGATTTTATGTGAATAATTGCTTAACATATTTTCCTTGCATTGCATTTGGCTTAGCGCATAAGCTTTCCCTAATTTGCTAAAATCACATTAATTTAGACTTTTGTAGTTATCAAAATACATTTTAGTGTCCTTTTCAATGCTGGTCAACTGGGTGCTATGAGTAGTACTCTTTGACTAAACTGATTTTTATATGTTTTTTTTTTCATTAAAGGGAGACTCAATCATGTAACAAACCGAGAACAGACCCCGAAAGTCTGAGCTAAAAACCAGAAAGTATCTATCCAGAACAAAATATTAGAAAAATTGCGAATCCATCCTTCTAAATGATTCTTCAGCAAGACGAAAGGTTTTTCGGAAATATCGTACCCCTAAACACTCAAATGATTTGTTTTCAGTTACCCCCAACGTCCTAATCAATTTTTTTTGGAAACCCCCTGTATATTTCCCTAACCCAAATTCCAAAGGGCATGCCATAAAACTAGCCCCAACATATTGTAACTAAAGAATTCCCACTCTGGAATGCTTTACTGCAAATTTTGATACAAAAGCTTGCCTTTTACTTCATATGAATTTATTTGCAATGGTTGACTTTTGAAGATTGACTCATACAGCCTCATGCACACAAGCCCTTAATCGCAAGTTACGTTCCTGCATATCTAACATTCATATCTTCTGATTCATCTAGCTACAGTGTTCATTGAGATTGCTAACAGTGCCTGGTAAAATAGAACGTAACAGGAAGATTACTAATGTCAATTTCGAAGCAAAATAAACAGCAATATTAACAGAGTCAACAGGATATTAGCCAATAAGCTCTTATTTTTGCACAGGAGGATTATTATGCAATATCATCTTTTATGTTTAAAGAACATAGAAAATCCAGAGAAAATCCATGTATGTACACTGATCAAACGATAGGCTACTTAATTCACTAATTCAATTCTCAATGAAATAAGACGAGAATACAAACAGGTAGGATATTTTGAAAGCAAAAAAAGTTAAAAAGTCTCATTACTTGTTGGCTACATAAACACAATCACTATTAGTGGGGTGGAAAATTCATTTCCAAAGGCTTGATTCTGCCAAGTACTGTCTTATTAACTGTCTTATTAAGATCAGAAAAAAGTGCAGTATTTAAAAGTATCTGTACTGTACTGGGTGAAGGGATTTTATTTGTGTTACAATATTTAGAAGTCAATCAGTTCGGAGAGAGTGGTAGATGAGGTTCCCAGAATGCCAAGGGCACTCATAGAAAGGTTAACAAAGATCGCTGTATTTCTTAGCTTTCCGAGTACTGTTTTCGTCGATGTTGCTTTCGAGCCCAACAGTAAGCTCTAGCATGTAAAGGATTCGATCTTCAGTTACGAAGACAAGATCTGGTCGATAGGAGTCGCCTGTGATTGAAGAAGGTGAACGAAATGAAGGCAGGTCCGCGTAAAGTGAGCTATTTCTAGGTGTTGAAAGGGTTTTAGCCAAATATAGAAGTACAGAATCATGTCTCCAGGTATACCTACCATGTTCAAGATAATTTTTGCAGCTAGAGACTATGTGTTGTAATGATTCGGATTGGAGACAAAATGAGCAACCAGATGACTGAGTAATCGACCATTTGCAGAGGTTTTTCCTAGTGGCAAGAGCGTTATTTAGGTATTTGATGATAAAGTTGTAACTGTTTTTCGGTAACTTTTGCTGGACACTAGACCAAAGTTGGTTAGTTTCCTTAGAAGCAAATTTTATGATGCACGAGATGATAAACCCTTGAGATGTAAGATTTCAATGCGGTTTTCGTGTTCACTTTGGATGGATTTGAGAACTTGTTTGGTGTTGTCATATTGTATGTTTGTACCAGTGCTAGAATCTTTCCATAAAGAGTGAATTTCTTGGTTTGAGGACAGTCTTAAAAAGTTTAACTGTCTGGCATTGCAGGAATTTGGTGGGTGGAAGAATGAGATTGATGCCAAACTTCGAAAATAATAATAATAATAATGATAATAATAAATTATCTCGCCAAATCTCCGTTTCGGAGCAGTTACTTAAACAAACACAGAATTGCCAGGAAAGACGTCATGTGCAGTATAGTACCACAGGCTAATTTTCACTTAGGTTTGAAAGAGTGCAACCAATCTCTGATTTGAGATGGAATTTTGCGATATATATGAGTCCTGATGTATAAAATTCTGCTTTGCTTTGAAATAAAGGAGATTTCTCCAAAGGAGGAGGGGGTATTATTGAAGATTGGGCCCTAGTTCTCTAAACCTTCCTTATAGTGCTTACTGGCCTACGGTTCTTTCTGTATTCAATGGAAGTTTCGTATTCTATGTGCCAGTTTAAAGGATTCTAAGTAGCATATTTTTGAAAAAATTGTCTCTAGTAAATACATATCTTAAGTTTCCTTCACAGGTTTTTGCCTTATTCGATTTGAATTTTCGTCAAACTACTACTATACGACATGCAAGCTTATTTCAAATCTCCAATATGAATAATTTGTTATCCAAAGTAGATTGATTTTATATCTCAGGAACACAATGACAGAGAAAAGTTATAACAATTCATTATTTTTAATGTACATAAATAAATAGTCAAACTAGATATAGCTAAGATAGGAAAGATTTGACTTCACGAAACGTAAGAAGACAATAGTTCATTTAGTAAATTCCAGAAAGTATTTTTATGTCAGCTATGCTCTTAATGTTCTATACATGTTCTGTTCTATATAACATTTTCCTTATTTCAGAAATTTTGAACATTCTTGTATGTGGCAACGTAGGGGTAACATTTTCTTTAACTCGTGTGCCCCCCACCTTCTAAATGCTTCCTTTGCCTCACAAATTCTTTTATAGAGATTAGAAAAAAATAATACAAAATTGATAATACAGACGTTCTCTATGGTGGTCTTCAGATTGTATAATCCTAATTGAAAAGTTTTCTAGCATCACTTATGAGCACTATTTCATAATTTGTCCCATACTGTAATTATCAAGATCAGTGGCTACGGATTTTCAGAATATTTGGTGGCATTTTCAAGCTAAATCAAAATCGAGTAACTTTTCTAACTATGACTAAAATACAATTGCTAAAATCTAAAAATAAAACAATGTATTCAATATTCAAGCTAAGTAAATGAATAAAGTTAATAAGTAGTTGTTAATAAGCTTGGGGTCTAATTTTAGAAGTGTTACATTAAAAAAACAATAAAATGTAACAAAAAGTACATACATAACGTAACAAGCTTTATGTAGAACGAAGATTACACTCTTTTTTATAAGAACCAGTAACTTCAAGTTCAGGCTGATTGTTCTTAATTTGTTTTCAAATTAAGAGCGTTTAAGCAATAATGCAATTGCTAGCTTTTTGCTCAAGGGAGGTGTCCAACCCTCATTTGCCGACAAAGTGAGTGAGACAGCCCACACATGGCTAAAAGCTCTTTGTTTTTTAGTCGAAGCATTGCTCAAAATTACATTTTACATTAGCTCAGCCTCAGCCTGTTCTTAATTTGTTCTTAACTCTTGACCAAGTTTGAGGCTCATGTTCTTATCAAATTGCTCTTATGAAAAGGGGTGTAATTACGAAGTTTTCTTTTCGCTCACATTTGATTGATGTAAATTCACGGCGAATAGCAATAATTTATCATTAATAATATCAGGAGTTTAGAAATCCTGTCTTCAGATACTGGGTGATCTCGTGGCATACCCTTGAGACCTAAGGCTAGAAGACTTAAGACACGCTAATATCAACATAAAACAAAAATGTAATTTGAGACACACGAGGATTCGGTAATTTTCAAGGCTTCCTTAACTTTTTGCTGGCACTAGCAGCTCTTTAAATTATTCTCTCCCAAGACTTCCAAAGACGTAAGAATTAAAAGGAAGTTTCCAACGCGTATTCGTATTGCCTTTCCACTTTTTGTCGAAAGCAATCCTAGAAATAAAAAGAGCCAACAAATATTTGTCGATTGATGACCCGTCGCTCTTGACCTTGACAATACGTTGTGATTATATCACGCTGTGAGCATATCTCAGCACCTCTTTTTCTATCTAGACACAATTTGATACGATGAAGGGAAACGTGTTGTCAAATTTCAACTAATTTACTTTGACTGAAAGCATTCGAGGCGCTGTTCAAACTAGAAATGATTTCTGGATTTATTTTGTTACTTCTTGTGTCAACATCGCCAAAAGGGATTGATTCGAAGTTTGCCCATTGTTTGAAATTAGAGAAAAAATGGTGCTTCGACAGGCAACTGCATCACAACTGGACATCCCTACCGCCATTCACGGACAATGCTAACCAAACTGAAGCAAGGCGTGAATTACAAAAATGGCAGGCATTAAAAGCCGTTCCATCATGTTGGCAAATAATAGCACCTTTTTTGTGCCATGCGTACTTTCCGAAATGTTCAAATGGCTCAATAACGTTACCTTGCAAGTCTTTATGCAACGTGGTTCGTGACAGTGCTTGTACCATGATACCATTCTTTAACGAAGGAACTTGGCCTAAGGTTTTAAACTGCGATTATTATTCGTCAACTCGTTGTACACAGGTGGGTTTCTGAAAATTAATGTTTTTCATTGATTAGATAAACAAAAAGTTGCTAGCTACATACCGGGTTTAATAAGGCAGGGGTAAAGAACAATTATGTCAATATTGGCAACACGAAGCAAGATACCTATAGTCTTGATTGAATACGTAAACACACCGCTAAAGGTTTGTCAATATTTCTGCAAGCAAGCTGGCTATGTGGTTTTCAAAATTTCCCCAAACAACACTTTGGCTTTAAACCTAAAAGAAAAAAAACCTTAACAACCACACGTGAAAGCTTCCAACGACGACATTGACGGTTAAAAGCGTGGATAACTGTGGGAACTCAAAACTCCATATAGATTCTATGACATCAGACAATAATTAAATACGAGTTGCCCTTCGAGGTAGATATGACAGAGTTTGATAAGCTAATGAAGGAATGATGTCATTCTAGGCCTACTCTCATCCTGATGGAGACGCGCGTCATCTTGCGGCTTTGCTTTTAAAAATAGGAATATCTAAAAACCTAATAGACAAAAGATACAAATTGGCATCCTCGGTTGTTAATGTGATGGTGATGCAAAGATGACGGTCTTCCAGCTCACTGCAATCAAAAATTTGGCAGTGTATTTATTATAAAGTATATGAACAGAGACTAAATTACAGATATTTTATTGGGAAAAAGCCTGTGCTCATGTTGTCATATCTCTGAAACATACCTGTGAAACATAGCTCTGAATTACGGGTGTGTGTGTTTGGGGTTGGAGGGGGGGAGGGGTGGTGCTAGCGAGAGCCCCCATTTTGCCAGACGGTCATTTTTAGCGCTTTTGTCCGTAAATTTTGTTATATGTAACCAATAAATTTCTGTTAATGCAAGCCAGACTGCATTCTCTGTGTTTAGCGCGGAGAAAAAAATTTCTGGTATTCATTTGCTCAGATACGCAGAGAATATATTTTCCTCGCATGACAAATAATGCAAGTCTGTTTGTTAGTGTAAAGGACAAAAGTCGAATCAAAGCTACTGCTGTAGGTAAGTGTCCGTTTTAGGTAAGTGTCCGTTTTAGGTACGTGTCCGTTGTAGGTGCGTGTCCGTGGTAAATAAATGTCCGCTTAAGGTAAGTGTTTGTTGTCGGCAATGCCGTAACAGACTAAAGTTACCTTTAGTTCGAAAATTAAGGTTCCCCAGCAAAAAATATTTCAATGTTTTCTACCGTGAAGCTGGTATTCTTGGTGTGATAAACGATTCCAAGGGGCCCTGAGACTGGATGAAATCTCGGTCTAATTGAATGGAAGGTCTGTTGATTAGCATTTTATGTTATGTAATGGCTCTGAAAAAAGCAAACATTTTGGTTATATTGAAGCTTTTCGTTTAACGCCCTTCAGAGTATAAAACGTCAAAACACAGACCGAAACTCTACGCTAGGAAATATATATATACCCAGTTGTGGATCGAAATAAGCCAGTCAGAAACACGAGCACTTGACTGTTGAGGTTGCCCAATCAGTGCCGCTTGCCTATTGAGAATGTTATCAATGGAGTCCTAAGGTGAAAACGAGCTCCTTTTGTCTACACAATAGCGGGTTTTTCATGTTTATATAGGGAGATTCCAAAACTGCTAGATGGAACGACGATCGGGCTTTACCAATAATCCAAAACATGTCGCCATGATAGTTTTTTGCACAATCTGGGTTTTCCACTAAAGGCTGCCCAATAGCGGAATCGCATGTTTACTTGTTGTTTTTGCAACACCGAGAACGAGGAAGGCCGAGACCGAGGAAGGGATATGCTGTTTGTTTGTAATGCTGGAAGGGATATGCTGTTTTATTCTATCCTCCAATGTTTGCTTTTTTCAAAGCCATTATTAAATTTAAATTTTTGCTATTTTAATATAGTTGAATTACCGTGAAATCAGGCCTTTAAGAGGAATATGGAAAAGGCTTAGCGCATGGAAAAGTAATTCCGGAGTGCGACTTTTGGCTAAAAAAGTTAGGAAAGCCCAATGGCAAGTGAAAATCAGTCCAACTTAGAACGAACAATCTGAATACGAGGCAGGTGTAAACAGAAATTTTTATTCCATGAACCTCAATCGAGGTTATAGATTTTCGACTGAAAGATGTATTATTACTATAACGCGGGCATAAAGTCGTTCCGAGGTTTTCATGTCGATTCTACATTGTTATGGCGTTGTTTTGTGTTCATATGGCATCATTGTTCTCCTTTAGTTGAACCCAAGCAACAACCAGTCATATAGATGTCAGTATCCTTTGATAGAAACAAGTTACAAAAAGAACTGGTATAATGGAATCAAATACTGTGGGCTAGAATGTCGGAATCATCTTTATTCGAAAGAAGAACACAGACAGATTCACACAACAATTTCAGTTCTAGGATCCTTGTCCTTGATTTGCAATCTTTTCAGTGTGGTACGTATCGTGTTCGTCGAATTTCTTTCATACTTTATCTGAACCTAAGAAAATATCAAGTTCTCAGCGCCTTTTCATTCGCCTTTTTCAATATTTGGTTATGATAGAACTGAATCTAATGCAAGATGTACTTTCATTATCTTCTCCCTAACTTCTCACTTCCTTCTGCAAGCGTGATCTCCGTCTTATATTAGGCTCCGTCTATTTTGTCAAATCGTCATTCCAAACGCTGTTCAGCATTTTGTCAATATACTGGCAAGAAAGCGAAGCATTCTTTTTATTCTCCCTATTCCTAGTTGCTTTTTTTTGAAACTGTTTTCATTCTCCAGTACAATCGTGAAAAATGTGCCCAACAGTATGCTTTGTCTTTCTCATAACACGTTCTCGCAATATCCTGTTAAATCTTAAGAGAATTTGATAGGGCATTTCACACACCAAGTAGCTGTTGTTACCATTGATCGATAAATCTATGAATGTCTTTGCTCTTCTAGGCAACCTTCTTGATCGATTGGAAAGCACAGAATAAATACCCTGCCAAGATTATATTTTTCATGAACCTGTGTTTTTTTGTGAGTTCCATGGGTTGGTTGTTGCAGTTTGTTGGTGACACTCGGAACAAAATAACATGTCGTCAGGATGGAACAAGGCGTATAGGAGAGCCAGGGTGTGTATTCAGAAAATATTATCCATCCTTAGAGCTGTATTTACATGAGATTATTTTAATTTTAAAGCGTTAAACTTGACTTTAAAATCGGTCCAAACAGCCTGGAATTAGGTTAATGTCTTAGGAAAATTGGTGAATCCAATTTGACCTTCTTCCTTTTAAATCAATGTCGATAGTAACAACTGTACCAATTAACTATATAGAAATTTGTTTTTACAGTGTCAAATATTGCAGATTAAATTTTTTGTTAACTAGTTGCAGTACCCTTGCAACACTGTTGTTCATAAAACCCCCCTCTTCAGACAACTTTTCGGTACTATTTTACTCTTGCAACATTATCCGAAAGTAGGTGTATTAGAAAGAGATAATTTTCAGGATTAAAAAGCTATTGATGTGGCAATTGACGCATAATGGCAAAAGAAAAGCGTCAGTTTGTCGTCTTCTAATTTTGAAAGAACAATAACTTCCATTTAGGCCTTTAATTCTGACCGGGTTAGCGAAATTGATCAGAATGATTATTTTAATTTATAAAATGAAATGGCAAAGTTGATTAAAAGATGGCTCAATGTGGGAAGTGAAATTTTACTTAAAAGACAGAAATCTTGTGCTATTTACTGTTCACGTATAGTAAGAACAAATGCGGAGGGGAATAAACTACCATAGTTATGTCATATTTTGACAAGTGTCGGGAAATATTTACCCCCCCCCCCCGTACCATATTTGGGCCGCCTCACCGGATGCCGAAGCACAGTTTGGAGTGGGGAGCTCTAGATGAATTGGCACACACTTTTATGGTAGTTTTTCCCCATAATCTTTGAAGCAACTACCTGAATTTCATAGTTCAACAAAAACGTGAGGGGTTATATACCCAGACCCCCTCCCCCCCAGCTCCAGCGTGCTTGTACTATGCATGTTGAACAAACCTACTATCTACTCAACGACAATCGGCACTTAATGTATGTCTGATTTAAGTGAATTGAGTTATTTTTTACTGAATGTTTTTTATGTTATATTCTATGTATGGTAGTAATGACGCTATCTTTTCTCCTAGGAGTAATTCTGATGGTTACGGCTGGTGCTTGTTCTCCTTCATCTTGATTTACTATTTCTCATTTGCTGGTATCATGTGGTTTGTGATGCTTTCCTACGCTTGGCATAGCTCATTCAGGACTCTTGGGTCGACACAAGATAAGCTTTCAGGAAAGAAGACCTATTTCCATGTGCTTTCTTGGATGATCCCTGTTATTTCAACCATTTTGATTCTAGTTTTGGAACAGGTACTATATGACATTAAAATGTCCTTCTTTAATGTTTGGTTTATTCCATGACAATAAAGTTGTAGAGATCGATTACTAATGTCGTGCAACCATTGATAGTATAATTTCTAGATTCAAACCAAAAATTTAATTCTCTAATATATTTAGAAAATAATAGCGCACGTATTTGTCACTAAATTGGATATCTTAGGAGGAATCAATCTCAAAGGGAACTTCTGCGATGTTTTAAAAGTTGGTTAGCAGGCGTTTAAGTTTTAAAGGGGACCGAGTTTTCGAAGACATTTTTTAAATCATTTGAGATGCATTAGAGATTAAATTTATAAAATTTTAATGTCGATCGAACTCTTTATTCAGGTCGATGGAGATTCAGTTGTCGGGATTTGTTTTGTTGGAATACAAAATCATGGAATGAGACAGGGTTTTGTTCTAGTCCCGTATGGAATTTGCCTTTTAATTGGTGAAGCCTTCATGATAAGAGGTATGTTTTCATGTTAGCTAGGGCCTAAATTGAACTGCTTCTACAAATATTTATTAGATCGCTCGATTAATGCTTGCAGCAGTGTGCAAAACTACGTTACCAAGTACACTTAGGACCATTTCTCAGAATCATGTGCAGCTATGAAGTAAAATGTAAAACGTTCGCATGATTTATTTGATGTGCAGCATATAGTTAAAGCACGAAGCATCAAGTATAGGGCCTAAAACATACTCATGTGGCACACCTTTATTAATTGAACGATCCATACTGGCTTATTGCTGTTCATGATGTTGTACTTGGATCCTTTCGTTACATAGTCTGCAGAAGAATTATCATTTTTAATACATTGTGAGTTTCTGAACTTCTTTGCTCTGCCTGTAACTATGAATTTAAAATGTTTATCAGTTATGTAAAATAGTATTCAAGAACTTAAAGTCATTTCTTGTTGGTACAGATTCCAATCCAATATATGCTGTGTTTTGTTTTATGAATCAAACCATCGCACAATCATTAAGTGTGTAATTTTTTGTAGGGACCGTAATTTTGTTCAAAGTCAAAGGACAGAACCTAACCTTCCTAAATGGCAGGGCTTCTACCAAAATTAAAGAAACAATAATAAGGATTGGTAAGTTACCTTAAAAAGTGTGACGAAGTAGGCTTAATCTGAATCTGCCAGGAATACCTGATATCTCTATAGATTTCTGAAAATAGAGCTCTGAAAAAAAAGTACTCTTGATCAATTAGCGGAATATGATGCTTTCCTAATTATTGTATTCAACTTTCTTTTAATAAAAAAATGAATGATAGAGTTGAAGGTGAAAGATTTGCAAACAAAAATCGCGAATTCAAATATTCTTTGAGAGTGAACCTACGTGCTGATGATCATGGGATGATATTAGTATGAAAAGACATAGCAGTATGAATACCCACAAAAACAGCGATGTGAACTGTGGCTATAACGAGAGAAACAATGAAAAAAAGAAAAGAACAGAAGCATAATAAATGAGGTACAGCGTACCCAGGTTCCAAACTTGGTGATTCCGAAATTGTCGATTCCACACTGGTTAAAGCAAAAAACTCTAGAGAATAAGGCAACTCACCAAAAATTTCTTTGCTCCGTTTCAGTGGGTTTTGTCTCCTTCCAGGTATCTTCTCGCTGCTATCTTGTGTATTTTTCATAAGTGTATTAGTCAGCCATGCTGAGGATGCAAAAAACTGGAACACTATGCATAAGAGTTTGATGGAGTACGTGCGGTAAGTAGCGCAATAGTTCTTTTTTAAATACTTACGCATCATTTTCAACAGAAATAGTGCATTGCTGATTGCTGCTATGCTCCATTTTGTCAACATCTAAAAACTTCTTTGACAATTTGATGTGTCAAGAATCTCATATGGTTGACGTCGTCGTTTAGAAGGCTTCTTAGCTAATTATAAGTAAAATTTATTGGAAGAAAGATATTGCTTGAAGATAGACATGTTTCAAAAATTCGGAAATCAGCAAATGCGATTGGTAAGAATCAGAAAATATTAGCACAGCACTTTTTGCTGATTGAGGTCTTTAAGGTTAAAATGGCATTTATAGGATGAAACTTTTCTGTGACTCTTATGAATTTTCGACGCTCAGTTGCATTTTTTGGTGCCGTGACCCGAATTGCTTTCGTTTTCTCTCGCAGATGCAAAGCAGTGAAACTGTACTCGAAGAGTGCATCGGATTACAAATGTGTAATTAAAAGCAAACGCAGTGTTGCATTGATTCAGCTGCAGGTTATTTCGGCATTTGGTGCTGGAATCACTGTCAGCACATGGAGCTGGACTAAAGCAACCATGAGAACATGGAAGAAGGCTTGGATCAGGTATTCAGCTTATTAGAGAATTGTTTCAACATTGCCATTTGTAGTGTATATATATACAATGCTTGTTTGTAACAGTGTGCTAGAATCTTATGAATAAATGATGACATTTCCCATTAATATATTGGTAATAATACAATTGAGAATTTCATATTGTTGCATGTTTTATCGAGGCACTCGTGTTGTATGTCTCTCATCCTGGCAATCTTTTCTTGTGACAATCAAAAATTTCTTTTTAACTTTCAGATTTCGGGGATTTGATGTGAAGAAAAGAATTCAAAACAGTTTTAATGCAAGAAAAAACAAGAAGAGAATAGCGTACGTTTTTCGCTCACCTGAATCAAATAACTATTTTATATATATATATATATATTGACAGCTTCCAAGAAGTATTTTATGCGTTTATTAAAAAGATAGACAATGCAGAGCACCATTGCATAGCACATCTTTTACATAATATCAGTATTTGAATAATAACTGAGAAGATCCAATCTTAGAACAAAAAGCAAAGGTTTTGAAACCATGCTAAAACCTTTTGTTTGAGATACAAATAGCTTCACAGGGTGTTATGCATTACGACATGAGCAACGAAAGAGACATTTTATGAATTGTAAGATTTACATGATGATTAGAGCGATGCTGACGCTCAACATAGCAACAACTGCCTAATACCCGGTCCCACTGATCATTTACCTGAACAGCAGGGTTTGTATAATGATTAAGCTTAAAGTAGTTTTGAATTTGATATTTGTAGAGGGAACAGATTTCTGCTTTATCAATCAGCTAGAAGCTTTGGTAGAAACCATAAGTCCATCTCCAAAATTCCAGTATCTAATACAGTTGTCTGTTTCATATTGACAGTCCTTTGGTGGAGCATGCGCTACCAGCTATTGCCTTGGCAGTCCCCTTGGGAACAAGAGCAAAACGAGGCTCTCTGGCGTCAGTTGCATCGAAACAAAGTAGCAAGTTGAAAATCTCATCTTTCATTTCTGGTTTCATCGACGAAATTCGCTCGAAAATGAAATCAGCTTCAGGTGTCAATACAAAGCAAAATAACTTTGAACTGCGGCCTAGCCCGATAGTGATAAGACCACCTGACGGGAGAAGGCGGTCTTTATTAAGTATAGAATCGATTTTAACCACTTCATCGCAAGGAAGACTGCGCTTGCGCCGATCAAGCATGCCAACAACAGCTACAAACGGCAGTGAATTCGGCATGGCGTTTGGGCATCTGTGGTCAATACAGCCACAGATTCACGTGCCAACGAAGGATCGAAACAAGGAGCAGTCACGAAACCTACGAGTAATACGACTTGGCGAAGATATGACAACCACTGGACAAAAAGATTCAAAAAATGAAAATATATCGAAAGGAAAACGAAAGAAAAAACGGCAAAGTAGAGGAAGTAGCAGGGTTGCCCCGGTCTCGAATTCAGGAACTGAAACATTGTCAATAAAATGTGCCGCAGTAAACAGTAACTGTGGTTATTTACCGCCTTTGAAAAACGAATTACGTCAACGAAGCCCAGCAAGATTGAGTGATGCTTCTCACATGGTCCAGGGCAGACAGACTCATTCTGGTATTAAAAATGATGCAAACGAGGCACAAACGCCCTTACGTTTTTTCCATGAAACTTTTATTGGGCCTAAATAGCAAGGCTAAAATTCAATAAGAATATTCTCCGCTTCAATCAAGGATAGATGATACAAAAACAGAATACTGTAAACACATAATACTAGCTTCCATTTTTGTAAATTTTATTAAAAGGAGTATGATGGAAGTAAATTTGTCAATTTGTATATAACACATTTTCGTTAAATTTTAGAGTTGGACTTTCTAAATATCTATAATCTATCGATGTGTCCTAGTTTGGTGAATTATTGGTGGATAGTCCCACCACTGACATCTACAAAAGTCTTTGTTGCTATTCCAACCAAGGCAAAAGAGGTGAAGGGAAATAAATCAATTTCTCTTTTGACCAGGGATAGAAAATCCACTTCTGAAGAACACAAATGACTGTGGATGTATCGGCATTGAATTCTATACGTTCTACGCTCACCAATTTTATAAGCATCTGTGAACATGCCTTTTTAATTGATAAATATTATTTTCGTTTTGGTTCCTATGTTAATTCCCTATACCATACAGTACCATTTAAAAGGACTCCCAGATGAATTTAACTTCACCTGCGGTAATCAAATGGGAATCGAAGGCAATTAATGTATCTAGTATATATCCGAACTAGATAAACTAGATTGTAAATAAACAACAGTCTAGGACTATCTACCCACAAATGCTAAGCGTATCTTCCACGTGGATAAGGATGCTTCTTTCCCACTTGTTAAGCAATGGCTTGTGCAGGACTTTGCGCTCGGGGCCTTCTTTGATTTCATCTGGCTTTAAAGGGGTAACAGTGCCATCAACCGAAACCTGGTAGTCTTCATTGAGAAGAGGCATGCCATCTGTTGTGGATACGTTGGTCGTCACGGGACGCGATCTTTGCCTCTTCAAAGATACTGACGGGCCTGAGTCAACTTTGCATGTTATATCGACGATGTAATCACCAGCGAACAGAAATAGGAGTCCACATGAATGGTCCAAGGTTTCACCCGGAATCAGCTTTTAATAAAACGAAATCTTGATTCAAGCAGCAGAAATCGTAGATAGTTCTCTCAAGATATACAACAAAATTTAAATGCAGGGCCAACAAAGTCTATAACATCTCAAAGGCCCAAAATTTTTAATTGATAATTACGGATCTGTTTACAAATCTGGTTATTTTGTTCAAAGATTGACAAAAACGAGCCTGAATTTTGGCGATGAGAATTACCTTTCGAGTGGTCTTTTCCAATGTTCCACAATGTGAAAACAAGGGCAATGGCGGTGGAACGTCGTATGCATCATCACCAACTTCTCCCTGATGCGTTCTGATTTGCAATTTCAGATCATGAAGATCAAATTCTTTAAATCAAAGAAGGATATATGTATAAGAAGAACGCTGACGAGCAAAACTCTTGAAGCTTTTCGCGAAATAAATCTTGAGGAGGTATTATGTAAATTGAGCTTACTGCCTCACATCGGCAAAAGCAGAGAATTGTCGTGTTTGGTGATTTGGAAGATCGTGTTTCTAGCAAGAAACCTTTTTCTAAACTCTAATTGATTAAAATGAACCTTTTTTTGCTCAAAAAGCGACCAAAGCGTGTTATGTTTATGGAAAATTGTGATCACAAAGATTTCGAGCAGATAACGAACCAGGACCTTAAGTCTTGTCTGTCCATCGAGGGTGTTAATCACCGCACCCTCATTGATCCAAACAGGTCATTGCAAACGTAAGTGCGTTGATAATCAATTATATTCATTTCAAATTTCTGATTATTGATTATTAATAGAGACGTTGTCTGATCGTTGTCTGATCGATATCTCCCTGCTTAAGTCCTTTAATAAGTCTTTGGTACACCCTTTTGTTTAAGTGCTGTTTTGATAAATAAACAACATAAAGTGTAAAAGATAGACATCGTATCCCCTTTACCCAAACGAAGCTTTTGTAAACTTAACTATCTTAACCAATCGACAGGAATCTATTGAAAAAGGTTGGTAACATCATATGAAGTATTGTTTGGAGGGGGTAGGGGTGCTTTGACAATGCACGAACATTTAATTTAAAGAGGTGAGCAAAGACTTTTGGCAGGGATTGAAAGTTGTTTTGGAGAGGTTCCTAAAGAATTGTTCAACAATAACAAATTTCATGAAGAAGCCCTGAAAATCATACGAAGCAGCAATTTTTTAAAAGAAGCTGTTGCTTGATAATTTGCAAAAACCAACGGCCTTTATTTTTGTGTTTGTTGCAATTAAAATATCATTGTTCCTGTCATTATGAAGTATTTCATTTTAAAGTATTCATTGCGTTTTACGTCATAACGTTCTGCATCTTACAATAATCGTCCGTTTCAATCCATTAATAGCCTTCGACTTTAGGAAAAAAAATTATTTATATTAAAATGAAAAGAAGAAGCATCTTCTTACCATGCGCATTCATAAGTTGGATATGCAAATGTGTCATTTGACCAACAAACGTTGACACTTTATCGCCTTCTTGAAGCAAAGAATTGTTCACCGATATTCCTGTACGAAGTTGCAAAGATAGTAAAAAAAGGAGACCAAAATACAATACAGTCTTACCAGGATAGATAGATGATTTATGATTAAAATTAAAAAATTCAACGGGCGAAACAAAGAAGCAGCTAATAGTTTACCAAAAAAGTAAGCAAAATTTAATCAACAGAACAAAGAAAACACTTGCATATGGGTAATGGAAACCAAACCAAAGCCATGGCAAGAAAGAGCGTATCTTTTTTTGATATAGAAAAATTGTGATGAAATCTCAATATGGTATTAAACAATCTAAACATATCTAGTTATAATTAGCAGATACCAAAGTTGAAAATTATTTTGTAACACAGTTATTTTGATATTCACAAATACCATGCATCTATTAGTGGTAGCAGCTAGGCCGTATCAGCAGAATCATGCCATGACTCAAACTAGATGAAGCTCTACAATGTTAGCAATTAGTGATCATACTGAATGCTCTAGGCCAACGAAAATCGTCAGTCCAACTGGTCCATTAAAATGACAAGAGCCCATTGCTGAAAGTTTTTATGACTGTGAAAACTAGTATAAATAACATGCTCCTTCTTCGCTCGGAAGGAAATGCTTACTCATTTCGAGGTGGCGTGGTTTCAAAACATTCACCATTTCCGCTGTGCAATCGATGTCTGCTAAAAATGTGGTGCCACTGTACCGACTGTCAGACTGACATAAAAGATTAAGAAAAATAATATTGTTTGCGTGAGCAGCATTCTTTATTTAATAAAATAGAAGAGCTGGCCTTGTTTTCTTTACTGCTAATACTGCAGTAAAATTTTTAATAATCACAAATAAATTTTTATAAACTAAATCCACAAAGAAGTAAAAGACAGCAATGGTGAACGATTAAGGTCAAGAGTAACAGTAATTTTGTCGATCACTGTTAATAGCATGAATCAATCAAATGATAGTTGAAGTAAAATCGGAAGAAATGCATTCACTTATAATGAAACCAACCCCGAGAGTCATCCCTTAAATCATAGATGAAGGCAGCTTTTTGAAAGTAAGGGTAAGAGAGGAGGTGCAAATAAAGACAAAAAGGGGATAGGGTGGACATCATTTTTTAGGGAGTTAAAATATTGAAGTAAAGGTAAGTCTAGACAAGCTGTAGATGAGAGACGTCATTAATTGTGGATTTGATTTTTGCAAATAAACAACAAAGGATACGAGATTCCAACATATCTTGACAGCATCTTTCACTGCTTTACTGTAAACTTTCTCGATTTTCTAAAAAGGAATGCGTTATTGTTAACAAAAAGTAGATCTATAGGTCATAATTGCTCAATATTGGATTATATCTTTTATGGCTTCAGGGACTTATCGCATGGCCTAAATGGCTCGAGTGAGACTTCTATTTTCAATTAAAAGTCTTCAGCTTTCAAAGTAACCAAAGAGAAATAGCAAAATACTTTCCAAAACGATTGACCCGGAATGTCAATGGTTACAGGAAAAACAAAAGTTGTGTTAGTGTTGTCAGACTGCTCAAGACTAACGACATAAATCCAGGTTTTCGACCTAGGAACGAAGTTAAAAAATTAAAATTTTTACGTATAAAAGTAGGTTAGCATAAAACTCTTCGTGACAAATATCTGAAGTTAGAAGAGATATTTTCTTATTAAGATAAAGCAAGAAACAGAAACAGTCTTTGCGTCTATGAATGGGATCAGTCCCAAGTATTTCTTTATTTATCGCAACTTTATGAATTATCACCATCATCGACAAAAGAGGGCTTTTTAGCCTTTTGCCGATAAAAATGGTGAAACGACTTGGAAATATCTGCTGCTTGGAAAGACAAATCATAATAGCACTGACCATTGTAGAAATAACAGCATATAGTACTTGTGTTACATGAGTAACTCATAGTAACTAGTTGTGTGATGATCGTAATAGGCCCACAATACTCAAACATTAAGACTTCAAACCGTAAAATTTTCCTAAAGCTCTATTTTACACTGAGAAAAGTGTAGTGGTAAAACATTACATACATGCAGCTGACCTGGCATTATCAGCAAGAAATTTAGCTCATAAAGCAAAACTTTAAGTTCACAAAGCAGACAGTGAGTCAAATATGATAATTACCTCATTCATTCGCAAGTTTGGGAGAAAAAGGAGACATCTGGGAAAATGAACTCCAATTCTACAGCAAAGAGAATTCGATTATTGTAACATCGACAGAATCAAAATGCAAGAATAAATCAAATGAATTGTTGTGATTTAAGAAGCTTTTCCTGGGCTTCAGAAAACAAAGTAAATTCAAGTTTCAACAAGGAGCTGGAAATGTCTGATCATTGTATTTTGCATGTAGCTTACAATTACACAGTAAAACTCGTAGTTACACTATGAAACTGGTAGTTACACAGTGAAACTCGTAGTTACACCGTGAAACTCGTAGCTACACCGTTAAACTCGTAGTTACAGAATGAAACTCGTAGTTACATCATGAAACTCGTAGTTACAGAATGAAACTCGTAGTTACAGAGTGAAACTCGTAGTTACAGAATGAAACTCGTAGTTACACCGTGAAACTAATAGCTAACCCATGAAACCATTATATTAGGTCAATTTAGCCAACCTGTGCAATGAGCAAAGACAGATTGATAATGAGTGCTTAAAGCCAGCCTATATAAAAATTGAGCCCATCAAAAACAAATGAACAATCGTACGTTTTTCGGCCTTTGGCCTGCATGAATGTCTCTGTTTTATGGGGACAATTCAGTCCTGGCTTGATGTCTGCAAAAATAGAATACTCGGTTACGTACTTTATCATTGACGAAATCGCTTAAGGCTTTGCATTTGGTGGGGAAAAAAGTACACAGATATGACCTTTTTTTATAAGGTAGAAAAGAAATCAAACACCAAGATTTTAATGGCAACAAGTTACAAAGAAGTGGGAATGCTATGAAATAGTGTCTATAAAATGTATGTTTGTTTTTGCGGTGATCCTGAAAAGAACATCACCAACTGCAAAGAAGAAGGGTTATGTTACAGTAAGAGGCTAGTGAGGAGAGCACAAAATTATAAGTCGTATAAGTAAGTAATTGAACATGTGGTACTGAGAATGGCCTTGATAGCAGTTAGCAATACGGGAATTTTAATCGGACAGTTTAACACTTTCGAACATATATTCGGAAAGATATACATTGGAGGTACGTTAAGAGAGCTTCACTGATGCATATAAGCCTCCAAGCGCTTTAAACAAAGGTGTTCGATAGAATTCTAAATAATGTATAGCCACACTTTGGAGATTGCAATGAGTTGATTCAACCCTTAGGTAAAATACAAACTCTTGAACTCCTGACTGCGTTACAATTGTGCTAATGTCTGACCCAAATAAACCGCACTGGCATCTAAGATAATCAAAATGCACCAGTAGTCTATTGTTGTAGCCCCCAAGTTTTCCCTGGATCCACCCTACTAATACTTACCACCAAACATAAGAAAAGGCAGGTAATTACGATGGTAAGCGTCACTCTATCTTCATGGTAAGCGTGACAAATTACACTTGCATATCACTAACAATGTATCACCAGATTTGCCAAGATATTAGATATAATTTGCCCACTGCAGGAGAGAAAATTTCTTCACCCGAATTCAAAAGGTTAGATAACATAAAAAACGAAAATATCATTCTTAGTACATACCCTCTGTTTCGACGACACTTGTTTCAATCATCATATCGATCGATGCATGATTTTGAACGTCGAAGCACAAACAGCAACAGCATGGATGCTTGTCAATCTCGTATACATCATAATTGCTGATTGAAAGTGAGGGCATCACTTTTATGTCGACAACAAGGGAGATTTCCCTGCCAAAACCGGCACTTGAATCATCATCACCGGTGTAGAAAAATGTCAATGTTGACTGTATCTTTTCAGCAAATGGCTGAATTTTCCATGCTTCTTCACTCATCAACTGGATGTGCAGCTCGGCAGACTGGCCGGCTTCCAAAGGGACAATAGACTGAAGAGCATTTTCATCAAAAGAGGGAACTTTCTCTAGAGGAGAAAAACGGAACATTGAGAGTAACTACGATGAAATCACAATGAAAGTTTTATAGGCTGAGGGATAAGATGTTTTTCAACTTAAAAAGAACCTCAGAGACAGAAGTCTAGTACTCGGTATAATGTACATGAAAATTCCAGAGAAAACTTGTGTTACATCTCCAAACACTGTACGACTAAAATGATGAACAAATCACGACGCACAGAGATATTCTAAATATTTAATTAATGCCATCCAAGCCAAATTATTTGTCAAGATAGGAATCTTAGCGTGAGGAAATAATCTTTTCAAACAGAGGATTTTCCAGAGTTTCTTATCTTTCTTAACAGTTAAAAAGTTTATTCTCCTCTACTTTCTTTTATTCTCTAGTTATTTCCCTCTTAGCAAGGCTCCTTTAGATATGGTAAAGTAATTTGAAATTGGAGTATACAATATAAGAAGGACATTTTGAACAGATGGCAAAACAAACCAGTCGCTTTCTTGATTTTTGTTGAAATGCTTCTAATTGGGATTTTGCCAATGTTCTCGATCGTAACTGTCGTTGGCGTACTGTGAAGAAAGAAAGTATTTCGATTGACGTATTAACTACTGCGTCATATGACATAAGGTGCATGACGTAAGGATGACGTATGACGAAATAAATTAAAGGACTTAAGTGAGAGGAGAAGGGGAGTTGAAATGGTATCCCAATGAGAAAAATTGGCACAGCTGGTACTAACAAAGACAGTAGTCAGTAGAACACTTGAAAAGAATTGGAGTTGTATGTAATTGATAACTAAGAAAAAATATAAATTTAATTTTAAAATAGCACAGAAAAGCGGAAACATGCCAGTATGAAACATGTCAGGTTGGATAAAGTGAAGTCCAAATAAGTTGCTTGTTGAAAATTGATATTAACTACTTCCCTTAAAGTGAGAATACTCCTTATGAATAGAAGAATGAGGAGCATGTTCGTTAGAGGTCATTTCACCATAGCGGTTACTTGAGATGAAAAGTTACCCCATATGCAGCAACCGCCCTTCCACCAAGAGTATATACTGCAATCTGTGTACCAGACTATATGGGTCAACAAGATATTAGCTTCTTTGAAAATATGACATTATAAGTGGGAAAATAAGAAGAAACAACTACCTGTGCCCCCTGTATGATGATAATGACGTAAAAAGGGTCTGGTAATGCTCGTCCTCAGTGTTCGTTGGATTTTGAAACGAAGCAGTTTGCAGGGTGCTGCTTAATCGCATCAAGGGTAAGCTCGGGGCAACCTTCACTGTGATTGGCTCATCTAACAATACCATGTTTTCAATACCGAATACGTCGACTTTGTAGCCTGCAAAACAAGACCCAAGGTAATGGACCACTCTCATTATTACGTCACAGTTGTTTCGAACATGTGTTGCCACGGTTTGAAAGGCTTTTGATGACGCAGTCAGAACAGCAGAACAACATCTGCATTTGTGACACATGGAAAAACAGAAGAAGTCAAATCTTTTTAAATAAACGCAAAAAATAACGAAATAGTGTCACTTAGGAACTTGAAAATATCAAGTTCAATATTTGATTTCAATTGATGTTGTGGGAAACATTAGTGCAGATGCAAAAGCTATGTAAATTATATCATTACCAGTGAAATTATTATATTTGGCGTCAGCTATCGGAAGAGCCAATATTGTAACGAAATTCTTGACCAGGCCTACCTTTAATTATAAGGTTGCCCGGCGTATGTGGAATCCCAAGGAGCATAAACGGGAAGGAACCTGACTCTGCTGGCAGTGCAAGGGTTGCTGGGAAGGCCTCAAACTGAATTCCTTCAGTGACAAGAATCTGTTGAAAGGAAGGCAGAAAATTATTATTTATCGTCATAAAGACTCTTAGTTGGGTGTAGATATCTAAGTAAAATTGCGCAATTTCAATGAATGTAATCTTCAGAGATAAATATATATGCTTTGTTACATGGAGAAGAGGTGTTACCGCTAAGAGGTTAGCCTGCATAGTACAACAATATAAGTCGGCACGTAGCTGGATGTTTTGAAAACACAGATGTTTTCTGTAATACGCAGCTTTTTCATGTTTACATGTATTAGCTTTGGTGACTTGAAAAAAGAACAATATCAGAAAAAGGCATGCTCAAATTGCATAGCACTCCCTCGGTTACGTCAATGATCCCTGAAGATTAGTTAATGTCTCGATATCTGCAACGTAGGCTTAAAAAGCATCGTTTTCCCTGTCCATACGAGGACAAGAGCACAGCCAATTTTGAAAACTCCACTTTGATAGCATTCAAAAAGAACGTAGACGTTCACCTCCCGGGGAGGGGGCAGTTGATTTGGTTACACTAAAGTGTACAATTGTGTTCAAGGTAAGGAGAAGCGATTGCTGATGCATTCTAATTTTACAGACTAATCGGATACTGAAACAGCCAAGGGTGAATAAAACAAGACAAGTTGTGATGCTTCATGTAATCTTCCCTGAGCCACGGTGCTTCTTCACTTCATCTTTTGGATTATGTAACTGTGTGTGGTAATATTTGAATGGGACATGGTGATTACGTAGTCGCTAAATTTACCATTTGCTTGACTTTGATCTCAGCGGGCAAAGGATTGTCAACAGTCATTCCAACCTCAACAACATCGCCGCAAACCCACAAAACCTCTGAAAGCAAAAAAAAGTTTAACGCAAAACAGGAAACATATATTTCTGTCATTAATACAATATCACTTTGATGCTGAAATACTTTCCTTACCAAATATTAACAAAAACAAAGAATTCTCGAAAGCTGGATCACCATTCAAAGTTAATGTTAAAAAATACTAAATTTGTTTTTTTAATCGTCTATTTCATAAAAGAAGGTTTGCCAGCTGGAAATTCATTTCATAAATCTGTCTTGGTCAATCAAAGAGTAAAGCTGGGGGGCATCTGGGGCACCAATGAGTAAAGGCTATGGAAGGACGGGGGTGAGAACCCTCCAAAAGTGGGTGGATAGCTGCCCTTTGGAGCCAGATGTTGTCATAAGCTTTGTGTGTTGGTCCCCATCCCTAAAAAAACTGGTATCGTCCCTCGGGAAACCAGGTGATCATACCACTTAGATTGTAAAGTTTCGTTTCAAATCTAAGATCAAGTTGAAGATCAATCAAGAAGAAGAAGTTCAATTATCAAAGCCAAAAACAATTCATCTCCAGCATTTTCCTGTTGAAGTTGATGAATAACTCAGTTTGATTTTAGAGAATTAAGTATGGTGTCACGTCTTTGGCCCGTAGTTGTGAATGTCTCAAATGACAACAAATAACAAAAAGTTTGATTGATTAAGCTGATCAACTTGAAAATACATAGCTCACCTTCAATAACTTTTTTCTTTTTTGCTTGGAAGGACAAAGATGAAAATATAAACGGACCCCCCTGCTCGGGTTCCAGTTGTTGCTTTTTGGGCTTTAAATGATTGGCTAATGGTCTTGGTTGGAAGTTTCTGAAGACAAAAGCAATGGGGGGTGAAAGAAGTAAAAGCATTAAGAGGAATACACTGTGAAATTCCAATTGCCCAAAGCCTTTGGTTAAATTGTTCATTTATTATTGAAATAAGGTAGGAAACTTATCTTCTCTCAAGAATAGACAAACATGTTGGTTCGCCATTGAGAAAGTCCGGCACTTGTCGTTATACAATATCATTTTCATCTGTCTCAAATCATTACCGAACTTTCAAAGGTCTTAAAATAAGTCGTGGAGGAGGGGGAAATGGGAAACTTGTAAGGCCCTACCTTATCATGAAAATTTTTCATATTGGTTCATAAAAAGAAAATTGGTAGCTATTGAGATAGCGTCAAAATAAACCTTTTAAAACCAAACAAGTTGCAATACTAAACTTTGATCTCAAGATTACATAAATCGTTAATTCAGATGCTATTATTCAAGAGTCACCTCACGATTGGCAATGACCGTATCATTTCAATATCATCAACTTTATTTGTTGCTCTTTGCTCTTCAGCCTTTGCGGAGCAGTCTTCCAAACGATTTATCAAATCAGCTTTTCGATTTTCAAGAATAATCCCACTGTAGTTTTCCAAAATATAGCATAACAGCCTGAATTTAATGACAGAATTTATGTTATATTGATAAAACACATCTAGTACTTGTTCAACATCAATAGGTCTTTGGAAATCACACCAACGACCTATCTAGACAAACAAATAACTTGCACTTTGAAAATAGTTCATATGCTTCAGATATGCATTTGTAAATTCATTCATTCATGAAATTCAAATCCCAGCCTGAACATTTCCAAAGGACTTTTTCACTGACTAGCCATCATCAAGAGAGTCATTTAGGCAGTCATCTAGACATCTTTACCAAATTTCACCCGTAAAAATGAGTTAAAGATTTACTCAAAGAACTTTTAAATGAAGCATGTTGATTTCCCATTTAATGTTACTTGCTACTTGAAGGTAGCTGTATATTCTCCACAAAATACCAAGTTTAATTTATAACGTCTCTGAAGATTTCTACAATCATCAAATTAACTAAAAACATTAGTACCATAAAATAATAGACTTTTAGTACAGGGGGTGCTCTCTCCTCGATTAGTTTATCTATTGAGAGAGCTCCTCCTTAAGAAATTCCATACCTACAAACTTCCTCTAAATTAGGTTAGTTCTTTTTGTATGTATACTTTGATATTATTTGTAGTTGTTAATGTAGTTTTGTACTTGTTGTTAGCTGGAATTTGTATGTTGGAATTTTTAAAATGAAAAACTTGAACTTGAACTAGAAGCCCAAATATGCAAGCCCTTACACTGTCTTAAGAAAACTTTCAATTTTCATTACATGTCCTTATCTCTGGTTTTTCTTAGAAATTCAAATATAGTTGCTTCTCTGTAACTTTGAGCAAGGGACAAAGTCCCTAATGCTTCAGACCCTACCAGACATTGTTGTTCATGAAAATTTCAAGCATAATAAAGAAATATACTAATTACAGTACCTTACGCAATTCATTGTATCACCAAGCCGATTGGATACATGCAACATATCCAGAAGCAGTTTTAACTGGATAGCAGACCATCCACATTGGGTGCCTGAAAAAATTGTCAATAATAAGAAAAATATCAAACAGCTGAGGAACGATGCTGAAATTCCAGAAAGGCAACCTGAAACTGTTGGTACCAGGTTTGTTAACTTTATAGTGCTCTACAGTGTTATGTATAACTGGAAAACCTATTCATCAGACTCTCTGATGAATTTAAAGTAAGAGAGAATGGCCCCTCCAGAGGGTGAGAATAAGGGTTAACCCATAAACCTATACTACACATTACTGTTAACTTAACATTTCAGTCCCACTTGTTCTTTTCTTGAAAGTACTTGCACAACAAAAGAAACAGGCAGGCTGCATTCCTATGGTTTTAAACCATTCATAAGTGTACTTATTCTATCAGATTGCTATTAATGCTACTCAAAAACATTAACCAAGATACAACTTCAAGCCTAACTATAACCTCTAGAAAAAACGCAATAGACTTACTTACAAAGTGACTTACTTACAAAGCATTAGAAAAAAACCAACATTCTTTTGGGGGAGGGGAGAGTATGTGAATTCAAGCAAAGTTTCTAAAGTTTTTTGGCAAGGACTTTTATCCACTGTAATTACTCACCCTGTTTTGGTCTTGCATGTGTCTTCAGATCAAGGAAGTACCCACTTGCAGTTTTGTTCAATGCACCATTGGCCTTTGTAATTGAAACAAGAAATGATAACAAAACGGAAAATTTTCAATGTTAGACAAAACTTGTAAAAATAAATTTCTAGCTCAAGAATAGAAATCAATTATGAATGTAAGAAATGTAACAATGTAGAATTTTGAGAAGAGAAGACATTTGTCAAAAAGGGTTTATTTTGATGTGCAGTTATAGCTTGCTGTGCAATGGTAAATCTTAACTCTGCTTTGTTTAAATAAGTGTTTTTGAAATGATCATAATAATGTAGAACACAATAAATCTGACCATTGCCTTTGCAAATGCAACAGCATAAATACATTCAGATCTAGAAAGTCAGCTGTCAGCTTTCTGTTTGGAGCTTTACAAGACAAAAAGCTGTTTGAAGTTACAAAATAGATGATTCCACGTTTATGAAAAGTCTGATAAACACAATCACATAAATTCTTATATTTTCAGTGGCTCCACCTATAGGTCTATCAACAAAAGGATATTTTATCAACCAAAAAAATCATTATAAAGCTTTCTGGTGCATAACAGGTGTGCGATCAGGAAGCCTTTTAAGTACCACAGAATGTAATTGAAATCAGGTTTACATTACTCAGGCTCCACCATCACACCAGACTTTTGGGCAAATCAGGTGCACAGAAAACAATTTAAACTTACATATCTAAGCATGCCTATGTTTGCATTGGTCTGCTTGAAAGCATGATGAGCAGCTCTTCTTCTGAAAAATGCTGCTTTCCTTTTAAGGTTGATTTGGTCAAAGAGGGAGGCCAGCACTTGACACAAGTCGATCTAAAAACGAGAAATGTAAGCAGCATTTATAAATTAACCTGGTGATTTAGATCAGGTATACAATAGCTGATTTTTATAGAAGCATACAAGTATCGTATTTTCTTAGCAGCTGATACTCATCAATTTTAATTGAAGTTCAGCACATTTTGAGAAATTTAATGACATTCATTTAAAAATCATATGCAACACAAACAAAATGAATCTCAATTTCTGTATGTTTCCAGTTCTCTATTCCTGTTGGACTTGTGACTTACTCAATTAACTTTTTAGGATGGAATTTGACTACTTCTCTGATATGAAAACATGAAAATGATCATTGACCAATCTTGGGAATACCAAAAAATTACCCTTTCAGAATCATTGTAACCAAGATGCAAGCTCAGCAGACATTGAATGACTTGACATCCTTCTAAAACTTTCTGCAAGAGAACAAAATATTTTGGGGTATTGATTTAGTGATAAAATCATTTAAAACATTTCCTAATTACCCCTTGTTAAATTGGCAAGCAGAGGGCAGATAGACAAAACCATTACTCAGGGCCATGGGGAAAAGAACATTCTGCAGCTAATCTAATGTTATAAGGATAGCATAGCTAGGCTTACTTTGGAAGTGCTTCTTCATATTTTAGCAATTGGCTCCATTCATCCTCCTTACAAATAAACCCAAGGTTTGGCAAGTCTCAATTTATTTCCTGGTTGGGGAAAGGATTAAATAATTCCTAGTCAGACAGGGGAAAGGGATGGGATAAATCATGACTTTTCTTTAGCTAAGCTCTATGCTTATGATTCATAATAAGGCAAAATCATAAGAAGTCATTTTTCCATACATAAGGTAGAATCCAAATGAAAAGCTTTGTTTGTGATACATTTTACAGTGCTCTCGACAACTGTGTTATGAAAAACATACTGACAAAGAAATTTTTATATAATACACACTTACTTACCACATAAATCTGTTATAAACATGAAAACAGAAACAATCATGAAAATAAGCTCATCTTGTACAAAAGAAAAATAAATACCTTCATGTCTAGCAGCAGTCTTATGAACTTCAAATGTGCCTCCATCTCAATATGACCTGTTTGAAACCTCCTATAGCAAGAAAGAACTTCACTGTATTTTGCAATAATCTCATCATCAGTCAATGGAACATAAACTTTGCTCTTGTCATCTTCAAGATTCAGATCTCCCTGAGATGCACTGCTGTTGCCAGAGCTTTGAAGAGTGAATTTTGAATCCATTGATGGTACTTCAACTTTTGTCATAAGAAGACTTGCTGCACAAAGTCCCTCAATAGCTGCACCCATCCAAAGGTGATCTGCTACAGCTCTGAGATTTTCTGATGAGTGAGCATACTGAATCAGTGCTTCTTGGTACATACCGGATAGGAGGCAAAAATCAGCTAATAACTTTCTGTTTCTGCCCAGAACCTTTCTTTTCATTATTCTAAACAAGGAAAGAGGCAAAAAAAAAATATTAAGGTTACCCATCAAGAGCTGCTCTTGTCTGAGATTATTTATCCACACTAAAAAATTAGTAACTATGCCCTTTCTAAAAGCAGAGCCCAATGAGATTTCATAGCATACAAGGGCTCCACTTTTTCTTCAGCAACAGCCGCCTCTGTTAAAAATTTGTGATGACATGCTCATAAGATAAAAATTACCCTTAAAGAACTGATTTTAATGAATTGGACTTAATGAATATGCATTAAAACAACCGTTTAAGAAAAATGGTACCTCTTTATTTGAAGTTCCCTTTTTCCAAAGCTCCTTTACAGAGGGCAACTGTAGTTTATTACTATCTATCTTTGTTACTGAAATGTTTTACCAAGAGGCGATGGCATTGTTTCTAATGCACTTTGGACACTAAACTTTGTTAAATTCTTAACTTAATGTATCCATCTTCAATACAAACCTTGTATCAAAATCATTAACTGCTTGCTCTTGCTCAATTGGGGCAATAGGCATTTCCATTTTTTCTAGCTTCTCATTGCTTTTCTCAATTCTTTTAGATTCCAAGACAACAAATAGTGAAGACATAAAATCATGCATAAATTCTGCAAACTCTGCACTCTGCCCATCGTCAGAATCTTCAAGGAATATAAAGTTTTGATTTGAGGGACCAGCTGGCTTTTCTGAGCAAAGTACAATGCACCTTGAGTCAAAGAGAACAGTTTCATATTGCAACTTTATGTTTGCAAATCTGTGCATAATTTTATCCATGTCTTTTGAATGCAAACTTGGATCTGGTGAAAGCCTTGCAAACCCTATGCCAAAAAGAAGGAAATAGTGATTAGATCGAAAGGGCAGTGTAACAAGATAAATAATTCTGTAATGTTGATAATAATTATTAAAACATTTCTCTTATATAGCTGTGCAGCTGGCCCCAAGATCCATGTTAAATAATGGGACTATCTATTGTTAAAATAATAAGTAAAAGGCATTTCGTCTCAACTGAAAGTATTTATTGGAAACAACTCTAAAATTACCTAAAAATATGTAAGCAGGAGTAAATATTGCCCAGTGTCCAAAAATCCTTCACCCTATACTTTATTTTCTGTATGGACTACGCTATCTTAAGAGTTCCCTCCAAGTTCCTTCATTCTGTTTTAGATTTAAATGTTCCCTTGAAGTTCCTTCACTGTGTTTGAAATTTTAATGTTCCCTTGAAGTTCCTTCACTGTGTTTGAAATTTAAAAGTTCCTGGTTTTTTCCAATTTGTAGGTCTAAACATGCTAGGTTTTATCACAACAGATCCCTATCGCTGCTCTCTTGAGCCACCTCTAACCAGATTAACTAAATAATAGTATTTTTGATCAGATTAATTAACAAGTGCAGCAGCTTACAACATTAAATTTTATAAGTATTTATATGCATTAAGAAAAATGCACAATCTCTCAGCCTTGCACTAGATGTAAGCTTAAAATGTTGTTAATTTCTTTTACTTTACTTTACTCACATCACAGCAGAAAAGGGGCATTTCACATCTATATGTCCTAATCTCCTACCAGTTCTTGGGTCATCACTTGTCTATATCTTAATAACATAAGATAAATGACTTATCTTACCAAGAAGTCCGACAGGTCTTCTATGAATCTGCATTTTGCCCCAGTCCATATGTTCTCTCGGGAATCCTTTGTGAAATTTGAATCGTATGATTCTGTTGCTGTCATTTTGGGTCTTAGCAAATTGATAACAGCCGAGCTTTTCATTAACAGAGCCCAAATCTTGGTCAGTTGCGTTATAAAATGGCCTGACGATTACAAATATCTGAGAATGGTCGACAAGGTTGGGTCGGAATTGATATCTGATCATGTTGCGGCCTATTATTGCATCCAAATCCTCCAAAAATATACCTGTTTATTACACAAATACTGGCTTTAATAAACAGTTTATGACCAACGATACTCTGTGCTGCCTTTCTACTTTGCAATTCCACTATTTACATCTTGTTAGAAGTCTATTTCAGCCTTGCTGCAGATAGAATCAGATTTGTTGTTCCTTCCGCCATATTTACCTGATGAATGAGATCGAGGTTTATTTTTGCTTCCTCGTATGAACAATACTAAACAAGCCTCGTTCCCGCTAAAATACCGTAAGTTCCCGAATTAGCCCCCCCTCCCTTATTTGGAGGGGAGTTGCAATACTGACAGCTTTTTCAAGTTCACTTCGAGAAGCACGAAACGGTTCAATGCAGGGGCGAATACAGGGCAAACTTGAAGGAGAGGCAGTTGGTAATGGGGGCTAATTCGGTATTTTCAAGAAATTTTCAGGAATTGGGGACGAGAGTACGCTGTATACAACAATTTCAGATCCATTTTTGAAATAAACAACATAACTTTTAGGTAATCCTTGAAGCAAATTGACCTATCGTTCTCACTTTTTCAACTGATTCGCATTCTTCAAAAGAGGCGCACAATTTCTAAAAAAGGGGCGCCAGACTTGCTGCAACTCGTCGAGGGAGGGGAAACTGCCTCTTGTTGCCCCCCCCCTTAAATCCACCACCGTGGTTCAATGCGATATCAAAGTGATCCTGAAATTGCTTCGACTTCCTATTATTCCATATTCTGTTGGAAACTCGATTTATTGTGGACAAAAGGTATATAGTAAGAATTTAATTGGCATGTTACATGGGCTCCTACACAGGGTGGAAAGTGGGGGAACGAGAAAAAATTAGCACAAAAAGTGGGGGCAAAGATTTTGGAAAAAAGCTGTTTCGCTTAGCAAAAATGTGGGGGCATGCCCCCAGTACCCCTTGTCGGAAGCCCTGTGCTAGGGGCTTATTCGAGGGTGATAGCCAGTGTCACCAATAAACTCTTTTGGGGGTAGAAGGAGAAATTCTCAGGAGAAGGGAAATACTATCATCTTCTGTTTTTCAGCAAAATCGAATAAATTTCTAAGAAATTAGGCTACGATGCATAATTATCAAGGTCAGACTGAGACGGTAAAGGCCCACCACTGAGGGAGGGGCACACCACAGATGTCGGACGCACTCTAAAAGTAGGCGCACTTGAGACAGAAAAGGGGCACCTCCATGAGCAGTCAAGAAACCCTTGAGCCACGTCCTTTTACTGCAAGTAAACGCCCTTTTACCAACATGGAACGCCCGTGTCTAACTTTTCGCAACGTAAAGACATTTTCAACGACGAGATCGAACCAGCTGAGAACTGGAGGGGGTGTGTTCCCAGAGTTCCCCTTCTTCTGTGGTACCGCCATCGGGAACAATCGATTGATAATAAAAACCAGACTTTCTATCTATCCAAGGTGTTTTGAGCAAATAAGACAACCGTCACTTTCACAATAAAGATTTGAGCTATACTCATAAAGCTTGTATTTTGCTAGTAGTTTCTCTATGTATTGGAGGGGCAACTACCCTTGGTCCCTCCTTCACGGAGCTTCTGGTTGGGGGTTCCTAACATTTTTCAATTCAAGAAGATCTTAATGGTAATCGTATTGATTTTGTGCTTGAGTCCTGAGTAATGACTTTATTATAACTCGTTTACCATCTGCTTTTTACAACTGAATTGCTTTCAGTGGAGTACGGTTTTTAACAAGTCTTATTCATGACTGTAAAAAGTAATTTGACACAGATTAGGAAAATTTCCAATTTCGCCTGTATTTAGGATAAACAAAATAAATGAATTCGACGACAGAAAAATCAATTATAAAATAGTCAATCGAAAAAATTGATTACAATGACATTGTTATATACACTATAACTAAATATCATATCATACATTTTCTGTTCTCGTATATATTGCACTATTATCAAATGTCCTAGAAAACATTTCGCAGAATGATCTTATGATACAAGGTGTATAATTTGATTATGCATCACAAAAATAGTTGACTTAAATTTATGTCAGCTGTCTAATATCTTTCAAAATTCATTAGCAGTTCTTATTATCGAAATATCGTATTTAAACATCAACGGCCTGAAAAAAACAGAACATGAGAAATTACTAATGATTACAAACTGTTTGAATTTACTCAAGCTAAGCCAATAACGACGGGGTAAAGACAAATTATACTGGGAGGTAGAGCACCTTGATCAAAAGCAATGGATTGATTAATGGCGAAGAGGACTACTTCTTTAGCCTGTATTCAATCGCTATTATTTACTGTTATTACTGTTATTTACTGTAATTAAATGATGTATCCAGATCAGTTTAGTGATTTGCATCATTTTTAATGTCTTAATTAATTTCTTTAAATTGGAGCGAGAGTAAAATCAACATAATATTTTATCTCGTGGTTTGCTATAGCGGTTTGCGTGCATTTCAACTTCTTTTAAAAAACTTGACCTATCCCACATTTGATCATATCTTGAATTAACGATTGACACGTCAGTATTTGTTCAGCCTGGTATCTGGCGGCACATCAACGCTGCCACAACATTTTTTGACTAGAGAGGCCGGTCTAAAAACGTCGTACAGGGCATCGAAATTTGTCCTCGTGTCTTCAATATATCCAGACTCCTCAGGTAACTTTCGAAAACCGATTAACAACTTTTTCATCAAGATTGCATTGGTGTTGGTAAACAATTTTCGTGTGCAATGGATCGTTTATGTTTAAGTATGGGTTGCATTCTCTTGCCTGACATTTGGGGAAAATAGTCCTTCAAACCTACGTATACTATTCAAAAACAACAGGTAGAAGAGCCTCTTTACCTCTACGAAACCAACCACGCGTAGTTAAGGGTTTCACTACCCCGCCTTCCTTACCGGATGTGACGTCACTTTTGAATTACTTGAATATAGCATTCTTCATTCTACTGTACTTCTTTGCTCTCCTCTTTGGAGAATTCAGCTACCCTGTTTTCTGGAATCTCTTTCGGCAGTGAATGTGCTTTCTTTTTAATGTCTTTCAAAACTGAATTTGCTTTTGAAATTTCTCCTTCAAGAGATGCAATGCGAGCTTTTCGATATTCTTGGCGTATTCGCGCTTGCCTTGCTCTCTGTAGACTGGGCGATCCACTTGCTTTTCGCTGCAAAAAAAACTGGTCGTCAACCCATAGCTCCTAAATAACGCTAAAAGAGTTTGTAGCTCTGAGGTCTACGTCTATTTCATTAGAAATATTACGACAAATCCCATCCGTCAAGAGGAAAATTGCAGCTATTTATTGCCCTGCAAAAACATATTAGCATTCACCCATATCACTAGTACTCGAAGATATGAACAGTTTATTTTTAAAAAAGTTGACGTCATTTAACATTAAACATGATACCAGGAAATTATATTGTAGTACTATTGCAATGGAATGATATTCTACAAATCTAAATGATTTGAAGAAAATCGCTAATCAATTTTCAGAAAAAATGGGCCTAAAGTTTGATAGTATTTGTGGCTAACTATGATAGAATTGAAACTGAAAGCACTAATCTAATCTTAAAAGGGTTGTTACAGAATTTTAATAATTTAAAATAAGTATTTCTTTGAAAAAAGTTACCATTGATTAAAACCCTACACACCAAAAAAAACGTGGGACGCAAAGTGAGAAAAAATCGATTTGTTAGTTATCTAAAAGTGTATACCAGCTATTGCTTTGGTCACTGGGATACAATGTTGCAAATGTATGATATGTTGGAGGGTAAATAACTTACGTTTTCGTTTCCATTGACCTCAGCATGTGAAGTCTCGCTGTCAGAATTTGTCGCATCACTGTCAGAACAAATTTCCGAATTTATGTTACGATGATCACCGAGGTCTGAAAAATGTCGCCGTAACGCTGGGATATACGTCTGTTTTGTCGGTGATACTTTGAATGCTGAAAAGGTTGCTGGGTCTGATGGTGATTCAGGTGATGTTAATGGTGAAGGGGCTCTGTCAAATCCTGAAGGTACTGCTAAATACTTTGGTGTGGTCACTTGGCCTGCACTTGATCGTCGTTCCTGTTGAAGAAAGCGACAAAACTATCATCAAAACGAATTTTCAACGGGAATTCTGGCGCTGCAACGTTTAATTCAAATCGTTGATATCTCAAGGCTGCCATCTTTTCCGCTCGACCCAGGCTCTTCAACTCAAGTGTAGACTGGGTTGTAATTTGAACAAAGAAGCATTTGATGTTGCCTTCTTTGGTTTAAAGGTAGCAGTGGAATTTCTCGTAGATTCTTCTATAGCATCGCAAATACTTTTGAAGTAGGAAATTTTAGCTAGATTTAAGTTTTTACCGAAAGAGGTTTTTCGTGTACAAGCAATGTATAAAAAAGATTCCCACACACTTAGATATGAACGGCAGAAGTCAATTTCTGCTTGTTTTAAAGCTTTGAAAGCCTCTTTTTGCCAAAGCTATTTCTGTTTCTTCTATAAAGTATAGTGTCTGGGGGCTGGTGATAGTTAAAAGAGGGGCTGAGAGAAGAATAGAGGGGTTTAAAGAGAACTGGTTTCATTGATAATCCTCTTTCTATGCAGTCGTCTTTTTTCCGACATTTTTTCATTCGACTAAGTCTCAATGGTGCACCTCATGGGGCTCTAATGAAAATATGTACTATTGGCAGAGTTGGTGGTCCACACCACACGTTCAAAGCAACTTTTATTCACTCACGTAAATCCGCAACGAGTGAAATAAAACATGAAAGATTGATTTGAATGACATCTTTAAAGCTATGGCTCATTGTATTCTGTAAGACTAATCCATAAGAAAAACAAGTTGATGATTGCAAACAAAACTCAGTAGTTTACTTGTATGCAGTGCTTGAATTCTATTTATGAAAACCCAGGGTCAAAAATTTCTGAATATAAATGTTCAATGTACTCCTGTAGTGCTACTTTCAAACAAGTGGGATGTAACATCATCATATGTACTTATAATCAGTTGCTCATAAGTTGTTTATCGAAGTAGCGCCATAGGTTCTAAGACTTCAAGGAGGAAAATGAAAAAAATCAGAAGTATGTGTGTATAGAAGTGCTTTACACTGCTGGCTAAAATCTTGCCTTATTGTCTTATACGTCCTTACAGCATTTTGGAGATTCGAGCAACAAGGAAAGGAAAACTATATACAAGTTATCTAGCAATAGGAATAAAATCAAATAATTATTGGTGTTCTGGTTAAATGACTTGGCTTGGTATTTGATTTTGCTCAATGAACTGAAGGCTGGAAGAGAATGCAAGAAGTGCGCCACGCACGTGCGTTATTTGCAAGTGGCATGAATTTTACAAAGTTATCGGCACTGGAGCTTATTGTCAATCGATCATCAAACTAGATTGCAATCAAACCCAACAAAATACAAAAAGGGTTTGGAGTATCCCTAGCAAATAGGATAGCGCGCCTTTTTATCAACCCCTATCCCCGATGAAGAATCTTCTTTTCATCGACATTGACATGGCATGTAGCAATTGCAAAGCTTTCTACATACAGCTCCTAAACAATCTTTTTCTGTTTATTTCAATGATATCAATTGCATATATTGAGGTAGTACTTACATTGAAGTAACTGGCACGTGGAAGTTTCGGGCTGCCATTATCAAGAGCCGTCCATGATCGTGGTCTCTCGCTATTAACTCTTCCTCCTTCTTTATGATTTTGACTAAGGTGCAAGTCTGCTTTTGTTTCAGACCTCTGTTTCAAGTTTGCTTGGGGGGAATTTTCGGAATCAGAATCAGAAATTCTACTCAAGTCTAAATCTGACAAACAAGTTCGCATGCGTGACATCTGTTTGAAACTTTTCAGCAATCGATTGTTTCTTTGGTTGTTCTCAGTTGCCACGTGGTTTTGGAAATACTCCTCTTTTCGGTTTCGGAGTCTTTCATGTTTCTTTCGATCCATCTCCTGTCAAATGAAACCAGACAATATCTAAGACGCAATAGTACAATATCAAAATTTCTTAGCAATCTCTTAACTTTTCTACGTGTTTCTATGAAAAAACTGGGGCAAGTAAAGACAAGTAAAAAGGAATGATTTTAAACAAATGGTCAAAAGTATTTTTATTGTAAATTATACAAAGATCGACTTACATAGTGTTGGTGGATCAAAACATCAAAACTCATCATCAACATTTTTAATTTTCTTCGCATTCATTCTTGATGCTTAAGGGGCTGTGGGGGCTAAGGGGCAGACAAACCAAACTTGGTAGCGAAATAAATGGGGCCCTCATATGCTTTTGGCCAATTAGTGAAATTTTCTTAAAAGATGCCCTGATACATTCCCTCATTTTGTACAATACTTTTCTTGCTTATATAGCCTACTTTGTTTACTTAACATCGTCAATGAAAAAAGGGCGTGGTAACTTTGTTGATTGTGGTCTCTTTAAATGAGCACAGGTCACAAAATTTCCTGGATCCACCCCTGGTTTCAAAAGTTAAAATAACACAAAACATGCGCATTCGATAATTTCATTGTTCATATTTCTTGGCAGTCTCCCGTACATGACCAGATATTCCAGCTTTTGCCTATCCGATTGCTCCCTTTCTTGTAAAGAACTTCCTTATAATAAAATGCGTGCATGTTATCATTCAGTCAAAACTGACATTGCAAAAACTTTCTTCTGCAAACTAATTGTCTGTATGAAATTGTGCAAAAAATTAGTCTTTTAATTGTGAAATTGATTATGAAAGCTTTTATAACCAGTTTCTTTGACCCGAGAGTGATTCCTAATCAAGCGAATTTATAATGAATGTGACTGCAATTAGCATACGAGGTGAATGGGAACATTTAGCTAGGTCTTTTCGGAAAGGATCATTTGTTTCATCAGCGTATCTTTTCAGAAAGCAATAAGATACTTCAAGGTTGAATAAGAATATTTTGGTTATATTAGTCAAAGTCAGATGAAATGGGTTCTCATCACGACCAAGACAAGAATTGTACGAATTGCTTCATATGACATCAAAATCCATTTCAGAACGACATTTTTCCGGTCTTAATACTGAAAAATATCTCGAATATCATCGACAAAAAATCATACAAAAAAAATGGTCGATAAAAGGCTGGCATGAGAGACGTTTTCTGTAAGGGGCCATAAGGGAAGGGAAGTCTTTGGCACCTTCACCTGCCAGGATTATGGACTATTGTTCCGAAAAGAGAAAGAATTGGGCTTTTCCCTAAAGAAGCATTTGTTGCTTTCATGTTGCAAAGAAAACTTGTCAAAGCGGAAGAGAAGGGTGTTTCTTTAATGGGGATGACAATTGATTAACATCTTTTCTGTCACGGGAGACATGGTTAAATAGAAAGTGCTCGGTGATCACGAGTAGCGATGTGGGCGAATCTCTGTTTCAGGGTGTGTCTAAGATTTATCATTATTTTGGGGAGTCCAGACAAGTGCTTGTACGTATTTCCAGATCAAAAGGGCCCAAAGCATTATAAACAACAATCCAGGGTTGGCGCCGCAAATACTCCGAGAAAGGGGCCACCCCTGCCTTGACAAGTTGACCGTTTACTCAAGGCTTGACCTTTCACCCATGAGGAAAGATCACAAATCATCGATCTTCTTCGATCATGGTCGGCAACAAAAAATGACAGTCAATATTTTTATTCTCCGCTAAAACTCATTCCCTTGTTACCAGAAAGCTTACATCTTGTTTCCTATTTCTTAGATTAGCCATAAAAGGGTACAGTTATAAATAAAACAATGCTGTTACTTGCGGCAATTCCTCAAAGACAAAGAAACACATGCTGAATATTGAGGGTTTGATGTTGTCCTATCGCGTTCTCTTACTCGGACCAACAGTGAGAAACCCATCAAACTCGTAGTACGGTGGTCAACATTTTACATTTTTCCGTTTGGATTGATTTCTAGACCGAGATCATTTGTGGAATGCCAGACAGAAAAATTCCTCGTAAACGAACATAGACATTTCAATAAGTCTAATTAGCCTTATCGTAGAGACAGCGCCGCTACGAGCAAAAAAACAACACACCGGCGAAAGAACCTTAAGTTTGTGACATTTAAACAGTTTTCCAATAAACTGAAAGCAGTAATTGAATATCAGATATATGGCTTGAACTGGCCTAGTAAACGCATCTCACCTTCGTCATAAGAAAACTGTACATCCTTAGATTATTCGCATACAGATCCTTATAAGCTTGTGTTTCTGTGACATCAAACCTCTTCAGTTTCTTTCCTCTCTCATCGACTTCTGCCGTCATGTTGTCGTCTATCTGTATCACAACCATTTATTATCCGATCTTTTTCTATGATAATCGACTGAATACTTGCCCGCTTCTGCTGGGAGAGATGCGAGTTGTCTGGAGGTCGCCGTAATATTGCCAGAATGCATTCTGTTTGTTTATTGTCATCACTACACAATAAATCGCCTCGACATTACGTAAACAATAGAATCAAGACCCATCTGATTTGACCATTGTTCTCTCGGGCGGTAGATTGTTTAAGTGCTCTATTTGCAAGATATTACCACAGCAACATGTTGTCATTTTTCATCTTGAAGTTAAATGGAAAAAACAAAATCATGAACTTATTTCAAAATCAATAGAAGATTGATAGCTTTCCAAATTACTTGCATGCAGTCTTGTTTATTTGCAAATTACTGTGTAAATATTTCAGTTTGTCAAACATTTGCCTCAATAGGTTTTTGGATATCTACTTGTCCGTCGAGCTCTGCTAGACCGTCTCTACCTTTGCACAACTGAAAACAAGCAACTGCTTTGTTCTACAACTTTACTTATAGAACATAGACACTTATTTTTTATAGGAGCCAGGAAAATTGAGGTTTAGGCTGGCTGTTCTTAATATTTCCACTAGTGTTCAGGCCTCATTTGCCCGCATTTGCAACCATCCTCTACTTGCCGACAAGTTTCAACATGCGACGAGGAAGCACCCCTACACTCTTTTTTTATAAGAACACACTTTATAAGAACACCGAGGCTCGATTTGCCCAAAAAATGAGAACAAGGCTAGAACATGCTCAGCTTCAGATGAGAAATTTAAAAAAAACAATTTGTATTTTGAATTTATATTGCACTCTTTTTTTATAAGAACAATTTTATAAGAACACGAGCCTCAAAACTGGTCAAAAGTTAAGAACAAATTAAGAACAAGCTGAGGCTGAGCTTCTGAAAAATGCAATTTTGAACAACGTTTTTCTCAAAATCGAGGATTTTTAGCGATGTGTGGGTGCTTTTTCGGTGAATATTCAAATTTGTCAGCAAATTAAGGCTGTCTCACTCACTTTGTTGGCAAATGAGGCCTGAACACCTCCTTAGAGCGAAAAGGCGAGCAATAGCACTGCTTACACCCTCTTAATTTAAGAACAAATTAAGAACAATCCAGCCTGAAATCAAATTTACTGGTTCTTATAAAAAAAAGAGTGTATGTCATGTCAACAGAACAAAACTATGCAAGTTTGTCTATAAACGCTAGCAGTCATTGCTTTACGTTTAAACTTTACCCAGTAAAACGTCTTAGAAACTATAAAAGTAACTTCTCAAATATTTGCAAAAGAATCACTCTATAAATAAGAACATTTCAAGAACATTTGAGCCTAAAATTATCAAAATATTTAGAACATCGAGGCTCAGCAAAAATTATCTGGTTCTTATGAAAAATAAGTAGATGTCAAAAAAAATGTCACGCACCAAATGTCCCCTCATTGCTACGGCCTAGGGTACTATTTAAATACCAGGTATATTATATTTTACAAAAGAAGAACATTGGGTTTGCTTACGAAGTAGGTAATCTTTTTAATATCATTAACAAAAGATATAGGCTTGGAAAAGTTTGTTTAGTTTTGAATATGTTATTACAGTAGGTTTTCATTCTTTATTCAAAGAACCGAGGCTTTGACCCCAGAGTTGATTTTCCTTTGAAAAAGTTAGAGGCTATGAGAAGGAGGCTTTGGATGCTCCTTTTTCAACGAGTATGCCCTAAAGACTGACGGCCGTAGTCTTTAGTAAAAAGATCCACAAACACTGCACTGTACCATATATTCGAAAATTCCTGATGCGGTTGATTTTCTGAAAACTTTCATCAGTCCGATGACTCAGCATTTGATATGGAAACGTGGGTGCATAAAACTGTTTAGCCTGCACAACAAAACAATCTCGTGATCCCAATCAACAATGCATCATCAATGTGATTAGGTAGGAGTTGTAGGTTTGAAACCCAACGCCCTTCTAATGCTTTTTATTCACCAAAGATTACACTGATTGTTTCTGCCCTTTTGTATCGCTTATTACGTCAGAGGAAATCAAGCAACTCAAACAATATGGTTACTGCTGACAGCCTAAATCCCACGCAGCGAGAAAGCAAATCAAATTGGCTAAACATATAGCAGGTCAAAGGGGATGCTGATATACATCTGACTAATTTGCTGCCAAAAATAACCATGTTCCGGTTGCAGATTGATGCATAGTTGTAAAAGGAAAGAGGAAACAAAGTTCCTTTATAGACGTCCGTCATTCAACTTTCTGAGTTCAACTTCCTTCATAAACTCGATTTTTTTCAATGTCCAGTGCAATACAGGTTTACTTTTGAGAGACTGGCTTCTCTCTAAAAAATCCTTTTGCCATTTCTATTTTTGAAAAGAGTGAAACGATATGGAAAATCTCAAAGAACAAAAGTCAAATGTCAAAGTGTTTCTAAACTCCTTTTTTACAGGAACAAATCAATTGAAGTTCATGCTAGGTGTTTTTGGACTTTTTCGAAAATTCAAGGCCAATTTTATAATTTGTTCTTAAGTCATTAGGGCGTAGGCAGTGCAATTGCTGGCTAGCGTGCTCTAAGGGGGGCGGGGGCGGGGGGGGACTGTTCAGACCCCATTTGCCAACAAAGTGAAAAAATTCGCCGAAAAAGCATCCCTTGATGGCAAAAAATTATTTTTGAGATTAAATTATTTAAAGGGATTTTACAACAGTTTTCAAAATTACATCTTACAGTAGCTCAAAATCAGCTTGTTCTTTCTTCATAACTTTTGACTAATTTTGAGATTCGTGCTCTTATTAAAACGTTCTTACTAAAAGAACAAGAGTCTTTATCACACTATTGAGTGCCCTGAGTATTTTTGTGAAAAGTAAGATTGTTTAGAGATTCAACAAAACAAATGCCAATAGTTTCTGATTAGGTTGCAATGTAATTTGCTTAGTTTTACGAATTATGATTGGTCGAAAAAGATTGGCTCGATTTACATGACGAAAAAGGAACACGAAAAGGGTAATGAGCATAAATAAAATAAAAAATATTTTTGAGAAGGGTTGAATTGAAGTTACCAAGTTTCGTGCAAGAGGGGCCTTGACAAAGTTGATATCAGGCGGAGAGACCGGAACAGTTGTAGGGTGAGCTGAGGGGTAATGAGTGCCAAGAGACAGGGCAAAACAATAGTAGATAATAAAGAGTGATAAATATCGCTATGGCAAGCCGTGCTCCGGCTACCCTTGGTACCAGACTCACTATATAAACATATATAGTGAGTCTGGTACCCAGGGTATGCTCCGGCATACCTGGTCCTCGGTCTCCAGAAGAGGTCTTAAGAGGATCCTATATGTATGTTTTGATATGAGTACAGAAATGGACCTCGTCCCTCATCTATTTCTTTATTCAAAATATCAATATGTTTTTAAAGTTTTAAAGTTTGAAGTTGTGCTTGACTCTTATTATTTTGACTACGCCTTTAGAATTAAAAGATATGAATGAAAAAGTACTAGAAAGGAGCTTGTTATATTGCATTTACAGAGACGATGCCAACAAATAGGAACTAGGGGGGCCAGAATCAAGTTTAGTGATAAAGGAGGACCCACCATGGTTGGGGTCGACGCAAAAATATTTTTTGAAATTAAGCCTTTTCGAATGGCAAAAAAATGCATCTCCAAGACTAAAATTGAGCAATTTACTATACCGCTCAGAATAGACAATTTGACGATACTCAGAAAAACATTGCTTATTGACTTTCAGGAAAATTTTTGGAGGGGAGGAGTCATGCTAAAACTCTAGCGACAGGAATTTTGGTTCAGTGGGTACATCGATGTGAATAACAAGAGGATGCTGTACTGATAATAATTATAATAATAATCTCTTTATTTACAGTTAGTTTGAGCGATAGTTGATATACATAGATAATTATGTAAAACTAATTAATACTAACTATTTATATACATGAAAAGAAAAGAGTACAATATTAATCTACCTATTTACATGTTTTACAGCTACATTTGTCTCCATTCCAGGCATGTATGCCTTCTTTATATTTGGATATATTTTCCACATTTTTTATCGTATCAGGCAAGGTGTTCCAGAGAATGCTCCCCTGGAATGCCAATGAGTTTATCCCAAATGATAACGTTTGGTAGGCGGAAGTTGCAGCGTATTTCTTATTCGTAAATTATAAGTCATTTTCCTTTGTACGAAAAACTCTCTCATGAATGAGGGACTCTTATGATTTAATGATTTGTATATCTCTCAGGGGCGGATCCAGAAAAAAATTGAGGGGTGCTCAGTTTTGGGTGGGGCTGGTGTCATGCCCTTGAAAATTTATGCTGATTAGAATTTCTTTTGGACATACCTGTTTTTCAAATACTTGATTTTAAAACAATTATTTCCTAAACTTCTGGCAATGTGCTATTTAAAATGAAACCAATACATAAAATACAACAAAATGATACTAAGAAACAATTGTAATTGCTTTTCTCTTGGTTAAAATAAAAACAATAAATATTTGATTTCTTCTTCCATCATTCTGACTACTTAATAAACTTTTTTAAAATACAGCTACTTCTAATAGATGAAATAAATATCATTAATGTTTCTGTAAGTTTATGTACTAATTAATATCTGGTTAATGATTTTGGAAAGATGACAATATTCTGGGGAATCAGTAGGTCTGTAAGCTGAGCTCTTGGCTATTTAATTGAGATTCATAGATACAACACCAAATTAAAAACCCAGAGGTTTATAATTTGATCTCTTGCATCGCATCAAGTTTAAAATATGAAATATAGGCCTCACCTCATTACACACGCTTTTGTTCTATTAAAATTTTAAAAGAAATCGTTTCACTTCTGTTGTGACTGGCGATCGCCATTTCTACACAACAACTACAACATGCTTTTTCCGCCTGCCTAAATGAAAATTTGAACTACGTTTGACAATAGGGGGTGCTCCCGCCAAAAGTGAGCACCCGCGATATCAGAAGCCGATTGGTTGCTTTACTATCGCTGGTGCTCAAGGTTAGTTTGCGAAAGACTAAAGCACAGAACAGGGGGTGCTGGAAATTTTACAACGATAAAAAGCAGCACAGTCTGGTCCGTAAATTAACTGGCTTTGAAAATACAGAGAGCGGGCTAGAAGTGCTCAGACGGGACAGAAATTGATTTTCTCGGGGGAATACAAATGAAAACCTCGAATTTAGTGTACGCCTACATTGAAACTTCAAAATATCACATCCTGAAATGAAAGTAAACCTCAAATGTCAGGATCAACATTAATTTTCTATGCATTTTCTACATGCGATATTTATCCCTTACTGTTTCTGGTTCTCCTAATCAATAACCAACAGAATCTCAAGTTCACTATTATTTCTTCTCCTTCGCCCTTTACACCCGAGTAATTAAAGCTCTCCATGGGGCCTCTATGTGCTGTACTGATCCTACTAGCAGCCCTTCATAATTTTTTGGGATTATTTTTCGAAATTCGAAAAGTAAGCGACTCTTCTGGTTGTCGAATAAATTTTCTGGATAAAACTTCGGTTTCAAACGGTTTTCATTGGATTAGTTCTAGTTGCCCTTCTTCGAGAAAATTAATTGGAATAAAATTGTTTAATAGATTAATGGGCATTTTCTCCCAACTTATCTTTATTGCCTTCGGCAAAAGCTATCTGATGATACTATTACTACATCTATTTTGCAGATTCCCGAAGACCCAATGATGTTAGCTATTATTGTGGGAATCTTCAGATCTTGCTTTGTGGCCTTTCATTATCTATTTTCTTTCTTTGTGCCTCCAAGAAGGCATCCCATTCTCTTACTGTTCTCAAAAACACTAACATTGCTTCCGCAAAAGGGACCAAAAGAAACCTCGTATTCAAGCGGTAATAGTGACGTCAAATCTGAAAACTGTCTGCTTTAACAACCTGATGCTTATAAATACACAGTCTATCAATGAACACCCATTATTGAAAGGTATTTTGATAATCTCAGCAGTAAGACTTGTCCTTCATTTCTTTTAATTTGCCCTTCTGCCAAATTCTGTTTTGGAAACGCAAATTAGTAGAGACGCAAATTAGGTACCAGGCTTTTCGCTTCCAAATCAACTATGACGATGGATAATCCTTTATTGATATGACGTCAAATTACGATCAATCTGTAACTTAACATCTTCGGTTAACATTTTTAATCAGTTGAGTTGTGAACATCGGTTGTGAAGGATTGACAATGTTGTCGAAGTTTTTTCACCGCTCAACAGCGAGTACGAATGAAGACGGCTTAAACCTTTGGGATCTTCCAAGGTTACACCGAGCCGCGTACAAGAACAAGATTCAGAAACTGCAAAGTCTTTTAAAGAAAAGACGAGTTGATATCAACAAGAAAGATGTCGAAGGACGGTAAGTTCTCCTTAAAAGTTTTTAACAGTAGAATGTCTTTATATCTAGAGAACTAATTAAAGAAGACATATTTCACTCATCTTTATTCGGCAATCAGCTTTATTTATTCCTCGTTCCAATTTATTTTCTTTATGATAAATCAAATGATAATAAAGCAGAACGCATTAGTTTGAAATGTTTCCAAGATATTTGACAATTCCTATTTAAATAAATTTGATTTATATTCTTTAACAGCTTTTGTTGATGGTCATTATTTGTTTCATATTTATTTTAACCTTAAGAATTCAAATTATTTGTATTCGTGCTATCTAAAATCAATAAAATTATTACACATTATACTATCTTTATCCTGTTCTTGCGTTATATTTTACCACTAATGTACATTTTATTTGTGTCTTGTGTCATGTGTTTGTGTCTTTACAGTGCCCATAAAAATTTCTTCCTCCCTCTACTTTTTATTTTTCCTGGAACGAAATCTGTGAGATTTTTTGCCTTTTAAAGGGGTCTACAAACTTATAGAATTAATATTTTCTATGTAGCAATTTGAGGTTTTTCCTTTCTTCGGGAAAAACTTCAGTCTCTATAGTTTTCTATAGATTAGGTTTGCATAAATTATATTGTAATTTTGCAGAACGGCACTGCATTATGGATGCCTCGCCGGCAGAATTCAAGTGGTACGGCTCATTTTGGATGCTGATGGCAAAATCACTATTGACAGATTTGGGAGGAGTCCTGTTTTTATGGTAAGTAATATCTCTCTTCAAATATGGTTCTGATTATTAGTTTCAATTTTTGCGACCTACCTTTCCTTTCACGTTGGCACCCCTCGCTGCTATTAAACATGGTTGAAATTCAAGATAACAATTTTAGGCAACTTTATAGATCATTTTCTTTTTTAAACCAACATTTTTAAAGTAGAGAGGAAGGTGGATGAAGTTGATCTCCTACCTTATGTAGTAATCTGTCACCAATGCTGATGACGATTCTTTTTGAACAGGCAATCAAAAACGGACATTTGGATATAGTCAAAGTATTCTACGGAATAGAGTTTGACTTCAACCGACCTGACCACGCAGGGACCACACCACTGCATTACGCCATTTTCAGAAAGAAAATGGAGATTGCAGAATACCTGGTGAAACAAGTGCATGTGAATGTGAATGCAAGAGATATGGTAAGTCACCTTGCTATAAGTTTATTCTTGTACGCTGGTTAAAAGTACACCCGAGAAAGGCAACCGAAATAGAAAGTATGTGATAATTGAAAGCCTCTACTCTGTTGTTAGAAAATCTTCAACATAACTAGAAAAAGTTCTTTCTTGCATTTTTGATGCAATTAGCTTCAAGAACAAGAATCAAGAATGAGACACTGCTCAATCACAAACGATCTTGATTAAGATTTCAGAGCAAGTCAACACAATCCACGATACCCTAACGATTTCAGAATGGTTTTTGTTTGGTAAAGCCTTGTAAAAGTAGAACTTTATGATTAACACCATAGGATAATCAGAAAAAACAAGGCTACAGCTAGAAATAGCGCAAGATATCTATAAATACAGATTATGATTTACGAGCCTCTCTTACTCATTAACCTATTCTGAATCTTTCACGCTCTAAGTCTAAAAATCATTAAAATGTAGCATTCATATATTGATTGATGTACAGCATGCATGCATTCATAAACACTTAAGAACTCCCACTCATAAAACTTGGGTTTTCACAGCATATATCTACGCCACTGCACGAAGCAGTCCTTGCTGGGTTGCCAAATGTGGTTTTATTGCTAGTGAAAAATGGAGCAGAAACAGAAATCAGAGAGATAATCGGAAAGTAAGTATGGTTTGAATCAATTTTTAAAGGATTTATGGAAATGAATTTTGTAGTTGTTCGTTAAAATAGCATACTTAAACTTACTTTTTCAACACTGCATAAGGTCTCAATACATAGATTTATTACTTCCCATTATTTAGTCAATTTAAAAAAGGTTCTTATCTAAATATTTCAGTTGGTTTTGCTAATGATCCAATATTAAGAAAGCATATAAAAGTTATATGTAACGAAATGTCAATGATTGATATTTTGCTTTTTCAACACAGGACCCCCTTGTTGCTGGCGATCGTCAAAGGAGAAGAAGAATGTGTTGAGATCCTCTTACGCTATGGTGCAGAGATCTACCGTACAAGATATAGCAGCCTCGCAGAGGACAAGGCTCTTCAATTTCGCCAGAAAAGGTATAGCAATACAATTGCAAATTTCATTCGAAATTTGAGCTAGTAAACCGACAAAACTATACTTGTTTTAGCATCAACAATCTTAAGTTTAAGGTAGCATATGTTCCAAATCTTTGATTGGCTGAGCGACCAAAATTCTTCATACTCCATTAGCCAATTAGAATTCAAGAATATGACAACAAACGTGACTCGTAGCTAGATTTAGGCCTATTTTGGACGTTTTTACCACTACCCACAAAAAATAAACGTGTAAAATGTGCTGAAAGATAACCTACATTTTTTTTAAAATTGAATCTTTAAAAAATTTATGAAAAAACTGCCGTTGTACTCACTCAAAATTCTTCCGCGATCGACAGTTACGAAGGCTTGGAACTGTCCCTTTCAAACCCTTATAATAATTAGGGGGGAGGGATAACATAAAAATTACATGTTTTAATCTTTAAAAGCTGTTTTATCCACTTAATTAACAAATATGAACTTACCTTTACAAGCCACTGTTAAATCTTTTTTTTTCGGCATTGATGCTTAGGTCACTGACGGAAAAAATCGCTAAATTGCACTGAGAGAAAACGCAGCCCATCTTCCTCTCAAAATAACTACAATTTTCCATTTTTTTTGCACTCAGGTACTTTATATCTGCATTTTAAAGGCTTGAAGATCGATGAGAAGCTCACTTCCACCGATGTTCACTGCTACGGCCTTGTAAAAGCTGACGCCAATCGTCAACGATAAAAAGGGCGGAAAAATGAAATATGTATCATTTACGAAAAATTACTTTGCTGTGTTAAAAATTTCATTTTCTTTCATTTTATTTGATAGGGTATCCTCTTGAATCTTTTTCAGAAAACCACACACTTTTTTTACACAGAATAGGTAATTTCCATAAATCAATGCATTTTCATTTTCCCGCCCTTTCCATCGTTGACGAATGGCGTCAGCTTTTACAAGGCCGTAGCAGTGAACATCGGTGGAAGTGAGCTTCTCATCTATCTTTAAGCCTTCAAAATGCAGATATAAAGTACCTGAGCGCAAAAGAAATTGCACAATTGTAGTTATTTTGAGAGAAAGATGGGCTGCGTTTTCTCTCAGTGGAATTTAGCGATTTTTTCCGTCAGTGACACAATCATCAATGCCGAAAAGAAAATAATTTATCAGTGGCTTGTAAAGGTAAGTTCATATTTGTTAATTAAATAGATAAAACAGCTTTTAAAGATTAAAACATGTAATTTTTATGGTATACCTCTCCCCTAATTATTATAAGGGTTTGAAAGGGACAGTTTCAAGCCTTAGTAACTGACGATCGCGGAAGAATTTTAACTGAGTACAACAGCAGTTTTTTCATAAATTTATTAAAGATTCAATTTTTTAAAAAAGACTTAGGTTATCTTTCAGAACATTTTACACGTTTTTTTGTGGGTAGTGGTAAAAACGTCCAAAATAGGCCTAAATATAGCTGCGAGACACGTTTGTTGTCATATTCTTGAATTCTGATTGGCTAATGGAGTATGGAGAATTTAGGTCGCTCAGCCAATCAAAGACTTGGAACCTAAAATTGTTAGTTGTAGTAAAACACAAACTCTCAAAGCCTTTGTGACAATTTCATAGTGAACGCAACCAATGTAAAATTTAGCAGTTTTCCATAAAATCGTTTTGGAAGAGAGCAGCTAACCCACACTAATACAATCCCAAACATTTTTCTAGGATATATGAAATGCTTCAGACTTATAGATCAAAGCACGAAAGGAGAATTGAATTCATCGGTGGGTTTGTTGAAAGTAATTCCATATATCTGTAATGTAAAGTATTTATTGTGGATACAGAACAGATTTGTTTCAAAAGCTAAATTTACTACCAAACAGACTCACAAAGTACCATCTTTCATTTTTGGAATACAAGAGTTTTTGATAAAGGAAAAACCTTTTTAAAATCAATAACCTCGTTATAGAGTTAAATATAGACTTAACATCACGGTTGAGCTAAAGTTCAACAGGAAAGAAAAGAGGAAAACGAAACATTCTTGCCAAATTTGAAGAATATATTCAAAAATGTGCAAAGAAAAAGTTTCGTCGGGGTACAATTAGAGGTGATGCTTTCAAAATGGGTAAATGATTTAGATTGAAGGATTTTTGGTCAAAACGGAAGAGTTGAAATATCAGGGACCTTTAAACAACGCCAGTGCCAACAGTGGAGCCACAAGTGACAACCCCATCTCTAGAAAACCTTGTGGAGCCATGTCCCACAAGTGACAACCCCATCTCTAGAAAACCTTGTGGAGCCACGTCCCACAAGTGACAACCCCATCTCTAGAAAACCTTGTGGAGCCACGTCTCACAAGTGACAACCCCATCTCTAGAAAACCTTGTGGCCCACGTCCCACAAGTGACAACCCCATCTCTAGAAAACCTTGTGGAGCCACGTCCCACAAGTGACATCCCCATCCCTAGAAAACCTTATGGGGCTACGTCCCATGTTTTCTTTATGGCCGAAGATGCCCATTGTTTAAGCTTGGTAAACTGGATTCAAAATACCGGACTGAAAAGTCTGATTTTAAGTCACGAACTGGGAACTCCGGGGAGCAACAAGTAATACTCGCAGAGAAGCAAAACGTTTGAGAATAAATTAAGGATTAAAGCTTGAAGAATCTACAACCATTGAAAAAAGAATGAAGGGTTTAAGAAAAAGTTAAAAAAATGTAACTAACACCTTCAAAATAAACGCTTAACCTTTGCGGCGGTCACATATTTCCTGAAGCAAAGGTTGGGTACCTATCTGCAGTAGCCAAAGACGTAAACCTTGCTTAAAATAATTAAAATTTCAAACACCATACTTGCATAGCCTCAGTGAATTGGTTACAAAATAAGTTGCGTCTTTGAGATTGAAAAATATCTTTCAGACCCAAATCTCTTGAACATCAAGTCGTCATTGATGACAAATGAAGATGGGAGTGTAGCAGAAAATGAAAATGCAGCTATGCCTGAAGAAGACTACGAAGCCGTTGCATTTCACGAGAATTTGCATGATTCTGGTCTAGAATTAAGGTCATCAAGCAGGCGAATTGACAGATGTAACCAACTTGACAACTCTGTAAGCTTAGAATCTCAGGAAGTCATCGAAATGTGCATTGACATCGGTAAGTTATAACTTTTCTCTTTCCTTCTTTTATGCATTTTGTCAGTTCTAAGGTACCTAAAGATTGTTTACAATCATTTACTTCCTTGGTTAAGACGATCACTCATTTTCAAAAGTATGCTTACAATGGCAGAAATGAAAGTATGCTTACAAAATTATATTTCATTAAAAAACCAGTTACCTATTTTAACACAACATACTTATACTGAAAAATTCATTTTTCCAAGTTCAAAATAAATCACCAGCATTTCTCAATCCGTTCATTTCAGAGCCCCAACCTGCAGAGGAGATACCAGATCTTCTCTTTGAGGAGGATGAAGAAGAGAATTCGGAAGAAAAGATCTTTGATGAACAGGAAATCTCGTTGGTTGTGGCTGACTTTGAAATCCCATCATCCAACCAGCCATTGCCTGAAGTTGAACAAGTCACCCCATCACTTATTCAAATAGAAGCAGAACTGACTTCTGCAGGTATGTGAGAAACTTCTTTCTTAGGCATCAATAGAATGTAATCGTAAATGGTTTCTAATCATCTTTGTGATTACTCATCTCTTTGTATTCGATTTTATTGATTGTTCTTTGATTTACTTCAGAGCCCCAACCTGCAGAAGAGATACCAGAACTTCTCTTTGAGGAGGATGAAGAAGAGAATCCGGAAGAGAAGATCATTGATGAACAGGAAATCTCGTTGGTTGTGGCTGACTTTGAAACCCCATCATCCAACCAGCCATTGCCTGAAGTTGAACAAGTCACCCCATCACTTATTCAACTAGAAGCAGAACTGACTTCTGCAGGTATGTGAGAAACTTCTTTCTTAGGCATCAATAGAATGTAATTGTAAATGGTTTCTAATCATCTTTGTGATTACTCATCTCTTTGTATTCGATTTTATTGATTGTTCTTTGATTTACTTCAGAGCCCCAACCTGCAGAAGAGATACCAGAACTTCTCTTTGAGGAGGATGAAGAAGAGAATCCGGAAGAAAAGATCATTGATGAACAGGAAATCTCGTTGGTTGTGGCTGACTTTGAAACCCCATCATCCAACAAGCCATTGCCTGAAGTTGAACAAGTCACCCCATCACTTATTCAACTAGAAGCAGAACTGACTTCTGCAGGTATGTGAGAAACTTCTTTTATAGGCATCAATAGAATGTAATCGTAAATGGTTTCTAATCATCTTTGTGATTACTCATCTCTTTGTTTTCGATTTTATTGATTGTTCTTTGATTTACTTCAGAGCCCCAACCTGCAGAAGAGATACCAGAACTTCTCTTTGAGGAGGATGAAGAAGAGAATCCGGAAGAGAAGATCATTGATGAACAGGAAATCTCGTTGGTTGTGGCTGACTTTGAAACCCCATCATCCAACCAGCCATTGCCTGAAGTTGAACAAGTCACCCCAACACTTATTCAAATAGAAGCAGAACTGACTTCTGCAGGTATGTGAGAAACTTCTTTTATAGGCATCAATAGAATGTAATCGTAAATGGTTTCTAATCATCTTTGTGATTACTTATCTCTTTGTTTTCGATTTTATTGATTGTGCTTTGATTTACTTCAGAGCCCCAACCTGCAGAAGAGATACCAGAACTTCTCTTTGAGGAGGATGAAGAAGAGAATCCGGAAGAGAAGATCATTGATGAACAGGAAATCTCGTTGGTTGTGGCTGACTTTGAAACCCCATCATCCAACCAGCCATTGCCTGAAGTTGAACAAGTCACCCCAACACTTATTCAAATAGAAGCAGAACTGACTTCTGCAGGTATGTGAGAAACTTCTTTTATAGGCATCAATAGAATGTAATCGAAAATGGTTTCTAATCATCTTTGTGATTACTCATCTCTTTGTTTTCGATTTTATTGATTGTGCTTTGATTTACTTCAGAGCCACAACCTGCAGAAGAGATACCAGAACTTCTCTTTGAGGAGGATGAAGAAGAGAATTCGGAAGAAAAGATCATTGATGAACAGGAAATCTCGTTGGTTGTGGCTGACTTTGAAATCCCATCATCCAACCAGCCATTGCCTGAAGTTGAACAAGTCACCCCAACACTTATTCAACTAGAAGCTGCACTGACTTCTGCAGGTATGTGAGAAACTTCTTTTATAGGCATTAATAGAATGTAATGGTAAATAGTTTCTAATGATCTTTGAGATTACTTATCTCTTCGTATTCGATTTTATTGATTGTTCTTTGATTTACTTCAGAGCCCCAACCTGCAGAAGAGATACCAGAACTTCTCTTTGAGGAGGATGAAGAAGAGCCTTCGGTTGTATTGGAACCTCCATTAGCTTTCTCCTCATCTGCTCCATTTGACGTAAACCAGGGATTGTCTGGTACGTTATGTTTCATTTTTTTAAATATGCACATTTTCTGTTTTCTTTTCATGGAGCGCTGAAACCTGCTGCTTTCAAAATATTGAGCAGATGAAGGTGTCATCATTTCCAACTACTTTTGCAATTCTTTCAGATCCATCAGAAAAGCCGAAGCAAGAACTGCCTGTTTATAGGGAAGAGGCAAGCGCATGGAATAACAATGTCATTCAAGAAAAAGAAAAGTCATTGTCAATCAATTTCTGGGATATTCCAACATCAAACCAACTTGTGCCAAAAGGTGACAAAGGTTCCACATCATCGGAACAATTCGCAAGAGGCTCTCTCGAGAAGCAATATCCGTCAGGTATTATCAAAGGCAATTTTTGTTTAGTCTTTCAAAGAAATTTAGACTCTTGAATTGTATCCTCTGAAAGGCAAAATTACTAAAATGTAAACAAAACTCCTGATTGGCTGAAATAGTTCCCCTTACTAGAGTTATGATATAGACATTTGCTCTCTTGGACTCTTTAATTTGGTGAGAGTTTAACGGTCGCTGATTGGTAAAAACAAGACAACCAATCAAAGTCGACTTTCATGATAAATTGACGCTATGACCATTAGTTAAACAATTGTTTAAATAGAAAACAGTTGGTTCAATCGGTCTAGAGTATTTCTATTTAGCATGAAAATTTCAGCAGAAAACGAGAGAGGGAAATCTTGACTATGGTTTAACTCTGTTTGCAGGGAATAACGCTGCTTCATCAAAGAAACTCGGTCCCTACGACAAGGTGGTACTATCCAGAACTGGTACTTCCGTGTATGATGAAGAAGCTGAAAAGCTCAAGACAAACTGCAACCAATTTGCGAAATTGCTTGACGAAATCGAATGTTCTTTCAACTATTTTGACGACGGATTCAAACGAATAGAATCGCGCCTGCATGGTGCAGCAAAGCAGCGAGTGGAAAAGGAAGATGTCGTCCATGAAAACAAACGGCTGGCTTTATTGAACGAAGAGCTCTGTAAAAAAGTGGAAGCTTTATACAAGCAACTTGAACAGGAAGTCAATATGCAGAAAGGTATGACAGAGCATCAATTTAACCTGGAGACCGAGAATGAGCAGCTTCGTTTGCAAGCCGATAAGCTTATGAAGGATAAAAACAAAGACGAAGTTCTACTTGGGCTTCTCGAAAAAGAAAATGGGGAGCTATTGGTCAAGTCTTTCAAATTAAATGAATTGGAAATTCAAGAGAAGAAAACACAAGAAGAGATGGAAAAATGCTTGACTGAGCTTTCAAAGATCGAAGACATTGTCAAGCAAAAGGATGAGGAGAGAACACATCTAGAAGAAGGAATATTTCAGCTACAAAAGAAGTGGGAAAGAGAACACTTAAGGCTATTAGAGGCACAAGACGAAAATGACAGTTTAATATCTAAAATTTCCGATTATCGCGTCAAGTTGGATCACCTTGAAAGAGAACATAAACTGACTCAAGAGGTGTCCATAGAGCAACGTGAAACAATTTCGTCTTTAAACCTAAAAAAAGCTGATCTTTCAGTTGAGATTGACAATTTGAAATTTCGTCTAAGAAGCTTTGTGAATTTGGAAGAGCAGAATGAGGCGCTGAATGAAGAGCTACGAAAAGCAAAGAACAATTTACGGGCAATGGAGAATGTGTACACGGTTTCAATGGCCGATGCAATAAAGTTTCGCGGCAAATATGATGAGGCATGTTATGAGCTTGAAGGGCTCAAAGCAACGATTGATTTGCTATCTACTGAGAAAAAGGAACTGAGTGAAAAATGTGACAGATTGGAAAACGAAATGACCAAAGAATTGCTTGGGCATGAAGGAACTTTGAACAGTACTGACGGGAAAACCGAGGCACTTGAGTCAAACTTAAATTTGGTAAGTTTGATTGTGTTAGCACATTAGTTTAGTTAACTAGTGTTATCGTATCTGTCATGTTTATTTGTGTTACTATGGGTAGAAAAAGAGTATCAACGTCCTAGCGACAGTTGCAACGGGCCGCAAAAATATGATTGCCAGTTCGGAAAGGTGAATTGTTGGAACACCTAAACAAAAGTAGGACAGATTGAAAAGTTGTTTCTCCTCCCCTCTTCTATTACAGTTTTGCTTAATACTGCATGATTGTTAGTGACAACCTAACTGGGACTGGATGCATAAACACTTCTAATGAAGGAAACAAGATTGTACGTGAGGAGAGAGGGAGAATAGAGCAACAGCAATGATGATTTAGAGATGAAGTTAAATCCTGGGATGGCGAACTTTTGACCGAGATTATTGTAGTGTTCCAGCTTTTCTGGCAAGGATCGAAGTTCAGGATGCTGTTGCTTTATGACCATATAACAGTCCCTTAAAAAATAATACTTCCTATCAGGAATACCTATCATTGAAGCTTGTTTGGTAAAAGAGACTTTAGGCCATTAGAACAACACAGAACCTTCCATTCTTAGATTGTTGGAAATGGTTGACAAATCTAATGATATGTATTATTTTGCCCGTTTTCATCAAACTGCTGCATATTTGGAAAATACTCAAGTAGCCTTGATATTCAAGCAAGATTCATTGTTTTATCATTGCGTGAATTATCCTTGCATTTCTGCACCGTACGAACTTCACGCACACGGGAGTTAGTTATTCGATAGTGCCTCTTTGAAAACATCGCTGCGATTAGTAGCCTGTAACGCCACGTCAATTTAAACATTAAAATATGATTTGTAATTATTTCGTAGAAAAATGTGCCAGAAGATAGCAGCTTTTGGGGAAATGAAGCCAAGAGAAGCAAAGATTATAAAACTAATTTTGATTAAGGACCAAAAATTGAACCAAACAAAATTGACCATTTTATAATGGTCGTAGTAGCCTAAATTGGTATGACTTAACTAAAAATGTAAAAGGCAAGTTGATTTATTTAATGAACATTGTCGAATTGAATGAATCTATATTTTCAATGCCTGTGTATTTGTTCAGAGAATTCTTGAAGGCCAAAAACGGAAGTGGTAAACAGAAACTTTCAATCACTATGACCAAAGTTTCTTTCGATTGGGTTTTGACATATCTAATTGTGGATAAAAAAGGAATTAAGATGATATTTTTTATTCACAATACGGATGGCTTGACTTACAGAGAATATCATCTTGAAAAGACAGTATTTGACAATTTCATTAAGGTTAGGCCTATGTGTGCAATGATTGATGACTGCCAATTAAAGCAGAAAGTAAGGATTAACAGTGGTGGTCGCCCCGTGGTCCTTGGATGCGGTTGAAGAGGCTGTCGTGTCTAAATGCTTTCAATGTCAAATAGTAATGTAACAACCAAGGGCCAAGTGCAAAATTCGATCATTAAAACAACAAACAAGCAAAAAGTAGATTATGAAGCTTCAATGCTTGAGCTTAAGATTAAATGTCATAGATTAAAGATAGAGCATTTTTGCTGCAATATACCTGGGTCTCTCTATTATTGGCAAAGTATCTGAGAGTTTGTCAAATTATGGAAACGAAAGGCCAGTCGTTTCTAAAAGACTGAACACTCCAAGAACAGGCTGAACACCCCAAGAACACCCCAAGAACACCCTAAGAACAAGCCATTAAGCCGCTGAACACCCTTTAAAACATATCAAAATCGGCATGTCATTCGAAAAATAATTTGATCAATCAATCAAAATTAATTTTGGGGCGGGAAAGGACCTGATAAGTCTAATGCTGTTGGTGTTGTTACAACCAACTGATGTTTTGCGCGCCAGAAGTGTGAACGGGGGTTTGTACACGCGGAGCAAATTCGAGTTTGACTCCCTTTGTGCATTGGAGTCAAACTTCCATTGGAGGAAAAACTTCATCTTGCAGGTTAGCTACAGTTTCTATATCAGTCCATGTAACTAATAATTTTTACAATATATAGTTGCCTAGGAAGGTAAGAGGAACCGCAACACCCACAAAAACAAACAGTTTTCCGATAAAAGCGCTTAAAACTGTGCCTTAACCGACGACTAAGCAAAAGCTTGGGGGCGTTTGCCCCAAAACCAACGCAATTTCTGCCACATACATACCGTAAATCCTCGAGTTAGCCCCCATGGGTGCTTATTCATTTTTGATATTTTTTGTATGGGGGCTTATTCCAGGTGGGTTCTTCGACTTATACGAGGGGAGGGGCTTATAAAATTATTGAAGACATTAAGAAGATATTATTAAAAGATTTCGTTTATTTTAGTAGTAATTTTTTATGCGCATTTAATCAATTATTACCAAAAGTATGAATTTTTGCGGTACTTAAGAAAAAGCGCCAAAGGCAACCTTAGATGGCAAAAACCAGCAAACTGAGGGGTCCGATTCGAGCATTAACGGCAGCAGTGGGGGCTTATTAATAATTTGTAGTTCTAGGGTGGGGGCCAATTCGAGGATTTAGTGAGATTATCATGACCCCATTCGAGCACGGGCCCCAAAAATGTGCCCCTCCTAAGCCCTCTTTTAAGTCGCAAACTGTGGTCCTGCTGCTACCCTCTAACAAGTCCAACACTGTGCATTTTCTGTTTCATTTGTCAAAAAATTCCTTATAAAAAACCTCTCCAGCCTGCGAGTGCACCCGCTGGAGACGTCAAGAGAGGAGCTGTGTCTCGTTCTGCTTGCACTGGTAAACTAGTAACTAGCTAGCGTGCACTAGCATAGCGTGACCATTTGGGCAAATTAGCGGACGGGAAGAACAATTGTTTGGAAGACAATAGGTAGTCAAGTGACATGTCGTATTTTTACATTGTCACAGGATGTGAAAGATTTTCAAAACAACGGGAATTTGCTTGAATGCACAAAGGGAGTCAAACTCGAATTTGCTCCGCGTGTACAAACCCCCGTTCACACTTCTGGCGCGCAAAACATCAGTTGGTTGTAACAACACCAACAGCATTAGACTTATCAGGTCCTTTCCCGCCCCAAAATTAATTTTGATTGATTGATCAAATTATTTTTCGAATGACATGCCGATTTTGATATGTTTTAAAGGGTGTTCAGCGGCTTAATGGCTTGTTCTTAGGGTGTTCTTGGGGTGTTCTTGGGGTGTTCAGCCTGTTCTTGGAGTGTTCAGTCTTTTAGAAACGACGGAAATAACTTGCGAATTAAGAAAACTTGCAAATAGGGGCATACCACACAATTACAATAGATACAAGATATGTGCTTATTTCTTACTAAAGTAGAAAAGGTTATGCCTGATAACATATTCATTGCATTTATAAAGTAATTGTGAACATCTGAATTTCATCTAATTTCTGCTTAAAAACATCCATAAATTATCAAGCTTACCACTACATTAAATGAGCTAGCACAATAATGGCTACTGAAACTATTTCATAAAATATCTACTAATTAAATTAACATGCAAATTACTGGTTTTGATGTGGATCCTGTTTGCAGATTTTTCATCCAATATAATACACCGTATAGAATTTTCACAATACAAGATATTCAGCATTAAATGCTTCATATTTTTTTTACTTTTGCCCAGAAAGGTCCTACCTAAAATCCACTGCCAGCTGAGTTAAGAAGTAAAACAACAGGATTGAATACTAGATACCAATGCAGTGCTGTGGATAAATACAGTTGACATCGACTATCTTGATTGCTGGCTGTCTAGACCTTTTGCTATCACCAATAATTTTCCCATTTCCACTAATTTCAATATAAGGGTATATATAGAAAATGATTTTTGTCTCTAACCTTTGCCATCTCAAACCCTTTTCTATTTTCCTTGTAGCAAAAAGAGACATTGTCTCAAACACTGGATAAAGAAACATGCCAAGAGAATTATGTTTATAAGTATCAGCCCATAACCTAATCTCTTTGATGAAAAATGTGGAAGAATTGCAAGAAGGGCTTGGAAAATTTCCCAATTCCAATAATCTCCTGAATGTTGCAAAGGGATCAAAAATACTTACTGAACATTGGTTTGAGATAATGAGGTAATAGGAAGTTACATGGAATGACACTATAGCAAGGCCAAGAGCAGTTGCCATAGAGGAGGTGGAGGATTGTGGACTATAGGAATGCTACGAAGGAGATGGTTTCCAAGTATGGTTTGCTTTTAGAGTACAGAGATATGCTACATAAGCATAATCTCAAGCTCAGAAATATTTTAGAACTGAACTTTGAATTGTATTTTTCTGATATAATTGAGTATTTTATGAGTTGGGGCATTAAAAGAACTTTCACAATTTTGAAGGGACATCTATTATTTCAAATGTTTGCTAGCTCAAACAAATTGAAGTTTCCCTAGAGAGATTGAGAAAGAGGACATCAACTGTATTGGCAACTGAGATAACACACACAATTTGTTCATGCGATACAGCACTGCTATGTAGAAAGCTGTATCTGGTCACTTGATGGATTCTTTTGACAGTACTATTGTAATGCTTCAATAAGTGCACTGTACTACTCACTTGGAACTGGAGGAAGTGGACGAAAAATGCAATTGTCATTGTCACTGTCATCAGCTGATAAGCATTTACTGGAATCAAATGCTAGTTGGTGTGCATAGCTTTGCACCAGTTGATGGATTCTTTCACCATCCTTAGTCTTGAAAACAAACATACCCTCCCCAGTGTCACAGCGTCTGCATGAAAGAAAGACATAAATAACTCATATACACTTGAAATCATTATTTAAGAATTTATGGTAAGTATTCTCCTAGTTGTAGATTTGAGAAATGATAAAGTTACAGTAATTTTATAAAGTTTGTATTCCTTATTCTAATAAACTTGGTAAAATCATAGTTAGCAGGATTTTCCAAAAATAAAAAGGTAACAAAACAGCTTTTTACAAGATGCATTTCAAAGAGGATCCAAGTCAGAAAGTTTGAACATGTGAATGATGATAAAATATAAGATGTATGACTAAATTAAAGATATATTTTGTGTCTGTCATTGCATAAAATATTGCTTTGTTACCTTCCAGCCTCAAAAGTAAACCTAGTGGCATCAAAACCAAACCGCCGTAAGGATGGTATTGGCCACGAAACAAGTCTCACATTTGTGCATTTTACATCAAACAGTATGATTTCTTCTGTTGAAACTTCAAGATCATAATCCCCAGATATACTTAGTTTTGCTGATGGTTGAAGGTAGACTGAGAACAACTCGATAGTCTTTAAAGATTTTCTTTTGGTGGACTCAGGGGCAGATCCAGAAAAAAATTTGAGGGGTGCTCAGTTTTGGGTGGGGCTGGTGTCATGCCCTTCAAAATTTCTGCTGATTAGAATTTCTTTTGGACATTCAAAGAGCAAGGGTTGTCAATCCCTGTTTTTTAAAAAGTTAATTTTAAAACAATTATTTTCTCAACTTCTGGCAATGTGCTATTTAAAATGAAACCAATACATAAAATACAACAAAATGATACTAAGAAACAATTGTAATTGCTTTTCTCTTGGTTAAAATAAAAACAATAAATATTTGATTTCTTCTTCCATCATTCTGACTACTTAATAAACTTTTCTTAAAATACAGCTACTTCTAATAGATGAAATAAATATCATTAATGTTTCTGTTAGTTTATGTACTAATTAATATTTGGTTAATGATTTTGGGAAGATGACAATATTCTGGGCAATCAGTAGGTTGGTAAGGCTGAGCTCTTGGCTATTTAATTGAGATTCATAGAAGTTTCATAAACACTTAAATATTTTGTGGATTACACCAAAAAAAGGTAAAGAAAAACAGGATGCTCACAAATGCATGTTTCAAAACTTCTTGTTGATAATAAGAACCCAATTTAAATCTTAGAAAGTTGTTAAAAATGGTTCTATCAGTCCCCCATCCTGACCACTTACTAAACCTCTCACTAATATTTGCTACCAATTACTTTGAAAAAACTTTTGGAATTCAAAATAAATACCAAATATTAAAATCATATATTTTAGGCTAGAACAGACTAGAAAACTTGGATTTTGTGAAAATTTCTCGAATTCAATTGTTTATAAATTTTGTAAGATACTCATCCTATGTTTTCAATATAATGTAAGCTTTACATTGTATGATTTATCACCTTCCAATTAAACACTCTGAAATCCTCTCAAATGCCCAAACTTTACCCCTCAAATGCCCAAATCTACCTTGCTGTCATCAAGTCTGCATAGTGTGACATGTGCACGTAATAGAATTTACACGCCCACATCTTTTTGCTCTTGCAAAAACAAGATCTTGTCCAAAACTGCCATGCTCTACAGACTGGGCAGGGCTCTCATTAAAAACGCAGAGGTTTATAATTTAATCTCTTGCATCGCATCAAGTTTAAAAAATGAAATATAGGCCTCACCTCATTACACACGCTTTTGTTCTATTAAAATTTTAAAAGAAATCGCTTCACTTCTGTTGTGACTGGCGATCGCCATTTCTACACAACAACTACAACATGCTTTTTCCGCCTGCCTAAATGAAAATTTGAACTACGTTTGACAATAGGGGGTGCTCCCGCCAAAAGTGAGCACCCGCGATATCAGAAGCCGATTGGTTGCTTTACTATCGCTGGTGCTCAAGGTTAGTTTGCGAAAGACTAAAGCACAGACCAGGGGGTGCTGGAAATTTTACAACGATAAAAAGCAGCACAGTCTGGTCCGTAAATTTACTGGCTTTGAAAATACAGAGAGCGGGCTAGAAGTGCTCAGACGGGACAGAAATTGATTTTCTCGGGGGAATACAAATGAAAACCTCGAATTTAGTGTACGCCTACTTTGAAATTTCAAAATATCACATCCTGAATGATTTGACGGGTGCTCAAGCACCCCTAGATCCGCCCCTGTCTCTGTCATTAATTTCTGTAAGTTTTTTGGTGTGGATGGCTATTTCGTTGTTCTTTATGAGGAAACATTCAAAAGTGGATTCATATTCACAAAACAGCGCGCGTAGTGCACGTTTATGTACTCGATTAATCTCCTAATTATATTGCTTTCCACAGAAAATCCAAATGTTGAAATTTGACAATAGTTGAAAATTCCACAGACAATAGTTGAAATTTGATAGCAGAAAGGAGTTGTATAGTAATTTTGCCTTGCCTATATCTAGGGAGTTAGCCACCCTAGAAAAAGCTTTCACATTTTGAATTTTCTTACGACATAGGGTTTTGATATGTTGGTCAAATTTAAGGCCAGCATCGATTGTGACGCCTAGAAGTTTAACGCTGTCTGATGAGTATAAGATATTCCCATGTATTTCAATGCAAATTTTATTGTCAATTTTGGCTCCAAGGAGCATCATCTGGAACTTAGATGGATTAGCTACCATTCTGTTGGATTCGAACCATTTTAGAGCTTGACATAGATCTTCTTCTATGTCAACAATAATTCCATCCGAATCACTACCACACAAGTAAATGGTAGAAGAAAAGAAGATCTATGTCATCTGCGAAATTGCAAATTTCTGTATTTTGGATGAAATAAATCAAATCATTGACGTAAATGTTAAACAGCAAAGGACCCAAGACAGAACCTTGGGGTACACCTGATACGATATCGAGCCAGTCGGTGAAGGCTGGTCCAATTTTCGCCCTTTGTCTTCTGCCGGAGAGATAGCTATATATAAATTTGAGGCAGTTCATGCCGAAGTCATAAGCCTCCAGCTTTGCTATCAGAAGATCATAGGGTAGGCAATCAAAAGCTTTCGACAGATCCATGAGTACCATTCCGACAACGCCTCCATCAGCCAGGTATATACGACATTTTTCAATTAATCTAAAGAGGGCATGTTGAGCACTGTGTCCCTTCCTGAAGTCACAGAGTAGCCTAGAAATTTTTGTCTTCGAAAAGGAGTCATCTGTTGTGAGACTTGCCTCTCGAACATTTTTGAAAGCGCAGAAAGTACGCTGATTGGCCTGTAGTTCTTTTTGTTTGTTCCATCATCATTTTTTGAAGAAGGCAAGACATCTGCCCTCTTCAATTTGTCCGGAAATTCTCAGTTTTTAATTGATCTGTTCATACGATGGGTGATTTCCTGATAGCAAAGTTCTTAGACCATTTCAAGCGAGTCAATCCGTACTTCACCGCTGGTCTTTTTTGCACTATTAAGCTGATTGATTTCATTTCAAACCGAGGTTGGGCTGATGTAAGAAAGTTCAAATTTATCCTCCTCAGCAAGTTGGCCTACATTTCGTTTGATAATTTGAATGCTAGGATGGTTCTTGTACTTATTTATTGCTTGTAGCACTGGATCTTCGTAAATCACGTCCCCGGGGCACTGATTGTTTCTTTGGGAAGATCCAGGGTATCAGTTAAATTCACAAAGTACGAGTTAAAGCACTCCTCTATCATTTTATCATCATGGAGGATGCGACCATCCTCAACCAAAACAAAACTTACTATAATTGAGAGAATTTTAATTCCTGAACAGAATTGGGCATCTTCTTTGTCTCGAGTATTTTCAGTAGGCAATGTTTACACACAAAAAATGCAGACATTAAAATGATTCAGAAAGTTATCTACTGTATTGATGCAAATAATAGACAAATGATAGAAATAAACCCGAGTGAGTTAGTAAACAGATAAAATAAAATCAAGCAGTATATAAACAGTTTGTTCTCTTTTTAATTCATAGACTGCTTCAGAAAACGATAAAAAAAGACGGTCAAAAAGTCTGTATCGCTGAAAAACTGGGGGCATCAGCCCCCATCCCCAAGTGGCGCCGTGCCTAATTTATCAACATCAATAACTACAGCAGTGGTGTAACGGAAGCCCCAATTAACAGACTGCCACAGTGTCCCACACCCAACAAGTGATATGAAGCTAGATAACAAACTGGGCTCCCAGTTCGGTACCTGGGCCAAACAAGATGTAAAAAGACGATTTTCTCATTACACAGGGAGGGGGACGATTGACCAAAAGGGAAAGTATGACATAACTGCAACAAAGCAGTAATACTTAAAATTGCAACAGAGAAAAGAGACCAAGAAACAAATTCAATGACACTATTCATTTTAATCAATAAGACAGCCGATTAGTAAAAAAAGTAACGAAACTAAAAACCCTTAACACATTTAATAATTGTTCAACTACCTGAAGTAAATGTAATTAAAGCAGCAGTCAAGCAAATCAAAGCTAGAGGATATATTCTGATGGTCTTTCGGAAAGATAAACAAGAAAGCCAAAGGATTTTTCCAGAACCCAGAATAACTATCTTACTGAAAAGTTGCCTAGTAATTGCATTAAATGTGAAACTCAGAATTTAGAACCATGGAGGTCTACATACAAAAGTAAAAAAGTAGCATTTTTGACTCCTGTGAATCTAAAATCATTGAGGAAAAATTCAAGCATTTCTTAAGTTCTTTTAACCATGAATTCACTCTGATGTCATATTTTAAATTCTTAGAAGCTAAAAAAGGAGTATAGATATTGTTGAATTGGAATGCAAATGTTTCGGCAGTGAACTTATCTTAGCATGTTGTCAAAGATAAACTTCAATAAGATATCAAATGTATGTTCCTAAACATATCTCAAAAGGCAGCCTCTAATCTTCTTTCTTTCTGCCAACAAACTGATCCATGGTCTTTGAAAATCCGAAAAAGTCACACAGCAAAACATAGGAGGGATAAGGGACCAAGCTGAAAAAAGAATTTTGAAGGATAAATATACATGTTATTACCTTACTAGTTTTCATATTCAAAATGCTTTTCATTATGAAATACATTAAACTTTGATAAATCTTCAATAATTTTCAATCTAAATGAAGATACATTCAGATTTTGGTTGGTTGATAATAAATCATCAGTTCCACCAACAAGAGCTTCTGTGTTTCTTGAATTTACAGCCATGATAGTCAGGGGACTCACTTCATACCTTTTGTTTGGGGGGGGGGGGCTGGTGACTGCATTTTTGCCCCACGAAAATTTTTTGCCTTGCCGAAAGTTGAAAAAGCCATAAAGGAAAATGAAAACTAAAGAGGGTTCTATATTATTGTTAAAGAATGATAAATTATGTTGTTTTTTGTTTTAAAGACGTCACATTTTTGTTTTGAAAACTTTTTGATAGAATGCTTTAGACCGCTGTCAGGTTGTGGTTCTCCTATTATCTTAGGCCTATAGAAGAGATATGTGCTTCAGAAATGTGATAAAAGACACAACTAAATTTTTACAAAAATCTTTTTATATGCACACTATCATCCCACTGAACTCATGGTTTGTTCTGCTAGATGTGAAATTACTACCAAGTTTTCTGACAAGCTTGTCTTTTTTGCATGGTTAAAAAAGGCACAAATATCAACCACACTTAAATCTGAAGTGAAAGAAACTCAGAATCAATGTAGAAAACTATTTCCTCAAGACCAAACTATTACTGAAAATCCCTATTTTGTGTTGCTGGTAATCTTAATCATGTTACTTTCAGAACGGACAATTTCCAAGCATGAACTACCTTCTCCCTACAGTTATATAATAAAAACATTAAAGCAGATCAGTTGGAGGAAAATACTTGCCTTGCCAAAATCAGTTGTGCCCTGCAAGAAGGCCATATTTTTGTGGTTGGGATTGTGGTTGGGTTAATCACCCCCCATACCCCCCTCAAGTGACGTCCCTGATGATAGTGATATATGACTGAAAACATGGGAATTTAAATAGTAGCAATTTTACCATCTAATCAAGGCTGCCAAATGCAAGAATCTTGGAAGAAGAAGAAATTCTTGGTTGTGTAACACTGCATCAATAATCTTGTCAACAACAAATTCAGGTTCCATTATCGGCAACAACCATGGAAATCTAAAAAATTGTAAAACAGAACTCTTTAATTTGAAACAAAGTAATATTTCAGTCCATATAGAACATAATCCTACTAGAGTTGCTTGCTTTTATTGCATACTGACTTGTTCGTGATTTACTTGTTCCCCAGTTCCAAAGTACATTTAATAAGATAGCATATTCAATTAAGGAAAACACTTTTTACAAAACATCTTTCTTGATCTACAAAGAAGTTCATTCTCTAAAATTTGACATAGCATGGCAGTTGATCTTCTTATTTTTATACCTGGTTTGTGCTCCATCAAACATTCCTGTGTTGATAAAATATGGGCAAACCACAGTGGTCTGAACATTTGAATTCAATGCCTTAAGTTCCAAATGCAAAGATTCTTGAAATCCAACAGCTCCAAATTTTGATGCACAGTAGTCAAGCAGGCCATTAACCCCAGACAATCCTGCAGCTGAAGCAATTGATACAATATGACCATGATCCATTTCCATCATGGCTGGAAGAAATGCCTTTGTTGTCTGAAAAGAGTATCAATTTCAATTTATGCTTCTCTAATTTAAGACCTCTATCTAACTTTATGTGTCTCTTTGTAAAGTCACACAAGAGTATGCTCTGATGTTCAAATGTCTTGTTTTGATTCTATTGTTTCATAGCTTCTATTTTGGTTGTCTAATTTCTTAATTGAGAAAAATACTTTTAGAATGAAAATCTGAGTTTCATCAATAAACAATAAACCTCGTTTGAGCTACAGAAAAATGTACAAATCTTGTTGATATAGACCACCATTGTATCAATTGCAGTATTTGTCCCATTCTAGTCATGGCTCAGCAAACTCCAAGATTGTCAGACAAACAGTTTGGGAAATAAAAAATATATGTCATATGCAGCTTTCTTGATATATTTGCCCTTCATTCCTAAGTCTACCTATAAATTTTAGTTTTCTTTCAAGAAAATTCTTAGTGGAAAAACAGATTTTTACCCAAAAGTGTGCCAATGTGTTGACTTCAAAAGTTTTTTGAGCAAGGTCATCTGGAGTCTGCAAAAATTTTTTTCCAGTCACAATACCAGCATTGTTGACCAAAATTGTCACTTTACCAACAGCCTGTCTGATTTTATCAGCTGCTTCATACACCTCCTCACGATTGCTGCAGTCAAAAACAATGCCATATGCTTTTCCATTTTGCTCTTCAATCTCCTCAACAGTTTTCTGATTTGCAGAGCTGTTTATGTCAGAACAAACAACTGTGGCTCCCAACTTTGCAAACCTATGGTAAAGGAAATGCAAAAACCAAAATAAATTTATTAATTAGAATGAATTTGATGAACTCACCTGGCATATGAAAACAGTAGCACAGCCAAGGGGGAAACATTTAGGGGGGCAAAGGCATACTGTCCCTATCAGGAGTATAATTGTCCACAAGCAAGGATTTGCATGTTTGACAGTTGTTGGCCACACTCCTGCACATGCAACCAACATTGAAATACTTGCAGTTTGGTATTTTTTGTTTTCTTCAAAATTTCTTTGTCTTGATTCATTGTTGGTTTTATTTCTTTTGTTTGATGCCATTGAAGAATGCATGGTAGGGTTGTTTATGACAAGTGCAGACTATGCATATCTTTTCATTCGCTGTTGATGAAAGACTCTTTGTCCTATATTACAAAGTCAAGTTGGTGAGAGTATAAGCGAATGAATTGAGGAAGAGTGCATCTATGTAAGGTGAATTGCAGTGAAAATTGTTTTATATTGTTGATAAACTTAATGTTGGGAAAAAAGTAGACAAAAGGTTTATAACAGTTGTGGCAGTGATTCATTCAAATCATTATCAGGTGGCCCCATCATCCTTTATTATAAAGGTCTAGACCAGAGGGTGACATGTGCAGTCAGGGATGTCAGAGAGGGGGGCACAGGGGTCAACCACCCATGTTGCCTTTTGATAGAAGGGGCAAGGGGGGGGGCTGAAGTGCCCTTTTCATAGAAGTGGCCTTGATGCCTGCCTTTTGTGGGAAATAAAAGAGATCATTACGAGATCCTGACTGTAGTGGCTTATTTATGACGACCTTTCTCAGAACTTGCAACATAAATTTCATATGCCAAAATTTGGCCGGTTTCTAAGATACCGACATACGAAGATCGAAACAAAATGATAGTTACGAAAAAATTGTTGGTAGCTCAAAATTGTTTTTCAGCATTGTTGATAGCTCAGAAATCTGCCCCTCCCCTTGCCCTTTGTTTCTGGCGGCGTGCATGTATGCATGCATGCAGTCCACATGACTAAAACTTTGTTTGAAAGAAGGTTCTTAGTGGCCCTTGGACCTACCTAAACATCATTGGAACATTTATCGAATTTTTCTAAAGATCCCGACATTTATAAACAAGAGTTAGTGTTTTATTTCAATCTATACCTGAAGGCCATCAATCTCCCGATTCCACTGCCAGCGCCTGTAATGAGAACGACCTCGTTGGAAACATCTTTCGGTTTTCCAGGAAAAAAGAACTTCAAGCAAGCTGTAAATATCTGAACTTGCAGAATAAAGGACACTTTGATTATCTCGATAATAAGCTCAATCATCTTGGCACACTGCAAACTAGAGCACTGTCTAGAAAGCTTTTGACAATTTCACTGTGTACGTGACGTGGGTGGAACAAAGTTCGATTTCTTGGTATATTATTAAGGTGCAACGAGCGGTTTAAGGTGCTACCTAAGGACTTGTCCATGACCTTTGTCCTACACGAGGGCAAACAAAGGTACAATTACTGCCAAAACTCTTGGTTGCTTGTGATATTTTCAACGTTTGCATGCACCCGTTCCCCTCCCCCCTTCAAACAATGTTGTCTCACAGCAAAGTTAAGACATACTTTTGTGGCAAACCTTTTTCTACCGATCGCTGTGATATACTGCATTGTAAGCCACATTGTTTTAGGGGGGATGGGGGTAAGTCTATTAGAAACACGGGAAATACACAAAAAAAGCAAAAATTTAGCAAAATATGTAGGTGTTCCAAGGAGTTTTGGCAAAGATTGTAGGTAACAGAAAAGGAAAACATATATTTTCCTCTTCTGTGGGTAGATATTAGGGAGAGGTAGGTTGTTAGCCTGCACAGAGACTTTACAAATAGAGAAAATTGTACAACTTTCTAGGGTAGGCTATTCGATAAATTTTGTTCGAGGAAGCATATGCCACATTTTTTTCTTTCAACGGAAGATCTCTATTATGTTTCCAAAAGTTTTGGACTACCTGCATTTTCATAGGTGTATAAGAAATAATAAGGGATACAGGGAGAGGCTTGTAGCAAGTCTGGTACTAATCACTCAAAATTTATTGCATTCAAGTTTCCAGGACTCATGCGAGCAGTTCTTTCTCAAGTTTATGTTTATGTAGTTGTTATATAAACTTTTCACATTTGTTAACTTCAATATTGTCATTCAATCTTATGTTGCTGAAAAATGTTTGAGTTGAAGCAACAATATTTGGGAAAGACCCAAAATGTTTAGCATCTCCTCCAATCTACTGCGATTCCACCGCAATTACGTTGTTGACTGAATTGGTTTTTAAGTAAACTTTTTAATGAATATTTTTCATCAAATATCTACTACCATATACAACATATGAATTTCAAATGACTGACAGGCCAGTCTTTTCTACGAGAGTTTTTAAGTGTGACGTCATCAAATTTTGTTTGCTTTTCCATTGACGGGAGAAGGCTAATCTGGATATACTCATTTGCTGGACAAGATCTGGCATTCCAGCTTGATTTTTAAGCTCCATAGGCATTGAATATATGGAAATCTACAAACAGTTAATAGTCATTTGTTAAACGATGAACAGCATAGAGCAGCTATCAACGGCCAACTCTCTTACCGGAAATAAAAAATGGTGGAGCGACGCAAGGATCCATACTTGCTCTCTACATCAGGATACCAAATTTCCTACTCCGCGGGACACGACGCTAATGCGGTTAAGACAACAAAAGACAACTGAAATAAATAAATTGGGCATTTGGCTGTCATTTTCTAAAATTTCAACAATGGCCTGTAATATAAAGTTTTGTCTAAGATCAAGTTCATAAAAATTTCTTCAGTTTATGATTTTATTAGTTGAAATTGGCACCCAAAATGATTCTATTATGAAAAGAGAGGCTTTAATGTTCTCGAATATTTGCCGTAGTTTTTGCCGTGTTTCCAATCTTCATTCGCAATATATGAAAATAGAGGTTTTTAGGAATATAAAGAAGGTTTGACCCTCTAAGCTGAAATCCCTGGAAAGTATAATGGTCTTTCAGCTGTCCTTCGGCAATATTGACATTATGTCTCTATCAATCTTACCAAACCATGCCCTTCTCGAGTGACAATTTTTTGCAGAACAATTTTTTGTTTTCTATTACCAAAAGTCATCACTAGAAAGAATACCATCAATACCAATATTTTGGAAAGCTTTAAGAAAGTTACTGGAGGTCAGGAAATTAGGAAATTTCCTAAAAATTATTGATAGGAAGGAATAATACAATGTATTCTTTTTTATATGGTAAAATCTATATAAGAAAAGTGAAGAAAACAAGTTAGACGCAGGAACAAGGATGTATTACGTCACGTTAAAGTTGTTTAGAAGCAAACATACAACGCACAAAAATCAGCTACAACGAGAAAGTCCTAACCAGACAAAGAGCACACTGACCACAGTCATGGTATATATTTACAACGGAAAATTAAATACTTATTGGAAGGTTTGCATAAGAAAATTTTACGAAAGATTCAAGGATTTCGTTACTTTTTCTTCGATAACAAAATGATACGATCTTTCACATACACTTACAGCACAATGTGCTCAAGACACTGAAGTACCACTACTACTCTTAGTGTCTTGAGTTAGGGGTTTCTTTTGGCCAATAATCAAGTTGATAAAAATTGATAAAAATTTACTTACTTAACTTCCAGTCATCATTCTGGCATTTATAATTCGAGAAAAATCAGGCGAAAAGATTTTTTTGTTATGAAACTGTTCTGTGTGAGCCCGAATTTCTGATTTATTTGTGCTGGAATCAAGAAGGTAAAAACCTGCTCTATAGTTGTGTAAATGAACAATGTAATTTCAGGTGTTGTATTTCAAATAAATGACATGCAAAAACCACTTTGTACATAATGTAAAAAGTAAAAGCTTCGAGTACAACTTTTCACCAGGCCATTCTTTATCGCTTAGGCCATTTTCAAAGTAACTTTCACATGGTTTGGATTTAAAGTCAATAGTTGTGCAGCAAAAACACCAAAATTGCTATACCAATGTGATATCTCATTCCAATGACGAAAATATACAGGGATGTGCCTCACGAAACATTGCAATTGGATTGTATAGCCTAATACATCAGTTTTAATACTTGTACTATCCGTTAGTGTTGAATAATTGTAAAGGTGACTTTTGAAAACGTTGCTTATATGTTTAGAGATTCTAATAGCGGTATAATCCTAGCAAAGTATTTGAACAATGAATACAGCCCGTAAAGACATTTACGCCAGAATACCTCGCCTTTGGTAAGAAGAAGGGTCACATTGCTCCTGTCCCTGTCTATTTTCGACACGACACAAAATCTACAAGCACGAGTCATCATAACCAAATAAAACTCATCATAACTAAATAAATCAGCCATGGCCATTGTCACTCTTCTAAGAAACTGTTAAGGCTCTTGAGGTTTACATTCTTGGACACTGCATTAAAAATTATGTTGTTTGCCATTGCAAACGTCTCTTCTCTACACGTTACAAAACCTACTGGCAATTTGGCTATTTTGCAGTATCTGAAATCCTGCAAAGCAGGGCGTCTGCTTCCTGTAACTCCACGCAGTGTTAAGGGTACTAAAGTTGTTGCAACAACGATGCTACCTGTCTTGCCACTTTCTCGCAGTATATCTGTCTGATAATACCAGTATCAATGTGATGCATATAAAATAGATGGTTTCAGCCATTATGACCGCCTTGGTTGTGATGATGCTCGTGTCGATAACGATGCTTCGCAATAACGTCTAGCAACATTTCTTTTGTCACAGGATGCTTTATTGACTCGCAAACACCTGCAAACGAAGTGTCATCACGTGAATAACCGTCACGTGAAAAACCGTTACGTGAATAGCTAACCAATAAAGCCGATGACTTAGCATATAGACTAGGAAGACAGATTCAGATCTAACAAAGTTATCTTGCATAAGACTTGCTCTCACACAGCCTTTATTGGGGTGTGTCACTGAATGGTGTAGATTATGCAACAATATTATGCGGATGAGAATCGTATGGGGGCGTGGTTGCTGTTTTTTTCTGGAGGTCGGCTTTTGTTGCACAACGACCCAGAAATCATGTCCTTGTTCTCCAAATTGTTTTTTCTGCTAGAACTAAGGACTTCTGATCGAAATACGAAAGATCAAAATAAATACAATCTTAGATCAATATGAATTGACTTAATATAGCAGAAGAATTCAAAATATGATGGTACTTACTTAGAGCTGTGTTGTATGTGTTTGGAAAACTCTTGTCCTCCCTTAGCCGCATGAATTTCCATTCCTTTCCAGTCCAACAACACTCAATGATCCTTTTATCAAAATGCCTCAACTCTGGTGTTACCTAGATAAAGATAGCATTGTCAACATAGGATGGAGATTATTCAGAATAAGAAGAAAAGGAAAGCTTTTCATGACGAATTCGATCAAGTCTGGCACTTTAATTCTGTTATTAAATTATATTCACTTTACAAGGAAACGTTCCTCATTTCATTCAATGCTAAAGTTAAAATCTTAAGGTAAATTCTTATATTGATTGTAACTATAATAGAAATTCGTTTCTCAATAGTGTGGACATTTCAAATGGTACCATGTGATCGACATAGAGCAAGACACACTTGGTTTGGAGGTGTGAAAACATAATATCTTTGTTACAGAGCAACCAGAATCGTGTAAACTAGGCCCTCCATTTGTAAATGGTCGGTCCAAATCACCGGTTGCAAATTAATTGTGTGTTGATTTACAGATTAGTTTTAACCAATCATATTCACTACCATACATCGTAGACGTTGGGCACCTGAACATGGTATCTTTTGAATGCCCATAAATGGCGATGTTTGCAAGATCAATCTTTTCAGTATACAATCAACTTGTTAGCTGAAGATAGCTTCAGTGGAAATCAATACAAACCTTTATAGTTGCAAATGGAACTTCAAGACTTTGAACACACAGCGCGCCGATTCTCTCTGGAAGGCATCTGCACAAAAATTAGCACACGGTAACAAACTAGGTACATCAAGAGACCATTAGAGATTTCTTAGAGCACAAGGAATATCACTGAAACTACTCCAAGTTACGGGCTACTCAATGGTTGATCGATTGTAACAAAACCAGACATCCCCTTTATTCCTGTTGGCCTTTTCAATCGCAGCCCTTTGTTGGGAACCTCTCAATTGCAATATCTCACTTATTTTTTAAATTTCCGGGCAACAACAAGTGGGAGGGTTATATGTACTTAAGGATATTCAAAGGATTCATAAGGATTTTCAATACGAACTATAATGTCAACAAAGCATTTAAAGAAAATCCAATGGCAACACAAAACAGCTAGAGGTTCAATAATTCTACAATTAATTGAGCTGGATATTATAAAATTCAATTGTTACTTGAACAATCTGACCTAGCCTTGTTGCAGAGAATCGCAAACATATCGGATAAACAAGAACACATTCTTGATCTCGCGCCTCTCAGTGTATGAAAAGTGAAGTGACGACTAATAGACAAATTTTCACAACCCCTAATGCTTGTGGCAATTGGAATTATCTTGGGCCACTAGAATTTCCAGTCATTCTCTCAATAAAAACGTTAGTTAACATTTTCGTAAGAAGAGTATATACGTAATTTCATGAGCAGTGTTTAGCGTCGCTGTTATGGTATCAATTTACTAACCCTTCTTGTTTGACAGTCTTGATCTGCAGTTGGAAATCGACAGAATTCATCTCTGAAGGCTTCCACTTCAGGACAAATGGACATTGTCCAAACACGTACGGCTGAAAGCAAGATGTTAACATATGTCATGAAGTAGTATTTCAATTTACACTTAACACCCACCTATAATTCATATTTAATACAAAGGAGCGAAAAAGGAAACCAGAGAGCTTCAAATTTATTCACACAGTACTTTCTAGAACGGGTTGCCTTTGCCTGTAAGAAGGCATTGCATTATACGTTAAAATATTCGAATTGAGAATGCATAACCGGCATGCTTAGCGGTAGTTGTCTTGACAAAATTGACTGTGTTTTGTATTTTCATGCAACACGATATTAGGCCGGTTCTTTGAATTATGGTCGCAAAGCATGGTGGTTGCACAAGAGCCTTTAATCTCAATTTAATTTCAGTTGCACTTTTCCTTAACGATGTAGTTTATATGCAAGAATAACCAACTCACATCTTTCCATGGCTGTAAAACTAGGCCATCAGTTTCATGTGTAATTTTCGGAATAAGTTTTTCAAGAACCCATTGAGCATGTTCAAGGTTGTAAAAATCTTTCTTGCGAATACTAAAAGGCTCCCTCAGCTTGTCTAATCTTCCCTCTTGTGTCTAGGATGAAAAATATGCGATAACAAATAGCGCTAGTCTTCTAGTTTGGGGATATATCTGGCAGAGCCCTGTGCCTACATGAGTAAGGATATTTCAATGAGACATGTAAAAGTAAATTCCAAATTTTAAAATTTCTTGCTGTCCAGATTTCTAAATTTTATATGAGTTCATATTGAATGACTTCGAAAAACTATCAGAAATATCTAGTTCGTTGGACATCAAATTTGAAATAAGTGTAAAGATAAAAACAACTTAAGAACTAGAGTGGAACTTATAAGATAACAAACGGTCTTTCTGAAAAGAGTCTCAAGGCTTAAGGTCGGTGGAGATGCTTTGGTAAATCCAACATGATACACAACATACCAGCTGATTTCGTGGACCTATTATCTCTTTGTCGATGCATAGGAATCTGCGATCAAGATCAGTTTGTCCAACATCTTGGCCCTAAGATGAGGAAATCTCGATAATATGCTAATTAAAGTGAAATCGGCAAAATGGTACTCACTAGAAAGTTTATTGAAATGAAAAAGTAACCACAGTCCTTGTACATAAGGTGCAAAATGTCTAATAATGAGATGGTACCTGGAACTTGATGATGTCATAAATGAGAAATCTTGGATGGAACTGATCCCCCTCCTTGTCCATGACAAGTTCCTACGAAGCATCAAAGGCATGAACACCAGAAAAACGCAAGTCCTTATCAATAAGTGAATAAGTATGACAACAAGGTGTTTTTCTCGCCTTAAGATATCTTACAATAAAATATACATCTATATACCACAACTCTTCATTCCTTGTTTTAATAATGCCAGAAAGTGATTAATCAAGTTCTAAACAAGCTATCCATTGACAAATATATCATTCAAATAAGAGCCTCTCAATGACTCAATGTACAAATAGCAAATTACAAACACAATTGATAATTACATTGCGATAAACCCATGCGATAAATGATTTTTGCACCGATTCCGAATGCTTGTTGCCTTGTAAGACGCTCAAGCATTCAGTGAAAGACGCTTTCAATGAAGAATCAGTAAAGAACGGGAATGAATTGTTGAATAGAAATCATTGGAAAGAAAGTGGTAAAAAGCCAAACAGCAATGGTAAAACTTACCCCATCCAGCAGCGTATCTGTTATGTGATCATTGAGATTTTTTCTTTGAGGAAACGTCAAACCAGGCGCACAGAAGACACTGTTATCTCTATCAAACAAGTAGGTTTCCCTGGGACCATTAATCATCATCATATACCTAGAGACAAAAACTCACATTAAGTTGGCGTTGCAGAGTCAGATTTAGCTAAATCGACTTATCGAATCATTTTTTGCTTCAGATATATCGAATCGCAAACGAGGGTATAAATAGTCAGATTCTATCAAATCAGAACACATAGAATAAAGTAATTTAAAGTAAATAAAGTAAATAGAATGCAATGTTTGACGCAAGAGCAACAGCAAGGAAATTTACTTTCAATTTGGTGAATTGAGCAAGGTCGAAAGGATCGGATTTTTGATGAATCTTTTACAAAGATCTGATCATTGAGTCGATGAGTCGATTTTTGGAGATTCGCGACCACGATTTTGTTGATTATCAAATATATCTGTGAAACTGGCTTCAGAGATAAAGCATGAGATTTTGATAAACTGTAAAAAATGCAATTTTTCAAATTATTCAGTAGATCTAAAAAGGGGCTGAAAAATCAACACCTTAGAACTCAATGCTTGCGGTGGAGATAAACTTTCATACCAAGTGGCAGAAATGGAAGGCAAGCATTTAAACAGATGTAGCGGTGAAAAGATGCACTGGATTCTACGTATAGAGGACGCTCGTGGGACCAGTGTTAGTGCATACTCCAGGGTTTTCAATAGGTCACTCAACTCTAGTTTGAGCTTTTTCAAATTTTCACAAGTCTGAAGTTATGTTTTCGAATGACATAAACAGTGGCTAGGTATAATCTCCATTGCAATACAAATTAGAAGACATTATAATTTGAATCGACAATGTTTAAAGTGTGAGGCACTCGCCTTGTACCATCTGCCTTCCAGCTGACTTTGTATGGTTTCTCAGTGAGGTAGCGAAGGTTGTTTCTGTCTAAAGAAACAGGCTGACATCCAGGAAAATTGTCTCTGTAACAGAGCAAAAACACTGAAGATCAGCATCAAAAACAAGGTTTGTAAAACAATACAAGAATAATTTTGAAAACTGGAAATAAATACGAAAGAAACACCGATTGAGTCGTATAGCAAGATCTTGAAACAATTGCACTGATCACGGCCTACTTTGCACTCGTTTACTTGCAAGGAGTTTTTAGCTGAATTCTACAGAGAAAAGAAAAAATTGCAGTCCAGCACTGGCTGGTCCTATCAAAATGGCTGGCTAAATTAGATTGTTGTGTTTTGAATCGCGTAGACATTTCTGTCGACCTAAATGTCGTTAAAAGTGTATCTTATGATGATATAGAGGATGATGTTCGGTGGGTCGTTGAAAACAACGGGAACTGAGAGATTTTCAAATAATACTCGGAAGTTGTTTACGAAATATATTGATATAACTTCGATACGAAAAAAAGCCTGACTACCTGTTCCAGTTGCACATTTCCTGACAAATATCTTGCAGCTCTTCACAACGAGGTGAATGAACGGCTGATACACCTTGAACTCCTTCCACAAATTTTGCGTCCTAACAGATGAAATTTTCAGACATAAAATGGAGATAACTTCTTTATAGTTTATAAGAATGTTTGGGAAATGCCGAAAAAAAAACCTTAGAAGGGATGCTAGAAATGTCAGGAGCTCGCGTTGCAGAAGTTTTCACGCTTCGAGTGTTTGTGGACTGACGAAAAATACGAGGGAGTAGTGAGGAGAAAATGATTTTTGCAGCAAGGTAGATATTTTTACAGGTTTCTATTCTTGCGTTTAATTGCTGTTGGTTTTACCGTGCGAAGTCATACTTGTCACTGCCCGACAGCTTCCTTTTGAAGTATGAGCGTACGCCCGTGGGCCTATTCTTTGCTATTCTTTGACTCGGGATATCGGACTAGCATTAAATATAGGTAGGTTTTAAAGGTGATGAATGATTAGTAGCGTGCACACCTTAACTCTGCTCTAAGCTACTGACAGGCATAAAATGAACAGAGAAAAACCCAAACCTTGACGTGATGCTCCTTTCGTCTCCTCTTGGGAAATCTTCCCTCTCCATCCATAAATCTTGCATCATCAAGATCATGATTAGTTCGCTTATCACCACGAAAACCAACATCATCATCATCATCACTTCCACCTTCATCCTCGTAACACCAGTCTGGCAGAGCGGGGGCATTCGGGGAATCATCAGCACCGCTACCAAAACGATCCCATAATTCTTTTAAGTAACCTTGCTTGTAAATTCCGGGGGGACGACACTAGAATGAATTCCGGAGGAAAACGTCATAAAATCGCAAAATTGTTTAATGGTAGATAAAATACCTCTAATTCCATAGTCTTGTCCCAGTTTTGCGTTCAACTAAAAAGAATATTCATTGCCAAGGATTCATTTCACAGAATTTTATTAAACCAGAAGAGGGTTAAACTCTAGAAGCAAAATAATGTACCAATACAAAGTTGCAATACCAAAACAAAGCAATAGTCATACTTTTTTATCATAGGAATAAACCCTTAATAAATACCTTTGAAAACACCTCTACCGCTGCATCAACGCTAAAAATTAAAAAATAGGCTTGAGCTACATCATAACAAAGCACACAAAAATATTTCTCAGCAAAAAAGTACATCATAAATTCGATTCACAACTGGGTATTTCGATTTATTGGCCAATTTCGATCTACAACTGGGTATACATTTTTCATTGTGTTCTTTCGGACCCTCATTCTTACGTTTTATACACTGAGGAGTGTCAGATGAAAAAGCTTTAAGTAGTATGTTGTGAAGTGTTTGCTTTTTTCAAAGCCATTTTCAAGTTCTGTACCGCCAAAAATTGTGAACATAAGCTCTATTATATTATAGAGCATAATTGAAGAAGTGTAATACAATACATGTTGTTGCATTATACAAATCAGTCAAAACTGAGCGGGAAGCAAATACCTCCAATCTTCACTTTCAACAAAATAAGCACTGATAAGAAAGCCAGTTCGGTTGAAGCCATGAGTACAATGAACACCTGAATAAAAGATAACTATGTATTGGGCAATATCCTTATAATCTACAATATCAAGTGGGTAATATACGATAGTCTATTCATAATACACCAGTTCAATTACTTGGACCGTTTTGAAGAATAGATCAAACTTATTTGTAAAAATATTTTAATTCAATATCAGATCAAGGACCAGGATATTAATCTAGATGGTAAGTTTTAATGCTGCTAGTCTTTGTGATATCAATTTTAAAATGATGCTAAATTTGAGAAAGTTAAAAAGAGATTTGACCACAAAAAAGGTTCAAGGTACATCTTATCACCCTCAATCACTGATCATTGTCAATCAAACCCCTTATAAATACTTGGCTTTATGTTGTCATAAAATAAACATCACAACTAGCAACTTGAAAAAAATACAAGTAGACTAAAATTCTGGCACTTGATTTGAATTTGAAATAAACAACTACTACAAAGAAGTTTGGTTTATTTCTCAAAATAAAAAATCGGAAATACTTTCCATAAGCAAAAGTACTTTTCGAATGGTCCCCTGTAACTACAAAATTTTAGAAAGGTAAAGAAAAGCAGAAAATCTGACCAATTTTTTATGAGGTCTGACAAGCCTCATAAAAACATTTTATGTTTCTGCTTGTCAGTTAACTGTGAAAAACTGTCTTACCAATAAGTTTCCCAGGATTATTATCAAAAAAGTTTGAGCAGATCTTTAGAAAGGCATTAGTTTGTGTGGATGTTGGTGCTCCACCATGACTAAGAAGAAACAAGGAAAAATAGTGAAAAATCAACATCTGAATTAGTATAAGATGCAGAGTTTATTCTAACTGAAAAACAGATCTCAAGATAGTTGCCAACAGTATTATTGATAAGCCATAAAAACACAATAAGCTATGTGCAGTGCTTCATCAACTATCAAATATACTTGTATATCCAGTGAGAAAAATAGGAAAATGAATTGCTTATTAGAAACAAAGGATCTTTATCATGGGGGTGGGGGGGGCTTGGGCACTCAAAAGAACATAATAGCTGCAGTTCAGTGTATATCCATCCCACCTTTCTACAATTGTAAATCGTGGGAACAATTTCACAAAGACAATTATATTTACAAAGATAAACTTAAAAAAGACTGTGCATCATACAATTCATTGGTTTGCTGAAACAATGAAAACAATGCTATGCGAGTTTCCATTTGACCTTTTCTTTGATTTGTATCAACGTGGACACAACTTTGGAAGTTTTGATCAGAACAGTGAGAAGGTGGTTGAGAACAGCCAACAGATTCATTTTTTCAAGACCGTGATATAGTGATCCAAGTTAAAAGTATTGCCCTTAGTAGGCTTAATGTAAAGAAACAAGGCAGTGTAAAGAAAAATTCACAACTTATCAACATAAAAATACCCTAGAAAATTATGAGGAAGCATAAAAGAATTGATGCTTACCCTCTACATTGAATTTTACAATATTTTATTCCTTCATTTTCAATTGTCTTTCTGTCATAAAATCTGTCTGTATTTGTTAGGTCAATAATCAAACCAAGTTCATACTGCAAGAAAAACAAAAGGCATGCACTTAAAAACTGCAGGACATAGTCTTTGGGCGGTCAGGTAAAAAAATAACTCATATTATAGAAAATAGCGTCCATTAAAAAATTGAAATGTAAAGTATTATATAACTTACTTGCAACATGAAGATTTAGCTAGATGATGTCACACGATTTACAAAGAATCACTGCATATAACAAAAAGTGCGAAGAGCCGGTTTTACTGAACTAGAATCACTACAATCACAATCAAATTCAAGAGACAGAAAGGAACGAAAATAATGGTTGGAACTGATCTACATTCAGAAAAAAGGCTTGATCAAATGGCATTTAATACCACAACCTTTTGCAATATATTAGAGCAACATCACAATTGGTGTATGCATGAGAGTACCATGCAAAATTTCTTGTTATTTCATTTCCAAATTAGGAAAGAAGTCTAAAATACAATAATTGATTTTAAAAGTCCATTTGAACTGACTGGAATAATCAGATCAAGATATTTTGTGGTGTTGATACCTATCTTTGAATTCTTACTTTTATTTCACGTCCATTTTTCCAACAAAGAAAGAAAGAAAAGATAAAGGACATCTTACCTTGCTGGCCTTTAGGTAAGCATTTAGCATCGAAAATTGAAATATGTTCTCATCAGGTATTTTGGAATTATATCTGTCATCCAGGAATGTCTTGAATGCAATGAACTTGTCTATAAAAGGGTTGCATAAACACAAAATTAAGATGGCCTTAAAACGTTAATTAACATCCTTAACAGGAAAAAAATAAAATAATGAACCAGCCATTAAATGAGCTTCCAAAAATTTATCAAAACCAAATCTATAGGATCTTAAAAATAACCCTTCATTATAGATTCAAGGTGTTTGAGTTTCCATGCAACAATTCTTCCCACCTATTTACTATTGGTAACTGCTAAAGCCCCCCTCTTCATTAATTAAGTGAATACTTGGTATTATAACCTTCATCCTTTATCCATAGTCTTGAGTCTTGGGCACCAATCAATTTATCAGAGGGCTTTTGTTTGTTAAACATGTAGGTGGAAACAAAAGCAAAGTCTATATCAAACAGTGATTATTGGACTAGATTGAATAATATTCTCAGATATTCTTATTATTCAGGATATAATTTTTGATATACCTATTAACCCCGGTGAAAAATCTTGCAGGATCCTACAGGATCCTGTGGGATCCTAGGAGGATCCTAGATTTTTAGGATCCTGGACAAGATCCTACCAAAAATCCTGCAAGATCCTGTGAGCATAGGATCTGATGCAAGATCCTACATAAGGATCCTGTAAGACAAACACAACTTAAGATCTTACACAGGATCCTACCAAAAATCCTACAGGATTTTACAACAGGATCTTGAATGGGATCTTGCTAGGATCCAGAATGACATTGTAGGATCTTACAAGAACTTGATTAGGATCTTACACATAACAATTCCAAGATCCTATTGGATTGTGACATGGATCCTGTCAGGATCTTGAATATAAAGATAGGATCCTGTACAAAGTCAAACAGGATCCTGTTACTTTCTGACCAGGATCCTTCCAGCATCTTGAATCCTAAATGTATAGGATCCTATACAAGATCTTACATAAGGATCCTGTAGGAGATAAACAACTGAAGATCTTGAACAGGATCCTACCATAAATCTTACAGAATTCTAAAACAGGATCTTGAATAGGATCTTGCTAGGATCCATAGTGACATTGCAGGATCTTACAAGAACTAGATTAGGATCTTACACATAATGATTCCAAGATCCTATTTGATTGTGACATGGATCCTGCCAGGATCTTGAATATAACGATAGGATCCTGTAGAATCTTAAAGAGGATCCTGTTACATTCTGACCAGGATCCTACCAACATCTTGAATCCTAAGCGGTGGTGTAGTGCTATCAAAATAACAAGGGGGGCTCTTGCACAAAAAGATGATATGCTTTTTGTGTGTTGCATCACTGCATAGTGAGGTAAAATTCACATTCCCCTATCAAAAGTATTGCACCATCTCAAAGGAGGAGAAATGGCATGTGAAAGATTGAAAGCTATTGTTATGCAAATTAATTGTCACAAATTAATTTTAGGTGGCAAATGGCAATTGGTTGAGAGCAAAACAACCACCAATCAAAACTTCAATCAATTTAGAGCATTTGTTTGAAAATAATAGTAGCAAACCACTTTAACAGTCTTAAATTTCAATATTTTGTCAAAGCTGCAAACTTTTGAAAACACAGTAAGCCTCATTGAAATAGATGCATACGTTGGGCAGCGTATTTCGTGGGATTTCTTATTAGGCCTGAAGGATTCTTACAATTAATGATTCTCTGATTATTTGACGACCATTTGGATCATAGTTTGTAAAGTTTTTCATTTGAAGTCAAACTTGTGATGTTAAAAACTGGACTGCCAAAGCTTTGATTCTATTTGTTTGGAAATAGATCTTCCTGTTGACTTCCATTTACTCAGGTAACTTTTTTGTACTTGTGCAAAACACTTTATTTTCTTTGGACGGATTTTGAGCTGCAAAACCTTGCTCAGTGTCGAGTTTCATTTCTTTTACTGCCCCTAGGTGTAAACGCAGTGAAATAAAACCAATTCTCTCCCCTCTAACATTAGTTTTTTTGGCTGCCCACTTCTTGGTTTCTTTACTACTGTAACATTCTTTAGAAATCTTTTTTGATTTCTTGTAGCTGTTGTGTGGCTGCATCTAACTTGGTCATCATTTTTTAAAAAATTAAACACCACTTCCCCGAAAATATTTTAATAAAGACTTGCCTCTCACTTGACAATTTTTCTCCCTTAGGCATGGTCTACATTTTCACAAACAAAAGTGTTTTTGCGTAATTTATACATTTCTAACTAAGTTTTCTATGGCATCAGCAAAATTTGCAAACTTTTCCTGCAGAAATTTGCTACAAAATACGCCTATTTCACCCAATTCATGCATTCAAACGTCTTAAAAGTTGATAAAAAGTGCCACTATTCTGAACAAGGTGGTGCAATACTTTTGATAACCTAGTGTATATATCTTCTCACTAGGCCAATAATATATCAAATATCATTCAAAGACCTACGTAAATTTCTACATCTATTACGCTTTGGATTGGTTCATTTAGACCATTGTGCCCTTTGGTATAAGACTTATTTTTTCATTTATTCACAGGTATAAGAACCAGTGAGCTACTTTTTAAATGCTGCCTTTTTTCTTGATTTGATTATCTTAACCAACCAATTTTTTCAGAGAATAAGCCTATATAAATAAGTTGAAAATATATCGACCGAAAGTAAAGAAATTAATTCCATATACCAATTAAAGTAATAATATCTTTAAGATTTCCTTTTCAAGAAAATCTAAAGCAGTTGTGTGACTCCTCCAACGCCCCCCCCCCCACAACTCCCTGTCCACCCTATGCATTCCCCTGCGATGCTTACTGCTTTTGTAATGAGCACACACAGCTAAAGATACATACCAGCGATAACACTACTTTTCCTTGGACAATTTAGCCATCTTGGAGGTATTGCCATGATCTAAATGTCATATTATGGGAATATGCCTTCAACTTAATCATAAATCTATGTCTTCCTAAAGCTAGTCATCTTTTAGGCAGCACTGTCCAGAAACAACGTCTTGACACACCGTATTTACCTCTCCGTCTGACCTCCATTTTATTGTTACGATACAAGGAGGCGCACTAAACATTTGCGCATGAAGCCGCTGTACATGTGCATTTCGACGTCGTGATCCCAATTAGAGTTCTATAGTGATGACGTCAAAAGAATCTTTTTTATAATTTTTTAATTTGGATTCCATAACCTGAAAGAGCATCATGAAATACCTCTAAGTTTGCAAAATCAGGCAAGTGTATTACGAAATGGCAGAGATGTGGCCACATGTTTATTGGTTCTCTCCCCATCAAACCTCTGTATTTTGGCCTCTGTTCATAACTTTATAAACAGAGCCAAAATAACAGTGATTTGTTAACAAACTTCAAATCTTTCATTAGCCTTATGTCAACCAATTTTAGACATATTTGGCCAATTTTGCGAATTTGAAAGTATTTCATGGTGTTTTTTTACGCTATGTGGTAAAAATTCTAAAAAAAGGTTTTTGATGACGTCACACTTTAGAACTCTATTTCTTTGATCTCAAAAACTCACACAACCTTGAAAATATTTAGAGGTAGGAAAACAAACACAAATATTTCAAGATGCATATGAAAGTGCATGACAAATAAATTTGTACACAAAAGAACTATTCCAAAGTACTGAAATTCAAATAACGTTTGCTGAACCAATAACGAAAATTTCAATGACATTGAATTGCGACACTTAGGAAACCTAGCTGTCTTTTTAACTGTAGAATAACACGGGGAAAAGAAAAAAACGATGATCAATTTTTGTTATCAAAGCTATCAAGATTTTTTCATAGGTTGTTTGAACATTAAGATTGTTATGATTTTTCTAGCCTTGTTTTTGCGAAGTTGCGAAATGTAGCTTTTTTAACGATTCAAACCTATTGCTTTGCGATTTTCGATGGTAACATTTCTGCATTCAGCGAAAGCTGCAATCTTTAAGCAGCCGGCATCTGATGAAATTGCTCTATAACTGTTTCTATTATTCTATTAAAACAATTTTTGACATTCCTTGTAAGTTATTTTTAATTTTAGAACACTCCCTGTTGGCGTTTCAAGGCCTCCAAAATTTTTACGCTTGATATTTTTCAAATTTATTGGGATACTCGAAAGTCTATAAAACAGAAGACTTTATAAACGATAATTTGTTGCAAAGATATTTCTGATATCACAAGAAAGGATTTCATTTTTTCTATTGTTTGCTCATTTCGGTGCCTCTACTCTAAATGCTTCCAAAAAGAAATATTACCAGAAACTTGGAGCTCAATTATTGTTAGACCTATTCTGCAGTAAGAGCGAATTTCTTCGTATGTAGGTAGCTTTGTTAGCAAGATAAATTTTCTTACATCATATCATTGCTTCAAGCTCGATTTTTCCACAAATCCCAGAATATCACAAGTTTGCAACATGTATTTTTATCTTATTTGCACAACAAGCACCACAGACATAGTTTATATTCCTCTATTTTACGGAAAATTGTTAGTGGTACAAATTTCTTGTACCATCTAGTGTTTACGATGCTTTTATCTTGGACCCGAATACGAGGTAGCGCTCAAAAATCAAAATCAAAGAGAGGGTGCATGGTGATGTTTTGTTTTCCACGGTTGCGTGCAAAGGGAATTCTGTACCGTACATTCACTATGAAACTTTTACAAACGTTTTGGCATCTCCGACGGGCTACTTATTGCCCAAATTCGCAAGTTTTCAAAACGTTTATAGCCTCTGTTAGCCAAAACAGAGGATGTTCGCAAATCAGGATTAAAGGAATTGACCATTTGGTCTTGACAGTGCGTGATATAAACAAAACTGCCGAGTTTTATACCAATGTACTAGGAATGGAACTTGTTGTTTTTGGCAAAGGAAGAAAAGCACTTAAGTTTGGAGATCAAAAGATTAATCTGCACGAATATGGGAACGAATTTCTGCCTAAAGCAAGGATCCCCACTCCGGGTAGCATCGACATTTGCTTGGTAGCAGAAGATGATTTGGAAAGTGTCATACGACATCTAAAGACATGGAACATCCCGGTAGAAGAGGGGCCTGTGACAAGAACTGGTGCATTAGGTCAAATAAATTCAGTTTATTTTAGAGATTATGACGGAAACCTCATTGAGGTGTCAAATTACATTAAAACAGAGTAATACTGACAGAGGCCTGAAATGAAATATATGATACCTGCATACATATTTTGAACTGAGCGAATTTTATATTAGTTTTATGTTTATAATTGATTTACCAAAGTAAATTTTCTATATTGAATTAATGTCATATGATATATTTTTGTTGTCCTTTTGAATGATTATATGTTTATATCTAGTAATATCTATCTCTATCACATGGATTAATTTTTTATCTAAAATCTTTCTTCAATTTTATATTTAGAAAAAATTGTCAATTTTTCAGGCTTAAAAAGCCTATGAAACTATATGCAATCATTGAGAAGTTGTTTTTAATGTTTATATTGATGAAAATAATTCTGATAAAATGTTAATGGCACCTTATCAAAATCAATCCTGATTTGCATCTCTATGTTGTATTGTATTGTATTGTATTGTATTGTATTGTATTGTATTGTATTGTATTGTATTGTATTGTAGATTATTTAATGTTAGTTTCTACAATAGTGAATATACACTAATTAAGACTAACATGAAGCAATTTCAAGGATTGCATAAGACAGTTCATTTACTGCAAAATGAGCATGCGCACTTGTTTTCAAGGAACCAAATTTTGATCAAGTTCTTTAATTGTCTAGTATTTTGTGCTGTCTTTATTGATTCCGGGAGTGAATTCCAGATTTTAGGCCCTTGAAAACGTAATGATCTGATACCATTATTGGTAGTTCTGGCTTTTGGAATGTCAAGGAGGTTTTTGAGTCAAAGGTTATGACCTGTTGTTTTGGGTACAAAATAGTCTTTTATGAAAACGGGATTAAGGTTGTTATATGTTTTATAAACTTAGAGCGCTAAAATTCTAACTGATTGGACATGTATGGTAGTTTCTTTTGAGTTAGCAAGTAAATCTTTGTAAGAATAGGAATAGTCCAAATAGGCTAGTCTTATTGCCCTCTCGTTAATTTTCTCTAGCTTATCCTGACTTCCTTTACCACATAGCATCCATACCAATGGACAATAATTGAAGTGACATAGTATAAATAAATTCATAAGTATCTTTTTTTCTATATTAGGAAGAGTTTTAAGCATTAAACACATAAGGAGTCAGAACTTCTCCTTCTGCATTAAGTAAATGGTACTTTTTATCTATCTTTTCTAACTAAGTTGATAACCTGTCAATAAAACACATTTTTAGTTTCTAAAGAGTAAATATGGTAAAATTTCAAAGGTAGTTGCTGTTTGGTGCAGCTCAAACACAATTCATGAAGTTTTTAGAATAACAAGATGGTTTTTCTGGAAGGAATATCTATATTGCAATTCCTATTCAGGCCTGTCCCACAAGTCCATTTTCATGGTCTTTTATGTTGAAAGACTCCATCCACTTCTTTACAAATTGAACAAGAAATCCACCAAGAAGGATTTGTGTTGGGTGGTAGAACAGCAATGGAATTGAGATAAGTGGTAGATATTCATAGCCAGCATAAATTATTTTAAGCATTGGCATCCCCAGTGTCAGTGATTTATGTGTTGCACAAAACATCAAAGCCACAACATCCCCAGGTGAATAGCCAAGCTTGAATTTTGTTGAAGTAAAAAATATGAGACTGATGAAAAATATTTGGATAAGTAAAACAATAGTGCCTGTTGCAGCTATTTGGGAAAGCCCCAATGTACCCATATCTGAGCTAAAGGTATCACAAAATGTTGTATAGATTATAAGAAGTAACATGCAGCTTCCAATAGTACCAAATGGAGGTTTGTTTTTTGCATCCAGTCTTTGATGTACATCCTTGTCACTTGTCCGACAATCAGTGGAAAGACCACAGTGATTGTAAGAGTGGAGACAATTTTTCCAACTGGTACATCTGATGAGACACCAACAACCATGAAAAGAAGAAAGGGTGTGATAAAGATTCCCAAAAAACTTCCAAGTGCTGAATTAAAAATGGCAGCAGCTTCATTGCCGCCAATCGCCTTTGTGATAATAACTGCTGATGAAACTGGAGGCGGCATACAGCCAACAATTAGAATTCCTTTCAATAGCCAAGTATTCATACTTGTTTGCATCAACAAATTCACCAAGAAATATATAAAAGTTGGGATGAAGCAGAAGGTAAAACACTGAACAAATATGTGGACTTTTACGTTAAGGAAAGCTGCTTTGAGATCTTCTGTTTTCAAGGAAACACCGCCATTGAAAAATATGACAGAAACAGCAATGTATTTAACTGTGATTTCAGGATAAAGTAGTCCACCCTTTTTCCCAATCCAGGGGGCAATCTTTGCCATTAATATAACCAATCCTAACCCAATCATGAACCAGTTCTTCTTTGCACTGTCTATCAGCCCCATTGTGTCCCTGAAATGAAATTTTCATCCCTTGAATCACAGGTAGTTAATGTTAAGTTCATTCAATTCAAAATATACTAACATATCTAATATGTTCATTAAAAACAATAGCACAACAAGAAAGACTTGACATATATTCAAAAATCAAAGGAGTTTTTTTGTAGGGAATTTCTGGAAAGGAGAGACTCTCTCCAAAAACTATTCAAGAAAAGGACCAGCTAAGATAAGAGCCTGAAATTTTTTATGTAACATTTCCATTAATAAATAAAGTAAGGATGATTGAGAAATTTTAGCGTTATTGGTTTATTATACATTGCTGGCCTAGGCAGAAAACTTTTCTGTTACTTGTGGGCAAGAAGCTCACACCTACCCTGGTATTTGAAAGTCATTAATTGTTTGGTTGCATGCACCCACACAGAAGCATGGAATAGCATGGCTAAACTTCCTTGATACAACTTTAAAGAATCAAAATTGATACAATTGCTAAAACAGTTACACCAACAACAAAAAGCCATCCTGCTCAAGATTATGGAAATCGATCCCTTACCTTTAATGAAACCCTTAAGAAGACAAAAGCTACAATTTTCATCTACAGCACAAGACCTGGACGTCTGCCTTGTGATGTGGCACTATTTGTGTTGTAACTACTGCTGTCATCCGTTGTCATTGGTATGCTCCCTTACAATTAATTCCGCTACTTGATGTTACAGTCATGAAATTCTCTGGCAGTTTGATACAAGTTCAGGCCAATTTAAACTTTTTCATAAAGTGTAAAAGTGCTGAATTGCTTTTGTAGCTTATAATAATACACATTTGTGTACTTTCTTGTTTATTTTGAACCAAAACTTATATTTGCGTGAATACGTCGAATTTCTTTTGAAGCCACGTCAAAAGATTGCTACCTACGAAGTTTAAACGAGGCTAGCCTTTTCAAGGTGCAGAAACAGTAGCGGGCCTAATTTTTCAAAATCAAAGGGTCCATAGCTGGAGCGATATGGACATGATTTATTCTTTAGTTGCTGTCACGTTCGCCATCTTATCTGCTGAAGCTGCCAGTTATAAAGAAAATGAAAAGGTAGGGAATCTAAACCGAACTTAAAATTATCTGTATACTGGAGTTGAACGCGAATAAGTGCGAACAGCCCATAAAGGAAAAATATTGACTGTAAATGTTTCCTCTCCTAGATAGTAGATGAAATACTCTAGATATTCCTCATTGTGTCTTAATTTTTGTAAAAGTTTTATTTGAAGCTTATAAGGGCATTTTTTTTACTGGTGAATACATGTTTATAGAAGTTTTCAGAGTGGCATGCTCTCTGTTCTATTATTTTTAACTACGCCTAATTATTCTAGATATGTTTAAAGACCAACTGACTTGGCGAACTTAACTGAAAATTTTGGAAATACTTAGTCTGTGAGTTGGTTACGTTTAAACTTCTGATAACACTTTTAAAAACTCACGATCTCTTAAACAAGTTAAAAAGGCTTCTTGCTTTTTTGCAGGTTCCAATTTATGTGAACAAAGTTGGTCCCTACTTTAATCCACAAGAGACATATCACTACTATTCACTGCCTGTATGCAGACCAGATAAGGTAGGTCTTGGTAGCTCTAATCACAGTGTTGAATTTACATAACATCAGAGGAACACTGCTATGCTGTTAGTTGGTTTTCCAAGACAATAGTATTTTGTTTATCAAAACAATGATATTGCTCTACCAAACCAAAACAATGTGTAACACTGGCTTAATTTCACTGTTCATTTAAATTCAACTCACAAAGGACAAATGTGGATAGCAACAGTGTGCCTAGCAGTAATTCCTAGCAAAAAAATTTGTCCATCCATAATGATTTGTCATTTGGTTTTTCATTTTCAATATCATTTCTTCATTGTTGAGAATGGTGACAACCTGTCATGCTAAATCTTTTTAAAAAAAGTTGCAGTATCATGTCATTTTTCATTTAATTGCAAGGATTCATCAGTCATCTATATTATGTTTATTATATATCAAATTTTGATTGAAAACTTTTTTTATTGAAAAAAATGATTTTATGTTTATATTATTATTTTAAACACTTTTCAGAGTATAAACATTGATAAAATTAATATGAATGTACAGCTGTTTGATTCCTGGAACAGTTTTTGCTTAATTCTGCAGGTGCATGTTGTTTTATTCTGTCCACTGGCCCCTGAGTAGCGTATCTCAATTGGTAGGAACACATTCTTTCTTTGTATATGGGAGTGTGACCTTAATTCTATTAGACTATATATTCAATGGCTGTGTTTGTGAGATGATTACTGTGAACAATACAACAAAAGACATAACATGATATGTGCTCATTTGACCACATTTTGATATTTTATTATATTTTAAGATCTAGATCTTAGATATGTTATAAAGAAGATTTATAATGTCAGAAGTTTTAATTTTGATTTTTTTAAGATCAAATGCCATGGGATAGTTCTAGGGCATTAGAAATAATTGTCTGAAAGCCTTTTGACCATATCCCAAAAGTCCTAAGACAGTGTCAAATTCCTTCAAGAGCACATATTCTTTAGCTTTGGTTTTAGCTCTTACTGTTAATAAGAAATTTGTTTGTTAAGGTGGAGCACAAAAGCTTGACTCTTGGTGAAGTGCTAGATGGAGATCGAATGGCAGTTGCTCTGTATGACTTGAAATTCAAAGGTAGCTCAGCTTACTGTGAAATTTATCTCTTATTTTGGCTTGCTAAGGTTTCATGCATTTGATTAATATCTCTATGGTTATAAAGGCTTGTCCATGACAGAACTAATTCATGTTAGTTATTTGTTTAAACTTTTAACCAATAGAAAAAATTAACACAATATGCATTTGTGAAAATAAGCAGAAACTTGCAATCTATTGCGGCAAATTTGCTAGGAAACAGCCAATAATATTGTGCCCTTGATCCTCTTTTTATCTAGATTTGGGATAAAACTGACAACCTATTAAGTACCAATAACATAATTGTTTTATGTTGAAGCAATTTCACAGAATAATATTTTCTATTATTCTCATTAGAATCCTAGATGATTGCCATTATTTAGAAAAGAACTGAACAAATAGCCACTTCAGTTCTATTTCAAAATCGAATCAAATCATGAATCAAAGTGACAGACCAGTGAAAAATGAGAAAATGGTTTTCATTTTAAAGCCATTTGCATAGTTTCATTCTAGAAAAAAATATTTTGAAGACTTTGTAAGATTTTCAGTTGCTAACAAAGCATTTTTCCAATCAAATGAAATAAGAAAAGGTAGGTTTGATGAATCAATAAATAAAGAACATTGTTTTTCAGAGAGAGAAGAATTGTTTTTGTGAAACAGATTGATTATTATTATCTGTATGTTACACAATTAAAGAACTTATACAACCTAAAGTCAAGTATAGTGAAAGTTTAGCATTTATAGCATTTTAATAACACCTATCATTTCTTCTCTTACAGAAAATTATAATGATAAATTACTGTGTAAAGTTCAGTTGAAACAAAAGGACATAGAGCAATTGAAGCATGCTATTGAAGAGCTTTATTACTACGAGTTCATTATAGGTATGCTTATTTTTATATTATTATTCAATTAACAAATAGTAGAATGTGGCTACCTAAAGCAAGATTAAAATAATACAAGCTAAAGAATCTAATGATGTAGACAGCTTTTTTCTTGCTTGCTGTGTATTAATTCCCACCCTTTACTCATATCTTTTCAAAAACTGCATATTACAAGTCTCTCCATTAGATAACAGTATGTGTTAGGACCTTTAGCTTATGGGATTCAGAAATAAAAGGTCTTCCTCCTAAAATCTTGAATAAAAAACTTTTGAATTCTCCTCAATCTAAGCTTATATTTGAAATGGTTCACTGTTAATGCAAAATTGAAATGAATCTATGCTTGCAAAACCCCATCAAGTAAAAAATGTTTGTGATGTAATAGAGTTCGTGAGTATAAAATCATAAACAATATATTTTCAGAGTTTTTGAATTTCAACCGCGTTGCATAAAACAATACCATACTTCTTAATATGTAAAATTAGTCAGATATGTCAAAAATTAGGTGAGATATGGCCAATGAAAGATTTGAAGTTTGTCAATGGGTTACTGTTGTTTTTGCACTGTTGATAAAGTTATGAAGAGAGGCCAAATTACAGGGGTTTTTTGTGTTGCCAAAAGGAGCATGCACTTTGGTGGTCATATTGTAACAAATTCAACTCTTTTTGCAGATTTAGAGGTTTTTCCTGATGCTCTTTAAGTTTATGGGATTCAAGTCCAAAAACTCTCAAAAAATATGTTTTTGTGATTTCACCACTTAGGAACTCTGTAACAGAGGTATGGATAGTTTGAAATGTCACAGTAGTGAACTGGCAAGAGCTACTGGAATCTGAATCCAAACCCTCCTTCCCACTTAGGAACTCTGTAACAGAGGTATGGATAGTTTGAAATGTCACAGTAGTGAACTGGCAAGAGCTACTGGAATCTGAATCCAAACCCTCCTTCCACCTGTATATAGAGGCTCTATGTTGTATTCTAAAGTTGATTAATCTCACCAAACAACCTCCTTTGATCTCAGTAGCTTTACTCCAAGGAAAGTAATGCCTGTCTGCCCCCTGGGAATACCTGGCAATATCTTCATGCAATTTTAGCATCATACCCTTTTATTTTCTGTTAGATGAATTACCTGTTAGAGGCTTCATTGGCCACCTGGAAGAAAGTGGCTTTTTGCCTCACAAGCATAAAGTTTTCCTTTGGAACCACTTGAACTTCAACTTTGAGTACAACAATGATCAGGTATGCTAATTTCGAACATTGGCAATGTTTGAACAGCTTTTTGCACGGTTTTAGTTACTCCCTTACTATCAGCTGAAAAGCTTTGCAATGGTTTAAATATTTTGGTTTACGTACAAGTTAAGCAAATTTTAACACACTGCCAGCGTAAAATTCAAATGTATCAAGTTGTTTTGATCCTAAACAGTAAACTAGATTTTTTGCATAAGGCAACAAGATAGCTCAGACTCAATGCATGACTTGCAGTTCAGAGACTTGCTGTAAACGAAGGATAAATGTTTTCATCAGTAATTTCTAAATACGATAATTTTATAACCATGCTGTAGAATATTTCTTCAACGATAGCTCTAGCACATCTTCATATACTGATTTGTAGAAGTTTTGCTGGGTTCCACAGGACATTTGTTACAATGTCCCTCCATCTGCTCAGTTTGATCATGCGCTTATCTGTCTCAGAAGCCTTCACATTGTTGCCCCTTTTTATTATCGCTAATTCCCTGTATTTGGCATAGAGAATACAAAATGTGGGTGTGAAAGTCACTTAATATCTGGATGATTGCTTGATAATAATTTTTTATTAGCGTGCCATAAAACATAGTTTTGGGTTCTAGCAAAGATTCTGACTTAATATTCTCCTAGATGCGTTGCAAAATTCAACAATAAAATGTAGTTGTAAAAAGGGACTCATAGAATTGCAAGGTGCTCTAACATTTTATTGCAAGTTGAACAGTTGAGGAGTAAATGCATTTTTGATAGAAAATCTTGACTGCTAAAGGCAACTATATTTGCTTTCAATTCCTTAAATAGAGAAACTTACTGGATATGTGTTGTCACCCTCTTTATTGAACCACGAGGAGTGCTCCAGCTCTGTATTCCCCACACAATTGGCATCCATGGAGGCTGAGTAGAATCAACAAAGGCAGACATTAATCTTGTTGATTTGTTTAATTAATTGCAAGGTTGGATTTTGGTTTCAGGTGATATCTGCCAATGTCAGCACATACGGCCACCAGCCAGTGGACTTGGCAGACCCACAAGGATTGCCACTGGACTTATCTTACACCTACAGTGTTTCATGGACAGAAACGAAGTAATTATTACATCAATTTTTTTGTTCATGTTCTGTTGGTATCTCCTTACAAAGCAAAATTCTAAAAAATTGTGTTTTAATTTTCTCTCGTCCAACAAATCCGCAAACCCAAATACCTAATAAGAATAGTTTCGTAATTCAAACTTAGAATCATTTTGATCATTCATTCAATGTTCTTTCGTCCAAAGCCACTCCCTTACTTTTAGTTATTTCCCCTTGTTGAGCTTCTTCCAAAAGGATGCCTGACGGGGGGAGCGTTAATTTAGGAAATACGGTACGCAGTGTCTTTATACAAAAATTCTAGGCTTGTAGTTAGATTTTGATTTAAATTGACTTGAAGTTGATTTGAAGTTAAGAAACGTCATTATATTTTCCATTTTTGTCTGTAAGGGTAAATCAATATGCGATTATGAGGGTATCATTGCGTTGTTTTCCTGTTCGCTTTAGCGTTCCATATTCAGAGAGGCTTACCAGAAGCAAGGCCAGTGGATTTTTCCCAAAGAGCCTCGAAGTAAGCATTTAATTGTTGTTTTTGGTAAAAGTCAACAGTTGAATTTCATTTTTTCGTATTTGGTTGTTACTATCTCGGTGTTTATATTCTTAGAACTCATGTCCCCTGGGCATCAACCCCTCTTCATCCTACTTAAGTTAAGTTAAGATCTACCAGTACTTTCGTGTTCGTTGTAATATAAGAATGAGGTTTCTATGATTACTTGTGATATGATTTTTCAGCGTCATCAGTGCTTAGCCAGCAATCGTTGACCATAGTCCTTAGACAGCGATCAGCAATAATTGGTCCTCTATGACCAACTATCATCGATCAGCGATTATTTTTCTTGATCACTAATGAGCTAACATTTGTCATTGATCAGCGATCATGAATCATTGATAAGTGATCAGCCATCGTCGATCAGCGATTATTTTTCTTGATCACTGATGAGCTAACATTTGTCATTGATAAGCGATCATCAATCATTGATAAGTGATTAACAATCATCGATCAGGATTTATTTTGTCATGAGTCAATTATCATTAATCATTGATCGGCTATTTCTACTTGCAATTTAAATGTTCCTTAAAGATCCTTATAGTTATTTAGCGTTTATTGATCCTTATAGAGTTTGTTTCAGAAGAGCATTCAAACTAGAGAAGACTCTCTGATCTTCCTGATTGATTTACTTTTTCTACTTTAGATTCATTGGTTGTCAATCATAAACTCAGCAGTACTCGTTTTTCTTCTGATTGGCTTCGTCTCGATAATATTGGTAATTACACCTTATTTTCAAAGGCAAATGTATCACTCACTACCTTTCTGGAAATGCAAAGCAAGACGAAATGTTACTTCGTAACTACTTAAAAGTTGAGTTGATATATGAAAGATATCTAGGTTTAGACAATTCCCTAAGAACATTTTAAAAAGGAAAGTGCTGTTTTTACTAGAAGCACTCCTAAAAAAGAACAAGTTTAAAGGGTCTTCTCTTGCTAAGCAAAAAGACGGACATTTATGAAACAAACTATAAAGCAGAAGAAGAGTAAAAAGTAAAAAGATATTATTTTTTAGTAACAGAATCAGCTGTATTCAGGTTTATGTTCTTGAAAGTAACTTACAGAGGTGTCATCCTGCTCCTAAACGGAAGTCATCTGGATTTTGGTGTAAACTTAACGCCTAAAAAACGTTATGAATACTCTAACCCCTTGAACAGAACAGTCTAATTCACTCCTGCTTTCAATCACCTACCTCATTGGAAAAATATTTATTTTAATAAAACAGTGGCACATATGTAGCAGTTTTTTTAGGGCAAAATGTCTGCAGTTATTTCCTCGATTCTGTTGGACTCTATTCAGTATATTTACAATGGTTGATTTACATTGTGCTTTTAACAAGACAAGGGCCTCGGAATTTTGCTTAAGGATGATGATTTAACAAGACAAGGGTGATGATAACAGACCGTAGTCTCTAAACAAAGATATATTTCACTCTTTCTTTTAATTAGAACTTTTTTATATACTCAGTAAAATCTTGCACAGACGAGATACCGACTTACATTACTTTAACCACTCTACAAGGATGATACCCCAGGGAGCGAGCGTTAATGACTAAATTGACTAAAACATGTTTTACAGAACTAATGACAATTAAATTTACATATGAATAGTGTTTTAAGTAGCTAAAATACAATTAACAAGGCAAAGGGAAGTAAGATACGTAGCAAAAAGTATTTAATTACTGCAAAATCACAGGTATCAAATCTTTTTTAAGATGGATCACACCCATTACTATCCTACTTTGCAAAAATTTTATCTTTTATTCTTCTGTAATCTTTGAGGATTCCAAGAGGCACACAAGTGAAATTACCATGAGCACTTCTTCAATGTCTGGGTTCAATGTCTGGGTCTTCCCTTATATGAAATTTTTAAACCATTTGTATCGATTTCAGATGAGGGTTTTGAAGAATGACTTCTCAAGATATAATGTCGTAGAAGAAGAAGTAGGAGAGCAAGGTTTGTAGATTTAATGTTTATGTTGTGAAGTGTTGTTTCCAAGATGTATTTTGGTTTGGTATCAACCCTACATTACAAATCAAGTTCGGGATTGGAGTTTGTTATGTTGCGTGTTTGGAAATCTTATTCATAAGAGTATAAATCTGTACCCACTGTGTTTTGGTTTTTTTCTGATGGATTCTTCTTTGTATTTTTCTGAATAATTTCGCATGAAAACTCTACCTTTACCGTTGTGTCCTATGGATTGATTTTGCTTAGAACCCTTCTTGCTTAGCTATCGTTAGTTTGTTTGTGGCAGAAGTTGGTAAGGTATTTGGTAGTTTACAATGGTAAGTTGATAAAGATGCCAAGAAACCATCATAATTTGTTACAGTTATCTTCATTTATGACTTGGTTTACGTACAAGGTAACAGAAGTAAGAACCAGTTATCGTCGCTCGTTAAGCAAGCATTGAAGTACGCACAGTTGTGAAGAAACATTGAAGAATGTGTTTTTAGTTGACCCAACGTGATCAAATGATCCACTGCAAGCCATACACTCCTCAAAAGGCACAGCACTAACATCAAACAATCATTAACATAATGAAAGAGATATGCCAGAAGCCACTTCCACTTATACAGAAGATAAGCTATATAAGCTATAAATCCAGCAGCTGCCTTTGTCCCGTTTATCACAAGGTACCTATGCAAAGCTCCATTCCTTTTTTCAGAGCAAGACGACTGTGGATGGAAGATGATAAATGCTGATGTTTTCAGGTTTCCGAAACATCGAAGTTTACTTTGTTCAGTTTTAGGTACGGAAATTAATTCATTTCGTTTCTGTGCTGTTTTTTACTGCAGCCTCTTTCAGTATATGTGCCTTCCAATAATGATTTTGACGACATGTAAGGATCGGAGGTTCTCTTGTCGATTTGCTTTTCTTTCAATTTCATTTCGACAAATTGAATATAGGAATCCAGTCTCCTATTTTGATAATTAACAACAGCAACTCCCCATCAATATATAACATGAAATTTGTACCATTTAGGAACTGTAGTATGTAATTTTCTATAAGCATATATCTCTCGTTAGGAAAGGGTGCGATGTTTTATGGTTTAATTCTTGTAAAATTGTTTAAGAGGTCGATGGCTGAAAGAGAGGCAAAAGAATAATCACTCATACAGAAGCAAGCAAACCAGGCTAGGCAGTGATTGGCTCAGCTACGAGAGTGGTCATGTGACTTAGCATATGATGTTGGCTCATAAAAATTCCCTTTGCTCATATCTCTTCCATCACTCTAAATTGCGACAAAGCTAAAAATCAAGGGTGTAATGCCCATTATTTAGAATGTTAATTGTTTCCAAAATGTTCTGTTGATAGTAGCAGTCACGTTTCAAGAAACTGAGTTGAGTTAGGATGAATTAAAACTAATTTCGGATCACTTCTAGGCAATTTTTTTTCTGGCTTTATAATGATTGTTTGAAGACGAACTTAGTGGCTAGGCTGCTTTCTACTAAATCAAAATTCATTTGTTGGATTAGAGAACTAAACGCCTTGTTGCTTATCCGCCATTATCAAAAGATCAACCTTCTAGATCAAAAGGAGGCTATAGCAATATGTCCTCTAAACGAATTAAATTGAAGCCAACATAGAGAAGATAATTTATATTGGGATGTTAACAAATATGTTAACAAAATAAGACATTGCAAAATCTAGCAGTCCTAGTTCCCCATTGATGTATGAGACCAATTTTAATCATTTTATTTTTTATCTGTTTTGTAGGAAATGGTAGTCAATTTCTTACACTGGGGCTTGGAATTATCACCATGGCTCTTTTTGGAATGTTCAACGTTCACAGGTAATTATCATTTCAACTTAAGTATGAAAAAGCAATCCATTTAGATTACAACCTTCTATATTTATGGCACTTGAAAGTATGTTCTTTTATTTGTTTCTGAATTCGGCGAAATATTAAGCGGTATATTAAATGCGAGGTTTTGTGATTGTAAGGCAAGGGTTCGTGTTTGGTGAAAAAGCTGTTAGAGGGGAACAACGGGAAACGCCGTTTTCATTTTGAAGCAAGAGATCGCTGTCAAAAGCAATGATCAAAAGATTGGCTGCTTCACCGCTAGTGTAGTTGTCTTGAAGCAGTCGATCGATCAAATCAGAATAAAAAGATACTCCATGAGTTCGCAGCGAGTTTGCAGGACCGAGTAGGGGCGTGGTGGCCCTACGGGACTCGGGAAATTTCCCGGTAGGCCCACTAAAACTTTTCATGTGGGCCCCTTAGATTTTTCTTTTTTTTAAGCCTTTGTCAATGGTAAAATCAGATGTGTGAGAAAAAACAAGTGAAGTAAGGCCCAACGCTACCTCTGCGACACTCATTTCCAACATAAGATACGTGATGACAACGAGAAACGATCAGCATCAAAATGGTGTGCCCCTAAAAACTTGATTTTCCCGGCCTACGAAAGTTCCCACCGCGCCCCTGCCACCGAGAATACTCTCTCTTCAACAGATAGAGTAACGAACACTCAATCAGCTAGGCTTTACACTTGCTCTATTATATATTTTATCGTCATCATGATAACTTCTCGAATATATAAGAAATTACGTCACTTTCAAGGCATGGATCGATGAACACTGCTGCTGTGTTGTTATACGCCCTAACCTGCTGTAAGTACTTCATGTATATTGATTTAAATGTACCCTTCTCATTGTCAATGATCAAGGCCAATCTAAAACCCAAGTTTTCGTTTCAAAGGCATTTTAACAAGACTAGTCCAGGCCACTGACCAGGCTAGACCCAAGACGAACTCGCCACTAAAGATGGGCTGACTCAACCTGTGGTGAACCCGGGTTAGTTTGTATAGACATAGGCTGGGCTTTGCGTGACCCTATCGAAAAGAGTTACTAGATTTTATAATTTGATTTTTCATCAAATTAGGTATGATTATTGGGCATAAATTTATTTTTTATGATATGGTGATAATCCTAGAGAAAAGCATTTCAAACTATCTATACATCTATGAATAATATCTCACTCATTTTGATTTGTTTTCGACGACTCAATTTTTGTCCCATCTTCTCTTGCCTCTTTGTACCTATTGGTTATTTTTCTTTATTTGCTTGCACTGTTTGTTATGTATGCTATGTTTTTTATATGTTACATCGTGGCAGCTCATGTTTTTAAAACATCGTTAATCCGTTTAGGTTAACCTCTGTTGAATTCCACTTATCGAAAGTTTAATATAAATTGATAGTGCCTAAGCTCGATTGTGAAGCAAGGGGTGTTTTAATAAAAGGCAGCTGTCAAGTGCTTTCAGGATTATTTCTTTTCTCCAGGCTGACACTTTATTCATCTTTAATTTCTAGTTGTCTCCGGCTTTGTGTCAAACAGTTTTTATAAGCAGATCGCGGGGGACAAATGGGCGTGGAATCTTGTCCTAACTGCTTCCCTGTTTTCAGGTATGTAAATTCATCGCTTTCGTGGTAATAGGTTTAATCGTGGATTAGTTACATGGAAGAAAACTGCAGACAGGTTTTTATTAACACGACAGCAGATGAGATGAGCAAAAATAAATCCCTCATTCTTTATTAAACTTTTCAACTTTTGCTTGTGAAATGTCCTTGGAAAGTGAATCTGGTCAAACTTGGTCATGTAGTGCGTTTTCGAACGGCATGAGTCACTTTGCCAATATTTTTATATTACACGCGATCCTTGAGTATGAAAGACCTTCCTTCATTTAGGACTACCTGTCTACAATATCATACCAAATAATCCAAAGTTGGGTAGACAGGAAGAATTCCTTTCCATATTCAAACACTTTTACTACAGAATAGAGAAAAGGCTTATTTAGTGCTTTGCTTTTCTCTATTCTGTGTTTTGACCACGAGAGGAATTATTGGTCACTGATTGGTCAAAAGCAAATAACCAATCAAACGTGTGGTCTTTTTTCTTGTTTGATTATGTTACTTTCGATCCGCACCTGATGATAAATTTTCTTATACCCTTTGCTCATTACCCAGTGTCTAGTAATACTGAGGTGCGGTGGGCAATATGTGCTTTGAGAATGGTGCAAAACTTTCCGCTGTTCATGTATATCAAGAATTAAGCCTTACTGAGCCATATCATACAGTAAAAACCCGCTTGTGATTATCAGTAACAGGCTGAAATGGCTTCTTTACTTTTACAAAGTGGTTCTTATATTAATTGGCAAAGAAAGCTTTGCCAATTAAGCCCCAAAGCCCCGGGATTCTTCTGTATCATTTTATCATTATTATAGTAGAGTAGAACATGTGAATATGTGAGTAGAATATGTGAAATATGCGAATTCGACTCTATTTTTCAGTTCCGTTCTTCCTGATTTGGAGTGTGATCAACTCGGTAGCTTGGTACAACCAATCCACACAAGCCCTGCCATTCACAACCATCGTCCTTCTTTTGCTTATCTGGATATTAGGCAAGTCCTTTCATCTTGCATTTAAATCACTGTCATGTTAGTTTTTATCGATGTTTAGATGCATTCAAAATCGCATACTTTTTGTAAAAAGTCGACTCCAATCTTTGGCAGGGAAGATAGTATAAGTAAGATCAATGAAAATTGCAGTACGAAGAGGAAAAATGTTTTCATCTAGAATAGATGTAAATTGTCCTGAACAGCTTATTCCTAATAATTCCTTCTCTTAGTCTCTGGTCACAAACATCAAAGTGCGTTGATAACAATGCTAGTTTAGATTAGTTTCAGCTTGATTAGAGCCTTCCCTATTTAAGTGAGCTTATCAACTATTCCAATCCGTTACGTTGTTTATAAATTGAGGTGTCTTTAGATTAAATTGTTGCTAGATGCTTCAGTTCCCCTTGAGGTGAACAAGTGGTCAGAATTATTAGCTAATGGGGCAACAAGATCACTCGGCTTGGACAAATTTGTTTTAAATACAGTAGACTTGCAGCCCTATTTTGTCACCCTAACGCCTATGCCTTGTAGTTAAAATAATATAATTTGGCTGTAATTGTTTGGCTATGTGTTAACTAAATTGTCACGTAAGGTAAGGATTCATTTTGGCCTAAGAAGCTGGGTTAAAATTTCCTCTCACTTTTATTGGTACCTTTGAAGAATTCACAAAAAGTCTCAATATAAGATATTTTTAGCGAGTTCCAAAGATTTAATTATGATTTTGTCCGTTTGGTTTTAGTTGGATTTCCCTTAACTGTTCTTGGGGGAATTTTTGGCAAAAACTGGACTTCTGGTTTTGAGGCCCCGTGCAGGACGAAAAATATCCCACGTGAAATCCCATCCAAGCCTTGGTAAGTGAAAATGTCTTCAAAGATCTTTTGTAAAATTTCCAGATTTCTTTTTGGCAGTTGAAAGCTAGATTAGATTTTTCAAATCGGTGTGATTCCATATACATATGGTTTGTAGATAACATGCTGTGGTGTAGCTTGGTTTTGCCCAGTGGCGAACACCTGGGGGGATGGGGGGGCGGTTGCCCCCCCTATTATTTGAAGAACAATCGTCTTTTGTTCCAAAACAATGTGGAAATGTGACGTCATCTTATTAAAACAACAGGCTTGCCCCCCCCATATTTGACCAAGTGTCCGCCCTTGTTTTTGCCAGTTCTGGTGTCATTGTAATAGAAGTCAGTCACAGAGACGTTTTGCGTCAAATGGATTTTGACTTTAAAATTAGTTGGTATCAAGTCAATCTTTTCTTATGAATGAATTCGTTTATCTAAAATAAACAACGTTAAAGCTGCCACTGAAAATAAACCTTTTGTTCTACTTCTCGCTCGCTTTCTTTTCAAATCTTGACTTTCCTGCTCAATTCTTTGCCAGGTATCGTAGAACATTTATGCACATGATTGTTGGAGGATTTCTGCCATTCAGGTAATGCAAACATTCAAACACTTAAAAGCTGAAAATTAGAAGCACCAAATCAATCTAATCTTTAATTATGACGAATCTTTGGATCAAAATTACATTCAATCTTGATTTTTGTATGATTGTGCTAAATCCACGTTCTCCATCAATAAAGATTCTGGTAAAAATTGAATTGAAAACAGCATATTTTGATCTCACTAGTGCCCGTGTACTGTCTGGATACATTTATTCAGTCAAAAATGTAAATGGATTTATTTTCAATTTTCTTAATGTAAATGATTTATGTTTCTTGAAGAGTTTTGTAACACGTCTTGAAATGAAATTTTTAACTGGGTATCTCAAGATTGTTGCAAGAACGATTTGCTACGTTTTTGAAGAAAGAGATCCATGATAGATCTGGGATCTTCTGGGGGTAACGAACAAGTAGAAGTCTTCTATCGAGTGAGGCACCCCCTTCCTAGCAGCAAATAAAGCACCACTAATTGCTAATTCGGCATTCACATGGCGCTTCTTCCGAACAGTTCCACCAAGGTGCAAGATACACCTTAGTTAATCCGAAGTAGAGGCTAACAAGCTGACAACACCATACTAGTTAGCCAGATTCAAATTAACACAAGGAAAACTTTTTGCAATGTAAACGCAACCTTCCCTGGCTGAGAATTCGTTTACCGTTATGCTTGCTTACGACTGTTGAATTCTCCCTTTGTTGAGCCTATGTATGCATGAATTAAAATAGCCTAGGTTCAACTCACTTGCTAGTTAACTGCTAGTTGACGCTGCTAGGCTTAACCCGGGCTAATTAACCCTGAACCTAGATAGATTTTTTTTGTAGACAACGCCTAAATGTGAAAAACTTCAAGGTGTAATTAGTCGATCGAAAAATGTCCTTGATACAGGAGAACGTCATTTGGTTAATGCAATTTCTCTTTCAGTGCAATATCAGTTGAACTGTACTACATCTTCTCTACACTCTGGGGTCGTGAACAGTACACATTGTATGGGATACTTTTGGTTGTATTCATGATTTTGCTTAGTGTCACGGCCAGCATATCCGTCGCCTTGACCTACTTCCAGCTGTCTGCAGAAGATCATCGCTGGTGGTGGACTTCAATCGTGTGCTCTGGGTGAGTAAACAAACGTACTTTCCATTAACTTTATGTATAGGCCCATTTTCTCCAACGCAAATCAAGGTTTTTTATGTCAGCTCTTGGAACCCGTGCGTCTGTCAGCGCTGAACTGCATGGTTTTAGATTGGCTGCAAAATCAAATAGAGTTAATTCTACGATCTTTAACCTAAAGTTATATTAGTATATTTTTTCTAATAGCGACGCGTGCATTGCGTTTATCTTATATGTTGCCGTGTGATATTGTTATTTATGAAGCACATAGTAAAATGGCAATCATAGTATCATGTTGTATGATGCAACCCTTGTGTGGCAAGCTCGTTTAAAAGCGTCCTAGTGAGAGATTTCCTGGCCGGAGAGTCCCCTTTCGAAAAATCGAATGACCCCGCTATTTTCCATTTACCTCACGTCCCCTCCAAGCTGATTTTTTTTGTCCATATTAAGTTCCCTGTTTAGCACGGCTTTCCATCCCCTACTTGTCGAAGACAGGCTTTCGCTGCCTCTGTCAGACCCGCCGAGAGCTTCCCTAGGGCGTAGGCCAAAAAGAAAGATGGGACCCGTGATGACATCATTAAAACAGTGATTGTAATTGTTAGGAACTTTGTTAGAACTCTTTAGAACACATGTTAGAACACTTAGCGCTTTGGGCTCGGGATCTGAGGAAATCTGCCCCCTGCCCCTATTCTTGGTGGGCCTTGCCTTTGCCACATTTGCATACTATCCTCTGGCTCTTTTTGTATTATTCTAACTAACGGCATTATATTGTTGTCAGTAAGCCTTTTGTGATTGTATTTTTATCTTAGTTGCCATCTAATCGATGTTCGTTCGTTTTCAGCTCAACTGGTTTCTTTATCTTCGCATATTCGATTTATTTCTATGTGAAGAGATCAAACATGTTTGGCTTCATGCAGTCTTTGCAGTTCTTCGGCTACACTCTGCTTGTCTGTTACATATTCTTTCTCATGCTTGGAACAGTAGGGTTCTTCGCCTCTCTCAAGTTTATCAAGTACATTTACCGAAATATAAAGATGGATTAATGGCACTCAATTGATTATTAATAGGATTGTACAGATTTCGAACACTTTTAATCCTTAACTGGGACGTAGGAATCAGTCAACATCGGGGAGACTAGCCCTCCCATTTTTTGAGAAAGTTTGTGCTCTTTACTTGTGTGACAAGGCCAAGGCTTCTTACTGTAAATCATAAGAACAGCAATGTGTAATATTTAGCACGATCATGTTTTACTTATGGAGCTCAATGCCCCCTGATAGATAAAAGTTGCAGCAAATTTACTCTTTTCTGTCAATGGGCGTGATCGTGTGCCTTCAAAATGTTGCCCTCCGATGCTTCCTACGTCCCTCTTTGCCTTTGAATCCGAGTATTTGCTTGAGATAAAGTGCGAGGCTGTACCTACTGCCATCGTTATGTATACTATAATTTGTTCCCTTCGTTTCAACCATACCCCTTTCAGGTTTGCACAGACAGCTTGCAACATAGATCTGGTGTCCTCTTGTCAAACTTTGCCCAGAAGTTTATATTGATTCAAAAAAGTATTTGGCTCCTTATCCTTTTTGCCAATGGTTGTAACCAAATTTTGAAGGGGCAGATGCGTAAAAGTAGAAAAGCTGAAATCTTAATAGTTTTCCTTCCTGGTAATAGAACCAAACTCGCACCTTTGCGATCCAACTTAAATGCCTTGTATGCTGTAGTAATAAATCAATTTCTAAAGTGAGTATATTTACCGTAATTTACCAAGGTTTATCAACGTTAACTAAGCTGTAAAGTCGATCAAAATGCAGTGTTTTTTACTCCTCACCTCTATCAAGCTAGCATTTTGAGGATTGTCATAATAACCAATAGGCCGCAATAGAAATGTCTGCTGATGTCTTGAGTAATACGCTAACATATGCTAATTTCCAGGAGATAATAACCATTTTATCGAGTTGGTAGCGTTGCCTTTTTTTGTACAGTGTCTTCGGAAAAATGCTTTTGGTTTCATCAGAAGTTTAATGGTGGCAAATCATTTGATTAGTTTTTTCACAAAAACAAGTTCCATAACTCAAATTTGATGATTGCACCCGTTTATACTAGGCTCAATGTTTGCGATTGATCACAGTCTTTGATATACTGTACAACTGTACAGTCTAGGTGGGAAGGGGCAAAATATACTCCATGAATCAGGCTAGGCAACCTGTAGTAAATTCGGGAGTATAGCAAAATATAAGAAAGACACAAAGAACCCAAAGTGACCATTAGTCCAAGCTAGTTTTCAAAACATCTCGGCACGAGTTATCTTATAACAAATTTGCCTGGTTGTTTTCTGCAGTGGATATTCCTTCCTGTCTTGAAACAAAAACCTCTTTAAGGGGAAAAGGCTTCTTTCACCCCCGGAGAACACACTGCTCATATTCTAATGTTTCATGATTTCTAAGCAATCGAATTTTGGTGAGCATTTTAATGATTTTCTTTTTCTCTAAAAAATATAATTTGAAACTTCCAAAGGCTGTTTTTGACAAGCCTCTAGCCCAGGAAGCCTCGTGTACAGGAAAAGATGGTAGCTCACCATCGTGAAATTTTTGAAGTTCAGTTTCTCGGACGAAATAATGCGGCTTCTTGTCCATCTGAGATTTTTATGCGGGTTAACATCGAATGATAAACATCCGGAAATTTTAGTTAGGCAAACTAGTAATAATGATGAAATGGACTTCAGATTTCGTCAAAAAGCCAGGAAGCACACCTGCCTAGCAAAGCCGAAGAAGAATCTGGACTGTAATGAAAGTAATGTACACAAAACTTCTGATTTGGTTATAGAAATGATTGTTCACTGGGAATTAGCATCATGTCTAAGAGTTGAACTAAAAAGAAGCAAAGCTTTCCGAAAAGGATTTATTTTATGGTTGCTACATGATCTGGAAGATAATGAAAGATTTTATTGTGAAGATTGCACCCTCAATCAGAGAAATATTCTTACAAGAAGAAGGCATTCAAATGCGTGGATAAATGACATTTCGATAGACGGAAAAACAGATAATGATACAAAAGTATATAAGAACAGAGTATCGTTGACCATAATTGCACTTAGCCCGCCACAACTCCGGAATTTAGAGGCAGAATTGAAGTGGTAAGGAAAACAATTCTGGATCATTTTGTCGATATTCCCACTGGAACACAAGCCCACTTTAACCGAATTTGCAATAACGCATTTAAAATTTTTCTAAACGTGAATTTGTTGTTCCTCCAAAAATTATGTGCATGCAAATACAATACTCCTAAGACACAGCATTTTCTAGCTTGAAAATATGGTGAATAACGGAAGAACAATGTTTTCTTAATTTTCTTATGCACAATCTTACATATAAAACCGCATGCTTTGTTCCTTCAACTGCAGGCTTTGTTCCAATCTGCAACCATCAACCAGTAAATAAAGCCAATTGTGTATGTAAAGCACTGTCCTATTAATAGTCTCTAATAATAATATATTCTGCAACATTGTATTGAAAATTCGTCCTATAGGAGTTGAGTTTGACTTTAAGCATAGGAATTTTTACTGCTTTACATATTTTTATATTTAAGTATGTAAGGAATATAAATTATACCCTTTCAGCTTAAATATATGATTTTGTTTAACCAAAGAGGATTTTACTTGTGGTACTATTGTGAATTTATTCATTGTGAAACTCTTATCTTCAAAAAGAGGATTTTTGCACTAGCTCAAGTATTTTTGTTTGAGTATTCTGGTTTCCGTGAGAGTACTCTGTCAACAATTTACAAGCATAGAAAAATTATGAAGTAAAATATTCTAAAACACTCCAGAACTTATAAGTCAAGCCTCTGGCTTAATCTTTTTCTGTATTGCTTGCAGTTTTCTAATTTTGAAATGCAGTAAAATAACTTTGCAAAAATGCATGCATTTTAATCATAACTGGTCTAGTTAACTAAAGGTTAATTTAAATGCAAAGTTTTTAAAATTGAAACTTCTAAATTTGGCTTTTTATGAGTAGTGTCTTCTATCAGTCATGTTTCTTGGAAGCTTACATGGTTTTTTAGCTGCACCTATACAATGACTCTGATGCTCTTTCTTAATTAGGTCGTCCCTACTGATGCCTCTTGTTCATCAAAAATTCTGTCTGGAATATATCCTTGCTTGCCTTTCAACTCTTGGTGGAGCTTATTCTTCACTAGGTGAATGGTCAACAAACCATGTAAGTCTTAGTATCTCATTCATACTGATTTTCCTTCAGGACGGAAGCTTTGCGTTTTTATAATAATGTGATAGCGCCCTGTAATAGTTTAAGTTTGTGGATGGGTGTGTCTAGCGAAACTATCCCGAGATCATCTGGAGACAGAGTGTTGGGGAGATCAATGGCAATCAAGGTCCTGCAAAAACAAGATACTTAGGGAAAGAGTGAGAGAGATAGCCCTAGCCCCCCCCCCCCACCCAATGCTGAAAAAACGTTATAAAGAAATATTTTTTTGTGACTTTTTTAAAAGCACTGGTTTAGCCTCTATGCTTTCATTTATAAATGAATCTTTGCATATTTTTTACATTTAATTAGAACGACTGTTTTGTATTTTTTTAGGCCAAAATAGCTGGTAATATCTCACTGAAGCAACTGACAGTGGCATCAAAACTTGGTAATCCTATTTTGGCATCACATTGTCGTTTGTATCATGCACATAGTTTGATACAAACTGGAAAGTTCAGATCTGCAGCTCATATAATTAGGTAAAAACTCTTGCATATTTTGTTGTTTTCTTTATTATCCAATATCCTAAAACTAAGAAAGTTACAAGTTTGGTAAGGAGAGCAAATTATTATACACTTAGTTATACAGTGGAACCCCGCCTTTCGGACACTTCGTTAATACGGTCACTTCGTTATTACGGCCACTTTTGTTTGACCCGGAAAAACAGCCATACATGGTTTCATAAAAAACCTGTTGATGCGGCGCCCCTTAATACGGCCAACGGCCACATTTTGCGATCCCAAATAACAGGATTCTTTATAATTTCACCCCGTTAATGCGGCGATTTGTATTTAGCAAAACTGCATTAACATCAAATAATCCCTTTAATTTTGAATAGGAACTTTTCATTATTGAAATCGCTTGCTTTTTTTCTTCCTGCTTGCTTCTTGCTATTTAAATCTTAGACTTTGGTCTGTTTGGTGGTTGTGCTTCACAGAGAGGTTATTGTCCGTATCCAGTAGGCTCTTTTGAAGTTTAACACATTTTTCTTGTTCCGCAAGTCTGTAAACGCAATACCGTACCCACCACCTCAATTTACAGCTTTCCAACAATCTCACATTTGCTTTGCATCCTGATTTTGGTAGAAAACGCCAAATAATCCCTGTTCATTGCTTTGTGCTTGCTAGTTCACGTTGTGCCAACTACATTCTTGTCTTGTTTTGTTTGTAGACATTTTTTTACAATTTCATCTACATTCCCTAGAAGTTTTCTTAAATTAACATCTAACAGATGCTTAGGATATTTTTATTAACATCTACCACTTAAACTCATAAATTTGACGCTTCCTTGTTAATGCGGCCAATTTTTGGTGGCCCGTTGGTGGCCGTTTCAACGGGGTTCCACCGTTATATTTCCTTTACGTTAATAAAATCGTTAGGAATGATGCGCCTAGCTGGAGATCATCAAAAACTGCCAATTTTTTTTTCATTGATAGAAATGCTCTCAAATTTGATAAATTTTGCCTGATTGGGTGTGGGGGGCTGCAACCAGGGGCGGATCCAGAGCAAATTTGAAGGAGGGGCAGTTGGTAATGGAGGGGCTGAAAAAAGTTTCAGAATAAACAACATAACTTTGATGTGATCCTTGAAGCAAATGAACCTATCGGTCCAAGAACCTTTTTCATCTGATTCTCATTTTTCAAAAGGGGCGCACAATTTTCAAAAGAGGGGCGCCAGACTTGCTTCAACTCGTTGAGGGAGGTGGAACTGCTCCTAGTTGCCCCCCCTTAAATTCGCCACTTGCTGCAACACCTATTTTTCGATGCCAATGGGCTCCCTGCTGCATTTTAAATGCTCAGATACTCCACTACGTTTTCCAAAGGTGCCCAGTCACTTTCCAATGTCACTATCCTTTCTTAGTGTGCTATATTCGATCTAGACTTAAAACTTTAGTTTTCGTTTCTTTGAGGATCAATGTAGCTTTTTAAGGACCTTACTGTGTATCCGCCCGTAATGAATTTGGATTAAATAATAAAATCTCCGTCTTCTAGACATGAATACACAATTGCCAATTCTTCATTGGGGAAATGTGATCCGAAGGTATGTACCTTTCTGTCTCTTGTTTTGAAGCAGTTTCCTCCCTTTCCTTTAAAACCGCACTTCTTAATCCTGGGTGAGTGGGACGACGGAAGTTCTCGGTTACGAATTGAAGTAGTCTCGCTCTCAGAAAGGTGACATAATATTTGTGTTGTGATTTATCTAATTTCCAGCAGTCCAAGACGGATTCAATGGTCTTTCCGATCTGGATTAATGTATATGATCCATTTTTTTCGACTTTGGCCTAAAATCATGCCAAAGTAGGCCCTTTCTAGAACGATTAATGCCTAACGGTTTTTTATTACTAACTGGAAGCGTTAAAACGGGATGCGGAAAGATTGTATCATATTGAATTGAATTATCTTTGGAAGTTTAGATGTGAAGTCTTTACTTGGGAAACTGCTACCACACTGTTCTCAACTACAAATGCCGTTTCTTTCTCGTTGGACAGTGAACAGTCTACTTTATAAGAGCACCGGGGCTCGGTTTGCCAATAATAGGAACATCGTAAGACATGAAAATGTTTAGAAAAAGACGGTAAAAAAGACGGTAGCAACGAGTGTTTCAATGGTAACACATTTTATTCCCCTGTTTACTTAACAAAACAAATTTTATCAGCTAATCAGTTGTTGAGATATAGATTTTAGAATAAGAACAATGCTAAGAAATCTGCAGCCGTTGCTCAAAATATTAGAACATTGGGCATTGGTTGAAATTTTAAGGTGCATAAATACTATCTGATAAATATAGCAAAAACGCCCCTTTTTTTTAAAAGAAATATGAAATTTGAGATATGCTTATGATACTGGTGCATTTTCAAACATCAGTATTCTGATAATTTAAGAGGGCGGCTGGCTCCCTTTGCTTCCCTTCCTGTTGCTTACAATGTTCTTTTGCAGTATCTCTGGTACCTCAGGCCTTTGGTACACAAGGTCCCACATTAGTCGCAAATGGCTACAGGATGTATTTTTGTGTTTCTTGTGCCCGTTTGCTGCCATGACTATAAAACAAGCCACTAGGGCCTTGTTATTGTTTTTACTGCATAATTCAAGATGTAAGATGCCACCTTGAAATCATTTTATGAATAACAACATGCTAGATAAAAAAATTAAGGTTACAAAGATGATGTTAAGGCATTGCATGGCACGTCCTTTTAAAGACATCACAGATAATCCAAAATCTGATGTGTAGGAGATGTTTTTCTGCCAGTCAGAGTGCACGTGGTGTACTTTGAGTACCCGAGCCTCAAAGACTCAATATAAGTAAAAACTGTGGAGAGAAATTGCGAAGGAAAACTAGGGAGAAATGTAGAGGCGAGGATCCAGAGTCTTGTATCTCCCTTCTTTCACCATTCTCTATATCCTTTGACTATCCCAGGCTCTTGTACCTCGGGTAGCTATAGAGCGTGTCATTCGAGTACATTCATTTTTTTATAAGAAACAGGTTACAAGAAACTGTAGGGTCAATTTTTCGAAAGCTAAGAAACAACCCTACCCAAATTAAAACAAGATAAGTAACTTTTATAATTTGCAATTTTAGTTTTCCGAATTTACATTCAAAACAGTCTAGACATTGAACATCACTGTTTATTGCAACACTACACTTGACATGCAGTTTGCATTCATTCTCAGTAAATTGCACACTCAGGTAGTTTCCTTTTAAAAATTTGTTTTGACTTCAACTTGACATTGATGAAGTTCAACGAGCTTAATTGTTTACAGATCTCAACAGAGTTAGTCATTCTAGAAAACCAAAATTCCTTGATCACTTTGTTATTTTATCTCTGAATGTGAGTGAACTATTTACTTTACCTTGGAAACACGTTTAAAAAAATCATTACCTAACATATTTAAGAAACATGTAAGAAACTTTTGATAGCAAAATGACCAGAAAATTTAAGAGCCTGCCTACCAGCACCTGACCTTAGTTTCTTATAAAAGAAATACGTGTACTTGCATCGAGAAATTTCAACGAAAATTTACGACGAACACCTTTTTTCTCATTGAACACCTTCTTATTGAAAGCTTTCTAAACGTGCTTAAAGAGTTACCCTCGTTACCAGAACCACATAAGTTATGTCAGTGATGTCATTTTTGTCACAAAGCCACTTTATCATGTGCAGGAAATTACATGAATTTTTTCTGTTCTAGTTGCTGGTTTGCTGCAAAGCAGCATGGACAAGATTGCTTTATTTCCAGAAAAGACAAGCTAAAACTGCGAAGTCATAAAATGATACATGGAATAATTAAACAATCAAGGAATGTAAAATGAAAAAAAATCAAGGCCACTGATGTTTAATGATTTGACGAGAAATGGTGAATAAACTTGTTTCCCTGTGTTATTTTTTATTGCATGACATTCTTACTAGTTTTAGTTGACAATTTGAGATTAGAGATTACACGCGATTACTTCTGCCAGCTCTGTTAGTGTTAGCAATGAGTCTTTAAAATTACATTGGTTTTCACACAAAGCAAACTTGTTCTATTTGCTTTCATCGCCCCGTGTTCTCTCATTTCACCCCCTTTTCACCGATTTGGTCAAACCAAGCCTTTTTGAACAATAATGGCGGCCACGGTTCGTGGTTTTCCTCCAGGCGTGAGAACACATATCAGACTGGCAGAAAATACTGGCATGCGTATCTTGTTATTTGCGCGTGAACTTTTGCGATTGTTCAGCGACGACAAATATGACGTCATAGCCGACGGTTGCGCCAAGGTTTTGACCAATATAGCTTGAAGGCGTGAAGGTATAAGAATGCCGTAATTTCCTAAAACCACAAACACTCAAATCAACTCTTTTCAGACTAAATTGCACTTACATGAAGTCAGGCTGCATGAAAATTAGACCAAAATGAACTCATCTTCTTCATTTATAAATGACATGGCCTGGAAATTTAGAGTTGATATATTGTACATAACCTCAAATCTGCATTATTTTGCGCTTTTCGTGGTTTTTCAAAACCCGGGAATCTTTACGTGCGAAATTTTGTGAAAATCAGTGGCGAATTGTTACATAATAAATTAATAGAAATTTACTTGAACTATTTGGAATATGTTGGACCGTTACCCTGGGCACCAGAGCCGCAAAAATTTAACGGCAGCAAAAATAATGAGAGCTGCGGAGGCGAAGAAGAGAGAAGAGGAAAGAAGGAAGTGTGACGTAAAATGGGACTTACTAGAAAAACAAGAATGCTTATAGAGCAGCCAGGAAACGTGTAGAAACTGTAGTACCCTTGTACTTTAGACTTATTGGAGGGACATTATTATTTGAGATTGTTCTAGGATAAGGAGTGATTGTTTGTAAGCAACGAAGGTTTTTAATAATTTTTAGAGGAGCACGAGTCCCCCCAAGAATAATAATAGCTATGGGCCCAAGAAACGCTTAGAGACAAGTTTGTTAACAATCCATATAACAAACGTATGACGTAATCTTCGATATAATTAGTGAATACAAGAATCTTTTTAAGGCTTTGTTTTTTAACATAGTTAGGTTTTTGCATTTATATTGCTTCTTGTCTATTTTAACTACTTTCTAGTTTAAGCATACGACTATTTTGAGTAAAGGACTTGTTATTCTAAGAAGAAACTTATAATATTTACATTACCAAATTCCCAAATCAAAACTGCTTTACTTTCTTCATACTTTCTAAAGGTTTAAGGTTATTTTCACAGGGAAGGATGAACGCTTTCGTAGTATCGGCATTTTCTTCATTCTTCAAAAAGTGTTCAGTTTTATTCAACACGTGTACGGGCTTCGCAAAACAAGCTTGATAAATTTTTGTTGAAGTTTTTTAATTCATCTTCAAACAGTAAGAGAGCATGGAATGAAAAAGAACCGTTAAGTTACTCTCTACTGTTGTGTCATTTATCGCTCTAGCATGTCTTAAAATGCTTTGCTGTTTTAAACGATTTTCAAATTGTTTGCTATTCTCATTACTCATCAAATTCATTTTCTAATTTTTGAATTACGAGAATTCGGAAAATTAAAGTATTCATTAAAGAAATTAACTAGATTTAGACTAAAAGTTTCTGTTTGAGACAAGAGCTATTTCTGATCTAAAATTCTGGCAACATATTGCGCAGGTGAATTTTACTGTAGCAGTAAACTGATTCTTGCAACCAATTTCCATTGCAGTTGAAATCATTTTGAATTAAAACCCGTCCAAACCAAAGGAGACGTGTTTGCATTTTCTCGACAGTAGGATACAATCATTTTTGTATGAAGCTCGGGACAAGCACTCAGATTCTTAAGTTTCTTGTTGATTTCTGTGTTTAAAGGTCTTGAAAATTATCTTGAAAACATAAGGCTGATTTTTAGAAGCAAGGAACACATAATAAGACATAGGGCTGCCAAGAAGGTTTGGAGGCCCTGGGACAAAAGCAATAAACTAGGCCCATGGCGAGTAAAAATTTTTGCAACCACGCCCTTTGGAGTACTTCGCTCACCCATTCGCTCAATATGTTTACACTTTTAACTGTAATTTTGTTACTTTTGATTAATTTCATTTTAAATGGAATTCGTTACTTTATGAGGCCCCCATAGATCTCGAGACCCTCTCGGCGGCCCTGCATCATGAAAAGGATCCTTCTTTCAAATTTTCTGAGTCAGTTAAACAGGACAAAATTGCCTGATCATCGAAAAGAATCATTTCCACCACATGGTTTTCAGGAAGGATTTTCGAGCAGACTCTTAATGTTAAAGGTGATAAGTGGTTTCTTAACTTTTTGGTCATCCTAGGTCCTGGTTTCTCACAAACGATTTACTATAAAAGATGAGTTTAAGCCTACCTGTCAAAAGGATTAGCAATAATCCCATCGGAAAGGCTGTACATCAGCTGTTGAACATGCGATTATCTGTGATGTTTTCAGTTAGCAAAATGTAGACACCTTCCGGAACTGACCCTTAAGTATAACATCTTTTTGGAATGATATCTCTATATATATATCTAAAAGCCACATCAAAAATAGAATTTTGAGGCAAAGGCGGAAATTGTTTTCTAAATTATATTTGACTTTTATCCCTTCTAGTCGAGTTTCTAGATTTCAGGAAAGAGGCTGTTAGACTATTTCGGAAGAGAGGTTTGTGCACTTGTCTGCGGGAATGCAAAGTCTCCTGGAATTCCCTGGGCTAAACAAGCCATTTTGTTCCACTCTTGCAATGAAAACATATATATTGATTTTTTTACAAAAACACTTAATCAGAACCCCGAACACACGCTACACCTCGATTGCTGGATACTTCTTCATTTCCTTTCTAGGAGGTTTTTTCCAAACTCTGAATTTGAATGACGTCCTTTTTTATTTTGATTGGTTTTTTCAGTTTTTCCTTTTGCACGCACGATTGTAACAGTCTTATCTATCGTTGCAAACCATCTATGTAAATGAGAGGTTCAAATGAAAGATTTTCATTATTGTATATCATTTTATTACAACAATTGTATTCGTTAAAGCAAAGGGTTGAAAGATCTGGCCCAGTCTCCCAAAAGTTTGCCCACCCCTATTGTAAATAAATGTCCATCAAATTCTCATCACGAGCAGTGCACGACGTTTACATTTTAAGCAATCTTCTGGACTCCAATGCGTACGTAAATTGAAGTATGAAGAACGCCGTTTAATGGGCTTGGACATTCGTACTTTGTGAAAAGGCAACCAAAAATTACATTTGTATATTCCTAAAAAGGTTTTTTGAAGATTTGGACTTAAAAAAAGCTGGTTAGTAATGAAAGGAAGAAGTAACAATATTTGGGTCGCGGAAAACTCAAATAGAATTTCCCGTTAATGTGATAATATTATCCGTTAATAATCTCCAAGCCTGTCGAAAAAATCGCGGTAAAACTTTCGCCAAAAGTCACCACGATAAAAGCACCGCACGTGGGGCATAGAGTCAAATTTAGAATTCATCACAGTATGTGCATATCAATATTTGTCAGGTTTTTTGAAAAAACTTGTCATCAAATTGAGGCCTTTTCCCGTTCTCTGTTCTGATTGTCACGCCAAATAAAAAAACAAGGATGGCGGCCATAAACTCCTTAAATGAAGCCGTCGACATTTGACCTAAAAGAAATAAGAAAGGGAAATAAAACATATTAACTCTAGCAAAATAATATACCGTAAAAGAGGCAATTGCAGTTTAAATTTCCAGATTCTTAGATTAATCGAGTTTTCTAAATGTAACATCGATATTATAAACTTTTCTGTTCAGCGAGGCTGTGGGGCTGTCCAGCCGCAAAGGGCTTTGTTGGAATCGAATGAGGACACAGAAATTCGTGAGTTAACTTCCGCGAAGTTCGATCTGTAATCAAAGGCATACTTTAGAAGACAGGTCACACAAACCGAAAAGAAATCGATAGCTAGGAAATATAGCGATTTATTCAAATCAAACAGAATTGTTGTTTATTTTTGCATAGAGACCTGCTTGGCTCAGAAAGTATTTTGAATAACCATCGCATTACTTGTCTTTGATGTCCAGAAGGAATTGAAGTCACCTTTTCGATCATTTTTGGCATGGTTTTCTAGATTTTCAGAAGATCTAACCAGTATTGTTGTGGAATGGCCTTTTTTTGCTTCAGAAAGAAGTTACCCTGGTCAAAAACAAACCATTATAACTGCAACGGTAAGTTGTTTACATCATTATTTTTAGGTGATTTTGCGTGTCAAACGATCGGGGCTGGAGCACCACGTGTTACCATATGACCCAATTTATCATTGATTGGTATTAACTTAAATCCCTCAGAAGCCAAACATCTTTTGAACATTTTTACAATCAAATACATTTTCCTCGTGATCTCGTGCTGCATTTAAGCTTATTTCTCTTCAACGAATTCTTACAAGCCTTAAAAGTACCTGTCAAACGCGCAAATCAAATACGATTTCTCGCGTTCATGATTTGTGTCATTATATTCATTGTATTCTGGCTTAGTTTCCCTCGCAAAATTAATTACACTTATTCCGCAAAATAACCAATGTTTATTTCAATCTGTGAAAAGTGAAATTAGTTTTACCACTGTATGTTTGTGGTTGAGTTACTTGTTTACAACATTGAATTGTAAAGAACAAAAAGAAGGTTACTTTCCGCTCATTTCTGAAAGTTGTCTAACCAAAGAGATTACAAAAAAGCGAATCATGTGCGTACTACATACCTTTAGTTTCAAGGAACGAATTTAATTGAAAAATGCACGAATTCACAGGTGCCCAGTTCATGTGTGGTGATAAAACTATGAAAATAAAACAATCAACTGTTATCTGTTTTCACCTTGATAAGTTTTGTACGCAAGTCGACCACAAGGCAATCTCCTCCTTATCAGATGAACAATGTTCACCTCACGACAAAAGCTTTCAAGGAATGAATATTAAACAATTTTAGAAAGAAACAGAATGTTAATTTAAAAAGTTTTGTAAAGAATGAAAGTTGGGCATTACGAAAAGGAGTTGGCTAGGCCCAGACGTTATGGCAGCCAAAGTCTTCGGTCCTTTTATCTCATAGAATACCTGAGACTGACACAAAAATGGGTAATCTTTTATGAAACCGTGTCCTTCCTGCCTACATTTTGAATTCTTATCAATTAAATGAAGGAAGCCTCAATTTTTTGATTTCTCTTTCTGCATTGTTTAGCTTATCAGGTCGGTTTCAGTTCGTACAAAACAACTAATTTACATGAAAGGAAATAACAGATAAGTCCGGATCTCATTCAGGTCTAGTGAAATAATTTATGATAAACGTCTAACTAAGCAAACATTCGCTAATTTTGTGGTGAGTACAAGGCTGCCAAAAATTTTAAACTAGATACTGAAGAGGAGATTCCTTTTGATATTTTGACTTAATCGAAGCTTATCGATTAAAGATTGCGAAATTCAATAATTAACTTATAATTTATATATAATATATATATGTATAATTTCCATGGCTATACATACAGAGTGTATTTTCATAGAACAACATGCGCCTATCCAGTCGGGGACAACCTATCCTATCCCGAAACCCAGTTTATGGTAATTTTGGAAGTGACCATACCTTTTTCCCAGAAAAATTTATCCCTCCCTCCAATCTCTTTCTTACCTTCTCCCTTGAATTTTACCACTCGAAGAATGTTTTCCGTGCCCATTTTTCTGTCTAAAATGAAATAACCCATCTTACAGCATGGATAATTAATATATCGGATTTCTACTTATTCGATATGGTAGAAAATATTTTGAAAGAAGAGTATCTCACATACGATTTAATGAATGATAGATTTATATAATTGGTTTTTTAATTTCAAACTTTCATAATGATGGGTGCCCATTAAGAATATAATGATTCCTTAATGTTTGTATTCCTTTGCATTTAACTCATTGCGTATCATCTATCGAGGTTAAGAATGCGAGTAAACAGTTATAAAGATGGCAAGTTTTACTATGTTCATCAAAGTCGGCTTAAATTTTGTTTTGCTTTGAAGTTTTCGCAGCTTGATGTCTCTTTAAGCTATTTTTGCAATGACTCTTGACTGAAGCTTCTTATTTGGGTGCATCGAGACTTTAGGGTAATATTTTTCTAAAATTTTCGAGAAGGAACAAAATTTTCGAAATTTTCCGACAAATCCGGCTCTCTAGAAGGTGGGGGGAGAAGGTGTGGGGGGGGGGGGGGAGGTGGGGGGGGGGGTCTTTCTTGATTAGGAAACTCTGTGGACAGTTTAGCCAATTCTTTGTGGGATGCGGGGCTTGGGACACCTATTTTTTAAAAGAAACTAAGGTCCGGTGCTGGTAGGCAGTTTCTTAAATTTTTCTGGTCATTTTGCTATCAAACTTTCTTACATGTTTCTTAAATTTGTTAGGTAATTATTTTTTTAAACATGTTTCCAAGGTAAAGTAAATAGTTCACTCACATTCAGAGATAAGCTAACAAAGTGATCAAGGAATTTTGGTTTCCTAGAATGACTAACTCTGTTGAGATCTGTAAGCAGTAAACCTCATTGAACTTCATCATGGTCAAGTTGAAGTCAAAAAAAATTTGAAATGGAAACTTCTTGAGTGTGCAGTTTTCTGAGAATGAATGCAAACTGCATGTCAAGTGTAGTGTCGCAAGATACAGTGATATTCAATGTCAAGACTTTTTCGAGTGTAAACTCGAAAAATTAAAACTGCAAATTATAGAAATTTGTTAGTTTTTTTCAATTTGGGTAGGGTTGTTTCTTAACTTTCGAAAAATTGAGCCTTCCATTTCTTATAACCTGTTTCTTATGAATAAAATGAGTGTAGTGGATTCTTAAAATTTTTCAGAGGCCACGTTTACTTTGTGGGTTTTTCACTAGTCACGATAACACAATCTTTCACTTCTGAACTATGTCGAGGAGGTAATGCACATGGATTAGTATAACGAAGCTAAAAATGTGTAACATTATAGACTAAGTCAGATCATCATCCATGATCAGTGATAGCAACCTCTCCGAGATGACATGCAACAATCAGTTAGGGACATTCGAATCCTATTTCAATCCATTTTCTGATATCCACTGTGACACAGTGAGAATAAATGTTCGCGGTTTCCGAATGAACTTACTAGATAATTTTTTCTTCTTCAACTTCCTAAAGTGATTTTCTGGACTAATCTGTAAACCGCATATTTTATCAAAACGTTTCTGTTGTGACTGATCTTATGCAGACGTAATACAGGAACTCCATCTTTCTTGTCACTTCCTACAATTCTCTTGTTTTACTTTTTGACGTCATAAATCTATAGAGATGGAGGGTTCAGTGCAATGGGATGGGTTCTGATGAATTGAGGCCTCAGGCCGTCTGCCAGAACATTGCCGAGGCTCGGTCTTCTTATTTTCTGGATAGGTAGCGGCCGCTAGGCCAAACATATTTTGCGGGGCCTCAAAGAGCGGCAATGTGATGGCGTCATCATAATCTATTTCAAAAGTTTTTGAGCATTGTAAAAAATTTCAAAATTTGTAAAGACAGCTAGATCTGTTGCACTTTGGTTCTGGTTCTAAAACTTAAATAATTCAGATTTAAATTTCATTGATGCCGTATCATTAATTACAATAATAAGATAACAGTGATATTGTAAAGGACACCGAGAATTGCTTATTGGACACTAGGTATTTGTTCAGGTCCTTTAGGTGTTTTGCCATGAGTTTTCTATATCAGTTTACAATTGAAGGCTTCATTGAAGTTTAATAGTAATTCAATTATTAGAATTAGTGAACTGCAAGAAAACAAAAATAACAGATGAAGAAAGATACAACAAAAAAGACAGATTTAGCGAATAAGATTTAAGGATGAAGACATTATGATATTTTTTTGTTTTTACTGTATAGTAAGGACAAAGTAGACAAGAAAGGGTTCTTTATTAGGATTTTTAGTAAGGTTCTCTTTAATTAGTAACTTATGTTGTTCTGAATATTTACGCTTTAAACACCATGATTATTTCCTGTAGTTCGTTCGTACGGTTGATAGGACAAAATTATTGCTTTCGGCATTGTTGGGTACCTTTTTTAAAAAAGCTACATAAGACCTGTGTTTTTTATGTTATTGTTTCTGAGCCTCAATCTTGAATATTTTTGAAATTTTGTGATTCTAAGCTTGAAATTATTCTTGGATCATTCTTACATGAAACAACGTATCAGTTTGTGTTCAAATCATTGCATGTCTAAGGTCAAAATGCATCATGAACATTTTTAGTTTGAATAGCTGGATTCTTTTTAGCAGGTTCTGCATGGTTTAAGCTGGGGAAAGGGTCCGCATGAAAGAAGGGGGGGGGCTATAAAAGATGATGACCCGGCGCATAGTGAGACCTGTTTTTATGTTTTAAGAAATCCTTTTGAACATTGAACTAACTGATAATAAGTAGTTCAAAAATCTAAATTTAAGCTTCTAACAGTCTATGTCAAACAGTCATCAAGCACTTTACATGCCCAGGGTACCAGAGCCACAAAATTCCAAGCAAGGAAAAAAGATTGGAGCAGAGAAGCGGAGGAGCATCTTCTCAGATAGACGCTCTCTTCGCTTCTCCGTTTCTATCTTCTATTTCCTTGCTTGAATTTTTGTGCCTCTGGCACCCAGGGTATGCTTGACATTACTTTGTGATCATGATTATATCCTTGACGTTGATTTATATACTTGACATAAGATGGATATGTTCTTGAACGTGGTTTATTTTTCTTGATCTTATTGGAAAATTTGTTTGAAGGTCTCCCAGGGGTTTTTGGGAACAAAGGAACATAGCACCAAATGGTACAGGAACACGGGAACAACTTGAATTTTCCACTGGAAACATGGGAACATTATTACTAGTTTAAAGGAAGAAGGGAACATTTTTTATTTTTCAACAGAAACACGAGAACACGGGAACCTTGTTTGTTTTTTCAAAGGTTACCCCCCCTCCCTCTGGGAGACCCTTGTGTTTGAATTTTCCACAATTTGGCCAACCAAACCCATTTGGCCCGCCATATCCATTTGGTCTGCCATATCTATGCCCAATAATATGTTTGAGATGAGCTTCGTCTAGCTGCAGCAATGAAACAGTTTTTTGATGTTCTTCTGTGTCTGATTGTTGCATTTAGCTTGAACTCAAGATATTAACTTTCTAAAACTCAATTTAGGACAGGTCTCTCGATATCTGTAGAACAGAACGACCAAAACCGATCATAACTGAAAGTTGACAATATGATTATTTTGATGAAAGGAAGATTGGATACATGTTAAAAAGAACCTATTCGTTCTGAAATTAACTCAAAAGTAAGTTTTATAAGGTCTTAGAGTAAATTCGTGTAGGAATCACTTTTAAATGTAGTTTCTTTCCAGTGGACATTCCTGTTATTATGTTATGGCATATATGATAACCAATGGTGGTGTTATTGAAATCTCTTTACTTTCTACATAGATGCAAAAGACAGAAACAGCGCGAAAACGAGTAGGACTGGGGCTGCAGATGAAGACTATGGGCCGTATGAATGCGTGGACGCGAAGAAATCTAATGGGCTTAGTCCAACCTTTGGTAATAAAAATCGATTAGATAAATATGGTATCGACGTCACCTTGGATGGCAGCTTAAGACGATCAAAGAAAAAGAAGAAGAAACTGCACATAATGAAACCTAAATTGCACGAAAAGCAGAGCAAATCACCTGAGCGGAAGGACGAGAGGTTTAGGCTTGCTTCTATTCTTGATAATGCAACGCCAGATTCGCCAGTTCAGATAATTACATCATTAGTTGATGACTATATGCCTACCACGGAAAATAGTGGATTTCAGGTTAAAGTAGGTGACAAAGTTCTTGCTCTGTACAGGCAAGGGGCCTTTGTGTTCGTTAAACGCTTTGATGGGCTGTCAGGGTTTGTACCAGTCCAGTTATGTTTCTTAGTTGGAGAGTATGATTCACGTTACGCTAACGAGAAGCTGTTTCCATCAGAGTCAGGTTTAGTTGCAAATGGTGCGGTGATGAATCCTGATAACTGCCCTGAACATCAGAACGAGCCAAGGGAACCTTTGAAAGACATCACTGATTCCCAATTGGAGTTAGAAGAGCACAGCAAGCAGAAGAAGCTTGTTACGGTTACAGCAAATGAAATAGGAGTTGAGTTGAATGACTATGAGTGTGATAGTTTGGCTCGGAAGGTTCAAAAGCATGAAATAAGACAACTTTTGAAGCAGGAAACTGGCTTACAAATATCATTAAGTTCTAATAAAGAACTGGAGGGGAATATTGGCCTAGGATCGCAAACCAGTCTACAGAAAACAAACCCACTGCCTCCTGAGTTAGAAAATGTTTCTAGTGAAGATAGCAGTCAAGAAGCGTTTGATAAGAAACAGGAAACGTTTGATAAGAAAGCGTTAACAAAGGATTTCTCTAAGGGGCTAATTTTACCCCAACAGCCCCCTGTTGGCCCATTTGTTAATGGAGGCTCATCAAGTAGCAGAAGCAATTCTAAGCTGAGTTTGATTGAAAAGAACGGTTCCCAGCACAGTTTGAATTCCCATAAATCCAAGCTTATTAGACCAGCTTTTTCGCAAGAGCACGCAAAGATTCACCCAAATGGCCTTCGTCATAACGGTAACATTGAAAGTATGATGCAAATGCAAATGGTACCTCATATTAGCATGCATGAAAACAGCAGTCAAGGGACCCTTAACAGCATACGTGCTCATTTTGACAATCAAAGTCTTAGCTCATACGATGGCAGCATACAAGATATTTTTGCGAAGAGAAATGAGAATTCGTCTAAGTACGGCCAGAACTATCCTGCCTTAGGACACTTTTATGAGAATGGAAAGCCGTCTGGTTCTATAGAATCAAGAATACATGAACTGCTTCGGGAGAACCAGTTTATTCGGAATCGGCGATGCAGCAGCCTCCGCAAAACCGGTCAGCATGGTGGATATGGTAGGGATCATTCTCATGGTTACGGGCATGGCTATAGTCCTGCCCTCGCTGCCGACGAAAGGTCCTGGAGAATTTATGCAGAAAGCATTTCGGCTCCTGGCTCTCGTGTTATGAGCCCCTCGGAGTTTGGGTACCAGTTCTCACCAACTTGTAATGGCTCATTCGAAGAGAGATCTGCATTTGAAGACAGATTTATGTTTGCACTGCGAGATTTTCGAAGCATGGAGAAAGATGACGTAAACCTTAGAAAAGGCGAACGGGTTCTCGTTTTAAGGAGCGATTCAGAATCATGGTGGTGGGTTCGAAATAGCAATGGTGACGAAGGATTTGTACCAAGCCAGTTTTTGATTCCGTTGCTTAAGCCTACGAAACTTGACTTCGGTTCCACGTCTGACTTTTCAACGAAAAGCAGTGTCTCAAGTTATGGTGAAAAAAGAGGCAGTGATGAAGTAGACGCCTCAAAAAACAGGGACATGCATCCAGCAAAACCAACTTCCTACCAGGAACGTCTTACTTTAATTGGAAATAATTCGTCTTCAAGGCTTGTAAGAGCCAATACTTTGGGATCTGAGACCAGAGGAAAACGCGGAGTCAAAGTAGACTGGACCAAAATGTATAACACCGGAAATGGCCATGCAGAGTTAAGTAAGTTGAAAAATTTGAATGGTTATAAAAATGGAGAGGAAGTTGAATCTAAAGAAGCACTTTTGAGAAAAATTCGTAGTGAAGTTCAACGAGATCCAATGAGCCCTTTGGTTGCAAATGGACGTGCCAGATCCAACGAAAACATCAATAGAGTTAATGTAAGAAGTTTAGACATGAATAAAGCATTAAACGTTAGCAATCACAAGCGGGTTACAGAAAATGGGCCAGCATTAAAGAGCAGAGTACCCCAAGAAGTGAGCCAATCTTACGAAAGGAAATCGAATGCTGTGAAACCTGTTGATGTTGATCGCAAGTGCAAAGCAAAACCAGATTTACCAAGTTATGAACAGTGTGTGGACCAGATAAAGCGGGAAGAGTTCTTGGAAGGGCAGCTTTCTGGAAGCAATGGGGATGTCACTCAAGATTCAGCGTTGTTCTCAACCCCTCGCGTTCTAAGAAGACGCAGAACTTATTCTGGGACATTGAATAATAAAAAGGTCAGGTTCAACCAGATGGCTGATGATCAAACTGATGACCAGGTTCAAGATGACGGACACCCAGAGGTAGATAATCCGAAAAATACAGCAAATCAAAACGGAGCACAAACTTTAGGTGACGAAGTTGATCCAAATCTCTCAACATGGTGTTGACAAGGAGTATAAGAATATCATAAATAAGAAAGTTTGAATATATTTAAAGAAGTAGTTATATGTTAATTTTACGAATTCATCTAGTTCTTATTATTACAACATTATTTAAAGAACATTTTGTGCTTTATACAGAGTTATTAATATTTAGTTCATTCGTATGCATATAGAATTCTAAATGAGATTATTTCACAAGATAATTTGAACGAATCCTCGTTATAAATGTTTATATGGACATTGACCGGCTCATTTACGTTACATGGCCGGCTCATTTCTTGTGATTACTTTAGGGCTAAAGACCACAGCCTACCAGGTCAAGTAAGAGAGCAAATTTGATATGATGAGAAAGATGAAGTACAGGTATCTATATTGGTAGATATTCGGATATTCGGATATTTACTCATAATACTGCAAGAGTGACTGTTTACACAAAGATGGGGTGTTGAAAATAGATCATGAAATGTACAATCATCCTCAGCTATAAAAAACTGGGTAAATGTTTTTTCTAACTTCACATTTGCGGTAATTATTTTTACGTGTTATACCTTCAGAAGAGTATCAGATGAAAAGCTTTAGTGTGTCTAAAAATATTCGGTTTCTTTAAAGCCATGTCATCAGATAAGTGAGCAGATGTCGAATAGCGTCAGTATCTCTACACTACAATGTTTCCTTTAATGAAAACCTCCATCTTAATGAATGCGAGACGACGACTTCAGTAATGTCTACCTTTGCTACTGCCTTATAAAATTCTGAATGGGGCAATATTTCATTATTGCGCCAGTTCCAAATGCGGTTAAGTGTTAAGAGGCGCAATCTGGAAACATTCTGACAGAAGATAAAAACAAAATAAAACTCAATTAAACCAAGTTTAGGCCGTACTTTGATGTTTCTTAGCCGTTTCTTTAATCTCGTCACTGAGCAAAAAATCTGGTTATTTGAAAACTCTGCATGAATGAAGAAAAATGTCTTACAAAGCCTATATAACCTTTCGGATAACATCAGTTTTGTTTTTTAAAGAACTTACTACAAAATAACTTTGTCTTATTCAATATTATGAATTGAGATTTTCCTAGTTTTTAACAAACCTTGAGCCTCGTGCTTCATAAATGCTGTAGATTTAGATGCAGTTATCAACGCGTGACCATGACTCCTTCACGATTCGGTGGAAGATCTACGAATTTCATGGCGAACGAGAGCCGCACACTGTGACGTCAGAATGTCACCAAACTGATTCGGCTTTTGTCGTTTTTTTCCCACGGAGAGGTGCAACTTTAAAGCCTTATGACTTCTAAACTAATTTGAATTTTGCAAAAACAACTACTTTGCCATGATACACGCACCAGATGCTAACTTTTAAGTCAATAAAAAAAAAATTTTTGGCTGGAGAGGCCTTTTAACAAACCTTGAGCCTTGTGCTTCATAAATGCATGTCTCTTAAAAATGAATAATAATAACAAAAGACACTGGATCTTGAACAGGGTAAGATATTTCTTAGAACAGGCAATTATCTGAAAATCTAGAGAAGTTAGAAAATATTTAATTTTTATATTTATTTTAAATACTAGATTTGTTAAACTTTTATAGTTTTAGTACTAATTTGGTTATAGGTACATTTAGAAGCCAGATTCTTTTGCTCCTGTTTTCAAATAAAATAATTCCGGACAGTTTATCAATTTTTGCTACGTTACCTCTCATTGTAGGATATTTATCATGTGTGTTGCAATCTATTTTAAGCAAGCGACACAAGTTTAGACGACAAAGTTCATTCACTTTTGTGCCTAATTATGCTAACTTGCTCGCAAAAAATGAGAGCAGTAAAAGTTGTCATGGATTATTATCACCATGAAATAATGAAATTTATGCCTGATTTATGCGTGGGGCAAAAAAATTCCTCATTACGTAACAGAAAATGTTTTGTCTTTTGAAAAGCAGTAGTGTGATGGTTTGACTCAGTGGTTTGACTTGGTAACTGCGAAGGAGACTTAGTAATCTCATGGCAATTTGAGAAGTTGATGATGATTACAATGGAGACGTGCATTGCAGTTGGTTAGGAACGCATCACTGTGAAATGCACTAGGTTTGTTTAAAGTTACTTTGTTTAAGCCATTTTATGATAAGATTCTCAACTTTTTGCTTATGTTGTTTACCGTTTAAGGGGTGATCTTGCGTTTAGATCAGCGTATGGTTGGTTATGGTTTCGTGGCACGAGCTAATTTTCCTTCCTGAATGCGACACGAAGCGTCTGTATTGCAGCAAGCTAGGCTAGCGATGCAAATGTTTAGGTATCTCTGCATAGCATTTTTCAACTAACAAGCTTGGATCGATAGTAATTCACTGTTGACTTGTAATGTTACAAAATTCTTTGCATATTGCGTGCAAGGATTCCAATTATTGTTGTGCTCAACTGCGCTGTTCAACAACTGACCCGGTTAAAAGGACAATTACATAGTGATTACATGCATTAAGTTGAAGGCTTCGCTGTGAAATTTTGGTTCTGTGCGTCAAAATGTAGATACAAGCCAGGTATCTCCCATCGTCAGCTTGAACATCCATTTAATAGTTGTTTTGACTGGCTATTACTGGATCTCAGTAGATAAGTGGAAATGATAACAATATTGTTATTGAATCTTGTTGCTCGCCTGGTCAATGTTTTGGCGTTGCAAGTGATAATAAAAATCGTAAAACAGATGGTAATCTGTCATATTTTATGAATGGTACTTGATGATTTCTTAGAATAATTTTATCGCTTAAAATCCCTCAATGTATATGCAGAGGTCATCAATGTCATTTTTTAAAAAACCTATTGTTGATTGCATTTGGAGTTGGGCAGTGTTGTCAAATTCCTGGCAGTAAAGTATTATTTGTTAATAAATAAATTTGTTAATTTGAAGTATGGCGACAGAAATTTGGAAACTGTGTGGTTAACTGTGTTCTAGATGAAAAAATGGATTGTCATCAATTGATCACTTGATCAAGTGAAAATTTCAAATGTACAGGTCAATTTTGCTGTTTTAAAAAATATTCTTTGCTCCCTAACTAGAACTTGTATATTCCTTAAAAGTGTTCAGCATGATCTTCTAACTAGACTCTTATTGATTAAAAATTTACCTTTATAAGTTTTCAAAGCAGATGAAAACATTCATTTCTATGCACACATTTTTAATTAGAATGCTTAAAAGAATATTTATGCTACATCTAAGAAATTAATATCTAATATCTAAGAAAGTTATAAGGATATTGCTTAGCCAAAGCTTCCATATTTGATTTCTTTGTTGTTGTTTAGAGTGTTGTGGTTATTATTAAAAACCTTTCTTTGTTATGTTCAAGTGCAAAATGAAAATAACTAATTATGGAGGCTGAAAAAATTGTTTTTTATGCCTTTATTGCGCACATTTTTGTTTTATTAATTTATACTCTATAAGAGCAAGTAGACATTTCTTCGAAAACACAAACATTTCTCTTTTTTTACAAAATATATAACTTACATATTGAAAAATTGGAAAAATTTGTAGCAAAAACACTTATGTGAAAAAATAATTTTCTACTTCTCAATGCAATTGTGATTAGAACACTCTATGAACACATCAAATTATTATGTTTTGGCTATTTAATTTCTTAATGGTGTTATTCCATGTCAGATCAAGCTATTTTTCACCTTTCTCAGATATCAATAAAAGCAATAGGACAAACAAGATCAAAGCCAAGAAAAAATCCTGAAAATTATTCTGTTTTAGATTTAGGGGCATTTAAATTTTTAGGGGCGAAAAGAGAGAATATGCAGTAGTGTTTGTTTTACTCTTTATATGAAGCTTAGAGATGGCTCATTCCATTGCTTCTATATGGCATACCAAATCAATTAATATTATTGCTTTTAGACTATTATGCTCCAAAGCAGACTATGCACCAAGGTTTTTATTATCATTACTTGGTTTTATGCAATACAATTTTGCAATTTTCATTATTTCTATTATTGTTATTTGTTTTTTTTTTATTATAATTTTTATTTTTATTGTGCAATTTTCTCTCACGGTTTATTTGGCCTTGGAAATTTATTTTATTTCTTGCAATTTTTCATGACTCACCTGTGATTTGGTACATTTGAGTGCATCTGAAATTTTTTCCATGGCAAAAATGCTTTTTACAAATACACAGATGAAGACAGATATAATTTCTACTTGATCCCTCTAATTGTTTTGGATGCATCTTCATGCTTGTTCTATTCTTCTATTTTGTTTCTTATGGCCAACTACTGGGCTTTTTCCATGGAGCATGGAGGTAACTTAGTGGATATTTAAAGGCAAGGACTGCAGAGCAGATTACAGATTCAGGGGGCTAAAACATTTTAGGAGAACAAAATATGCTCAAGAGCAGGGCAATTTTTTATGGGTTTTAATTATATTTTGGAAGTTGGGGGGGGCTAAAGCCTCTGTAGCCCCCCCCCTTGACTTCTGTGGCCGCCTGTTTTTTATGCAAAACAAACAAAATTTCCGAGCCTTGCTGAGAACTTTATCTTTTCTGGTATTGCCTCTCGCAGCCTTGTGTTGATATTTTTAATATCAAAATCAACAAGTTGCAAGAGTTCATCGATATTTTCACAAAAAATTCTCAAGAATATTTGATATTTGTTGACTTCATCCAGATGGAAATCTTGCAAAAGTGTGTTATCAATTCCTAGTTCATTTCTTCAGGGCTTAACCCAGACAGATCTTTGTTGCCTGTTAAATTTTTTGCGCATTAGTTATCATTTTTTATAAACAATTGCAATCATAGTGGAAGCAGCTGCACATTTCGCATCAGAGTCAATGATAAAATGTGGCAAAGCTTTAGTGTATTTAGTGTAAGTGTATTTTTAAGCCTTAAGCCAATTGTAATTTTGTTCTTACATTGTATTAAACAAACTTACAAAATCTTTGTCATTCTTTTCTTAATTGAGAGAATTCTTGGCATTCCCATTATGCATTTTTATTCTCTAGAGTAAATAATTTCTGGACTAACATATCTGATTTTCACTTCAGAATTTTCAAAAATAGTTACAGCCAAAGATACCTAGTTTGTGTCTCTGATGGGAAAATATTTGATAAACAATTGTGTAATCAGCAAACATTGATCCTTAAGAAGGGCAAGGGGCAAAGCACCAAGAAAAAGGGCATAAAAGATGAAAGATAAAAAGAATTGCTAAATTTTTTAAGTGCAACTGGGCCACATCCCCTGATGTCCACTGCTGCCTCCAGGGCAGGTTTTCTTAGATAAAATTTACCAAGGAAGCCTCTTAATCATACAAGTAACCGCCCTCAGAATTTCAAGCTTCAAGGAGGCCACTAGAAAAACTGTGAGGTAAAAAATGCACAATAGTGCTGAGGGAATAAACAATTTGAATTAGCACAAAAATATAAGAATTGATATCTTTCAGTTGTTCTTGCTTCATTTGATATGGCATACAATACAATACAATTGAATGCAAGACATAATCAAATAATATGATATAATATGCTATAATATAATATGCTATAATATAATATGATATAATATAATATGATATAATATAATATAATATAATATAATATATATAATATATAAATAATATATAGATATAATATAGGATATAATATATTATATAAATAAATATAATATAATATAATATAATATAATATAATATAATATAATATAATATAATATAATATAATATAATATAATATAATATAATAAACATAATTTTGTTATTTAAAACATACCCTTGTATAGTTTGATATAACATACCCTTGTATAGTTTTATATTGATATTTTATATTAGTGTCTACTATTGTTTATATTGCTCAAGAAAAACATTAGCAATATAGTGGTCTTCCAGATGTGGAAAAATAAGGTTTTTTGCTCTCTTTCTGATTAGAAATCTTTCTAATTTTTTATCATGCTGAGAGGGTGTCATATTTTTTGGAATAGTAGAGGGCAAATATGTCAGGTGCATTCCATTAAAATGTTGCAGGTAGCATTCACTCTGTGATTTGTAAAACGTAACTTGGTATTGGCTTTCTTCAATGAATTGAGTATCTCCCTTGACCAAGCTCCAAATAACTGAAAAAACAAACTATGATATATGGTTTATCTCTAAAAGGCTGCATCTTGATTGCAGGAGGATTGCCCTTAAAGACATGGATTTAGATGCAAAGAGCCGGGGTAAACATGGCTCAGTTGACCATGTTTCATATGCGTCATCAATTGACACAATTCCGTTTGTTGTCATGAGAAGAGTGTTCCTTTTTTTGGATATTGATTCATTGCTTACTTTGGAGAAAACAAGCCATAAGTTCGCTGATTATGTGTCTCTGTTCTGGAAGGAATTCTGTTTAAAGAGAGGCTATGGAACAGAAGCAACAGTATTATGCGTAGCTTGGGAGGTTAATCCAGCCTCTCTTTACTCATACGAAAAAGCCTCTCAGTTATGTACTGATCCTGTACGGAAATGGAGGTTATTGGCAACGAGAAATTACCTGATCGACAACTTCAAATGCGTCATCTGTGAAGAGTTTCTGAGAGATATGTGTGGCTTAAATGGATTCAAGTTCGCACATGATGTTTTGTTATGCCACCCAAGTTGCATTGGGAATTTTTCACTCTATCTCAAAAATGATGTGGTATGAGAATACTGAATTGATTCTAATAAACTAGTGTATAACTATAAAATTGCAAACTTCTCTCTCATGCACTTAATGTTGCTTTCTCATCTCCTTTACTTCAAGGCTCTGACAAGCTTGATCCATAACCGATTTCACATGCTATTTATTAGTTACCTCAGATTGGATATAGAGCAATAGAGTGTCGTTGCTGTTCATGATAGTATCCATTTCTTGAGATTTTTATCCGTGACGTCTGTTGACTATATAAACGATTGCTGTTCATTGTTGTCATGTGATATCTGCTCTGTATGTTTGTACCAGATCATGGCTTGGTGTAGCTGTTGCTCTGGTAAAGCTGGGCCTTTCTAATCTACTGTCAGGTTTGCATCCAACCGGTAGTCCAAGTAAACAAGTTTCAAAGTAGTCCAAGTAAAGCAGTGCCCAGAAAGCTTTACGGTTTAATGGCTGTGAGCTGGAGGAAGGTTTTCCAACGATGCAGCAATTTTGAAGAAGGCCAATAATAGCATGGCTTATAAAATGAGAGGAATTTACTGTTGAGTTATAAACGAGAGAATATGAAATGAGGGGAATTTACTTAATTGAAAATTTCGTTTTTCTGACACGGCGCAAGCCCAAATCATGCAAGACTTTACTTAAATTCCATTTCTTAGAAACCTTTGTTCGAAGTATAGACGAAAATCTTGACGAAGGCAAATTAGAGTTAAAGGAAAGAAGGTTAAAGTGTCTTCTTGGCACTTCTCCAAATCTTTCTCTGTACACTTCACAGTTGTGCTGCCAATCGTATTCTATAGCATCTTTTCAGCATCCTATTTGCTGAACAACAATCTCCTAGTTTGCCTTGCTAGGAATGTTACTTCACGAAGTAGCTTCTTTTTGTGATGTGCCTCTGTTGCTTAGGGTGGGATACAGTGCAGAAACCATGTATTGCATACAATTCATTGCTTGATTGCATACACTTCATGCATTTGGATGTTGTTTTTCTGTAATATTTGTGTCATTCCTCGGAGTTTTGTAATTGCATGGATGATCACCCATATTTTTGTAACACCTGTGAAATGAAAAGAGCTCATTGCGTCTGTAGAGTGCAGCTGTTTATGATAATTCCTTTCGCAAAGCGTCTAAGATTTTATCTAACGTCAAAACCGAACGTGCTGTTATCCCATTCAAGAGACGGCTTTTAGACAATTCCTACTTTCAAGAACCTTCCCGAAGCACGAATGTTTTCGTTCATTTTTTGGTTCCTTTGGCACCTGGATGGAATTTTTTAATGTATATGACCTGGCATGTTGCACGGGACTATTAATTTACTGAAATACGCGAGGAACATATGGGAGAGTTTCGCCTCTTTAATTACATTTACGAAAGCCATCAACGTGTTCTTATTAAAGTCGTCAATATCTTATTAAATTCCGAGCTGCAGTTTTCATTACGACATTTTAATCGAGTGGTGATTTCATTTTCAGATAAATTGGTGAAGTTTTGTTCTTACACTTGGCCTATGCAATGGCATCTGAAGATGAAATCACCATACGATGGGATGATGTTGTCGATAAAAACTGCAATAATTGTTGCAAAGCTACCGAAAAATTCAACTATGACCCTTTGAAAATCAGCCCACAAGCACCACAAATGACTATCGACGCACTGCCAAAAGATATATGGAGGAAAATATTTTTTTACCTAGATTTTGATGACTTATTTCAGCTTGAGGACACATGTGAACGGCTGCGAGAATTGGTGTTATCATATTGGAGAGTTGTTTGTGAAAGAGAAAACTTACTCGAAGATCCCACACCACTGTGTGTTGGTTGGCCCTTGAACATTTACTCAATGTACTCTTTTGATAATGCTGTGGATTTCTGTTTAAACTCTTCGAAGAAGTGGAGACTAGTTGCACTGAGGCATTTGTTAATCGATGGTTTTCGGTGTGTTATTTGTCAACAGCACTTAAAGGACCGATTGAGTGTCGATGGAGTGTACTTCAATCATGATATACTTCTCTGCTTTCCTGAATGTTATCGAATTTTTACTGTAAATATCAACGAAGACATGGTATGAATATCTCCCTCGCAATAAGCATTCTTAGCTTTTCTTAAACATCTTTAAACATGCTCCTACAGTAAGTTGCTGCGTCTAGTCTCTTCATGTTTCATTTCATTTTGCTTCATCTCAACGCAGTCTGTTTCTATAAGCACAAGCAGCACATTTTGAGATGCTTTTCTAATTTCTGTCCTTTGTGTTTTTCCTTTCATCTAACACAATCGATTTCCCTCTAACACTTTTTTCAATTAACCAAAATAATCAAGCATATTTTTTCTGCTTCCCATTTTAATACTGCGTTTCCGTTTTTTTAACCACGCTACCTTATATTGCCTGTTTATTCTAGTTAAAGATATGCCAAAAGTTTGGAGTTGATGCGGATAAATTAGCCGAAACTGACCCATCCTACCCTGTGTTGCTGGTTGCGGACTTTATCAGAAAGTTACGTGAACTGGGTATTCATGAAAAGGAGGTTCTCACGGAATTGAGGCCTTACATAGGTTATAGCAAAGATCATTTGAGAGAATATTTCAACTATGTTGACAGCATTCGGAAATACTCTTTGCTTCTTTGAAGTCGAAATTCACAAAATCAGAATACAGAATATGATACAGAGTTTTCTGCTACGAAAAATAAAAAGAGAACTTTCACCGATACCACGTGAGATCGAAATAACATTATTGTATTACCTACTTTTATAGTAAATTTGGTCGAAGAATGGGGGGGGGGAAGTAATTTAGACAGCTCCCTATTGAAGTTAGAATAGCTGTGAAGATGTCAGGAAGAATTGAATTGTTTATCTGCTGAAGAGACGGCATAAATCTAATACAAAGATAAACCTTCCAGTTAGTAAATAGCCAGTTAGAGCACGAGCAAGAACAGGAAATCTTATATATGCTACTGTCGAAACGTTGATTTTCGACTGCTTCCATCTTTAAGCCTGATTTACACGAGACGAATTTTTTCGTGCGAAGCGAATTTTTCGCCGCGAATGCGCAAAAAATATGCGCAGAAGTAGAGATTAGAAAATTCGCAGCGAATTCATTGCGAAAAAGTAGAAACCATTCCTATTTTTTCGCTGCGAAATTTTTCGCCTTGTAAAATAAACCAATCAGAACAGCATTGGAAGACACCTGACTTCTGTTTTGGTTTCAGATGGCCTACGTCTTTCCGCATTCTTTTTCTCTGCCTTTAAAACGTCAATAAAATAGGTTGGTTATTATTCATTTCCTGTTCCTTGTACACAATCCATGTATGTGGATTCATATCAGATTATTATTCAAACATTTAAAGTTCAAATTGACGAAAACTGGCTTGAAAGTTTCATCAAGCTTCGATGGCGACGTTTGAAAGTATTTGAAGAAGTTATTCTGGTCTTATAAATGTAAACGTAAATCTCTCTTACCGAAAGATGGAATTCCCCCTTCTGAAGACGTCCTGAATAAATTTTTCTAATCCAGTATCGCTTTTTGCTGTTTTGCTCGCTTTTTGATACATTTAAAATTTAAAGCTTTCTGATAAGAGCACTCTTCGGACAGTCGCTATATTCTTTTGTAATACTCGCAGCAAATTCGCATAAAAATTTCTGCCAGTATAAATTGAACTTTGAATTTGAGCGAAAAATTCACAGCTAAAATATTCGTGGCGAAAAATTCGCTTCGCGCCAAAAATTCGTCTCGTGTAAATCAGGCTTTAGTACAGGCGTCAAAAAGAAAAAGACCTGTACACACTTGTTTTTATAAGACTTGTCTACAGAAATACTGAGACTCGAACTTGAAATTTAAGAATTTATTAAATATAATAACAAGGCTCATATTACATCGACCGTTTGACTTTTTATCGATCTGAGTTTCGCTGAAAAGTAACTAGAGATTTCTACCCTTGCTTACGTGGAGACCCTGGCCCCCATGGAGGAAGACCTTGGGGTTCGAATCTGCATGCAGAATAGCTATGCCCCAGTTTGTTATATTATAGAAAATGAATACGTATATATGAATCTATAAACACAGAACGTATATATGAATCTATAAACACAGAACATAAGCTATTTGACTCTGTATCTTGGGGTCAGTATTTAAGATATTACATCCTGAATCTTCAGGCCTCCAGCACTGTCGGTAACTGCCCGATAGCACAAAATGAATTTCTCTTGAAGTCTGCTAAGAATTTCACAAAAATCAAATTCATGTGATCATTAAAGTAACTTTTATGTAAATGGCTACGTTTCTTTATTTTTTAAAATCAAAATATGTAGCTTAATGTGATCAAATATCGTATATTCCTATTTCAATATGATTTTTTAAATGGAAATGTATATTTGCGAATCCCCGCAATAGAAACATTAAGGCCTACACAAATATAGGTTCTAAGTCCTTGATATAGAGAACCCATGGTCAAACATGTTTCAAAGATAATTTTCAAGAATGCTGCATCTGTTCCATGGAATAATCCATGCATAGGCCAAGTAACACATATAGGCAGTTGGCTTGCCTTCAGGATTTTTATTTGGAATTAAATTGCCAATAAGATCTTTCTCCTTGTTCACGCTACGTATGTAAAAAAGTATGCGATGAGAATCTCGCTTTAAGGACAAGACGCACGTCTTGTTCGCTTTTATCATTTCTTCTGTGAACTCTATGTATTCTACTTATACGTTGAAATTTGTGTTTGGGAGAGGGGGCTGCCCACTCATAAGCTACAGAGTCAGAATTTAATGCATGGCAATCGAAATTGTTCGATGGAAGGGGTCTCTAGTTCGGGTCTTAAAAGATAAAGTGGAATCCCCCTAGTTCGAATTCTGCAACCTACACGCATTTCATAAAGAAGGCGCAGTCCTTAAGAATCCCTAAACTGACTGCAAAATTTCAGCACTCTAAGTAACTTAGCAATTCCTTCACATTTTATTCGTGTTTTTTAAATAAAACCAGGAACAAATAAATGCAGCCTCATAAAGGTGTCAGAAGAGAAGTTAAGATGAGAAATTGAAAAAAATTGGCGAAATAGAAAACTTCATCGTTGTTATCGAAATTTTAGATGTAAGTCAGATGTCACAGAATAATGTTGTTTCTGGTGTACTCAGCTTGACAAAAGTTGCAAATACCGTGTCCTTTCCAATGCAATAGCGGTAGAAATGAAAAATATGTGCTTCAATTTTTCATATTCCTTTAGTTTTGTACCCATCCGAATTAAATCTCCCTTATAAACTATACTTCCATATGAAAAAGTGCGTGTAGCCTGGTAGATCGTAACACATCAATCAATACAAGGGATTGTTTTTAAGGCGGTGCCTCTTACCAAATACTGTAGATCTCTTGTTATCAGAAGTAATGTACGCTTCTTCTCTCTGTTTTAAAGAATGGTCTGCGTAGTACTCATAAGACAATGTTAAGCATTTGCGCGGGTTGTACTATTTTGACGTATAGCTGTTTGACGAATAAGCAAATTTTGCAATATTTCTCCACTTTTAAGTAGTTTATTTTTATTGTACTTTAAAATTATATTTTAGCTACGCATAAATGTATTTTACTGCAGTAGAAGAGATTTTGCATTATACTTATTGTTTGATTTTCTTATGTTTGTGGCATTTTCATCACTTGTATCATGTAGCTAGTCCTGTAGCCAGGGTTTCGCCAGGGGGCAGGTTGTCATTCCCCGGCGAAAAGGCAACCTGTTCTTGTGCGCAGTGCAGTTGGTGTTGTTTCTGTTGAATGACCTTGTGAAATACGGGGTTTTCTAGTCTCCTAATGTAAAATAGAACGTCCGTCAACAAGTGCAGTGCAGTGCAGTGCAGTGTACTGTCCTAGGTATGCCTTAACACGGCTAGCAACACATACAATAATACTAAGACTACAAGCCACTTGGGCTTTATGGTTTGCATGTTTAGCCTTAATCCTTTCAACTACATCTCTCTAAACTATGGACGTTACGGTGATTTGTACATCACTATATTTCGGTCGGCTGCGTAGGATAAATGCTCCAAATATCAATATACACCTTGTTTACGAAAAGAAAGTGAATGAACAAAAGATATTTTTAAAGTATACATCACATCGTAATCGCGCAGTTTTTTGTTTTAACTTTTTTCGGCCAGGGTATAGTGCTATAAAAAGAACAATTTATCAAAAACCCCAGTAGCAAGAAGTAGAAATGACCTTGTTTTTTTACATTAGCGAGGGAGCTGAGCCCCCCCCCCCCACTCATACGCCCAAATTTTTCTTGCGCCTGCCAACCATGGTGTCGCCCATAACTAAACCTCTGAACAACTTTTAGCAATTTCCAGTCAACCCTTAAACTCATATCAGTCCGCCCCTGTGAAGGCGATTGCCATACTTGGAATGGCAGCATTAAGCCTTATTGGTCATTTCAGATAATTGTGTTTTTCTTTTGTTTATGAACAAAAACCTGGGTAACTCTTTGTTTGCACAAAATTTGAAAACAACATGGAAAGCAGAAATATGACTTACTAGAGCACTTCGCATACTTTGTACGAAACGTGCTGTTGATTCATGTTTGTTTCGGTCGCCCATCTAGGCCCATCTGTGTATACATTTACCTTCTTCTCCAAACATATTTAGCACCATCTGCACTTTTGATTATCAAGAGCATGCGCAGAACTTGTATCTTGGTTAATAAATCATTACTTAGCAATGTCCTGAATCGCCGTACCTGTACGGGTCAGGCTTGCAAAATATGGCCTTGCTTAGGCCATTGCAGTTTTACCTATTCATGCTGTGCCGTACTTCACGCCAATATTCTTGATTATTAAGCCAGCGACAATATTGTATTTGCATCTCAATATGTCCGATTTCAAAGACCAAACTAATTAGAAACTCTCAAAAAAGGTACGTGTGCTTTTGAATGTAGAAAAACGTCTTGTCCTTATTTTTTACGTTAACGCCTTCCTCACTTGACTTGACTTGACTTGACGAGAATCGTTATTTCGTTCTTGTAACTGCTCATATGTTTAGCGTTTTAGCCTGCGCTCAAACACCAACAAATCAAAAGGCAGGTACTTATCTTTTGTGGTAGAGTCTGTGCGCAGGCTAGGTTTTTAAAGCAAAAAACGTGCAATTTCCTGAAACGTTCCTGCACGTTGCAAAGTTTATGTATCGGGTGGGGAACAACCGGCGAAAAGTATATGCTCCTGTTAAAATGGGAGCCTACCGATGAGAAATTTACCTGCTTTATCTTGGAAAGAGATTACTTTAATTAGAGTAATTGCTTCCTCTCCTTATTTTAGCAAAATCCTATTTCATGGTCGACTACTCACTAATATTGCCGCTTTCGGCACTCGAAACTGCGAAGGCTTTTTGTTACAGATACCTTGATTAGTTAGGGGCTTTTTGATTTGCTCAATTTTTAGATGGGGCTGATTCAAGGTGCTTATGCGAGAAGAGCGGCTTATAGAGATCATCTCAAAGTTGCCATACAAGGAGCTTTTTCAAAATTTCCATGTTCATTTTATTTGCAGGTTTACTTAATATCTCTTTCTGAAACAGCAAAGCAAATTATGAACCAAAGCACAAGATTTTTTTGTAATAAATATTGATATCTTCGTTGTCCCTAGCATACTCTTCGCATAAAATATTTTGGTTTTTAATTCTCCGCTGCATGTGCTTTTAACCATTGTGTGTTTTTTTATGTATATCTATTAAGCCCCTCGAGGGTAGGAGCAATTTAAAAATTGTTCTTCCAGGATGGCATCTTACATTGGATTTGGGACCCAACTTTTTACACCTCTTTTATTTCTATAATTCTTATCTTGCTTATCGCGGAGCGCTGATACGTTGTTGCACATGGTTTCCTTGGACATTATCTTGTCATGAATATCCGAAAATCCAAGTTTCTCGCCCCTCCTATGAGTTTTCTTATCTACGCCACTGTCTTACACCAGCCACGTAGCTGCACGGGGGGGGGGCACGGGGGGTTTTGAAAATTTGGTGTATTTTATAATTCCATGACCTTGACTTTGTCCAAATATATCTGTTTGTTATATATCTGTTTTCTTGTTTTAAAGCCTGCCCCCCTCAGGTATGGTTCTTGCTCGAGTTTGCCCCCCCCCCTAGCAGACACCTACAGCTACGTGGTTGTCTTACACCCTCTGACCATATACGCCCCTGATCAAGGAAAAGCATAATTATCAAAATTTTAAGCTATTAAATGTTGACCCAGAAGAGAAAATTATGAAAGAATAAATTTAGTCCGAAATATAAAAATTCTGCTTTGTCTGGCTGATTATCTTACTGCAGATATAAATAGCTTGTTTTCACCAACGTGGACTTTGACTTTTTTATATGGAGTGTACTTTTTTGTAAAATTGATTTGAAAATTTACATAATTTTTTCAGAATGACCATGAATATAGCTGCTGGACCAGCTAGAAAATGCTCAGAATGCGAAGTTAATTGCCAGTGTGGCTGCCAAAGTAACATCTTTTCACTACCCCTTGAAGTTCTGGAGCAGATTCTTCTATACGAAGATCCAATCACATTAACTGCTTTGGAGAGAACCTCGAAATACCTCTTTGCCGTGGTGTCTAATTTCTGGGTGAAATATTGTAAGCAAAAAGAAATTGACACAAAGCCTACACCATTATGCCTTGGCTGGAATGGTATGATAGACGAGTTCTATTCCTATGACAAAGCCGTTGACTTATCACGTGACGCTAAGCAACGATGGCGCATTGCCGCAGTGAGATGTTACTTGAGAAGAAATCGTCAGTGTGTTGTGTGTCGTGCCAGTTGTAGTAATATTCCCTTGAATGAGCTCTTCACAGCCAATAATGATGTCCTACTCTGCTACAGATGTTTTCCTCATTTCACAATCACGATAACTCATGACCTGGTAAGTTTTCCTAGAGATGTTTTTACATTACGCTTAGATTCTCATTGAAGAACAATTTCGACATGATTATGGTCAAGTCTATTGAGAGAGATTTTTCTGTTCAATGCTGTATATATGTTCAGCTAGAGACAACGAGGCGGCAATGGGAATTCAATTCATTGTAGATTTCTAAGTTAAATTCAGTTCAGTTCAGTTCGGCTCAGCTCATGTCATTTCATTGATATTAAGTTCTAATCTATATTAGGGTTCAAATTTTGAATTGTACTGTTGCTAAACTAATAGAAAAGAAGATAATGTTTTTGAAAAATATTTGTAAAAGAAAGAATTATTCGTGTTAGAACAGGGACGAGTAAAGAAATTTAGTGTCTTATGTTCACAAAAAAGTCGCTGGGGACCCTCATCGTTCTTTCAAAATTATCTTGTTTGATGGGATGATTGCAGAACTTATGTAGAAATGCCCAGAAGCTATTTTCCAATCAAGACGTTAATTTGGGGCAAGGAGAATTGGCAGGTTCATTATACCGTGGACGTTTATATGTCTAAGATAGTCATATCCGAAGGACATTTTTTTATAATGGAAATGCTATTGCTTTATATGAATATCCCTATAAATCCTTTTGTTTTGGTGGAAATCTCGCATGCCATTTACTGAGTGAATTGCCCCTCGACTTCCCCCGCCCAATATTTCCATTTTTGTGTGTATTTAATGATTAAATATAAACGGGTAATGATAGTTTAAGTCTTTTAGCATTTATTTATCAGGGTTCTTCTTAGGTTTCTAACTAACCTTTCAAAAACTTCGTGCGACGCATACAGTTAATTGGTGCGTTATTACGTTGGTAATGCTTAATTTAGTAATACTTTTTTCTACTTGTGTAAATATTTGATATCAATTTGTTTTGCAATGATTTCTGATTTCTCTTTGCAATTTGTAATACAATGATTGTAATTTCTTATCAGGTCCATACTCTAAATGACATTGGTGTCGTGACAACCAACCTTCATGTCTCCTTTGGCACTCTACTCTTGTCACGTTTTATTAAAATCTTGAGATCAAACAACCAAGATGAAAGTGAAGTTCTACAAAATCTGAGGTCCTTTGCTAGACCAAGCAGCCTGTCACCGATCGACATACGGCGATCAGGACTGATGAACATGGCACTTCCGGCAAATGTGGACCAGTATCGGAATGTCACAGGAAGGTGCTGCTGTTCAGTTAGACAATGTTCTGCTGCGAGGGAGCATGTTCCATCACAACCTCAAAGTTCACGCGATAGGACACGCGAACGTCCATTTTACATCATTCTAGGAATATTCCTGTTTATAAATGCATTTGAGTTTGTGCATGCCTTGGTTATTATGAGGCACTTTAAAGTGATCAGTATAGCGCGGGATCAAACAGCGCACTTTATTTTGGTTGCATTTATTGAGGTGGCATTGCTCTTTTTTTGCTCGTGTTATTTACTCATAAACTGCTATAGAAGGCGCAACAAAGCAACATGGAATCAATCGTTTGCAAGTATCTTGCAATGCTTTCTTCTAGCCTGCTTTTTGGTTGAGATCAATGAAGCTGTTTTGGCAAAATCATATGCAGGACAGTACACGTCTACGATGAAGAGTTTCTTTAACAACGACATGAATAGCACGGCTCATGCCTTGATTGTTACAGAAAAACTCAATTGGATTCAAAGAAAATACAACTGTTGTGTTCGGACTGCTAACATATCTGAAGAAGAGAGACATACAGAACCCAAAGCATTATCACCTACCACCAGTCTAAGTAAATGCTGCCCAACATCATCACCCCACTGCAAGATGACGGATTTAGAGAACCTTTCAAGTTGCTACTCACTTTTAAGAAGTATCATTATCCCTCTCATTCAGTCTTTTGCCTGGACAAACATTACTTGCTCTGTCTTGAGAATATTTCACCTACTTTACATTTGCATTTTATTCTATGTTTTTCGACGGCTTAGGCAACCTGCTAACAGTGCCTCTATCCAAACAATCTTCACAATGACTTAACAACCGACTTCGAAATATGAAATACAGATGAACATCTACTCTCGACTCTCGAATTTGACCAGCTCAGCGTTCTCCAGCCTTTAGTGCCTGACATTTTAGTGCCAATGTTTGACGTAACGTACTTCTGCCCTTGATTCTTCATTCTGTTAAACCACATGTTAGTTATTAATGTTTATCATATCTGCTTTGCAACTGTTTAAGAAACTTAGGTTTTTGTTTAGATTTTTGCTTATTATTTTCTGGTTAGAATTTCAGCATCATTTTATACTAATAGCAGTCTAAACAAAGATTTAATTTAAATCAATGAAATGTATTATTATTGCTTATAATTTTAGGACGGATATCATTGGTTTTAATTGATTTTGAATGTAAATCTTACAGCTTGTTTTTCTTTAACTACTGTTTTGGCGAATTAAGAAACAGCTATCTTCAACAAACTAAATAGAATTTTTTTTGTTTGCAATCAGTTTTACTTTTCGTGAACAGTACCAACATGCAGAAAGGAACCCAATTGGTTTGGCAGAAATGCCGTCCTAAAAAGTGCAGAGGGGGCTGTAGTGAAGGCAACCTCGACTCAAAAAGACTAAAGTTGATCATCCATGGAAAACCTATATCATAATAAAGGGTGCCAACCTCGTGCCAACACAGATTTCGTCCAAGGAAACATATGTTCGTTTGTTGAGATGGACTGGGCCCCCATATCTCTCTGAATTTTACCAAGGAAGGCTGAAACCCCTCCCCCGAGCCCCCTCAACGACACCTCTAGTTCTAGACCAATTAACATCTTATGGTGATACTAAATAGTTTGAGACACATGGGAGGGGCCAATGGGAGCTGTAGCGCCTGTTTTATTAAATAATTTGATTTGTGTGTCAGCTCGTCGCTAATGCGAGTTTTTATAAAAAGTTTGAAGTAGATTCAAACTAGATTTGAATTAGTAATATAGGAGGTTGCATATCTCAGTAGGCTATGGCAAAGCTATTTGGTAATTAGAAAATGTTTGATAAATTTTTTTTAGGGCGTGAATTAGCGGTTTCTACTTCTTACAGAGGGTACCCAACATGTTTTCAGGGATACAGGAATCGTAGCTTTTTGAGTCAGGAATCGGGAATTGGCAAATTTTTGTGAGCGGGATTCGGGAATCGATAACATCGGGATTCGGGAATTGATGGTCGGTAATTGGGAATCGGGCTATATTCCTAGCGGGAATTCGGGAATCAGGGGGCCTATTGGCTACCCTCCTTACATGTAGATTACGAAACAGCACAAAAACCCAGCCATTTCTAGGAAGGGGCAACTGCCCTCTAGCCCCCAGCTATAAAGGGTCATGCATGAAATACGTTGCTTACTTTATTCGCTCCGATATATGTTTGGCCTCAGAGAGAGGGCGCTCGTTAGCGAGGAGCGCTCATTGAAAAAAGGCAAAAATCCACCAATAGAAAAACTTGACATTGAATTTCAAACGATCATTGTTTCTACAAAGACCAATAATATTCAATTTACCTCACATTTGTTAAAGGCAAAACATTTACAAGATGTCAATTTATTCCGAGTTGGAACCCTCGTTGATTTGCATAAATTCTAGTGTGGTATCTTGAATATCTAAATTTTCAATAACATCGAATGGATTTTTATCTGGTTCCTTTAGTATTTGCAAATAATTTTCCCTATGGATACGGTATAGGTTTTATCAAATATGTTTTAACTAGTGACTATTGCGATGATCTGCTTGTCTCCATCAGCTTTAATAATATTCTAGGGGCGCTCATCAGAAAAGACTGGACATTCAAATTTGTGCTCAAAAATAGGGCGCTTATTGGAGAGAGGTACTCATTAGATAGAATACGGTATCACTTATCCGCAATAATTGCTTCTTAACTGGTTGCTTTTTTAATAGGTGTAGTTCTAAAGATGTTTTGCTATTGGTTTTGCTTATGATTGGGGTGATTTTTTAGTTAGATCAAAATATAATCTGCGTTTGAGAAAGTTCTCAGTTTTGCTATTTCTGACGTATTTTCTTAAAGAGATTCTATTTCAGGAATTTTTGAAAAGTATAGACCACTTTTTCAAATGAATTACAAGAGCGCTTGCGGGGAATAAATTATACTATTTGCTACCGCTTGGTTCGTGTAGTGGATTTGGTACTGGACACCAAAATCAAAATTCAGTTTTTTCTGGCTTTTTCTGTGTTGTAAAAATGCGTCGAGTCAGCATGATTGTGCGTGTGTTGTTGTCGTTGTTGACAACTGAACGTTGCAACCTTGAAGACTGTACACAACAGAATGTTGTAGAGCTGTCATGGCGTCGTATTTTGAAGAACACAGCTCTGACAGTTTTACAGAGGACGATGAACGGATGAACTTTCTTCTTGAGTTAGCAAGAATACTGCGAAGGTATGCAAAAAGATTAAACCGTTCAAATGTGGAGGGAATTTTCTTATTCAATTCATTCCTCCTATTTATAATTATATTATTGGTTTTCCCTCCGAGACATTTTTCTCACTTTTCTAACTTAAATGTAGTTTGTCCCAACATACAAAGTTACTCTATGTTAAATTACACTAGTTACACCTACAGTGTAGTACAATAGAATAAATTAAATACTAAGTTACAATATAGGTAGTAAATAGCTATTTTTAAATACAATAAACAAATTCAAAATTAAAGTTGAATGAATACTAACTACCATACGAAAATGAAAAACAAAAACTATTAGCATTCAGGGGCAAATCCTGACTAAAGGAGCTGTAGCTCAAGCTATAGATGAATTTTCCGTGTTTGATTTTAGGAATTCAAAGTTTCCTTGAATTTCTTCAATTCAAAGTAAAATGTGTTTATCTTTACTTGTGTTTATCGCTGTTATCAGCATTTTACAGAAGCGTCTCTGGCTATCAAATGCAATTTACTGACATACTGTGCTGAATGTTTCATCACCATGCATCGATAAGATGTAAAATTTAAACAATGCATCAGATAAGATGTAAAATATGAAACGCAATGGTTTAATATAGAAATTTGGGTAAATCACAAGTTTGGTTTTTTGACAGTAACTAACCAGAACTGAGCAATAGTGGATATTCCAAGCTACCCATGGGGATTTGCTCAGAAAAACGCATCAGAGACAATGAAACCCATGCTAAAATTGTTAGTGCTATAGTCTGGTTTGAAAAATGGCTGCTTAACCAATAGGATATAAGAATCCACAGTATTTCACTTCTGTTAACCTGGGGCAAAACACTAGACTATAGCTCATGTTTGCAAGGTCAGTTCCAATTATCACAGATACCAGGCCAGGGGCTCCGATACAGGATGAAAGGAAGGGGGGCCAAGGGAAAGTTAAAGACCCATAATAAAATATTTTACGAAGAAAGTTTATTAAGAAGGTTAAGTAAAAATATGAACCAGATGAGCCACATAATTTAAACATAGGAGTCAATGAAACAGAATTTCAACTCAATTTAGTGATATCAATTTGCTATCATTTCATTCGTGATATCATAAGGGTCCATATACAATAATTACTTTGTGCAGGCTCAAGACTCTTTTAGACATTGATAACATTATTAATGTCTAAAGTCTTTAGCCTACACAAAGTAATTATTGAAGGAATTTGCAGAAGTATTTCTTAGGCTTGGATTTGAAAACATACAGGAACAACATATAGTGTTGCTGGTTTCAGGTTCAAGTCCATAGTCAGTAGCTTAGCAAAAGGGGGGGGGCAAAGGCAATATGAGCATGAGAAAATAGGGGTCTACACCCTTTTAAATGCTAGAAAATGCCCTTTATCAAAGAGATTTTTTGCCTCTGCCCACTCCTGCCGCCACCTCGATAAGCCACTGTCTGTAGTCATGCTTTAATCATTGCATGCAAATCCGTTGCTAGCATATCAGTTTTTACAGACATAGCTGTAAACATTGCTCTCAAGAGATCAGATATATTATCCTTTGTCCTCTGAGAGCAGACTATAAAGTATTTTTGCTAGAGGAACACCAGAACAATAAAAATCAATTTTGCAGATAACGAACGGTACGCAAGAAATCTTGAGTGAAATTGTAGCAAAGGCTTTGGAAGTGATCTTGTATTCTTTGCTTTTTTTTCCTGTGCAGGCAGAATGAAAGATGAAAATTATTGCACACCGAACAAACTTCACAGTTTGGCTCTGAGATATTCAAGATCCCTTTTGTTGGCATAGGCATTTCAGCCATGGATTCTCAGTGCATATTTGTTGCATTAATAATAACAATGCAGGTTATATCTATTGTCTGTTCTATATCTCTTAATTCTTTGTAGGGTGCTTAGAGAGCAAAATGTCCAGCTTGAACTACCAATTGAAGAGTAAGTTGCAGTTGTAGCTCTATGTTGTCGTCTACTTTGCTATGAATCAATCTCAATGCTTGCACCAATTGAACTTACATCCTCATTTTTGGATTCCTCCAAAGTTCGTTGTATGACTTTTTTGAGCTCAGATTTGGTTTTAAAACCATATTGGCTAGTTAAAATAATGTGTAATTACTGTTTTTTCGTTATCATACTAGATTGCTAAGTTTTATAAATGCATTTAGGGCCTGGGAGTCATGAAAGGAGTAAAGTCTCCAAAAGTGCCCATGATATTGAGTCATATGATTTTTTGATATTGGTGCACCTAAACCCTATCACCTCCTGATTCTTTCATGTCAATACTCTTTGCTTCACAGAATGCTTACTGAACACCTAACAACACCCCCAGCATCAAGAGAGTTCATTTCTAATCTACCACTAGCTATGAATATTGGAGGTAGGGAGGTCCTTTCCATGTTCACAAATTAAATATTTGTCCAGTAGTCATTTTTTCTTTATATAATGGACTATATGATATCATCGCGTTTTCAAATGATTTAGATTTCGAATTGTTTTTAAATGTTTGTATCTTCCATATACCGAATTTACTCTAATATTCCCGCTGCGGGATTAGCGTTTCAACCCAACAAAAAAAGGCGGGATTATTCGAGAGGCGGGTATATTGGAGAGGCGGGATTATTTTTTCAATGCCTTGAAGTCTAGTTTGAGGATACCGTTTCAACAAAAAAGTCTTTTAAACGTGATTGTGGCAAGTCAGAGAAAAAAATATGCAATTTCAACATGAATAGGGGGCTAAAATTAAATGGGGGTGGGATATTTATTTTCACAGACAAGACAGAGCAGATATTGTGTCTTATAGACAGTAGCACAAAATCAAAGAATCAAACGTCTTTTTATGTTGCGAGACTTTGATGTTTGATAAACTTGCAAAATAAGACAGCTCTCTGCCCTCTCCCGTCTATGACGTTATCATGGTATTTGACCCATTCACTCCAAGCATAAGTTTCAATGCTTGATTTTCAACCCATATAAAGTGTGTAAAGAATAGCAAATGCCAATTAAAAGTTTCAATCCCGCATGCGGGATTATTCTTACAATCTATGAAATACAAGCGGGATTACTAGAGAGGCGGGAATAAAAAAGAAGCGGGAATATTAGAGTAAATACGGTATAGAAAAATTCATTTTCATTTGAAAATATATTCTTGTAGATTTGGTCTTTGGAAAAACCAGATATAAAATCAAGTATAAAATGTTATCAAACGACTAGAGGTATAAACTCTTGTACCAATATTATAAATCATAATATTGCCAGCATTTGAGATGGTTTAATGTTATTGTTAATTTTTTGCTTGGGGCAATATTGTTTCAAATTCTCAGGCACTCATTGAGTCACTTTCCATGGCTATTTTACAGTGCACTTTAGGAAGTTGTGCTTGTATAAAGCCCCTTTCAGGGAAGGCCTGATTTTCACAAACATTCAAAAATGCTTTATTGTTATTTAAATAAAAATTCCTTTATCCTACTACAGAAAAGTGTCCCATTTGTTTGGTCGAGTTCACTGTAAGTATTTATTCAAAGATTCAATAATTAAAATTGTTCAGCTTCAATTAAACTATTTATTAAACAATCGATGCTAGGACTGCTAAAAAATTTGTAACTATTCACAGTTTTCTGTAACTATTATTCTATCTTAAGATAAATTCAAAATAGTAATAGTTTCTTATGAAGTTTATAACAAATTACACTTGACCGATTGGATACATTGCTTTTTGAATTTGACAATCTTCCCTCTCCTCCATTCAAAATTTGTGCCTATATACTTGAATAGCAGATATTTCAGCTTCAAGCATTTGAGATACAATAATTTACAAGATTAATTATTCTTATTTCGGTTTAGGAAGATGAATTAGGGAAGAAGCTTCCCTGTAACCACTGTTTTCACAGTGACTGCATCATCCCTTGGCTTAAAAAGGTTGGTTTTTAATATTTACCAGTTTCTACCAGCATGAAACATTTCCTGTCATCTAGTTGTCCTACAAGCCTTTAATCTATGCTGAATCAATAGATCAAAAACTTAAGTGTTTAATATTTTTTCCTAATTCTGGAACTCCTCTGAGAGAGCTCAACCATGAAATCCTCTGATGTGAAAAAAGTTTAGTATGTTAACTCTTCGCAATTGTGAAGAAAAAACATAAAAATATAATGTAAAATAGATTTTGTAGTTTTGCCTGCATCTTATTCTCTCTAGACAAATTCATGCCCTGTTTGCAGACGAGAATTTCCAACAGATAATGCTGCATATGAAGAGTACAGAAAAGAAGTTGCAAGGGTGAGTTAGCCTTGATAGCATTAAAGGCATTTTAACTACCAAATCATTTTGGAATCATATCATTCATAGGATTCTTCTAGGTATAAGAGAAGCATTCAGCTTCTCTGAAACTATGCAGGTTTATTCCCAACTTTTTTAGATTCAGTATTTTTTGTTTCCAGTATCACTTTCCCAGGTTAGTATTTTCCTGACCTTAATGTCTTTTAGTTTCTTTTATAGTTCACAAAATATTTGTGTCCTATTCTGCTTTTTATAGGAAAACAATGTCGACCACATCCATCGTTTAGAAGAACTTCATGGCTCAATGTTTTCATGAATTCAAGAGATTTGCCAATTATGTTCATGGAAATGTGTATTTATCAGAAAATTAAAACTTTATGTAGTAGCCAGGAAGGTCTAGACCTGCAATGTAGTAGAAGGGTTTTCTACAAAGCAATATTGTCTTAACATTGAAAAGCACAAATTCAAAAGAATACTGAGTTGAATAATGATAAGGACTAAGTATATTTTGTTCCTAGAACTCTCATCACTTGCCCCTGCCAAATATACTGACTTTTAAAGCTTCTAATTTTTATTGTGATTATTGGTTCACTTGATTCTTATCATGAAAATATATGTGTATTGTATTTAGTTAGTACTTTCTAGATTTATTATGAAAATGTATCACTATTTTTGCATTAAGAATGAGTATCTTTGTCAATTTCGGTTGTATATCTGTACTTGTAGGACCAATTTTAAAGATAGAATAAAAAGGATGTCTTTTATTTTTCAAGGCCTTTTTATCTGTGTTTCTGTTTAAGGTGTTTTCAAGTCATAATTTTGGATTTGAGCTTAACATCTTTGCATGATTATACAATTTTAGCTTTATCTGAAGACTTTATTTCAATTTACCAATAAAGCTTTTTATTAGTTGCTTGATCTGCTAGAATCATTACATTACAAATATCACAAGAGTCATTACTATAATCATTTCAATCATTACAAAATATTAGTTAAATAATTCATATAATCCTTAAAGACCGCAACACCCAAACAACAATTACTTTATGTTATTAAAGACTGGTTCACATCCCAAGCAAAGCACTAGTGCACATGATGCCTTTGCAGAAATCTTGCTATTTGCGTTCCATTTTTAGGTTATATTTCCCCATCCTGAAGGACTTCTAGTGACCTTTAACAAGAACACAGTTGAAGGACAAAAAATATTTCAATTTGAATAAGTTAAAATACTGCTTTAGAGAACAAGCAAAGACAACAAATATAGAAGGTAATTTTGACTAGAAAAATGTTCACAAACCAAACAGTACAAACAACTTGTTATGTAAAGCAAAATTCTAAATCAGTAGTTCTTAAAATACACTGAACCTATTATTTTTTCTAGCTTAGAAAATTCAAATCATTCTGTCACAACAACAAATATGATATATGAATGATATCTTTATAAAGCCTCATAAAAATTCTGATCCAGAGGGAATGAAAATATATGTTGCTCAGTCATTAAGTTACTTATAGGGTTGTAAAACTAAAATCATGTTTATCCTCCATAAAATTACTATGTTTTGCCATATACAGTGGTTCACATGTCTTTTTGGGGATCTTCTAATTGTTCTAATATGATTTAGAAAAAGTCATCCTTTGGCTGCAGAAAATATGGGATATAAGATTTTAAACTTTTTTTTCTTTTAATCTTTTTACTGTAAAAGCTTAAAACCAATTATACAACACATCAAGCATGACTATAATTATGACATTGAGCTCTTATTCTTCTCCAGAACTGTTTTTCTTCCTGTCAAATGGATCATTCCAAATTTTCATACCTGTGGATGTAAAGAAAAATGAAAAATTTAGAGAGTGAATTATCAGTCAGCAACTATATCCAGTTAATCCCTTAGGCATATTTTGCAAGTTATGAAAAGTTGGTAGGGGTTGTAGACCAGAGTAACATAGACAGGTTTAGTTCACTTGAAGGAGGCAAATTTGAAAATAAATAGGGGGTGGGTGCAACCCAAAATAATCCAGGGAATGTCTTCAGTAGCTCAGTGTTTTATAAAGCAGTGTCTCCTGATAAAACCCTATAGTTTACCACCAAATGTGTCTTGATAAAAACCCTATGGTGTACTGCATGGATATCAAGATAAATCAATGAAATACCTCTACATCGACCCTTAAAAGTGCACCAAGGCAGCTTATTCAAAAAAGTTTCTATGGTTCTTCCACATACATACCACCAGGCTGAATAGCTTCTCTGTCTAAACCTTCTCTATTCCTTTCTTGGACATTATCTGTAAATGAAAAAAAATTTTTAACTTTACTTTCACTTAAAATATCTTTGTGACACAATTGAAAAGCATGCAATGAAAAAATTGATTTCGCAGGAGCAAAATAAATTGATATATGTCTTGCCAACAATATGAATTAAGAAATAATGTTAGAAATTGTTAGAAAAAGGAACTTGGGATTCTGAAGTACGACAAAAGCCATTTCATCTATAATAATTTTGATGAAATGAAACACAGATAAGAATTGCTCAATCGCAACAATGTTATATGTATTACACTCTACTTACTATAGCCATTTGGATTAAATTTAGGGTATGCATAAATTGGGAGCAAAGCAAGACCAATGGCAGCAGCTATTCCTCCAAACAGAAATAAGTCTCGTTTTGCCATCAATGTTTTGGGCTGGAAAAACAGTTTTCACGTTTAAGCACAAAGCAATTATAAACCAATTAATTGATACAACCAAGACATGAAATTGATTTCTTATTCAAATTTCCATCAAACTTTTGAGTCAGGAATTACACCGGATGGGTGGTCCTAATTGATACCGGATGTTAAATAATTACAGTATCCCCTCTTTCACACCATATTTCAGAAAAATTAGGGATTTAAGGGATCTTTATTGATATGTTTCATTACTTAACAAGAGACTGAATATTTTAAAAATTGTTTTGAAAATATGGCTGCCCTGCCACCCTAAAAGGTCACTAAAGCTAAAGCACCCCATATTTTATGCTCCTCCTGAAGAATTTCAATAGATTACTTCTATCTTACATCGGTATGTTTTTCAATAGGGCGTAGCCCATTAGGGGTAAAAGGGGCGGTAGCCCTAAATAACTCCTAAAGACATGATATGATATATTTTGCTAGCACCAGCTGAATGCAAATATAGATATACAAAAAGTCGTTTTTGTGTTCGCCAATCCTCTATTATCAATATACAAACGTCACACGATTGGCATGGACAGTAAATTTACCTTCCTAGGAACTACTACTGGCTGAAGTTTGCCAACCCTTTGTTTCTTCCACTTCGCGGCTTTTTTAGGCTTGTTGTTAGATCAAGCGTTGTTGTTGTTGCATGTCGACGATACTCCACCAATTAAAAAGCATGGAAGCCGTCACGTGACTATGCTTAAATGATGGTCTCGCTTCGGAACATTTTCCACGTTTCTATGCGAAGTGCGACGTAGGACTGTTAGTTGAAACTTGTACTACAATCGCTCTAATTCTTGATTAAATAATGGCTGAGCAAAATATCATAGACTGCTCATCAACTGCACAGAGGGATGAAGATGACGACGTTGGGTAAGTCTGACTAGGAGCAGTTTTCGACGGCGCCTACCTAATTTTCTGACACGAGCAGCCTGCTTATTTAGGCCATTTCTTTCTTTGTGTTCATCTCTAGATGTGTACGGAGCGAAATTTATGGTAATTTTAAGCCGATTTGGTTACTTTTATTGAGCTATTACGGGGTAGTTTTTTGGAGTTAATTTGGTCATTTGTAGCTTTATGAAATAATTATGCTAGTTGCGCGTGGTGTGTGTTGTGGTGCTTATCTAAAAATAACGACGACAAAATTACCAAAAAACAGAAGTACCAAAACGAGAAAAAACTTTAAACTCGATGTTATTTACATGATAACGAGAACGTGCTTGAAACTTCGTGTTTAAGCAGTCTTGCCACGACATATATCTTTAAATAAATATTTACATATGCTACATACCTATATTGCCATGCCGGGATGGTTATCAAATTGCCTGTTATCGCAACTCAGCCGGTTGAGTATGGCATATGTAGCCATGACACAAGTTAATGCCAAAAATTGTTTTTTTTCAAAAGGGCAATATACCAATTTGATTTGAATGTCAATCAGTGGTTCTATGTCTTAGGGTTGTCAGTTGTTTATCTTAATATTTGCTAGAAATTGATTATAGATTTGAGAATCTTTTTGTTGAAATATGGCAGTTTCTAATGAAATATGGCAGTTTCTAATGAAATATGGCAGATTTTAGATGTGCAAGAGCAAAATTTCAAGTGTGCAAGTAAGCACTTCGGTTTAAAAGTGCACTTCAATTGTGTATATAGTTTCCACAACTGTCTTAGAGCACAAAGTTAATGCCAGGAAAATTGATGCGATTCTTAGGAATGCAATATTATGCCAATCTTGAGGAAACTTGATTCTTCATTTGCCATAAGCAATTAGACATACCCATGTTACATCCAAATCGACACACCCTCACTCAAAATGCCACACCCTTTGTCAGGTGTGCAGGAACATTTTAGAAAAAATATCTTGTGTGTGCACTTGCCACACTCTGCAGCCTGGGTCAAAATGGAACTGAGATTAGAAAACTTACTGAAAAAATACTTTGTGATATTTTAAATTCTATTTAAACTTGAAACTAAAATGCATTTGAAAAGTTATGCTAAATCTTTAAAAAATCTGATGGTGCAAATAAACTTTGTTAGAATTTGAAATTATTCCTAAATTATTATAAATTATTCTATGTCTAAATGTTTACAATTTCTCTAATATATATAGAAAAATTATTGTATTTTCATTTCATGATTCCAAATCAATGCCCAATCTCAAAACAATTAAACCAAGTTCCAGATATCAAGATAGTCAGATAACTGAAAAGGTGCCTTCCCAGTAACTTATATATAAACAATTGACAAAGATATATATCCTGCATTAATCCTTTATATGCAGTGATCTCTGTGCCACAAGCTTCTCAATTGCCATATTCCCTAATGCAAACTGCCAATTTTGAAAATAGACTTTCAAGTTGAATTTGTCAAGGAGGGAGCAATTTGTTTTTATGGACATCTTGTATGGAGAACACAAATTCTACAAAGAAATAAGAAATGAAGGTTTCAATAACAGTTTATTATCCAACAGTTCTTTATCCCATCAGCTGTAGGATATAAAATTGTTTAAAATAAGAAACATGAAGTAAGGTTTAATTACACAAGGACCAGTAAATTTTCAAAGAATAGCTTTAACAGGAAATTACTTTAGAATGACGATGGTTTATCAACAACAATAGCATTATAGAGTTTAAATAAACTTTAGCTCATGACAAAAAGGGAAATCTGGCCAAAAAGGAAACATTAAAACATTTGAAGCAATAGGGTCCTTAACTTTATACGAGCAACGAACAAAATGGCAGTCGGTTTTATCGCTTGATATTGTTTGATACTATAATTAATGATACTTTCAGCTTTTTTAATATTTGGACAATACAGCAATCACAATTACAGTCTCTTAGTATTAGGAAAATGTATTATTCTCTTTTTGCTACATAAATCACTTTCACAAAGCGGTAAAGCTTAATGTTAACAAGGTGAAACTTGTAGCTGAATTGTTTCGCTAAATTCTTAAACAATTGAAAACTTTGAACAAGTCTATCTGAGACTGCTTTTCCAGATGTGCCTGCAGACATAATTTGATCGGCATGGTTTGCCTGTGAGGACCGCTCGTGGGCTCACACACTTTAACAAGGCCTGAAATTAAGCATTAAAGTTTGAATGTCCTAAAAGTATGGCATAAATAAATATGAATCTAGGTAAGCCCATTTAAGTGTTTGTCACTCTGTCCATTATTTGTTCCCTTTAGGCTATACCCTTGCAAACCCCTTGTAAAAGTTGACAATATTGGAGTTGTCAAACAATATTGTTTACAGCTTATTAGTTGGTTTTCAATTTTTATAACTGTTAATAAATCACTTAATTTGATCCATTGATCTTTTTATTGTCTTCTAGAAAACTGTTTGTTGGTGGAATCAGTAGTGATACAACAGAAGGTTAGTATCTGTTTTCCAGTGATACAGAAACAATTTATTCTGACATTCTGTAAAGTTAATTATTTCATTTTAATCGGCTATCAATAGCATTAAAACTCAAGATGGTCCAGTAACAAAATATCTTCTGAAAATTGTTGATTTCCTTAGAGTCTTTGAAGGCTTACATGGAAAAACATGGGGGAGAAGTAGAGAGTGTGGAGTTGAAATATGATAAAGTGACACAAAGGATGAGGTTAGTATACAAGCATTTATATATATATAATATCTTTAAAAGAAAATCTTATCAATTTGCATTTGTAGATTGTGCATTGTTGACATCAGTTATTGTAAATTTGCATAAAGACAAAGAACTTGTTACAGATGAAATAGGCCCCAGTGGGGATAGCGTGAAAGCGATTGAGCGTTTAGGCAGGAATCCAGAGGTGGTAATGGGAGAAGTTAATCGTGCAAGCCAAGGCACTGCTTTTAATGGGTACTTTGAACTGTGCCGATATGTTCAAAGGTTTTTCCTTATTCACATTCCAGCACCAGAACTTAAATATCTTTTCATTCAAATTTCAATGTTGAAAAATTTCATGTCTTTGTTCTTAGGGGTTTTGGATTTGTCAAATTTAGGGAAGATGCATCAGCTGAAAAGGTTTGTTTTCATACTAACCATATTATTGGAAGTATATCAAATGAAAATGATCATTCCATATCAAATCATCTGATGTTTTATAAAGTTTTTAAAACTATGTTTAGGGTCTTTAAGGGTACCATTTTGATAAAAAGTGTACCCAGTACTGAAGTATCAATACAAAGAAATCCTGAAGATGGCTAGAAACAAATGTTTAAAGAAAAAACCAAAACAAAGATTGATAAGAAAAACAGTCTCCAGAGAATAATCATGTGAATCATTTCTTTTTTAAATGGAAAATTTTGAAAATCATTTAGATAATTTATGTCACCATGGCTTGTGAGGAGCAAAAAAGCAGGCGCTTGGCAAATTGAGCACCTTTCGCTTGATTGCTTGCATTTAGTTTCATTCATTCTTTCATTTCAGATGGCAAACCAGGTGTTTTTTAGTGGGTATTGCCTGAAAGGCTCAAGAGCCTAAAGCTAAACCCTAGCAAGGGAAAGGGAGGAGGGATTAGGGAGAGAGAGAGGAAAGGTCAAGCTTGTTTATTTTTGTTTTGAATAAAGCCAGGTTGTAAGAGTCTGGAAAGCAGGAACAGTGTAAAGCATTCCAAAGTTTACAAGATTTAGGTAGGTATGAAGAGTTGTGGGGTTGAGTTCGTGTATTTGGCAAAGAGACTTGGGAGGGTGAGCACTGGAAGAATGTGTGGTATTATGTGCATGTCTCAGGGGACCTGGGCTCATATCTCTGATCTCCTGCGAGCAATGGTCATGGTAAAAGCTATAAAAATAGTGAGATCAGTGCTGATGGGAAAGAGGCTGAAGAGACTTTGGGTGGTTACAGTTGTAGGTGAGGCGAATGGCTTTGGATTGTACTTTGTCAAGGAGGTGCAAGGAAGACTAAGGAGCACCACCCCAAATATAGAAGCAGTACTCTAAGAAAGGACAGATTTTTTTCTTTCCAAATTACCATAAACTTAATTTTTTTGGAGCATATTCTCACTAGACACAGCTGATCAAGCTTGTAGAACTATTTAGGCCCTAATCACACTGATCAAGACCAACCACTTCTCTTTACAAGCCTGTATGTCGCATTAGTCTACAATTTACAAGACTCTTTTGTGCATCTTATCAGGCCTTGTGAGTAGCAAAAAGCAGGAACTTAGCAAACTGAGCACCTTCAACTTTCTAGGTGCTCAATTGAGCATCATCAAATATCGTCAATAACAAGATTTGGTTTTTCACATTTAGTTTTTGAACAGCATAAACACGCTAGGTGCTTGAACAGCATACGATTGAGAACATTGAATTATGAGTTACAAATTATGAATGAGTAAATTACCTGTTCCTTATATACTACTACCATATGCTCAAAAGTTTGATTTTCAAGCTGTCGTCATTCATATTTCCTGTTTGCAATACAGAAATTTCATTAAATCTCTTTGTTGTAACTAATGATGTTTTTCTCCATTTGCAATTGGGGCAGTGTTTTTTAATTGTACACTGAACAAGGTCTATTTTTAAGCTGTTTATATATATTTAAACAGTTAATGTAAGCTTTGTGCCCTTGTTTTGTCTCTTTAACGAAATGCTGTTGTATTACAATACCAGGATAGTGACCTTTAAACTGCAATAAGCGCTCACAGCACTGGTAACTGTGCAAGGAGAACTGATTTAAAATTGATGATTTGAAAAACAGATCAATTTGAAGTATCAGTTTTTAGAGGACATTAACACTATGTATATTATTCCCTCTATTTTTTTCACAGATCTTACAAGGTGGTCCTCATGTAGTAGATGGCAAAAAGGTAAGCACTTAAAACGATCAGAACCTACTGGTATATACGGGGGATTGGCCCCACATTTCCTCCCACCCCCCTAATTTACCCAATTACCTCATTCCCAATATTTTCTATTTGCATTTTGCCACTTCCCTTTGCATCTTGCTTTTATTGGCATCACTGTTATTGTTTCATGTAAATGTTTTTGTGTCCTTGATTAAGCACCCCTCACAAATAAAAGCTTGTTTAGCAAATAATTGACTATCAACGTTTGCTTGAATAAAAAAAGTCTTAACTTAAAATTATATAACTAAGGCACCCCTGTCCCTCAAAAAGCTCCTCCTAGAATAGAATATTTATGTGTTGTTGTATTGAAATATATATAGAACACAGTTGTTTACACCATTGCATGGTTTCTTAATTTTGTGACTTTTCATATCGTTTTTATAAGTATTTTTAATTGCAATTGTTATGCAACTATTGAGACTTCCCAGTAGCAGTGGCGGACAGTTGGGGAAAATCAGTGGCGACTGCCCCCCAATACTTTAGAGGACAATGGTCTTTTGTTCTAAAACAATGGGAAATGTGACGTCATCTTATTAAAACAATAGGCTTGCCCCTCAATATTTGAAAAAGTGTCTGCCCCTGCCCAGTAGGATACTTTAGTATGCCACAAATTAATTAGAATCTGCCAACTGATTTCTGTTTCGAACAAACAATTCATGTTTTTTGTATGGTGTTTTGCAGGTAGATCCAAAAAGAGCAGAGAAACAAGTCAAGGTTTGTTGATAATTAGCCATATTTTCATTACAGACGTTCCAACCTAATAATAGCTAAAATCGGGAGTTTTTTAATGAATTCCTGCCAAAAATTCGATCTGCCAAAATTAATTCAAAATAAACTCGAAAAATGAAGTGATGTATTATTCCTTAAGAATATTCAGTACTTTATGGAAAGTCGTTATACAAATCCACTTTCTAACAGATATGTGGAAAAAATGGCGATTGAAAAGATTTAAGAGATTTATTTAAGAGACAAACTCGCTGGGATTTATCAGTTTAAAAGCTCAAGTTGAACTCGAATGTTGTCTGTTATAAATCATACAATGATACCTGCAGATTTACATTTTAGAATTCACTTATTCCACTTGTGTAGTTAGCAATAAAATTTTATAACAGATTCAAAAAAAATTTCTGAAAGCAGGAGGTTCGGTTTGAAATCGGGAGGACAGGAGATTAACTCCCAAATCGGCAGAGTTGGAACCTTTGTCTGTTATAAATCATACAATGATACCTGCAGATTTACATTTTAGAATTCACTTATTCCACTTGTGTAGTTAGCAATAAAATTTTATAACAGATTCAAAAAAAATTTCTGAAAGCAGGAGGTTCGGTTTGAAATCGGGAGGACAGGAGATTAACTCCCAAATCGGCAGAGTTGGAACCAAGTGCTCTGCCTTTATTTTGAATTTTTATATTTTTGTGAGAGGGTCATTGCTTTCAGCGTGTTCGTTGTAGTTTCATGTGATATCAACATCCGTTGTTGACAACTTTCTATTGACGGAAGCTATTTTTTTGATCAGTACTTGACAACTTCATGTGATCAGTATCAGGGGCCCACCAATAGCATTGCAGCACGAAATCACGACTCAGCTTATTTCGGTATATCAACTTCTTTTATCATGACTCAATGCCTTTACCTCCATTGGTATATTGCAAAATCAACAATCTCTTCTTCCTTTTTGTGTTCAAGCAGCTCGGGGCAATCCGGACAAAGAAGATATTTGTGGGTGGATTGAAGCAAGAGATAACGGAAAAAGTTTTACAAGAATACTTCAGCCAATTTGGAGAAGTTTGTTGATAGTTTTTCCTTGAATTTAATCTGCATTAAATTTGAAAAAAAATCAATATTTTTCTAAATTAGAACTATTCTGCTTATCCAGTTTTGTCTGGAATATATTTTTCAAGATATTGACCAGTTGAAATGTAGTGTGTTGGCAGTTCATTGGTTATTGTTTAAAAAAAATATAATATATCAATATTTATACAGGTTTACTTGGTCAGCTAAACACAGCTGCTATAAATCAAGGCCCTGTGTCCAACGAAAAGAAGTAAAAACTACTAATTACAAAATTAGGTTTCTTAAAAATCAAAGACATTACAAAGGTTCTTGAATCTCACAATCGAATTCGTTGATTTCCGGGGTCCTAAAATCAGAGAATCATGAAAGATCAGATAACTGACCAATAGCAGGTAGAAGACTATCTTGATTATGAAAGAAAAACTCACTAAAAGATATTTCGTTTCGTTTTACCATAATACCTGTTATAGGTGAAGATTCTACTAACGTGAATTGCGGGCGTGGTCTTGTCGTGTTATGTCTTACCCTGAATTAGCTATGTTGAAAATGAAATTTGACTGGCTTGATAAATATTTGTTGTCATTATTTAGGTTGAAATTCAGTTTATCCCAGAAAAACTAACGTGAGTTTATCGGGCGTGGTCTTGTCGTGTTATGTCTTACCTGAATTAGCTATGTTGAAAATGAAATTTGACTGGCTTGATAAATATTTGTTGTCATTATTTAGGTTGTTCAAATTCAGTTTATCCCAGAAAAAGGCACTGAGAAAAGACGAGGTATGATTGGTTTTAGGTCCTCTAGTATTTTATTCAAGGGGGTGGGTCGCGTGTTGTCCTACGGGAAAATGTTATTGATGTTGTTGGTTAGCGTATTTGATCCAATATCATCTTTCGATGTTTTAAGTAGTTTTGCTCAAGCTAGGCTTTAAATACGTGCCGCAATGATTGTTTTGTTGATATAAATGAGGACTTTCAGGGGTCATTGCGACAATACTTTAAATGTGCATACATTTCTTCTCGTTATTCTGCCATTTGAAAGGGTAACCATCTCAGATACCTGGCAAACTGTGCTCTGCCTGTGATACATGACGCAGCCTGTTATATTATTAACTTCATCTTCATGTAAGTAGCGAAGTCTAGATGTGCTACTTTTTAATCTTACTCGTTTATCTTGCATGCTTATTTCAAATAATCACTGCTGCTTTTTTACTTATGTAACAATCCCTTTTTTGAGTGAGCAGCAATTTATGATATAGCTTCACAAACTATTAAGCTTTTATGTAACTTTTCGTCTGCAACAATTTTGTGGAGCTTCTTATATAATATAATCCATGTTGAGATAGCATCTTGTATTTGTTTTATTTTCAGGTTTCTGTTTTGTGGAATTTGATAACGAGGATGTTGTAGACCAACTAGTCAAGAAGCAGTATCACACTATTGCCTCAAAAACTGTGAGTTGGAGGTCGCTCTATTTTTCATTGTTTTTTAACTGTTTTCTCGCAGTCCTCGTTGATTCTTCTTATTTTCAAATTTATGTAGATTAAAGCTTGTTAATATTGACATACTTCTGCCAGAATTGATGATAATTGATTTAGGATGGATCTATAGGGGATAAGGAAATGGATCTATAGCAACCTGCTTATTTACATTCAAAATGCCCATTTCTTCTTAGATGTTTTGCTAATACCTGTCACAGGATAGTGCTTTGTAGTGTTAGGGACATAAAAAACGCCGAAACTTTATGTCTACGTATGTACGTATGCTGCCAATCCAATTTTTTGATGTTTACCATTTTACGGATTCAGGTTGAAGTAAAACATGCTTATTCAAAAGAACAACAAGCACAGTTAGCAGCCAAAGGACTTTGGGTACCAGGTAAGCTGATAAATGCATTGTATCAGTACTTCACAAAGCATTTCTATGGAAATATTCTTACCCATGCTCTCATGTAATAACAGTTAGGGGGAAGGGTAGGAAACTGTCATGTGGGAAGTTTCGTGTTTATTGATGGTGCTAATAGTCACATTTCAAGGTTGAGGCGTGTTTGGCCAAAAATTCGCAAAAATTTCGCAAAAATTCGTTTTCAGGAAATTTCCAGCGAAATTTGCTATTGACATTTGATGACAAATGATTGTTTTCAACGAATTTTAATATTGTTGTTGTTGTTATGTGGAAATCATAAATTGAAAGAAACTTCAGTTGAATATAACTGTATTTACGCGAAATTCCTGATTTTTACTAAACGCGAGAGTTTTTTCTCGTGGAAGATCCTATTTTGCTTCCCTTCGCGAAAGAAAGTTAATTGCACGGTATTTAGCGCCCCCTCCCCATTTCGCGAAACTTTCTTCCCGCGAAACTTTCTTCCCGCGAAACTTTTTTCTCACGATATTTCCCGCGCAACTTTCTTCCCTTAAAGCACTCGATCGATATTAAAGGCACGCTAAATACCGAGTTTTTATTTATAATTTAATGCAGCTGTATCTTTACAGACAAGCATAAAGAATTTTCTTTGTTATTTGTATGAAGTAACGAGAGTATTCATGAGATGGCGTGCAGGCTGGGATCAAACCCCGTCTCTTTATCGAATTTATGCCAAGCGCTATTCAACTCTACAAGACGTGACTATGTGTTGTTACAGGTTAGCGCGGCTTTTATTCTTTAGGTGGTAGAGGTCGGGGACGCGGCTCGTATGGAATGGGCATGCCAGGGAGTTATGGAATGTATGATCAAAGCATGGGGTACGGGGGAATGGACGCGTATGGGTATGCTGGCTATGGCAGTGGCGCAATGATGGGCTACGGTGGTGCGGTTGGTGCCTACGGAGGAGGAGTCACTTACCCAACTATTGATTACTCTGGATGGTCAGGTCGAGGCACAGGTAATGCATTGTTTTTAATGGCGAAAGAAGCGATCTAATGTTTACATGCACAAGTTTTTAAGATTGTACTACGTCATAGCTGTAATTTCGTGTATCAGAAACCAATGATAAAAAAACAGAATATGTATATGAATTACTGATTCTCAGGACACCGTTAGCGCTAGAATTCGCATTAAATTAGCAAGACAAACATAGAGTTATCGATACTACTAAAATAGCTTGAAATCTGGGGATATATAGCCTTGATTATATTCTCATTTAATGTTTGCGTTTTGAGTGTAAATAACACATTAGTCAAAATGAGGTTACGCAGTTTGTGAAAAAACCGCATCAGGCATAAAAGGTTGGTATTTTTCTGCATTTCAGAAAACTGGTATCATTTCATGGCAGAGCAACGGGAAGGCCGCGATGGCCAATTGCCCTGTGGCTAATTTGTTAATCATTATCTCAATAACTTTAATTTAATTTTACTGAAAGTAATATATTTTTGCGTTATAATGGTTTAGTTTTCTACCAGCTTCCCAGTAATGGTAAACTGTTTTATGACCTGATAAATTAAATTGAGCAATGGTAAAGCCGTAAAGATTAGTTGCCGTACGATGGTGCTTTAGATAATTCATGCAAATGTTATGTAATAACCTATATAAAGTAAAAAAACCACCGGGGGATGAAGTGGAAGACCGGAGAAAGACACGTGGATTCTCCCTCATTGTGGCATCTTTGCAATTATTTCAAAGTGCATCGAATTGAAAAGGTAAGGGAAGTAGCCAAGTTCCCGGTTGGTTTTGCATCAAGTCAAGAGACACCATCATCATTTTCTACAAATTTGCTTGCCTTGATCCTTGTGTAAATTCACAGATTGTCTAGGCCATCCTTTAAAAGAAATAATCTAATTAACATCCAGAAGTTATTTCATAACAATAATTGTTTGTGTACGACTTGTGAACATTATTCTTCGTCATAATGTTGCTGGTGATTTGTCTGATCCTAGCAGGTAGCTCTCTTCTGTTTCAAATTTATGCAGAGTCCCTGTTTGTTTTTGTCAAAGAATGTCAAGTCCCGTTTATGGATGGGTTCGTCTTTTTTCACAAAAGAATTTCACTTTGCGACCGTTCATTGCTACCTTGAGTCTAGTGAGCTAAAATTACCCCTGGTCGTGACTTTTGTGTTTAATTTGCAATTATTTTAATAGAAATGTGACTAGTTTTTTTAATGCTCCTAGGTGCTGGCGGTCGGGGTTCCGGAGTTGGACCTATGTACTCATATGGTGCTAGGAACACTTTCCACCCATACTCAAGATAAAAAGAATTTCAAGTTTACTGCGATGTTTTTTCCAAGCTGGAAGCTGGCAACAGTTTGTAAACATGGCTCTGGTATTTTCCTACTGACTCAACATAACTTTTACATGATGGGAATAGATCAGTTCTTTCCTCATATGAAATTCTGTATGGGCATGGATGTGTGCTCGCGACCCAAGACGTGCGCTTCCTGATGAAATACCCTGCTTTTTTAAATGGACTTGACTATTTTATTTACTAGTTCAATAAACGTTGTAAAGGGTAAATTTAACAGTTTTCAGGTTGTTTTCGTCGTATGTTTTGGTGGTTGCTTTTTTACCTTACATCATCTAAATCCTCTGATATCTCATTCGAAATAACTAAAAGAAATATAGAATTGAAAAAATAAGTCATCTTTATTTTATACATGTACAATTCAGAGAAACATCGAGCTTTCTATGACCCTTTGCATACAGATAATTAATTTTGCTGTTTTGTATGGATGAGCTGCTTGTAAAGTCATTAACATGCAGATAGGTTCGTTTTGCTACTTTGTTTTTCCAGGCTGTTTATCGTGTGTCGGTAAAGCATCCCAAACTTCGCTCAGTTTAATTAAAAAAGATGTTTACTTGCACGATGTATCCTGTCCCGTCTTTCTTGAATTGAAGATAACTTAAGTGTTTAATTTGTATTTTCGCTTGCCTTGAAGGGTTGCAAAATTTTTGTTCGAAAACAACGTCGTTATCATTTTAATGTTAACAGGTAAAGTTATTTGGTTTCCTGTCATTTGTATAGCCAGCATTTTGATACTTATTGAAAAGGGAATTAAATATTGTCTTTCTATTATATTGGGTTTTTATATATGCACCTTCTATGCTTTTTAACAAAGCTAATTTTAAAGCTTGTTGTCGTATATTTACGTTTGTACCTAGTGAGACGCAAAGCCGAAAACGCCCGTTTCTTATATTCGAAAACGCCCGTTTCTTATATTCGAAGACGCCCGTTTCTTATATTCGAAAACGCCCGTTTCTTATATTCGAAGACGCCCGTTTCTTATATACACTTAGGGTACAATCACATAATGTTTTATCTTATTCTGTAGTACAATGGTATGGAATAGGAAGTTGAAATGGCAGCACGCAGTGACCAAGGGTCTAGGCTAAAAACATCTAAAACAGAATTACAAGGTGAAGTGGCTTGGAAAAGATAGTTTGTGGTGCGAAAATGGCTTTCGGTTAAAATAAACTTTTTTCGGTGAATATTCAAACTTGTCGGCAAATGTTATGCAAATATTTTACCAAATCTCACCAATCAAAATTCAAGTTTTTACATGTTTGTGCGGCACGAAAAGTCTGTAAACACTATGTTAGATTGCTGTGCCGCACAACTGCTGGCAAGGGAGGAAAGTGGATGAGGTTGAAAGAGAAGAATCCCAATTTTCTTTATCTATACGGAAGAGGTGCACAGGAAGTGTACACTTCTGAAACTCAAAATATTTTGTCTCAACTTCGTGTTGGATTTGCCGGAAAATTTGGAAAACCTTTTAAAGGGAAAATTTTTTGATTGATCAATTAGAACGTTTCAGGGCCCCAGTCCCGTCGCCACCCTCAAAACTACTACAAGGCCTGCAAACCTCGTTGGTGAGGCAACTTCCGCTCCTAAAGATAAGGGCGTCCATTAAGGCGTTCCATCAATCAAAGTGAATGAGTCTTGCTTAGCGGGACAAAACGACGCCTAGAAAGTAAACGCTTACAACACATGAAACTAATATTCTAGAGCAAAAATCAAGATGACTTTCGTGAAAAAAGGCGAAATTATTTCTTTTATTTATAGTGGTTGAAATAATCGACATTGTGAACTTTAGGGTTTTTGCCTTTAAAATTAGATCTAGTTGCTCTGGTTCCGGGGGGCTGGGTCCCCATTATGGCCCCGCCCTTGACCATGAAGAAGGCCCCCTAGACCGCCTGCTGGGTAGTGTCAATGTGCGATCGTCAACTTTTACTCTGTATCCGCCCCTGAAAAAGCTAGCAATCGCACTGCTTACACCCTATTCATTTAAGAACAACCATCTCAGATTTTCGAAATAATTAAGGACAGTCAGCCTGAACTTGAATTTACTGTTTCTAAAAAGAGTGTAGCTGGCAAGGATAATGACATCATATCCGCATTTGTTGGGCAGAAAATGGGTTGGGCAGGAAATGGGTTGGGCAAAGGCGTTCTGAGCAGGAAACATTTGGGTCCTCGCCCTTTTTGACCCAGTTATGGGTGGTGTTCACCCCTCATTACGCCACTGAGTTAGAACTATTTTCATCGAACGATGGTGAAAATGAGGTCAGTTCAAGAACCGACAATAAAGAAGATGATTTCTACGATAAAGATAATTATGAAGATGATGTAAATTTGGAAATGACGTAATTTACATGGAATAGATCAAAAGGATACATAAATTTGATTGTTGACCTCATGCAATAGTTTTTCTATGCGAATTTTCAAAAATCTTAATTTCTTAAAAAAACAAAATTTCGTATCATTTTGAATTTCGTCGAAGAAATTTCCGTCAAAATATTTGTCCGAACTTTTGTCACGACGAAATTTTTTGTAATTAATGTATGTTATTTTGTCTGTCTTCGTCTTTCATAATTCAGATTCAGACTTTGCAAGCTTGCAAGATGTAATCTCTCAGTCCTCATTCATCAAGAAAATACGCATAAGTAGCGGCAAAGAACAGTACAATTTCGACAAGAATAATAATAATTGATGACAGTGTCTGGGTATACTTGAATTAAGTTTCAAACTAACAATTCATATAAAAATTGCATGTTGAAATAAAAAGCATTACTGTGCCTTTGTGATGAAGCAATACAAGGGGCAACGCAAAAAAAGGATTCCATCAAAACAACAAGATTTCTAGGGACTTTAGACAAAACAATGGGTTTTCTAGGGGACTTCAGATAAGACAAAGGGATTTCCATAGAGTGACGGGATTTCCATAGATTGATTTGCCCTGGAAGCAATTAGCCGGGCATTTTTGCAACAGGCTGCTCGTCTAGAAATATCGCATCTGGCCTACCAGCTACCTGGGGTATTAGAGCCACAGAAGACGGCGATGGGGTATTATAAATCTCAGATTTCTGATACTAGATTCAAACTATGTTTTTGAGACTCTGGGTACCTACCAGAGACTGTAAGAGACAGGTCTTGCTTGTGTTAATAAAATTCATGCTTAGAATTACTTTGCCATTTATGTGAGGAAGTATGCTTTGAATTTCAATTGTCAATTCATTCACTTGCTAATCTCTCAATTTTTCGCAAATTCTACTAAGAACTTGTTATTGCTATGTTTATAATTGTTTAAATGTAATTCTCTCGAAACTATGGCTCTTTATATGATAGCACACGAAGGTTTCCCCTCTCTTCTTCTATGAGTGGGCTCTAAACCAACCATGACTGGTCTTCTTGCATGTGCCAACTCATTCTCCCTTACATTGATTACCCTAATTCGATCATGCTCAGGTATTTGATGTTGTGGCAAACCATCTCTTACCCCAATTCAGCCATGTTCGGGAATATGATATTGTGGCACTCCGCGGGCTTGTCTTTCAGCACGTGCCATCTCATTCTCCCTTACATTTCTTACCCTAATTCGATCATGCTCAGGTATTTGATGTTGTGGCAAACCATCTCTTACCCCAATTCGGCCATGTTCTGGAATATGATATTGTGGCACTCTGTGGGCTCGTCTTTCAGCACGTGGCATCTCATTCTGCACTGCATTCCTTGCAGCAATTTGAAAGGCAGCTCCCTGTGTATTTCGCATTTCAAGGAATGGTCTAGGTTGTCCACCTCTTTCGGCTTGTAGCGCTTCAGGGTGTAGAACAGGGGGGTCCATGTTCCCTGGGAATATCCCTCCACATCTTCCCAAATGGTCATAGCAATCACCACTTGACGAAAAGGTTTTCATGCATCTCCAGCAAATATGTGCACCACAATTACAAGATACATGCATGCAACCTCCGTTCTCTTCTATCAGATTGTTGCATTTTGGGCATTCTCTAATGTTTTTACCCCTCGCCCATTCCAAAACATGACTGTTGTCGTTGTACTCAAAAATATTGTACTCTTTCCATGACGTACATGATTTGAATCCAACATGGGCATCATTATGGCAAGCAGTGCACGTCTTCCTGAAACATTTTGGACAGGTGAAAGGTTTAGCATTATCTGGTTCTGATACTTTGTACACCATAGGGCAGTCTGGCGTTGGGCAGTAACTGTAGAGCTTTGGATTTGTTTGCACCAGATTAGATAATGCTGCTTCAGCTAGTCGACCTTGTTGTTCCCCGCTCTTAATTAAGTTCTCGATATCTCTGAGAACGAGGCTACTTGAACAGCCTTCACTACAGCATGTGATTGGAAAACTCTTATTCCGTTCGCTTGTTTCGAGCAGATCGTTTACACAGGCAACACAATACAAGTGTCCACACACCTCTAACGCATACCGCAGGATGTCAGCTTTGCAGAGACACAGGCAACAGTCTTCATAGCCAATACTCTCATTTTGGGTGCCAGGAGATTTTAGTCCACCAAGGTCGGCATGTAATTTTGCGTCAACTTCGTTAATCATTGTATTTATGCGTTGTTGTGTTTGATCCGATGCCACGACCATTACCTCATGCCTTCGAATGTTAAGCTGAAGTTGAAAGAGACATTATGAGTTCAACGGTAACATGACTCGAGATTTCAAATTTCAAAGTCAGAGATGAGCGCAATTGCAAATATTCTGGACATGACTTCTTTTTCATGGGAAGATTTAAGAACAAGGCAGTAATACGTGGTGGCATAATTCGGGCATAGTTTTGAGGAAATATATAAACATTACTTGCAATGGTAGAACCCATTAGAGGTGTTATATTATTAAAAAGAAAAGAACGTCAAGGGAGATACAATAAAAGAAACATTTTCTTTTATATTTCACACAGACATGGCCTGAAAATCCCTAAAACCATAATAATGCAAGACTTTCCGAGGCATTGATTGTAAGCGTGAAGCCTAATTTATTATATCTACCAAGTATTTTATTTCAAGAAGATCAACCTAGAGGTGCCGTTTAGGTATGCGAGCATGAGATACGCATTTCTGGCAAACTTTCGAGAGGTTAACAAGCTACAGAAAAAATTTTCGGAAACTTATTCTGTGAATGCGTGTATTCTTACCTTTTTTCCTCGAGACTTCCTGTGGAAGATGTTTGGTAATTGGTTTGCATAAATTGTAATTTTAGGCATAAATTGTATGTAAATGTATTTTAAAAGAAAAGGCCTTGATAAAAACCAGATGGCTTCAGGGTAATCGAGTGATGACGTCAGATCTATAAAAATTCAGTCTTATCACTACATCAGTTGAATTTATTAAAATGTTGAGGTATTCTGAGAATTCCTGTTGTTTTTCACTAGGTTCGTGAATTATTTTGAAAACCCAAATTTTCTAGGGAAGGAGCATATGTTCACTTGACTATTTCGAATAAACTTTCATACACGATAATATTTTGTAATTTTTCTTTCCAAATTAGAATATTTGAAAGAGATTTTCAAGACGCTATCAGTCTATGACTATGGTGTTGGATTACCTGAATCACTTCATTGTCTTGTATCATCCCTCGCAAGTCATTTCCATATTTCTGCATCAAAGCTTTCATAAGCCCAGTTGCCCTTCCTTGTCCACGTAGGTGAATTTTCGTTTCATTTTCAGAAACTGACTGGAAAAGTCTTTTGATGTCCTCCTCCAGTACTGTGCAAGCCTTCGGCTTTCCAAAGAGAAGCAATTGTTTTGTTCGTCTATCATAGTCGACCTTTGCATTTTCAATTTTTGTCTCCATGTCAGATATCTTGCTTCTTAATGTTTCGTACAAGAAGCTGGGCACAACCAAATTGCTGATGACTTTACCCTCCACAATGCTTTGTAAGCGACAGAGAAGCATTTTGTAGAGCAACGAATCCTTCCCACAGATGGTCACAATTTTACAGTTGTTATTTGACTTGCTTTTTTCCACTTTTATTTCTACATCCTTACCTCTTGAATCATGCTGCAGGGCTTTCAAATCCTTGTCGATCACAGGAAAGATGGCTTCCTTGCAATAGAATTTCTTCTTCAACTCAATGGCCGCGCTGCAGTCTTGTGTCCCTGAGAATAAATATATGATGGTGATAAAAGGAAGCAACAGCAAAATAAATATTCATGCAAGTTTTCTATCTGGATCATTTAGGAAAAGAGGCAAAACCACCATACCACCACCCACCATCCTGCACCCATCATCCTGCACCCATATTGCTGTAACTACATTGGAAGGAAGCTTGCTTTCCATAATTTTGGTTGAAGTGCAGTTTATTTATATTTGCTCGATCATTACCATGTTAACAATAGGCCATGTCTCAAATGCAAGATTACGAGGATTTAAAAAACTTTGTCTTTATCAATATAACAAACTGAAGATTTAAATCCCAATACAGACAAAAGTTTACTTTGGCGCTTGGACAATTTTCAATATTATTAGACACAATCCCCAATCCCAAAGTGAAATGGTCCAAACCTAAGATTCCTGGACCATTCAAGCAGCGTACTGCCTCTTCAGCATCCTGGAAGCTCGCAAATAGTATACAAGCTCTACGGATGACTGCTTTCTTGTCCTTGATGGGAAATATCTTGATAGATTCATAGGGGATTCCAGCAAGCCTTTCTCGCAATCTCCACTCGTAGATGCTCTCTTCTTTTGCCGAATGTTGTTCATTCCTATATTCAATGAATGCATTGACGACCTTATTATTGTATTCGCTGACCCCAAGGTCCTCTTGCAGAGAATTTCTGAATTTCTCATTGTCAATACTTTTATCAATCAGTCGGCAAAATATTTTCAGTATATTTTTTTTGTCACTCCGGCAAAACCATCGAATTTCACTCTTAATTTCCTGTGCAGCAGCATATGATTTGCAAACAATGAATCCAAAACCTTGAGACCATCTTCGAGACCATTTGACAACAACTTTTACCAAGGATCCATTCTCCAAATTCCTTCCAGCAAAGAATTGGGGTTTGGCTATGACTTGACATCCATGCGTGGAAAACTGCAGTTTCTTTATTGCTTGTTGGGCATCCTCCGTATTATTGAAATGAACCATGCCCCATCGAAACGGATTACGCTGCTCAGATGTCTCCTTCTTGTTAATACTTTTCTGCTTCACCATCGCACAGTTTTTCAACTTTTCAGATATCTCTACTTTTATTTCTTCGAAACATTTTTCAGTGACACCGATATGTTGCTCATGAATCTCAATTTGAATTGCAGAAAATTCATCTGGTTCCAAGATTCTCAAGGCTTCACCACCAGCTCCGATCAAAATTCGATATCCAATCGTATTGCCACCCAACTGTATTTCTTTGGTTTCAGCCGTGAGTTTTTCTTGCATCTCTTTGACACAATCATTGAGCAATTTTGTTGCTTTGCTTTCCATCAATTTTGTTGCATAAATCACAAATTGCCTTTTCTCTGAGCATATTTCAAGCAGCCCTGGAAACTCTCCTTTCTTTGTTATTTCACTTTCTAGCACCTTCTTCTTTTCTGCCCGATTCGCAATGAGATCTTTCATAACTGCTGAGCCAACTGGTGAAATGATTTTCTTAAAAACTCTTTGATTTAACAGTGAATGTAATTCAATCTTGTAGGATGGATGGGGGCACAGCATCTCCAAAAACTGCTCCTCGATTGGGGTTATCCCAGTTATGTAACTGGCGGTAGGTGTTTTGAGGACATCCTGGAAAACCAGAAATTCCGGCTCCATTCCAAGTGCACTAACAACTGAAGAGGGGTGCAACTGAAACCTTTGAGAATACTTTGGACTCCAATATCCCAATCGGGAATTGCCAGTAAAGTAGGCGATGTTGTCGTAGAAAGCTGATGTTATTAGCCTTTTCAACAGAGTTCGCTCTTCTTCAATAGGACGGCTGTCTGGTTTGATACTAGGCTCTACTTCTCTTAAAGCAAACTTTATTTCCTTTTCAAGCTCTTTGATAGAACGCATCGATTTTGCATTTACAAAATTTTCCACGCACCATTTGTTTTGTTCTCTCTTTCCATCTTTGCTATTCCACTTTTCAAAGATGTCTACAATGGTCAACAAATCTCCTTCTTCTTTGCAGAAATCGAGTTTTCCTATGTCTGACTTTTCTTTATCTTCCTCGCTGCCAAATCTGATGTAGATGTTAGATGAGAACACTGTTGCAGCTGCAAGTATGACTGACTTGTCTTTGCACCCTCTTTCCAAACCATCAAGAACTATTTTAGCAGTACGCGGGTCAACAGGAAGCTTGGCCATCTTCTTGCCTTGCGTCGTAATAGAATCACCCCAATCAACAGCACCAATCATACGCAGAACATCCAAGGAGGTTTCTAACGCCTTGTCGTCAGGACGTTCAATGAAATCAAAACCTTTGACGTCATGAATGCCTAGAGCCATTAAGCTCAAAACTGCCGAGGCCAAATGCATTTTCTTTATTTCTGGTTCCGTGTTTTCGTCCAGCTTTTCGTAAGCGCCTTGGCTGTATAAACGAATACATATTCCTGGGCCTGTTCTTCCAGCACGCCCCATCCTCTGTATGGCGGAGCTTTTGCTGACCATTTTCACTTCCAGGTAGCTATTGCCCCTTTTTGCATCAAACATTTTCTCTTTAACCCTACCAGTATCAATGACAAACTTGATACCTAAGGAAAGAACGAAAAGAAAACATTAGGCCAAAACGATGTTGCATGGAGCATGTCCTACAATTTACCTAGGCTCCTATAAGTTACTTCTACTGCAATAAATTGCTTCTGCTTTATGACTTTGAAATTGATGAAAAATACTGTTTACAGGTCTGACATGAAGTCCTCTATACCAAAGGCTCCAACTTCCCGAATTAGGTGGGGGTCTCCCGATTTGGGAGTTCATCTCCTGTTCTCCCGATTTCCAATCTAGCCTCCCGTTTTCAGGAAATTTTGTCAAAAATCTGTTATTAACCACAGCTGATGAAATGCATCTTGTTTAAGGAACGGACGAGCAAAATTTTTCCGTGAACAAAGATAAATCTTGTTTAGCCAATCAGATGATTTTTACAGTTTGGCAACTCAGCCAGTCAGAAGCAGCTATTCATAATTATTTTGTTTCATTGGAATGCGAGACCTGTTCTAGCTTTGCTAACCTCCAGTTTGCTAATGAAAAATAAATATATTTTTACTCAGAAAATCAAATGATTGAAAAAAATTGTCGGCAAGTTATGTCCCAAAAGGAAAAAGAAACTATTTTATCAGAAACGAACATATGCTTGACTACTTACTACAACATAAATTTCTAAAGAAAATCAATTTGTGTGTTCCGACATAGAACAGTCAGTTCAACTTGCTTGCTTCAGTTCAACGATAGAACTGGTGCATTCGATTATTTGTCATCTAAATCTTCTTTATTGCAGATGTTTTTGCATTTTTATAGAAATTTAATACGTATTGAAATATAATACTTTCTATAAAATACTGTATTCAATATAGGCAGATAAAATAAAGAAATTCATCTTGAAATTAGATTGTTTAGAGATCAAGTTTTACTTCATTTTTCGTGCTTATCACCTCCCAGGGTGTTAAGAAAATCAATTTTCGCAAGAACAATAGCTTTTGAAGAACTTTTTACAAAATTGGTCAGGTATAAATCTTTGCCGATGGACCAAATTGTTTAATATTTCACAAGAATCTATTAAAATTATCCCGATTTTCAATATTTGAAAATGGCTTTGAAAAAAGCAAACATTTTAGTCTGGACTGTTAGAGCATGAATCATGCAAAATGTGATACCAGCATCAAAATGGGTACACTGGGGAAATTTCACACGCTGATAACGAAGCCGAACAGACACAAGCCGAAAAATGCCCCCAAATGCTATTTTTAGACTGGGGTACTTGGCCCCAGTCCTCGAATTGGGCCAATCTCCATATATCATTACTGATTTGTAAAAAACTGCAAAAGAAAAGATTTAGGTGCATTATCATATATTGAAATATATTAAGAGAAAAGGAAATAAAAAATTGCCCCTTGATGCTATTTTTAGAATATGATATTGGTACTCATGTCTCTTTTTAGGCATTCTTCTCTAAATAATTACTCTCTTTTATATGAATATGAAATGTAGTTTTCTCTTTTCTTTCAACAAACTGGAAAGTTATACAAAAAGATGTATTTGACAATCTTACCACTTTATGATAGTTTTAGAATGGGGTACTGGAACCTAGTTCTCGATTTGGGTTTTACCTTCATAGGCTACTTTTAGATACGATTGATGTTAAATCAGCAGCCAGCGCGAGTAGTTTATATGATAAAGGCTAAACATCCAAGGTGCAATCTGATTAAGGGCACTTAGAAACACGTGGAAATTTGACTCCCTTGTTGCTTTAACTAGCAACAATAGCATTGACTCTAACTCCATAACAGAGAACCAATAATATAATTGCACTGATTCTTCTAGTCTCTGTTTTCCAACCTTCAATAGGTAGTTCTTCTATGCTTTTCTTGAAAGCCTCTGAGAGGAGTAGTAGCAATCCAGAGAATTAATATTCACTTTATATCACATTCATACCAAAAATAGTAATGATTTATAAAAGAAAGCTTATACAAATAAAGCTTGTAGAGGCCTGGGCTCCAGTAGTCCACTCTAAAAATGGCATCAAGGGTAATATTTCAATTGCTTCTGTGTTATACTTTTATTGTGTAGAATTGTGTTTAAACCTTTACCCTCATGGTCATTTTAATCGTTAGTTCAGTACGTATGGATGAAATCCGAAATATATAGTCTGCAGGCAGGCTAGAAATATAGAACTTGGGTCAAGTACCCCAGTCTAAAAATAGCACTTGGGGGCGTTTTTAAGCTTGTGTCTGTTAAGCATCATTATCAACGTGTTAAATTGCCCCAATGTACCCATTTTCATGCTGGTACCACAAATGGAACAATTCAAGTCAAATACTGTGCTTAAAGCCTAGACTATGAAGGTAAAACCCAAATCGAGAACTAGGTTCCAGTACCCCATTCTAAAACTATCATCAAGGGGTAAGATTGTCAAATACATCTTTTCGTATAACTTTCCAGTTTGTTGAAAGAAAAAAGAAAGCTACATTTCATATTCATACAGAAGAGAGTAATTATTTAGAGAAGAATGCCTAAAAAGAGACATGGGTACCAATATCATATTCTAAAAATAGCACCAAGGGGCAATTTTTTTATTTCCTTTTTTTATACCCATTTTCATGCTGGTATCACAATTTGCACAATTCAAGTCAAATACTGTGCTAAGAGAACAGACTATTATAACAGATTTGCTAAAGCTTTTTTGTCTGACACCCCTCAGAGCATAAAACTTCAGAATAAGAAGGGTCCGAAAGTAAATGATGGAAAATATATACCCAGTTGTGGATCGAAATAGGCCAATCAAAAAAAAGCAAGCACAAGACCCGTATACTTGACCAATCAGTGTCGCGTGCTTAGAAAAATTACCACTGGAGTCCAGGAGAGAAAACGAACTCCTTCTGTCTACATAATAGCGGTTTTTCCGTTTGTATGTAGATCGATTCAAAAACTGCTAGATGGAAAGACGACCGGGCTTTGCCAATTATCTGAAACATGTAGTCATTATAGAGTTTTGCACAATCTAGATTACCTAAAAGATGTTAACCGATGGCAGGATCACTTGTTTTAACGGTGTTTTCTAGACCTGCCTAATGGGCTCGCCTATGCAAGCATCCCATCCCTCTTCATGGAAATTGAGATAAAGACAAAAAATTTTTGCCACATACTTTACTGCCAGAAAATTCGTTTCACAAGCAGGGAACGCCCATTTTACCAAAAGCGAACGCCAATGACCCAATATTTGATTACAAAAAAAGCAGTTTCAATGTCAAAGAATCACATCAGGAATTTTTCTTTGTTAAAATGTTACTCCCTCCCATAATTTTATCATCGGATTTTCTCCTAATAGTATGCTTAAATTTGCCGGAAAATTTTGCTCTGTGCCCCCTTTGGAATTTGTCACCACGATGTTTCTGTAAGCTCTTGACATGCACTTACCTGGAATTGTTACAGATGTCTCAGCAACATTAGTTGAAAATACGATCTTCCTACTTCCATCTTTGACAGTTTCAAAAACTCTCATTTGTTCATCTGGTTGCAGCTTTCCATGAAGTGGTAACACTGTGCAGGCTGAAGCTTTCTTTGACACTCTATGAAAATGCTTTATTGCTTTTTCAACTTCCAGTGGGGAAGTCAGAAATACAAGGATATCTCCTGTTCCCTCACTTTCATGAACCTGAACTGCCTTCGCTGCTGCTTGCTTGATGTAAGTATCTTCTCGTCCACCATCCTTTGTGTTTTCCTGTTCTTCATACCTCACCTCAACAGGAAATGTGCGACCAGGAATTTCAAATACCGGACAGTTGTAGAAATACTCTGAGAATAATTTTGTTGAAATGGTGGCTGATGTCACCACGACTTTAAGCGTAGATCGCTTTGCAGCTGCAGTTTTTACAAAACTCAAAACCAGATCTATATTAACACTGCGTTCGTGGGCTTCATCTATGATAACACATCCAACGTCATCCAAATTTGGGTTTTCCAAACAGTAGTTTAACAGCATCCTATCTGTCATGAACACCAACTTAGTTTCATCTCCACAGACTTTGTTCATTCCAACCCAATACCTCACATGTTTCCCAACTGCCTCAAACTGCTCTAATGCTACCCTCTTTGCAAGGCTAATCGCCGCCACTTTTCTAGGTTGCGTACATATCAGGGTTGCCAGTTTGGATTTTTCTAATCCAAATTCCAGAAATTTGGATTTATGAAAACTTGTTTGGCTTTCAAAATATGATTTGGATTTGGCCAAAAATTTGGCTTATTTTGGATTTATATGAAAAATTCTCAAAATTTTCTGAACCTTTGAATTTTAAACAGATATTTCGGTTAACAGCTGTTTCAATTTAATTGGATAACACATATTAGTCCATTTCTTTGAGACTTTCGGGTTTCCTTTTTAAGGTAGAACGTGTCATAACATGTTTATCCCTGGTGCGATGTAATTATGTAAATGTGAATACTTCTTCGCTTGCTTGTTAAGCCTGGTTTTTAAATATCGTATTTCGTCGGCGATGATCCCCGATGCACAGCACTCCCGATGATCGGGGACGATCCCCGATGGTCGGGGATGTTCCTCGATGGTTACCGATGACCTGGTTTTCATATGTAATAAGCCATCGCAGACTTTCATAGACCATTGGGAAATTGCATCGGGGATCATCGCCGAGGAATTACGTTATGAAAACCAGCCTTTAGCATGGGGTAATCGTCGCTGTTTCTTGTTCTCTTGCAATCATGTCTAAATGGAAATCTTTGTACGAGAATGGGCGGCGTTACGCTAAGTCATAGGAAGACAAATATTCATGGGTTAAACAAGCTCCTGATTGAACAAAAAACGCTTTTTGCAAGTTATGTCACCAAGCAATTGCTCCAAAAGCATCTAATCTGTCGAAAGACGAGAAATCAGAAAGACATGCAAAGAATATGAATTCTATTAACTATACCTTATTTTCGAGAGCAATTGTCGGATACTGTCAAATTAACATTAACTTGCAAAACCATTAGATGCCTCGTTTTCATTTCGTCGATTCTATTGTTCCAAAACCTCGTTTTCATATTTGGCTTAATTTGGATTTTTGACCCACAAGATTTGGCTTTGGCCAATTTTGAGACCTGGCAACCCTGGTACATATTATTTTCCCTGTCAGTTGACCTGATACGCCCTCCAGTATGTATTGTGGTACTTGGGTACTTTTTCCAGATCCTGTTTCACCTTTTAAAACAATATATTGGTGGTTTTTCAATGCTTCAACAATTTCGGTCCTGCTTGCGTAAATTGGCAACCCTTGCACCATCTTTCTACTTTCCTTCAAAATGCACCGTCCCATTAGGTCCATGCCACTGCTAGACGGCTTGATTTTTTCATTTGTTGACAATGTGATCCAGGTGCATGCTTCTGTCAACTTCATAATCATATCTTTGTATTCGTTTAGCTGAGCTTGTAACTCTTTTTGCAGCGCTTGCTTCGCTTGAAGCACAGTCTGGTTTCTCTGGTACTCCTCTAGCGCCATGAATTCGGCAGTCTTTCTTTTCAGGTTTTCAAGTTGCTGTTTATGCAAATCTAGCCTTTGCTCTGTTAAATACAAAATCATCTCACGAATTCCTGATACATGCCTCATAAAAGATTGGCAAAAAGTGGATCTATCGCAGTTGAAATCCATCTTTCCAATATCAGCAACCACTTGCTCAAATTCCTTCAAACGTTTTTCAACTTCAGAGTCGTAACCGGCCGCCATTTTTCAGCATGAACTAGGCCACAATCGCTGGTGTCTGCTCACAGGACAGTTTTTGCACCTTTATGAAAAGTTAGATCTTTTCAGATTTATGAATTCATGAAAGTTCCCAAGATGTCTTTCTTATTTCATTTCGTTTCGCTTGAAGATCAGCTAGACATAAACTCACGGACTCACTCATCTCAATACAATCACTTCGCGAACAGAACAATCAATAAAGCCGGGGGTAAAAGAGCAGTCTGGTTGGGTGAGTAGACAACAAGAAAGAGAAACAAACACTTTAGAAAAATGTCGTTAAAATGTTTGTCCTCTGAAACTTCTATTTATTTAAGGTTTTTTGAAGAATTTTTCAAATGAATGTACGAGATAAAAAAATAAAACATGCCATAATTTCCGGCACGTATGAAGTGCTTCCCCTGTTTTAATGGCTCAAGGTAGCCCTATTGTGGTTGCAAACTTGCTTCCTTGAAAACATTCATAGGGTGACCAAAAAAGTTTGCGAAACTGCTATTTGTTGTTTCTGTTCATCGAACAACATGAACTAGATGGAGTGGGGTGTAAGGGGTAGCGAAATCCGCAAATCCGCTACTTTTCACGGCATAATCCGCCAGTCAGTTCCAATCAAATGCGGAGCTATTCCGTGTTACACCCGATAGCAGAAGGTAACAACAGACGGCATTTATTCGTGCGAAAATTAACTACTGTTTTGTTTATTTAGAACCATAAAAAAGACAACCACCGCTTGTCAAAAAATCTGTAGCAATTATTTGGATCCAGCATCCGCGTTTTTTTCGCCTAAAGTCCAGAATCCGCTCAACTCGATCGTCGAAATCCGATATCCGCAAGTTTCTCTGGATCTGCAAATCCGTACAATGAAAAATCCTCAATCCGCGTACAAAAATACCTTCAACCCGCGGATCCACAGATACCTACACTCCCCCTACGCGAATAACTAAATATGCATATAATTAGGCAAAGGATGCGAATAACTAAAGCTATGTTGCAGCATCATGAATTTCATGAATGACTATAACAGTCTAACTATCATTTTACAGCTTTAATTTTAGATTTCAATGTTGAAGGTTGCAATCATAGGCATACGGGACGGGGGGCTGGGGGGCTTCAACCCCCCCCTAGATTCGGGCAGCTGATTTTTTCGGGCAAAATTTGGGCAGGAGCCTTCTCCAAAAAGAAAAGGTAATAAGCAACTACATTTTGAACATTTTTAAAAATCTCTGTTTCTTATTTTTACTACACAACTTGTTTGATATGTATCTAAAAATTGATGTAATTTTCTGTTATATTGCTGACCATTACTGTGTGCTGACTTAATCGTTCTTACACTGTAGTTGCATTTTGCTACTATAATTGTTAATTGTTAAATTAGATAAAGGGTCATCTCGGCCTAGATGGAAGACCATTGAAGAACTTAAAAACTGTGAAACAAAAACAATGGTTTATAAGTCCTTGCATGAGTATACTCCAGAATACCTCTGTAGCCTTTTCACCCGTAACTCACGATGTGCTTCCCATTGCCTCCGTAATACTAAAACATGAACTAGATGGAGTGGGGTGTAAGGGGTAGCGAAATCCGCAAATCCGCTACTTTTCACGGCATAATCCGCCAGTCAGTTCCAATCAAATGCGGAGCTATTCCGTGTTACACCCGATAGCAGAAGGTAACAACAGACGGCATTTATTCGTGCGAAAATTAACTACTGTTTTGTTTATTTAGAACCATAAAAAAGACAACCACCGCTTGTCAAAAAATCTGTAGCAATTATTTGGATCCAGCATCCGCGTTTTTTTCGCCTAAAGTCCAGAATCCGCTCAACTCGATCGTCGAAATCCGATATCCGCAAGTTTCTCTGGATCTGCAAATCCGTACAATGAAAAATCCTCAATCCGCGTACAAAAATACCTTCAACCCGCGGATCCACAGATACCTACACTCCCCCTACACGAATAACTAAATATGCATATAATTAGGCAAAGGATGCGAATAACTAAAGCTATGTTGCAGCATCATGAATTTCATGAATGACTATAACAGTCTAACTATCATTTTACAGCTTTAATTTTAGATTTCAATGTTGAAGGTTGCAATCATAGGCATACGGGACGGGGGGCTGGGGGGCTTCAACCCCCCCCTAGATTCGGGCAGCTGATTTTTTCGGGCAAAATTTGGGCAGGAGCCTTCTCCAAAAAGAAAAGGTAATAAGCAACTACATTTTGAACATTTTTAAAAATCTCTGTTTCTTATTTTTACTACACAACTTGTTTGATATGTATCTAAAAATTGATGTAATTTTCTGTTATATTGCTGACCATTACTGTGTGCTGACTTAATCGTTCTTACACTGTAGTTGCATTTTGCTACTATAATTGTTAATTGTTAAATTAGATAAAGGGTCATCTCGGCCTAGATGGAAGACCATTGAAGAACTTAAAAACTGTGAAACAAAAACAATGGTTTATAAGTCCTTGCATGAGTATACTCCAGAATACCTCTGTAGCCTTTTCACCCGTAACTCACGATGTGCTTCCCATTGCCTCCGTAATACTAAAACAGATCCAAGACTGCCCAGGAAAAACACAGCAAATGGGCAAAAAATAAAATAGATACTGGCGTGGCCAGGGGAGGGACGAAGGGGAACCCTGGGGGCTAGCTAGGCATTTTGAAGACCACATCCTTCAGAATGCTTGGAATTTTTGAATAACGGAGGGTTGTTAAGGACGAACGTCAAGACTTCGTACGTAACTAACGATCGCTGAAAATTCCCGTTCTGGAGTGGAGTCCGTGGTTGATTTCCTTCTCCCTCTCTTTCGATTTTCATTGAAAGAGGACTGGAAACTATTGAACATAGAAAACACGCATGCTCAGTAAAACGCACGAGTTACGACGAAAATGGTGGAGGGTGATCCATCAATTCAGAAAGACGCTTAAGTTTGGCGCCAGTATGCAATAGTGAGCAATGGGTTATTTGGTAACTGAACTGAAAATGAATCCAGAATGCCTAACATCAACAGAATCAAAGCCGTTTATCTGCATGAAATGTAAGTCTTCAGGGAAAAACTCAAAGCTGAAATTTAGTTACACGAACCTGAACACAGGAATTTGGCTTTGTTCTAGTCCAAAGGTAAGTTAGTAAAGTGACATAGACGCTGAAAATATTGTTTATTCTACCACTTAGATAGTCTTTGTGTAAGATTTGGTAGTTGAGTTCTTCATTTTGAGGTTGAGACCCCTTGTCAGGCAGAAAGGGGCATGCTGTCAATGCACACTACAGCTCGTGTAGAGAGCTGCCATGTTTTGAAGATTAATTGTCCTTGTAAAAAGTGGCTGATGAAGATTTTAAGTATTAGATTCAAGGAGAGACAGATCTTTCTGCAGTAATATTAAAAATATTTTTACAGTTTGTTTCCATTGTGGTACAACTGCAAGTTTCCTAACATTTCAGAGCCACTGCCCAAAGTTCTGAGGGGCAAATCACTCTATAAGGAATTTTCATTTGACATCTTGCCCTTGTGCTGGACTGCACATTTTTCAACCTTTTTACAGCCACACAAGTAATTTGACAACTGATACAAAAGGCCATGTAAACTGCTTACATGAAAAATTGAAACTGTTTAGATTGTAAGACAAAAGATACACCCCAACTACTTAAACCCCCTATTATTGATGACAGCTATTCCCAACGAATGTCAAGTTGGAATAGTTCTTCAAGTGAAAGACAGATTGCCCAGTAGCAAAATAAGTTTAAAATCAATTTTTGTTGCCACTACACAGTAAATAAACAATTTGGCAAGTAACAACACAAATAAATCTTTATAAAAAATACAATTTATGAGCATAGTATTCTATATTCATTCACAAGACAGTTTGAAAGATTGTTAAGGCAGTGAAGTAATCCTAGTTTTGGAAGTTTTCTAACAAAGTTTTAATTTAACAAAAGACATTGGAAAGTCCTCACCTTTGGCTTGAGAAAATGCTAGTTCCTATACGAATTTTGTGTTCAATCTGATAATTATTATGATGGTGGTGGTGATGATGATAATGAGTAAAGCTGACTTTAATGGTTTCATTTGTTTGATGATGATTTGAATATGATGTGGGTATTGCTTTGTTTTTGACTGTATGTGTTGATGGAGAAAGGTTTATCCTTTGCTACTTGTGAAACTTGTTAATGCTCATCATGATAATGTTAATCATTTTGATGACAAAAGAAAAGGCTCATGAGTCATCTTCCTCCATGGTCAGCTTAATGTAAAAGGCCGAACAAATTTTGCATTTTTTGTGCAAAACTAAAGGAAGACCAAAGATCAGTGCATTGAACTGCAAGAATAAAAAAGTTGACAATAATAATTAGACATTAAATGTCAGATATATATTTGAATGTGTATTTAAAGGCTTGTTGTAGGGGTTGGGTATGTGAAGCCAAATCCTTTTAATATTCTCAAGATGTAAATGAGCTTTGATAAAACTCTAATTTTTTGAGACACTAAGTATATTCGAAGCATTACCTCTGCATGAAAACAATCATATTAAAGAAAGCATTAAAACTTTTCACTGTTTTTAGTTATAAGCAAATTTTATGCAAACCAACATTAACATACCTCATCTGTAATATTGGTTTCAATGAGGTCAGAAATTTTCCTATGTGGTGCAAATTTAAATTATCAAAGAATAATAATCATAAAAACATAAAATACAGCTTGTCTATGAAAAAATTCACGTAAGACAATATAAATTAGTTCTCAGTCAGAGCTTTAATTTCCACTAAGCTTAAGTTGGAATCACTAATATTCTTTCACTAAACTATAACTTGCTATAGATGTAGAGTACCAAAGTTTAGACCACATAATCTGAAAGAACAGCATAAAATACCCCTCAATATGCAAAATTAGGTAGAAATGATCAAAATTTGGCAGATTTCAAGTTTTCCAATGGATTACTTTTATTCTGGCTTGGTTTATAAAGTTATGAACAAGGAGGTTGGATAGGGGAGCGGCTTATGTTTATGTGCCCATATTTGAGCACACATTCAACTGATTTTGCACATTTAGAGTTATTTTCATTATGCTCTTAAGGATATATAAGCTAAATTGAAAAATTCTAAATTGCATTTTTGTGATGTCATCACTTTGGTACTCTTTATTGATCACTCAGATCACAGACTGTACAATTGTTCGATTGTACAATCAGAATAGCCCTCAACATAACAATATTCAGCAAAATAAAATACTGGTCTTGTAATTGTCATAGCCATCCATTTTAGCTTGTATTAATATTTGAACTAGATTAAACCGATGCATTGATTATACACTTTAAAAGGCTTTTATTTTAGTCAACTCTGTAAAATTCACAACTAAAAATTTACAAGTCCTAATAGAAACAAACATCTCCCAAAAGGACTAAGAATAAAATTATTGTTTACCTGTTTTTTGTTTGGTGAGATCTAGTGAATTTAATGACTCAAAATTCTATTTCTGATGCCTTTGTCTGTCAATTACCTTTTTCTAAAATAATGTGCTAGATCTAGATAAAAATCAGCAAGGTGCATCAATATCAATCACTTTGCAAATAATATTAAATGGTGACTATAAGTGCAAATAACTAAAGGAAGAAGACCATATAATGTGGAATCTCAATTGGATGCATTCTGGTAAGCTATATGACAGTTTTTCCTTTGCCTTATATGTTGGGGTATAAGACAGTTTCTCTCTGATAACTGCCAACTCTCTGATAATGCCTAAATTGACAAAACTTCAGGCTTTCGTGGGAAAAATATGGCAAGCATGCTAACCACTGCACACCACCGCATGAAAACATCCAGGTGTGTGGTGCCGTGTGATATTTTTTCGCAAAAATCTATGGTTATCATAATAGATCCATACAGAAATTGCCAACACGACAATGATGACACCAATAATTTTGATAAAATTTAATTCGCTGAATCCTTAGCATCACTACTAACATTTTAACAAAAAAACATGTTATTTCTGAAATCTTGAGCAAGTTTCTACAAAAGTTCTTTCATCGACTTCAATAATATATCGTTAGCAGAGTCATTGGGGGCTTGGCGTTATCTGGTTGTAATTACCGTTCTTGTGTGTAAATCCTTGCCCCAAGAGCCCTGGGTTATCAAGCATCACAGCTATTTTATGTATATGACTGGCCAGATGTCGATAATCCATAAAGATAATGATGGCACATTTTCCATTAAATTAAATGTTGCCAAAATCTAGATTTAAAGCAAAGCGAAGTCTGAAAAGGGGGCTGTACATATGGGTAGCAAAATCCGCAAATCTGCTACTTTTTCCTGCATAATTGGCAAGTCTAAATTAGCAATCGAAAATGAAAATCTTGTTAACAACATTTGATGTTCCTTATAAAAATCGGAGACAGAAATGTCTGTTATAGTCTTCTGTGTTTGGATTTGTTCATTGAAATGCCATAAAGCCTTGTAAAGGTGTAAACTTGTGCACAAATCCCTTTTCCATTTTTTGCATAATAAAAAGTGCATGTTTGCCAATGTCTGTTTTGCCGATGGAATTAATTATTCCCCTGAGAAAAAGTGATAAATATACTCCGGGGAAAAAGTAGGCCAAAATAACGGTGAAAATTTGTAGAAAAGTTCGTCATATCAAGAAAAATCATGATGAACATACAATTCGGTTCGTAATAACAAGAGTACGTTATATACGGGATTCATTATACTGAGGGATTTTGTAAGGGGTTGGGCAGAATCCAGGGGGCCAGACATACTTTTGTTATACCAGAAAATTAGTTATAGCTGGATTTAATATTATCAGGATTCCACTGTAGATTAGTCCAATGATTATTTCAAAATTTTCTATTTAATCCGCAATCCTGACAAGGTGTTAAGCCTATTTGAAATGGCATGGAGTAATAGTAACAAGGAAAGATTTACATTTAAACCCGTCTCAAAAATCAACAAAACCAATCATTGATGGAGAATTTTGCTCTCAGAATAAAAGAAGGCGCGTGATATTTTGCACTCCTCGAAAGCAGTAGCCATGCGCCAGGGCGTACACATGTGTCGCACGCCTTTCCGACGAAAGCCTGAAACTTCTTCAAACCAGGTCTAGCCCTTGTTATTGCAGTGTGTTAAGAACGAGCTTCTCTGCTCAGGGCTTCTGCAAGGTATAAAAAATTTAATCAATATCAGCCAACTCCTGCTTGCATTTCACAAAAAGTGGCACCAGTTTGCCCCTATTGAGGTCTGTTAATGTGATTGCATCATTTAATCATCCCCTGTTTGGGAACATTACCTGCTTGAATTTTTTAGTCAAAATAATTCTGGGAAACAACAAAAGTGCTTGTGGTCTCTATGAGTGATAATCTTGTTGAAGTCTGCCAATTGCATATATTTTAGATGTTTCAAGTAATAATATTTCTGCTGTTGTAGTGCTGTTTTCCGCTGAACTCACCAAAGGTCAACAATTATATTGTGAAGATTGATTTGCTTGATAGAGACCATGCACAAAGACAAAAAAGATCCAGGAGGAAGGTATGTTTGCATGTTTTATGTCTACTTTTGCTTTATGAGTTTTTTTTCTATTCTCTTTAAATTTTTTTGAAAATTAATCATTCATGACCTTCAAATTTATGTGGAAATACACCATCATTTGTAAACCTGTTGCCTTTTAAGGTTTTGATTGATTTTCTTCCCACCATGAATATAAACTGAACTGATATAAATTATAATTTAACTATGGTCTGTCATTAAATGCTTGATGTGCACAGTTTAGGCAGAGATGTGCACACTAGTTGGTGTATAGAACAGGACTGTCCTTAGTTGCTACTTAGAGTTTCACACTTAATGCGATCATCAGGTAACTCCTAAATAATAATTTTTGGTAATTTATTGTAATCATCAAATTTTCACTAGTTTACTTCTTCTGCTATTATTCTTGAATATTCATATGATATAAAGATTCTTTTCTTTTTAGGCACCCCATTTGTCAAATTCACCCAAAATCAAAGGAAATTCAAGGGCTGGTGGAAGCTCGGTTTCAGTTTCCACTTGTCAACAAGAAGATAAAGTTATCAATGAATTAACAGGTAAGATGACAGAGTTGTGTTTGTGTTTTTGTTTTATAGTACTTGCTCACTGATTTTGTTCCATTTTCATTCTGGTCAGGGGTAGCTGGCACCAGAAATAAACTGTTGTTAGTCATCAAAGCAATGGAGGCATGGAGGGCTCCCCCCCCACTGGCGTTTTTGTCAGGGAATTTGGGCTTTCAAACACCTGATATGTTGAGTCTGTTTTCTTGTCGAAAAATGAAAACAGTGTATACTTGGGGCATAAGTATAGCGGTGGTTTTGAAGCCACACAAAATTTAATTCAGAACTACAATCCCCTATCACTTCAGGCAACCTCAAAAACAGCATCTTGATTGCCAGCACGGGAATGGGTTGCTATAGCAATGCGTTCTAGGGGCACAGCTGACCTTCGATGCCTCATGGGTTTTATCAATGCGGTCCCAGCAACATTTCGGCTACTACTTTATTAGAAATGGCTTTCTGATAACGGAGACATTGAAGACAGAAAGAACAGACCATCCTGGATATAATAGAGCTCTAAACAATACTTTTAAAAAGACTTAATAATTTTACCGTTGAAAATCTTCCATCACAAGACGCCGGCAACGAAAATTAATATATTTTCATTTCTTCCAAGCAAATCCACGGGAATGTCTCGTTAACACTGTAACGATCTTTATCAAAGAAGAGAAGTCTTTGGGTAGGCCATTGTTTATAAGGGAAAACTTTGTTCATGCATTAGGCTTTAACCAGCTGAAATTACAGAGAAAAACTCGAGACACCCCAGTGCACAGAACCAGTTTGAGTTATGGTAGTTATTTTGTTTGCGATTTTGTTTCATGAAGTAAGCGGCCGATACCCCGGAATGCATTATATTAGACCGAGGAGGCTAATAAAGTGCGAGTAAAATACAATGGCTTTGTGCCCTGTTTTCTATGACAATACTCACATTCACAGAGTAAAAACAAAGGGAATGGCGATTCGCGATTAGAAACACAATCCTAATAAGAGAGATGTTAGCCAGGGCTATTGTTGACATTTTCATACCCATCCATGTGAGCTATTGGTTGCTTGCACATGTTGGAAAATTGAGGAAAATTTTTTGTTGAATAAGCACATTTCCAGTCTTTTTTGTGATCCAAGCAAGGGACAAAGGCGGTGCAAAGCACTTACCGTATTTACTCTAATATTCCCGCTGCGGGATTAGCGTTTCAACCTAACAAAAAAAGGCAGGATTATTTTTTCAATGCCTTGAAGTCTAGTTTGAGGATACCGTTTCAACAAAAAAGTCTCTTAAACATGATTGTGGCAAATCAGAAAAAACAGACAAGACAGAGCAGATATTGTGCTTTATAGAAAGTAGTACAAAGTCAAAGAATCAAGCGTCTTTTTATGCTGCGAGACTTAGATGTTTGATAAACTTGCAAAATAGGACAGCTCTCTGCCCTCTCCCGTCTATGACATTATCATGTGATTCACCTATACTCCAAGCATAAGTTTCAATCCTTGATTTTCAACCCATACAAAGTGTGTAAAGAATTGCAAATGCCAATTAAAAGTTTCAATCCCGCATGCGGGATTACTGGGGAGGCGGGATTATTCTTACAATCTATGAAATACAAGCGGGATTACTTGAGAGGCGAGAATAAAAGAGAAGCGGGAATATTAGAGTAAATACGTTATGAAAAGGAAACAAAGTTGGCTGAAACAAAGTTAACCATGTCTCTATGAAAAACTTCAATTAAATATAAAACTTTTTTGATCATCTGGCAATAACTTTCTGAATGATCATTGTGATGTATACAAAATGATATACAAAACACATTTAGATTGGTTATTTAATCACTTTTGGAGTGCATTAAAGATCCTAGAAACAGTTTGTTTTCATTTGATGTTACCTTATACCAAAGTTCCTTATAACAAGATTATTCAGCTTTCTATAACCTGGATGCTTTTAGCATTACTGATTATTACTATTGATAGCAAGGCTGATTCTAAAATGCGCTTGACAGTGTATATTGATTATCTTTACCTGGAGTAATTGCTCCTGCAAAAGAAACCATGAGAGCCCTGGCACAGAGGCACAAGCTATGTAATAGGAAAAGGCCTGAATATATATATACCATCTCAAGCCCTGAAAAACATAAGTGCGATAATATCCTCACAGAATAAATCAGTTTTAACCCCAAAAAACAAAGAAGAATGATGATGAAACTGCAAAAAGACAACTGTCCATTAGGAAATGAATGTTTAACGTGCAACCTCATATATGAAGCAACAGTAAGCAACGATAAAGATGATGAAATGAAAAAGTTTATTGGCCTTACCGAAGGTACATTCAAACTATGATATGCTAACCACAACAAGGATTTGAAACACGAATAAAAAAAAGAGTACTGAACTTTCAAAATATGTTTGAAAATTGAAGGAACACTGAAAGATACCAACTATTAATGGAGAATTTTCAAGAAAATAAAGGGCACAGCTAGAAGTAACTTATAGGAACGCTGATTGACGAGTTTCCTATATTCACATTTGATGCTGCTAAGTTCTTTCACGGATGTGCTGTCGTTTCTAGATCTTATTTAATATGCAGAAAACACGCATATAGATCTTATTTAATATGCAAATAATTCAATATTTAGGGGACAATAAAATACTTAATAGAACAGAATTTATAAGCCAATGTAGACACCAGAACAAACTTTTGAATAGCAATTTTTGATCTTAGAATAGTTGTTACCATTTATCACTCTACACAATTAGCTTCGTTTGATTGTGTTCGATTATTTGTTTTTACTGTTATGTCTTGATTGCCATTAGTTTGTGTTTTTTATACACCTGATGATTGTTTACACGTGAAACTCAGAGTTGTGTTACAAAACTGGGGTTCGATTCTTCTGACCAGGTGCAGCACCCGGTTTACAATTGGGCAGCACCCTTTTGGAAATAATCTCCCTTTGTCAGCCTTGGCCTACTGAATAATATATATTATATCATCTCCTGAAGAGTGAGTTACTCACAAAACAGGCTTGTAGAGATAAATCATTTAGTCCTATTTTCTTCAACTCTATGGTATATCACCCTCTACGTGCTAACGTATTGAGCACTGTGCTACAGAAGTATCAAAAGACAAATTTATGAATAATATATATTATATAGACATATGAAAGTGACTTTAAACCAAAATTTTTATATAACAAATAGGTACAATGGTGTTCATTTTTCGTTTCAGATGAAAAAGCAAAGCACCTGTTGTCCAGAGTGAAGTATCATGAATTAGACGATGTGGAAAGGTTACAAGGAGATGGCCAGTCTACTAAATCTGATTGTATGACTTCAATAAGTGGGTCAACTCATCTACTCTGTCTGATGGAATATCTTCAAGGAGGACTCCAGTTGAAAGTCAGAACCCAATATATTTAAATAAATGGTTAAATAGAATGGAGTGTGGCTCTGGTAATACTGATGATATCCAGGAAAAAGATGATTTGGATATTCAAAGTGATAATTTTGTCAATTTGGAAAAGTATTTACCATTTGTGCCCAGGAATGGAAAAATGAGCAGTGAATGTGAATTTAATGTTGATGAGCAAACAGAACCAAGTTTTTCTGTTCTAGAGTCAGTATTGATGGAGAGTTCTGACTGTTCCAGAGGCCATGGTTTGATTTATGACTTTGATAGTGCATATTCATCGCCAATCACTGACTTTGACTTTCACAACTGTGATCTATCTGGGAAGAGTGAACTGCTTCCAACAAGCAATCTTCATCAAGATGGGGGGCTAGCCTCTGTACTGGGAATGGTTGATGGCCTATTTAAAGAAATCAACAATGAATGTCTTCCACATGATGAGAACAGTAACAACCTTGATTATGAAATTGATATAAGTAAACTTCTCTAAAAATGTATTGTTTCTCAAGTCATGAGTGACTCATGTTTGTACAAATGTATATATTGTTTCTTTGATATAAATTTGGGTTTTTATATGACAATAGTAGATTTGAATGTCGATAGTTGTTTGTGCTTTATTTCAAAGTCCTTTGTGAAGTTTTTTTGTAGTTTTATACACAACAAAACTAAGATTGTATACCTTGTTTAGCCTAATATATCAATACTACTGCAGTTTTCTTTGTTATGTCATGGTACGGCAGTCAAACCATTTAGAGGATAAAATCACAAATTTTCTTCAGAGTCTGTTGTTTACTGTTGTGTACGAACTGTATTATAAGTCTTCATGTTTTTCAGACATTTCTAAGGTTGCAGCTCTTAAAAAATTTGTCAGGTGTAAGTACCCTAACCCCTGCCCAATGACGTTATTTTAGTGTTACACACAAGTGTGACTGTTTTTGTAGATATGAAAGGAATTGATAAGGAGTTATTCCTTTCTCAGGTTATGCAATCCAAAGAGAAAATAATAAAAGCAGATTTTTTCATTCAATCACTTTCAGATTTTATGGGTTTTTAAAGACAGTCCTGTTGCTGTGGCTTTTACCTGCTCTCTAAGAAATTGGATCTTATATTTAATTTCTTCATAAACAGTCATAACTTTTCTTGTGGACACGAAATTGAATTGCAGTCAGTAATCATTAATAGGCGTTCTCTGTGTCTGTACATGGAGAAAGTGCACCTTAATTTATCAATATTTAGATATGAAATTTCTTAATTGTGGTTATCTACTTTTATTGATTAATGTCATTTTCAGGAACGCCTTCACAAGAATAAGGTAGGAGGGAAGTGTTGGTGATAAGGGCAAATAGTAGAATTTATTTCCACTACCATAATATAGTATTTGTGAGGGTTGGGGTGGGGTTACAAAATAGAATATTGTCATGGATCTATTCCACCCATTCAGTTGGGTATTTTACATCAAAGGCTCTGAACGTTCTAGACAAAATTATTGATTCAAGTAGGTATTAAATGGGCTGGTTGTAAAGCTTTGATTGTCCGCTTATTCTCAATATTCCATTGTTGCAGGATAATTGAGAGTGTGAAAAAGAAAATAATAATTGCAAGAAAGAAAGGTTAATTAAGTAATTGTTTACTTCAGCGTGTTTCTTATAGCAAGGCATAAAATAAGCGTAACTTTCTCGTTCTAACAATGGGAAAAAGTCAGTATCTTATAACATGCCGTTGGTTTTTTATGTTTATTATCGTTTTCTGAAAAAGAATTTTCCTCTATCAAAGACCGACAGCAAAAAAGGTGATTTGTCTATTTTTCTTTTTATTTCCAATGGAAATTATCATAATGAGATTGGCTAAACTAATCATTTTTCTTCAAAATTCTATAATTTTTCTTTGTGTCTCCTCTGTCTCTCCTGGAAAAAGGCAGGAGGGGCAGCTGCCCCCTCTGCCACTCCAGGGTAGGTGCCCCTGGTCATTTTATCCTGCCTCTCCATTAACATAAACTGTATTAGAGACAATATAACAAAAGTATATGAATGAAGTAAGGTAGAAGCAGTTTGAGTCGCATATTTTTGTTAAGAATTTGTCATCTTTGTGGGCTTAGGCTAAAGAAGTTGAAAAGCTTCTGAATGTTACCACAAAAATGTGATTGCAACAGGGCAACACACAGCAATATGCATGTCATACAGGTTTACACTATGGCATGCGCATCTATTTGCAATATTGTGTCGGTTGTGGTTGAATTTAGTTAAGGAATTAAACGTTTTCCATTTTTTGAACTTATGGAATTTCTAAGAAATTTTCATTTTTATGCGTTGTGGTGTTAAGATATCAGTTATGCTCAAATTATATCAAGTATGATTTAATTGGTAAGTATCATGTTTGATGATGCGTACATTTTATTTCGATCGTATTTAAGAAGTGAGAGATGCTAGAGAGAACGAAGCAGCGCGATTTGGAAGGAAACAGAATAGAAAAGGTTGCCAAAAGTATTAAATATACCTGTGATAAATTATATCACTTCCATTAAATATGCCTAAGTCTTGTGCCTAATCCACTTATTTGTTATTTTAAGTTATTAAAATGTATCATCTTGTACCTGTTATGTTCTATTTCTTTCTAATTTACAGGAGGGGTAAGAAACTTGGATTTTCCGACAAAAATCTAACAAGCATTTATATTTTTTCATAGGCTTTAACATAATTTAACAACATCGGAACTGAAATAAATGAATCTTTTGATATATCAAAATATTCTTATTTTCATTTAGCTTCAAATTCTTTCCTATCAAAACATGGCAATATGATTAACATAGACAAGCATGTTAAATGTCCGACTGGACCAGAGGTTTTCCGACAACATGACAGTTTAGCTCTACAGAGGGGTTTTTTGCCCCTCCCGCCGACCCCTCTATCTACGCCACTGCTACCAGAGCAGTTTGGACACCATAGCATTTTTAGCAACCAAATAGCCACCAGAGCAATTTAAGCAACCATCGTTTTCGAAAATTTCTGGGGAGCATTCCCCATACTTTATTATAAAACTTTTATCCTGACCTGGGGCCCATAAATTCTCTCCGTGGCCCTGTCCGTTTTCACCTAAAGGATGGCGATAAGCTGTTTACACGTATCCTTTAAAAAAGGAGCCCTTTACCTTTTCGTTCTTTTCGTCATGGATAGGCCAACGAAAAAAGTAGCTGCTGTCTGTTTACTACGTGGATTGATAAAGTGCGAGTTGGTCCTGAAGAGCGTGTTGCGATTTGCGAGTTACAAGTGGGAAATGCGAGTTGGTACATTTAACATGCGAGTTGCAACTTAGAGTTGCGAGTTGGGTCAATTTTTTGCGAGTTCCGCAAATTTTCCTGGGTAAAATGGTTTTGTAGTAGTTTTTTGCTTTTTCTTCATTGCAGAGAATTTTCCTATATTTCGTACAAACTTAATGGCAAAAATTGAGGTGACATAGCCGGACACCAATGATGGATAACAAACATCTAAGAAAATTAACATTAATTTCAAAGATGATTGTACCGTAAATCCTCGAATTGGCCCCCCCCCTCGAATAAGCCCCCATCCTAGAACTACAAATTGTCAATAAGCCCCCCTCGTATAAGCCTCCACTGCTACCGTATATTCTCGAATTGGGCCCCTCAATTTGATGATTTTTGCCATCCGAGGTTACCTGAAGCGTTTTATTGAATAACCACAACAAATTCATACTTTTGGTAGTAATTAATTAAATGCTCATAAAGAAATTCCTACTAAAATAAACGAGGTCTTTAATTAATGTCTTTTTAATGTCTACAATAATTTTACAAGCCCCCCCGCGTATAAGCCCCCCTAAAATATCAAAAATAAATAAGCCCCGAGGGGGCTAATTCGAGGATATATGGTAAGTGTTATGTTATTCTGTTGCCCGTTTTTCGCTGTGATATTTGAAACGTAGGCAGGTATACAGTTATAGATGAATTCTGTTGTTGTTTTTACTGTACACGTTTGTCATTTCATAAAAAACCTAGCTCATACCCTACAAGAAAAAGTTTCTTAAATTTTGTATTATTTTCTATTATTAACTAAAATAATAGAACAAAAGAATTTTTTTCCATCATGGAAAATCAAAATAAAGGACTCCTAATATTGAAATACTCTTCCCCCTTTTCCAACCAATTATTGTGCAAAGTAATGTGTATTGTGTAAAAAGTCGAAGACAAACGAAAGAACTTAAGCCTGAAATACACGATCATTTTTTATCAGTTTTTAACTGTCAGTTTTCAGTCAACAACTGATCGTGTATTTAACAAAAACTGACAAAAACTGATGCATTATTGACCGTCAGTTTTTGACTGAAGAAGTTGAACACGTCCAACTTTGTCAGTTTTTAACTGATGGGATTTCTAGTCAATGGTGAAGACTCTATTGTTTTAATTAAGCTGGCGCCAATGCTTCAAGTGTCACCCCCCTCAATAGTATCTTAACAGGAATCCCCCCTTAAGAGACTGTCATGTCATAAAAACAATAAATGATCAAGCAAAGGTAGTTGCTCCATTGGTTAAGTATGATATTCCTTGATATGAATGAAGGTAACTTGTGTCCATTTTCCCTAAAGTTTCTCGGTAGAAGTGTCCACTGCAATTCACGACGAGCTCCAAACTTTTTTTACATTCAAAAGGCATGCTAAGATGGAAAGAGGGATCTAAATTGTCAACCAGTGCTGCTTGTTACCTAGCTTTAGAAGTAACTGACAACATGGAATTTTCTAAGACCACGGCGAAATTTTACCAGTTGTTTTTATCTGCTGCTCAATTTGTTTGCAAAAATAGAAGAATTTTCAATAAGATTATCAGGATTTCTTTAGTGAAATCTGCTTAAAAGACTGCATTTTCCAGGGAACTGGAAGCATCAAAATTCGAAAAATTCTCTGTTCCTTCGGCGGCAACGGCCTCAGATAGTAACTTTCGTGTACTTCTTATTGGGACACGAGCATCTGCAATCTAGATAAACTTAAACTACCTAAGTAAGGTCGGTCCCTATTCTGTTTAATGGATAAATGACGTCCTTTTTCTTACCCAGAAACGTTTAGAGCGTTGATAACATTGAAAAATCACGGGAAAAGATCGAAAAAGAACTTTCTTAATATGCCTTTTTTCTTTTAGGGACATTTTGTTAAAAATGCGAGTCCCCGCAGAAAATAATGATCCCGCTATAAAGATCTGCTCTTTCTTGTTTGTTGAATTCATGTCCTGTCATAATCTCAATGTTTGTGCGTCCTTTTCAATTGGGATTTCATGTTTTCACTTCGATTGCCTAGCCCCCTTGTCGGGAGGTCAAGCCCCTCCGTCGGAGAACTTCTAGCGCCACCACTGTGTATTTCAGGCTTTATGAAGCCGATCCTATGGCAGCTGCACAGGAGCTATCTAAATTCGTGCCATCTAAATGAGGTAAAGTGTTGCCAGGATACCTTATAAGCAGAGACCTGGAAAATGGAGTCAGAGAAGAATAAAAATAGTGAAGACAGTGAAGGGCCAAGTGTCGATTCAAGTAATCAAGTGGAGAGAATCGAGGCAAGAAGAAAGAGGATTCAAAAACGTATTGAGGCAGCAAAGCGGTAATATTAGTACCCAGTATGACAGTTTGCAAGCTGTGGTTTTGCCATATTTGCAACTGTGGTATATATAGGCCTAAACTACCTAAAATTTTTATTTTGTCATGTAAATGTACTAGTAAGTTGTGGATAATGTCACTTTGCTTCAATTAATGTACGAAAACTTACTCAAGACATAATTTCAAGCACAAATGATACAAATTTGTTGACTCAGTTTTACAAAAAATGCATTTACCAAAACAATTAGACCTATCATCAAAAGTTTTGCAATCCAGTATGGATTCCGTGGCAGCTGCACTCCCGATAAAAGATAATGAGTGCACTCTCGCACATCCGAAAGATGGGTGTGGTTTTGGGTGTGGCTCAAATAAAAAAGCTTTTTCAAATATGACAAAATGACTTTCTAAATTTGTTTGCAACTGAGATTGGAAAAAAGTGTGTCATTCTAAACTAAATTAGCTTGAGATGGATGCCGGGAAATTATTTGAGTGGCCCTGGGGGAAAACAGAAAATATGGTCCCATGTAAGTGAAACCAGCAGAAATTTTTGACCAGGTTCTTTAGATTAGCTTAAATACATATCAGATTATAGAATTTTGTTATAAGGCTCTCTAGACCTCAAGGCCCTTACACAATTTGCCCCCTGTCCCCTTCTTGGCATCCCTGCATGAGATAATCCTTTTGGAGAATCGTGCCTTTTGCCTTTCTAAACATTATTTTGAAAATTAGTATTTTACTTGCGGAACCTTTAGGAATTTGAATAACAGCCACTGAATAACAGAATTTGAATAACTCTGGGATGTAAAATTGATGTAAACTGGATAAGTACCAGAAAAATATGAACACACTCAAGAATCACTAGGAAATTTGGTGCACATTCAAAGGTGCACACTTATTACAAATGCACTCTTGCACTCCCGGATAATATCTTGTGCACTCCTGAGATCTTGTCAAAAACTGCCATGAAATCCAGACCGGATATCAATGAGGCTATGTAATTTTTGATAAATAGTCTACTGAAAGCATATTTGAAGGGTCAAAACAACTATTAGTTGAATTATTGTCTTGCAAGTAGCAAGGAAAGGATCAGTTGAATTTTTATACCCAAAAGAAAAATGGTTAAATTGCTTTAATTGATTAAGGGCTTCTAGGCAGACATAATACGTCATTGTCATTCATGTTATTTTCTTTCTCTTCTCTACAGAGAGGCCCTCGGCGAGAAAGTTGCTGAGAAAATAGCAAATTACTTTGAAGAAGAGCTGCGAAAAAGCAGAAGGCAAATTGAAGATAGTTACCAGGTAAATGTTAACCTCAAGTTCCAATTTATATTTGAAAATTTATATCTTTTCAATCATTCTTAGCGTATTCTTTTGCCCTTCACTTTTCTTTGCTCAAGAAATAGTTTTTGATTTTTTTCAGAGACTTCTAAAACTGAAAAATGATGGTTCAGAGCTTGTGAGTAATGTCCAGGTGGCCTGCCATGCAAGGGAAGATATTCGCAGAACTGAAGAAGATGAAGTCAAAAGACAGAGGTAAAGAAAAGTAAATGAAGTGAATAAAGATAGTGATCCTTTCTCAAATAATATGCTGAGGGCCTTTCTCAAGTTCATGGTCTTTGTAACTTCTGTCAGAAATTTTATCATTCTCTCCCTTAGCCTTTCCTTTACAGTTTTTGTAATACCCCTCTCCTATACCATCCTTACCTGGGCATCCAACCAATATTTTACTTAGCCCAGCTTTGACCTAAATAAGATTAAGATAACCATAATCAAATATATGCCAGATGCTCATGATATCACAAAATACTATTTTTAGCTGTTTTCACTCTCTTATTAGCTGATGCTAGCTAGACTCTGCTTGTTATGGGTGTTTGAAATCTATTATTTTTGAAACTTATTATGAGGTAATCAATTATTTTTGCAAATACAGTTGTGTTAGGTAAATAATTCAATGAACTGAGATATAAATCACAATGACTTACATGGGCATTTCAGAAAATGTACTTTACATTTGCTTGATGTTTAACTGTGCTTTATATTAAATTCATTAACAATTCAGTAGGTATTGTACCATAAAGTATAAGATAGTCCAATCTTGTTTATCAAGAGTGCATTCAAATAAAATCTGAAAAGAGTACAAACTTATGAAGTTGTTGTAATCGTGGGTTGCAGTTTAACACGATCAAGGAGAATGAATTCATATAAATCTAACTCCACTCTATATGAAACTATTTATAAGGTATATATACAAGCATATCATAATTCTTGAAACCTCTACTCCATTGATTGTTCTTGCCAACACTACTCTCCTGCACTAATTTGACTCTTACTCGATCTAACTAATTATGCAAGAGCTGTAACTGTTACCATAACTACCTCTCAATAGAAGTCTACCTGGCTGATTTCCTTTCAGCCATATCTTGCTTAGAGTATTATCACAAATGAATATTATTAAAGTAAATATGCTACATACTTATATATTATAGCAATCTGCCTAATTTACAATCTATGGCTAACTAATCTGTACCGTTTTTATTAAATTGGATCTAAGTGGATCTCATTGCAATTAAAATTTTGTTGCATTGTCTACAGGATTGAAAAACTTGAGACAGAAGCAAAGTCTGCTGTTGACAAATTTGAAGAGGTAAAGATCTAACCAAAGGCTCACAAAATTTAGCAATTATTCATGCATGGAAATTTTTATTATGTATTTCATTTGCCAATTTTAAGTTTGAAGTATGTTATGCTTTCTTTAAGGATGCAAATTTTCCCTACTGAATTGTTTTCAGTACACATGAAACTTTAAGCAAAATTGATTTTCTAATTCCAGAGACTAGTATTTTCCTTTATCGTCATTTTGTTTAAAATTTTTGTCATTGAACTATAGATAACAAAGAAATGGGATCTAGCTTCATCTAAGGAAACTCCACAGGATCTACATGAGGTAAAAATATTATTTGGCTTGGAAGAGGTATGCATTTAATTGTAGACATTTTAAGGCACTCAAAACCATACGATTTTTTGTTTGTTTGTTATTGAACACATTGTCTTGTATGACTGACAGACCAGGGGGTTGGAAAATGTTCAGCAATATATACACAGAAAATGTTTGAACAATTTTGGCAAAGCTTTCAAAGAAGTTAGGTCAAAGAGTTTTAGGTTTTTTCTTTAGTCTCTTCCAGGCTTAGTTTCTGTCTGAGACTGCTTTCAGTGATGTTTTGCTGATTGTCATTAAGCAAAGAATTGTTGGGAACGTGCACTCAACAGTTACGTAATTGCTGCGTTTGTAAGTAAACTAATGACCTTCGTAATTAGTAGCTAGTGTAGGACGCGTTGTTAGAGTAGATTGCTTGCTGCTCTATTGTCAGCTAATTAGAAGCTTCTAGAAAGTTCTAATGATCGCTGAGGTAGAACTTTTTAGCACGCGTCACGTAGAGTTTAGTCAGTTGCATGTTTCGCAGTGAACAAGTCGATAGAATCTCAAAACAACAAGAATGTTTTTCAATTTGATATAAGCTTAATAATCAGGTTTTTGTTGTTTTAGTGAAGTAGATGTTTTGTTCAGGCATTGTCTCTATTTGAATTCTCTCTCATTTTTCCAGATGTTGGTTGAGCAAAGAACAGGATGTGATGCAATGATTGATGAGAAGAACAAGCTGATAAATGAGCTGCAACAGGTGAGGCTCCTCAAAGTCATTCCATGACTCAAACATTACTACAACTACAACTTATCAACGAGAATCAATAAATGTTTTTATCATCTCTGGTCTTCAATGTAAATGCCTGATATATAATTTATATCATGAATGTTATATAAAAAAAAAGCAAAATTTCAAAGACCAACATTAGATAAAAAATAGGAGGAGATGACACCTGCCTGCAATTTGTCCCAATAAACACCTTGGCACACACTGAAACTTGAGAAACTTATTACTGTATCTTTAAGGCATCTAAAACAATACTGAATTTTTTCTGTTTGACATAAATCTATGTCAATGCGCATCTAACTTTTAGAATATCCATGTTTTGTTATTTTTAGCAGTATTTGTAATTGTAATTATAAATCAATTTGAATGGAATACAATACAATATAAATGATGCAATACAGTACAGTACAATGCAATACAATACAAGACAATACAAGACAATACTGTTGAACAGATAATAGACGATTGTGCCAAAAAACAACCATTATGAAATTGTTCAATTATAGTAAGATGATGTTTCAGCTTTTTACTTTGTTAGCAAAATATTTCTTTTTTAGGATCTAAAAGCTAAGGACGATCAATATGTAAAGGATCTACGTAAGCAGGTCTGATTTAACACAGATAAACCTTTCACGATTTATGCTATCTTTATGGCATGAAAGATCAGTCATTTTTTAGACAAGTACCAATCTTGATGCTTATCTTAGATATGTTAAGCTTGAGGACTTTCTAAGTTGGATCTTGGAAAAATTAATTTTCAGGATGCTGCATGGTGTTCAATTTGTCAAGACTTTTGCAAGATATGTCTCTGTAGAGACTCTTACCAGGGGCTAACCTTGTCAATGTTCTGACTTGGAATTGTTTTAGATATAACAATTTTGAATGACTTTAAATATGTAAAGAATTAGATTTATAAATTGGTAGTCTGTATTGTTCGGAACTTCTGTTTTGGAAGTTTTGTAATCATCTTTGATGATTTTCATTATGATGGTTGGTCTCTTGCATGATTTCTGCATCATAGGCAGAGGATATTGACCTGATGATCGAAAGAATGGAAGAACAAGTGAAAACTTTGCTCCAAGCTTATCATGAAGAGCTCACACAAATCGAGGTGGGTGGCTCTTACTACTCTACAAAAACATAACTGTACAATTCTTCCCTTGCTATGAATTTTTGTACCTAAATCAGTATATATTTTTGTGTCAAGCTAGAATAATTTTTATAGTTTTTACAAAACTTCCTGGCGGTTAATCGAATAAAGAGACCAGGTGAGCTTAGTGTCATAACATTTTGTCATTTAAATAAGACCTTATATTCAAAAGGAAATGTCTAGATAATCGATTTTAAGATGTATCAAACGCACCCTCAAACAAAGCCAATAATTGTTTAGAAAATGGTGCGTCTTGTACATAGCAATATATAGTAGCTTTATCTTCCCATCATTTTGTAACATTTTTAAGCCTTAGTGTAAGTTGAGTTCTGTTCTTTTGAAATTCCACGCAGTGTTTTGAATTATTCAACGAAAGAAAGGCCAAATACCATGAAAATAGCAAACAGGAACCAATTCCATACTCAGTTGAAATTTAATGGACAAGAGCTTAATTTTGTTGAGCGCCTTGGGAGAAGCATTTATGTCGGATGCACGTAAATGATTGAAGTAGAAAGCAATTCAAAAGCTTGGGCATTTGTAGGCGAAAAACGGGGCACCTCTTTGGGCTACAAATAGGCACGTTCGCTCTGTTTCTGTAACGTGTACGGGGATGGACACGTCCTCTCTATACCCTCGTTCTTACATCCATGCTTTTAATGAAGCTATCTAGAGTAAGATGTCCTCTTGCCATATTCAGATTTGTAATAAAGAAGACTTCAAAAGACCCTTAAACCTCAAAATGATACTCAACTGGTTGCAAAAAGCCTTGCCATCTTGAAAACTGTTCGTCTGATTTCAAAATTTTCAGAAAGAAAAAGCGTCCTATTTTGTCTTTTTTAACTAACATTTTGCACATGTCTTTCATTTGTTCTGAAAACAGTGTTGAAACTTTGTTACCAATTAAAAGATTTAGCCAATGAAACAACAAAGCTCTAAAAGTCCATCTGCGACGTTCAATCTTGGTTTTATGAAGCATAAAACAACTGGCTTTTCATCATGTTATAGCGGTTTCACGTGCATGGTGTCTTATGACTCCGCAAAAAGATTATATCATCAATGCCGCGTTGTACACGAGGTACAAAGGTGACTACAAGGACAGGGAACAGCTTCGATTTCTCATTTTCTTTCTTTTTTCATCGCCAGAAAATCCATAGTTATCACATCACTACGTGCGAAACAAGTTGAAAAATGTTGTGTAGGACAAGTTTTGTATACACAGCTGAATTGAAGAAATGTAATAATAGCAATGTACATTTTAGAAATCCTTTGATACGGAGAGGCGAGAATTAATTGAAAATCATAAAAAGAGATGGAGTGGCTTGATGAATAATAGGCACGATAAAGAGGTAAAGTTTTACTTGATTGCTTTCTATTAACTTGCTGCTTAACTTATAAACATTTCTTGCATTTTAGCTACTTATAAAGGATAAAAGACTTTTCAGTCATAATCTGTCAAAAGATCGTTTGATTGTATTTAAATTCTTTGACAATCCTTTCTATTTTATTACTGTTTCTTGCTGTTGAAAAATGGAGGCAATGCAGTCTGACTTTCTGAAATTTTGTGATATTTTTCATGGCTGATACAAATATTTCAAGTCTTTTCGAACATGAGTTTTATGGAGCGTAGATGAATAGCTGTAGAAAGAACAAAGAGTCATCTAGAAATCAAGTAAACTGACTGTTAGCGTAAAAGCTGCGAAATGTTTTAATCGTTATTTCAGATTTCTGAATCACACACCCGGTGAGCTTTTAGGGGATACGGATTGGCTAATGAAAAACCAATCAGAGTCGCATGTTGTTTTATTGATAAATCTTCAACAGTATCTTTATAGGAACGTAGCCACCCTCTGTTCATCAACGTTTAAGGTTCATACTCATGCTAGTCACAAACAGCTTTTGACGATTTGAATAGAAAGTTATTTAAGAAACTAAAAAAACCTTAATTGTTTCATTTTGTATTTTACTCGGGGAAGCTAGCATGGTTACTTGATTTGTAGAGACATTAAGCCAAATGTTCTTTGAAAGAAGTAGCAATATTTCAGGTGAACTACATGGATTCAAGGCAGCGACGCGTGGATGATTTCGAGAATCAGCTGCAAAATTTACGTGTTCAAGATGCCGAAGAGTACAACATGGTCAAAATCAAGTTGGAAACGGATGTTCAGGTAACCTTCCTGTGTTTTGGTGTCTTTATACTTCATAGTTGGTGATGTTAAAAGAGTCTATTGATTAGTATACGATTTTATCTGCTTATGATCTGAGCTGCCGAGAGCCACGCCGGGCAAGGGCCAGGCCCAGTGTTTGGGAACCTTCATGCCCAAAGCAATAAACCTAAAATGCGTATAATGTGGATTTAAATTGCATAGAAATTTATTTGCTTACTTTTGGGTTGCATTGGTAAAGCATTGTCAAACTTTCCAAGTACAGATGTAATTTGCAATTATCATGCTATTAAGAGTCATTTTTTTTAAATTATTCAGTTTTTTCTGTTTATAAGTATGAATGTTAATCGAAAAGAGCTTTTAGTTTTCAAATGCTAGATTGAACTGTAACGAATTCTTTTATCGCTTTCTGACCCTATCTTTCTTTCTCTAGATACTGGAACAAAACCTGCAGCAAATGAAAGCCACGTATCAACTGAATCAGGAGAAACTTGAGTACAACTTTCAGGTGCTTAAAGTTCTCTTCGACATTAATTGAATGTTTGTTTTAAAAAAACTTGTATGCGAATGTCTGTTGGCATCAACTCTGGCTGTCCCCTCTAACTTTTAACTCTGTTAGGAAAATAATTGCTTGTCACTTTGCTGTCTTAGGGCTAATTGAAAGGGGTGCAAAATCACGATAAAATAACACATTTTTAAAGGGTTTTCACTTTTTTTTAAAGGGTTTTCACAAGTTTGCTTCCAGAAACATAACAATTTGAAAGTCAATTTCAGCAACATAAGTACTGTGCAAATGCTTTGTTTGAAGGGCATATGTCGTGAACGTGACTGGTAAATGCAATACAATTATTATTTTTGTTTTGCACGGCATCGAGGATGGATTTTAACGGCAGTAACTGCTAACGCGACATATGCCCTTGGACTTTAGTCATGTGATGAAAAGACAGGCATGTCTGGGTTGGGCATTTGAGTGGGCTATTCAGAAATTTCGATTTTCCTTTACATCTAGCAATTTTATCGGCCAATGCTAATCTGTAAGCATACAAAGTCACAATATATAAAAATCATGAGCGAAAATAAAATATAATTTCTAAATTACTAAAAATATACAAATAAAAGATTGATAACCTAGATTATACCAATATTAAGCATAAGTAATAAATAAAATGAATTTTTATATTCAGCGCAAATGAATTTATTGAATAAGTGATTAAGTATTAATTGATGCATCGTCAGTGATAATTACTATAAGGGTAATTATTTACTGTGTCACAAAAATCGTAAGAATGCAGCTGTTTCATAACTTCTGTGATTTCCTGATTTAAATTATGTTCATTTTTACATTTTTAAAGATAGATTAATTTCGTTTTCTTGAGCGCCCGGACTCGCTCGATTTATAACAGGCTATGATACTGAATAATAACACAAAATATCGGTTTAAACTTCATTTTCTGTTTGATTATGTTTTAGCTTTGATTATGTTTGAGTATGTTAGTCATATTTTTGTTTTAGGTTCTAAAGAAGAGAGATGAAGAAAATACCATCACAAAATCGCAACAAAAACGAAAAATAACTCGGTATTAATTAGTTTTTTACCTATACATTTATATTTCATTACGCGCTTTCTTTAATAGTTATCTTTAATTTGAACATCATGATCAGCAAAATAATAGCACCGTCGCGAATCGAAAGTGTCATATTTTTGCTGTTTTGCCCTTTGTTTATGCTATTCATTTCTATACTACTTTATATTTCTTTTAGATTACAGGATCTGTTGAATAATTTAAAACAAAAGTCAAAGAAACAAGAAAAGCAGTACAGGTAAGCGGGGGGTAGATTTAGAAACAATTTAAAGCTTAAAAAGTATAATTAGAATATTCAAATTCACAATTCAAAGAATAATTTGCAAAGATTTTCTCTGATTTTTACTTGTATTTTTCAATTGAAACTTACAGTGACGAAAACCACGCACTTACTGAAGATTTGAAGAGAATCACAGAACAGTACAAGGAGCTGCAAAAGAAATTCAGGTGATGCTTAATTGAAAATCATCGTAACCATATTATACCCAGATTTCTCGTGTTCTAGACAAAGTATGTGCCATATTGACATGATTGCACAAAGGCCATTTGGAAGCCTTATGATTTTAAAACAAACTGAGGCTTTGGAGGCATTTCAACGTTGAGATGCACAGATAGCTGAAATATGAGGATTTTTAACCCCCCTTTCCCCCCTTGTTTTCACTGTGTCACCAGCTTTCTGACCCCCCTGTATTATACTGCTTTAGACGTCACTTGTTGCAGTACCCTCCTCACCACCCTTGGGACCTTTCTAACAAATAGCGATAGCCTGCTACTATGTATCAACCCATAGATTTAGTAAATAAACAAGGAAGTTTAAGTTCCTATAAATGAAGATCAAAGCAAGGTCTATAGTAGCTCTTTTTCACCAAGGTAACATCAGCAAAATTTGAATCCCTCCTCCCCTCCCCCTTTCGTAGTGTCACTCCAATCACCAAAGCCATAAACCCCCTCCTTCTTCTGTAAGTATGACGTCATTTATGTATTGCGCCTATATGTAAACCTACAGTTTTCTCGTGTGATCAGCTACATGTTAATTTTTTTGAAATATATTTCCATTACTGTTTAATGACCAAGTTTCTATGACACTGCAAATTTTTATTGTTAGGCATTTTCAAGCAACAGATGAAAAAAAGTTTCGTGATATTTGGCTGATGAATGAGGAGCGAGCCAAGACATTGGTAGGAAATGTTTTAGAACAGGACCGAATCGTCCACGAACACCAACTCGGTTTGCAATACGATGAAAACGATTTGTGAGTATTTGCATAACAATTTTGACATATGATGAAACATTTCATCAAATAGGCTAAGAAAAGATTATGTTTTAGTATATATATAAAAAATGTTGATAAATGAAACTGAGAGTTGTGTATGGAGAAGCCCATTCACTCATTAGTGTTTATAATCCTTGGAATAATAGGCGACTGTCAGGGGTACATTGTCTATTATGCAAACTACAATAGTGAACCGAAGTGTGACATCATTAAAAGACTTTTTCGAATTTCTTATTTTGACCATATGATCTGTAAAAACAACATAAAATATCTCTCAATATGCAAAGTCAGTTAAATATGTTCAAAATTGGGCGAGATATGGCCAATGAAAGATTTCAAGTTTCCCAACAGATTACTGTTATTCTGGCCTGGTTCATAAAGTTATGAACCAAGGTGAAAGTACACTGATTTGATGGAAAAAACCTGAGCAAAGATGGCAATATCATAGCCAATTTGTGTCACATTCAACTGATGTTGCCCATTTAGAAGTATTTCATTTGGGTTATATTTTCAATATTGAGAAGTTCTAAAAATTGATTTTTCGTAACGTCATCACTTAGGAACGTTACAGTCTAATTTAGTTTTTATCAATGCTATAATTGTTGCAGAATTTTCGCAATGCCCCTGCAAAACATTCACAGTTTCCCCTCCCACATTACAATGTTGCTAAAGTTCAGTATAATTACCAGAAGTCATATCAATACGATACTTTGGCGGCATGCATAAATCTCTTCTAATAAAGTAATTAACCTTGTGCTTGGAGAGGTGGAGAAAAATTTAGCAGCAGTACCTATAGGTTGGTTCTATGGCAGTTAAATCCTGTGGTCGATACTTTTCCATCTGAATATTGTGGCGCTCCAATTGTATATCTATGCAATTCCTTTGTTAAACCCTGGATGCCGCCTTGTTTTTTCAAAATGTATAGTTTCATTGCTTATCGCTATATCTCCACTTTATTTAAACTCTTCTAGGGATTTTTTAAAAAATGTTGGTCCTCTACAACCAACTGGTGAGATTAAGAAAAGGAGTGCCGCTGAACTAGTGGAAGAGATTTTGTCCGGAGGTTGGTTTTTTATGTCGAAAAATGTTTCAAAATTAACTGACTTTCCATTTGTCTTAACACAAATATGCTGGCATTTATACTGCCATTGAAGTCGGTCTTAGTTTTTTAAGCTCTATAAGGTGTCTATTGCAGTTTTACCGCACCCTATAGATTCAGTTTTATAGGCCTAAATCTAGGGCTAAATCTCGGAATAACCTGAATCAATTTTCCACGTAAATGATAAAAATGTGAATAAGTTTAAGTAAATTGTTCTCTTGTTTGATCATATTTTATGAGTTATCACTAATCTTTTTTGGGCTGTATAGGCCCTAATACTCATATGTAGGTTCAATACAGGTCGGTTCAAGAAATGTTCTAGAAGTGTTTACTTAGGTTCCAGAAGTGTGATATCATAAATTTATGCATGTGGAATTTGTATATTAAATGTAGATTAAATGATTTTGACTTCCATTTGATTTAATCCACCCCGGTTAGGCAAGTAACGTCTATACTGATGTCTCATTATTGAAGAGTTCAGAAAACGCATCAACCTTTCAAAAGATGTAATTTTGCCATATTTTCCTTTCTCAAAACTTTTAATTTATCGTTTAAAAAATTCTTAGAAATTGAATTTAAATAAGATCATCTAAGGTTTGGTCTTGTGCAAGCACAACAGTAAATTCCTCAAAAGAACTTGCGTGTCTAAATATTAATATATAGATAGCAGTCAGTAGCGAAGACAGTAACCTCCAGAAACGTGTTTCTCGCAGATTCAACTAGCACCAGGACATCAGCGTCGCAAAAATCAGCTGCCGAAATGTCGATGACAACTGGAACAAGATCTGCAGATAAAACAAGTGATTCTCTAAAGGAAGTGGAAGTTGTCGAAGAAGAACTTTCAAACCGGAAAATCAAAGAGATGCTAGAGCTTTTGTGTGACGAAGCTGTAAGTTTTATATTGTTACCTCTCGTTTTTAGATGCAAGAATGGCTCGTAGTATCTCTTAGTATAGGTTGGCTTCACTTGGTATCTAGGACAAAAACTAGTCTACTACCTGTGTTTATTGTTGAACGCGTTTTATGAACTAAGCTTTGTTGGATAGACTAAAATATAGAACGACAGTTTATCGTAGTTTGACTCTAATATTTTGATCTGATCATTTCTTTGTGCATCCTCTTTTATTATCTATGCTCAAGGCAATTAAAATTAAACGCATTTCTATTTTCTTGTCGAAGGGTTTTTTGGTTGAAGGAAAACTGCTAAAGCTTCTCTCACCATTGGAGCAAGACGAGCAATCTTTGATGAAGCTTGATGCAATTTTCAGTGTATGTTGCTTTAGTCATGGTAATCTGATAGTCATAGATAATGACAAACTCTGCTCCTAGCCTGATTTTGGAATTTCCAATCAAATTACCTTATAGCTCTTGATAACCCGTGACCAGGGTCACCAGAAGCGGGGAATGGGGGTGGGCTGTAGCCCTCAATAATTACTAAACTGTATCCTATTTCTTTTAATACAATGATCTGAATGGAAAGCAATACAATCTGCTACCCCCAGCGATGGGCACTTGTTTAAATATTGGGGGGGGGAGCAAACCTATTGTTTTAATAAGATGACGTCACATTTCCCATTGTTTTAGAACAAAAGACCGTTGTCCTCTAAAGTATTGGGGGCAGTCGCCCCCCTCACCCTCCAAGTGTCCGCCACTGGCTACCAACACCCCTTCCCACCCTAATATTAATTTCCTTCTGACGACACTGCTTACCAAGTATCGTTATTATTAAAATTGTTATCTAATTCCCTTTTGCTGGCTGTTTTCCTCTAAGGCACTCAAATTATTTATCTTGCATCTTTTGCAATGCATCTTTTATTTCAACTGATTTTTGTTTCCCCTAGCAAGATAAGTATGCAACGAAGAAAAATATTTTTTTAGTAATGCAAATGCTCGTAATTTTATCGCTATAGTGCTTAAATTCTGAAAATCAATGAACATTTACTTGTTAGAATGATAGATTGTACACAGAAATAATTCCATAAAACATTTGCTACAGGTTATTTGTTTTGTCTCATCCTGATATGATTCTAATTCAGGCACTTGGGATCGAAACAGAGGATGACATCCGCCTCCTAACAAATTACTTCTACAAATTGGTTGATTTGACAGAATCATCTACATACCAGTTTGGTGAAAGTCATGGAGAGGGCAACGGCAATCAAACTGTTTTCAAAGAAGGAGCAAGTCAACCAAACATAAAAGGTGAGATAGTGATGTAGTGAATTAACGCTTTATAACAAAGTTCAAACGATAGAAAACTTCCTTAAAGAGCCAGGGTGCAAAAGGTAGGATTTTAAGGCTTGTTGTGAATTACATGCAATTGTACGATTTTGTGAAATGGCATGCTACTTATATTGGATGCTACATATATTAAACAAATTGCCATGGGGTTAGCAAGGCTGCGTTGCTGCTCAACGGCTCAGTAACTGGTCAACGGCAACTTAGAAGGAACATTTCCACACACTTTTCGTTTCAGACAATTTAAGAAAAGACTAATATTTGTAATGATCTCTTGGAAACTTTCTTGGAAATATTGTCACCCATTTTTTATCAATCCATAATGAAACAAAGTTCAATTTAAAAATGTCAGCTGGGCTGTTTTGGATCAATCGTGATCAAGGGCGGCGCGGAGTGAAAACAAATTGCTATTAACTCAAATATATGTACCCCTTGAGTTCTTTACCAGTGAATGTTTCAGGGCCCTACCTCTTAGAATACAGGGGACACTCAAAAAGACACGCATAACTGTAAGCTGTAGGCTTATTACTAACTTTAACATCGGGTTAGGACGTCCAATGCCTGCCAAAAGTCTTGGAACACTGACATCAATTTCCAAGGTCAAAATCAATCATCCCCCTCTCCCCTACAGAACAATGTTGGTTTACTATCAAACGGGTTAGGATTTTAGGAAACACTTTCTTTTGCGCTTCTTTTATGATATTTCTCTAAATCATCAACATTGTTTTAGGGGGAAGGGGGCGGAAATAGCAATTTTTGTTCATGCAAGGAATGAAAGATATCAAATGCAGCGTAAATTGCTGGGTGTTCCAAGTACTTTTGGCAGGCATTGTCCATCATTTTGAGGTGAAGGCGCTGCTCATGAGTTGATTTGCCTACATGTGCATAGATAGAAGGAAGAAAATCGTTGAAACATCCAGGGCTATACATCTATACAATCAGACATGATATGATTTGTTTTGTTTCGTATCAAGCTACTTAGTTCTCCTAGCCGATTGCACCGCAAACAAAGGGAGCAATGATGCAATGTACTATTGTTTTCCTTCATTTGCTATTAAAAAGGCCCAAGTAGCATGGCCGTTATGTGGCTGAAGAATGAGGCTCCTCTCAGGCCGTGGTATATTGGCTTTTGATGAAAGGTCTGCTGCGGCAACTTCAGATTGATTAAATAAGGTAATCACGACTAGAACTGTGGTTGAAAATTTTTGTGTTTCGTTTTATTTTTCTTACATTACACAAGTAGCCTTGAAAAAATTGCTATTAAAGTAATAGCAATCATGGCACTGTTCGCCGCCCCTGATCGTGATACAAACTTGTGATTTTGTCTTGCAAAGCTTTTGAGTTTTCTGTTAACTGCATCAGAGGTATAAACTCGATCTAGAAAATCAGCTGATATATATAAAATGAATCGTTTTAGACAAAATCAAAAATTTTCAACCAGATGTTGTCAATCCCTACTCCATCGTGTTCGTTCTATAAATTGTAACCAAGTGGTAATCATTCTTTTCCTTTATAGAAATTCTCATTCATCCCAACGAAGTTTTGCAAGTCCTGCGAACTTTTGCTGAAGATCACAGAGAGCCACACAAGTAAGTTTTATTCAATCAATACAGATTACTTAAAGTGTCTATGCAGCGAAACTTTATGTCCTGCTTTTTCTTAAGAGTTATATTTTCCCATCTTTTCTGATACGTTTGACACCAAAATTGTCATGATTTGACCAGCGAAAGTGTGTTTACTCAGAGTTTGAAATCAGGTAGTACTCGCGAAAGCCAAGGCCAGTTTGTGACGTCACAGTGATGAGTCGGGTCGACAGCAATCAGGAAACTGCGGTTGTACAGAATAGGTTTTAGTGAGGGAGAAAAGCAGAAGAATTGTGCAAATTGTGATACAAGCACCAAAATTTCAGGGAACTCCAATTTTGATACGCTGTAAAAGATGTGATATAGACCCAAATTACATCTTGCCCCTAAATTCTATTTTTAGACTGGGGTACTCTGGTCCAGACCCCTTATTGTACAAATGACCATAAACAGAGAATCCTAGTTCATAGAAAGTTGAAATTCACAATACAAAGACAGTTTAACGAGCCGAAAAAGATGTGAAACAAACCGAAATCATATGATGCCCCTAAATTCTATTTTTAGACTGGGGTACTCTGGTCCAGACCCCTGACCATAAACGGAGAACGCCAGGTCATAGAAACTTGGAATTCTCGATATAAAGGCAGTTTGACATGCAGAAAAAGATTGGATATCGAACCAAATATATCTTGCCCCTAAGTTCTATTTTTAGACTGGGTTACTCTGATTCAGACCCCTAATTCTACTATTGGCCATAAACGGAGAACGGAAATTCTCAATATAAAGGCAGTTTGATACGCTGAGAAAGACGTGATATAGTTCCTATTTATATCTTGCACTCTAAAAATAGAACAAAGGGAGCAATTTTCTGGGTGGGTCCATATCCTATCTTTTTAAGCGTATCAAACTGCCCCATATTGCAAAGTTTCATGCTAATCTACTTAAGTGAGACTGAGTTACGATAATACCGTCAATAAAGGTCTAGGACAAAGTACCCCAGTCTAAAAATAGAACAAGGGGGCAATTTTCAGTCGGGGTCCATATCTTATCTTTTTAAGCGTATCAAACTGCCCCTTATTGCAAATTTTCATGCTATTCTATCAAAGTGAGACTGAGATACGATAATACCGTCAATAAAGGTCTAGGACAAAGTACCCCAGTCTTAAAATAGAACAAGGGGGCAATTTTCAGTCGGGGTCCATATCTTATCTTTTTAAGCGTATCAAACTGCCCATTATTGCAAAGTTTCATGCTATTCTATCAAAGTGAGACTGAGATACGATAATACCGTCAATAAAGGTCTAGGGCAAAGTACCCCAGTCTAAAAATAGAACAAGGGGGCAATTTTCAGTCGGGGTCCATATCTTATCTTTTTAAGCGTATCAAACTGCCCCTTATTGCAAATTTTCATGCTATTCTATCAAAGTGAGACTGAGATACGATAATACCGTCAATAAAGGTCTAGGACCAAGTACCCCAGTCTTAAAATAGAACAAGGGGGCAATTTTCAGTCGGGGTCCATATCTTATCTTTTTAAGCGTATCAAACTGCCCCTTATTGCAAATTTTCATGCTATTCTATCAAAGTGAGACTGAGATACGATAATACCGTCAATAAAGGTCTAGGGCAAAGTACCCCAGTCTAAAAATAGCTAGAGGGGGCAATTTTCAGTTCGGGTCCCTATCCTATCTTTTTCAGCGTATCAAACTGCCCATTATTGCAAAGTTTCATGCTAGTATCACAATTTGCACAATTCGACCTATTTAGTGATTTAACAGGCCTGATTAAATGGTTTCGCCTCAACTCATCACTGTGACGTCACAGCGGGAAATAAAATTTCGCAACGCAACTGCAAAATATCCATACTTTGACACTCAATAACAAAAGAACCATTTAACTTATCATAATTCTGTTTTTTTGTATAAGAACAAGGGCGAAGGATTCTATAGTTTTCTTTTAAAATATTGGAATGGTAAATTTCGCTGCATAGGCACTTTAAGTTAGAAAGAGTGGCACTGAGGCAGCTGCTACCTTGCCTTTTTGGTAGCAGAAAGAGCTTGAATGCTATTTTAAATAGTACCAGATCATATCAATTTGTGATACCATGTAAAAAATGGGGTATGATGTTAATACCTTTTTCTCTCAACAAGGGTAAGGTGGTGTTGCCACCAATTGTAGAATATGTACTTGTAAATGGGGAAAGGATGAAGCAACCAGCAACTAGATTTGTTCCAGCACTAGATTTTGTTGAAATAAAGGCAAGTCATTACTTGATTTCTGGCTGTATTTTGTTACAGAGATGCAAGGAGAACAAGCTTCAGGCTTGGTGTTGGACCAACACGTGATGACAGGTATACACTCAAATATGACTTAGAAAATATGATTTTTTTGACCTGATAAATTTGAAATAGAAATAACAGCTCTAAACTCCCCATCCAGCTCAAAAAGCTCGATTTCTGCCATTGCTTGCAGTTATTAAGAAGAGAAAGAACTACCTCCCTCATTTCATCACCTATAAATTTCTTCCACAAGTGATAACAAAAAAACTGTCAATTTTTAATTTGCCTGTAATATTTCTTGATATAAATGGTAAAAGACCTTCTGCTTTGATTCGAGGGGCAATTCACTGTTAGAAAAAGCGTTCAAGATTTCCTGGATTTTTTAGATGAAACAATAGGATCTCCACTAAACGTGTACAAGATTTTCATAGAGTGATTTCCCCCTGCATTGAGTAATATGGCAACCCTGGCAAACATTTTTATAACCATACTCTTTTTGAAAAAAATTCTTTTTTCAAATGCTAGTCAAGATGAAGATTACTGGAGGATGTTTCCAGCAGTAATTGGTGAAAAGAAGGAGCGATTATGGGATGCATTGATTCAAGGGTTTGAGAAATACAATGAAACATTAACTGAAAGGGCAAAGTTGATTCAAACGACTACTGGTTTGAGACAGCAAGTGAGTACACAAACTTTTATTTAATTTAAGACTAAATTCATACCAAATGTTGCTTGAAAAGGTCTGAAACAAAGCAGACTGTTACAGAGTATTACTGAACAATTTTGCGTTTTTGGGTCTTAATTTCAATATGTGAATGTAATCTGTATGATGAAAGTAGTGAATATAAGGGGCATGATCAACAAAAATTTCTTAAGGACCCCATCTAAAATCCCTGTTTTCTGCAAAATGTGCAGTAATGAATTTCTCTAAAACTAAGGTGATAGTGGTAGATGCTTTAGAGAGAGCCAAATTTATTCCACACTTGTTGAAAATGAATGCCTCTGGCATTAATTTCGTGGTTTCAGTTAAATTCTTCAAAAAGTTATCAAGCTACTTGATCAGTTTAGTTTGTCTCTTTAAATATCACATTTTCAAAACTTGAGATTGAAAGGCAAAAATTTGGGCTGGAGACAACAGCACAATAGCTTTGATATAAAGTTGTTTAACATGACAGAAATGGCACTGCACAAATGCTTCATTTAGTTTCATGTTATTGAATATAAGCTGTACCAGGAGAAGATCATGATTGTAGGGAAATCTAGCATGTCCAAAACATAAACTTCATCACTACACTTCAGCCAGTGGGCATGCTTTTTTCATAACTGTTTGAATAATCAACTCACCTTAGAATGACATCAGAATCACTGATGATTGTAAATAATATTCTAATTATAGATGGATTAAGATTAGATACATTCTCTACTTCCTTATCAACAGAATACATATCACATCAAATTAACCAAATGTATCTTTAAACACCTCTCTTTCATTCTAGAACTCTGAGTTGCGCATGTTACTACACCAGTACATAAACTCTAGGGTAAGTAATTTCTAGTAAATTTTCTTTAGATTTCAAAGAAGTCAATTTTCTGATCTTTTCTACAAGAAATTATTTTTACTTGGTTTAAAGGAGAATAAGATTATTTGTATACTCTTTTTAATTTGAGCTTTGTTCATTATAAGTTAGAAAGGCAATTCTATACATAAGCTGGTCCATTTTCACCATGTTTATTGAAAGAAGATTGGACCAAGACATCAACATTTTAAAGCCAAATTTGCAATCTGTTTGCAGTAGGCAGCAAGTAATCAGCATCAGGCCTTGCAAGGAGAGGGGCTTGAGCTCGATCAAGTGCCTCACACGTACCTAGAAGGTCTAGGAGCTTGACTCACCAAGCACCCAGTGTGTTTATGCTGTCTAAAAACTAAACGCAAAAACCAAATTTTGTGATTTATGATATTTGATGATGCTCAATTGAGCATCTAGGAAGTTGAACATACTCTGTTTGTCAAGGATCTGCTTTCTGCTCCTCACTAGGCCTGATCAGCATGTGATTGTTCCAGTCTTTCTATCATACTCACATAAATATTTAAAACAAAAAACTCAAGTCCCTAGCACTTTGCTATCTGGTACTAGATTGTAAGGTATTGTATGCCTGTGTTGGATATAAGAGTTTAAAAGGGGACTTATTCCAAACATCTTACATTGTAGATAAACCAGGAGCTGGAGATCCCACCTACAAAAGTTTTACAGATAGATGGAAAATGAGCCTAAATACAAAAGACACTACTCAGGACACTGTATATGTGAATATTTTGTACAATAAAATGCTACAAGTAAGAAAAATGCAAATCATGCAACCAAAATGGTCTTTGAATGCTCATTAAATGCACACTTTGCCAGCTCTCTTTTGTTCCTCAGTAAGCAATTTATCCAAAGAATGTTTATAAAATAAGCTTCTCAAAAATTCACTTTATATCTTTAAACTTTTGAAGCTGCTAGCAAAGTTTTAGAGAATATTTATGTTAAATTTTTATAGCAAAAAAAGAATTTTTGACTTTGAATTATTAATACACCCCCCTCTAATAAGCCCCTTTTCTTTAAAGCACCCCTCTTTGACTGAAAAAATTAAGAAGCCCCCCTTAGGCTTAATAGAGCTTGTACGGTATGTTATTTTTACATAAAGATACCCTTGAAGCTTTGCTTTGGAAACATAACTTTCTATCACAGTTGAAATAATGCCTAGTTTCAATGATGTTACACCATGAAGGGTTTTCCTTCATTGCTTTTAAAAAGTTCTGGCCAGGACTTATAGTATTGTTCTTTAATGAACTTAAACTTTGACTGTCAGTTAGCTCTGGTATGCCTTTGGTGTGAGTAGAAGCGAATCTGCATCTAGAAAAGAAGAATTTATTGTATTTGGATAGATAAGGCAGACAATTTACAGCAAAAGATTTATTTTGAAAAAAACAATTAGCATGGAAACACACAAAACATAACCTACAGACTCACAATATGTCAAGATGAATCTCTTCAATCCACAAAGATGATACTAGAGTGACATGGTAATGATGTTGCAAAAATCTATTGTATGAATTTTTTGATTTTGAACAAATAGCTCGAAAGAACATCAAAAGTATATCTAAATGTGTCAAGTCAGTAGGGTCTTTTTCAAATTGCATGAGATATAGCCACAAGAATATAAAGTTGGTTAACCTTGGAGAAAATTATGTCTGATGTGCCTGCTAGAAAAGTTAATGTGGCACCAAAATTCTGTCCTCGAATAGAACTCTGTTCTTGAATATGATACAGGAAACTGATGGTTCCTCTAAAAGTAATTTTACTGATCAAACACCTTGTAGATATTGGAAAACATTTAAATCTTCATGACAAAAATCTGACCTATCCTAGAAAAGTTTATATGGGAATACCTGTCCTGGAAGGGACAAGAAGGTTAAAAGAGACAAAAGGTGTAATCATATCCTAGAATTTTCAGCCAAAATGAAATCTATTTGATCGCAATCATATTCCAGGGCAACCAGTGTATTAAGTAAAAAACCATGGCTTTTCCTAGTCCTTTTAATATTTGGTATTCAATTCCACCCACATGCCTCCAGAAGCACCTTAAAATTTCTTTGCTTACTTTTTATTGCACAAGCAGTGGCATCTTTCGAATGAGTTTTTCTTTTGTATCTTTGGCTTCTTTGAACTTCTTACTGACTTTTTCTAAATTAATTTTTCAATATTTTTTCCCTGTATTATCTTAACAGGCATACAACTTTTTGGGGACCATAACCACTCTTCAAAATTGTATGCTTTTTGTTAAAATATTTTACTTTCAAGAAACTTCTGTTAAAATCCCATAAGAATTCTATGGTTTATAAAATCCACATATGCAGCCATCAAACATATATATTTATTTACATCCTTCAAACATTTTCACAAGAGCATATATGAAATTTGAAAGGCTACCAGGTCTGTATAAAACTTGTAAGGTTCATTTTATGGATGGCACACCACCAGAGCCTTAATTGTTCAAGCTGGGCAATTACCAGCACACCAGCAAATTTCATATTACCAAGATTTGAAAGATTGATTGGCTTTTTCCTCACCAAACCAATTTGGCCCTTGCTCTAACCTGTTAGCAAACTTCATATCAGCCATTGGCAAAATCTCAGAAAATATGCTAACAGATTTAACCAATTTTGCCTGTTTAGAGGTATTTAACCGTGTCTCTTTCTGCTTTTGCGTTCAAAGATAAACATTCTATATTGCCTCTCTATTTGGTGGTGCTCATCAGATTAACAATTAATTTGCATAAAAAGCGAGTGCTTGCTGACTTAAATAAAGCTGTAACATCACATACACTGAGAAAGCAAGCCACATCAACAAAACTGTTTTCATTTACTTTACATGTATAGACAAATAGTGCATCTATATCTGTTATTCAAGTAGCATGATTTTCAACAGTTACTTACAGGATGAGCCAATCAAATGTGAAAAAATCAAACCAAAAAATGACATGTGGCCAGCTTCACTTTCATCAAGAGAGTCAAATTTCCTAAAAAAAAGACAAAATTAAACCAAACATATATAAAAGGAAAGCCTCAAAATGACATTTGTTTTTATTTCTGTCTAGCACCCAAAGTTGTTTTTTCAGGATACTAAGTTTTCTTTCCTCCCCTATTTCTCTTACGGCCTTCCACTATTTAATTCAGTCTTCACCCACCTACTCTCTCACTGAGGCTCTGGTACCACATGAAGACACTGAGAAACTATGATTATTGAGCAGTATCCTGGCCCTTCCTTTGATGTGACCACACCTCAAAATCCCTAAAACCCTACAAAAGGCATTGCAACATCGAAGGAAGAAAATATGCTTCAAAAATTGTAATATCCCAATAAGAAAGATAATTGGATATAAGACATGACAGAATGAAATTGAAAATTTTTAAATACTTTATAAAGATGAGATCACAAAGAGATGCTGCCTTTAGTTTTTGCATGTGTCTTGAAAATGATGGAAACACCCATTTTTGCAAATCCATTTTTTAAATTTTAGATAAAGAAGAAGAAAAGATAAATTGAGTAAAATTTTGGAATTATTTGATTTCTAATGACTTGCAAAAAGATCTTTTTACAGAACCAAAGCAAAATTCACAAAATGACACAAAAGTATTTGAGGGTGTTCCCCACATCTTCCTGTTGGGTCCGTCTCTGTTGAAATTATGGGGAAACCTAATAACATATTGTTGTATACTTGGTCAACTTTGTCAAAACCCACTGAAACTGTAGTAAACCTCACTATGTTTTCAAGTTAAACAAACGTTTTTAGGATTGTTTACACTTTCATTCAAAGGTGAACTCACACGCAAAACTGTTTTTTGATATAATGCAGAAAACAATGCATTGGATTTTAATTTTATGTTTTCGGTGAAATATTGTTGTCCATTTTGATGAAATTCCGCTTTAAATGTCATGAAACTATCGTCGAGTGTTGACCATTGTTGGTATTTCATGTGACCCAGTGCCTGTGACGTCACAACACCATGTTTTTATTCCTTGAATGCAAATCATGCATAAACTGGACAGTTCAGTTTATCTCATTCAGTTTATCTTGTAGCCTTTGATCCAAGATATATGAAAATTCAAGACTAATGAATGTACAAAAAATATTGTGCTGGCTGGTTCTGCGTCATGTTAGGAGGGAATTCAAGTTTGGAAGGATTAGGCACTTTTAGCTGCTCGAAGAAGTTTAGCACGCTGATGAATGTTTGAAATTGTTCATATTATCATGAATCTAGCATATTTTTTCTAATAAATCTAAAATATCATGACTTGATATATTATTTCTACATCAAAATAAATTATGGGTGTTATTTTGAGTTTGCAAACTCATCACCTCACCCAAGTTACAGGGGTGAAATGGCCTGTAAGTTGAAACTTTTACAAAATTGTTTTCCTGCAAATAACAACCCGATCGTACCAGGTTCTTAACCCCTTAAAATCTGTCTTGTGATTGAATAAAGAATATGCCAAAAAGGGTGACTTAAATTCAAATTTTTTACAGCATATATTGAAGTTAATCAGGAGCAAAGACTGAGATAGAACTTTTGTTTAGGGGGGGCAGCCTTAGTGTAACAGCAGCCGTATTTTTCAAAATAAAAGTATTTTACTTAGGTTTTGTGACGTCACAATTATGTGGAATGCTCAGGCAAACTCATCTCTGCTCCGAAAAATGTTCAGTGGCTAACTTTGATGCTCAATAAGTTGAAAACTGTGTTGAATTTTGAAATATGATAATGTCTAAGGTATTATGTCCGATATGCTTTCATTTGAGGTCAAGTTAGTTTTGCGTGTCAGTTCACCTTCAAACCAAATAACATGCAGAGTTTTCAGCTCAATCATAGAGACATCTTCATGTTTTTTAGAATACGGTTTTGGGTTTTGTTTTGGGTTAGCTCAATTTTTCAACAACTAAATTGTGTGTCTTAGGGTGAAATCATTGCCTGGTTGTTGGAAATCTCTCCTATGCCCCTAAGATTTTGTCAATGCCGTTTCAGGAGGAGTAGGTGCCTCTTTTGGTAAATTTTTTGCTTTCACAGTGACCTTATTACCAGAACTCCTTAATGACAGGTGACCATAATTAGTGCACTACTAAACGTCATACCCCTAGGACACAAATGCTTCCTACTATCTTGACTATATTTATTAAAATTTATTTGAGATCATAAATGTTAATGTTTCAAAGTTCATCTCCTCAGTATGTAATGCCAGGTGAAAATGTACATTGCCTAGCAATTTCTACGAAAGGAATATGTTTTAGCATTCTGTGATTCTACTGATTGTCATATTCATCACATACCAGCCAAGATGAAAACCACAGTGGGGACACACACAAACAATCCATGAAAAGCCAGGAAACCAAGAGTATTCTGCAACTTTCTGCCAACAAATAATATCTAAAAATGTTCAACTTCAATGTTAAATATCAATAATTTTGACAACAATTAAATCAAATATCAACAATCAAGAAAATCACATCCAGCCATCCTTTTATTTATAGAATTAAGTATTATCCTTCTTTTATCAAGCACTGTTATTAAGATTTGATTTTGAAAAAATATCAGTTATTGTTTAATTTTATATATCTAAAAGCATAATGGCTACAAAAATTGGATAACTGAAAGATCAAACGAATGGGATTGTTAAAGGCTGGTTTTCATATATCGTAATTCCTCTGCGATGATCCCTGATGCAGCTTCTGATGGTCTATGACAGTCTGCGATGGTTTATGACATATGAAAATCAGGTCATCGGGAACCATCGGCTATCATCCCCGATCATCGCAAAAGTCAAAATAATTTGACTTTCCCAACGCGTCCCGACGAACAATAGTAAAGGGAACAATGGATCAGGAATGTTCTGTCAAAAGTGAGTTCATTTGAACTGACTGTTTCGCAGAAAAATTTGAATGCTTTCGATAGTACAAGGAACATTAAGGGGGCTATAATTCATAGTTGGCTCCTAGTCTTAAGTTTGAGTTTCATCATTTTTTTAAGGTGAATCAGGGTAAATCTTCAGCTATGTCATGATCATTACATAATCCACTAAACAGAAAGTTTCCCAAGAAAATTCATACTGGAATCTGCCTCTCCTTTTCTATCTTCATTGTAACAATGGCTTCTTCTGGAGCAATATTTTTCTGACAGGTGCGCGGGGAAAGTTTCTTACTTTGTTGTAATGAATTTTCATTTGCAAATATATCCCGAAATTATCAATATGTTGATCATAAACGTCAATGTGTTGATCATAGATTGACATATCAAAAGTTGACTATTGGCCTTTATCAGCAGCAAGATTCCCAAACTTTCATCAAAATTATAGTTTTGGCATTTAAATATTGTTTATAGCATCGGGGATCGTCCCCAACCATCGGGGATTGTCCCCGACCATCAGGAATGCTGTGCATCAGGGATCATCGCCGACGGGTTAGGATATATGAAAACCAGGCTTAAGAGTTTTGCTTACTGTAAGATTAAAGAAAACATATAATGTAAAATGCATATAATATTAGGCTTTTGATCATGAGACTTTTGAAATCAAGATATGTTCATATGAAAAGATAAGGTTCAAATTCTCTTGGATATGGTCTTTGGACAAAGTTTTAAAAAGAGCAGCATTTTTAGGCTGCAAATTTCCAAAACTGCTAAGAAACATAGGAGGTGAAAAATATGACAGCATATGAAACATAGAAGTTGAACTATATTTTTGTGTTTCTGGTCTTAAAAAAGTATGATATGACTTCTGTCCATCTAATTGCTAGGACTACCTATTGTGTACATGCAATCCCTAGTAAAAAAAATCACTTGAATGTATCCAGGGATATCTGAGAGACACAGGCCATAGTCTGTGTATGCTCAAGCAAAGTACTAGGTAAGGATTTTGCTTATTAAGTATTTTCTAAAAGGCAATGTAAGGTATTGCTAATTCTTGGATAAGCATATGTTGTAATAGAAGAAAATCAGTGCTCATATGGCCATTAAACTTATGTGGCTTATCAGCCCAAAACTTTTTTCCAAGCAAGATCCAGTATACCATAAACTAAACATTAAGATGTTGTGAATTACCTCACCCAATGTTTTAACATCTGCTTTTCTGGTGGTGATCAATTCAAACTTCAACCCTGGGAAGATGACAAAAAGCAATACAACCTTAGTTACAATACATACAAACAGCAATACAACCAACCAACACTCTCGTTATTAACCTTTTTTAGTTACTTTACAATAAGGTTGGCTATTTGGAGAGTTGATGGTGGACAAAAGCAAAAATTTCTATTAATCTAAGTATTTTAGTATACCATATGTCGACAATGAAATCACTTTTAAACATCACATAAGCAGCTTTTTTTGAAACAAGCATTCATGGGAAAAGTGAAAGACCAGTAATGGGCAATATTAGTGTTTGGACACTGGATCAATTTATAAAGATTTAACAGAAATTTACCTTGAGGATTTTCGAATAATTGTATTAAAGTATCTTTCTGTTTTGACACTGTATCATTTCTTTGGCGCAAAGCTTTTCTAGTTGGAACTGAAGTCAAGTCATCAGCTATTGTAATACCATGGCCACATTTTCGACATAGCAACTCATCTAAAATGTAAGGTCCAAAATTATTCATTGATTGTGAAGCAGAACATATATACAAACAACCATATTAAAAAATATACTTCTTACAATTTTGATAAGCCATACACAAATGGGAAATGGCTTTTGTCAGAATCGTAGTTTAATCTGCCATCAATTCTGTTAATTCACTACTTCTTGAAGTGGGCAATGCAATTGAAATTGGTTCAATACCTAATACAAAAGTTCACTCCCGTGTAAAATAAGAAAGTGTTTTACTTTTCCATGTTTTTAGCTTTGTACTTGACATATTAAGGGCAAGGGGGGGCAAGTGCTTGAAAGAGGGTCCGAGCAAGTGGCAAGTGGCACTCTTGACCGTTGATACTCCTTTCAGAGAGCAAGGGGGCTAACAGTAACATGCATAACGTACCAAGTTGTAGCTCATTATTGGCTTCAAATGCACCAATCAGCTGGACTACAGCCATTAAAATCGAAGTCCACATCAATATCCCAAAGCACAGAATTTCTATTCGGTGCCCAAGGTATTTCGGTGTTGCCATATTGAATATAGGACAACTCAAGTCCTTTGCTGATGTTTCCTATAGCTATTGCAAAGTTGAGCTGAGCATGTTTTGTTAAGAGGCCTTTTCTCCATTACATACTATGATACAACTTGTAAAAACATTAACTATTTCTCTCGTGCTGGAACCATGCAACCATGTTTTTCGTCACGATTATCTGAGAGCCTCGTTTCTGTTTTTCTTTGTGAGGCACAATGAGGCCTTCAGCACTTCTATACTGTATGATTGGTGAGCCATGACCAAAAGGTGTATGGATTATTCGGTCAAAATGAAGATTCCTTTTCGACCAACCCAAGGTGCGATAACACGATCACAGCGGCAAAACTGTTTTTCATGACTGTAAATAGCTTACGATTAGGCCCCATCTTCGAATAAGCCCCTACCCAGATATGCCAATTTGTATAATAGGCGAATCCAATCCACGATAAAATCATTTTCACAAAAAAGTGAAAGTCGAACATAAAGGAAAAGTGTTCACCATGCTTTGTTGTCAATATTGACTTTCAAAACGTTTCGCTCCTCAACTTTAAAATATAAAATGTTTCGAAAAAGTCTATTTGTATGGAAACTTTCATTTATTTTTTTTAAGCCCCCTCGTTTAAGCCCCCAATCGAATTAGCCCCCTTCCAGAAATGTCTCAAATAAATACCTAAACATTGGCAAATAGCTGTTTTAAATGGTGCTCCCATTAAGCCTCTACCCAATTTTTACTGATGCTGAAATAAGTAAACTTGACAAAAAACAGAGATTTTCATTTTGTTCATTGGTCGTTCATACTTCGCATCAAATCAATATTCACACCATGTCTTTTCCAGTCCCGACAGATCCGAAGACAAAGAAGCCTTTTACCAAAATTACTGGCCGTTCGTACTCCGAGGGATGAAGTCGACCTTTTCGAATGCTCGATTTTAGAAGATGACATGGCCAAAGAAGATATTTTAAAATTAATAATTGATGACGATGACGATGACAATATTGTAAAGCTACTGCGAGCTTCACAAATAATTATAAATAAAACAACAGCAATTCGGCTTTTTCGTCTTGCGTCTTTCTTTGCTTCTAACAACGTCTACATGCGCGGCATGTCTTCTACTTTCGGCTACAAGAATCGACTGACAACTGGGAAAACATCCTAACTATATAACGGCGTGACAAGAATACTACCGAAAAAGGTAAAGTTAACAGCGCGAAAGGGTGGTACCAGCGTACACAAGTCTTACGATAACCAAATATGGATAGTACTCAGGGTTGCCAGATGGTCTGGAAACGAGCAGGCCACACCAGCTTAAAAAAGTGGCCAAATTGGTCAAAAATAGGCCAAACTAAAATGACGTCATGAAGCATCGCTATGCGCATGCGTAGATATACATTAGGAAAACACATCATGAACCTCGAGAGCTGAAAGCAACTGAACAATTATAAAAGATAAACAAGAACAAATTTAAAGTTAATAACAAACAAAGCATGAAGCAAAAATAATAAAGTTTCACACAAGCTATTCATCTTGCATCATCACATCATCATCATCATCTTCATTTATTCCTTCTGTTGCATACATGGACGAATTGAACAGCTCTAACATCCTTGGAATGACACGAAAGTCTTTGCAACATTTATTTTCGAAATGCAAATTCGTTTTGATGCGCACGATTGCCTCAAGCATGACAGGAGACATCTTGTTCCTTGGCTTTGTTTTGACTGCAGTAACGTAAGAAAATATTCTTTCGACAACAGCATTGCTGGTTGGTGTTGTGAGGCATGACAGTGCATAGCTTGCGAGTTCTTTAAATGGCCTCTCGCCCAGGGCGTTTTTGTATAAGAATATTGCAGCCCAAAATTTTGAGGAATCTTGTGGTATTCCTTCCTTCATCTCTTTGGCCCAGTCAATAAATTTTATCTTTCGATACTGTTCATCAATAGTTGACAGAACATCGCCTTGAATAAGGTGCTGCATGGGCAACTTTGCCAATGGCATACATTCCACTTGACTGAGTACACTCGAGGGGCTAAGATATGCAATGGATTGAAAAATCGCATTGGAATCTGGTAAGCGCTTTGCTACTTGAGCTGCAGCCTCCAGTAACAAGTGATGGCATCTTGCATCAATTTCCCTTCCTTGTTGAGCAGTAAGTTGCTTCCTCCCCATCATTTCGTTGCGTTCAAATATGTACTTAGCACCATAACCAACTTTATCTGATGCTACGTGGCTGCCATCAGGGAGATAAACTCGACTGGTCAGGCTGTTATGGAACAAATTCAGTTCTTTAATCATACAGTCTGGATCTAGGTCTGTTGCTTGGAAAAATGCATTTATCCTTTCAAATTCGTTTACTATGGGTGTAACGAAGTGAAAATACAATTTATTCACATTGTCTTTTATCATTTCTGCAATTAAACGTGCTTTGTATCTTCTAGAAGCATCAGCTTCTATTTCGGCAATTGAGAAGTAGGTTTTTAGCTCTTCCCAACTTACTAAGATGCTGTACAGCAATTTGCCTCTGACAAGCCATCTTGTTGTGGAATTCTTCTGAAAGGCGCCACTTACTTTCACGGTTTCATCATCGCCATTGATGATCTTGAAGAGATCTTTGTATGCTTCACGTCTTAGTGTGCTTTTTGAAAACCATTTTGGGATCTCGCTCAGCAAAAATCCAAGATTAGCAGGGAGTTTTTCGAAAGCATGTTTTATGCATAGGGAGAGTGAATGGCAGATACATTTCATAAGGATGCAATTTGGAGACACTATCTTCATCCTGGAATAAACAGAGTCATGCTTTCCGACCATTACAGATGCTCCATCGCATGCCAAGCCAACACAATCTTCTAAGTTTAATCCAGCATCTTCAAGACTTAGTTTTAAGGCATTGAATATATCTTCCCCAGTGGCGCTTACGAGGGAAACTAAACTGATAAATGCTGTGCAAATTTTCTCTTGCTTTTCGCTGAAATATCGCACTGTTACACACAAATATTTCTTGCATGATACATCTGTTGACTCATCTATGAGAACGGAGAACTTCTTGCCAGAAACATCGCTACGTAACTCGTCGTATAGGGCAGGAGAGATTACGCGTTTGATTAATTGGCTGCATTTTGTTCGATGAAGCTTCAGTTCTCCCAGTTTGCTCTTATCTCCGTGTTTCACAATTATTTCACCAAAATGGTCAACTGCCCGAATTGCACAATGACACGTTATAGCAACAGCAAGCTCAAGCTCGATCTTCTTCAGGACCTCATCATCTTTCTTCAAAAGAGTAACAATTTTCTGTTCGAAGAAACTGCAGTGGAAGCTTTTTTATGTTTAGTAGAAGCCTCGTGTTGTTGAAGATGACAAAGCTTTGGGTTAACATTGACTTTACATAAAGAGCAGTATGCTTCATCTGTTCCATCCACAGCTTTTGTTACCCAAGGATGCTTTCTTTGCCATTGCGGCTTATACTTTCGAGCACTTTCATAGTAGCCTTTCCACTTAGTACCTTTGGGTTCCTTGCTTAAACTCATTATTGAAATCGAATTGAAATTTAACAGAGCAGTGAGTATTGCAATCGCGTGAATCTAAATGAAAGGTTTCTGATGTTTAGGGTTATATGAATCAAGTTTTTAGGGTCCGCAAGGCTTGTTGGAAGTGGTATATCCGATAAAACAGCCGATGTTTTGTTATGCCTCACATCGAGACATCCTGTTATTGTAGAAAACTAACTCGTGAATGTCAATTGAATATTTATAGCGCAGTGACCCCTGTAGCTGGTTATTCACAGCTTAACGTTATGTTAAGTGGCAAGTGATGAATTACATCACACTAACAATACAAAGCCCATGTCATGAAACTGCGAGAATACACTGTTTGAATAAAACTTTTCAAAGGCCAAAAACAAAGTAAAAAAATTATTAGGATAAATTCGAGAAAACAGGCCAAAAAAGGCCAAATTTTAGTCTCAGGCCAAATGTTATTTTTTCAGGCAAATCAACATGAAAAAAGGCCAAAATTGAGAAATTTGGCCTTAAAAAGGCCAGTATAGCAACCCTGAATTAGTACTAGGTAATAGCAATATCAACAGAACTGGCATAAACAAGTCAACAAACAGGATATAAACAAGTTATTTTAACGAGTTACTTGAAACTGGGCAAACCAGAATAACGAGTTTAATAGGGTGCATGATTCGACGAGCGTCTATATCGCAACAATATTACTGATGTAGAAGGCTGATTTGATGTTTTTTGTTTCGTAAATAACAAAAATTAGTTTACCACTATTTATGGTTTTTATTGCAAAATATTAATTAAGCCCCTCTCTCAATTTAGCCCCCCCTCTCTTATAAGCCCCCCTTTAAAGTGTTGACAATAAGCCTCCTGGGGGGCTTAAAAGAGAATTTACGGTATTTTAGGACTACCGATGGACCTGAAATATCACCATCCTCAGGATGGGTGTAAATTTAAACACATTGACAGATTGAGCATTCCTTATCTGCTGAGGTAATGGCCAGAAAATCTCCCTCATAAAAGGAGGGTTGATATTTTGCTTTGTTTTAAAAATTGAGAATCGTCAGAGCCAATCGCCAGAATAGTCAGGCCAGAATGTAGTAATCGAGCAACATCAAGTGAATACATCAGGTCAATTATTCCAAGTTGTGGATCGAAATAGGCCAATTAGAAAAGCCGGCACATGGCTGTAAAGGTTGCCCATTCTGTGACGCTTGCCTACTGAATATATTACCAATCTATCGTAAATATATATAAAAAATACTCAAAATATTAAATAAATTTTTGCTATTTAATAATGGTATTTAATGATGATTTTTATAAAACACGAACGAGAGTTTGAAAAACCACATGGTCACCCTATGGATGTTTTCCAGGATGTAAATTGGCTATGACAATAGTGGCGAGAAAGTCAGGGGGGCATCCTACGACTCAATAGCAGGGCATGGTTGAATTTACTCTGATGAAGCCCTGTTTAAAGAGGCGAAATATTAGTAAACCTTAAATTAAGGGTATTTTAAAATCCTTTACATAGCATTGGGTTCTCTTTCTCGTTTTGCTTTGCTCTTGACCTTTTCCTTGTTCAATTTCTTTCCACATATATTATTTTTATTTGAAAAATTCCAAGAAAAGGTAAAAGTCGGAAGAGCACTTACATTTCAAAAAAAAATTCGAGAATTTTTTCATTCCTTTTTCCTATTAGGGGCGAGGCTGAATAAAATTGTTATTATGGTGCAAAACCCCCCATATTTGGTGACAAAGACGTTCCTAAGGCATTGCATATCAAGGTAATCGTCGCCCCCTGCTCAGACACGGCTCGGCTCTGCCTGTTAGCAGACATAGCGACTGTTCATGCTAAAAGAAATGGCGGCCGATTACGACTCTGAAGTTGAAAAACGTTTGAAGGAATTCGAACAAGCAGTTACTGATATTGGCAAAATGGATTTCAACTGCGACAGAGCCTCTTTTTGTGAAGCTTTTATGAGGCATGTGTCAGGAATTCGTGAAATGATTTTGTGGTCGACAGAGCAAAGGCTGGATTTGCATAAACAGCAACTTGAAAACCTGAAGAGAAAGACTGCCAAATTCATGGCGCTAGAGGAGTACGAGAGAAACCAGACTGTGCTTCAAGCGAAGCAAGCGCTGCAAAAAGAGTTACAAGCTCAGCTAAACGAATACAAAGATATGATTATGAAGTTGACAGAAGCATGCACCTGGATCACATTGTCAACAAATGAAAAAATCAAGCCGTCTAGCAGTGGCATGGACCTAATGGGACGGTGCATTTTGAAGGAAAGTAGAAAGATGGTGCAAGGGTTGCCAATTTACGCAAGCAGGACCGAGATTGTTCAAGCATTGAAAAACAACCAATATATTGTTTTAAAAGGTGAATCTGGATCTGGAAAAAGTACCCAAGTACCACAATACATACTGGAGGGCGTATCAGGTCAACTGACAGGGAAAATAATATGTACGCAACCTAGAAAAGTGGCGGCGATTAGCCTTGCAAAGAGGGTAGCATTAGAGCAGTTTGAGGCAGTTGGGAAACATGTGAGGTATTGGGTTGGAATGAACAAAGTCTGTGGAGATGAAACTAAGTTGGTGTTCATGACAGATAGGATGCTGTTAAACTACTGTTTGGAAAACCCAAATTTGGATGACGTTGGATGTGTTATCATAGATGAAGCCCACGAACGCAGTGTTAATATAGATCTGGTTTTGGGTTTTGTAAAAACTGCAGCTGCAAAGCGATCTACGCTTAAAGTCGTGGTGACATCAGCCACCATTTCAACAAAATTATTCTCAGAGTATTTCTACAACTGTCTAGTGTTTGAAATTCCTGGTCGCACATTTCCTGTTGAGGTGAAGTATGAAGAACAGGAAAACACAAAGGATGGTGGACGAGAAGATACTTACATCAAGCAAGCGGCAGCGAAGGCAGTTCAGGTTCATGAAAGTGAGGGAACAGGAGATATCCTTGTATTTCTGACTTCCCCACTGGAAGTTGAAAAAGCAATAGAGCATTTTCATAGAGTGTCAAAGAAAGCTTCAGCCTGCACAGTGTTACCACTTCATGGAAAGCTGCAACCAGATGAACAAATGAGAGTTTTTGAAACTGTCAAAGCTGGAAGTAGGAAGATCGTATTTTCAACTAATGTTGCTGAGACATCTGTAACAATTCCAGGTAAGTGCATGTCAAGATCTTATAGATGCTCACCGGGTGCATTGGGGGCACTTGCCCCCCCCCCAGCTTTCACAAATGCTGCAAAAGTACCCCCAAAAATTTAAAATAGCCCAATTGTGTAAACGTGATTCCAGCATGTAATTAGGTAGAGATGGGCAGTTTGATATGCTGAGAAAGATAGGATGTGGACCCAACCTGACTAGACTTGGGTATTAGGTTCTGGGCCTCTTAGGGCTTTACTGCAATATCTCTGTTGTACATGGATGCAATAACATGGAGTTTTGCAACAAGGGACAGTTTGATATGTTAAAAAAGACAGGATGTGGAACCCAACTGAAAAATGCTTTTTGTGCTATCTTTAGACTGAGGAGCTTTCCCCTAAACTTTCATTGCATTATTTTGTAACCCGGTGCTGTGTGGAGTGGTATTAAAGGTATAAGTCTTCTACCACTTTTTAAAAAAAGGAACAATCATGCTCTTAAAATCACAGTCTCTGAATTGAAAAGAGGAGAAAAAGTATACCTCTTCATACCTTGAGGACCGCTGTCAGCCAAATTGATGGTGGACAGAGCCTCAGCTTAGAGAAAAACATTGCTTGAAATTATCTTTGTTAATTTTCTAAAAACGTAGTTATACCTTCGCATGCCTTAGGCATGCCTTTTCATGATCATGGATAATTTGCTCTACACAATTTAGACACTGGATGTAAAGATCAATAGCCATGAAATCATTTCAAGCCAGGTGGCTTGATTCTGAAGCTAGACAGTTCTATAAATATAATTTGAAATTTTATTCAACTTGTTATGCAGGTAATCATGCATCAAAATCTACTCAGGCAATGTTTTCACAAACTTACTTTAATTTGATATCTCTTGAGCTTGATCTGTACATCTCTATGGTGTGTCACTCGGTGTATCCATAGGCTAATACAAATATTTTTCTACTCCCACCTGCCCATGTATGCCGCCCCTGTATGTATCTCTGCTCTGAGTAGGTACAATAGCATAATACGTTGCAACAAGGGGCTGTTTTATATGGTGAAAACGATAGGACATGGACCCCAACTGAAAATTGCTTTTTTGTGCTATGTTTAGACTAGGACTTTTCCACAAACCTCAAATGTTAACATCTCAGGTTTGAGTTGGTACAATAGCAATCCCAACTGAAAATTGTATCCTTGTTCAAAAATGAGAGAGTCTGACTTAGATCTATCAGTGCAATTCAGGCAAAAAATCTAGACAGATCTTATTAAGTTGTAAAGAAAACAAAATTAAAATTTGTTGTAGCAACAGCCATGTCATACCATGACCAAAATTAGACCTCATTACACTGGCTAGGGCAATAGTAAGTTCAGAAAACAGCAAATCAAATTGTTTGCATTTGCACCATCTCTTCACTTTTATCTTACAGCTACCTCTTAACTAATTCCTGACAAGCTTACTCTGCTTTGGCAATGTGATCCACTTCGGATGCATATCTATTTTATCTGGAACCAATCTGAACCGAGTATGTTCTGCAGTCTTTCAAGCGTCTGCCCTAATATATTGTTACAAAACAGAGTGTAAAAATTTAATAGATTGCAAGAGAAAAGTGCCATCAAAAGTCAAATCTTAAGGAAACAATGCATCTTCGCTATATAATTGATTTTTTTATTTCTGAAAATCCTTACAGCAAAGCCCGCTTTGTGTGTAGCAGCAAGGCATTAATTTCATAAGGTGTAGTGTTCTTGTTAAGTTGCTTGATAATTTACAAAGAACGAATCATAAAGACATGACAACGTTGTTTCTAAGCCATGTAGATGGGAAGTTTATGGAATTAAGTGGACTTACTTTTTTATTTGATTTAAATAAATTCTAAAGATATTATCTGTCATTTCTTTATATGTTTTCATAATTCCTCAGCATATATTTTTTCCATGGCCAGAAAATTGACAGACCTTGTTGTATCCAGTAAAAGCATGTTGAGCCTTACGGGTAACGGGTAATTTGCCCTCTTTTCTCCCCTGTATTTGATTTTAAACTCAAATGCAACATCGTTTCTAGCAAGTAGGCAGAGCCGTAGCTATGCTGGGTGCTAGGGGTGCGGCACCCTCCTGGACAAATCCCAATCGGCAAATCGAGTAATAAATTACATCCAGTCGGCAAATTGAGGAACAGCCTGGGCGATGCTACACAACTATGGACTGTGTAGTTCTGTAACTTCTGCTGATGTGTTGATATTATGCTACGCCAATCCCTATATTGTTGTCAATATGGGTTGCATGGGTATTGAATATTTCGAATAAGTAGGTATATAATTGCCCAATTCTAACGGTCTAGGCACCAATCGACAGACATTCCTTTTAACACCTTTGTGACCAAGGGGTCTGGGAGGAGGGGATGTCACACCCCCTCCAAATAGTAGCTCAATACTAAATTTCAGGTAAAATATGTTCTGTGGAAGAAATGTTTTAGATGATTCGTAGACCTTCACATTTTCAAATCAATAAAGAAATTAATAATCATGCAATGGTAGTAGCTCCTTTATACATACGATAATCCTCCAAGATAAGCAAAACTAAGCGTTGATAATTTCAAAATTTATTGTAGGCATTTAATCCAAGCAAACAGGCCCTTCTTGGGTAAAAGTCTGCCTTGTGTCCAATTCCCCTACAGTTTTGGAAAAAAGCGTCAACTTCAATTCACATTTAGCTCTAGACTGCTGGTTACTCGGCTTTTGATGAAGCGCCAAAACTTTATATATTTTCAAGGCCATTGCGAAATTGTACAAGTTGATTTGACCTGCACAAGAAATTTTCAGTACGATTAGGAAAACAAATTACTACCTTCGCCCCTCCATTTGCTGCTTAGTGAAAAAGATCTCGTTTAAAAGTATTGATCTTATCTTTTGCAATTTGGATTATTTTTCCCATCGAGAAAAAGACAACTAGTAAGCATTTTATTATGGAATGGAATCTTATGAACAATATATGCTAGCACTTTAGATAACAGTTATGTTACTTCTTTGTTATTTTTGTGCACAAAGACTTAAAAGGTCTAGAGCAACCGGCAGGCTGCGCAGTAGCTGTTTATCTGTGCGTGGCGAAATGAGCTGTATTTTTTATTTTATAGCCGCAAAGCATGCCGGTTGCCCAAGAGCCTTTTTATTGCAAAATATGATTAAGAGATTGCTGAAAGTTAAGTTAGCTTCGATAAATTTAACTGCAGGTATATTTTAGCGATAAATACTGGTCTAATGTGTGCTTAATTTTATTTTAAATCGAAAGCAACCTTTACAAATAAGCAAAGTAATAATTTCAAATTATTATATAGACGGTATTAAATAAAATAATTCGCGTAGGTATACGTTTCGTCTTTTGGTGGCACCTTCACATTATTCGATTTATATCATATTGGATCTGGTTTTTCTGCTTACAAATTCCCCTCTCTGCTACGTTTAGATTTGGGTTTTTACCTCAAGACTTTCACGGCTTTATTATGATATCGCTGCTAAAAGTAGGTACAATAGCATTAAACATAGCAACAAGGGGCAGTTCGATGCTTTAAAAAAGAAACAATACAGACCCCCAACTGAAAATTGCCCTCTGGTGTTCCTTTCAAACGAAACACTGTTTTGAAAAACTATGGGGAAGTTCATCATCAGTCATCTGCAGCAGTTACTGCAAACATAAACGATGTTGCAGTTATTCTGTTGCTGTGCTAATAGCTATTCCTTGATTGTCAGGTTTGATGAGGATTATCCCATTAAACTTTGATACACCTGCACCCAACCCAATATCTCCGCAAAATCCATTATAGACAGAGACAGATGTCACCTCCTGGAAAGTCACAAAAGTGTTAAAATCATACTACGGGATTTCAAGAGTGACCTACTCGCAGGGCCGTGGCTAGAGATGTCAAGCTAGGGGGGTGCAAGCTCTAAATTGTTGGGCTTTTGGGCGTGGTCTTTTATTGTCAAACGTACTTCTTGTTGAGAGACTAAATTTTCTCTCCATAGAAATTTACCTATAAACCACGATTTTAATTGGTGAAAAAATTGGAGAAATTAACACTATCCAAGTCATTCTTCGTCATGTAATGGACCCAATCTATTTACATTGTAGTGTAGCGAGGAAGACAAATACAAGTTCATATGTTCATGTCATATTCAATCCAACAACTGAACTTTACAATTTAGATCTAATCATTCTATACAACAACACAGTTTGTTAATCAACACATCAAGACAGAACAACAGACATACTGTACAAACAACAGAGTACAAAGATTTAGATAGAGACGATGACATTAATAAATTACATACAATAACAATCAGTTCCGGGAAGCACATGCTACAGTAGTAAAAGACCTTCTAGTGTAGAACCGTTTATCGGGACGACCAAGAGGGTAAAGTTTTCTCCCGATGCTGCACTATGGTTGCCGCAAGTATTTCGTTTGAACCATGGGGAATCCTCGTTTTTCCGCAAATAATTCGCAAAACTTAGACCGAACCTTAGCAACTCTTATCATATCCAGCAGGCGCTTACAGTTCTCCCAAGATCAACCTTCAGGGTTTCTCTTCTTCCTCTTCAAGAGGCCGTTTTGCATTTGCAGCTGTATAACGTTTTTCTAGGCATAATTTAAGCTCTTCATTTTAATGCTTAGTTATACAGTCTTAAAGTCATAAAGCAGAAGCCATTAATTGCAGTAGAAGTAACATATTTTTTTCGTTTTCCTTCTTTCCTTAGGTATCAAGTTTGTCATTGATACTGGTAGAATTAAAGAGAAGATGTTCGATGCAAAAGTTGGCAATCGCGACCTGGAAGTGAAAATGGTCAGCAAAAGCTCCGCCATACAGAGGATGGGGCGTGCTGGAAGAACAGGCCCAGGAATATGTATTCGTTTATACAGCCAAGGTGCTTACGAAAAGCTGGACGAAAACACGGAACCAGAAATAAAGAAAATGCATTTGGCCTCGGCAGTTTTGAGCTTAATGGCTCTAGGCATTCATGACGTCAAAGGTTTTGATTTCATTGAACGTCCTGACGACAAGGCGTTAGAAACCTCCTTGGATGTTCTGCGTATGATTGGTGCTGTTGATTGGGGTGATTCTATTACGACGCAAGGCAAGAAGATGGCCAAGCTTCCTATTGACCCGCGTACAGCTAAAATAGTTCTTGATGGTTTGGAAAGAGGGTGCAAAGACAAGTCAGTCATACTTGCAGCTGCAACAGTGTTCTCATCTAACATCTACATCAGATTTGGCAGCGAGGAAGATAAAGAAAAGTCAGACATAGCAAAACTCGATTTCTGCAAGGAAGAAGGAGATTTGTTGACCATTGTAGACATCTTTGAAAAGTGGAATAGCAAAGATGGAAAGAGAGAACAAAACAAATGGTGCGTGGAAAATTTTGTAAATGCAAAATCGATGCGTTCTATCAAAGAGCTTGAAAAGGAAATAAAGTTTGCTTTAAGAGAAGTAGAGCCTAGTATCAAACCAGACAGCCGTCCTATTGAAGAAGAGCGAACTCTGTTGAAAAAGCTAATAACATCAGCTTTCTACGACAACATCGCCTACTTTACTGGCAATTCCCGATTGGGATATTGGAGTCCAAAGTATTCTCAAAGGTTTCAGTTGCACCCCTCTTCAGTTGTTGTTGCACTTGGAATGGAGCCGGAATTTCTGGTTTTCCAGGATGTCCTCAAAACACCTACCGCCAGTTACATAACTGGGATAACCCCAATCGAGGAGCAGTTTTTGGAGATGCTGTGCCCCCATCCATCCTACAAGATTGAATTACATTCACTGTTAAATCAAAGAGTTTTTAAGAAAATCATTTCACCAGTTGGCTCAGCAGTTATGAAAGATCTCATTGCGAATCGGGCAGAAAAGAAGAAGATGCTAGAAAGTGAAATAACGAAGAAAGGAGAGTTTCCAGGGCTGCTTGAAATATGCTCAGAGAAAAGGCAATTTGTGATTTATGCAACAAAATTGATGGAAAGCAAAGCAACAAAATTGCTCAATGATTGTGTCAAAAAGATGCAAAGAAAACTCACGGCTGAAACCAAAGAAATACAGTTGGGTGGCAATAGGATTGGATATCGAATTTTGATCGGAGCTGGTGGTGAAGCCTTGAGAATCTTGGAACCGGATGAGTTTTCTGCAATTCAAATTGAGATTTTTAGTGAAAGAGGTATTGCCGATTTTACAGTTAAGGAAGCGAGAATGATGTTCATAGCAAAGCTGCACGGACTTGGATTGGTGAAACAGAAATTTATTGAAGGTAATTCATTGATATCGGGCATATATTATTTCAGAACTACCCAGCAAGCCCATCAAGCCATAAAGGAGCTTCGGTTGTCTTTTCCGGACTATCAAGTTGTAACTAAACTTGAAAATGCACTCTATGTGAAAGTTGTTGTTAAATGGTATCGAAAAAACTCTTGGATGTTTCGTTCTGGATTCATTGTTTGCAACTCGCATGCCGCTGCACAGGAAATTCAGAGTAAAATTCGATGGTTTTGCCGGAGTGACAAAAAAAATATACTGAAAATATCTGGCCGACTGATTGATAAAAGTATTGACAATGAGAAATTCAGAAATTCTCTGCAAGAGGACCTTGGGGTCAGCGAATACAATAATAAGGTCGTCAATGCATTCATTGAATATAGGAAAGAACAACATTCGGCAGAAGAAGAGAGCATCTACGAGAGGAGTTTGCAAGAAAGGCTTGCTGGAATCCCCTATGAATCTATCAAGATATTACCCATCAAGGACAAGAAAGCAGTCATCCGTAGAGCTTGTATACTGTTTGTGAGCTTCCAGGATGCTGAAGAGGCAGTACGCTGCTTGAATGGTCCAAGAATCTTAGGTTTGGACCATTTCACTTTGGGATTGGGGATTGTATCTAATTATATTGAAAATTGTCCAATTGCCAAAGTAGACTTTTGTATGTATTGGGATTTAAATCTTCAGTTTGTTATATTGATAAAGACAAAGTTTTTTAAATCCTCGTAACCTTGCATTTGAGACATGGCCTATTGTTAACATGGTAATGATCGAGCAAACATAAATAAACTGCACTTCAACCAAAATTATGGAAAGCAAGCTTCCTTCTAATGTAGTTACACCATTATGGGTGCAGGATGATGGGTGCAGGATGGTGGGTGGTGGTATGGTGGTTTTGCCTCTTTTCCTAAATGATCCAGATAGAAAACTTGCATGAATATTTATTTTGCTGTTGCTTTCTTTTGTCACCATCATATATTTATTCTCAGGGACACAAGACTGCAGCGCGGCCATTGAGTTGAAGAAGAAATTCTATTGCAAGGAAGCCATCTTTCCTGTGATCGACAAGGATTTGAAAGCCCTGCAGCATGATTCAAGAGGTAAGGATGTAAAAATAAAAGTGGAAAATAGCAAGTCAAATAACAACTGTAAAATTGTGACCATCTGTGGGAAGGATTCGTTGCCCTACAAAATGCTTTTAAGCCGCTTACAAAGCATTGTGGAGGGTAAAGTCATCAGCAATTTGGTTGTGCCCAGCTTCTTGTACGAAACATTAAAAAGCAAGATATCTGACCTGGAGACAAAAATTGGAAATGCAAAGGTCGACTATGATAGACGAACAAAACAATTGCTTCTCTTTGGAAAGCCGAAGGCTCGCACAGTACTGGAGGAGGACATCAAAAGACTTTTTAAGTCAGTTTCTGAAAATGAAACGAAAATTCACCTACGTGGACAAGGAAGGGCAACTGGGCTTATGAAAGCTTTGATGCAGAAATATGGAAATGACTTGCGAGGGATGATACAAGACAATGAAGTGATTCAGGTAATCAAACACCATCGTCATAGACTGATAGCGTCTTAAAAATCTCTATCAAATATTCTAATTTTCGTTGGCTGAATTTGGGTTTTCAATAAAATATGTAGGGGCTATCCTCCTGACTCTGTAGATCATCAAAGAATTTGTCTTTGATCTTGTGTTTGAAACTATTGACGTTCTTTGCAGATTTTAGTTTTGACGGTAGATTTTTCCAAATTTTGAGACCAAGATATGAGAGCCAAGATACTCAAACGCATGGCAATTTTGGTTATGCAAAATCGTACCCAAGCACTTAAACAATAGGGTACCAAAACGAATGGTGGAATTTAGCATGCAAAACGGTCCGGGTACACAAACGTGTGGCAATTTTGGTTATGCAAAATCGCACCCAAGCACTTAAACAATAGAGTACCAAAACGAATGGTGGAATTTAGCATGCAAAACGGTCCGGGTACACAAACGCGTGGCAATTTTGGTTATGCAAAATCGTACCAAAGCACTTAAACAATAGGGTACCAAAACGAATGGTGGAATTTAGCATGCAAAACGGTCCGGTGATTTCCCTTGTTAAGTTTATGCAAAAAAGTACAGCATTAATGGCGACTCCAAAGTTTTCTTGATTAAAAAGTGTGAAATTTTAAACAAAAAAAGCATTGTGTTCTATTTGTTAATTATAATGTGTCATAATATCGCACTACGATGAAATCACTTGATTTGAAACACATTGCGTTTCACAATGTTACACTTTTGCATAGGGTACCAAAACGCATATGACACCGGCAATGAGAATGGTCTGAACGAAAACGATGATGTTTTGAAAAATGATCTTTCACCTGATGACTCCGACGCTAACGATAGTTAGAGTGGTTGGGAGGTCTCTGATTTTACATCGTACGATAGTTAGAGTGGTTGGGAGGTTTCTGATTTTACATCGTACGATAGTTAGAGTGGTTGGGAGGTTTCTGATTTTACATCGTAGGATGGCTCGTATGGCGAATGGTTAACGTTGAAAGATAAGGCATTGGCATTTGACGAGTGTTATCTTCTTAACTTGGTCCTTTTCAGCTTCAAAACATGCTCATTACGCGAGAACCTCACAGTTCTATGAGAAATATATAAGTAGATGTACGATTAGAAAATTGTATTATTACTCCCCTGGAAATGACGTCATCAATCATCAAAACCTCGTTTTTTAATAAAAATGCACTTTAGTAAAATTAATAAAAATTCAGTTCATATGTATGACGAAAATAAGCCCCTTAATACATACATTCTTGTTTGTGATGAATGTTTGCCTGAAAATATCTCAAAACTAAATCACTGATGACATAATTTTGTCATAATTTACGACCCCCATTCACAGGTAAACAGTTTTTAAAAGACTTAATATATTTCGTATGTTTTAATCTGCTCGCAGGGGGCCTCATATTTTGTTTTTAGCCCAGGGCCTTTGATACTTTCGGTGGCCCTGGCTGGAGCTTTCTCCAATGCAATGACTGCGCTTAGTTCTATGCTCAGTTTGCTATTGCCATACGGATGTTCCTCCGGTGAAAAAATTTTCACCATGCTGAAAAGGATAAAGAAAAAGAGTGAACTAAGGTCTACAATATCACAGCAGTGCGTTGTTGCTTTATGTTAAATCAATGGCAGCAGATTTTGATGTCCTGGGAGTTTAAAACTCCAATAAACTCATCGAAAAGTTTTCAGCAGTTAAATAAAGACGAAAGAGATCAGCGTCGTGAACCAAGGAGCAAGGATAGTTTTATTGGGAATGTACTGAAATGCGGAATGGATACAAGTTTATTCGTGCCTTATAGTTTTTATATATCAAACTGTTTAGTGAACATTAACCAGTTGGTTTTATTATGTTTAGCAAAGAAAAATGCACGTGACACAATTTTTTTGGTATATTTTAAGAGGCCCCAACCGATGTGAATGCGGTTCCTGCATGGAATAAGAGGTTTAATTCCAAATTTGAGCTTTAAGTGAAGAAAGCTATAGAGTGGACAACCCTTTAATTTAAATGACATATCTGTTCTGGAAAAAATATTTCTTATTGCATACCTCGGCCAGAAAAATGAGACAAAAAGAATAACCCAATCCAAGAATTTTCAGTAGAAGATGAGACTATTGGCAGGATCATCCCCGAGTAACGCCAAGGTTTTAATTTATTTATCTTCTAATCAGTAGCGTGGCGAGGCCACCCCTCCCCCACCCCTCCCCCACCCCCCAATGTTCAGAAAGTTGGTGTCTGAGAAAAGTGCAAATCTGCAATGAAATTAGTACCTCAGGGGGGGGGAGGGTTTACATTTTAAACAATATTAAAATGTTTTTAAGACAAACGACCTATAAAATATTCTGAAATGTATTCTTGCTAATATAGAGGGCGTGGTCACAAACATTTTCTACTCGATTCGCTCGCAGGGGACCCTCCTCTGTACCTCTACAGAGTGTTTTCCAATTTCCCCTCGTTTTAGGGTCTCTATAGAAAAGTCCTTCACATTCTAAAGACACTCCCGAAAAATAGAAACTAAATTTCTTATAGCTTTACCAATCGATTCCTATTATGTTGCGAAAAATTTTTCCAGTGATTCAAATTTTTTACAACACCACAAAATTAAAATCACAACACCACAAATAAAATTTACAACACCACAAAACGGTAACAAAACCACGTAAGACTAACCTTGCCTTGAATTTCAACATCAAAATCTCGAGTCATGTTACCGTTGAACTCATAACGTCTTTTTCAACTTCAGCTTAACATTCGAAGGCATGAGGTACTGGTCGTGGCAGCGGATCAAACACAACAACGCATAAATACAATGATTAACGAAGTTGACGCAAAATTACATGCCGACCTTGGTGGACTAAAATCTCCTGGCACCCAAAATGAGAGTATTGGCTATGAAGACTGTTGCCTGTGTCTCTGCAAAGCTGACATCCTGCGGTATGCGTTAGAGGTGTGTGGACACTTGTATTGTGTTGCCTGTGTAAACGATCTGCTCGAAACAAGCGAACGGAATAAGAGTTTTCCAATCACATGCTGTAGTGAAGGCTGTTCAAGTAGCCTCGTTCTCAGAGATATCGAGAACATAATTAAGAGCGAGGAACAACGAGGTCGACTAGCTGAAGCAGCATTATCTAATCTGGTGCAAACAAATCCAAAGCTCTACAGTTACTGCCCAACGCCAGACTGCCCTATGGTGTACAAAGTATCAGAACCAGATAATGCTAAACCTTTCACCTGTCCAAAATGTTTCAGGAAGACGTGCACTGCTTGCCATAATGACGCCCATGTTGGATTGCTGTCATGTACGTCATGGAAAGAGTACAATATTTTTGAGTACAACGACAACAGTCATGTTTTGGAATGGGCGAGGGGTAAAAACATTAGAGAATGCCCAAAATGCAACAATCTGATAGAAAAGAACGGAGGTTGCATGCATATATCTTGTAATTGTGGTGCACATATTTGCTGGAGATGCATGAAAACCTTTTCGTCAAGTGATGATTGCTATGACCATTTGGGAAGATGTGGAGGGATATTCCCAGGGAACATGGACCCCCCTGTTCTACACCCTGAAGCGCTACAAGCCGAAAGAGGAGGACAACCTAGACCATTCCTTGAAATGCAAAATACACAGGGAGCTGCCTTTCAAATTGATGCAAGGGATGCAGTGCAGAATGAGTTGCCACGTGCTGAAAGACAAGCCTACAGAGTGCCACAATATCTATTTACCGAACATGGCCAAATTGGGGTAAGAGATGGTTTGCCACAAAATCAAGTAACTGAGCATGATGAAATTGAGGTAGGAAATGCAAAGGAGAATGAGTTGCCACGCGCTGAAAGACAAGCCCGCAAAGTGCCACAATATCTATTTACCGAACATGGCCAAATTGGGGTAAGAGATGGTTTGCCACAAAATCAAGTAACTGAGCATGATGAAATTGAGGTAGGAAATGCAAGGGAGAATGAGTTGCCACGCGCTGAAAGACAAGCCCGCAGAGTGCCACAATATCTATTTACCGAACATGGCCAAATTGGGGTAAGAGATGGTTTGCCACAAAATCAAGTAACTGAGCATGATGAAATTGAGGTAGGAAATGCAAGGGAGAATGAGTTGCCACGTGCTGAAAGACAAGCCCGCACAATGCCACAATATCCGATTCCCGAACATGGTCAAATTGGGGTAAGAGATGGTTATTGCGCACAAATCAAGTTAAACTGGATGCCATTGATGAAATTATGGTAGGGAAATTGAAACGGAGAATGAGTTGCCACGCGCTGAAAGACAAGCCCCGCACCAATGCCACAATATCGTTCGCGAAACATTGGTTCAATTGGTGGTAGAAGATGGTTGCACAAAAATCAATTAAGGCTGGCATATGAAAATTGCAGGTAGCGAAATAGCAAGGAGAATGAGTTTGCTATCGTTGCCACGTGCTGAAAGACAAGCCTACAGAGTGCCACAATATCTATTTACCGAACATGGCCAAATTGGGGTAAGAGATGGTTTGCCACAAAATCAAGTAACTGAGCATGATGAAATTGAGGTAGGAAATGCAAAGGAGAATGAGTTGCCACGCGCTGAAAGACAAGCCCGCAAAGTGCCACAATATCTATTTACCGAACATGGCCAAATTGGGGTAAGAGATGGTTTGCCACAAAATCAAGTAACTGAGCATGATGAAATTGAGGTAGGAAATGCAAGGGAGAATGAGTTGCCACGCGCTGAAAGACAAGCCCGCACAATGCCACAATATCCGATTCCCGAACATGGTCAAATTGGGGTAAGAGATGGTTTGCCACAAAATCAAGTAACTGAGCATGATGAAATTGAGGTAGGAAATGCAAGGGAGAATGAGTTGCCACGTGCTGAAAGACAAGCCCGCACAATGCCACAAGATCCGATTCCCGAACATGGTCAAATTGGGGTAAGAGATGGTTTGCCACAAAATCAAGTAACTGAGCATGATGAAATTGAGGTAGGAAATGCAAGGGAGAATGAGTTGCCACGTGCTGAAAGACAAGCCCGCACAATGCCACAATATCCGATTCCCGAACACAATATTCGAATGGTGGTAAGACATGTAAGGGAGAATGAGTTGCCACGTGCTGAAGGAGAAACATCCAGAGTGCCACAAAACCAAGTAACTATTCGAATGGTGGTAAGACATGTAAGGGAGAATGAATTTGCACGTGTAGGAAGACAAGCCGCCGCCGTGCTAGAATCCCCTCAAAGACGAAGACATGAACAGCCTTCGTGTAATATCATATAAAAACTCATCGTTTTGAAAGAATTAAATTCAAGCAGTCATAATGACATGTGTCATGGCAACAAAGCGTTCTTGCCAAATTTTGCGAAAACTGATAGAATGGCAAGTTTCTTTAGCTTTTTTGCTTCAAAGAAAATTTAAGCCATGTAAACAGGTCGAAAAAGGCTCTTTAATCACATTTGAAGGAAGTTTCGTCATTTTAGTTCAGGAAAATATCGTCTTTCTGTCATGCAGAAATCAAGACAATAGCAAGCAAGATTTTAGAAATATGTCATTTTAGAAAAGACAGCATTTTCCTGGTAGAAATTATCATCAAGTCCGTAGCCCTAGTGGCCGTCGGTGCAACACTGACTTGACGTTTCGCCGCTACTCTTCCTTTTTGCAAGGCATGTGGCAAAGGTTTGAAGGTGACACATCCACTCCATTTCTTCGATTTATCCCTCCACACGCTTCTTGGTCTGCCTCGCTTCCTTCCCCTTCCACCTTCCCCCGAAGAACTTCATCTTCTTCTTTTCGATTGTCGTTAGCAGTCTTTTCATGTTGCTGTCGCCAGCGCTTCTCTTTAGCTCTTACCAAGCAAATTCCTTGCTCGTGCTGTCTTTCCGCGAGAATTTTAGCAATCTTGTATATACATTTTCATGTCAAATGCAGCTATCGTCCAAGGCTCACATCAATATAAAGAATAACATCTGACTAGTGTCTACATAAAGTAGATTTTGCTCTTTATTTTCATGTCCCTTGATTTCCAGAATTTTCCAAATAATTTAATCAGTGCACTCTAATTCTATCATTGAAATTTTGCGTGATACAGCACCCAAATAACAGAAGTTCTTAGTATTTTTCTAAAAAGTAGATTTTTCAAGAATTAAGCCTCTATTTTGCAAAGGTCAAATTTTCATTAAAAGTAAAGCTATAGGCATCAAAATAAAAAATGACCACGTTTTGGAGGGGTTCTTTCTCCTAAAAATAAGTAATTCCAAGGCCTTAGAAAATCATCGAAAATTTTCTAAATTATTTTTTCATAAACAAATTTACTTGCTTTTGTTCGATTAGCAAGTACAAGGATGGAACACAGTTTCTAGGATAAAGTCGTTCTTTGCAAGGCATAGGGAAAAAATGCATGACGCTGGTCATAGCGGCACGGAATCGCGGGCGCAAATAATCCACATTTCTTTGCAAGATATAACCACACATATAAAGGGGTAGTTTTTCCTAAAAAAGTAATGCTATAGCCTTAAAATATTATCGAAAAATTTCAATAAAAGATTTCCTTTGAAAACATATTATTGGCTTCTGTTCAATTAGAAAAAACAAGGATGGGAACCAGTTCAAAGAAAAGAGTCATTTTTTGGAAAAGATAACGGTGTTGAATTTGTTTAGTTGGTCACCCTATGTACAAGCGCCTACGTAAGGGCCTTCTTATTTTTCTGTATAGGGTATTATCTTTAAACTGTTTAAAAAAAAATTTCAACATTTTTGATGATTTTTCTAAAGCTATAGCATTACTTTTTCATAGGAAGCAGGACCCTCTTCAAATGCCGTTATCTCTTCAAAAAATTGCTCTTTTCTTGGAACTGGGTCTGATCCTTGTTGATTCTTATAGAAGAAAAAGGCAAATAAATTTGCTTTTAAAAAAAAAATTTCAAAAATTTTGATAATTTTTCTAAGGCTATAGCATTACTTTTTCATAGGAAACAGGACCCTCTTCAAATGCCGTTATCTCTTCAAAAAAAACGACTTTTTTCTTGGAACTGGGTCTGATCCTTGTTTTTTCTAATCGAAAAAAAAGGCAAATAAATTTGCCTTTAAAACATAATTTTTTTTTAAATTTTTGATGATTTTTCCAAGGCTATAGCATTTATTTTTCATAGGAAACAGGACCCCCTTCAAATACTGTTATCTCTTCAAAAAAACAACTCTTTTCTTGGAACTGGGTCCGATCCTTGTTTTTTCTTATCCAAGAAAAAGGCAAATAAATTTGCTTTAGAAGAAATATTTTGTTAACACTTTTGATGATTTTTCTAAGGCTATAGCATTACTTTTTCTTATAGGAAACAGGACCCCCTTCAAATGCTGTTATCTCTTCAAAAAAACAACTCTTTTCTTGGAACTGGGTCCGATCCTTGTTTTTTCTAATCGAAAAAAAGGCAAATAAATTTGCCTTTAAAACATAATTTTTTTTTAAATTTTTGATGATTTTTCCAAGGCTATAGCATTTATTTTTCATAGGAAACAAGACCCCCTTCAAATGCTGTTATCTCTTCAAAAAAATGACTCTTTTCTTGGAACTGGGTCTGATCCTTGTTTTTTCTAATCGAAAAAAAAGGCAAATAAATTTGCTTTAAAACATAATTTTTTTTTAAATTTTTGATGATTTTTCCAAGGCTATAGCATTTATTTTTCATAGGAAACAGGACCCCCTTCAAATGCTGTTATCTCTTCAAAAAAATGACTCTTTTCTTGGAACTGGGTCTGATCCTTGTTTTTTCTAATCGAAAAAAAAGGCAAATAAATTTGCTTTAAAACATAATTTTTTTTTAAATTTTTGATGATTTTTCCAAGGCTATAGCATTACTTTTTCATAGGAAACAGGACCCCCTTCAAATGCTGTTATCTCTTCAAAAAAATGACTCTTTTCTTGGAACTGGGTCTGATCCTTGTTTTTTCTAATCGAAAAAAAGGCAAATAAATTTGCTTTAAAACATAATTTTTTTTTAAACTTTTGATGATTTTTCTAAGGCTATAGCATTATTTTTCATAGGAAACAGGACCCCCTTCAAATGCTGTTATCTCTTCAAAAAAATGACTCTTTTCTTGGAACTGGGTCCGATCCTTGTTTTTTCTTATCCAAGAAAAAGGCAAATAAATTTGCTTTTGAAGAAATATTTTGTTAAAACTTTTGATGATTTTTCTAAGGCTATAGCATTACTTTTTCATAGGAAACAGGACCCTCTTCAAATGCCGATATCTCTTCAAAAAAATGACTCTTTTCTTGGAACTGGGTCTGATCCTTGTTTTTTCTAATCGAAAAAAAAGGCAAATAAATTTGCTGTTAAAACATAATTTTTTTTTAAATTTTTGATGATTTTTCCAAGGCTATAGCATTTATTTTTCATAGGAAACAGGACCCTCTTCAAATGCTGTTATCTCTTCAAAAAAATGACTCTTTTCTTGGAACTGGGTCTGATCCTTGTTTTTTCTAATCGAAAAAAAAGGCAAATAAATTTGCTGTTAAAAATATTTTTTTTTAAATTTTTGATGATTTTTCCAAGGCTATAGCATTACTTTTTCATAGGAAACAGGACCCCTTCAAATGCTGTTATCTCTTCAAAAAAATGACTCTTTTCTTGGAACTGGGTCTGATCCTTGTTTTTTCTAATCGAAAAAAAAGGCAAATAAATTTGCTTTTAAAACATAATTTTTTTTTAAATTTTTGATGATTTTTCCAAGGCTATAGCATTTATTTTTCATAGGAAACAGGACCCCCTTCAAATGCTGTTATCTCTTCAAAAAAATGACTCTTTTCTTGGAACTGGGTCTGATCCTTGTTTTTTCTAATCGAAAAAAAAGGCAAATAAATTTGCTTTTAAAACATAATTTTTTTTTAAATTTTTGATGATTTTTCCAAGGCTATAGCATTTATTTTTCATAGGAAACAGGACCCCCTTCAAATGCTGTTATCTCTTCAAAAAAATGACTCTTTTCTTGGAACTGGGTCTGATCCTTGTTTTTTCTAATCGAAAAAAAAGGCAAATAAATTTGCTTTTTAAAACATATTTTTTTTTAAAATTTTTGATGATTTTTCCAAGGCTATAGCATTACTTTTTCATAGGAAACAGGACCCCCTTCAAATGCTGTTATCTCTTCAAAAAAATGACTCTTTTCTTGGAACTGGGTCTGATCCTTGTTTTTTCTAATCGAAAAAAAAGGCAAATAAATTTGCTTTTAAAACATAATTTTTTTTTAAATTTTTGATGATTTTTCCAAGGCTATAGCATTTATTTTTCATAGGAAACAGGACCCCCTTCAAATGCTGTTATCTCTTCAAAAAAATGACTCTTTTCTTGGAACTGGGTCTGATCCTTGTTTTTTCTAATCGAAAAAAAAGGCAAATAAATTTGCTTTAAAACATAATTTTTTTTAAATTTTTGATGATTTTTCCAAGGCTATAGCATTACTTTTTCATAGGAAACAGGACCCCCTTCAAATGCTGTTATCTCTTCAAAAAAACAACTCTTTTCTTGGAACTGGGTCCGATCCTTGTTTTTTCTTATCGAAGAAAAAGGCAAATAAATTTGCTTTTGAAGAAATATTTTGTTAAAACTTTTGATGATTTTTCTAAGGCTATAGCATTACTTTTTCTTAGGAAACAGGACTCCCTTCAAATGCTGTTATCTCTTCAAAAAAATGACTCTTTTCTTGGAACTGGGTCCGATCCTTGTTTTTTCTAATCGAAGAAAAAGGCAAATAAATTTGCTTTTGAAGAAATATTTTTTTAAAATTTTTGATGATTTTTCCAAGGCTATAGCATTACTTTTTCATAGGAAACAGGACCCTCTTCAAATGCCGTTATCTCTTCAAAAAAATGACTCTTTTCTTGGAACTGGGTCTGATCCTTGTTTTTTCTAATCGAAAAAAAAGGCAAATAAATTTGCTGTTAAAACATAATTTTTTTTAAATTTTTGATGATTTTTCCAAGGCTATAGCATTACTTTTTCATAGGAAACAGGACCCTCTTCAAATGCCATTATCTCTTCAAAAAAATGACTCTTTTCTTGGAACTGGGTCTGATCCTTGTTTTTTCTAATCGAAGAAAAAGGCAAATAAATTTGCTTTTATTTGCCCAGTTAAAAATTAAAAAAACGACTCCAAGAAAGTTCCTAGGAAAATATAGCCTCAAATGCAGAATGAACTTCTTTTGTGCAATTAAACTTGCATTTACAATTTTAAATAATTTTGTCATCTTGAAAAAAAACATAGAGTATCTTTTGAAAACACCCTCTTAGGCATGAAAAACAGAAAATGAACAATCTGAAGTTTACATCTTTAATTTTCCTACTCTGCAATATTAAATTAAGTAAATTACAGAATTTTAGAATCAAATCTAAAAGAAACTTAGCATAAAATAAAAGTACTTAAAATTATTCAATGTACATTTTTATTTCACATTTTGATACCATATATCGAGGGCAGTGAGATACTTAAATCACTGTCTTTGGAAAATCATGGAGGCCTGCATGCGAAATCTAGAAGTGTATTTGGCTGGTTCAAATCACAGCTCATCCCTGGATGGGATGATGTTAGATACATAATCTACTCATCAAGTTTTCTGAAAGATTTTTATTATTAGTTGTATATGATAACGGGGGTTTGTGTGGGGTCAAGCTTTTGTTCTTACAAAAATGGGACAATATATTATTATTTGTAGCAAGGAGAAAGAGGATACAGGTCCTGCTTAAAGAGCAACTGCAAGTTTTTAAGAATTTGTTCTTTATGAGAATAGTTTAAAATCAGTTTAGTGGAATCACTTTTATGAGATCTGTCCTCGCCCTTTTTCAAATATTGTTGTAAAATCTGTACCTATTCTATGAAACATTCTAAAAAACATTGATTCTTGACATATCAAAGAAGATCATTCCATGGACAGGGCAAAATACAATAGTATATTTAAAGGCCCAGTAAAAAATACAAATTATTGCTTGGAAAAACCCATGTTTTGTACTTTTCGTTGAAAATGTGATCCATTTGTTAATAGGACCATGAAATACCCTGATTAGTATACAGACTGAACTACAAGTGATCTATTGCAAAACTTTTTATACAAGTACAATTAATTTGTAATAAAATCTACTCACAATCCAGCAAAGATTTCTATTTACCATGCTAAAATACGTACCGTATCCACAAGTTTACAAAGGGGTCACTTACAAAATATGTACAAGGATGACTCAGGAATGGGCAGTGACAATTGCATACATATTGTAATTCAGCTCCGTGCCTGCTGATTGATTTTGTATGACATGGTGAGTTATGAAGTTTGGCACACATATACAATGAATGACCCCAAAATTATATTACAGGATATATTTTACACCAAAAGAAATCTAAATCACACCAAACAGATCTGTGATACCTTCATTTTGTTCCAATGAGAATAAGTATTCTGCCGAATCAAAATCTGTATCTAATGCTGCAACTGTTTGGTCTGTATCAGGTAGGTGCTCAAAAGACATCAGCTCTTCCTCAACCCTAATATCATCTTCCTCAACAAGTGAGCTTTCAGGGGAATTCATAGAAGACAGTGTTCTCTGTCTCTGTCTGATAGGTGACTGCTCATTTGAAAATTGCTGTGCAAAGGTTGCAAAGTCTAGTTCAAGAGCACTTGAGTAATCAGTGCTATCTTTTTCACCACAAACACTTTTGGTTGGTGACAATTGTGATGTACTGTATGATGAATCATGATCACCTTCATTATCACTACTTGGGTCTGAATTTTCTTTGTTGTCAGGACAAAGGAAAACATCAATAGGACCATTTCCACTCTTAAGCCATATCTGCAATCCCTATATCAAACAGGACTTTTGTTAACTAAATTTTCAAGTGAACCAAGTACCCTTTCCATTCTATTGTAACTTACATGAAGAAAGACAAACAGGAAGGTTCTAGGTTTCAACTTAGAGTTGCATGCTTTGTGATAGGCAACAGACACCAAAGTGTTTGAAGCTCTACTTTTACAGAATCAAGCATCATATGACAGAGATAAATTCATATATATATATATATAAGAAATTTTTTTTCACCAGTCTGTCATAGAGTGTTTACATTTGCCTGGTGATTGCATCAAGTATGAAACTATAACTTAGAACTGTCCTGTTCTATACACCAAAACATGAAGAATAAACTGCACTCAATTTGTTTGGGAACTTATTACTGTCCCCATACAAACTAAAAGAAAGAGACTGAGAGATTATGCCTAGCATAAAAAATAAAGGAAGGTAAATGCATGGCTACTCACTTCTTCTGGTCTTGGAACTTCAAGTCTTGTTTCTGGTGGAGCCTTGACAGCAATCACAGTTGTACCATCAAAATCAGAGATACCTCTTATGTCTTGGTAGGTCACATATGCATATGTATTCATCAATTAAGGGAAAACAAAATATTTTCTACATTAACACCTGAAGTAAAAAATGCCTAATTAAGATAGAGAAAAACTTAGTGTGATTAGGTTTACTGTCATTGAGGCAGATATAGGCTTCTTTGTGCAAGTCTGAAGATTTTATGATATTCATAGAAACATTGCTTTTGCTAAAAAGGATATCTTCTTATTTCATCATTTGCACTGTTCAGTCCCATTTGTAATTTTCTTGATTCAATCATGCGATCAAGGTTTTCTTCTTGCTGTTTCAGTTCTTCTACATCATGATGTAGATTCACCATTTTTGTGGCCATTGCAGCTTGTTCTCTGTCAACTGAAACTGGCTTCCTTTCAAGATGTTTTGCACCCCTGTAGAAAAAAATGATGCCTCATGTTGCTGTCTTAAAAAAGTGCTAAATTTTCATATCTTTAAAGATTTTTTAAACAACAATTGTTAGGGTTTTTTACCTATGATATCACCTCATATATCAAAATGATATTTGTGAATAAAAATTCCATTCACCTTTAATTAGAAATTAGTTCATATGTTAGGAAATGTTTATGTAGCAACACTTTATCTTAAACTGGTAAATAGAGATAATAATGTTATATCATGCCACACCAGGATGCTAGGATACAAGACAGATTTAGTGAGCTTACTAAACTTGCATTTTTATGTTTTAAAGCTTTATGTTGGTTCCAATTGCCCTCAGCGCACCCTAGATGCATTAAAACTCAAGATGTGGTTCACATGGTTCACGTTGGGTTCATGTTTTCCTTCAAAGAATGAAAGTGAACACATACCTCCATCTAATGTTGTTTTTTGCTTCCTTCTGAATGACTCCAATGCCTTCCAAAACATTTGTGATGTCATAGATGCGCCTCTTCTGAACATCCAACATTTCTGTTGCCTTATTCAGATCAAGGACTCCTTGTGGTGATGCTCTTAGAATACTCACAAATTTCTTTGTTAGCATTCCTAAAGATGTCTCATATCTTGGAGATTCATCATTTCCTAAAAAGTTAGTACCATACTAAAACTGCTTTTCTTTATAATCCATGAATCTTTATCATCATACAGTTTATTTCTATTGGAGGTGAGCATCACAAATTTTTCACACAAATTAAGTATTTGAAATAATAGCTTTGAAATAACTATGGCAACACCCAGCACTAATCAAAACAAGAACAATGATAATTTTTAACAACAAAGTACCCAAATTCCAAAAACTTCAAAAACATGCTACAAATGTTACTAAAAACCAGTTGTTACTGAATTATTGCTTTATAAAATCCTTCTTGGCATATAAAAATTATCTGAATATGACCCTCGGGTTCTGTTAGGAATGCAATCTCCAATGGAAACCCAACCAAGGGATTACACTAATATCAAACTGGAATTATCATTTCACTCAAGATTCACAAAATTTAAACGAGAATATCAATATTGCTTACCATTCTCTGAACCTCGAGAGGAACTTCTTCGCCGAGAGGGTTTTGCAGCTTTCTCCTTCATAACAGGCGTTGGCACTCGAGTGTTCTTCCGCTTGGAATTTCGACCCTTTGCACTTGTCTTCGGGGTTTTAAATGCTGGATAATCGAGGTCTTTTGCTTCCAAATCAAGCTTTCTTTTTACCTAGTAATACAAACATTTTAAAATACTTGTCTTATCGTCGAATTATCTGCTATGTTTTCAAAAATAGAAAGGTATTATAGCTCCCAGAAAGGAGAATGAAGTAAAGTGGCCTTACTTACCTGTGGTTTCGATTGTTGGAAAGATGTAGGTTTTCCAAAAGTTCCAGTAGTTCGCTGTGTGTACAAACTGCTCGCAGTTGAAGAGGGTGTTTTTTCTTCCAGAACTTGATAAACAGAACGATGATCTTTGAGTGTATTAAGCGGCGCAAAAACTTTACGATGTTCAGCAGTCATGTGAGCAGATAAGTTTGCAGCCGACATCTTGTATTTGGAGCTTTGAAGTCTGTTAAAATAAAATCAATTTTCAACATCTTTGGTGACAAAACATCTTGAAATAAAAAACTTAAAAATATGTAAGGTCCTTTACCATTGTATAAACATCCTTAAAAAGGAAGGTTATTAACTTACGTTCACGATTCAACACGATTTTCAGTGAAGCTATAGGCACTTCCTTTAGCTTCCACTACAAGACGGATAAAGCTGAACCTCAGAGGAACGGGCCTTGGTTTGAGTTTCGCGCCAGTTTGGGAAATTTCTTTGTTCTCGAAGCAATCACGCGTACACTAGAACAATGAATTCGATGGCTGATTGGTCAGTTCGCCTTCCATCAACGTCAGTAAACAAGTCTTCATTCAGGTTTCCTAAACAAAACAATCTTGCAAAGGCGGGAAACGTTTGGCGGGAAACACTGTGTGGGGGATTATAGGGGGAGGATTTTGACTCGTTTTCGTGGAATTGGAAAACCTACATTACATTACATACTGTAGTACATGCAATGCATTTAAATCAAATATTTCTTATATTTTAAAATTATACGCATAATGTTCGAGTAACCCATCCTGGAGGAAGATGCAAGGGTTTATCCAGGGAAGTAGTAAGAAGGAACTCACTGGGAGGCTGGAGAGAGTTGCATTATGTTTTTCAATATAATTTCACAAAATACACTGGATATTTTGATGGAATGCAGTACAGTGATACACTATATAGATTATTGGGGGCGGCCCCCATAGATAAACGCCAAGGCCCTTTTATTCTCTGGAAAGATGCAGGTTGACTCTGCTTTACCAGTATCGCGATGTGGAGATTTCTTCTTAAAGGATGGCAACGGCAACAGCATGTGGCCGTGAAAATTTGATGATTTTACTTTTTGAAGAATTGCCTCACGAAAAGTTTTACCAAGTAATGACTTACGAGTAAACACCTTGTTACGTCTATACCCAAGCTTTTACCTTCATAAATACCCGGTTTCCCCCGACTCTGACATGGGCGACAACCTGTCCCTCAACCACAGAAAACAGTCAAATAATCACTGATTCTGTGTTACCAGCCCTGGTAGACCTGTGAAATAATTGAAAAATACATGTCAGGCAAAACACTAGAGCTTGCCCTTGCACCCTCCCCCTTTTCAACTTGTGCCGGAGCCCTCAATCAATGAATTTTTAAATGAAAGCTTTTAAAGTAGTTGCAGAGTTTGCAATCGGCCTAAAAGGGGAGATCTGCCGTCGGAGGTTGGGGCAGTATAGGGTTAAGCCAACAACAAACAGGTATATATCTATGTTACATTTATTTTGGTTCAAGGGCTATTAAAGACCTACTGCCTGGCTGAATTATGCCCAAGAGCCGCAGGTCGCTGAAACATGAAAATGTTTACATACGTACAGCGATTAATTCTAAGGTTTCCTTTTAATCACATCAAAGCAATGTTTGCGATTTTGATTTTTCTAAGATACAAATTCAATCCTTGCCATTCACTTCAATTTTTCGCTGAAACATGGTTGTTGATCCAAAATTGTCTGCAATCAAATACAAATAAAGGCCTTTTTAACCAACATTGATGGGGTGGGGGGTGTGGAGCAGCTGGGTGATCTGGAAAGGTAGAAACTACATATGGGGATTATCGAAGAGAGGATAAATCTGAGGTTCCGCACACTTTCTAGTTGAAATCCGCCGTTCCGGTCATTTTTAGCCAATGTTCCGTGTCCAAAACTTGTTGATTGATGCTGTGAACAATAAAAACCAAGCTTTGATAAAGTCCCTTTTTAAAAGCGACAGGTGAAGAATGGGTATAGATTTCGTTTTCCTTGTATCATTTTCGACAAAATATGCATCCGGTAAGTGTGGAGAATTCCGTCCAAAATCCTCGCCAGATTTTCTTCGTTTACGACTAACAGCCATCTAAGTCAGGGATGCCGAAACCGGGAAAGCACTAGGGGAAAGTGCCTTGAAATTTTGGGAAGGGCCATTCCCTACCTACCCTGGGTGCCAGAGCCTCAGAGGGTCAAAGAATGAAGAACGGGGGAAGGAATTGCGTCGCAGGGAAAACCCAGGGTATTCCCTACCAGCGATTTCTCCCTACCAGTGCTCCTCTAGCTTGAAATGTTTTTGACATCCATGATCACAGTGACCAGATCCCAAAAGTGTTCATCTTTCCTCCGGACAATGCCCTCGACCTTTGATAACCTTTCCCATGAAAAAATGAAAGGGTTCTGGCGTCGTTCTAATATTTCTACACAAGCATCCCATAATGCATTTTCAGACAGTCTGGAATCACTTTTAGTTAATCCGTATAAGTTTACTGCCATTGTTTGGACCGTCGCCGCGCCCGCAAAGGCCCATTGTTAGCAACTAAATTCCGCAACAATTTTAATAATAATTAGAGACCCACTTGGTCAAAAACATGCCAAAACCTCTACTAGACCAAGAATGACAAAAATAGTAATAGAATACTTAATACAAAACACTTCTTGTGGAAAATAACATAACAGTTTTTTCTAACTTTAACAATCACTTTTACATAAAGTATTACAAAATGACTATTGGCTATTACAAAATACTAAATCCCCACTCGTTTCTTGGATTTTGACGCTTCTTGGAGTTCTGTTCACTGACGCGAAAGTCGAAATCACGTGACATGACATTTCTTTCAATACCATAACTCATTGCGGTGTATGAATTCGCGTGATCTATGTGCCTATTACGTCACGATATCTTTGTTCATCAAGTTTGAATCTTGACCTAAGAAATATTATGAAATCTTTATTGACGTTGGGTTACTTTTGCTTCTCAATAACATTTCTTCACAAAGCATCCGATTGGAAATTCTTTTACATATCATATCACTCATCAGTATTGTCTCTTTTACAGGGAAGAGGCCGCATCTTAAACTTCAAAGCAGAAAACTTAGAATCTTAATAGAAAACACCTTACTAACGAAAATGCATATATTATACATATCAAATACAAAAGACCAGTGACATAACGATAACGTAATTTCACCAACCTCATCGACTGAATCTCCGATAAAAGGTCATCTATCTTTGCCTCAAGCAATTTTTTTGGTCTTTTTGTTTTGTCACATATATCGTCGATTTCTGACTGATTAGAAATGTCGACATCCTAAAATAAAGGCAAGGTTATAAGCAGGTGTGTAATGACTGAGTTGAATATTAAATTTTATGGATATTTTACCACAAATCCATGTATTCACTATTACCATAAAAACTTTATTATATAAACCAGAGATGGGCAATCTACGGCCCGCGGGAATTTTCTACGCCCCGCGGGCAAACTACGGCCCGCCGGCCAAATCCGGCTTTTCAGCAAATATCTGGTAGATTAATGGCTGTAAATATCTTCAATCTAAATGTATAAAGTATATATAGTTATTGAATGGTTGAAGTTCATTCAGAAGCGTAAAAGAAGAAATTTATTTTAGAGCAAGATTCGAGCAAACGTCGAATCCAGGGAGATACCCTAATGAACCATGGAGTTTTGAGTAGACATGAGGTGATTTGCCTTCAATTTTTCTAAGACCTTCCTGGCCCGATCCACCCTTTCTGGGAACCTAACGTCATAAATTTGGCTCCAAAGTGAAAAAGGTTGCTTGTCCCTGATTTAAACATTATGTTTGCTATACCCGGACGTCTTCCTTTCAAATACCTTGGGTAATGGGTAGGCAACCTTTTTCTTCTGTGAGGTAACTTTATCGTATTTGGTATCCCGGCGTGCGGCTAACATAAACAAGGGCTCCGACACAAGTTGGAAAGTGGGGAAATTTAACACCCATAACAGAAGGTTTTGAAATAAGCCCTGCTGATTTGCAACAAGTGGGGAGCTTTGATAAGAGCAGAATTATATCTTCTGTGCCATTTCTTTCGATCCGACGGCCATTATAAAACATGCTGCCGGACAGGCTTTGGCCCGCGGACCGCAGGTTGCCCGTTAAGTTCCGACATTTTTGACCTATGATAATATGACGTCACTAAATATTACTATACATGTATTTGTTGTGTAGTTTGATATAAATATCTTAACACCCTTCGATACAGGTTAGTATCGAAATGTTAATTACCTTTGTGTCTTTTCCGGTATAATCTGCGCCCCACTTTCTTTTGGTGCCACATACAGCTGCTGTGGGGCTTAGTGATAGACTGGCTAATTCGTTCTTGTATGTTTCTGAAAATCTGGGAAAGATTAACAAGTTCTGAAGTGAGGACGTCACAAAAATAGAATGTGAGAATTTTGTAACTTGGATCACATGACAAGAAAGAACATCGTGAAATACCCCTAGTTAAATTTGTTACGAATTCGCTGAGATATCGTCGACGAATAATAATAATAATAATAATAATAATAATAATAATAATAATAATAATAATAATAATAATAATAATAAGAGGAATATTTATACAGGGTAAACCTTGTCAATACTACGAGTATTGTTATCAATAAGGGCCCTGTTTGAAAGAAAAAAAGATTATTTCCCTATCAAATCGGTGTTATTTGATCTCTGTTCACAACTTATGAATCATGCAAAAATAACAGTAGTCCGTTAGCAAAATTTCAAATCTTTCATTGGCCATGTCTTACCCAATTTTTGACTTAATTAACTGATTTCGGATTTTCATGTTGTTTTCACTGAGTGGTATTTCACGTTGTTCATTTAACATATGTAGTCAACCGTCAAAAATTCTAAAAACATTGTTTTTGTGACGTCATAAGGTGTATTGACTGCAATCTTAATCAAGCAGATTGGGAGTTTTTTTTTATTTTGATCATTTCTTGGTTATTGGTCCCCTCCAATTTATGTGTTCATTTAGGTCATTATCATAGCAAATAGGAGGTTGCATGGACTACAGGAAGAGACCCATACTTTAATATAAACAGTAATTTGTTATACCCACATTTTAGAAAAGAGTATAGTATTTGAGTTTTAAAAGGTTCTAAAGTAAATGAGACGAAAAATGGAGTTGTAATGACAAAATGAAAATGCACTTAATCTTACATGGAACCAAGTTTTGAAGCAAGCAACCGTCATTATTAAGAACTGCTTATTACAAACCGTGCTTTGAGACAGTGGATATTTCAAACCTACCGTAAAGGATTGGGACATCCCCGTTACACTGTATAGGGAATTACCCACTATATGGCATGGAAAAGTAAGGTTAGGACATGGGTATGACTAGATTAGGGTGTGTTTATCTGAAAAAGAATGGCGACGGTTTTGCTGCATCATGTGTGCAACAAGGTAACTGGTTTGAAGTCAAAGATCTCCCGTGAAGGACGATCCTCTAGAGCTGTTTAAAGCATTAGGACCTTTGCTAAAACAACAATATAAGATAAAGATAAATGAAACATATCTTGAGTTATAACTTCAAGGGGTATATCGCCCATTAAAATTTTGAATTGAGTTGAAACTCAAACCAAATTAGATGTTCCTAATGAAATGTATTTGTCCAATTTAGTGTAGATATTGTCCAATCCAATTTGAGATAAAAAAAATGAAACAGTGAAATCTTACCTTGACAAGGCATGTCTCTCGGCTGACAATGATTGATCTAATAGTTTCTGCTTACGTAACAATTCATCTAATGGCGAATGCGAGCCAGACAAATTAAGGGTGTTGCTTGATAATGTCATTGACTGCTCTGAACGTAACCAACGAAGAAAAGACAAAAATCAATTAGTGATGAGCATCATTGAGATACAGATCATAAAAACAGGCAGGCTGGGAACACAAATTTGCTGAAAAAAGAAATGATACATGGGAAAATGCATTTATTGGTATTTATATAAGAATGGCTGTGAAATAAACGGAAATATTCTAAGAAAGAAAGGGAGTGGTGCCCAGGAAAGGGTTTTCTGTGCCAAACAACCAAATGTCACAAAATCTTTTGATTCACAGTTAATTGTTTCAAACGTCAATGAAAAGCAGGATGGTAAACACATTTGAGCGAGAGAATAAATTTGTCTAATTGCAATGGTGTGAGTTACTGCAAAAAGAACGTACCCGACAACATCTGTGTTAAAACTAAGATGCTTATAAAAATATCCAAAGCATTGTGGACTATTTTGAAGTAAAGCCATATATACCAATTATAGAAAGACTGTTTTCGACTTCGGCTATCGATCTTTGTATAGACCCGTTTCTTGAAGATGTCTTGGCGATTTGTGATCTAGAAATGATTTACAAATCCATCATAACAGAAATTAATTCATTAGAAAAAGAATAAGAATATTTATAAAGCTTGTATTTGTGACAGGCTTGCAAAATCCAAATAATTCATAATGAACTGAAATTTGCGTTATATTAACGAGATAGGAGAAACTATGATCACTTCACATTAACCACGACCGAAATCTTGCTTATGGCAACGTTTACATTCAACAAAACAATCTTTGGCTGCTGTTAGCCTATCAACCTTCTTTTCAAGTTGAAGCAATAGGCGCCCTACACTGGGTACCAGACTCACTTTATATAAAATAAAATAGGGAGTCTGGTCTAGTGCGCCCCATTCTCGTTCTGGTGTAAATCCTGTGAGCTCATTTGAAAGAACTTAGTCAATTTAACAGACTGGAAACCAAACTGTCGGTCGGATAAATACCCAAGGTACTCAGTGGAATGAGCAGGAGTTTATGGAAAATTGGATCCAATGTGTTTTATACAGTTCGGTAAAAGGATGACAAGTGAGGCACATGCTACTAAGCCGTATCATGAGGATGACAAGTGATGAGGCGTATCATCGTAACATGCATGCAGGTGAAAACCGCCAATCTACAGTTGGGTCGATTTGTTTAACAGTTATCTCTGAAATTCCATACATGTTCAAAATCTCTATTTTTTTTATATATAGTGAGCCTGGTACCGAGGGTATAGGCCCCCAGATCGTGCACAAAGTATGAAAGAGAACACAAATTCCAATGTACTGGTCTTTTGTAAAGTGTTTGATGCCGTATTGGCAGAGCTTTACACGTCTTTGGTGTAAAGACGGTTCTAAATTAAATTGCATTCAAGGCGAAGGTTTTGAGGCAACTTAGAACCATCCAGTTCTATACACCAAAAGAGTAGTATGAAAGGGAGATAAATTGATTAGATAAGAATTCCCGAGGGGAGGGAGGAAGCTGAGGCTTTTAGTGGGACGAGAATATGTGAATATATAATTATATAGTGAGCGGGTTCTGACAATAACCAAGGGATTCGCTACAATGAAGTTTAAATGAAACAAATGCTTTATCTTGATAATCTTGAGGGGAAACAATTTTTGATCAACGCAGGGTCCCACTCTATTAGCAAGTGGGTTGCCCATTAACAGTTTACCATGAACAACATATACAAACAATAAATACCCTTGACCATATTCTGATGCTGAACTTTCTGAAAGCGAGTCTCTACTTAGACGAATGATGTTATCTTTCCACGAAGCTGGTAGCTTGAATCTGAGAAACTCGGATTTGAAGAAGCACACTTTCCTTGCGGCGTCAGAATTGGACTGATGTTTATGAATGGAGCCCAAGATGACACTGACACATTCTTCCAGTACTAAAGGCCATGGAAAATCAGTTGTATAAGCGCGATATTTCCATTTGTGGAGGTATTTGTTAATTACGCCTTCCACTCTGTAATAAAGTAGGATAAGAGATGTGATGCCTCCAATAATCGATCAAGACAAAGGAGAAAAAGTTCAAATATCGAGGAAGCTTGCCCAACGCATTTTTACAATGTGGCTAACTATCAGGGATTTTATGTCCGACTATCGGATATATTTGTGTGTGACGATTGGCGATCTTTTTATCATCAGCGACCTTTATATCCGACAATGGGAGATATTTTTATCCGATTATTAACATTCTTTCTGTCGAAAAATAAGATAATTTTATGTCCGTGTATCAGCGATCATTATTTCCAACAATCGGAGACACTTTTGTCTGACAATTGAAAATCCTTTTCTCCAAGTATACGAGATTTTTATGTCTGAGTATCAGCGGTTCAACTGTTGGTGACCCTTCCACCCGACTATCTGCGATGTCTTTGTCAGGGTATTAACGTTATCTTGTCGGACATTTTAAGATTTGGGAAGCTCAGTCCTCCAGTCTTGTAAACTCATTACTCTAGCAAGGCTGATTTTCTTGAGTAGAATCGTCATAGAAATTTACGATTTGATGCATAGTACAATATTTTGTATTTTGTATTTGTACTTGTTTCTAATTAGCATCCGAAGGTAGTTTTTAAGGACACTGAGAAGCTTATGCGTATCGAGCAGTGTCCTGGTCCTTGCTCTCGATGTGACCACACCTCGTGATTCCTATGCCTGGAATCATAGAGGGCTGGCGACTCTTCCCACTCTGGGCGAAAGGTTATCATGCCAGGGACTCGAACCACGGCTTCTTGGGTCTGTAGTCAGCGCCTCTAACAACTGAGCTATCCTCGCACCCTAAATGTACAATTTGGGTCTAAGTTGCTACAATTGTTGCGCACAAGTTGCGGGACTCCACAACAAGAGTGCATCAGGACTCCACAAATGACGTCAGAGGCTATTGGACAATACCAGGTTCTTTCTTATCATAAAGTGTTTTTAAATTTGGTTTCCCCATCACTTCCCGATTATAAATACTTAAAAGAGCAATTGGTCTGAGCAAAAATTATTAGTAAAAGCTGCTAATTACTTTTAAACTAAATGGAACATTTACAGAAATCTGAGTTTCAAAAGAGTAATTACCCTAGGACTGAGGATAATTGCTTTCCTTAATATCTCCAAGTTTGATGCTTTTATAAAAATCTTTCAGCATACCTGCTAATGAGCTCAGACGGGTGTATATCCAGCTTTCCTGGTTTCAGAATTTCATAAAGGTACTTCAAGCAAAGTTGCTGCTGTTCATGCCAATCGCCATCTGAAAAAGAAGTCTGCTTGCATCTGTTCGTTCACTATGGTTCGTTAAACCAGAGATGTAGAAACCGGGGACACGAGAGGACAATGCCCTTTCCAAGTTTCTGCAAATGCCCTTTCGGGAGGAGTAAATGCCCCCGGTTAGGTTGAGTTCTTTCACAGTGACCTTTTTGCAAGAACTATTTTACGACTGATGACCACGATATATAAGTGCTCTTCCAAAGTTAATTTGTTTGCGTCTAACGTCTCATAACAAACAGCCAATGTCACTGGTTGAAAATAATAAGATTTCAGAGTTCTCCATCATTTCAAAATTCAATTGTTTCTTAACTTTTTTAGCTTGAGTACTGAAAATTATTTATTTTTCTAAATGTCCAGTGCTTTAATCTCATAGCAAGTTTCTTATAAAAATGGTTATATTAGGCTACATATTTCTAAAAATTTTAAACAACCTAAAAAATTGCAGTACCGCAGGAAGAACAGAATTATTTGAGGGGTACCAATGTTCGAAAAAAATAGGACCAAAGGAATTGTTGATTAGAAACAAATGATTTTCTCAAAATTTGGGAGAGGCACTACCCCTTAAGAATGATAGTAGTTACTGCTCTGGATGGTCTCAAATTTTTTAAAAAGGGTGTAAAAACTAGTGAAACACGATCATACCAGCGTCAACACTGTGGTCGAGTCTTGGAAGTTTTAAGCCATCCAAGAAACATCTTATTTGAGTGAAGCTATGTTCATCATTCCAGTGCAAATCTGGGGCATCTGCAGGGAATAAAACAACATGATTAAACATCATCTACTAGCAAACAAGTTCAAAATGATTTTAAAAACCGAAGATTCAGTAAAAAATCTCTGTTGAAAACTAGTGAAGATGTTAAACTTCTCACCCTTCAATCCCCAGGCAATCATTTCCTTTGATGGCCAACAAAGTTTCATCAGTTCTTCAGAGGTACAAATGGTTTGTACATGATCAAGAATACTGTTGTAAAGATCAGCCACAGGCCTAGCATCCTAAAGCATGAATGCAAATCAATTTTGAAAATTGTTTTAAAAGAACTCAAACCATGAGAATGAAAAATTGATTTTTTGAATTTCTTATTATAAAATCACATCATTGGCAGTGCTAGTGTCTCCAAAAAAGGCAACAATCATATATGAAGTCTTACGCCCAGGCATCAGGGCGTTGCTCTTTAATAAAGGAATCTTCATTTGGGAGAACGAAATATCCCAGCAAAAAAAATCTTACAGTAGCTAGGTAAATCTGCAAACCATTAAAAACAGTTACAACTGCGATACAAAAAGACAAACAAAGCTCACAATCGGAGGCATTTCAGCATTGATCCGTCTGCTTCTGTCTTCATAAATGTTCTCATAAAAGTAGCACTGCGTGGCTGTAAAATACATGGGTTACTAGCTTTCTTTTTACGCGAAGAAAAATTACTATATTTTACGATTTAAGTCTTAAAAATGTTAATGCGGAATTGAATTTTTGATTGAAATGATATGATTGAAGATTGCCCTTACCATTTTCAATAAGATTCCGGAGTGTAGTCGTCTGCACTTTAGGAAAATCAGGAATTTTTGAAACCAGATTTACCAAATGATCAGTTAACTGTAGGACAAGAAAGAACTTCCACATTTGACAAAATATCCAATGCAGCTAGCATATTAGCTATACAGGTACTTAAATTGCCCTTTTTAAAGGGGGTGTAGTTGGACATTCCAAATTAGGGGGGAGGTGTGATTGGAGAATAGACTAAAATGCAAAAATCCATCACATCTAATTTTCCCACAAATAAATTACATATGGTAAAAAGGTACTTCGAAAGAAATTGAAAAAGGCGATATTGTTTCAATTTACCGGCACATAGTAGATTACATCTATCAACTGAAAACTTATAAGTTTGTCATCCAACTAACAACAAAGTGAAGGGGTTTGATCGGGTGGAGCCTTCGACACAAGAATAGTAAATGGAAAAACTGCTTACTTCTTTATTCAGTTTGGTCCCATCGACATCAGGATCAAGAAGCAAAATTCGAAACTCCGATATGTGCCCATCATTCTTCAACCCTGTCAGTTTCAACCGAGCAATGATTTCGTCTTTGTGACAGGTGGAAGGGCAATTTACCCCGATTAACAGGAGTGGGTATGGTGGCACGGCTGCAGTGAGTGATACAACATCTTGCAATCTTGCATGATGAATATCAAAAGTCTAGAATGATAATAAAAAAAGTTATTGGCCTGGAGTTTGGAGATGATTCACTGAGTAGAAGCAGTCAACCATTCAATCGATAACCGTTCCTGAAATCAAAGTTTTCCTGCAATCAAAACAAGTTGTTTAACGGCAAAACTTAAAATAATCATAGGCGAATAGTCTGTGTTGCTTTTTTGCTGCTTCGGGTTGTTTTTTGATAAGTTTGCGACATAAAATGAGGACATTTGCGCCGTTCTAATTACACTTTTTTGTATAAGTCAGATAATTTCTGCTGAGGCTCAATGTTCTTATTTCTTTTAATAATTTTACTTTCGAGGCTCGAGGGTTATTTCAACATTTTCTTATTAACAAACTATATCTTTTGGTTGCAGTGTTGATTAGCTGATAAAATATCCTCTGTTCTGTTAGAATGAAATGAAATTTCCAAAAACACATCGATCGTTTTTTCTAATTTCTTAAACGTGGCCGCAGGAAATATTTTTAAGTTGTCCCTTTTTGTTGGCAAATGGAGCCTCGAGGTTTTTTAATAAGTATCTCACAATAAGTATCGCTTTTTCGCACCTTAGGTCAACATCCCGTGTGGTCTAGTGGTTAGGATCCGGCGTTTTCACCGCCGTGGCCGGGGTTCGATTCCCCGCACGGGAGTTCTTTTTCTTCCATAACAACAAGAAAATTCAGCGAGAAAATCCGATTTGTTTACTGTTAATTGTGCTGTGCAGTCCTGTTTTACTACAAACGTTTCCAAACACAGCTTCTTTAATTATGCTTGCGGATTTAAAGAACCCTATTATATGTTTTAAAGGTCAATCTATCATATATATGCAATTGACGAATTTTCTGATAAAATACAGTCGTTTTTTTTTATAAGAAACTGGCTATAAGAAACGAGTACTGGACAGTCAGAAAAAATCAAGAAACTTCAGTACTAAAAGCAAAAAAAATAAGAAACTATTAAATCATGATAAAACTGAGAACAACGAAATTTTTTAAAATCCAAGAAAATGATTGCTCTGTTGGCCTAGAACTTAAGTAAGACACAAGGGATAAAAATATATTTCCCACATCTAAATACAGCTTCAGAACGGAAACGAATCTCTTGACGTGATAAAAAAGGTCACGAACATTTCATGACATCATTCATGACATCATAATTAAGAAACTCTTAAGAAACAATGAGTATTGAAATTTCCAGAACACTAAGAAACTACTCATCATCGACCTTTGTTTCTTATCAAAAAATGAGTGTAATCTAAGAAAATAATTGATCTGAAAGAAGAAAGCTGGTAAGATTTGTACCTGAGGTTCAGCAAAATCGATAATGAATAGAATACCATTAACACCAGAGAGTTCTCTGGTTTCTTTCAATTTCTTGTGATCTTTTCTAAACGAAGCTGATAGAGCCTTGAAATGAAAAAATTGGCACGTGAAATCCCACAATATAATAAAAACTTGCTGAAATCGGGAAAAACGTCATTCACAAACAAGATTCTTATGCAGCTACAATATTCAATTCAAACTGAAACTTACAAACAGCTACTGTAGAAACATCAAATGAAAATTCCCATGGTAAAGGAGCCCCCCCCCCCCCACAAAAATATAAAGAATATACACCATAGAAAACCTAACAGTTGCAATAATATTTACGTGATTCCTTATAAAAGGGTGTTAACATTCTTTAATCGTTTGAAAAGTGAATATCTTTAGTCGTTGTTTAAAAAAGAGGGACAAAAAGGTTCTCAACAAAGGAAAGAACAAAATTAACAAATGAAAGATTCTCCTAGACAATGGTATCAGCTTTTCAAAGTCCCCTATATTCTAAAATGTTTAACATGTGTTCACTCTACTTTTCCAACTAGTGTTTGGCATAACTAAGATTGAACCCAGGCTAGGAGGTTTGGTGAAAAGAGAGACGGATTTCTGAAGGCGACAATTCTGCATGAAAAAGAGAGACAATTCTTTATTTCTTGGAAATCTGACTATAAAAGAGATTTATCAGAAAACACATCTATTTGAATAGCCTGCCGCGCCATTTTGCTGTTCAAATTCTCCTTTGAAGGATAGTAACTTTTGCTGGCTTGGAAAGATGAAACTGTTATAAATGCATAAAATCACCTTAATGCTTATTGATACGGGTCCATTTGGAGTTGTATCAGAAATTTCACACAGATCATCAACCTACAGAAGCAGAAAGATAATGGAAAATGCTTTAGTTAACCTTGAGCAATATGACAAAGAGTGAAAAAATAAATCATATTGTTCATCACACCAGCATTTGGCAGTGAAAACATTCCTTGTCAAGTTAAACGTACTGTGAGAGACACTTCAAAAGCAAATGTGTATAGAAGTAAACTGAGGAGAAATAATAAATTAATTCTCTAAAACAACTTTGATATCCAAGGTTTGTTTACAGTGCAACAAGTATTGAAGAAAATTAGTGACCAAAGAGCAAGCACCGGAAAATATTACTTTTCTTGCGAGGGGCTCAATTTTTTATTCCACTATCATTTAAGGAGGGGTTATTACACACTCTAGAAGGGGCGCATTACACCCTTTCTAGAGTTACTAAACGCCACTTTTAACGCTTCAGCAATATATTGCTAAAACTCCAATATATTGCCTTAAAAAATATCATAATGATACAAAAAATATTATAATGACACGAACACATTAATATATTGTGCCAATCTAAACTTCAGATAAACTCTTTTATTAAATATTTTTTTTTACTAAAATAGTAAAATCACATGTTAAACCTGCACAGAGGGTTTTAATTAAAAAGAAATGGCACCCACACATGAACCATGATCATTGGCACTAGGACCATTATCTTCCCTCATCCTGAGTTTTTCCTTCAAGATCTCGGCATTCAGTCCACTGCACTCCGAAGACTTTGCATGATCTGGCACGCTCACAAGGAGTTTAAAGAAGAAATGTTTGCGAAATCCACTCAACGATTTAAACATGGAATCAAGAACAGGTAGAGGAGAAAGAGGCCGTGTCAATTCCTTCCTATAATGACAGAATAGATAAGGTTCAAAACAATATGTACATTGTTCAGTTTTGTCCAAAAGGTCACACTGTAATAAATCCAACATCATTTGGCTTTTCTCATTGCAAATTTATTCAAGACATATCCCGTTGATTAAAACCATTTCCTTAACTCTTTGCAAGCAATCCAGCCAACACATGCTTGTGAGGGACGTCGAAAGACTTTTGGAACAACGCTAATACAAGGCGAATTGATTAACCTAATAGATTTATAGACTAATTATACACAGGATTTCTTTAAATGAAAAATAATTCCCGTCCTTGCGTAGATGGAATCTGGCCCAATACACGAAGACTGAATTCTGGATTCTGGCTCTTTATTACTGAAAGAATGAGCCTAGCAAACCTGTTTCCTCTCGTTTCTTCCTTTATTTCACAAAGCTCCCATTTGCAAGGTTGCTTTAAAAATTTTCAACAAAGACAAAAATGTCTGTCTTGTTGTCATGTGTTCATATTTTTCACTTCTTTTCCCGAATATGCTAAATGTTTAGGCAAATATAACACAAGTCACATGAAAAACGTGCTTTCTTATCTTCTACGCCATTTCATAGAAACCAACATTGCTCCAAGTAGGATTGTTGAATTCAACTCTGAAAACTGACGCTGATGCTCCAAGTCTTTCTTGTTAGGGGGGGATTGTAGCTTATTCCACCGCACTTACCAATTATAAACTTGTTCTTGCCCTTGCAAGGCAATAATGATATGATACCTTAACACGGAACACTCTAGAATGAACAGAATAGCACCACTTAAGCGTACGTTGCATCAAAAAGCAAAAAGAATCGGTACCTGTCAGTCATTAGCTGCTGGTGCAATCTTTTTACAGCATCTCTATGCCTGTCTCGTTTCCTTGCGAGATTGCTGACGGAAGATATCGCAAGCTCAACGTCGCTATCAAGTGTGACGTAATTTGGGAGGTTTGACGCATGAGCCGCATTTCGTGTCAATGAGCGAATCACTTCAGAAGATATCTTTAAAGGGTAACAAGCTGGAAAATCATTCAGCGTTTCCCAAATACGCTTTCGAGTAGCTCTCATTTGTTTCCACCTAAAAATAAATACAAATTTAATTCAACAATAGAACTGGCAGTATACGTTATCAGTACAAGGAACAGGGAGGGGGTTCAGTAGAGGGCTTGGAGAAGTGACACCCCTGTACTTTGAAATAGGGTGTGGGTAACTTTTGACTTGTCAGTAATAGTTGAAACTACGTGGAATAATTGTTTTTGCTTTGCCATTAAGTGCTGAGGGCACTGCCGTGTTACTAAATAATGCAGAAAGATTTCATTATCCAAATTCATACAGTACGTTTAAGAAATATTCAAATGAACCTATGATATATTTCTTGTTCTTTTCTACTAAATTGGAAACAAAAAAGCCCTGCCAAAGAACAATACATTTCCATCGTTGTTATTTCTCATTTCACAAAACAGTCTACCTCCTTACTTGGCTGAGCCCGTAAAGTATAGTGAAAATCCCCAAGATGTATGTGCTTCACCAATAATCCTTTGCTTATCAATAAATTTCTTCTTCTTTTTCAAAAGATTTTTCCTGTAATCATGTGAAACTTTCCGCCATTATACTTTTTCTTTTTTCGATCCTTTAAAAAGCAAAACTTTTAAAGACTCATTGCTAACAAGGAGCCTTTGCGAGGGTGGCAAATTATCCAGGCGACAATCCAAACAATGGCAGTAAACCTCTACAGATTAACCATAATTGATTTCAGACTGTCTGAAAATGCATTATGGGATGCTTGCGTAGCGCAATGGCTCGTTGTTAGCAATGAGTCTTTAAGATGCTTCTTTTGAACAAGAACAGAAACTTTTGTTTAAAAGATTTTTTAAAACTGCAAACATTCAATTCAATCTCTATCCAAAGGTTGACGAAAAATCCCCAGATAGAAGTCTACTGGAAAATATTCCACCCACGCCAAGCACAACAATGTTCTGGTGAATAATTTGAATTCAGATTATTCTTCCTTTTAAACACATTACAAATAAACAAATGAAAAAGAATCACAGTTAGCAATAAATCTCAGCCTACTTTTGAAAAATTCTTCTGCTTTTTAAGGTCAAAACCTTTTGCTTGATGGCTTCTAAATTCTGTTTCCTGAGGCTGACTTCAAATAACAAACTTTCTCGGCAAACACTTGCAGTTTCTTTCACTAAAACATTATTAAAAATTTCTCGACTGTATTCTGCACTCTCTTCTGCGACTATCTTATCAATTCTTTCCTGTCGCTCGAATCTGCAGACAAAAAAAAATTCAGATTGAAGTTGAACCGTAAATCGGCACGTGTTTATCAAATAGGAAAGAAAATACAGTTGGGTACGAAAAACTCAAGCACTGAGTGAGACCAGCAGTGATGTAAAGGTATGAGATAATGGGGTCTAAGAACTATGAAAATAAACTGTTTTGCCGTACGGGAAAAAAGGTCAGAGAATATTGTTTAATTTTGCTAGTCACCCTCGGACAAGTAGTACGTAATCAATGCAAGATAAACAAAGAATATACTGATGCTTCATTCCCGGATGGCGAACACATGAAAAAACCTTGACAAGAACATAAAATTGCTTGGGAATTCATAATGGAAGGCGTAACTGAACGCTACAATTTTTAAGGCAGTTTGCAAATGCATAAAGGAACGAACAACACCTATGAATCTATCTAAAAGGGAAACTAGTATAAATACTCGCCTTATAGCTGCAGCTGCAATCTCTGTTAGATCTCTCTCTATAACTCCCCATAAAAAGTTTTGCGATATTTCAGTCGCGGTGTGAACAATTTTCATGCGCTTTTCATGCTCCGCTTTACGTTTCTGAATCAAAAGCTCTTCTTCCACAATTTCTTTAATCTGTTTCCCTGCAACACTTCTAAATATGTCATCATAAATACTGGCAGATAATGTATCACATTGGTGTTCTCGCAAGCCATTCTCTATCAATGTCTTCAGTTCCTCCCTAATTGTAGTATTAATTACATCAACAGTGGTTTCACATGCAGTTTTGACAGCTTCCTTTACGTCATTCATAGTATGTGTACAAACCATTAGTACCTCTTGGTTGACAAGTGGGCCTAAAATACCAACACATATTTCTTGCACATCTTCGTCATCAATAACACTGTCAATAATAGCCTCTTCCTCTGTGTTGACATCTTTTCTAACATCTTCAGTCTTTTCTCTACTTTTGTAAATCCCTTCGATTGCATGTTTGTGGTAGGTTCCGTTGTAAATGCCATTTTCATCAAAACTGTTGGTTGGAGAGTAATCTAAATTTGCCGGTAGTGGCCTTCCATTTACGATCTGCAAAGAAATTTCAAATGTAAAGCTGAAAACAAACAAAATTGACGCAAAAGGGTATGTTTAAAGTTCTTGCGCCACCGTGCGCAACCCTGCCTTGCGACTATAATTCAAAAGACCGGCCTAATATCACACTGCATAAAAATACAAAACATGGTCAATTTCTCAAGACAACTGCTGCTAAGCATGTCGGTTGCGCAAGAGGCTTTAAGGTTCTTTCCTACTGCAGTGTCAAACTTACCCTTTCTATACATTCTTCTGAAAACACCTCTTTTGATACTTGAGAGAAAACACCCCCAAACTTGAGACTAATCCCCCACTAGATTTTAGTCCTACTTTTAATATCGTTTCTTGTTCCTTTTTCACGAATCAGTTTCATTAACCATTGGTCAGTGTCAAAAAAGTAATCATTCTTTCCCGGGCTAGTGAGCTAGAATTTTCAAAAAAACTTCCCAAAACAGGCCGTTGTCTCGATGTTGTGATCCAGTGTCCATTGTTGTTAATGGGTTTCCCTGTGATCGTCAGCATTGCATCCATCATTTTACTGTCTTACATAGCATGAACATTGTCAATACAGAAGGAGCTACATTTTGAAGCTAAAGGCCCGTTTAAATGATCCTACTTTTCACCTGACATTCACCCAAAGATTTTTTTCAAATGTTGGATGCACAAATACGGAGGTGTTCAAACGACCCAGCACTTTGCTCAACACTTCACACTATAATTTCTATCTTTGTACTGCCCTATTCACTCTATTCACTTCTAAATGAAAATGGCCTAACCAAGATAAGAAAATGGCCTAGCGCTTCCCTGAGATGACGTAGATTGGCCAGTCTCCTTAGATTGGTAAACATACAGATTAGTTTGACTGAATTTCTATTCCAGCAAGAGAGTGCTTGTTAAGTTACCGAAATCAAATCTTTATTCTTCTTCTGTTTTATTCAATCGAAACTTATGCTGCGAGAAGCAGTTTCAATTCCACGCTAAAATCCAATTTTTTTTACCAATATCTGAAACGCCGGAAACGAGCCAGCCTTTCTCAAAATCTGCAATCATTTTTTTAACAGTTAGGTAACAGAAAGTTCCATAGACCTTGGAAAGACTTTTGCATATTAAACGGGTGTTTGATGACATCTCAACTATTTTACTGTCTCTATATGCAGCGTATGACTGATTCTTCTTATCTTTGGTCCCTGTTTAACGTATTTTTTCAGCATCAACAAACTTCTATAAGTAGATTAACAAGGTATCATTTTTCAGTAAACAAAGAAAGTTACCTCTCCAAAAGAGCATTTCCTTTTCCTGTCAATGAATCCATTTCTCACAGGTGGAAAGCTGGAATCTGGCTCTTCATATGAAGACTTACTGAAGAAGATTAGCCCTTCGTCCAGCTGAAAGCCATAATGTTCACAAAATTCGGAGGCCTAAAAGAAGAAAATTTACCCAGCTTCAAGACTGCACGCCTGCACGCCTGCACGCCTGCACGCCTGCACGCCTGCACGCCTGCACGCCTGCACGCCTGCACGCCTGCACGCCTGCGCGCTTGAACGCTAAAATTTCCATTCAACTAAATTAATCTCTGGGATGACAAATCAAGTCTGCGCACAGACTATTATATTCCAACTATTCAAGAATTCACGATTTGGATACAAACTGATAAAAGCATGTTGCAAGTACCTCGTCTTCTTCATCAATGGCAAAGAGTCTTGCAATTTCAATCAAAGGCATTGATGCCGGCTTGTTGATGTTGCTATAGGCTTTGTTCATGATAAAAAGCCCCTTCGAACGAATCTATTTAAACGATAAAAATATTTTTAAAAGACTTCTTCAAATCTTGAGACGCTTCAGTAGAACAAAAATAATTATTGCTTGATACACACATATGATTTATCACCGTAAAGCAAATAAAACAGGCATGCACCCAGGTAATGCGTTGCAATAAAAAACGTCAGACACTTTATACCAGTGGAATATTAATATCATTTAAATTATTATCGAATCGTAATGATAAATAATGTCAGTGGAAGGACCATTACACAAAATGTTCAATACTACGACAATCTTGAACAAAGCTATTGAGACAACCCCTTAACACGCACCCGGTAGCATGCAGTTATAGTCCAACATCTTCATTCCTTCATTCCATTGAAAGTTGGGGATATGTATTTAAGTACCAGAGACATCAACATTGAAGTTTGGGGGGGGCGGGTGGAGTAGAGAGATTCAAACTCTTTAATATTTCTGGGATTGGGGGTTGGTCAGGAAATATCACTGACTAATGAGAAAATGAAATGAAATGAAAGGCATCTTTCACAGAAAATGACGTGGTTGAAGGCATTTACAAATTCCCAATGTCTGAAGGCATTTACAAATTCCCCATGTCTGAAGGCATTTACAAATTCCCGATGTCTGGCGGGGATACAAAGGCATTTGCATTTCTAGGGACTAATCATCTTGCGCCCCTTCCCAAAGGGACATAATCATCCAAACTCCAATTTTTAATTATTCTTTCTTACTAATCACAATTAAGCATATTCAATTAGTTATGAGATAAGATAATTACATTTAGTTATTTATTTGAAAGAAGAAAACATGAAAATTGAATATGAAGTACCAAAATTGAATATTCTAACTAGATAATTTGGATTAATTAGAGATGGACAAATCAAGAAATGGCTTCATAAGAAAAGAAAGTCACAAAACAAACCTGGTTGAAATATCTTTGCATGATACAAGCTGCCAGATATGACCCTTTGCTGTTGATATGAAAAAAGAAATGACAAATTTTAGGGTTACGGGAATGAAATAGCAAATTTGAAAATACTCCCTCCCAGAAATCACATTTTTTATACCAGATAGGATAATTACATCGTTCACCAGTTGATGGATTATATGTGAACATAGAAAAATGCATCTATGATGAAGCTTTGTATAAACAGAAACATTAAATAAACCGGAACGTTAAGCATTTTGAAATTGCAACAACACTCCATGTTCCAAATACCTTGACCATAAGGAAACATTTCAAGGATGGAAGGGCATTCATTCTCACAGAAAATTGGTATAAGTTACCACGATGGTGGAATAAGGAAAAGATTCATGGCAAATTTAGACATGTAGATTCATAGAATTGCTGCAAAATGGATTTTGGGACAAATTTTAACCTATGGATCTTATGTACACAGACCAATTAATCTGAATGAACAACATTTGAATCCAATGCTGTGATTGTGATAGTGCTATGAAAGAAGATTCTACTTACTTTAGCAGCTTAAAAAATCGCACGTAATTCGTGCTGTTCAATGCCTTGAAAACTTCAATAGCAAATTTAACATCTTCGGATTCTCGAACCTCTGGTCGAAACTCTGTAACCTCTCTAGAACCAAAAAGAAAAAGGCCATCTTGAGAATGGTTCAAACGTGCACGACATCTGAATGGTCTCTTCTGACCAATCAAATTAACTATAACATTTTTGCATAAGTTGCGCCCTAAAAAGTTTTTTGGAAACCAAGAAACTGATTTTCAATTTTGAAGCTGTAAAAAAAGTAAATCTAGAAAAAAGACCTACTACCGACTACAGACTGCACTTTGACACTATTTTTAAGGATGAATATTTGAAGAGGAGTGTTTTTCGATGATGAACAGGGTCACAGATGCCTCAAAGCAGGCGTCACATGACAATAGACAGTTCTTATTTGTGAGCCTGAAATAGATTCTTGAAGACAAAAAGCTCGAGCGACGTTGGATAGTCTGTTGGTTCCACAATTATCGGGTTGCTTTTTTGAAGATTTATTTTAGGTGTAGGGATCCTTCACAGCGATGCTCCATTGAAAACTTGTGAGATCAAGTTACAGCTGAAACGTAAACTTCAAAGGGAAAAACAAACGTTGAACTAGCATTGAATTACAGAAGCATGAACAAACCTTAAAATGTCGCCATTGTTTAGATTAAGAAGAATTTGGTAGCATCTAAATTCTGCTTCATATAAACAGGTTATACCCTGGGGAAAATGAAAAGTAATGTCTTAAAGCAAGGAAAAAAATAAAATAGAGTTACAAAATATTGAAACGGTCCCAAATGAACGAGACAAAATTTGAGCTCATCAGAAAATTTTAATCTGAATAACAAATAAAATCATAAAGCAAGAAAAATAATCAACTGGATTTGCAAAAATACATCTTGAATTGTAAAAAAACATCTTAAATCATAAAAATACATCTTGAATTGTAAAAAAACATCTTAAATCATAAAAATACATCTTGAATTGTAAAAAAACATCTTAAATCATAAAAATACATCTTGAATTGTAAAAATTTGCTTTTCCGCTTATATGCGCAATGTTTATGTCATTCAGATCAAACTTTATAAACCAGCGGTTTTCAATAGGAACTGTGAGTAACTGTGAGTAACTGTGAGTAACTATAAGTAACTACATCTTTCTATAAGAGAGCTGTTAGTATTCTAAATCTCTCTGTAAGCCGTAAACTAAACCAATTTAATCACGCCTTTATTAGCTCCAATCAGCTGATTCTTTTGGGGGAGGGGGCTGGTGACGGTTATTTTTACCAAAAGCAATCATTTTAACAGTTAGGTAACAGAAAGTTCCAAGGACCTTGGCAAGACCTTTGCATAGTAAACGGGTGTTTGATGACATCTCAACTATTTACTGTCTCTATATGCAGGTTATGACGGACTCTGTTTTACGTATTTTTCAGTCTTAACAAACAACTATAAGTAGATTAACAAGGTATCGTTATTATCGTCACTTAGAACAAGTTACACCGAAACTCGCAGAATTATGGTTTGAAAACTCACAGTTCCTCATACCTTTTCAGTATATAGATCTTCATACATATGTTTTAAGCTTTGGAGACACTTGGTCAGGTTTTCGTTGTTGATCTTCGGATCAAATACATTGATGTCCTCTTCGCATAAATAGTGTGAGCAGAATATATGAAACCTTGAAGACAAAAGGGTTAACTGTCATTTTGCATAAAAATAACAAAATAAGAACATTGTTCTGACAGCCATAAACAGTAGAACAGTATAACATAAACATAAACAGTATAAGTGGTACAGAATTTAGAGATTCAATTTTCAATACGACTTTGAAAACAATGAGGCGCAAAAGAAGCTGACCCTTAAGATGTTTCTCAAAAAGAATCTTGCGAACTCTGCCGAACGTACAAAACAAGAAAAATTTTCATCTGGTAATAAACGATTTTCCGCATTTACTTATTATTATATTATTACTTCATTGCATTTTGGAAATCTTAAAAGATTAAAAAAACTGCTTTCTCAATTTTGTTAAACAAGGGCACGCTGCAGTGAAAAAGCAGGTTTCATTTGACACGGAAGGGTTCACAGTGCCCAACAGGTCCTTATCGCCTATAGGTCCTGCGCTTCCAGAGAGAATCAACTTTTGCTAAATCCTAAACTATCAAGTACTCCAGAGTGTTTTATAAGAACATAAAAGAGTGGACTAGAGTTTAGAGGATGTGAGTGGGGGCTTCAAGGTCAATAGTTGACATGTAGCACGTATAGCAGTCAGAAAAAGTGATACTTCATTTGAAACTTTTGATCACCAAATGAAGACTCTTCATATTTCAAAGTTTTTTCTCTTGCAGTGCAAATAATCTTCTCTGAGATAAAGGCCTTATCTATAATGACTTGTTAGGATTTTTAAGATTGAATTGCAGAAAAAAGATCCTATAAAAGGGTTTTTAAAACATGTCGGGATCATTCTCTCTCCAGGCTTCAGTTATTAATAATATGTTGTTAGTTATCCTGTTCCACTATTTGTCGTCTTTGTGGCGCAGTAGAAAGCACTGCTGTCTCTCACCACTGTGGGTAACCATGCACTGGTTCGAGCTTTTCGAGCCTCACTCAGTGTCACATACTAATCAGAATTAAGGTGAAACAAAATAACCTTGAAACAAAAAATACGAAAACAGTGCTCATTAAAACCTCGGTCAATAATGAAGAATATTTTAAACCAATGAATGGCAATGAAATTTGTTACAAAAATAGAAACCACAGATATTGATCGAACCTTGCACATTTCTCTATCAAATCGACGCTACTTTCATCACAGAAATGCTGCTGAGTGATGTCCTGCAAATAAGAAATTAGAAAAAATTTGAAATTGTTACATAAGAAAGAGAGTAAAGGAAGGAACGAAGAGAATACGTGAAGAAGTTTTTTGTTGATGATTCGTTGTCTAAGGTTGTATAAAATTATTTGTTGCATAAGAAAAATTAGAGCGATTCATTAAAGATTAGCAAGAGAAAAATCTACCTTTCTAATTGCTCGAGTTCTATTCCATACGAAATCGTACCAGTCAGCGATGTTTTTATCGCCAGCATCCATGACATTCAACATCAAGTAGTTCATTGAAAGCTGTAGCACGTGACCAGCTCTTAACTCGTGAGGAAGTGGCTCTTCCTGAAAATTAAAATACAGTCGCAATCATAACGCCTTGTAAAACTGGTATTCCAGGAATCAGTATACAATGGCTTTCCAATATTAGGGAGAAAAATACTAGATGAGGGAGGCACTAATGCTCCGAAATGTTTTTCAAGAGATTTGAATAGCAGGTATTTAGGACCTTTGTCTTATTATTATTAGAGTGTCAAGAGACTTGATGGTGACTGTGTAAAGGATCTTTCTTCAAGGTTATGTGTAGCATCCCGCCATTGATTTAGGACATAATTAATATACTAAAACAATTGGCATACTAAAACAAACTTTGAAGCCCATTTTTACACACGCGTGTCATGTTAGAGATTGATTAGTTAAATTATTTGCTTTTAAAATAGAGCCATTTACATAGAAGGCAATTTCTGTCATGTCAATTTTTTGCTTGATTTCTGGTATCCTGCCAGTATGGGACTTCTTACATTTTACGAAAACAAAGTCGAGCGTGTTAATAAACTAAGTCATGGAGAGAACTTGATGAGGAAATTATAGATAAGAAGAGAGACTGGTAGTCCGAAATCGGTAATACGTTTATGCAAAAAAGACGCTACATGATGAAAACGTAACTTGTCAGTCTCATTCAACAGACGAAAGAGATAAAATTGAAATCAAATTGCCTGATCAGCTGATGATCTGCTGTACTCCTTGATCGTTTTCGAAAGATCAGCCAAAAGAGATTGGCCACTCATAGTTTCCTGTAAGGATGATAAACACCAACAAAAATAATACTGTGTTCATATTTGTGCCCAGATATATCAAGTTGCATTGTCAATAAAGCTGTAACTTTGTTAATAACACTATCTAAAGTTAACAGGTGTATGACACTCACTTTTCAATAAGAGTTTCAAAACTGTGCAAGAATAGGATACCATTTTAGGATACGGTGATTAAAACAAAATGATCAACCAGATGTTAAAACAGGGCTTGACAAAGCAGGTTGTGATTTGTGATTGACCAGCAAAATCTTACTTTCCACGTGAGGCTTTCCTCGTCAGGATATGTTGACGTTTAGTCAAAACAAAGTATAGCTAGATCGAAGAAATGAAAAACCATAAAACATAGCCATAACCTTTTCTGACCACTTTTGAATAGCTAATTCAAACCTGGTAATACAGAGATTGCATCATAGAACTTCTACAGAACTACTTTTAACATCCACATCATATTGTTTGAAACGAAGTTGTTAATGAGATAGGAAAATAAAATTTCTTTGCATGCACGTCTTCATTTCACAGGTTTTTGAATTTTATCAACTCTTTGGACTATTATGGTTTGAGTACAAGAAATAAAATAGTTTCATCCGGGTTATCTTTGTAGGGCAGTAGTGAACATGTCTTTTTAAAACCCATAGAAAAAATGTTTCTTTGTGGACTTAATATCTAAAAGCTGGCGCTGCAATATTTTCAGAATGTTAAGTAACCTACAGATGATTCGATGCCAGTTTTAATCTCATAAATTGCAAGCCTTTGGCGATGCTCCCTCAAATACCTCTCCTGCAAAATGATTAAAACAGTCTTTAAATCAAATTAATAAGAATGAAACGCTGATTTTCAGTAGAGAGGAAAATTGACGATGTCATTGTCATGTGCATGTATTTTTAGAATTTTTTAATTTTGATAACATGACCTACAAAAACACCAAGAAATACCTCCAAAAGTGCATAATCAGAAAAAACCTGAGTTTTGCAAGTGGTTCAATGTTATTTTGGCATAGTTCATTAGTTTTGTGACCAACCATTCTTACAGTGTTTTAATAAAAAGCATGTGCTCATATGGCCATATCCAGCTGTGACCATAACAAGGGCCATCTGCAACAAATTCAACTTATTCTAAAGATTTCGAGGTATCCCATGGTGCTCTTTTAGATTATGTGGTCAAAATTGAGAATTCTAGATTTTCATGATGACATCGGCTTGCTACTCTATTACCTAGAAATTCTAGTTATGATGTGCCACAATCTCTGATAATTACAGCAAGGGGGATGTAAAAGTCAACGCTAAACCTATAACCAATAGCAAGGTCAAATGATGGCGTTTCATCGTTTCGTTACGTCATGTGGTATTTGAGGAATCATGAAGCAAAAATACTTTGTAACCAGCCTGTTAGAGGTCATGAAGACCACTTGCATTTGATTTAAAAAACAATATTACTTTAGATCATCAGAGATACATTTATTTAAAACTTTCAAGAGGATGTGTATACATGTATCACAATTTTCAACCCGTCAACAAAGTTCCCAAAATTCAATGCCGTATCAATACCTTCTCTGGGCACATATCTGGACATGTTCCAACAACTTTCGATGCTTTTGTTATGTCCGTTTCTTTTTTCATTCCTGAAAAAAATTGTGATCAATGTAGTACTGTAGCAATTCGGTATTGTAGTATTTGTAACATTGTAATACCACTTTTGTATCTAAATACTTTATAATGTAACAACGTAGTTTTAGACATTGGTGTGTAAAAATACTAGGCTTTTCTTACAGAGAATACAAATAGCATATAAAATAATTTAATCAAATAGCAAGATACTTTTCAGTTCGAAAAATGATAAGAGGGGCCTTAACAATGCGTTCACATCGAGCAAGGCAAGGCAGCAGAGCAAAACCCATAAATGTTCGTAAAAAATTAAGGCTGTTTTCACTGTGATCGCTCAGTAAATCTGCTGGATAGCAATGCTATTAGTAAATCTAACCTTCTCTGATTTTCTGATCGATCTTTTCTAACAATTCTGCTCTTTCGTTTGCATCTCTAGCTGCTTGCATCTTCAGGCTGCTCACAAAATCAGAAATCATTTTGATGAATGCATCCTTGCGTTGTTCCAACAATCCCACCGTCCTTGTGTTGTTTGCCTAAAAACACACCCAAATACTTGTTTCAAAGAAATCCTGAAGAAATCCAGCAACAAGTCTTGAAGCCGTTTGATCAATTTATCATTTAAACACAAAATCCAGCAGTGGGATAGTATCACTCTCTTGTCATCTGAAAGCATTTCCAGATAGGCTACATATAAATTTCTTCATAAATTATACTAAAGGTATGTGTTGTTTTATGATGTTTAATGTTCAGTTACGTAAACAAATTATGCCTTACCTTAACTTCAATTGGTTTTATGTCCTTAACCAAATCGGATGTTTCAGATGACGACTTTGCTTCTGGAAAATAAGCTTATCAAATTCAGCCCAAAATTAAGTAAAGATTTTTCATTAATATTTTTACTTGAACGTTAAGAAAAACCAGCATAAAATGTGCACAAAATTATTAGAGAGCTAGAAGAGCTGATATACTTGAATATAAACTAAAATAACTCTAGTTTAAGCTTATCAAATTTCGCAAAAAAATGTCACCAATTGTGCCTAATTTAGGATCATAGATGAGGATTATTATGTGACATGTGTTATGTGACATATATTACTCTCGTATAATGTTAACAGCTCCAGTCTGAATTTGCCTAAAATTATCCGAGTCACGACGTTATAACATTTCTCTTGTCCTGTCTAAGTGAAATTTTGGCCTACCTAGTAAGTTGAAAAAATTGCTTTATCTAAAATGAAGCCTTCAAGAAATAAAGAAGTTTCTAGTTTGTGAATTATTTCTTGTAAGTAGGGTGGGACATACCCGGCAACGTTTTCCCTTTACCTAAATATTTCATTTTTGCGGCAAATATAATATATATTAGTAGCTTTAATAAAATATACATATTAGTAGCTTTTACCAGTGGGGGTTTTCGGCTTCACAGTCTTCGATTTACACCAGAAAATGTTCAGAGGTTCTGTGCCGGCTTGAAGTATAGTGCCATTTCTCTTCGCATTAGCAGCATCATCCTTAACGAATTAAAATATTCTAATGTTTGTTCATGAAACAAAGGTATTTTTGCTACAAACATATTTAAAGGTACATTGATGTACCTAAAAGAGAATGAGTCAACGATAACTTCTAAAAAACACGTCAGGTAAAAAAATACATGAAATGATATATCATTAACTGTCAAAAAACATTTGTTGACAAATTAATCTGCCAACGGAATCCAAGAAGAAAGGTCTGAGCTCATAGCATACATTCTTAGCACTTGGCCTTAAACAGTCCGTTAACGGCAGCGCCAAAGTTTGTTTGGGGATAATGTGCCCATTACTGTCAAAATATAGTCAATCTTACTCCACTTCGAGATGAACAGAAATGTATTCGATGCAGGGAGGTTTTCTCTTTCATGTGATAAAAGGACGGTTGCAAGGTTGCATCACTGAATTGATCAAAAACAGGGAGATTCTAAATATATATCAGTGGGCGTGGTTCACAAGGCTTGCCAAAAGGCTTTGCGAACTACCTCTTGCCCCATTCCGTGGCAGCTGCTGCCGCCATTGGATTAGAACATGCAATCTTTAAAGATAAAAATGATGAGAATGCTACATACATGCTTTAAGAAGGTTACAATTGCTGACATTGCTGCAGGATTGCTATGAACTCTTTTCAGCTCTCCGAATTTTGAGTAATATCTCCTTAGAAAATCTCTGTTGTTGAGTTGACTAGGGACGCCCATCAACTTCAGGGAGGTTAATTCCGTGATAAGAGAAGCATCTCGTGAAAAAACTGATGAATTGCTAGATGGCATAGGCGGTGCTGTAGACAGTGCCAATGCTGGTGTAGGCAGCGCCAATGCCTGTGTAGGCAGCGCCAATGCTTGAAAATAATAGTAAAATTGGAAATATCAAGTTGCATCAAAATACTTCATCCTAGATTGGCTACAGCATAAAAGTTTCATGATCTAGTTTCGATTTATCCTGATTCACTGGCCATTTTTCTACAAACATACAAAAGAAAACAGACATTTTAAGCAAACACAGAAATGTTGGTTGTAAAACGTTTTTCAAACTGAAAAATCTCACAGGGTCAGAGGATGGTAATGTTTCCAAATAAACATTAGCCAACACAAAAAGGTGGAAAGTAAATGGAAAATCCGCTGTTTTCACTCAATTTTTGTACCCAGATTTTTTACTTTGTGGGGAGTGCAAATTTAGAAGCAAGGTTTTTTTCTGGATAAAATCGAAAATCTGGACACGATGTAAACAAATACGATTACACAGTATAGTTCATGAAGCTCGTTTGGAGAACAGAACGAAGCATACAAACTTTAGGGGAAAACAAAGAAATGAACAAATCTGGTACTTTATGATACAACAATAAATGAATCCAACAAACCAGGTCCAGCATTTTCACCATCAAGCTTAGGTTCTCTTTGAAAGATAGGACGAAAAATATTGGATTCCACAGTGTTTGTCTTGGGAAATCCTTGCAGAGCAGCAGCGAAGGGGTTACTGCTCTGTAGAGGCGCTGCAGAAACAGCAAGTGGTTTAGTCACAAGGGCTTGCATTGGCAGCTTTAAGGTGGTCTCCTGTTTTAAGGGGGAAGAAAATGTGACTTTCTGTGGCCTTGAAAATGTATTTTCGTTGCTTCTTGTTATTCCAAGCAAAGCTTCTTTGGGCATCTGAGGAGTTGGGAACTTAATTTTGTCTAGAATTTTTAAAAAAATAAGAGATTCTGAATATACAGCCTATGTTAAATTGAGATCATTATATGAAATTTTGGGAGAAGAAAGCAACTACAAGTCATTCAATGATTCATATACCATCAATTGTCTGTGAATTGAAAGACTAAGTACAGCTGTAAATCCCAATTGCGAGCACTTTTGACATCCAAGCCAATGCTTCCTCCAAAGGGAAGCTAGACCGCCCTTAGCTAGCTTTCATACTGGACATTGTGGTGTTCCTCTCTTTAGCAAGTGCATGCAATTATGGACCATATTTTACAGGTTATTGCAACAAAATCATTGACAATAAATTGCACTGAAAACTCCAAGACTGAAAAAATAAAACTTCTAATGCAATGACAAGACAAATCTTTTGACATACCTTCCTTTCCTGTAAACTCAATTACAGCATCTTCAAGGGTAGATTTCTTCTCTACATTTAGGGGAAGGCTTTCTGCTGCATTTGGAAACACCGGACCAGACGATGCCTTACCAGTCTGCAGAGCAACAGCAAATGGATTGAAGGGATTACCAACTTGGGGCTGGCTACGGAAATTCGATGCCTGAGGTTTGGAAAACACAGGGGCTGCAGACTTTCCTGGTCAGAAAAAGTAATAAAGACATTATGTCATGGTAAAAACATTATTTTGATGCTTCAGGAGTTTGGAAAACACAGGGGCTTTCAATCGTGTCCTATTTGTGCTTTCATGAGAACTAAACTCGTGCATTGGTTATAATTGAGAGATGATATCAGAGCTGAAACATTGACATTTCCTGTAAAAATAGGCCATACAGAACTAGGATACATTGAAAAGCAACAGACAAAGAAGATAGAGCACAGATTATAGATGCAATATACTGGGCTGGAAAGTGATATTTTTGCTTTCTAAGTTTCTGCAATAAACAATTATTAAAAACTATTTAATGTCTACAGCCCAATGATTCAATATTCATTTATTGATTTTTGCCTTATATATAATTCTTACCAAAAGGTAATTGAAACAGTATACGTACCAGGTAAATTCATTGGGAGTTGATTCTCATTACCCTGAAGCAGAGGTGGAATTTCCTTTCCCTGTCCCTGGCTTTTGGTTGATAGTTTATTCCGCAAGTCTTCTCTAACCCACTTCCTTGAACCATCAGCTTTTGAAATCAAATAAAGAAATATAAAACCAATAACAATATATGAACCTCATACAAAGTTTGAAACTGATTTGCCATCATATGCATAACTTAAAGGATAATAAGGGCTACTTGCTAAAAGATCATTGCCAGCCAAAGCAGGGATAATTAAAACAAAACTAATTGCCAGTATCAACGCCATTTTAAGGCTTGCTATATAAATGTTGCTATCAAATCTATATACAAAACTAAAGAATGCAGAAAAAAGAAAAAAGAACTTTCATGGCTACTCAAGATACTCAAAATGGATACAGAAAGATTAACTAAACAGGTTAATAAGAAACAAAAATTACCAAGTATTAAATATTGTTGGAACATGATGAAATAGATTTTTTGTGTGCAGTTTAGATTTGCCCCCATAGTAGCATGGTGCCTTATGGATATAGTATTTCTAGGATAGTATAGGTTAAATTAAACAGGATATAAAAGAACTAAATATACCTCTTTCTGCAAAATTTGCAAAATATCAAGAAGTAAATGAAAAAACATCTTCAATTAACATGTAATCAAGTTGATTGAAGTAAATAAGAAAAAGATGAACTGAGACTCATACAAGAAAATTCTGAAGACTAGGCAATAAAGGTAAAAAAGACATGAGGTTCTTGAACTAATGCTAAACATGACCAAATGTCTAAATCCAAAGAAAGTATGCCATGGATGTCAAACATAATGATAAACAGAACAACCACAGGTAGATGTGTTTTCAGAACTTTCGTTTAAAATGTCCCAAGTATTTTATAAAGGCAGTGTTTATAACTACTAACTGAATTGTCTTATTTATTTTTGCTTTGTGCTTTAAAAATCAAAATCAAAGTTTATTAAACTCAAATTACTGCATGGCTTTAACATATCCTTTATATCAGCTAATGATTTCATTTTATCCTTACCTATTGTTGCTCCTAACTTGGATGGAAACCTCCTCTTCCTGTCTCCATATTCAACAGGGCTAGGCCTAGTTTTAAACTTGAATCTTCCATCTCCTTGAGGACTTGGCAGGTTTGCTCTTGCACCTTGTGAAAGTCTTCTTACTGCAAGTTTTTTCTACAAAGGAATTAATTGAAAATTGATACAGACTAATTTTGCAAATCCTGTTGAAATCAGTAAAAATTATATATACACCACTAAATGTCTGTCCTTTGTGATGACCAAACCTACCTATTGCACATATTACTCTACAGTCAAGAAAAATGCTCATTCTTCCAATTGAAAAATTCCTCAAGCTTCAAAAACCAAAATTGTCTAAAAGTAAAGAAACAAAGGTTGGGTAGGCAGCTCTGGAGTGCCCAGTAGCTGCCACAGAAGTTATGCTATTTATATCAAGGCAAATTTTATACCTTTTGGGAAGAGACAAAGATTCCAGTCTTGGTAGTGTTTCCACTGTTTGATTCTTTTCCAGGTACAAATAAACGTGGAGCTCGTTGTTGATTTGATTGACCGCGTACCATTCAGCACCAGATTCATCCCCAGATTCATCCCCAGATTCATCCCCAGATTCGAAAACTTGCTTGTACTGCTCGAAATGTATCGAAATGACAATGATTAGCAAGAAAATGTGTTATTTCCAGAGTTTCCTTTCTATTTCCACTCGATAAAAATGTTTTCTTGCCAATTTATTCTTGATGTTTTTAGCGGGCCTGGGCATGCGTATTTTCCATCCCCAGATTCATCCCCAGATTCGCGTTTTGTATAATATGGGTCTAATAACAGCATGAGAGGTGTCAAAATGACAATAATTCGAGAGAATATGCAGCAATATGCGGTTCTCCGTCAAATTCTACTAGATAAATGTCACTTTTCTACCACTTTGTTTCCAATGTTGCTTGTTGGCCTAGGCAGTATTTTTCATCCCCAGATTCGCGGCCACAGGGATACCAAACGACCACAGGGATACCATTGCCAATATTTTTGCATCCCCAGATAGGTATATCCCCAGATTCGCGTTTTGTATAATATGGGTCTAAAAACAGCATGAGACGTGTCAAAATGACAATAATTCGAGAGAATGTGTAGCAATATTACGATTGAAAATATATACGATTATAATGTTTGATTTAATTCTTTTTTAAATATTAATGTATTTTAACCAAAATGTTGATTAGTTTATGTAATTGTGATAACTAAGCCTTGTTTTATAATCAGTTTTGTATATAATTCCCAGTTTTGTTACGTTTTGTATATAATTATAATAGATACATCAGTACAAACAATTTATAATTATAATAGATACATTAATACAAGCAGTTTGAATCGTAATATTGCTACACATTCTCTCGAATTGTTGTCATTTTGACACATCTCATGCTGTTTTTAGACCCATATTATACAAAACGCGAATCTGGGGATATACCTATCTGGGGATGCAAAAATATTGGCAATGGTATCCCTGTGGTCGTTTGGTATCCCTGTGGCCGCGAATCTGGGGATGAAAAATACTGCCTAGGCCAACAAGCAACATTGGAAACAAAGTGGTAGAAAAGTGACATTTATCTAGTAGAAATTGACGGAGAACCGCATATTGCTGCATATTCTCTCGAATTATTGTCATTTTGACACCTCTCATGCTGTTATTAGACCCATATTATACAAAACGCGAATCTGGGGATGAATCTGGGGATGGAAAATACGCATGCCTAGGCCCGCTAAAAACATCAAGAATAAATTGGCAAGAAAAAATTTTTATCGAGTGGAAATAGAAAGGAAACTCTGGAAATAACATATTTTCTTGCTAATCATTGTCATTTCGATACATTTCGAGCAGTACAAGCAAGTTTTCGAATCTGGGGATGAATCTGGGGATGAATCTGGGGATGAATCTGGTGCTGAATGGTACGCGGTATTTGATTGATAATAAAAAAATTATGATCTTGCTTATAATGTTTTCTACCTTAAAGATCAATGATTTCAAGAATTGAAACGCAACGAAAATGCTTATAAAACTTCCAAACCTAATCTACATTCAATCAAACTTACCTTTTGTACTTCAAATCTTCGCGAGGTACTCATACTGCAACTACTTCGTTGTTTTACAGGAAGGCGCCATTACTGTTAAATGCAGCAACAACTACATTTTAAGGTGGTAACTTGAAGAACACAGGTTTGCCGCTGCGGCCCTGGTCTTTTTCCTGCACAGGTAGACCGAATGAAGATATATTTTCAGGTGTCATGTTTTCAGAATTTAGTTCCAGGACAAGTGTTTTTAGAATTTTATTCCGGGACAGGGTCATAAAATTTTTTTGGCGGGCACATCCCCGTCATTTTTCTTAAAGGTAAGCTCCCGGGCTTCAGTATAAGTCTCAGCTTGCGATCCTGTTGCATTTCATATATACGAGTGGTTACTTTTTCAGCCACAGCACGTTTTGCCATTGCAACCGCATCTTTGCGCTTTATTTCACTGAGTCTTGCGTTTTTTTCGATTATGTTTGCGCGGTTCTGCGGATTTTGGACCCACTATCATAGGCCTTCAATAATCTCTAGTGTGGTACCCCAGCCAGTGTAGCCTGCACCGCAGACCCACAGCCAGTGTATGTAGCTGTGTCTTGAAATGCTTGAAAACGTTCAAGAATGTGGGTCGCATTTTTTCAGGGGAATTTTGAGATTATTTGGTAGCATAGACCGTCCTTGTGCAATTATAGTGGAAAATTAAAAACGCTATTATTCAAACAACAAATTATTCTAAAGAGAAAATTTTCATCCAGTTTAATAACTTTGTCACAATGATCAATATGAACGAGCCTTCATAAAGGTGAAAAATTGTCAAAAATCTGGGGGAAGGTTGTGATGCAAAAGTTAATTCAAATTTGACCCAAATCCTAAAAAGTCAAGTTTATTTAGAAAATGAGCAGTTTAGAGACAAAATAACAAGATACAACAAAGAAAGAATTTAAAGTTCAGAGTGTCACAAACTCTTGGCTTCCTTTATCAAATAAATCTTCTTTTTCAAACATATTCTTTTCCTCACAATTACAAACAAATCATGCAAGTCTTTGTCGCTTGTCAACAATTATTGACAATTTTGAAGATGTAAAGGGCCAATCAAGATCAGCCTTCTCTGATTAAACACCTACAGTAGGGTACAAAATATTGCTTGGCGTTTCAGTTCAAATTTTCAAGATGCGTCCTAGATGTCTTGCTTGAAGTGCCATTTTTCCGGCAAGCAAAACTCTTATTCTTCATCTTTCTCGTGCTCTGTGACAAATGTTTTGCATCGCTTCACATACAGCTTGGCGTAAGAAGACCTCCAGTGGCATGTGTCGATTCCCAATCGATAACCAGAACCGGTCTTTAGGCCTGTGAGATAAGAAATTCGACGTAATACAAAAACTTGGCACGGGCATTTAACAAATACGAGCGTCTTTCAAGTAAAGTGCACCTTGTTCCAAAATGATAAATAAAATTGTTAGAAATAGTTCATCACTGAATCAATTATATTTTTTGGAGTCATAAATTGTTCCTCTTTACAAAATTGAGTATAGTTTACTCAAATATGGAAGGTAAAGATTTAAATGCAAACGTATCTCCCTATGGCATGAACCTAATTCTAAAAGACAAAGCTAGCTTTGTGAGAATTCCAACAAATACGATCATATAAGTCAACGGGTTATACGCGGAAAAAATTAGCCTATGTTTAAAAGGAAGATTAAAAAAAACCAAAGTCATCAGCAGGTAGTCGCTGCTTTATTGATTATAAAGTACCTTAAGCAGGGCAACATACTTATCTGAATCAGATTCTAGCTAATCAAGAATGGAAACACGACATATTCTAATCTCAGTGCTCGCAAGAAATGACTTTTTCCAAGAAATTAAGAATCTCATTGGCATAAACAGCTGGGTTACGATGAGCCTTATCTTATTAAAGCAAAAATGTAATGTAAATGTTTGATAACATTGAATTAAGTATTGATGCTTAATGCGCTTAATGCTCTCATCAGGTGACTGTAGTATCAAACTTTTATTAATTCAAGGAAAGTAAAAGAAAAGAGATGGCCAGAATATGCTTAATTTCCTAACCACCACTGATATCCACATGTCAATAGCTCAAGTCGATAGCCTACTTTGGATAAGGACATCCTCTATACAAGCAGGCGATTTTCAGTTTCAACTAAAAAAAATGTTGGCCAGCATGGGTTGGCATTTATAGGCTATCTCTTGCATATCGCATGAATTTAGCATAGACATGGCAAAAAACGTTCTAACCACCATTCTACAGATCTGTAATTAAGATATTTTGGGTCTAAAAGAAATAATTATTTGTTGATGAAGACTTATTCACTAGGGCGAAAGCAAGAGATTCAGATATAAATTTCCATCTAGACAATACCAGATTATTACATTTTGAAAGCACGAGAGAAAATACCATAGCAAAAATGTTTCCACTAACATTGTCTGACTTTCTTGCTGCCATGAAGTATTTTCTTAGCACGAATACAACCCTATAGATTTCATATTTGCAACTACTTAGCAGATATTATCAACGTCAGATCACCAATAAAAGTCTTTTCCAACAAAACACAAGTAAAATAAAACGTAGCTTGAGACTAGCATGTAAAAAAATTTCATAAAGGATACCACGAAAGCACAAGTCTCCCAAACTACGCTGAACAAGCACAAAATTTAAACTATGCTGAACAAAAACAAAATTAAAAAATGATGGGATGTCTCGCTGTTTTCAACTGAGTTAATTTATTCCAGAGCAAATGAGTCTTTACAGAGTTACAGAAATACTTTCAAACAACGAAACCGAGGTTATAGAAAACCGAGAATTTGCAATGAGCCGTTAGACGAATAAAACGTGTTATATAAACATCCGCGTACACATGTCAACAATGATTATATACATTTAAAGAAACAACAATTACTTACAGAGAAAAATTGATAAGACAATTATCTTCATTTTCTCGATTCCCGGTTCTTTTCAGGAATCCACCGCCTCAGAAGAGTTTCCTAACATGAATAAAAGCTTTAGTATTATTTGAAAATACCCAATTTAACCAAGTGAAGTGTAGCGAAATGAAAATATTCAACTAAAAGTACCCCTGGTAACGTAAAACAAATTTTTTGGAAAATATGTTCTTGATTGACAATACCGCGTTCAAGCTCTATTAACCCCCTCTCTTTTCAGCCTCCTCTCTATTAAGCCCCCCTTATCAAGCAAAACTTAAAATAAGGGGACATTATAATTGATTGATTGTAAGAAACTTTCGAAGCTGCTAGCAAGTCTTTTTGAGTACACTTGTATGACATTTTCATAACAAAAAATGAATAAGGGCATTTTTAAACATTTTAACAATGAATTGTTGATAAACCCCCCTCTCTAATAAGCCCCCTCTTCTTAGCCCCCTCTAGGATAAATAAGTAAGCCCCCGGGGGCTTAATAGAGCTTTTACGGTAAGCAAACAATTTTCGCTAACTGATGTTAAAAGGCATGGAAGCAGTTTCATGAAATTTGCGCAAGAAAACAAAAAACTTGTAGTGCAGTCCCACCTGAATCTCTAATTTTCTCAGACATTGCGGAGTAGTCAGTTCTTTTTTTGTAAGGCCTATCAAGAAAAATGCATCTTTGATGAAAAGGGAAAGAAATAATTTGGAATGAAATTCAAGGTGTCTAGAGCATTTGTTCAAAGTATAAAAATTAAATAGACATCGTGGCAAGGCAGGGGAGTATTTGGACAATCTGCACTTTTACTGAAGGGCAAAATTTGAATGAAATAAAATAATTTAGCTTAAACCGCAAAAATGTTAGAATTGAGGCTACGGTGTCAAGTATCATGACAGTTATATAGATCGACGTATTGAAAGACTATGCTGTCGTTAATTCAAAACATTCTAAAAAATTAACTGCAATGACATGAACAGCAAACAGATAAATGCATTAATTTTGACATCATTCATGAAAGATTCAAACTAAATGAAAGACGTTATCTGTTTCAGCCTATAGTCGTTTGATAGAAAGGGGAATACGTCACCTTTAGGCTTTACGACAAAAGCAATGAGGACCTCCTTTAAAAGCAAGAAAAAGATTATAAGCATTTCATAACTGAGGCAAAATTTTCTGAAGATTGAAAAAATGGTATGGGTAAATTCAAAATACGTTGCTAATAACACTTTAACCGCCAGAAAGTATTAAAATAAGGACGCATAGAGAAAATGAAGTATCATTTATATTGGTATTTGTATTTGTTTCTACCTAGCATCCAAAGGTAGTTTTTAAGGACACTGAGAAGCTTATGCGTATCGAGCAGTGTCCTGGTCCTTCCTCTCGATGTGACCATATCTCGTGATTCCTACGCCTGGAATTACAGAGAGCTGGCGACTCTCTTCACTCTGGTAAAAAGTTTGGTTATGCCAGGGACTCGAACCACGGAACCTTGGGTCCGTAGCCAGCGCCCCTAACAACTGAGCCGTCATTACATAGAGGAGAGAAGAATAATGGTCAGAAAACTGCTTAACTACAAACCTCTTGACAGAAAAACAAACGTTGACCACGTCTTGACAAATGTTGAATGCTTGATCTTTTTGGTTGTTTTTCTTAAGCTATCCATTTGATCCAGTAAATGGGTCACAATACCCTAGAGTCACTGTTCCTGTTAATCTTAATTACCATTGGTTAATTTCCTCTATTTGACACCATGCAGCTTATTCTATAAACAGTAAAATCTAAATAGAACTCAACTTATGTTTCAGGTATCGTCGAATTCAAGTTTATTGCTTAATATATACAAATCTTTAAAGTGAATCTTGTCCTTTTCTTTTATCAGTCGAACCTGACTGGCTCAACAGTTATGGCCAGTGAAATCTCGAAAGGTTTGTTATTCTTAGGTTATGCCTTTTCGGTGTAAAGTATTATTTCAAGAAAGTTGGGTTGAAGCTATGATGCTTATAAATGACAGTAAGACAAAATAATGATTATTATGTTAATGGTTACCAACTTACCTTTGCAACACGTTCAGCCACTCTGTTCATGCAAGTAAGATATGACCAAGTCCACGGTAATGACTCCAAAGATGCACCTACTTTGTCATCATCAACAAGATATGCCAACACAGCATAACTATAACAAGATAAAAATTTTGTCATTGTCTAATGTTTACTTTTTATTCATATATAGTCTACATTGTAGCTTTGCATGAATTATGACATTCAGGAGTTGTCAGTGCATTGATAGTAGGCTGCTGCATGAAACTATGTAAAGATCTTTTTTGATAAAAACATTTCTAGTAATGAAACATGATCTTTTTTCTCTTTTTACTTTGCAACAAGACCGAAGCCAGCACAAAACGGTCCCCATCAAATAATGTATTGAAACATATTCAGCAAGTTTTCAAAAATTTACACTGTATTCCCCCATCTATATTGCTGCAGGGACTGGATCTGGCTGTAACGATGTCAAAAACATTAATAGCTTGTTGTTCCAATTTTGTGTTGTAAATTCGCAAAAATTTCTAATTTAAAGCTTTATTTACAGTTTTATTAAATATGATATGCAATGAAAAATTTTAATCACTTACCTGGAATGGTAGTAAGGCATTCCATCTTTATAAAGCACTAGAAATGTGAAGATGCTTCACAATACACAAGATTTGTACAAAGCAAAACAGGAAAATAAAGAAATATATGCTTAAAGGCTATGAGTCAATAAAATAAAAACATCCTCGCTGAGGTCATTTGATTTTCATGTGGGCTTCTGAAGGCTTTGTACAGTGGGCTTCTCTTAGAGCATCTTGGCTTAAATAAAGTAATATGTAAAACCATCCAGTTAAGCTCTGTTTACAGTCATACTCTGCTTACAGCCACAAGCACTTCACAGTAGTATTTTCTGTGACAGTAAGGTTCATTTGTATTCTTAAAGTTTACCTATTTCTATCAAAATGATTTATTATAGTCACATGAGTCTAACTCTATAAGATTCTTAAATCTAAACAAATTTAAAATGTTGATGTAAGTTTTTTAATGTCAAAATAAAATTAAACTTACAGAAATCAGAGCCATAAATAAGACCATCACGAACAACCCATCCCAAACTTCGAAAATAATGATAGGCAGCATAAGTCTCCAGAAACCTTGCCTTTAGGTGACAAAATTTTCTCCACATTTCAACCAATGGCAGCTCTTTCTGCAATGATATATTAATCTCTATTACAAGATACAATCAATAAAAACCAAAAAATTGACTTGTTATCATATAGCCTACAAAACTCTTCTATCAGGCATTTTCCATAATTCAATCAACCTTGAGTTTTTTGTTATGACCAAAGGCAGTTCAATTTCTATGACAAGAAAATAAAAGAGGTGAACAAAGTATCAACTTGTTATCACAAAGCCTGCAAAGGCAATTTAAAATAAAGAAATTCATTTTTATGAAATAATTGAACATATACTTCTATCCAACTGATCAAGAAAAAGTGTTGACTATGCAAAAAATTATGCAATCATAATCAAATATAAACACTTGTAAACAGAATTAAGCATTAACTGTAATGAAAATATATCAAACCATAAAGCTATTGATACCTCATCTTCATCTTTAACAGTAAGACAACCTAAACCAAAAGCCAAGAAATATGCCTAAAATTATAACAAAACTTTAGGGATAATTATGCACACTTAACAGAGGGATATATCTGTAAAATTGTGTAAAAATTAATTTCACTGGCATATCATGAAGAAATCCTTTTGCAGACATCCTGAAAAGATTAAATATTGTTGGTTTTCTCTGACCTAGATATAATAACTTTAATCAGAGAAAATCCTATCATTCTAAAAATTGTTATATTGGAAGTCAATAATAGAGAGGGCTGACCAACAATGTGCTGTCAAAAAGCCAAACTGGAGCTACAATTGCTGCCATCAACTTCAGCTAAGATTAAGATATAAAATTTTCTTCCCAAAAACTTATGAAAATGTAGCAGCACAATAAAAATTGAAAGATGCTTAAAACGCACAACAAATGATGTAAGTAGCCTACATTGCAGAATGCAGCAATCACCTGAAAACCTCAAAATTCACAAGCAAAAAAAATGCAAAGCCTAAACAAAACTTTTGCCTTTCTTGCTGTAATATATTGATGGGAAAATATACTGTTTCTGTTAATTTAGAGAGTTTGATTCAGAAGTTTGAATGTAAAGATGATTTAAATGTCTAAAAAAGATTATACAAAACCTCTTCAAGAGATAATTGTAAGAATTCATCTACTTGATAAAGATCTTCTAGCTTGGCTTGCTTTTCAGGAACCTCCTCCTTTCAATTTCAAACAGATTTATCACATGCATAACAGCAGAAACATAAACATATTGAACTCAAAGAGGGTTCAATACAGGAGAAAATACAAAGAAATTGCAGATTGTTTTCATACAGCCACTTCCACTGGCTCTCATGCATATTTTTTAGCTCTAGCATGGAAATTGTTTAGGCATTCATCACTATGTAACTGCAATTGTTAATGAACAAATGTTGACAAACCTCCATAGACTTCTCCTCAGAGGACCATTCTTTGTGCTGTCTGCACCTACATTTGAAAACAGAGTGATTATAGATACCAAACAGGCTCTTTCTACTTGATCCAGTGCAAATTCATACACACACCAAACAGATCGATTAAAAAGAAACAGAAAAAAGAAATGGAAATACCTTTCAGTGTGAATTTCATTGAACCATGCCTCCCTTTGTTCTTTTTCTTTGCTGGTGACTAAAGATTACTTCTTTAATGGGATGACTATCTATTATTTTTTCACTTATAGACCTTGATCAAAACACCCTTGAGAAAGCATGTTTTCTAAGGGGCCAGACATAAAAAGGAATAAGTCATATGAAATATAGACAGATTGAATATGTGCAAATTGTAACAACATAGATGGAAAGTTAATTGAAATAAATTTGGGAAAATGTATTTCATTTTCAGTGATGGAAATTTTAATGCTTCCTTTGAATCACTTTTAAGCTATGCAATAACCTACAATGCATGGAAACTCAGAATAGTTAAAACAATTTCGTCATTCCATATAACACCCTTTAAATGAATGATCCTTGCAGTTTATGTCATTTAATATTTATAAATATATGTTATCATATTAGTTGCTTGTATCAAAAGATAATTTCTTGTAGATCAGTTATTGTTTCATTGTTGGATTTATTAAATTATATGTAGTTGAAATTCACACGATAAAACTTAGCTTAACTGAACTGTAATGAACTTACTTACATTTCCCTTTCCCCGATCTAATCATTTGTTTCTTGCTGCGGTCATCGAACGTATTGTGAAACTTGTTGAACTGCGGCTCACTCTGTGACAAGTTTCCTTTGCCGAAAAAACCCTAGATGTTAAGGCTAAAGTCATTATCTGCAATATTTAAAAACGAAAAAAAAACAGAATTGTTAATAATTATTTATTTAGGCCTTACCATCTTATACAGAAAAGTCATGTCTCCAAGACCACTAACAACAACACTGTCACCTTTCAATGTTCCAAAATAATGGTACCAACGACTCGGGTTAGCTGGCTTTCCAGTAAGAGTTGCGATCGGAACGGGGAACGGTGCATCACGTTGAATATTTTTTGAATTTTTCTTTGGTTTTGGCTTTCGTACATCATCTTCGCGAGAAGCCATTTCCAATCATCCTCGATTTCATACAGGAACGCCTCCTAAGTATCGAAAAGCGAACTAGTGACGGGGGGCGGGGCAATTAATTTACAGAGGCCAACACAAACTTAGATCGCAAAAATATAATTTCGATGTTTAAAAAAATTGAAAATTTCAACGATAGATTTTGGAAAATATTTGATGAAAATACACTCTGACATTTTCTTTATCTGTGAGTTTTCAAAAGGATTTCTGTTGCAAATTCAGTTTCACTATAATTTCACTGGTTCCCCCTGAACTCATTTTCGGCGCTACATTTTGCGCACGAAATTCGAAAACAGTTATGGCAGGGACGAAGAATTTGATTGTACGGTATGTCAATAAAGCATCGAATTTATATCTACAGCAAATATTTAAAAGCCTGCTCTATTTTAAACCCTCGAGAAACATTTAGTAGAAGCCAGACCGGATGCCTCTATGACTGAAGTCAATCTGTGATATCATGATCTCATTGGTCAGAAATTTTCTTGTCATAGGCCTATATTAAAATAATTTCAGATCTACCTAGCTAGAGCCTAAACAAATTAAAATCAAATTAAAGTAGTTTCAGAGCTAGAGCCTAACTTTTTTTACCTAATAAATATGTCAACTTTGGTTTAAAAGAAAAAGGAAGGAGGTTCTTAAATTTGCATTTTTGCGCATAGCATAAGATTAGGCTCAAACATAAAGTCTTGTGTTGGTAAAATACATCAATTTTGCCAAGAAACAAGAACCTACGTTGTGTATTCAAGTTTCTTAAGTTTTACACGTGGAAAGAAGATGTTATTCAATGCTGGAAGAAAATTTCAATTACCTATTATCTGTTTATCTTTTTTGTATATTTTTGCATTTATGGAAGAAGAGTCATTTGAGATTGGTTTTGAAAAATCCCCAAGCCATTGAAGAATTTTCATTGTTTGCACCTAGAATTTTTATGCCAATCAACCAACACAATGACTGAAAATCTTGACATTTGAGAGTCCTGCATTTTTCCTCAAAATTCAGTGCTTTTCATGTATAAAATGGCCCCAAGGAGGCCACCACCACGTGTAACAACACAACACCATACTCTGTGTGCATGTTTCAGGCACCACAGAGCAGGAGGGGCTGGGGGGAGGAGGGCTTTAGGACAATATTAAGAGAAGAACCATCAGTAAAGCCTCTTTCTATTTGGCTTTTGTCCCCTTGTAAAAAAGGTATTGATAATCTAAATGATCCAATTATTATAGCATCAATTTTAATTAAGTCTTAATGAAAATTTTTGTTTAGACAATAATCATAGTTATGTTTTCTTTCTTCTTAGATAACATCCTACCTTTACAAGATGACAACTGGAGACATAAAAAATAACTTACAAAAGCTAGTCAGTGAATTGAAAGGCATATCATATGACATTGCCACCATTGATTTTGATGCTTTGGTTCATGGAATACCATCAGCCTTTTTACCAATGATTCATTATACTTTCCTTGATTACTCACCTCACCTAGCATCCTATCTGGCTAAAAGAAACTATGATCTCTATGTAAGAACAGATCTTCGGTTTGTAGAAACTGTCTTTAAGATACTAATGAAAGAATTTTCGTATAAGCCCAATTTAAAAAAAGAGCAATTTCTGGCACTTGGATTTGCAGAGAGAAAGATAATCTTTGTGACTGACATGGTCAGATTTTGTCGAGAGAAAACAAAGCTGATATCTTCTAAAAAGAACAAAACAACAAAGAGCTCAAAGTCTCTGTCTCAAAGTAGGTTTGGTCATCCAGATCAAAATTTTCATGCCATAAATTCTTCTTCTAGCAGCCAAACACACTCTGTTACATCTGCACAGAATATAGAGAATGAATCACAAACAATTCCTGATAGGGAAATAAACCAAAGTAAACTAGTAATGTCTGAAATGCTGAAGCCAGAAACAACCTTGAATATGCCAATGCCATATCCAGCTCAGTTTGCCTTTTCTGAACAAATATCCCCAAAGACTAAAATTCCACAACCTTCAGATTCACTTCTTGTTACACCAATAAAGGATATAGAAATAATTTCTGATAAAGATTCAAATTCAGAATCTGTTCCAAGAAAAAGTAGAGCTGACATTATTGATGTTGATGACAATGGACCAAAGACATTTAAAGTTATTAGCCACCTTTTTAATCAAAGTGAGACTGATGGAACATTGTTTGAATCTAGTTTTGGAGATGGAAAAGATAGTAATTCTGATCATATACATGTCCTTAAAGCTATGGATATACAGGATGAATCTATAACAAATAAAAACCTAGTACAGAAAAGTACAAATATGGATGCAAAAAATAATTCTTGTGCAGTACAACACAGCTGTGAGTGCAAAATGAATGAATCTCTTGCAAAGGACCTCCAAGAACAAGTTCAGATTCTTTCAAAAAGTCTTAAAGATGTTATTGCAATGAACAATGATCTGTCTGCCAGGGTAGTTTTGTTAGAAACTCAGTGTAGACTTATGGAAGGTAGTATCGAGGTCATGGCCTCAAGGCTTGATAAAGAACAGGAAGAAGGTATACAAAAAACATTTGGGCACAAAACAAGAGCAGTTAAACTAAGAAATCAAAAAAGGGGTCAAGGGCACCTTAGTTCTGTTGATCCTCAGCCAGATGAAATAAATCTTGAATATTCCCCGGATAAATATACAGATATTGATAACACTTTACCTGCTGATTTTCAACCATTAACAATAAGCGATGAGGAAGATGTTACTTCATTTGAACCAAAAAGGAATGACAATAAAGATGAAGCCAATGAGATTCTTGATGATCAAATTGAAAACATACATGCACCATCAGGTCAGACAGGTGCTTATGATAAAGATTCTGACAAAGATCAACCTGCCTTGAGTCCTTTACATGAAACAGAGTTCTCGTTTATGGAAGAAGGAACAAAAACAACAGTCAGGAACTTACAGAAGCGGCTAGAAGAAACTATGAACTTATTCAAATTATCATCTACAACAATAATAGTGGAAAACCAATCTTAGGCTTTAACACAGAGACATGTAACAAGACAGAAGATATATTCTAAAATATCTGTAAAAATCCATAAAAATCCTGTTCTAGGAAGAGATATGCAATAAAACCAATTTTGTGATGCTCGTTAGAATTCTTTTTTAAAAGCAAAAGTTTGAAAAACAGACTAAAGATACCAAACTGAAAATTGCTGACACAGTTTATCATGTCTCAATTTTCAATATTCAATACTAAACAAGTATATAATATTATTTCTTCCAATTAATCAATAAGGCACAATTTTTATCCATTACAGAATAGACCATCTCCTAGTTCACAACGTCATGATTGTTTGATAGGTAGTTCAAAACACTTAGGTGGGGGCATAGAGGCTGCTCTTCCATCATTTTGGTCTTAAAACTTCTTTAGAATAGAGAAAAAGGTTCTTTTAGGACGAAAATGTGAATTTTGTTGATTGTTTGAGGTAAAGAATAAATTACGAGTCTTACATTGATATAGCCTGACATTGCATTTATTGCAGCTTTTACCCATTTGTATCATGTCATCGCAAACTCTGAGATGGTCACCAAATAAAAACGTTTGCATAAATTTCATTTTGTACCACTTAAATTTACTGAAAAAATCATTGATAGATTGGCTGGGAAATCAAAACATGCTTGGTTCAGTAAATTCAATACAGATAGCAATTTATTAAATAAAACTAAATATTAAAATAAACAAATACCAAAATCACACTCAATAACTTCTGATCAAAATAATGTCCTGGTATGTATTCCATCATTATTTTAAACTAGTCTTGCATTATCAAACTCTAATTTCTATAGATCTCTAACAAGAATCTAATGACTCAATACAACAACCAAAGAACTCTGGGATTTGGTCTACTAAAATTGATTATATGGCTTGACCTTTAGGACATGCAAATGATAAATTGAAGGTTTTGATCATTGTCAAAATTGATTACTGAGCTGAGATGCAAAATTTTTCCATTACCTTGCTGAAACAACTAACAAGGGCAAGTCAAAACCTAGATTTAACTACTCGAGAAGATAACATAAACTACATGTCAAAGAGTAATAAAGGGGGAATCTTTTCCAGGAATCATTTCTGAAGAGTTTATAATTCCACGGCTTCTAAAACAGGCTGTATATTTTGATAGCTGGACCTTGATCAACAAGCATCTGAGATGCAGCTCAAGACACTTTTATGGCAAAATTGATTGGCATTGGAACACAGGATTTTGAATACCCTCAATTACCAGGGTTTGGATCCCCTAAAACCTGCTATGAGACAGGATCACCACAGAAGGTCCAGTCTTTAGTTCTAAGCCACAATGTATGTATGTGACATGTACTAACATAATGTTAGCTGCATGTCTACCTGTTGATAAAAAATTTAAACCCTGCTGAAATAAATAACAATACACATTGTCAGTGGTGTCAAGCCATTTTTGTAGTTGAGACTGATTACGAGGAAGATGCCTCAAAAGTAATCTTTTGCAGTAAATCAATGCTTCTTTTCTGCAACACACTTGCTGCTGTAAATCCCAAGTATTCTGTATATAACACTCATGGATTTCCCACAAAGTTGTTTTTGAAAAATGTGGAACAGAAGAAGGATGATGTTTTGGCTGTAATTCTTCTAATTTAAATTCCCAAGATTGACATCTTTGGCTAGTAGATATCAGGACTGTCAGACCAATTTCGCTCAAAATATTTATTTTTGTAAATCCAGTCTTCCTTCCCTGTCCATTTATTGATTTCAAATTCAAACCATCTAAAGAAAAAAAAGGAATTTGTTAGATATCCATTTTTTTGAGCACTACTTTGAATTGATGATGGCTGTCTGATTTTTTAAGGTTACGGTAAACAATATTTGGTTTTCTCTCCCTAAAAGCCAAACTATTAATGAAATCAGATTAAGCTATACATCATTTGATGCACAAGAATGTGGCGATTCCAACCATATCAAAATAATTGGCAAATATTGCTTAATTTCATGGCTTTTTTTCAAAGCCATGTTAATTTTTATACCACCAAAAGATTGTTGGCAAAGATTATATTGCAAAAATGCAAAAAATTAGCCTTAGTCTTATAACATGTTTGATTTCAAGCTGCTTGGATAAGGCTAGTAATGCTGGAACAATTCTACTTTTTAAAGACAGTATTGTGAAATAAAATTCTTAGTCTCTTTGAACAAAACTTGTTTCAAAACCTGTTTTTCACATGGCTTATAATGACTCAAACTACCAACTGATTGCAATGGATTGACAATTTTGTACACAAACACATAGCCTCTTAATTTGGTGTAGTACTTGATTAACCCCAATACATGTTAATACCAAACCCCATCTACCTGGTTCTCCATTTCTCTTCTTTCTGATGTCGATCTCTCCTTGATGCCCTTTGTTTTTCTTCTAATCGAAATTTCTCGTCAGCTGCTAAGTCTGTAAGGGAAAATACCCAAAGTTTTACAACAGAAATCAGGCCTTTTTGTAAGAAATAGCTCATAGAGTGGCCCAGCGCTTGCGAGAGTTTCCTTGCAAGAGCAATCGCTCTAAAAATGATAAATAATAATCAACCATGCTACAAGGGTCTGTAATGTTTACACAAACTGTATAATCCTGTTAGAATATACTTTTGTGTAAGGTAATATAAAATGAAAATAAATGGTTATGATAATCTTTAATGTACTCCAAGAAATAATAAATACCCAATATAAATGTGCTTTGTTTATAAATGTATGTACATCCTGAGGGTTATATGGACGTTGTTGCCCAGACAATTTTCCAAGGGCAAAGGTAGTTCAAATACCAAGTGCCTTTAGTATGCCTAAACATTTGAGTGGAATCAAATTACAATTGGATTTTTTCATCGAAATTTGGTTAATTCAGCTTACTATTTCAGATAGTGCTTTTATAGACCATCTTTGCATCATCTATTTGACTTGCTTAAGTCACAAAAGATGAATGGAAATGTGGTACTTGTATTTATTCCTCACAGTTTTGCGCTAGTAATCAAATCGTGCATGGTGGGGTTTGTGCGAAGGCTGATTGCGAAACGAATAGGCCTGAGAAATCAGGAAAATTGCAAAACTACATGACAGAGAATCAATACAAATCTTAAAAAAAGAATAGAAGATCACCACAGTTTTATACACAGACGTCAAAAGTAAACATGCTATTTAGGTTGTAAAATCCATGTGATTTGATGTTTAAGGGAATGAAATGTGATAACATGTTATCAGCAATGAAATAGGCAGAGTAAGAATCTAACTTCAGTGGGACATGCAAAAACCGTTTTTAAGAAGTTATAGACAAAGTTTGGATACATTGTTCATTGCTTCTTTTATAAGAGACAAGATCTTAAAAAAATAATTACCTATATCCCCATTTTCTAATGCTTTAATATCTGGTCTAAATCTGCAGTCTGTTGGTGCAATCTGGAACGAAATAAAATTGAACTTAAAAAACTTACAAGAAACAAAAACAAAACAAAACCTCTTAGCAAAGGTGCTAACAGTGCAGCTCAGACTGTGATTTGTTTCCGAAAACATGGTTGACAGCAAAGATCTGGTAAAGGACGGTTGGAGTCTATTCAGAAAAGTTCTTGAAGCTCACCTCCAAATCATAATTGAAGGGAAAAATTGACCATGCCAAGAATAATTGTTGGCCTAACTGCTTCAAGTAAGCCAAAAAAATTTTCTGATTTTGCCGGTTAGGGTTGATCTGATTTTAAGGGTTATCAAAGGCAAGCTATTTTACCAGTATGAAATTGCGAGGTCTGTACATGCCAAATGGAATTATTGTCATTGAAGGGTAAAACACAACTATGATAAATAAATGGGAACAAGCACATCACATTTGAACTGTAATAAACTCAAGCTGTTTTTGTATTCCCCTTGAACTTTTACTTATACTTTCACAAGCACCTGATAACTTAAACATTCGTAGATAGCATAGCTCTGGACTAATTTTTGAGGTTCCCTTGGATTTCTGAGTTATCAAGATTATACTGTATATAAAATACTGCTTTCAGACGATCAAACTTTTGGACAAATCAAACTTTTAAACAATAGAATAAGTTATAAGGCATTGGGAAAAAACATGGTAAACGACGGTAAGCTTTTTTACAAAAAATTAATATTTGTTCCAGTGTTAGAAGTTTCTTGATATTCTCAGATCCTTAGCATTAAAAGTTTCTTAAGTGTATTTTTTAAATCTTTCAAAACAGCCCTCTTAAAATCTTGTTGCTCTAGATGCTATGACTTTCCAAGGCTAGTTTATTTTTGTGTGGTGCAAAGATCATGATGTAATTTTTATGATGCTTATGAATGCCGGATTAACTATGTGTCAAATTCTTTACAATGCGAGGGATAATTCTAAACTCTGAATATTCGAATCTTTCCTCAGTTATTCTTATTGCTCTTAGTTTTTCTGTTACACCTTAAAGTAAGTTTAAGAAGCCCATGATTGTCCAATGACAACTGTTTGTCCGAACTTCTTGATAATGTGCCCGCCTTTTCCAAAATTGCTTCCCTGAAATATTTCTGTTTCCTAAAATTTTCAACTTTAAATGAAGGCAATAACACAACAGCTTACAGTGGTCTTATGCTCTGTTCGTAATTCGTTCAGTGACATTGCAAATTCAGTCATATTGTACATCTAAAACGAAGAATAAAATGTTTATCGACAACAACGCAAAAACTACAGCAGCAAATAGAAATCGCAGATAACCTAAAATCTTAGCCACGACTGTTGAGATAAATGCTAAAAACATGAAATACAGCATGCATGGTTAGTCTAACAACTACCTCATTCAAAATTGGATACATGCAGCTTTATAACAAAAATATAACTATAACTATGTTTGGAATCGTAGATATCCTTAAGGTCTTCGCAAATGAAACTCACTAGGGGAGTTTATTGTTAAAAAATTACCGGAAATATGTGACATGTTTGGTGAATGGCAAAACAACAGTAAACTAAAAATTTTTTCAAGGATGGGTGGGTCATCTGGCCCTGTTTGCACCGTTTGCCTCTGTTCTTCAAACATGCTTCAACAACTCTGCAAAGTATCAAACTCAGTTCGTAGAAAACTAACTACATACTTCTGCAGCATACAATGGCTTCCTCCTAACTTTCCAAATCAAATCAGCACCCTCAGGCAAAACAAATTTTCCCTCACTCTGTTCACTTTTGTCGTTCAAAATTATATCTGGCTGGTCGGCAGGGCAAGAATAAAAATGCGAGGTCCAGTCTCCTTTTACTAGCCGAACTTTGTTTTTTCTGAAATAAAATCGTTTATTGAATTAAGCTTCTATAGGTAGAAAGCTACAGCAATTAAAGCAATAATATTAAATAACAATAAGCTACACAATCTTCTTGAAATTGAGATTGATTCTGTGATTCTGTGGCTTGAGCAGAAAAGGAAAAGTAACATATATTTGAGGTATCCAAAGGACACCTGAGGAAGATGTGTTTGGGTAAAAATCACGAGAAAGCAGGGGTTTGCAAGGAGATTAAGATCAAATGCAAAACTGCAGTGGCAAAAAGCAATAGGCCAGTAGCAAAGTTATTACCAGATTAACTATTTAAAATAAAAATCAAAATTGAAAGTATCAATTGGTTGGTTGCAATTGACCAACTTAGGGGATTTAATAACCTGTCACAAACCATTTGATACAATGTTCCTCAACATACACCTTAAAAACACTACTATGTACTCTTTAAATGGCTTTAGAACTCGTGCACTAAAAAGCCTTCATTGTGAGATATAACAAGATAAACGATCTCATGGCAAAAGTGGAGCAAATAAGAAAAGATATCCTGTTAGAGGGTCTTATATGAAGACCAGTTCAAAGTCAATGCATTAGATCAAAAGTTATACCCGTACAACTCATTTCTCTGCGGGAGGCTCCAGCTTGTCTAGTGTTGATCTGCCAAAGAACTAGCGTAAGCTAAATTTTGGCCCATAACGGAAGTTTATTCTGTTTTCTGGCAACTCGTATGCTTGAACTTATAAAGTTGAGAAATACTTCTTTTCTTTTTCTTCGTAAAAGTAGAAAGGCAAGAAGAGCCTTCCTCAACAACATGTCTGGAAACTAAGAGCCGAAAAGCTTATGGCAAATCATTTAAAGCTTTCCCCATGCACATGCAGAATACATACATGCTTACACATTGGGGATATGCAAGATGAATAGGGGAACGCTTCAAAGCTTTGTGCAGTATTTAGCGTACGCTAATAAGTAACTTTGAGCCAGGCTTAAAACTCCTTCTCTAAACCATAAGTTTCGACACTGAGAAGAAATTATTTTAAATTATGATTTTATATTATGATAATATTATGATTTTAAATGACTCACTTTTCGTCCAAAACATGGCCTTCAACTTGATTTAGGTCTTTTCCAAACCAACCAGCTGGTTTGAAGTTCAAATTGCATTGGTGCCCTGACCTGTGAGAAACGATATTAACTGTGCCAACCTGAAGTAAAAATAATCAAAGAATCAAATAGAGAAGTTATGAATAATGATCAATACTAGCAGGGGCATTGTGGTTCAAGCTCCAAAGAGGGCAAGCACCCCAAAATTCCAACAAAAAGACGTGTCCTAATTGGATGTGACGATACGGTTGTAGTGTCTATCTAAATAATGTCTAAAATTGGTTGTTTTTCTTACAAGTACTGATGCGACTAGACAACTGAATCAAACTCCGTCTTTGACCAGATGTAAATATAAAATACTCGAAAAACCAATGAATACACTTTGTGGTTAATCTAAGAAAAGCAAGAATATGCTATAGAATAATGCTTGCGTGTAAATACCCCCTGCTGCCTGCCTACTGCCCCCTGCCCCTCTCACAACATCCTTGAATACATGTTTGGCGGAAAAGAAGTAACTTCAAATGAGGAAGAAAATAGCAAACTGTAAAGGGGTACTAAATGTACTCGAGCAAATAAATCTGAACGCTTATCTGAAAGGAGGCGAATTTTGCTGTAGAAGCTCTTCTAACCATTACAAAATGAATAAAGTATATCAAAAGCCCTAAAACAATAACGTGAAATAAATTTACCAGTTCTATCCATAAAGTTCCAACGATTATATTATGAACTGCAGTTTGAACCGGCCCAAATGTGTAAGCTTCGTTGTATCTTGATGGAGAATGAAGATAATAAGGTTACAAAGATACAGAAAAGGATTATGTATTCTACAAAACGCAACTATAGCATGAAACGTAAACGCTGAACATTATGCATCAAAATCACAGACATCATTGTCAAATTCATTAACCATGTTAAAGTAGGCATGTTACAGTAATGTATCTGAGGGAACTTGATACTATATCTCTTTCGGCCACCCTTAAGGGCTACTCCTGGGATAATATTTAACTGTTACAGAAAAAAAACAACCAACAAATGTGAAGCAACTAGGCAAACAGACCATCCAAAATATGCTGTTTACTTGAAATGATGCCTTCAAAATTGTAGTGAAGTAGCTGCTAGGGTTCTAAGCAAAATGAAAAGCAACTTTTGGTGTTTTAACTTCAAAGCCTACTCACTTCGGTATTTCGATGGTTAGGTTTCCTTTTGTCCTCACTTCGATGTCCTTTCCCCAAAATTTAAGAGCTGGCTCAATCGAAAGGTGAAGAAAAAATCCGTCTCCTTCGCAGTGCAAAGCACTGACTGGCGGGTGGTGACTAACTTGCTCCGCAATCAGCTTAAAGCCAAGATCTTCCCTGTAGCAAAATAAGTGGTTTGTTGTTGATGTTGTGAGGAAATAAAAATTCGGTTGTCTAAAAAGTCTATTCTACTCGCTGTTTTGGTAACACAAGGAAACCTTTTTTTAGATCAGGATGCCAAAAATCTGATCATCTAAGACATCCAAGAGTTCATAGAGCTTTTAAAAAAAGTATCCCGACTTGAAAACTAGCTTCGGAATATCAACCTGATTTGGCAAACATTAGCAAACACGTTTTTGGCAAATGAGAAACATTCAGTTCAATTGCAGGTCTCTTATATAGTAAGCATAGCATAATTTGCAAGTATAGGCTTTGAATAGGAGAAGGGGTGGTAGTTTCTTCATTTTTTTGGAATAGTGGAGATGGGTGGTGTTGGACAAAATTTTAGAAAACACACAGGAAAGTGGAAGCAAGATATTGTTACTTTGAATCAAATATCGCTCAGTATCAAATGAAAATGGCTCAATAAAAAGTAAAAAAATCCACCTACAGAAAAAATCTATTAGCGGTTAATGTTTTGAAATGCCGATAAGCAAAGGGAGCCTGTAATGGATGTAAACAATTAAATCAAAATAATGTTTTTCAAATTTTTCAAAATAAATAGTACATTGCGTCATTTATATCTGGCATAATTTACCCACCTGACGAGTTCGTATGTTTCTCCAAGCAGAGGGTTGAAAGGTTTACCAATTCTGCCAGCATTTGGGGATTGGGCACTAACAGCAAAGCCAGCAATGAGCTACAGGTTTCAAAAAATATGATTCAGTTATATATAGAAAATGAAATCCCTACAAAATTTATCAAAGGAGTAAGAACAGGGGTAAGAGAAACAAACAGGCAGAACGGGACAATTCATTTCAAGCTTCATGGCGGCTTTCTGAAGATCCTGTGTTTGTATCTAATGTGTGTTTGAACTAAGGATAGGCTAGACACATTCAAGAAGGCTTTTTTCACAAGGTACTGTTATTGAATAAAAAACAGTCTTTAACAAGATACTGTCACTTACATAAAAAAGGGTAATTGTTGAAAAGAATTCTAGAAGCTTTTTAAAGATCCAGTTCGAATGGGCCCTCACAAACAATGAAAACTTGCCCTAAACAATAACAAGGACTAATCTGGGCAGCAAAAATGATAAACTAATTTTGATAAATAAGCACAAAGAAGATATAAATTCAGCATATTGTGCTACATAATCTAACGAACACTTTTGAAATCAAGAAATCGATTTGAACGATCAATATATCGTCAGTACGATCTGCTGATTGCACTTTTCCCGGGACAGGATTATCTTCTAACCACCAGGCATGATATTACAAATATCATATTAAACGATACCCTTACTTTCGGGGCATCGAACTTTTTTGAAGATATGCAAGATAGGATATCCCCAGTCTCTTGCTTGAACAAGGAACATTTACAAACAACAGAGAAACAAAATGTCTAGTTAGGTTGCTTATGCTGAATTCTGAGCCTTGTATGTAGGCATGTAGGGATTATTTACATTTGTGATAGGCAGACATGTGATAGGCAGACATCATGTGATAGGCAGACATCGCAAATATGGTACTGGGAGACTTGCCTCTATTCTCTTCACCGGATCGTCTGTTTTTGCTGCTTGGCTGATCAACTCAATATAGTCTCCATATTCGACAATTCGTTGCAAAAACGACAACGGCTCATTGAATACGACTATGAAGACGAGAAAAAGTGAATTAAAATAAAAAATTTGTGGTTTGAAATAAAACTGGGAGCACTAGATGAGTGAATTATCTAGGCGGAAAGAGCTGCATCTGAAATAACAAGAAGAATTGGAACTGTTTGGAATGTCTGGAACCAACAATGTTTCAATCAAATGTAACCCAGCGACGACAACCGCCCGTAGGCCGGTAATTTTCACCATTCTCGAAAAGTTTCAACGTCAGCAATGCCTGTTTAAGCAAAGCTTTTGGTTGGCAAATTAATTTGCATGATAAAACTACTAACGTAATTCATTGACACGACGGACCATACATCGGTTTTCGGGGCTTAAAAACATTTATCAAGAAATACGTAGCTTCGAATCAATACAGCTGATAATTTAGAATTGTGATCATGAAAGGTAAAAAGATCAGCACCGAGAATCCAACTACAAGTGTATCCCGATCGATTGTTTAAAGCCTAAATAAAAGCAATGCTGATAATAAAGATTACGTTATCTTTTAATTCAGTTGAAGCCCACAGTGTTATTATCAGCATTAGGGTATTACCAATTGTGTGAAATGTATGCACAACATGTGAAATGTATGAAACTAACCTGGCATGGCGATTCTTGATAAGTCCTAGAAAAAAGATTTGAAGCTTTAGTGTGAGTACATCATTTGCACCAATGAATAGCATTAACAATAGAATGTATTTTCAGATATATCTGAATCGAGCTTGATTATCGACAATGCCATAAAAATAGGCTGCGCAGTAAAGATATTTTAAAAATGGCTCCAAGCGAGGGAATGTCGTTAAGTATCGCATCATACATCATACAGCTTTCTCAAACTGGATCCTCACATACCAATGTTACAAGTATGATTCAGACTTTTGGGAAACCAAGAACAATTCACATAGAAAAAAATACTAACCTTTCCTATTGCCTGCTTGAGAACGGTCCAAACGCTAAATTCGCTTCTTGAATGCATATTATGAGGTAGTCGAGTCCTGAATATGTAAAGCCAAACAGATCAAAGCATGTAGAGAAATGCATGTGACAAGTAAAGGTCGAAGCATTTTGAAAATAATCACTGGTTTTTCTTGAAGTTTTAAGTCTAACGTTCAATGCAACCAGAAATGGGTTCCAGAATACAAACAAACAGTGAAAATTGAAAATATTAAGGCCACCTGAATGTTTTCCAGCTAATATTTTACTGTTCTAAAGCATCATCCTTTCTATCATATATGCAATGAACACAGAAACACCACAAAGTCCATACCCTATGACACTGTTCTTTGCTAATGACCCCTGAATGTCTAGCCTTTATCCGAATAACATGGACACTACTCTTATACATGACTTAGGCCACTGTGGGATTTAACTAGCAAGCGCTGTTAAGTACCTCTCACAAACTAAATCATGTAAATAAATACTATGGACGACTTGTCCAAGGAAATTGAAATGAAATTAAGTCTGGCAGGTTCACAGTGAGTACAAAAGGAAAACAAAGGCGTGCTTCGCATAAGGCATATACGTGAACAAAAATGTTGGACTCGAGGCAAGCACACATGTCATTGTCTAAAGAGGGGGGAGGGGGTATTGCCACCAAAGCGAAACATTTACGACACCAAGTTTTTCTAATGTAGTTTTGGGCGCAAATTGTGAAATTATATGTTGATCAAGTATTTGAGGGGTTTTTTTTCAAGAAAAGAGAGGTTGAGGTAAAAAAATTGGGTTATTGGCCTGCCAAATTCTGATTGTTTCTAGTGACTTTAATGTCTGTTTACAGATGATATTGCTTATAATCAGCGCTAGTTTGGCAAATTTGGTCATCAAAAAGCCGGCTTCAATATTTGAGGGGCACAGTAAACGTTCCAAATTTTATCCCATGGGAAGAACAACCTACTAAATTTGCATTTTTCGAACAATTTTCGGGGCAAATGCAACTAGTATGTCTTTAAGCTCAATCTGTTAGAGGCCTTATGCCCTTTTTCCGTTAAGAAGGGAAAGTAGCAGAGCTTAAGCACGACTCAAGGCTGTACTCAACCCCAGGAATGTCTGCAGAGTAGACAGGGCCTCTATCCACCTGAAAACTTCACCTTCCATTGAGTTTGAGTCGAGCCAAAAGTTGCCTGCAAGTGCCAATGGACTTCTCGAAACATAACTAACAATATTTCAACTGAAGATAGTGACGCATCAGTGCCCTGTGATTATATGACGTAACTCAAAGCACCTGTATTTTGATTTATTCAGTTGTAGCTTCTCAGGACTATTCTGTACGTCTCCAAAACAGCCTTCCCTAATTTCATCTAAAATTGCTTTCTCCTCAAGAATCGTGGCTCCGTTTTGAAATCTGGGCTTTCGAAGCTCTTCCAAGGGCAAACCATCAAGTGAGTCTTTGCCAGGGTTTTCACGTATGGCTGTAAATGTTCCGTTCGGTTTGACCTCTGTTGACATCTGAACAGAACGCTCAAAGCTGTCCATAAACTCAAGAGGAGCATCGTAGAATTCCTCAAAGTCTTCTAAATCTGAATCAGTCTCAATTACTCTATGGCTCCCCTGAACAAATAAAAATAGCAAATTAAAATTCGCAAACTTTCCAAAAAATTTCATAAAATTTCAAGGGGTTGTCACGGGGTTTAAATTGGGGACTTCAACAAACAAAGGAAATACAAATGTACTGATTGAGCTAGTCTTAACCAAACAATGGGAGAGGGGTTGCCATAAAAATCACTCCCCTGCTAAATTCACCACTGTTCTGAGTGCAACTGAATCTTACTGAACTTCTATAGAACTTCTATAGAATTTATCTCTGGAAATATCTCAACGGCAAGTCAAATAGTAGCTTAAAAATTTCAAGAATTTTTCTGAAATCCTCAATAGACTCTTTATAGAGTTGATTTATGGGCGAGGAAGTCTTTTTCTTTTGTGCATGTTAACTTTTTGATCATAAAACAATGGTCTACTCCAAACAAATGGATATCAGATCAACTCTATCTTGATTAAGATCAATGGTATCTTGATCTAAAATAGAGTAAGATCCCAAGGTTGCATTGCAAGGGGAAAAGCTGCGCGTTTCAGAAGCAAGGATAGGTATATGTGCACTTCTCACAGCACCACAACACCATTTGTTAATTGAAAGTATAGCAAGTTGAAGATACACATAAGGTACACATAAGGAGTCAACTGACGGCGCCATTTTCTCTACTGAGGAACCCTCAACTCATCACAATAATTGATTAAAGATAACCATGTTAGATGTGAAAAACAAACATTTAAAATGAAGTAGCGTTGTACAAACAGACTCCTTAGAAAACGACATAGGCCATTACAAACATCAAAAGTGTACATCCTAAACGTGATGAGCACTTGTAGCATGCTTTCTTAAGGGTAGATAGACACGTGCAATCGAAGGCTTCTGTTTCACACTTCCTTGTTCGCGCAGTATCTCTTCTTATTAAAATACATTTTGACTTTTAAACAAACACAGCCTCCTACAAAATTATCATAAACCTGTCATCCACCCAGCCCTGGCACTTTAAGGCAGTTCATCAAGTCTTTATAACTTTACAAGTGATCTACACATCAGAACAAAATATTTGAAATGGCATTACATTTGATTTTCCTTACGGGCGGAAGTGTTGATGCGTTAATTCATCTCCAAAACTTACCATATATATCTCGTTATTAGAAAGCTCCCCGTTTGCCTGAAACTCTATATCTTTCATTGCATCGCTTGATTAAAATCAAACACGATATGGTACGTTTAATTCGCAAAGGTAATTGTAACAAACAGAACTTTATATCCCAAATATTTAGAAGCCACCACAGTTCATTGTAATTTTAAAGAAACTCCACACACTTGCTTCCGAGCGTATCAAATCTTTTTCACCACAACATTGAAACCAAGAGCAAAGAAGTTCGGCTATAACATAGCCATTGCCAAAAAATTAGAACCTTCAAATACTGCCAAATGCAAGCAGGAAATTCCTCACATTTCGTGTTGAAGTTGCCGTGTTAAATCTGTAGCAGCGAATTGCTAACACATCGGCCCGCGACTTAATTATTATTAGCCTGTGAGGTATGGCCTAAGCAGGTACATGCATCGAAAACAATACATGCATTCCGAGGTTTATCAAACAATGAAACAGATGTGTAAACAAAAGCATATTCAGTTGAAAGACGAGGCCATAGACTGTTGTACAGGTCCATGACGCTGGATTTCAAAAGATCGGCCTGCAGACAAAACAACATTCGAATCGCAGTGAAAGAAAATTAAGAAACATGAAATAATGCATTAATCTGCTTGCTGCTCAATGAAAACTAATATTTTGGAGATAAAGAATGACAATCAACTAATGTTTTGATAAGAAAGGCTCGCTCGTATCTGCGTCGTCTTTCCAAGGTAAAATATGGAAAAGGTAAAACATATTTATACTTATTTTTCATAGATAAAACTCAATTGATAACCAATGCAGCTGTTGCAAACAAGATAAAATTACAGAAAACCCTTCTGCGTGGGAAACAAGTTCTTTAGTTGCTTTTTAATGCAAACACGAAATCTATTTATTTGAAGATTTATTTATTTATTTATTCATTATTATCAGGTTCTATTTGATTTTACGTAGATTTAGGTAGCATCGCTTCTGCCTATTTTAAATTCATTTTTTTCAAAATCTTAATGTATATTGAATCTTATTCTTGCAGCATTTTGCAATTAATCTTATTCTTTTAACTCTTTTATAGAACTACGTAATGCACCTTTGATCCCAGGGATTTGTTGTTTTGTCTACGTAATGACACTGTATAAATTCATTTCTTATTATTCATTATCTATTTACCAGTAGCCATAGTTTGCCCTTAGTTAGTTTGCCTCTTCAGTGCTATTACGCACCTGTTTAACCTCTTTCCTGGCTTTTGACCTAGCTCATGAAAATGTCTTATATTGAAGGTTTTATCCTAATGTTTAAAGAGAGCTACTTACCGTGGCTAAACGTGTGAAAAAACCACTGCGCTTAACTGCGTTTAGTTGGAGGGGGGGTGGGGGGGGGGCTGTTGAGAAAATTAAATGCAATTTGGACCGTTGCAGTGGAAGGAGAAACGATTTTTAATGAAAGTTTATAGAAAAAGCTCAAAAACTGGTCTCTGCTTTGAGAAGATGGGGATTCAGCTCTGAAAAAAGGACATAACGTTCTTTTTGACAAACGGAAAGTTCAGACTTTTTCTTAAATATGTCAAATAACAACAACTTTGTATGTCACATCAAAAAGGGAAATCACACTCTTGTATATACCATCTTCTCTGTTGCAAAATAAAGTTTTGATACAGTTTAACGCAGTATCAATTTAAGCTTTACATCCATCCCATCTTTTTGGCTTTAGTCGACATCTAACGATAAAATCTGAAGAGCGTGTCGGGCAAAAAGTGTTAGTATGTTATGTAAATAAATAATTAAAGGTCGCAGTAGCAGACAGTTCGAATCATTCAAATGGAATACTCGCGGGGAAAGGCCGGTAAAATGTTGATAACAACAAACGACAACATACACAAATAATTATAGATGGTTAATGTCTCGCGGCATCATACGGGGCTTCATCAGAGCAAACGTCATCAACAGAGCATTCATCTACGCTGCGATGAAGCCCCGTATGCTGGGGTTTTATGTTGACCATCTATAATTTATTTGCGTTTTTGACGCTTGCTTGAGGCGTAGCGCAGTGTGATTTTCTATGCTCATTTTCAACATTAAAGTATGTTATGTTTCCACTTTTCCTGTGCCATTATCAAATTAGGAAAATGCTTCAAAATCATTGAATTAAACATGCTGGATATGTGTTCGGTTTTACTACTCAATATGAAATTGTTTTTCCTGAAATGAAATGAAACGGAATGAAACGAAAGCTCTTAAACTTATATGTCAGATAGAAAAACACATAGGGAGAAAAGCAAATTGTGACATACCCCTCTTCTGGCTTTGATTTGAACCGATTTTTCCAGTGCGTGATGCTCTTGTGCCAAGACATGCAATGCATCTTCTAGAACTCTCCGTTTTTCCGTCTCCTCTTCCAACTGCAGCCTCCTGACCTCGTCTTGTTGTGACATGACAGATAAACAATGGTTCAAATTGGTGCAGACCTCTTGTGACGTCATGACTACTTCGTTAAGTTTGAACTTCAAGTTTGCAGTAGTGCCTGCAAAACAGAACGAATCAATGAAATCAAATCTATTTGCAAATATACTTTGATTTTTTCGAAGTTACTTGGCGAATAACGAAGTTACTATTTAAGACTCGAGGGCAAAATTGAAGCAGCATGTTTGTCAGAAAAGATTATTTTTAAGATGTTTTGATCTTAAATTAAAACTGTCTAAGATCTATGTATAGAGTGAGCAGCCAGATTCCTATTCATTGTGCGAGGTTAGTTATGAGCCGAGACAGAACATGAGCTTCCGACTCTTAAGAACCTTTCAAAAAGATAAGCTGAATAATGACATGCGACACTGAACAAAGCATATGAAATGCTTGGTAAACCTATCCAAAGCGAGGCTGTTGTTTGGTGCAATCGAGGATGCTATTCTCTTCTTAAATAGTGACAAGTCATTCTCTGCGTTGGTAATTTATTAGTTAGCTTGGTCATCAACAGATGAGAATGATGCTTCGATGTTACGATGCTTAATACCCTGTGTCATTGCAGGATTCAGTATTAGCATTATTCATTAGCACAAGCATTATATAGGTTGCTTCCGGGCGTGCACCAGGGATTCGCTCATGCCTTGTATCCTATGCGTTGTATTAATCTACTGGATGACAATTCTAGGGACCCAAGCAATAACTAGCTTTACCCATTCTTCTACCAGCAGCCTTATTGGTAATACGTGGCATGCTATCATCGAGAGCAGTGTTAGGAGCGTGATCTTGCCATTAAAATTTTCAATGAAGTGAGGTGTATATGGATGTATCTAGTTTTTTTGCTAGTGTCCATACAAAAGCGATGTCTCTACTGTTACTCGACAAATAAGCCCAGAAAACATAGTCGTCACACAGTCAATGATCATGCGGAAGGCCACAGAAACATAATATACGCGAGTGCAACTCCTAAATCTCGTCTAACTTTCATTGCTTTTTTTGAGGAAGGTTTTCATTGCTTGAGGGCATTTTGCGGAGGAAGGCTGAACACTTTTCCACATTCTTTGAATGCAATACCTTAAAACAAAGAAAGCATCACCTTGTCTGATATTTTGATCCTGCAAAGTGTTGAAATAGGCAACCAATGAGAATACTTGCTGTTCCAGAAGCTGTTGGTGTGCTTTGGCACTCTGTATAAGAACAATGTACATCATTGTCAAGCCCATGCTTGAAGAAAGCGACAGTATTGGTAGAATCTTAGTTGTGAAAAAGTTCAAGCAGTTCAAAGCTGGTAAAACAGCCATAACTGTGAAAACTGTGAAAACACAATAAGCCACGAGCAGAAGCGTCAATGTCTTCCAAAAAGGGGTACCTTCTATTTCTTTAAAATACGACGATAAAATGAATTTATATGGCTAAGACCTTATCATAAAGTGTTACGGCATTTGTAGCGTGGTTCTTGGGTGATAGATTTGTCTTTATGACAGAACAAATGGACAGAATAAATGGGTGTCGATGCTTCTTCACATCAAAGGTTTATAAACCACGAATAGAATTGGCTGTTTAGTAACTTTTTTACTCCATGAACCATAAAAGTCTTCTGAAGGCTTCCAAATATTCTTATAGAGAAACCAACCCCATCAACCCTGACTCATTTACACCTATGCTAAAATATTTTTTCAATTACTTAAGAACGATGAAGAAATGCAATGAACGTTAATTATCATACCTTTAATGCATCTTCCATGCTTCCTAGAGGTAGGTAATCTTCATCTAGTTCGTCTAACAAGACCACGTGTGGCATTGTTGTGTAATGAGTACTGTATGCACAGTGATCTTGAAGTGCGTTGAGCCACCTCTAGAGGAATGAGAAAACTGATGCTACAGAGAAGTTAACATGGGATAATAGGACATTCATAGCATTAGAAAGTATCTTTGTTGGATCATTTCATGCTTAAATAAAGGATGTAGTTTCATTGGCAATAGACTGGTTGACCACCTCAGTGAGAACGAAGAAAAGAATTTACACAGAGGCAAAAAGGTTTCAAGTCACCTTGAAAGTTACCGATTGTGACTTGAGTTTGTTGTTAATAGTTATGCCAGGACTAAGTTCCATTATTTTTCTGAAGAAACCTTGCTGTATCGAAAACTATTCAATAGCAAAGATATACCAGCAAAAACTTTTTAGTTATTTCTTCCTTGTATTTGTAACAAGTATTGTGCTCAGGGAACGTAGAATCATTGTGCCATCGCCAAAATTGGTAGAGAAAATTAGCTTAAAAGAACTACAAAACAAGTCTAAAAATCAACGATCGAATTTTAACAAATTGCCGAGCTCCTCAGTTAGGGAAAGAAAAGCAAGATTACCCATGAAATGCAGAGCCAAAAAGGATCATTTGGGGGACAGATATTCGAGGTGGGACGGTACTTAAAAAGGTATCTTGCCCTTAAGTGGCCTAGCAACGGTGCAATTGACAGTTGACAAATGAAAGCAAACCTGTCGATCAACTTGGGCTGCAGTTGGGATCACTGACCACATATGCACAGTGTGATCATTGTATTGAACTTGAAACTTGCTTTTGTCTTCTCTGGAATTCTAGGAGAAATCGACCGATACAACAATATTAAATCAAATCAAATCAAATCAAATCAAATCAAATCAAATCAAATCAAATCAAATCAAATCAAACTTAAGTGACTTGATCCAGCACAACTGAAGGGTTCAATTAAATGCCAAAGCAGCCATGCGTATTAGCTGTATTCTAAATTACAAATAATTAAGATTTTTGAGCCGAATAATTAAGATAATTAAGATAATTAAGTATCTTTCATACGGAAAAGCATCTAAAATTCTTAAAATTAAAAAAAACTAGGTGCCGTTAGTTAAAAACATGCATAGTGAGAGTATAAATTTACAAATCGATGTTATCTTAAGCATCAATAATACTCAAGGGAAGCTTAAAAAAAACAAAAAATACTCACATGAAATTTTGCATTATCAAGATATTTATGAAAATGTCGCTTTATTCCACTGGCAGCATCAGCTCTAAAATTGGGTAAGAGGTTTTGTGAATACATCCACAAAAATTCTGTTGTGTTTAGAAATGCTAGAATGGGTCAAAATATTTTAATTGATGAAAATCTGAGTTTAGTGTGCCTGACTCAAAAAAAACTTACACTCAAAGTTTAGCTAAGTACTCCGCTGAAGCTACATAAATTAAATTTAGAGTAAGTAAATCAATTTTTTTCAAATCTTCTGATTTAATGCAGGTCGACTTCATCTAACTACAACGATTCGTAATCCGCCGTGATATACAAGTTTTTTTAGAATCATATGCAAATTCAACAATGCATACTGGGTCAAATTCGCCATCTGGTAGATCTAACAATGGGAGGGCATATGAGGGACAATGAGGGAGATGTCTTTACGGTTTGGTCTCAAATAGACCGGTACTGCTAAATAGGGAAAAGTCATCTAAAAGAAATAGCGCTTTTAAGAGTGGGGGCGGGGGTGAAGATAGACAATATGTGATGCTTAAATATACAAAAATCTCTTCAAAGCTTTGACATGCCATAAATAACTTATAAACATTTTTGCACTCTAGAGCCTAGGAGCATGAATAAACATAAATGAAGAGTTTGATTATTTTCACAACAAATGAAATTGCAAGGAATTCATTGGGAAGAAAATTTATTGCGATAGATACCTTCCACTAAATGCCGAAAGAATCCCTCTTTCAAGGACAACCCACAGCTTCTTCCATCCAAACACCCTGGTCCTCTGCAAAGATCAATATCCCAGAACCTCAGTATGTGAAATTCTGTCCCAGATTTTGGTTTTACTTGATAAAATTCTTCACAAAATGCATTCGATCTTTTGACAATAGGAAGAACGAGATTTAAATTTTTTGTTACCGCTTAAACTTACAGATAAATATATTTTGAAAAGTTTAGTTCAGAAAGATAAGCAGTAAAATACCTTCATCAAATACCCTTCGAACCTTTGAACTGTCTTTTGGACAACCTGGAAAGACAACCGAGTTATTTTAACTACCTAATTACAACATGAAATAGCCAAGATATATGTTGGTTTTAGTCCAACGTACACAAACAGCAAAAATGTAAGATAGAGGATACCTGCATTGGCTGAACATCGAGCAGCTGCCTCATTTTGTCATCTCTTGCTAGCTCACTAGCTGTCAACCCTGTTCAAGAGAATTCATGCCCATTACCATGGCTTATCAAAAACAGTCATTTAAAACGCAGGTTCGGATTAATTACATAGCCTTATAAAGGCTTATTCTATCTTCATGAAAAACTTATATAAATAAGTGGACAGCAACCGCTCCTTTATCCAACAAAAGTCACTTTACAAATCCTGCTAGAACATTGAGGATACTGATACTATGAAAATTAGAAGCGATGTTAAAATGGTACAGATGAAGTTCTTCAATCTGAGATAATGCGAGTAATTTATGAACAAATTCATTGTCAGTGGGCCCATTTCATATGAAAAGTAATTCACGAACCTCTGTTGTTCTTGATCGTTGAATCAATTCCATTTTGTAGTAACAATACTGCCACTTCTTTGTGACCCCTGGAAAAGCCAATATTATGTTGGAAAAAGCAGTTCATCATTTTTAAGACAAAGATACTCGATAATTGATTATTTTTACTGAGGGTGTGTTTGAAAGAATCTTGATAAAATACAGTAGCTAGGATACCAACCACTAGAGAAAAAGAACTTGCTGTCTTTTAGATGAAAAATCCAAGAATCTTTCATTCGGCATGAAATTAACGGAAAATTTACTTTGCATGTCTTTACAATCATGCTTGAGGAAGTATGGTGAATGGCTCGGCCAGGGGCAGATTTTAGTGGGAAAGATTTGGGGGTGGGGGTGTCCACACTCTTTTGGTGCCTAGGTCGTGGAACCGCCTATCTTTAGAGTTCACTTTTCAAATTCACAATAAAGGAGGCAAATAAAGTAAAATTTTGTCGCCATTTGATTACAACCGATAACAGGTGCAACGGTCTGGGGTTCCAGTCACTGCCATGACCATAATTTCTCTTACAGCGAGGAAGTGCCAGCTCTCGGAAGTTCAAGGCGTAGGAATCATGAGGTCTTGTCACATTTTTGACACATTTTGTCAGAAAAGTGTAGGACACTGCTCAATAAGCATCGCTTTTCGGTCTTCTAAAACTACCTTCAAAAACTGGGTAGCATAAATACGAGGACCAAAAACAAACAACTTGTGGAAGCCCCTCATCCCTAAAAAACTTACTATTAAAAAACAAATGCTTAGTAGTCAAGACTATTTAGCAATTTCATTTAAATATCGCCATTCACAAGCAAAACTCAGATGTAAAATGAAAAAGGTTTACGGAGGAAAATCAATTTACCTGTATGCTGCACAATGCAATGGAGTGTTGCCCATTAAATCACGACAGTTGATATTTGGTGGACTGGGGCAGCCAAGCTAAGAATTTAAAAATAATATCATGGTATGAGCGGATTTAATTCTCTATTTCTTTTTATTTTCTTTATAACAGGATTTTACTTTCTAAATAACAGGCCTAACTAAGGAAAGCCTGCGAGCACCCTTGCACCACATCTGAACTTGCCTAGAACCACGCCTCGATATCATGAAATTCCATTTCAAACTAAGTTGTCTAAAATCATTGACTTTAGTTATTTTCTCGGTCTTGATAAAACTAAGACCCATTTCAATCACTCTTTTATGATATTCCTTTATGAGATACATGATACTGTCAACGTCGAGCCTTAAGGTCACAATGAATTAAATCAATCCATTTGATTCGTATTCAGGATATTATTTTGCTCCCGGGTCGAAACAAATTTTTTCGAAGGCACCCATCTATTCTTTGTCAATAATAATCATAATGATAAATTTTTATTTTAGGATTTTGACACATTCTGCGATGCTGATTCACAAGGGCCCGTGAATTCCTGAGAACTCTAATAGCACGGAAAACATTGTTTCAGTTATTAAATTTAATTTCAGTTACTATGTTCCAAAACTCCTCCCATCTGAAGGTCATGACCTTCTCCCATAGTGCAAATTTCTCCATCTTCAATAGAATAACCTTGGCGTTATTCTTGACAGATTTTGGTTTTATCAAAACCAGCAACAAATAACGGAGCTTTAAAAATGTCCAAAAATAGAAATGTTTCATGACATTCAAGATTTTTGTCAGCATGAGCCTAGTTTTCCGAATCAAGCCAGGTTCTTGCTTTGGATACTTCTTAGTGGTAAGATCGTTCCCTGATATTTGTGGATAGCATTACAAAAGTATGACAATAACAGTCCTTTTCGTGAGCAAAATTACGCGTGTGTGGCAAATCGCACATGTAAACAAATTTGCGCGTGCGATCGCACTTGTAAGAAAATTTGAAGTACAAACCTGATAAAATTGGTAAAAGGAGCAAGAAGGAAAAAGCCACTCGAATACGTGCAAGAGCAAAACTCAATTAATCAATACATAACAGATTTTCTTGCCCTTAGCAGCCATCTTTTAAAAGTCGTCGTAACTCTCCAAAGTTACAAGAGCAAGTAAAAATTGTTTCCAACAGCTACTTGCTTTCAGGGCCTAATTACGTTTTGACAGGAAATCAGTTATTACACTTAACATGCTAATGGCGGCTTAGCTGAAAGACGAGACGCTAAGTTGAATGGAGCACTCAGTCAAAAGCCAAACATCACTTCCGAAAATTGGAAAAATCATATTGTGGTCAAAAGTGCGAATCAAGCAACAAGGGAAAGGATAAACAATCATGAGACCATGAGAAATTGATGTTAAAGGGCCTCTCCAGCAAAAAAAAAATTTTTATAATGACTTAAAAGTTAGCATCTGGTGCGTGTATTATGACAAAGTGATTGTTTTTGAAAAATTCCAATTAGTTTAGAAGTTGTAAGGCTTTAAAGTTGCACCTTTCCGAGAAAAAAACGACAAAAGCCGAATCAGTTTGGTGACATTCTGACGTCACAATGTGCGGCTCTCGTTCGCCATGAATTTCGTATATCTTCCACCGAAGCGTGAAGGACTCATGGTCACGCGTTGATAACTGCATCCAGTTCCAGTTCCTGTTCCAGCTCTTCCCTCACGTATAATTAATCGAAATTGTCACTTCAGTTGTTCTCCAGAAACGAGGAACAACTAAAGGCTTCAGAATTGGTGTCTGAAATGCTCAAACTAAAAGCTGGCGGAACAGAACTGAAAGTACCATCACTTGCAGTGTTCAATTTGCGAATCGCCGTCGCTCGATTCGGTTTGAGGCGAGACTATCCGAAATACACTGTGACGTCAAAATTGCGTCACAGTGTCACCAAACCAAAAATTTTTGTCGGTTAATTCATTCCAATTATCGAAATGCAAGAGCTTATATCTCACAAACTGTAAAAAAATATCGAAAAACAAATAACGAATTCGTGATCAGCAGGCTCAACTTCTTTATAAAAATTGCCAATAAAATGCAAGTGCAAAATTTGGCTGGAGAGGCCCTTTAACAGAAAACTGCAAAAACACCTGTTTGCGCGTGTGGTCAAAAGCACGCGCAATTTAACTTGCGCGTGTGCAGGCGTGTGCGGGTGCGATCGCACGCGCTAAACGAAAAGGACTGCAATAATTTTCATTGCTTTTTGTGTTGACTCTGGTCTTACAGATTTTGGGTAACTTATTTTAATTGAATCTATTCCATAGTAAACCAAATATTAAGCAAAGATAATACACCAAGTAGTTTATCACTGCTATTGAACTCTGAAATGTCAAAAAAAGTATAACATGCTTTAAAGACCAAAAACTGTAGCCTTCTTGTAAACATTCAAACATGTAACAAAATACTTCAGAATTATTTGTAAAAAGTCAGTGACCATGTCTGCAGAAGCTGGACAATCATCCCGCAGGCATGATAAGCAATGTTATGCTAAAAAGCCATTTCAAGTTTTAAATGCTAAATTTACTGATAAAAAATGTCAGCCTTTCAAAAGTTTGTTTTTAAATTGCCTGAAAGGTGTAACTTACCAACTCCTTGGTTCTCTTCATATTTCCCTCTCTGGCTGCATTCAGTAGCTTTTCATTGCAGCGAAGTTTCTGTGACCGTTCAGCCGCTGTTAAATGAGAACATTTAAATTTAAAATATGAACTGGTAGCTTCAAAAACAATCATATCAGAGCTTTTTGTAAGCAATTGGAACTTGTGAGCCAGTTTGGTAAGAGGGCAACCATTCATGATGTTTAAAACACTTCTGAACCAGAGACGTTTTATGTCCTTATAGGGTAGTGTTTGATGCCCCCAAAAAAACATTTTGAAAATTAAGCCTCCAAACAGAACTGCTAGGCATCGTGAATCTTAAAGACACTTATCTTGAATAGAAGGCAATCCGGCCACTAGTACTTGAATTTTATCAAAAGTGTTGGGTGAACTGCAGGGGCTGGCCGACAATTAACTTGTGTAAAAAAGAAGACCTACATATAAATAGAAGGCTCCTTCCATATTTAAAATGTCCTAAACCACAATACCTTTAATAAGATTAAGAACTTCTTGATTGTCAGCCATTTGCAAAGGTGTTCTTCCTTCTCCATTTATTATTGATACATTTGCTCCAAATTTAAGTAGCAAAAGAACAACACTCTGAAAAAGAAAATTCCATTGCTACATGCTATGCTGTAATCTCCAGGGAAGAACATAAAAAGAAAATCAATGTCAAGTCAGGTATTGTCAAAATCATTCATCTTTAACAAAGTCAAAATCTTGATTAAATGAAATTTAGTTTATGTTTTATATGTGATTGGGTATGCCTTTTTAGTGCCCCTTGGGCTTTTGTTTTTGGCACAGACTGCATGGTTGTGGGAATTTGTGTTTATTGTAGCAGTGCTCAAGTAGCATTACATTGTGCCTTTTATACGGCCAAAGCAACAAGGGTGCAAGTGTGCATTGGCCTTTGGTATATAAACTTTATGTTGGCATAGTTTCATCCTCACACGTTACATGACAATCCAAAGTTTGACTGTGGAGGGCAAAGATTTTTCCTTGTGACTTTGCCCACCGAACCCATGTGAAGTTTTATGAACATGCACTTGGTATTTCAAGATATTTCCAATCAACTTGCAACAGTATCAAAAGTATATTCGCACCGTCCTTCCTGTAAAAGCTGCTCTGTGAAGAGGAGTATCACCCATTCCATTTAAAATATTCACATCTGCACCATGCTGTAACAGAATGGAATTATGGCATAAATATACTAATCAAATCTTACTGTAACCGAATTCTAAAATGCTTATAGCTAAGTACTATGAATATCAATACAAATTTCTTAAAAATGTCTTGAAAAGATCACAGGTGATTTTCAAGTACACAGATCTTCCACAATGTTCATCATTGGGTTTTGTGTATAGAACAGGACGGTTCTAAGTTGTTAATCTGAAATTCATGCTTAATAAGAGCATTAAGGAACTATTAAAAATACTCTCTCCATGGGTACTATTATACATAGTTGTAACAACTGTAACAAACATTAAATGTAAAAAATATTTTCAGATCAAAAGAAATTGAAATTTTCAAATAAACTAGTTTAAAGAACTTTACCAATAAAAATATGTACAGTATAATACGGTTATAAGGTACTTTAAGGGACCAGTGTATTGAGTACGTTATATCCGAAGTACGTTGTAACGAGGGTAAGTAAAAATTGATTAAAACCAAGCACACCTTTTTCCGGGACCAAGCACACCAGTACGTTATATCCGAAAGTACGTAATAACCGAGTATGTTATAACTGGATTCTACTGTACATGCATACAAGAATTAAAGCTTTTCAGAACTAAATTGTTGTGGCTAACATAATCAAGGGCAAGTTTTTATTCCTTGTTGCAGATAAATATCACAGAAGATGAAAACAAATAGCCATCAAATTTCAGATTGTTTCTATTCAATATAAAATTGTGATAACATACAGTCAAAAGGGCTTCTGCAACAAATTCATGGCCAAAATATGCTGCAAGGTGAAGAGGACTCCATCCAAAATTTGATTTGTTTTGTCCTAAAAATAAGAAGTTGATACAATAACACCAAAGATATTGCAAGTGGTAGAACTGAGTTTTGGTGATGGGTTATAATAGGTACCTGTGAGTAATCTACCCTTGAATAAGTATCTACCCTTTCAAGCAAATATTTGTCATGTTGACAATGGAACTAACAAAGACATGATATATTTTCCATGATATATTTGAAGTCTTTCCAATAACAAATAAATTATTTATGCTTTAAGAAAAAAGACAATAATAATGTTGTGAAACAGTAAGCAGAAAAAAATGCAAACTGGTGTGGACTATTGTAAGATTCATAAAGACAGAAGGGCAGAACAAAATTATTAAAATAAATGCAGAAGTCCTCTCCTCTTGTAAATTGTGGCACTCTCTCAAACAAGGGACAGGCATTAACATATCCTCTTTTCAAAAACAACCTAATTACTAAATATATAGCCTTTATTTTCAATTACTGTGACTAGAGTCTTTATTATACTTCAGAAATAAATTTCAATTTAGTCATACCTTTGCAGTTAATGTCCAGAGTGGAAGTACCATCATTAGATAGGTCAAGCAGGCTCTACAAAGAAAATTCAAGTTAAGTGTTGGGTGAGCTTTTGTATTTTGGCCAAAAACTATTGTTAGAAATGTTTGCGTGTGTATATAATTTCCCTAAGTTTTAACAAGGATGAACACACATAAAGCAAATTGTGCATACAACATTTCTTGAATAAATGAGAAAGCATGTTGGTGTTAAGTCCGCTTTTACTTTCCAGAACTTTGCATCAAATAAGATTTTATTTCCAATATGAATTGTTCTGGCAGAATTTGGAATGTACTTAAATGTAGAATTAAGGATTATTTCATTTCCTTTCTTTAGAAACTTCAATAGAATGTTTTGTTTAAAAAAATTTTACTCTGTAGTTTTCTCTTCCAATGTTTGAGCCCCTGCTACAACCCTGGTTGCATGTTCAGGGTCGTCTGAAGCAGGGGGCCCCAATAATTGTCAAACTGTATTTACTTTATTTCCTTTATAAAAGTGTACTAAATGGGAAGCAATACAGTGGAGTGTTTGACTATTCCAAATCAAAATTAAATGGTATAAAACAGGAGTCTATCTGCAATAATTTGGAGGGGGAGGGGGGGTTACATGATATCAAGCCCATTATTAGATCAGTTTACAACCCAGTATGCTGACTGTAGAGAAAATCCCAATCATATACATTATGTGAGAATGTCAGTGTTGATATATCTTCCAGGGTTGATGAAGGTATTTGAATGTATTTAGCCTGGACAGTGAATAATTACCCTGATTATATTTGAAAAATATATTATAATAGTGCCGTCGAAATGAAATGCATATTAGGGGAAGGGTTGCCTATTCTATTCCTTCTCATTCAGTACACTGCTATAAAGGAAACATACTACAGCCTGACAATCTACAATCTAACATCTACAATGTTAGTCTTCAAAAGGCTTAGCCCACGACAGAGATACACGATACTCTCACTACAACACACCTACCTTACCTAACGACATATAACTAGACACGATATTGGTTAACGGATTAGTAGTTTTGGCAAGGACACTTGGTCAACATGTTTTACTTTGGCTGCATGGCAATGCATACTACAGTTAGTGATAAGACGGCTATGACAGATCAATATTACAGTAGCCTTGGGTAGGTTGCAATTTCATATATCAAGGAGAGGAATGCATGAAACTAATGCATTAAACAATTATTGGGGGCTGCAGCCCCCAGCCCCCTGGTTCCGACAGGCCTGTGTTTTGATGACGTAAGCGGGCAAAACAATGATGACAATTTAGTTGACCCACCCCATATAAATGAGGGCCAATTGGGTGACTCATTTATCTCAATCGCTTCTCTGAAACCGCACCCATTTCAACACCGAGAAATAAATGAATCCGTCTATGATCTGAACTCGCAGAACGATGGCCTACCGACACCACGTTGCTACAGTTTCAATGTATTCAATTAGGCTATTCATGGTTGGTGAACAAGATAAGAACGGTACGAGGCAGAAAATTATCGTGAACATCAAAACTCTACTTACATTAACTACTGCTAAATCTCCTTTTCTGGCAGCCTGTAACAGCTTCTCTTCTTTCTGGTCAAAATTTGGTATATTTTCCATTTTCATGCAAGCGTAAGGAGGGTATTGCGAAGTCACACCACCTATTCACGCTCGGCTCGGCCTAATTTGAAAACAAAGTAACAAGATCGGCCACGATTCCGACCCACTGACAGACCTACCGGTTAAAATTTCCCATCAAAATCGATAATCGTCTCTATAATAGTTTTTTCGTGGTTCAATCTATGGTGTCTATCATCCACTGTTGTGATTGTCTTTGGACTAAATTGACAAGACCATATACTTGGGACAACTGTACTTTCCACTGTTCACTCTAATTAAGTCGTCACTCTCACTGAATGTTTCGGTGGTTGCCAACATGCGCTCCCTTCTTAATAACAATTTTGAATATAGATCCTCATATTAATAATTATAGATATCTTTAAAAGCTATAGAACCGTGGTATTTCCCAACATGTTTGGGCGTTCTCCAAATCTCCATATTCTAGAAATCTGAAATCAAACTCCTTTTGATTAGGAGGTTAAGCGAGGATTCCACAAAGGCAATCCCCATTCATATCGTCATTCTTGCATTTGGCAAGCTGCAAAAGTCTTCCTTGATCGAAGCCAAAAGTTACTTACAGTGCCGTCGGAACGAAATTCATATTTGTGTGGGGGCGGGGGGGCTGTCCATTGTTTTCCTCTCATTCAGTACACCATTATAAAGGAAACATACTACAGTTATAATTATTGGGGGGCTCTAACCCCCCGTTTTCGACGGGCCTGTACTTAGAAACGTTTTGGATAAAAAATTCATTTGATCGAGTGATTGTGCATCGACCTTTGGTGGACTTCTGTTTCAATTTTCTAACAGTGTCCGAATCCGATAGTGTGACATCATAAAAAATGCTTTCAGAAAATTAACTTTTGATACTGGTTCGCAGTTGCGAAGCTAGCCAAAAATTGTTGGTCCTGCTGTAAAAACAGGGCCACGCCCTTATTCAATAGGAAACGCCTATAAACAAAAATTCTTTTTTGCAGATTAATTTTTTCTTAAATTCAGTAAAATGCAAATTTTAAACTGATGTCTATCTTTTGAAAAATAAACCCATACTTAAAGGCGTGCTTTAGGGTTCTTACTTTTAAAACAAATCTTTATCAAATTGTAGTAAGCCTCTAGAGCTGAAGTTTTTTGCAAAGAAGAAATTTTTTATTGTTTACAGTAAATCTTATCTTTGGAAATTATTGGTCCTGCTCAGCAGGACCAGCAGGACCTTAGGCTTCCCCCTTGCCGGTTCGGCGTGAAGAGTGCGACCCTGTGTGTAAGTGTCGACTAATCCAAATAGAGACCAAAAAAAGAAAAATAGATATATATATATAAATATATATGTATCTATAAGTACCCTTTTTATAAATCAAGTGTTGTTTGGTCTAGATTCTAAAACTCTAAAAACACATTTTTATGACGTCATCATTATCTTCTTCAGGACTTCCTTACTTCCAGCCAAAGCTCCATGAAGCAGTGGCGTAACCGAGCAGTGTGGGGGCTCTTAGTGAAAGTCGTGTTTTGGTGCCCCCATACTTAACTAAGGTTGAGTCAAATTTTAGAGCCTTATCACTCACTCTTTGGGGTTTTCCCGAAAAACCCCGTATAGATAACATAGAATAATATACGAAGAGAGATTCTGCCGCCATATGTATTTCTATGCTCTCTAATGGTGGCACATGAAATGAAATTACAACTCCTCTCCTTCCGTAACACCTTGAATGTGAAACTTTATCAAAATATTAAAGAAATCTGTGCTGGTGTGAATAATAAATGTTTGCTTATGCTGCCTTCACACTGGCACAGTTTAACCAGCTACATTTATACTAGGTTTTATTTTAACCAATCAAACGAGTCCGATTTGTTGAATAGACCAATTAGAAGGCCCCACTCAAAAATGTGACTTATTTTAAGCTGGCTTAACTCGCAAAAGTGAATCGGCATTAGACTTCGATAGATACTGTCAAAATTTGAATGACTTGACTACTTTTCTACAACAAATTCCAACATAACTTTAAACTTTCTGTCCTTATGTGGTCCTTATGAATAATGAAGAATATTTTAAGGCCTAGATAAAGAAACGTAATCAATGCAATTTCCGTAAAATTATGCGAAAGTTTGTTTACAAATGTTTAAAAAATGTCATGAATATGATTTTATTTGAAAAGGTATCAGAAAAAAGAACTTTCAAGTTCTATATGCCAATTCTTTTATGCCTTCGAGCATTGACATGTGCGAATCGCCCAGTGAGTTCCGTCTTATCAATTAATTTGGCTTCTGAATTTGCTATGGACAGTATTGCCAAGTTATCGAGTCTTTCTTGAGATATCTTTGACCTTAAGTACATTTTAATCAATATAAGTTTTGAAAATGATCTCTCAGCTGTGGCAACCGTAACTAGGATTGTTACAAACAGAATTAGTAATCTGTACACTTCTGGAATGGATGAACTCACTCTGCTTTCCAGCATCAAATTAACAATTTCAAGAACTGACTCTTTGTCTGCAGTATCTTTCTTGGACTCCTTTGCAAATAACCGCAATTCGGTTTCCAAATTTTCCGTAAAATTATCTTGATATGCTGTAATTACAGCTTTAAGGGGAAAATCTGATCAGACAACTCATACTTTGCCAGTGATTTGGGGTAAAAAAACATGAGAAGGTTTGTTACCAAACTTTGCCCATTAAATCGCAATCGAAGCTGCATAAGAGCTGTATCGACTGTTTTGTAGAAAACCTTTACCTTAAACCATTTTTCTGGATCACTTAACGCATCATCTCAAGACAGTTCATCAAAGAAACACTTGACTTTGCGGATTGCGGTGACTATAAACAGAACAAATTCGAAACTATCCATCTTTTCTTTAAGGCCTTTTGCACCATCTCTTTCCTTATTCTTTTCTGACGTGAGAATTAAACGAGTTAAAACTTTCATTTTCTGGGGGTATTATATGGGGAAGCCTAATTGACATGCATATGCATTATCTTATATCATTATTGTGTTTGCTCACAAATCATATCCTGTCCTGCGCCCATATTAATATTGCTGCGAATGCTATTAAGAAACATTTGTTTTTATCCAAAAAGCCGCCTTTCGAGAAAATTTTCGGGGGCCCCTTCGGGGTCCAAATGTTTGGGGGCCCTTAGTTTTGGTTTTGTGTTTAAAGGTGCACACCGTGCGTTACGCCACTGCCATGGAGTAGTTTTGTTAGTGACATAATGTGTCGAGCTGTTAATCACAATACTTATTTCCCTCTCCAAAAGCACAAGATCGGAAAAAAAACCAAAAATACAGCACAACTGAGATCAGTTTCAAGATACTACAACATTACATCTGTACAGTATGATCTAAATTTCATGGAAATATATCCATCATAAAAGACAAGATCTTAAGCAATCCTTAACCTTGGTACAAATATCAATAGAAACCTAATTAAAAAGTAAATGCAGCGAGCTAAGTCAAAGTTATTTACCAATTATTATCTGATAGACGTGAGGCATTCTGAAGGAGTTTTTATCAACGCGACGTCCTAAGAACCCTCGTAAATCAGTCCCAATACCTGGTTTTCCTCATTATACTTCGTGATAAAAACTACTTTCGAATGCATGAAAATAAAAATCTAATTTCAAACGACAGCAAAGTGCATCTATGTGACACATTATCATCGCCTGCATGCGTGCTATCAAACGCTTCAAACAAAATATCAAAGTTGCTAAAATACATCAACACCAGGTCTGTAGTTCGATAAAAGTACACTATCCAGTATATTAAACATTTATATATCTATAGCCTGTTCGAATTACAACATTTTGCGAGACAGGGAGGATAAGAATAAAACGAAAAACAAGGATTGGAAAACAATAATTTACTAGCTTGTAAAAAGCTGAGGAAAGACTTCCGGGATATAACTATCGAATCTGTCATGACGATACAACTGGCAATAATCAGGGTGCAGGAATAGCTTCAAAAATTACTGTCCGCTTCATAGGTCTTCCAATAAAAAAAACTATGAAAGTCAAAAACCTATATAATCAGGCAAAGTTTCAATAATACTTAAAGAATCAGATACAGAATAATAAACGACGTTAAAAGTCCCAATTATTAACTTCTTTTAAGATCACAAATAGAACCATATTATCTACACACAACATATCTATCCGAATTAAAAAGGGAAAATCAGTTTAAAAATAAATGAACCGATATAACGATCAAACCGTTCTTTAACAACGATGAAACAAAAATTCATCTAAAATAAAAAAAAGCTCAGAGTGCAAGAACCGTGTTTAGGATTCGGAACACCAACAATAAAATCTAATTTAAATTAAAAGCTTGAAAATTAATCAAACCATTAAAGATCGTAGATGTCCTTTCTATTCACGTGCATATTAGTTCTCCAGATATTCTGCTCGGTAGTTCAAATACGACTGACAACTGCGGTACAAAACTGGAGCATTCTTCCAAATATCAGCAGAACGTTTGATAAACAAGTTCAAGTACAGAGGAAGGGGGATTATTGTTGCTTAAAAAAGCATCTACTTGAATAGAAAGAGCATAGAAAAATTATTCTCGAAAAGTCTTATTTCAAGCAGTTAAGAAACATAAAGTATTTCATGATAACGTTACAGCTGCATAGGGTATTGACGATACTGGGATCTAAAAAGGATTATTTGTCTACTGAAAGACATTTAGGAGGGCAAGCACCTCCCCAGGGCCTAAACAGAAAGTGGCGATCCACTTCATCTTAGTACCTAGTGTTTACTTGTGAACACAGTCAATGAAACATCGGTTAACACAGTGTATTACAAATACACATACACACCCAGCGTAATGGCTGCTGGGCGGCGTCAATGAGAAAACTACGCTACGTTGCCTTCTCTTTAGCTGAAAAGCGAATTTTCGAGTGGTCTATCTGTGTCTGACACAGAAGAACCTTCTAGTGAGGACGATGACAGCGCTTTCACTTGAGCAATTACAACTTGCGCCTTCATAGCGTCTTCTTCTAAAGCTTTCATGCGGGCTTGTCTTGAAACAGCCTTCTTTTCAGCCTCAATTGCACGTAATTCAGCTGCAGTTGGTTGCCGTGTATTCTAACGAAAAATATCATTATTACAAACAAGAAAGGCATTTCCAAAAATAATCAAATAGCTTCCTTGATCAGAAGATCCCATCAAGTTCATTGGTTTATTAGGTAAATTTTACTGGGGAAATTGTACCTTAGAAATTAAATGCCCATGGGCCAAGCGGATGCCAAACGCTTACGGGGGGGGGGGGGGGGCGTAGGGCTTAGCATGGACCTTGCCCGAATATTTTTCTTCATTGAGATAGAACTGCTCGAATGGTGCCTGAAATGTGATAAATGTTTCTTGATTGGGGGGGGGGGGGGGGGGCTGCAGCCCTCCCAGCCAAAATGTTTCCTAGCCCATCTAAATGCTTTTAAACATGTCGCACAAATAAAAAGAACAAAGGAGGTATTCTGCATGATGTAATTGTAATTAAGAAGCACCAACTCCGAGAAACGAAATTAATTATGGCATATTTTTATAAAATGGTGCACCTACCTCTTGCCTTTCAGAGCCATTTTCGATCTTCTCAAGGGATCTGTCATGGTTTTCTGTTGACTTGTTATTTTGTTCCAGTGATGACGTCAATTTACCTATAGATCAATAATTAATGCTAGTAACCTCTTTGAAAATAAACGATGCTAACATAGTTAACTTCAAAAAAAGATTGAATATCAATAACGTAGGTGACGGTAGCTTGGGGGTCGTTGGCCTGGGATCTTTGAACAAAATTTTGTCAAGGTGAAATGTTAGATGTAAGGTGAAAAATAATTTTGTCTTTTAAATTGCCCACAACGCTGGTTTTCGGAACAGAATACAGAGCCCTATGGCTTAAGACACAAAAAAGCTTTCAACCCCTATGCATAGCAATATTAAAATGCACGTTAAAAAGGCCCAACACGATAGCTCCATTTCAATGCACAGCACGTTGATAAAAACATAATATATTTTGAAAAAATTACAATTTGCTCAGGGGACAAAGTTCGATTAAAAACTTACCAGACATCTGGAATGCTTTTTCCTAAAATGAAAATTTTTTTGTTATAATTGTCATTAAAAAACCAAGCAAATATATATTTTAGCATACATTGAACCCCGTACATTCACGGAAAACACTCACGTAAAAGCTACAAGGGGAACTCGGGGGAGTGTGGTCGCATTTTTTATCTGTTGAATGTCAGTAAGTGAAAACATAATCTTAATTTCATTTCATTGCATGCGAGTCATTTCATTGCAGAGAATCAGCATAAAGATAGGAAAGATTATGATGGTTAGAAACAATAGTTAAGAAACATACCGATTTCTTTAACAGTTCTCTTTCCTAAAAAAGCAAAACAAGTCATAACTAAACGATAAGCAATATCATACTCGGAAAACTTGCCAAGTAATTGTGAATATACGATGCACTTTGATAAAATCAAACTCAAAACACGTAACAATAATGATGAATTCGATCACTTGTATTCGACCACGATTGGTTGAATGAAAACTTTGAAAAAAATAACAATAGTTCTGGAAATTCTGACAGGAACCACAAAAAGTACCTTCATTATAAGCAACGAATATTGCCATAATCGGTGAGCATGCCTCTCTTGCAGACTAGCTCTTCGCGCAGTCAAGGCACTTGCAACAGGGAAGACTGTTTGTGTCCCTTTGTTTTCCATTGTAGTATGTGAAACAGGCGCGCCCTTCCTTGTTAATACCATCTGTACTATTTAGAAGGTACTGTGATCGATCGTTTTGCTACCGTCAACAAACAGCTATTCGATAGAAATGCATGCTAGTGCTACCGACCTTTAAATATATCAAAAAAGTTTCTATCACGCAGTTGGAGTTCTATTAGCAATATTTCCACGCTTTTTGACGCGCATCGGATGCCTTAAATAACTCATAAGATAAGGTGACGAAAGATGAGCATGCCAGAAATCATTTTAATAACTTGATGCGATTGGACAGGTTTGGCAATAAAATAATAAGAGAATTCGTGAGGTTCAAAATTATCATGCAAAATGTTATTGTTTTACAAGATTCATTGATAAATTTGAATTGCTCCCCTTCAAAAAACGAAAAACTTCAATGAAAAATAAAACTGATGTCTCAACGGGCTGGCAAAAATTTCCATTCAGGCTGGCAAAAATTTCCATCCAGGCTGGCAAAAATTTCCATTCATGCTGGCAAAAATTTCCATTCAGGCTGGCAAAAATTTCCATTCAGGCTGGCAAAAATTTGGATGTAAATATCTATACAAAGTGTTTAATCGTAAATGCCGGAATTTGGTGCTAATAATTCCATGAGGATTCTATTAAAAAACATAGATTCCGAGAACCTGTTGCTTCGATAGCCTCAAAAGGGGGTTAAAAAATCTAGCTTTTAATTTAACATATCGTAGATTTCCAAAGAGCATTGCTCTTCAATGAGAGGAAGCGAGCAAATCTGGACTCTTGGCAAGGTGACTGGAGGGGAAGGCTGTGTCAGTTGACATATAAATTATCATATTTATATCAGTTTCTCCACCTTGTCTAAAACAAAGCGAGAAAACAGCAAGGGCAAAGTCTCAGACACAGATGATTCATCATATCAACAATCATATGGACCCGAATGCCAAAATGGGTAACCGAAAACAAAGGAAAGCTTATGTCAAGATTGATGTACCGTTATGTCCGCATGTTGACAGGCGCAATCGGCTGGAATGTTATCAATTTTGCGAATGAAAAACACACGAACACTGGGTTTTTGGAAGTAATCGAAAACAAACACTTCGTATTGGCAACAGCACCAAATTCCATAAAATTTAAGCACTGCAGAATTCAAACCTTAAACCCCCTTTACTTTTAAGGAGCAGATAATTTTGGCTAAGGCAAGAAGTTCTTATTTTCTGTATAATTTGTGACTCGAGTGTTCTTAATGCTGTTCTTATTTAAATGTTGGTTTCTCTGCACTTATAAACAATAAATTGCTTTTAAGACAACTAAAAACAGTTTTAAATCTTTTTTGTTTCGTTAATATGAGAATAAATTCTCAAACACACAATAATCTTGAATTCTTACAAAGTGTTTCTTATAAAAATTGTGCAATGGTTGATTGAAGTAGGCAAATTTCAGATTGTCAGATAGAGTATTCACAAAACTTTGATTGTATTTTCAATTGATTTGGAGGTCTGATCAATGAACAACGTGGAATCCAATTGGTTAGAGGAAGTTAACCTGCAAATAAATTAGCTAAATCTGGCTGCTTTCAGCAAAGACAACTATGAAGGTAATTCTAAATCCCTTAGATTTTTTGACTTAAAATAACAAAGCAAGGTAGAGCCAAAAATGGACACACTATCCGTTTTTTTTTAATTAAGACCACTGATGTATCTCTAAGGCCTAAAATCTCGCGCTTCATACCACAGATGAAGAGAAAAATCAAGCTACGCCTGGTTTGATATCCAATCCAAAACAAAAATTTGAAGGCAAATTCTCACAGTTTTCAAAGATGATAGAACACTTTTGCCTGAAAGTCAAGATTTCTCTGGATTCAGCGCGAGATTTTCACACGCGAGCCACACTTGTCGATGGGATAGCGTTATATTGAATGACAAATGACCCTCTGAGTACCCACACACTATTCAGAAACATTACTGGAATGAGATCTATTGTCCCATGTTTGTCAACTATTTTTGTACTAGGAACGCCCCTGAATTCTATTTTCAGCATAATAGCTAGAACTGCGTCGATGCAAAGCACGAATAATTCAATGAATGTTTCAAACGCTACGTAAACAAGATACCCCAGGCAATGTTGAAATAATGACATGCCATGAAACAAAAGTACCACACTTCTGGCCCATAGAGCAGTACAGTCGTAAACAATAATGCAAATCAAGCGAGAAAAAGAAATTGTAAGAGAAAAGATGCAGGTATCATGATTGAAAACTTTCAAGACAGGGGTAAAGTGATATCTACCAAAATACCGAGGGCAGATCTTGAACAAATTGTTGCAAAAAGAACCGCAAAAGTAGAATTGGACTACTTTTCGGCATTAACAAGCCCCCCCCCCCCTCTGCCTGAGCCCGACAAACCACTTGCCTAAATTGATGATGATAGCAATCTCTCGTGTATTTATTGATCGGAAATTAAAAATTAAAGTAGCTACCTTGAGTTCTAACTCATTCTCTAGAAACTGCGTTTCTGAAATCCTTGCGTTTCGAAGTGCTTCCTAAAACAAAAGCAAGGAATACCCCTTTATATTTATCACCAGGTTTAAAATCATAATTTTATCTTTAAATTGTTGGGAAAATTGAATCAGGTAAGCAGTTCCTGGGAATTGACGCAAACTGGAAAATGGGGGAGGGGGCAAGGGCAAATTAAGAATTCAAAACATAATTTTCTGCAAAAGAGTGGGAGTATGCCCCTTCGTTTTCAGGAAACATTTTGTTTTTGCGGCGAATTCTATCAAAACAAGGGAGCGTAAACGGCTATAAATTTAATTGGAAAGAGCTTCTAATTATATCCCTTCAAAGGTTTATTTGTGCACTATAAACCAGTTTACTAAATGCAAACATATGAGAGACTTGCCTTAAAACATGATGCGAGGTTTATCTTTGGGTACAATAATTGGAAAAACATTTTGCAGCAGCAAAGTCTGTTGACATTCAGCTCGCATTTTCAGAGAGAAAATACAAACGTTTGCCAGAGTTAGCTCAAACCATAATAGGGTCTAATATTAATCATAATTTGAAAACCATTTAAAAAATGGAATTTTGTATCCAAAAAGTAAAAGTTGTTTCTTGAAGTCTAGTTGAAGTACGATTCCTTCTGGGATAATTTCTCAATTTTCAACGCAAAAACTTGTGAAGTTTTTCAGAAAGGTCTTTCTAGTCAAATGAGCATAGTTGGTGGTTTTTAGCAGAACAACGCTGAGTTCTAACTATTTTATTGATAAAAATGAATTAAAATCATGAAAACTTCAACAAAAAATATCTGACATGTTTTCTCAGGAATGAAAAATACAGTTTCCACCAATTAGGCGAGCTTAGATGAGGATGAAGCAAAATGCACGCGGGAGTTCAAAATAGCTAGCTGTGACAGAATATAATTAAATGAAGTTAGAATCAACGAATGAATATCGAAAATGTAAGAAGGAAAACTTACGATTTGATCAAGGTTTTCTTTACCCCAACTTGAGCGAGACCCAGCTTCTTCCTAGAAAAAAAAATTCACTAATTGACTAATATATTTTGTTAAACATGTGACATGTGTAAAACAAGGAACTCCATTCTCTTAGGGAGGTGGAATTTATTAAAGAAAACGATGCTTACAGGGTCCAAACTCGTTCTTTCCCATTTTTAGAAGTTTATCAATTATAATTGAACTTGATGGTCATAGCTTCGTATATATAAAAAATTTGATATAAATATTAAGGATCTAAAAAAATTCTTTTAAATTTCAGAGAAACCTGAAAGATTCATGACAGACACAGGCTTGAAAAATTTATGCATTTGTAGGATTAAGTTGGCATACATATGAAATGGGAAACCGTATCCTTGTTTTGCCCTAACACAAAATCTTTAAGATTTTTTCTCATTAATAATGCAACGTGAGATATAAAGATTAGAAATCACTTGCTTTTGAAGAACAGGGCGGAGATACAAAAGCCAAAGTTTAACATATTTTCAAGGTTAGGTTATCTCATGGATAAGGAAAATGCTGGATTTCCATACTGAAATAGATACATGAAAGACTCACTGAAAATCACGATTTTTTAATCAATACAGTTAGGTATTGCTTATAAAGCGATTTCTATGTAGGGTTAAAAATTTTACAGGGCATTAAATTCGTGGCATGGCTAATTCCTTTTCCAGAACAATCCAAGGAGCAGATGAGAATTTTTCAACATTATTACGATTTTTGGTTAAAATCTAGAATTTCATGGATAATGAAGCTTATGATTACTAAACTAAATGGGGAAGCAGCTGCTGTTTCGAGTTAAGATTTCACGTGATACGAATCAAAGAAATTCCACAAACTGCCCAACACCCTTTTTCGCAGAACTACAACACAATCAGATCATACAGCAGTTTAGGGCACCATACAGCAGTTTAGGGCACCTTAGTTCGTTAGCTAAGGATCCCTGATCTAGAAGGACCCCAAATTTTTATATCCATGTTTTAGAGACTTCGCCCAAGTTAAACCTATTTTCAAAAAGTTTGAAAGCTCTTTAACTGAACGAAAAGCTCTTTTAACATTTAAATCAGTTCACCCTAGTTTAACCATTATCATTTCAACATCTTGCTATTGTGTTTGACGTGCTCTACACCCCTGTATGGTCTTTCTTGCAATTCATAGATAGGGCTCCTGTCTCAGGTTTGCCTCTGGGCCCCAGGTACCTCCGTTTCGCCACTGAGCAGATGATACCACTTACTCTCTTTTTCACTAGTTATGTTGACTGATTTGTTTTTAGAGAGTAATAATTAGAACAAAGAAATCACTTTCAGATAACGTTGCTTCTTCTGCGTTTTTTACGCTGTACCTGTTATCGATGCTCTTAGTGATCTTATTCCGACTACTTCGGTTATTTTCATTATAGTGCATGAAATAAAGTGCTGCATACATAAACAACGTTATAGTGCTTCTATCGCCAAACCAAATAAAAACGATAACTAGGGACCTCACTATTGACTGGGGGTCGCCCATGGACGGCTCACTGACTATTCTGACGAATACATGACTTTTTTAATTTGTGCGATAGTTTCACGTATTGATGACATTAACGTCAAATAGAAAGTAAGGCAATAAAATTCTTATTCAATTCAATTCTCGAGCTGCAAACATGTAACAGGGTACTGCGAAGTAGTAATGAAACTCGTATAAGGCCATCACTAATAGCAGATACTTTTAAAGATGCCGCTGCAAAGTGCTTTAATGCCTTACCCGGACCTATAAAAATCTCAGTCTAGCCTTACGACGTTCTGTTCCAACTTAAAGAAGCCTTTATTTGAAAAAGCAAACTACAAATTGGACTAAAAAACATTATTTCCTTTTTATAATTATGTAACTGCTCTTAACTTTTGAACTTGTAATTTAATTTTGTTCTAATTTTAGAGTTGAAGAGCCACACTTGTAGTGGATATGCTCGATTGTACCATTATTATTATTAGTATTATTATTACTTTTATCATTTAGTGCAACTCAAAGGCTTGCAACCAGTTTGGTTGTCGTCCATAAAATAAAACAAAAGAAATCTCAGTAATAGCTTTGTTACCCTGTAACTATTACTGCACAAGAGTTCAACTCATTAGACAGTAAAAAACACAAACAGTCTTGGCATTATACGCTGATACCCTTAAACAAATTGCCAACAACTAGACCAATCTTCAGAACGACTCAAACTGGTGGCCTCTAAACTTTCTGAGTCCTACTAAGTGGAAATCGGCTGAATGTCCCTTCTAATACTTCAATATAGCTTCTTCTGCCTGTGCTTAAACGGGAAATTCCATGTATGTTTTGGCTCAAAATTTCTGCTTAATGCACCCAATTTCGATGAAATACAACCACTACAAACGACTTGGTGGCTCTGACTAAAGGGGGAAAGTTTTCAGACATACTTTTGGCTATTCGAATCTATGTTTATCCGAAACGCTTCCCCTGGAGAGCTTCTAATAATCAGGAATCCATAGAATACAAACTAAAAATCAACTCACGTCGGTACTTGTCTCACGATCAATAGACGATATCGATTCGCAACTGGTCTGAAAGTGGGTCTTTGTCATGTCTGACGTCACAAGTGGATTGGCGATCACGCTTGAGAGGCTGTTGCTGGCTGCGTCCGCGTCGTAGCCATCGCACACGAGTAAGTGCAATTTATCGCCGGTGTTACGAAGCGCACGGACGGCCTCTACATGCGTAGCTCCAAGCATACTCTGTCCATTAACCTGCCACAGCAAGAACAAGCTTTAGCAATAAAACCCAAATTATGAGGAAAAACAAATACTAACATCTATAATGACAAGACTTATGATGCTATGATGTTTGCTAAAAGATTGCCTTTTGCTGACGTGTTTGGCGCGTCAATAGTTGAGACAACACTGTAACCACAAGAGTATTTTGCCTGAAAAACAGGAGATCAGAAAATTCAAGCGGGGAGAGTTTTTAAAATTGGCGCTGTAAGATAAACGCTGTTGCATGGGAAAAAATGACAGGAAATATCAGTTTACGGTCTGGAATATCCGAAGTGGATGAAACGTTTTGCCTTGTCGAAAACCACAAGCCAAATGTCACAAATTTTCTCAAACCAGAGCAGGCCTGGTGGGCTTTTTCCAACTAATCAAGGACAAAACCTTAAATTAAGCTCGAATCACCCAAACATAATAAAACATCTGTTTTGCTATACTTAATGCCCAACGAAATATTTGCCTATTTCACACTTGCACAGACAAAAAGCTTGCTAAATTTACCAAAAACCGACGTATTTCGCTGATTAAACCCCCAACATATGGTTTATTTCTCATAGCGGAGAAAGATTGCAAAGAGAAAGGAAGTCAAGCCTCAAATACGTATGAATACTAATGAGCACTGATCTTGACAATTCTCGGAAGTTTATCACGATTACATAACATTTTGAACTGAAACATCCACACTGCTCATCACTGAATCGATCAAGCAAGAACGGGCCAGAAATGCATAATTGTCAAAGAACACAATATGCAAAAATGTCAAGAATTTTTTTTGGCAGGGTTGACGCATTGTAGCGCATAAAAAGCGCCGAATTTGTGTCTACATTTCTGAAATATAGACGATAGGTATCAAAATGAGCGAAAAGACCGCGTTTTGAATGGTTTTGTTTGCATCAGTAACGGTTCAGTTGATTAACTTTAAGACACGTATGAAGGGTTGACTGGGAAAGAGGAGTGTACAAGAAATGCCAGAAGAGTGCAAAGGTCTGTTAAAGTATCGGGAGGGTGTCACTTGAGTAAGAGGGAGAGTATCAGAAGAAAGCCAGAGTAGCGAGAGAGGCTCACTACAGTATTGGGAGGGTACCACTTAAGTACAGGCTGGGTATCACTTTAGTACTGGGACCGTGCCACAAGACTGTCAAGCAAGGGTCAGTAGAGTACAAGAGGAGTGCCAAAGAATGGAGGGAGGGAGTCACAAGAGTAACGAAAGATTTTCAGAGGAGTTCCATAAGAGTGTCAGAAGTTTATTAGAAAAGTGTCGGAAGAGTAACGGCAGATCTTTAGAAGAGTTCCAGAGGGGTTTCAAAGCGTTGGAGAGAGGGTCACAAGAGTAACGGCAGATTCTCAGAGGAGTTTCAGAGAAGTGTCAGTATCCGGATAGGGTCAGAAGATTGCCATAGGCGTATCAGAAGGGTGTGACACGGATATCAGCGATGTCAAAAGCAAAAACAATGTTTCAGTAAGTCTCAAAGGTCATCAATTGAAAGTGATGCTTAAATTACCTCCAGGAGCCTGACGCCAACCTTGAGCTTGCCATCTTTTCCTGCAGCACCACTTGCGTTGACCTGCAATGTAATTCCATAATAGAAAACACACCTAGTAAGTGCCAAAATGATATCGTACTTTCCTATCAAACTATGAGACAAAATCTACATTCAAAAGATCTGCATTCCCTCCAAGCTAACATACCGAAATGGATAAGATAAATCGATGTCATACATGCCAGGGAGTTGGTTGAATAGCTTCGCGAATCATCGGCCACCCAGAGTAAGGAAAGGCTGTCGTTAAAGTATGACATATTGGTCAAGCCAGCTTTGTATACAATCATCAGGCAGATCACTTGAAAATAAACGAAAGGGAGAACCTTCTTTGTAGGAGAAGTGGAAAATTGTCTTACCTTCGAAATAAATATCCCTTCGTCTGATTTATCAAATGGATTTCCTGGGTGACTTTTGGCTCCACCTCTTATACTGATGCCAAGCTTCTCGCCTGGCTTTTTGATAATCTGAATCTCCTAAAAAATTGATGGTATTACAATCAGGCGATTCAAAATCGAATATTCAAACACTTGTAATTACTGCTCACAACCGTTTTCTCGACCAGAGGTGGCAAGCATTCAAGTATCTTAAACACGTCGCTCTACTAATGTCGTGCTGAATCTACTACAAGTTGATCAATCAATTCCATTAGAAGACCTTAGTTGTCCAGCACTGCCTCACATGTCGAGCCCATTCTGCCGAACCTAAGACATTAACAATACGTAATCATGTAAATCTAGGAATAATTTTTAAGAAAGTTGTTATCAATTATCTAAATCCTATAAACCAAATTCTTGTATACAAAAGTGAGATATTGCAACTAATGAGAGATATTGCCAAGGTCTCCTGTTTGTAAGAAAGAATGTGAGAAAAGCCGGGAAAACAAATCAATTGGAGTGTAAACCAATCTTTGATTGCAGAAAGAAGGTTTTCAGTGTTGTAAGGATATTGTAAAGAAAGAGGATGAACACCGCCTTCATTGGGAACCTTTTCAAAACCTAAAACAAAAGCTCTTCAAGTAAAAAGGACGCACCTGTAATCCTTGAGGAGGTCGATCATGCCGCACAAGAAGTTTGATCTGCGGGACATTTGCAATTAACGCAGAAACAGCCGTGTGGTGAGTGGCATCGCGCATATTGATGTCATTTACCTATTGGCAAAACATCAGCTAATCATCTACCAAGCGACAATTTTTTCAGATATTCAGTGGGAGTGAATAGATGATTAATTTCAAATGCACACATACGATGAACATTGTTGTTATGTAACCTTGCACTGATTAAATATGCCAAAACTCCATTAACGACAGTTAATCCCATTCTTACTTGATAAAAAACAGCATTAACAATTATTTTATCTTTACTTCTTTGACTAGAAAGGTTTAATAGCAAGAGTTTGCATAGCATGGTTATTAAACTGGGCTAAAAGGTTTTTCCTGAATAATCAGCAGCAGCATCTGGTTTTTTTTAATTATATTAATGGAATATCTACGTTCAAATTGCAGAAGCTTAATCTCACAAGCTTGGGCAAACGAAAAAACAGACTTGTATTCTAGCAACATGAAATAAGGGCCGGACAAAGCCCGAAACACTTTCAACTGGTGAAGATATCAAAAGCAAACATTCAATGGTACTATTAAAGAAAACTTACGGCTAAAATTCTGTCTCCAACCTTCAGATTGGTCTTTGAAGCTGCCCCGCCAGGCACGATCTGAAAAATAGTCACATTCGGGTTAAGGAATTTCAGGGCCTAAAACATCATAGCGTTCGAATATTTTTTTAAAATGGGCAGCTAGGAGGTGGTGAAAGGCCTATGTAGGTAGTCTTGACTGGTTAGCTTCATGATATTGTCTCGTTAAAATAACACGCCAAAGCATGCAAGTTACCGAGCAAACTCGCTGGAATTGAGTTGAAAACAGTCAGCTGCAATAGACAAACATGAAAAAGATGTCTCGGTGGCGACTTGCGTGAAAACGAGGCTCCAGTTGAAGTGCAGAAGTGTTTCTAATAAATACGAAAACTTTGGCTTTATCAGCTGCAGCTCTGTTCATTATTCTTTCATATATGAACAACGCAGCAATGACCACTGGCTTGAACTGCTAGCAAATAAACATAGGAAGTGATGTCCAAGAAAATTGGCGCAGCTGACAGAACACAGTGCTGTGTTGAGGACTGAGCTTAACAGGGTAAATAAGGCAACCGTAAATGTTCATGATCGAATTAGGTGATCAAAACAAGGATGAACTTCAAATGATTGATACCATCGACGTCGTAAATTTCTTACCATTCACATGGTGTCATTAAACTTATTTTGCAAATTGTGGATACAAAAGATGCATGTGTTACAGGTTACGCAACTTAATGAATAACATTCAATGAAAAAACCTTATTAAAAAAAACGTGGGATCCCACACAAGATTTCCCAATAAACAGGTTTTTCTCTGATAACTAGTCCTGATAACTTCTTGATTCAGTCATAAATCATTCTTTTACCATTTTATCGCTTCTTAAACCATTCTTTACCAAAAAAAATTTTCCATGAATTAAAATCAACGACTAATCTTGTTCCTCCAAAACTTAGAACAAAATTTGAAAAACCTGAGGTTTATAATCAAGTCCTGGTTCAATTTCGCTTGGAGGAAGGAACTGATTGCATTTTATGCAATATAAACAAAGAAATCATACCCAAACTTACGCAGGCCTGTAGGTGGAGAACAACAAATGTCAAGCCTTATGAAAGCTTCTTGTTATGATGAAAATCTACAGTTTTGCACTTAAAGTATATAATAAAGGAATAAGATCTTAACAGGCAGCAAATCTTGATACTCCACACCACACTCACACAACACCGAGTCAAAACTTTTCAAGTAGATACAAATTCGGCATGTAACTACAAATGTGATGGGCATACTTCTGTAATAATGAATAAGGGACAAAGACATAAACAGATAACCGTACAAGAAGTGTAAGAATAATTTAAGACAAAGTATTAGTATAAATTCAAATAAAGAACACTTTTAGAACTAAGAAACACTATCATTGATCAGAAAGAAAAGATTATCAATTAAGGGTAACGCCGAAAAATATAAATATTTGAAATCTCGATCGTTAGCCTCTTTCGGTAAATTCTATAAACGGAATTTATTATACTAAATACACGGGCTTTGAATAATTTGAGTTGTTTATCTTTATCCTATATGCCCTTAAAGATCAGGAAGATAGGAAAACAAAGGCAAATAAAACGGCAAAAAATCTAATAAAGAAAATTGGAAACGAAAATACAATCAGCCACATTTAATGTGAATGATCAGTACTGGAGACCTGTTCAAGACTTAAGCCTGAGATATGATATGATTTTAAACAAGATTTTGATGCCACAATAAGCAATTGCCAAAACACACGCGTCAGTATAAAGAGCTCAATGCAGTGCCTTTGTAAGTAATGTTTTGTAATACTTGTTCTTCCGGATTGAACTTGAGACGTCTTGGGATACTTCAATATTAAACCATAAAAAACTTAACCTATGATAGCTAAAGACTGCAAACAGAGCTACTGAAGGGTGGGAGGGTAATGGGAGCTACCTATGAGACCACAACCTTTTGCCACGTTTCAGTGCTTCACACCAGAAGTATTTTCTTTAAGCAAAACTTGAAGAAATATGACCTACCCATACCTAATGCATTTAAACAAATTTTCGAAAGACTTGTGTGGACAATGTTTTGATAAATGTGGGGGTAATTACCCCCCCCCCCTATACGAACCCCCATGAAAATCTTGTACACGTTCGGTGGGAATCTTTTTGTTTTGGTGGAAATCTCTTACACAATTTGCAAGAGTGAATTGCCCCGCAGTTTTTACACTAGACTCGATTATACTTTTACACCGAGTATCCCAAGATTCAAGACTGTTTACTGCCATTCGCGAATACATTGAAGATAATTGGTGCTTACCTCTCCGTGAACACTTGGCTGCATACATGCACTGGCTTACGGCCGACCATCACTTCAATCTTTTTGTTCGAGCCCATGCCGCAACCAACCGTGCGCATGCGTAATTTGTGATCACTGTTCACAGGGAACACATTTCATTTGCCTCGATTGTAGGCTGTGATCCTACTTCCAAGTGACTTCGCGAGAACAAGCTGCATTGAGCCAATCAGATCAGGAGATTCACAGCGCACGTGTGAGCAAACAAAAAGATTGAAGTGGAGGTGGGGCCTTAAAAGTATGTAGAAGCCGTAGTGAAAAGCAGTAAATGTTACATTTTTCAATTCACGATACAGCTACTGCAGGAGATAACGGTAAGTCATGTTGCATATCACTACACATGCTGTGCTGTTCTACACACAGCAAATCCCAGCTCTTCAGCCCCTAGATTACGCAACCTTAAGTGCTTACCTTTGATACGAATACCCCCGGCTCATCGACGCCAAACGGGTGACTGGCGTGATCAGAACCGCCAACTATACTGAGGCCAAGAGGTCCAATGCCTTTCTTTAAAATTATTTCCTAAAATGAAATTAGTTGAGAAAATGACAATCAACAAACACAGAGAAATTTACACATCAACATCAATGAACTGATAATACGTTAAATCTAGCTACACGTAGACATAACACGTAGAAATCTAGCTAAACCTGTAGACATAATCTATCGCAGGGCCTGGCAGTGGGCTTCATAGCTGTCTTATCGGTTAGAGCTTCTTAATAATGTTATCACTTTTATTTAAAACTCAAAATAGTAGATTTGCTATTTTTCCACGAATACAGGCAAACCGATACATCTTTATGATATTAGATATTCCTTCAATGTTGGTCAGAACAACGTAACTAATATTTTTTTAACATTAAAGTGTACGTGAAAAGATAATCACCCTGCAAAACCAGTTAATGTCAGCAAAGTCCAGGTGGTCAACAATTTATGAGGCCGGATAATAAATGCTTTAGACAAAGGGAACATAATGGAAATAGGCTCCAAGCAGTGGTGCCATGGAGGAGGGGGGGGGGGGGATAACGTCCTCACATAGATTCTGTTGAGCTCTTGGAGGACGATGGTAGGGAATAGCACGTATATATTCCTGTGTTCTTATTCTCCATTCATGTGTTTTTTACCAGAGCTATTTGTCTTCTGACGCTGATATGTCTATTTGTCTTGTTCTCTGCTGTTTAATCTCATCATTAATATCATATTTTTGCTGCACGGTAGCCGAAATGAATGACAAACCGTTTTAATAAAAACATTTCGGAAAAAAAGAAAAAGGTTCGAAATAGATACTTCAGTTAATATCTTTTTATCAGCTGCAGCGTCGGAAATCGGCCCATTTTCATCTCGATTGTGGTTTGGTATCGTTTCCGCCTGCAACAAAAAATACATATGCAACTAGTAAACGGAAGACAGGTGCATAGGTTAGTTTATTGTCGTGTGATATAAGAAAATGGACCTCCGACTCACAGCATAGAAATTCGTTTTCAGCTACTGTTAATGGGCCTCACAAAATATGCAAATGCAATCAGAAGTTTGAACGTTTTGATCCAGATCGCATTGATCCTTGTTTAAGGTGTACGGAGGTTCTGTGTATATATACACATGGAAACAGTGCGTCTAGCTTGCAATTACATGTGAGCAGGTGGTTACGAAATTGGGAAGGCCATCTTGCTGGAAAATAAACACGGCTATGTACAACACCAATCGAGCGGAGACAATGGAATATACATCAGGGTTGACAAGTAGGGGCTAATGGCTTGAAATGTGGGTACTTCATTTCAGAAAACGTACGAGTAAAACCGTCCTGAGGCGATCCCCTTGACAGCTCCTTGAAAATCAGCTCAGACTGAAGGGGTACCATCATCAAGAATTGAAATTATCTTCATTATCATCATTATCATTATTACCCCATACTCCTATATCCTTGAATGAGTTGAGGACTTGAATGACAAACTACAGAAAGGGCAAGCGTATCCTCGATTTTGCAAGTAGCTGTTGCAAGGCGTGATGTAAGAACTCACGGAAAAAATGAGAGAGAGACAAAGTGGGAAAAACATCAAATAAGCGACAAGAGCAGGTTGTTCATAGCTATGACCATTTAATCAATCTATATATGATTATTCTCGCTTTTATTAGTAGGAGAATTAAATTTCAGATTTGAAATTTTGCTAGTAGCGGATCCCTTGCCACAGCAATCTACACCCTTCATACTAACTACTTTCCCAAATAAAGGAAATGTTTCACGCTAGAGCCACTAATTCACAATAAAATTATACCGACAAGTTCTTAGCAAAAGTATTCAAGAAAAAAGACAGAACCAGCTTCAAGTTTATCAATTATTTAGCAAATGTTCTGAGTTACGTGATTTGAGAGGAATATTTCCCACCACTGGATATTGCAAGATGCGATTAAGTTCATGTGCTAGCTCATGCGATCAATACAACACATTTTCTTAAAACGCTTGAAATGAATCGGATTTCCTAAACCGGAGTACGGAATTTCGTGTGGGCATATAAACGTGCAGGAGTTAGGAATTTGTGTTCATAAATTTAAACATAAAGTTGAAAATGGTGCATTTGGGCCAGATAGGTTACTCTACAGCAAAATTTTAGCACAATGAAAAAAGTTAAAACTGCTTTTAACTCCCTTAACTGGGTCAAGCTAACATTTGCTACGTTCTGTTACTAAGAACAATAGTTTAGTGACACAAAAAAAATGTAAAAAGAAATGGAACGAATGGAATACTTGTTTAATGCGAATAAATGGGAAGCAAGAAGAGTGCTCAGTGTTGATATATGAAGTGTCATACAAGAATACAACGAATAGACAGCGATTGACGGCCAATCACCGAAATAAACACTTAAATTTGTGCAATTACATCAAAGAAGTCGTATTTCTCTGTCTGGATAGGTTGGTAATTAAACATTCTAACACAGACGACAATCTTTATTCTCTAAGATCAATTTATTCCGAGCCATTGACGATGTAACGCGATAAGCAACCTGCAGAATTTAGGCTATCAATGAACGAAAAATGAGAAAAAAGGTATATTTTCTCTCATGAAAAACATTCACCACCGCCTAACAAAAAATCTTTATAAACAAAATATGAATAAAAAAATATGAATGAAAAAAATACATTAACTTTGAGCAGAACACTGAAGGTTTGATTGAGGGATACCATGATACTGGTAGCATCATTATTTCGCGCTTCCAGCACGCAAATTACAATTTCATATCGAAAATGAAGATACAGAAGACTGTTGATATGAAAATAAACATCGTCAACTGTTCAGGAATAAACAGAGTTGGGCAGAATAAAACTTAAATCGTGCCTTGACTTACACAGTGTGTATTCCGTTTGAGTTTGAAGAGCTGGCTTAGCCGCCTCTTCATATTTCCCTTCAGATGCATGGATTGCACCCACTCGGCTGATTGAAAAATGCCTTTTACAGATCACGTTAAAGCACTAGCGAGTTAAACCTCGTCAGAACCAAGAAGCTCGTGTCTTCATTGTCCGTCGTTGTATGAATTTTTTTCACTATACCATACATCACATGATAAGAGCCTCAGAAGCAGGTGCTCTTCGCAAAACAACATACTCTATATGCCCGACTTGTAACCACTTTATCCATCCATATCAGTAATTTGGGAGCAATTCCACTGATCCGCGGGCAAAACCTGTTTGCTTCTAAATCTTTGATGACAATGCAGGGGGAGTAAAATGTTGAAAATTTGGAATAAAAACAAACTTTTGAAACAAATCGTTTTGCATTCAGTATTACTCCATAAACCACAAGCTGCAAATCACGTTCAAACTGACCTTCCGTAGTTATAAATTAGAGTTATCTGATACCAGGACGGCTCATCAAAACATAAAACGACTAACATTATTATCTTAGAAAAAAGAATAAATCAAATTCATTGGATCTCATTCTTCTTGGCTCTCGCGATTCTTCAATCTGGCTAAGTCTTTGTTTTATTTCTTTCCATTATGGCTTGACATAATTTGATAGCCGAAAACAAAAAACATTATAATCGAAACATTAGAATAAACTTATCACTTTTTGGAAACTAAAATTGTTATTCATGCTACTAACAGGTACTGATAAATTGAGATAGCGAGATTCTTAGAAAAAGAACTTTCCTGTTCAATTGATTGCTATGGAATTATTTAAGTCGCCAATCAAAACATAGATAATTTTTCCAGAGAAAGAAATATTGATTCTCTTTTATACTTTATCGCTATTATTCCGAGGACAGGTTGCTGGTTACGAGACTACTTACACGGTACTGGGATGTACATGGAAGTTTTCCCATGAATTGCACAATATGAAATGCAGCTTGACTCTCCCCCTTGATCATGTATGAAGGTGACTAAAAGCATTCAACTAGCTTATTGATTTCATGCATGGAAATGAGGTTAAATCTTGATTACTTCCGTACATTTCTTTGTAGGTTCTAAGTAAATACAGCCAAGCCCAGTGACTAGACTTTGTATTAATCCACAATTTCCTCAACTCGAACAAACTTTTCTTCAAACTAAATGTTAGAATTATAAGTTGCTGGATGTATCATTTGACGGCAAAAACAGCCATGTCTCCAAAAATTGGGTGCGAGAAGGTTCGAATCCTATTGAACCTTAGCTTGATGGTATAGCCTGCGCCGCAGACTGTACCTGAAGTGTGAAGGAGAAGAGGAGCTGTACGTGTGCATGTGTATGTCGGGCAGAGGAGGAGCACGTGTATATTATGGTTCTGATATAGACGGTTAAAAAAGCCCGGGTGTCTATCTTTGTGGCTTTTACGTCGAATGCCTCTACCTCGCATCAGCTGCCAAAAAACACAGCCAGGGTAAACAGTGAAAAACCCTTGCCTTGCGAGATCTCTTGTTTCAAAAGTCGGACGAACGAATAATGAAACGAACACCGGGTGTTTGCTGCCAACACGTTGCGAAAGAGGACTGTTTGTCTATCAAAAGAAACTTGGACTAACGCTGGAAACATGGAAACAGCAGTTAAGACTGAAGAATTTCATCTCTGTTAACGAATGATAAGAAGAAGATTTCACAATGGTAGATAAACTTTGTATCAACTGGAGACGAAAATTTAAGATCAAGAATTTTGATTGCAAAATAGCAACAAAAAATTGCAGAACAATATTGTCTCATCATGTTTGTAGATCTTTAATACTAACAAACAAAGTGAGACTTGAAACTTCCGAAGTAGCAAGAAAAGAAACTCATTCCCTTGTCTGCCACTGAGATTTGAGATAAAAATTGCAATAATCTGGCCAGTTTCCTTGATAAAATTCATCATAACTTTTTGCCACGACATGTTTGATTTTAAAAGCGATGGGTTTTCAAAGACCCCTATTTTTAAAACAAATAAGCAAATTTAAAATGGAACATAAAGAAAAAACATTTCTGAGTAATGAGTTTTGGAAAAATTTGTAAACATTTCGTTTTACTTCTCGTTTTGCCTTTCTTTGTTTTTTTCTTTTGAATTTACTACGGACATCAATTAGATTTATCTATGGCTACTTTCATTTGTAATTTTCATAATAAAATTTGTAACTAGATAGCAAGTAGGTTTATAGAACAGGATGGTTCTAAGTTGCTTCTTCAAACAAACAATGACAGACATTCACAAATACATTCCATCAATTTATCTTATAATGTCTCGGCAACAAGATAATACGCATGGGGTTAAAAATCGGTTAGAATAAACGGCTAAGGTTTTTTTGCATTAATTTACGAGCCTTTTTACGTCAGTTTGAACAGGCATACGGGATGGCATCTCGGAGGCAGCATTCAAAAACAGCATTGAAAAACTGAGAACCACTGTGTGATCGGTACTGTAACCCTTTAATGAAGATATTCAAAAAACGACCATGCAAAGGAAACCTCCATGTACCTCCATGTGTTTGAATACAAATGTGAGAAAGACAAAGAAAATGGAAAAGTAAAACAGATCCTCCGTCTAAGACATTTCAAATTCATAAAATCTTTGCGTACTCTCTGTCAAGCTACTTGAAGGTGAAAAACAGCACATGAATTTGTTGAACGGGTGCTTCGATGGCTCGTAGTTTCCAAAGAGTAATTAAAGATGGAAAGAGAGAGCGTCTCAAATCTTGGTTCTTGCATTGACCTTCAAATTTTTCAACAGATTTGATCGTAGGAGACATAATTTCAGTGGATGATAAGCTCGCTCTTAAACTGCAATACGTTTCAAAAACTTTGTTTTCCCTACACATGCGTCAAGAGTACATCACTTGATCTGAGATAAGATATGTCATCTCTAGACAATTTATGGTGTTATTAATAATCAATGTTCGTCACGTATTGTTTTGCATAATATTATATCTACAATTACAGCTGCATGAGTCTTATCACCAGACGGTTCTAGCCATGAAATTATGCAGACTGTTATTATGTCTACAGCAACAATGATCTAAAACACTGGATTTACAGTCAAGGACAGACGGTGTTGAGATTTTGAACTACTGAAAAATACACTCTCTAACTTCGAATAGGGATGGGGGAGGGGGTAGATGCTGGACAACACATGCATGTTATCCGACAGGAAACTAGGTCTATCAAATTAGGCCCTGTCAAAAATCGTCAATAGTCGCTCAAAGAAAAGAGAGAGATGAAGGGATAGTTCTATCGCAGGTTTTCTGTTCTATGGAAGTTCAAAAGAAGTGCTTTGAAAAAAAGAAAGATGGGGAAAGATTTGTTGCAGATGCAAAGAATTTTAGATTCTGCAATTCATATTTGTACAAGAACCTTTCATTGCAGGTACAACATTTTAGGTAGCAAGGACTTTGACAGAAATCTTGACGTGCGGTATTCTAATAGTAGTACGCTTAGTGAAAAATGTTGCTTTCCACTCAATTGAACGATCTTTTAACAATTACTGATTCTAAAAAGTCTCCATATTCCTATACCGAAAAAGTAAAATATCTCTTTCGATAAATAGCGATGTGCTTCAAAGAGCAATCCTTTTTGAAGACAAACAAGTGCCTTAGATTATCTTATCTAGTACGATAAAATACCTTAGAAGTTATTACCTATTTAAGTGAAACGATAAAATCACAAGCCTTACCTTTGTGGCTTCGGCCTTGGAGACCGTTTCTTGCATAAAGTACTTCCCAGTGTGGTTGGGGGCCGTGCCGTTCAGCTTTGACAATGGTGTCATTCGTTTGTTTATGATCCTTTCTCTGTAGATCATCATGGTGACGGTATCCCCTGAGCTCGTCAGAATGGCCACTGCATCTTCGTGTCTGCATTCCTGTACGTCTTGTTCATTTATCTACAATGAAAACATATTCCAGTTACTCTGTTGTTCGCTACGAAGGTATGTCTCTTCAAGGAAAGTGTTTCTTGAATCTAAAGAAAAATTAGGGCAATGTTGCTTAAGAAAGTATGCAAATAGCGGGTTTTGGAAAAGCTAAGGTGGAAAGCTTTGGGAATTTTTTTTTTGAATGTGTGATAATGATTAATCGGGCTGCAGATCAAATCAAATCAAATGACCGGGAATGGTGAGTTTGAATATCAAAAGCCTTACAAAAAATATGTTTCACAGCAATTGCGTAACAGACTTGCGAATGATCCCGAAATTAAATGCTGAATGCAGGATTTCTTTTACTCCTGGCCATGAAAGTTTGATATGATACCCTGCAGACAGCTCGTGATTAAGAAAGGCCGTGAAACAAACAATATCTTAAGCATGGCAACAGCTAATTGTTAAATGTTATTAAACGGATGTTATTAAATGTTATTGTTAAATGAATTGTGTATCTGCCGTTCACGAGCAAAAAAAAGCAGAAACTTTTCTAGGAGTTTTGAAACAAAATTAGAGTCAACTATTTTGATAAATCCAGAACAAAACTGAACGAAGCAAAAACAAACAAAAAACAACCATTAGGACTTTATCGCCAACACGCAAGCGCCCATCGGCTGCAGCTGGCCCATTCTCTGCAATTTTGCTTATGAAAATACCCTGAAATTGCATGAAAAGAAAACAGCGGTGAAGGGCAAGCAACAATTAAGAAACGAAGAGGTACTGCGACAAAAAAATGATAAGGGAATGCAACGGGAAATGCGCATCAGAAGTGCATTATCTATTTAAGAGGTAATTAAACAAATTACAAGTGTGACGTAAAAGACAACAGAAATCGTTGGCGATTGATGCCTTATCATAATGTGAAACATTCAGCAAATAAAAATCCAGAAAAGCTTGTTTTGTGAAAAAACGTTTTCTAAATCTTCACTTGGTTCATAGCTTGGATTATCATTCGCTTGCAAAGGTTCATCATGTCAAGAAATTCATAATCGTAAATATGACATATAATGTATCAATATTGTTTATTCAAACACTAGAGAACAGTGATATATCACTCTTTCAATCACCCTAAAAAAACAAACTTAATATTGAAAATCATGACAAGATCCAAGATAAGACAATCAACTTGATGCCTTGATGCCTTAACAATACGTCTACAGGACGGCTTATGTGGGATTCACAAGATCAAATTCGGCAAGCAGCAAAATTGTCTATCTTTAAGGCAATATATCTCGTTTAGCATCAATGCAGTTTAACAAGATTCAGCTATAGCATCATAAATACTTACGTATCAATACCTTTAAGTAATCGATATACCTGTGTGCTAAAAGTCTTACTTAGTCATGATTACGATTTCAAACAAAAGGGCAGAGAGGTGATGCTTTGCATGCATGCTTCATCAATCTATATTGTTTTCATATCGATGCTAGTTGCAATCATAGTTAACAAGAAAAGGTGTTTTGCAGATGGATAGATGAAGAACAGTTAAACATAGATGAAAGACGTAAGCGGTGACCAAATCCTGAATAATTTAAAGGACCGCAAGCGTGACTATCCTGCACTGGTGCTTAAGAAGATCCAGCCATCTTTGTGATGAAATACGCTCGAAAAGTAGCACGAGGAGAAAGCAGCCTTCAAATTGAATATGATTTCCATAAAAAGCAGCCTTTAAATTGAATATGATTTCCATAAAAAGCAGCCTTCAAATTGAATATTATTTTCATAAAAAGGTGTTCTCTCTTCACCATCCACAGTCAAATCCGTTTACAAATTCCAGACTTACCCTTAATCAATTTAAACAATTAAGCTTCTGTCTAGCTTCGACATGTGAGATCTTTATCTTATAATTACAGACATTGTCAATTTGGTTGAAATCTGCTCAATTTTCTATGTGCTTTATTTATCACTTAGAAAAGCATCCAAAACTTTTTGAGCTTTAAATGATTTTGAAATTTCATGAACTTTTTGTCAAACCATCCCAAACTTCAAATTTTCATGGCTAACGCTTAACTATCTACTAAAACCCTTAAAAAAGGTGCTTTGAAAATAATTAAAAGTTATATATCTCGAAGAAATTTAATAAAACACGTACTGGGTCACTCCCTTTAAATGGAGTTGAACCAAATCCTCCAGCTATGCTGAAACCGAGGCCACGCCCGTCTCGTTTCAGGTCCACAGTCAGTGTCTGAAACGAAACCCAATTCAACGATTAGCAATAATTACTTCAGAAAGCCAATGCTTTGCAAACAACCTTTAACATTTAAAAGCGAGACAAATAAATTAAACATACAAGTTGCGATCAATGGATCTAGTTTGACTAGGTGATCACGGGAACTATCAAATCTTTATAAGTGCCATGAGAAAGTTCCCTGTGATACGAAAGCCCATGTAATTAAGGGGCTAAACGTTGTTGGAACATTACAATTAATCGCATGTAAGCCCAACAAAATCTCTAGTATATTTGTAGCCATACTGAGCAGCTCTATTCAACATTAACTTGCAGGGCATTTTCCGTAGGTTTTTATACACCTGTTCATTCCAAACACGTTGTGAAACAGCCTGTTCATTAAACCAACTTTTCTCGAAAAATCAACAACATAATTGCCAGTTATATATCTCTGAATCTTTCAAAAGTAAACCTTGTCTTGAAAAGTGAGATCTGCATCTGGGAGGGATGTTTGCTTGTTTATATGGAGTGATTTAGGTTTCATAAGGAGGGCTCGGAGGGTGAAAAGAAAGACTGTGATGTTCACAAAGATGGCTGTAAGGTTGGCTGTGAGGGAACGAGGTTCACCAGAACCGCTAGAATGCTCAGAGGAAAGGCTGCGATGATTAGAAAAATGGATAGAACATTGGCAATAATCTTAGGGTATAATGTTCATTATAGGGTACAAGGTATAAGGTATAAAAGGTGGGAGGTCCACAAAGAGAGCAACGATGTTCGCTTTGCCATATCGATGTTTGCTTTGCCATATCGATGTTTGCTTTGCCATGTCGATGTTTGCTTTGCCATGTCGATGTTCGCTTTGCCATGTCGATGTTCGCTTGTCATATCTAACCTGACACAACAGCTGTTAAAAGGGCCGGATCATCTCGTCCAACCGCCACGTGGGATTAGCCGATCAGCTCTCAAATAAATCCGTTAAAATACGATTACTCTTAAAATAAACACATCAAAACTGATTTAATTTGATCAAGAACTCACTTCTGTAGCTACTTCAATCTCTTCCATTTCCGGTTCAGGTGCAAAGCGCACGTTTTTCTCTTCCCTTTGTGCCTAAAAACATAAACTACTTTTAGAAGCCTTAGATTTGCCACCATAAACAAGAGTATTTGTCGGCCTTGTAAAAAACTATGACATCATTCAAGGGCAAGCATTCAAGGTTTAATTTTACCCAAACAAACGTCTTCACTTGTACATCAGTAGGGCAATGGCTTTATCTTTTAAGCCTTCGTGTGACACAAAAGGACACTGGAGTTTTACCTGCCTCAAAAATTTAAGTAGTCTTTATTCACCTGAAGCGCAGTTTGAATTGCATCTTCATCTGTGATTTCCCTTAAAACTATAAGAGTCACCTCTTTGCCTGCATTTTTTAGTGTCATCACCGCCTCGTAATGACTCATTTCTGAAACATCGACCTCGTTCACCTGCAAATGGGAAAAACAACCTTGGTTGTTCCATAACAAATCAATGATTTTTAACTACACTCCAATTTCAAGACAGTCTATTCATGACTTTCTTATTCATAAAAAGTTTAGTACCTCAAAAGATTCACCAAAATTGTAAATCTAATTGGAATTTAAATACTCCACAAAAAAAACCAAACCTTGACAATTTTGTCACCAATTTGAAGGATTCCTTCCTGGTCAGCCGGCCCACCCTCTGATATCTTCGATATAAATATACCCTGAAAATGAAATTAGAAATTAACACTTTATAATATTATATTTCCAATTTACCTATTATCGAAACTGTAGTTATTACTAGCAATAAATGACCCTTTCAACTGTAATCTTTCAACTGTAACTCAGAAACTTCTTCTCCCAAAGTACAGTGATGCAAATTACAAGGCATTGACTATACAATTTTTAAATATGTTTGTCAAAATAATTGTATCTTCAAACTGCTCTCGACTATTATCCATTCGGATCTTCTCCTTCTGTACTAATTGTTCACGTTGGTTGGCAAATGGGCTTGACTGAAACAGGTTCGTAAATATTAAGTGTTATGATATTGTGTGTCATATTGTTTTCAATTCTGTGCATGAAAATAAGATTTCATTCGTGAATCACGAATTTCGAGGCCTGAATCCATATTTTGGGGATTAAAACAAGCCATTTTCAGTATAGTATCAGTCACAATACTCGCTTCGCAGGCGGGACGTAATTGTGCAAATGAGCGCAAGGACTGAACAATTCCAGTCTCCTCTTTATCCACATTGCTTATCCTGCTGTCCATAATACGTCCTCCTGCGAAATCCATTTTTGGCATCTAAGACCTATTAGGATTATCTTATATTACACAACTTAGGGTTGGTCTCAGCAAACTGAACTTTCACAAATTCAAACACAATTTTAGGGATAAAATAAACTTCAATAAGCCCCATAAATGATGGCATTGAGGATACTGAGCACTTTTTGTTGCACTGCCCTCATGAGAATGGGGCAATCACCCCCCAATACTTTAGAGAACAATGGTCTTTGGTTCTAAAACAATGGGAAACGTGACATCATCTTATTAAAACAATAGGTTTGCTCCCCCCATATTTGACCAAGTGTCCGCCCCTGGTTGACATAGTACTTTGCTCTCCGGGGTATCACCCTGGTAGTGTTGTGGAATAATTTTCTGTAGGTAAAGTATTTCGTAATATGTACTTGTAATTGTGGATTATATACATAAAAAAATTCAGTCAGGTTTGCGTACTTTTCCGTAAACAATTGTAGTATTTATGCACACACAATGCATTTATGAAGCACAAAAATCAATGTTTACCGGTTCATGACATAGTGCTCGATGCCGTATAGGCAACTCTGTAACAGCTCTGATGTAAAGAGCAGGACAGTTCTAAGTTGCAACTCCGAGTTTCACGCTTGATGCAAGATGCGATCACAAGACAACTGCAAACTACTCTCGATGTTGATGCCATTATATTTAGTCACCAAAGTATAAAGCTATGCACATGTAAATATTGCAAAAAATTCATTGTATCTACTTCCAGACACAAGTACATGCTCTATGGAACCTTCCTTCCGTTTTAATAGTAAACTGGTAAGTGTGAGGATTAACATAGCCTTTTAAGTCCCCACCGTTATGTTCCCTGCAAACCTTCACCAACATACTACCGTAACAAATCAACCGCAAATTAAAACTACCATATACTACCACAATATACGAAAAATATCAACGAGTACTACGACCATATAAATACACTACCTCTTCGTCGTCTTTATACGGTGCTGTTCCTTTACCCCCAGCTATATTGATTCCAAGGCTTTGCTCGTCGCGAATAATAACTGTGCTTATCTAAAATTGAACAAATTAAGGCATCTATACATCTGTGTAATCATGCGTTTTGAACAAACGGCACTGTTGGAACTAATACAAGGAAGTCGTGAATGACCATATGTGCTGTCTTACGTTAAATCCCCGAAAAGAAGGTGCTTGACGGCCTAAGACCGCGATAAAAGTCTTAGATTACTAAAGACCTCAGGAAGCATACCGAAGTTTCATTCTTGATATCACCTGCTTTAAGGGAACCCTTACCAATGCTTCCACTCGGAAGGAAATTTCCTTACCAGAAGGATTTTTAGGGAATTTGCAAGGGGAATAAGACGGAAATAGAAATTCGAAGAAAATAAGGAATTGCAAGAAAATTCAAAGGCAAATTATGAAAGGGGTTTATAATGTCCATTGCTTGCTCTACCAGCTTAAAAATATTGCTTACAAATGCATCAGCAGAGGCGATAACACTTACAATTATTTAGTGCTTATTATGGCACTAACTAATTGTTCTCAGGTCAAGTAAAGGGTTAAAAAGGGTGGCTGTTAATCTTTGATGATGAGTATCTATTTTTCTGTTAATCAATATTGCTAAACAATTAACAATTTTCAACTGTTTTGTTTCTGCCTCTGTAACCTGAGACTAATTTGTGGGTGACATTTTATTGTTAAATTTAGGTCAACTAAGTAAACTTAACTCAAGCCCGCTGTAGCTTAGCAAGGCAAGCCTTTTGAAGTCTAGTTGGAGGAGGATACATGTGGGAGGAAATCAGAAATAAATTTCTAATTTCAGGGAAGGAGATCTTATCAAAAAAGGGAAAAAGTTAATTCTCACTTTCGGAAGGTGGGGGCACTGTCACTTGCATCAAAAACTAATTAAAAAACTTACAATTATTATATATACTTTGCGTGTTCTTCAAATTATTTCTACACTTTCAAGAATTATCAATCAATTCCTTCCGTTGCATTGAATATGCGTACTCGTACTTGCTTAATTCGCTTGTTAACAGCAATCAAAGAGAATAATTTATTATGAGCAATACAGTACCTCTTCGTAGACTTTGGTGATAGTTTTTTGCTCGCCACTGAGATCTTTGACGTCATCGTGACTATTCTCTTCATTTTCTTCCTCTTCTTCCTCAATAAAAGCGTTCACTGCAGCGGTTCTTAGATTCATTCTGTTCTTCATATCTGCAGGCCTAGGAGTGTCTCGTCTTGCTAATTTACACTGAGAGTCTACAAAAACGGACAAAAACATGACAGGATTGCAAACATAGAGCATTTCAGTCTCTCAAGAAAACGCAAAAACTGTATTTTTAATCTAAGGACCACACAAAGAATCCTTGAGATTTTAAAGAGAAAAGGGGACAAGTTTGTATTGATTAATTTATCGTCAAAACAGAATCACTAGAACAACGTTTTACTATAACATAGACATATGTAAACTACAAAAAACATTCGCAAAGGTGTGCAGATGATAAAAATGTAATGAAAATAGCAAGTTGTATAATTTTAGCAAACAAATGCTTTGCAAATAGCAAGATTAAATATCAGACATACAAAATGTCAGACAAGAATGCAACGTAAACAAAAACTACAAAAGATCCTGAATGGAGATTTGTATATGAAGCGTCACAACCAAAAGCAACATGGTTTGAAAGTCTGTAAGAGGACTGAATCAACCCACCCATTTCTTCTTCTTCAGGATTCGCATCAATTTGAATAACCTCAGCATTAAACCTCGTTTGCACAATCCGTCTACGACCAACACTTGCCTCTTCTTCTTTATCTGGCACAGCGAATTTCACCGTTGAAGGGCCGGCGCTCTGAGGAGAAATTAAAATCTACGCTCATTCATATGCTTGTGTGGCCATTTCTCAGCCAATTTGTAACAAATTTAACTGATTTTGCACATTTAGAGGTATTTCAAAACACTTTTTGGGATATATGGGCAAAACTGAAAAATCTAAAATAGATTTTCGTGACGCCATCATTTCGGTACTCTATTCTCTATTCACGATCGACAACTTAACCATTCTGATGAAAGACCACTCCTCTTAAAAATTGTATGGGCGGGGAATACACCAACTGGAATAATATTCACACGGCTTGCAAACACATGAAATCTCTTCCAGATGCAGCGGGGCTTGGTCTATTCATGGAATATCAAATAACAGTTTAGCCATGTCTACATGAGTGAAAATAAACCAGTGTCATCAACATAAACTAGACACAAATATTAGGTCATTATGACCCCTTTGTTCATAAGAACCTACTTTTATTACAACCATCGATCAAAACAGAGTTTTACATTTTGGCTACAAAACACCGGGGCGATTTCAACCATGCCACTGACAAAATTAGAAATGTTTTTCGCCTGTCTCTATGTATCGCGTTGCAAAGGAAAGATCAAATTCATTCCTCTTTACAAACAGCTCCATCGATACTATTTCACTGCCTTTGCCCAATTCGCAACTAATTTGACCGTCGAACAACTTCGTAAACATCATGTAAACCTATTAGCTTTGGCGGTAATCCTGTTACATCAACTGCTCACTTTGCGGGTGCTGATACTGAATGCCACTTACTTTTCAGCATCAAAAGCTCACTACCAAACTCGAAACAAAAACACGATAGCTGACAGAGACAGGTATTTCTTGGAACGGGCTTTGAAATTCAAGGCGATCAGACATTACTCAATGTTACCACGCTAATTGGAACACTTGAACATAAAGAGACAACCGCATCAAAACCGTGATTGATCTTCATCCAAGCATAGGACAATTCACTTACCTTCAAGCCTGCAGCTAACTGTCTTTGAAAACAATCAGTTATTTCAATGTCCGCATCGTAGGGTTGCGAGAGCCCGACAGAGAAATCGAATCACAAAAAACATGGCTTTACAACACAAAAGATACCATGGTGACAAATCCTATACATATACGGGGAATCTTATGCGGTTAAATGATGTCATTTCAAGGAACGTTAAATTATCAATTTGACCTGGAACTTCATCTGACGTACTGTTTTTGAGGAGACGAGATCAATTCGGTCCCTAACTGAACGGAATTCTCGACAATTTCAAGGGCAGAATCTTGTATGATAATTCCCTTGTTTTTAACAACAGGAAACACATTTGCAAAAATTGAGAATCCAGAAAACCCCTGTAAAAATCATCATAGCTTCGCGTTTCCAATACTTTCATTAAACAGTAAGTCTTGCAACCCGTGTCTTTTTTCACCACAAAACGGAATCTTTAATTAATATTATTGTATAGTAGTATTCGGTTACCAAAAGCAAGAGTTGAACTAAGTCAATAATCGAGATCGATAGAAACCGTAACCTTTACTGCCAGAGTGCCTGATCCGAACATCAACCAGTAAAAATGTGAAATATTATGATTTTTTATACTATACATCTCGTACAAAACAGTTTGGAGGAGATAAATTTGAGTCACTGAGAATCTGCAGAAACAACGTTGAAGAAATACTGGCATTTACTTGCAATTTCGCTAGGTATCAAGGTAAGATTCCGAGAACAACAGTATCGACAAACTAGAAATAAGCTTGACTGTATCTCATGATTCGCAGCTTAAATAAGAACACAATGCACGGATCATCTTCACTGTTTTTCTCTGTAAAATCTTTTCGACATGATAAATAAAGCACTCAATGGCATTCTCTTTGATATGTGAAAGATTACATAGAATGTTGTCTTGCACCTTGACGATGTCAGTTCATCTAACCAAATAGACTTAATGGATCTCAATTTGCACACAAACAACATCTTGGCTTACCAAGGTCCTTTGCGTTTTGAAGCGATCTTTTAATTCTTATGAACGGATTTTCAAATAGTCAAGTCACTATTAGAAATGCCTTAATCATAGTAACATACATAACAGCTAGCTTAACGAGTATATATGTAACATCAATGTTTCTATGCTTTACAAAGATTAATTGTCCTATGCAATAACTGTTGTTTTTAGTTGTTTCACTACCTTTTTACAGAACTGCTTGCTATAAACCAATCAAACAAAAACGTGGATTCGTATTACATATAAATAAGTTAATTGAAATAATTTCCTCCTTTTGAAATAGGCAGACTTTTCTTAATTAGAAAGGAGTACGATTTTTTTGATGAAACATGTGAAGAGAGATTCACAACAAGAAAATATATAGGCATAACTTGTATCGAAGTTACTTTCCTGCACCAGAGGCATTGACTGTCAAAAGGTATTGGAAAATTTTGTGTTCCTACAGGTCTCTTCTGCAAGAAATCTCGCTATCAATTGGGTTCTCTTAACTACAATAGGTAATTTTTTGGAGTGGCTTTTCAAATGGTTAAGTTCGATTCTTTGTCCCAGATTTTAAATAAATATTTTAGCCCGTATCCCAACAAGACCTTTGCTAACTGACATATGAAAAACCTCTTCTGACGGACTAGTGGTTATTTTGCATTGAAGGTCATGCATGCATCTAACTACTCACATTCTAGACTTGCTTCGGGATGATTGTTAAATCAAACAAAACAGCTCTTACCTCCTCTTGTTCCGAGCTGGACTGACCATCCGAATTCTCATCCTCGCTTTCTTCTTTTGCTCCAAGGTTTGCGAGGATTTCCCGCGCTTTTTGCTCGTCACTCTGCACAATTCGTTTTCCCTTAGTGAAGTGAGGTGTATCTTTTCTCTTGAGAAGAAATCCAGTATTATCCGACTTCTCCTCGACCGAAGCCAGATCGAAACTCACAAAGCCACGTGTACCGTTGTCCTCATCCTCGTCTTCCTCACAAACAGCCTCCTTGCCAGATTCTTCGCTTTGATCCTCGTGTTTGTGTTCATGGTTCTGAAAAAAGTTTACTCATCTTAAAGTGTTCGAATGCGGCCGAAGAAAACTTTCTATGAAAAGAAATTCCTCAGCTATGTTACTGCTTGAAAATTAATTACATTCATGTTCCAATTATTAAAACCAAAAACTTGAAATTAGCATCGTTCTCAAACACGATAATACCAGCCAGCATCAACGAAGTAAAGCTAAACAAGGCCGAAAAAGTACGTGGGCAATAAAACGCTATTTGAAAATTTTCAGTGGGCATCTAGTCATTCTACGAAAAATTTAGTGAATTTATGTGAAAAGTAAGAAATCATTCTTGAGGCCTGAAGTTCTTAAAGTTCTTAGAACGATTATCTAAGATTTTAACGAATAATACATTGATGAATAATAAAAACGACCCAGCCTGATCCATGACAAAAATGGCATTCCAGCTCTGCTTGTTAGAGAGTGAAAGTTTGCATAGCAAAAATAGTCAGTTTTAACAATTTAACACTGTCAAATCTACTGATTTGTGAAGTCAGCAAAAAATTAGTGCATTTATCGATCAACAAGTAATAGAAAGGCTCAAAATACAATGATCGCTATTATTAAAACAATAAACTAGCATTTCAGTTTATCAAATCATTAATGCAACTGTCAGTGACAATAAACTAGCATTTCAGTTTACTAAATCAGTAATGCAACTATCAGTAATAAAATAAACACAAATTGTAGATCAACCAGTGAACTTATATTATGGTGTTTCGATTTGCATTTCAGTAACGACAAATACAAAGAGTCAATTACGACAATGAAGAATGTATTTTGAAAGCCTTTTGAAACTGCATGATCATAATCAGAAATCTTCAATTATATCGCTTGCAAAAAGATGCAAAACACAGTCCTAATTCACGATGTCCATGTGAAAATATTAGGGGTGTACCGGATCAAGATTTTCAGAATCCGGCCGGAACCGGGTTTTCAAAAAATCAGCGATCCGGCGCCGGATTATCCGGCCTACCGGATATCCGGTACATCCCTAGAAAGTATGTTGGATTCATTTGAAGGAAATAGCAACTTGAAGCTTTCTGTCAGTCAAATCAAGCCTTGGTAAATACTTTCTAATTCACAAATATTGCCTCACAAAGACTCGTAATAGAAATCTTCATGATCAAATTGCATTTTGCAAAATAGCAAGGTAGAATGGACGAGATTGCAAGATTTAAAAGGAATTAGACGTCTTAACAGCTAGCTTAGAATTAATTCTGATATCAGGTAAACGAATTTAAATTTGAGCTGTCAAGAAAAAAAGTACAGATAACTTAAACAGTTAACCAAATCTTTCAACCAAGATTGGATAAAATAAAGAAGCTCAAAAGGAAACAGATAAAAATATAGCCAAATCCATGCAATCAAATTAAAGGTGATTAGGAACAATGGATAAACTGGTCTACCAAATGCTTAAGGTTAAGACTGTGCAATGAAAGAAATTCGAGTTGAAGTAGCTATGACAGCCAGTGACTAAGACCAACCTGAAAGTGATTCACATTAGCACTGGGTTCCTGGGAAAATCGAACGCCGACTTCATGGTGTTTTGAATCAGTTGAGTGATGTGATTTATCTCTGGGTGGGTGTTGATCTTCTTTTTCGCTGTCCTTGAATTTACAAATGTGAAAATTAGAAAGAAAACGATTGATATTGTACTTCTAAAAGAAAGTTTTAGCAACTTACAACAAATAATCAAAGTTCATATTCCTTATATAAATGAAGATATGATTCTAATTTAATAGCATTCTTCCTAATGGTTTTTTCGATTTGCAATGATTGCAAACTTACTTTTTACAGTCCAAATCTATTTCGAAATTCCAAGTAGTGGAGCTGCTACAGTTTTGAAATGATGCTGATTAGATTACATAATCAGACCCCGTAGATAGTAAGCAGACAAAACACGTGACCAAACATCGAGGAAAACGTGACCAAATATAGAGGAACACATGACTAAACATTGAGGAAAACGTGAGCAAATAGCGAGGAACATGTGAGCAAATATCGAGGAACACGTGAGCAAATATCGAAGAGCATGTGACTTAACATCGATCACTAACAGCTTTTAACCCTTCTTTTCACTGAAGCACCTTTTGCTGTACGGCTGCTACTTCTGTTACAGAGGACGGATCTTTTGCCCATAACCTCCATTTTATACAATAACGTTTTTGTGGCCCTTTTCACATGGAAAATATCAAAAGTGAAGCTAAAACTCTCAACTGTCAATCAAAATCAGGTATCAAAGGTTTTCGCCCAAGTACCTCAAAACTAGAAGACCTCGTCTTCTGCAGCATCTTTTTTGGATGTCTCGCTTTAAGGTCTTTGGGAAATGGAGTTAGTTGTCTTTGAAGGTTGCTCTACAAATACAAAACATATGCATAAACATTTCTTATTATGCAAATACTTATAATTGACATATACTAAAGAAATGGAAATTGCAAATAGGAAACCAAACAAATTAAGTGAAACAAGGTTTCTTCTCTCAAAAAAGTATTTTTTTTCAAAGCCATTTAACTTTGTAGTCTAAGACTAAGCAATCAATTGAGACAAACGAAACCAACATATGGTGAAAGCTGATGAAGCAAATTTGTACCTCTCCATGATCATCAATCTCTTCAAATTGCACAGACATTGGTCGCGGCGAAGACCACATCCTTTCTTCCGGATTTTCATAAGCTTCGTTCAAAAATTGCTCTATAAAAATGACAAGATCAACATCACAATATTGCTAAATAATTATGCTTCAATAAACACTTATATCGTTAACAGGAAAGCAAAAACGGATATTGCTTTTAGATCAGGATTTTGTAAGGGGGTGTCAATTTGAAGTTTTTGTTAATAAAATGGTTCACTCAAGAAGTTTGAAGAAAATGTTTTCTAAGGGTATGTTGAGCCTTGCCACGGTTAATAAAAACATTTCTAAAGCACCTAATTGAAACTATCAAAAGTGAAACAATATTCAAGACATTGTCTCATGGAAGCTGTTCATAGATATGATTACTTTAGAAATAAAATAATCATCATCATTAGATGGACGGAGATACCAGACATATATAGAATCTCCTTTTCTCTTTATCTCAAGCAATGAAAATGATTTTAACTGACAAACCTAGACTTTCGGCCTTCATCTGCAGTTGTGGTAAAAGAAAACATGTGAGAACTTGCTCTTCGCTGTCCTCAAGTTCCTCAACTTGCAATTTCAAAATCGATTGTGACTGTAATTAAAAAAGAAAAATTAACATAAAAAGAATCTTTACACAATTTCATACTATTAGGTTGCTGTGCTCAGGATACTAAGTTTAAAACGCAAGCAGTAATGCATAATTGACTCTTTGAATATAAGTTTAGAATATTTGAATAGGCAAAGAAGATCTTTAAGAAAATTATAACCATGAATACATCTTTCAGCACAGTGTCTAGTGGATCTATTAACAGGAAGAGACAAACAAAAAGGGGGTTTACAAACTACCATATGCTACCATACCTGGTTCGACGACAGCCAAAGCGCCTTTAGAGGTAATCCTGACACAGTGATTGGCAGATTCGGTAACCTAAAAAAGGAATTCGAGTTCAGGCATGTTTCCCCGCGTTTGAGGACACGTAGGTAAAATGGCTTTAGTCTGATCAAAATAAAAGACAATGTGCAGCTACCGGAACATTGGTTTGTTCCATAAACTAACCAAGATTTGTTCCTAGCGGCACACGAAGTATTTGATACCAAAAGCCAGTATGAGATCTTCATAAGAAACGTTTAAGTTCAACGATGAGAAGAAGCCCAGGGAGTGGGGTACTGGAAGATATTTGGATATGGGTCGCCCAGTTACGTCTTTGGGGGTGACAATTTCATTCCATTTACTCTTTGGGGCCTTTAAAATTTTGAATTATCAAACCTAAGAAATTCTAAATCGCCTTTAAACGCTCATTTAACTGAAAAGAAACAGAGCTATCCTTCTTCTCATGAAATCAGGTTGACAATCTTAACTTTTTTCTGTTATTTTGTGGCGTCCAAATTTTCAATATGATTTTTTGCTGGTATATTTAGGGCATGTGTGAACAAAGGACCCCTATCTGGTTTTCGGTACCCACAGGTGTAAAAGGCTCTTGATATTAAAAACTTCATTGAGAACAACTTTCCTAAGTTTTCTAAATCATATCAAGAAAGAGTTAAGGCAAACTATACTATATAGCAAATTATAACAAGTGATGGGAAAAATACAGAGATCATTAAAAGCTACTTTAAACCTAAAAATTTTACGATATCGGAGAGGTGATTTTCAAAGAGAACTTAGTCATTTTAGAGATTACACATTGCATACATCATGAATATACACAGGCTTAACAGTGGAACAACTATATAATTTCAAATTCCCTTTGTCTAAATTGAAACAAAGGTTTTTTCCGAATTTTTTGAGACTACACCCTACAAGCCCAAACAAACCCATTGGTCGCCATAAGTGCTAAAGAAGAATGAGATTAGAAATCATGATATGTACCTGTTTCCTGAAAGATCAAGAACAGTCAGATTTCGACAATTTCCAATCTGCTTTGGTAACTTGGTGATGTCATTATTCCTAGCAGATAAGACACTCAGACGTGTGCAGCTGCCAATCTAAAAATCAAATTATCCGTAATAGTAAGTAACTGCGAATGTGTTTTGGTAGAGTTTTGGTGGATTTTCGTGGAAACACTGCAGATGATGATAAAAAAAGTCTTCTGCTACCTCATTAATCATCGAAAACACCCCAGTTTAATCTTCAACAAGCAAAAAATTCAAATTTGATACGATGTGCAAACTCAAACACATCGGGAATCAAACATTCACACGCAATGAATAGAGTTTTGATCGCAGTATTTGGGAACACTGTCTTGAATGTCTAGGTTTGCTAATTTTAAAAGATAGAGGCTACAAGACCATGGTTGACCGTTTTCAAAAATATATCCAGGGTTTATGAAGTAGAAGGCTCACATTTAAAAATAGGTTTGTGTAGGCGGCGAAGGTTGGTGAGCAAGCGGGGGACCTTCGCCGGTTGTCGGCTTCTGATGAAATCCCTGTATATCAATTGAATTATATAGCAATTTGTAATCAGAAACACAGTTTTAACAGTCTCTTATAATGAATCTTACACTGAAGTAAAGAAAGCTTCTTGAAAGTGTCTAAGGGTCAACCTAAAACATGCACCAAGATCATGTCATCAAGCTCCTTTCAATTAAAAGTTACGAAATCAAAATCAGCCTCAAGTCCTTGAGACATCCTAAAGTTTAAGACCTTTTTTAAAAAGTAAATCTTGTTCTTGAATACAACAGAGTATGCAGGCCCAATGTTGATAAAAATTAAACTAATAGGCACATTTTACTTATCATTGAAATAACTTATCATAAATATATACTCTTTTGTGTTACTAGATATTACAGCAATCATGTCCTCGGAAACAACTATTTTCATTATCAAACTAAAGGAATTGGAAATCACTTCTACTCATCTTACTCTTTAAATACAATTTATTGTAGTGCGTATGATCATAAATACAGACAAGAAATAATTGAGCAAACAACAAAGAAAAAACTTGTATTAATTGATATTGGTTCAATGTGCTGCTCATGAAAATATGCAAAAAGCGCTAGTTTAACTTTTGAGAGAGGTCCTCCTTTAAGAAATTCCCCTCATACATTTAATTTTGTTCCTATATTTTTTCAAACGTTGTACCATTTTTCTGTTTCATTGCATTAAATTAATGTGCATTTTGCTACTCTTGTAATCTTTAATTATATGTTTATTTGGAATTTAATATGTATGCATGATGAGGAAGCTAAATTAAAAATTAACTAAACTGTGCTGCTCAATATATTCATAACAATATTGCTGATAGCGATAGCTAACTTACTTCTGCGGGAAGCGTAACCAGTCTGTTCTTGTCGATATTCATATGATTCAATTTGTGGAGTTTGCCGATAGCAGAGGGTAGGCCCTGGAAAGGTGAAGAGAATGCTTAAGGATTTCAAATATCTGATCCCGATTGAATGCTGAAAAAAAAGAAACTAAACTTTCATGATATTAGTATGTTATGGTATATATGTTATTTTATAAATATATAATATACGGCAATGCATAATTAACGATATATGGAGCATACTATAACATGTACACTTCTTCTTGATCATGACCAGATAATTTCTGCCGAGGCCTGATATTCTTAAATTCATGATAAACTTAGATCTAAGTGCTCTTAACGTTGTTCTTATTTCAAAATTGATTTTTCTTCAACTAAAAATTGCTTCTAAGTTCACTAAATAACAGTTATACGGGACACTTTTAGAAGCACAGTTGATTAGCTGATTAAACAACTTCTGTTTTGTTGACTAGAGTGTAAATTTCCAAAACACTTTGCTTTTTATCCTGGTTTCATCTGAGGTTGGCCATGATCTTAAAGTGCTTCTAAGGTTCAAAAATCACCACACCTTTTTTGTTTGAAACCAATGTGAAATTTTTTGCTGATTTCGATGAACTGAATTGTTTCCGAAGATAGAATGTGAAAAGACTGTTAAAAGGCTCGGAAAGCGCCAAAACACAGAATAGTGGCAAAACAAAGCATGTCTGCTGCAGTGATTTAAATTGGCCTAGCCACACAGAAACGTTTATGATTATGCTTAGAGAGCTCGAGAGAGAGCTCACAAAGGGTGAAAAGTGAACTGGACTTTATGAATTATCTTTTTTTATATATATTTAATCTAGCTTCGTAATTTAATTGATATTGTTACCAAAGAAGGACTCAATTCGTTGAAATTGTTGTCAACAACCGCTTGTGTGGATCGAGCCACGTGACTCTAGGCCTCCAATTACGTCACCGATTCTTTGCTTCGTTCAAAGCTTAGGCCAAACTTTGAACGGCAATAGCAATAAAATGAGATGCGATATAGCAATTCCGAACAAAGAATTGAATCCAGATTGGTAAAATGTATCTTTCAAATTAAAGTTATTTTTTACCTTAGAGGCACTTTAAGATGTTCTTAAGATTGATTTCTGAACTTATGAAGTGTTTTCTTATAAAAAAGGGAACACAAAACCTGTAACGAATTAGAATTGGCTGGCAGTGACCTTTACATAAGACATCAAAGACCGAGTCTGTTCTCACTAATCCAAACTAAATTTTAACTGTTTCACATTGTTAAAAACTGGTACAATCAATGCCGCGCACGTATATATCTATGAGAGAAAACTTCATTTTCAAAAAATCCAATTTTGAAACAGTTGAAGCTTGCGCAGGAAAATTCTTGATTAGATAAACTGACACTGCACAGAAGAGCGGGATGGAAACGTAATATGAAGAATACAATTATTCAGAAATACAAACAAGTTGAAAACTTACATCAAGCGAATTATCGGTCAATATTAACTCTGTCAGCGATGACAACCTGATTGAAAAATGTGCATCGAATTCGATTAGAGAATATGCAAGGTCAGGAAAAATTGAGCATGCCATTAAGAGGTGATCTTTTAAAATCAATTAATCAACTTATTTTCCTAAAACCATTCGGTCTATTCTGAATTCACAGGCAGCATAATTAGCTGGCCAACTTATTAGCTGCTTTAATTCCAAATCTCGTCACGTTTCAGATAATTTTATCTACTTCCTCGTTGCGATTTTGCTTTGAAAAAGGAACTAAAACATAAGAGAGTTTCTGACCAGCGTCCTTCATGTACTCAATATATGCTTCATGTGACCAGTTTACTTGAGAAAAAATTCCAAAAAAGATTGCAAGTGGCTTTTATATCGGATTTCTTACACAAAGGAAACACTGTGAGTTAAAAGACTGAGAAGATGGCTTTGTAGATGGTAATTAAGCAGTATTGGCAGAAAAAAAAGTATTAATAGTTGCAAACATGAACACGTACCCGCCAATGGCTGGTGTCAGCTCGTCAAGATCATTAACGTCAGCTTTTAAGATTGACAGCTTCTTCAACTTTCCTGGAATAAATTTGGGCAATAGAAATTTTTACTATTTTATATTAAATTTCAAAAAATGACGACAACCCTAAAATCATGACAACCCCTTAAAAAATTTAAAATTGAGAAAACTACTGTGTTACAAATCCCTGCTCTGATTTAAATTGAAGAGCCTAACTACGACCCAACAGATTTCTGTAACTTGGTATGTAGGAATCACGAGAGTGAAAATACGTTGAGAAGGGAGTTTCTCAATAAATGTAGCTTCTCGGTCACCACAAATATACCCTTTAGATGTTTCGCAGAAAACAAACCAAAACATTCACAAACGTCTCATAAATCTAAGGGCCAGGGCTCACTTGTCCTGTCCCTTCAAGTCTTTGTGCTGTAGTGACATGATGTCTTCGATTGAGTAAAGGTGCTCTCAAAAAAGCTCAGGATTGAGTGGTTGAATAAACTGGGTTGTCTTTCAGTTAAACTTGAATGTCTCGTTTTTTCTTTTGGTATCGAAACTTATATGCGAGGATCAAATTTAACCTATTCAAATCTCTTCCGTTATATTTTTGAGTGTACGAAATTCCAATCACTTATGGGTGTACGAAAGTCTTGAGCGATATTCAGAAATTACAGAAATCCGAGCTAGAAAAATAAAGTTTATATATTTTTTTATATGTATGAAGCAATGAGCAGTCAAAGCTATTAATCTGAACAAGCAATGTCTTGAAACGTAAGCAGCATGGTGAGAAATTCTTCAGAACATTTTCGCAACAGCAGAAAAGAGGAATCCAGGTGAAGTCCTAAAGACAAGATGGTTTGTTTTTTAACCTAAACACCAATTGCTAAAACGAAGCTGATTGGCAAGAGATCTGATGATTCGAATTAATATTTCAAAATATGTGGTTTGACTGGTATTTAAATAAATATTTATGATGTTATTACGGCATGATTAAATGCAAGAAGCTTAATCTTCAAAATAATCATTCGTATTTATACAAATAAGTCATATTTTACGCAAACTGTTTTTCAAGTTGACAAACCTATTCCGTCAGGCAGTTCGTGCAAATTATTCTGCGACAGAATTAAATCCGTTAATGCTGTAAGCCCACTTATTTCGTCAGGCAACTCCTCAAGCTTATTATCAGATAGATCTAGCCACTGTAAACTCTTCAACTGTCCAATTTCCTGAAATTCAAATGTCAGTTCAAATAAACTATACCATAACCTTATCCAAATACGGCTAATTAATTCATACAAATTCTATTCTCAGTTGATTTCAACATGCTCAATAGGCCAACCAACACAACTTTAATGGAACCTCAGAATGGTTTTTACACAGAGAAACCTTGTCTAAACCGTAGCTGGGTTAGAAAATACACAAAAATTTTATGGCTGTCTAACTGTAGATAGATTTTAAAGAGACATTTTTAAGGCTATTTACACACTTTTAGATGAAAGTTTGTTTACTATCATCCATTCAACACTTCTTAATTTAGGCAGAGTAGCATATATTATAATAATTACTACGGAGTAGGCTTTTTAAAAAATGCAATTACAAGTTTATTACTTCCAACCACAGATACATTTATATGTTCCAAGTAAACATTCTTTGTTTAATATTAAACATCTTTTGTAACAGTTAATATGTCGCTTGTAAAATACACAGAACAAAGTTAGTACATAACATGTAAGTATCAAGACTAGACAAAAAGTTTTCTAAACCTTATCAAAATGTTAAATCATTTCCTCATGCAACTTTCATAATATGAATAAAAAATGATTGCAAAAAAATCTTACAGGCTTATCACCAGCTGATAAAAATCGCAAAAGAGCCAACAATAAAAGCGTGAACTCGCTTCCTTGCATCGAAAGACGTCAAATATTTTATATTACGCTGCCAATTTTGAATAATCTTTTTGGCCTTTTAATTCTAGCTCTTCTCGCATTCAGCAAACACTGAAACAGGCTGATTAAATCACAATTGCAAACAAAAGGTAGAAGAAAGAAGTGTGATAGCGAGGACTTAGCTACAAGTTTTAGCAAACACAGACGGTGTTTTAAGACATTTCAAGGGTAAGAAAAAACCTTTGTTAAACTAAGCTCTCTCTAAATCTATTAGAGATTGTTAAAAATTGCTGCAATTTTTCGCAAAGTAGCAGAAAACAATCAGTTTTATATTTTGAAGCTTAAGACAAAAACTCACAGATGGAAGCGTCACCAAGAAATTTGCATCTAGCCAGAGTTCCACCAACTTTGACAGATATCCAATACTTTCAGGCTGGAATAAACAATTTAGTAACCATAAAATTCATAGATCTGAAATTGTTTTGCAGCTCTGTAAGTCGGTAAAGAGCATTTTAATGGGCTTTTCCACCATTTGAAGGAAAATTTAGACGGAGAGAACAGATAACTGGGGCCTAAATAGAAATACTGACAATGTCGAAACGACTTAACGTCGAAAAAGAACTAATTAAAAGCATATCTTCTTTACAGAAGAGGCTATGATTAGTCTTTGATAGAAAAAAGTACAAGGAATAACAAGAGACATCGAAAAAAAACATACAAGTTCCTCTATTTCATTGCTTCCCAGGTCAAGTCTCTCCAATGAAGTGAGGAAGGAAAAAGACCTGAAAACAAAAAAAATTAAACAGTTGTGAGTCTTAGGCAACACAATTATGGTTTAGCACAATTATCATTATCGCACTCTAAAATAGTCTTTAAAATACTACAAGACAACATGTTTTTACCTTGGAACCAAAAGTTTTTTATTTATTTCAGTGGTGGACACATGGACACTTAGACACAAGCCTGTTGTTTTGATAAGATGATGTCAAATTTTCCCATTATTTTTCAACAAAAACCATCGTCTTCCAAAAAATTATGGGCAACTGCCCCCTTGCCCCCTTGCCCCCCAAGCTGTCAACGACTGATTTATTCTTACAAATTATTGAATAGGAGTTTTACAAATGAGAGAACAAACATTACTAATAAATTTTTAGTAACTACCAAGAGTACAACTCTATATCTGTGCTTTTATAATTCTATTCATGACTATTTGCAGAAACGCCTTACTTTCCCAAAAGACAATTTACTTTTTTACCCTGATTGCCTTTAAAAATTATAAAAAATTAATGTTTCCCTGCTAATTCTAAAACTGCATTACCAGAACACAAGAGGATTGAAGTAGTATTAGAATATCCAATCGTAAATGTTCTTGGAAGACTGATGTATGGGTTTAGAGAATGGAACATCAAATATGACAGACATATGTCAAATATATGAGCACAAACAAGCATTGAAATTCTTAAAAATCTATGTTTGCCTGCTAATTTCAATTGTACTGAAAACTTACTCAGGTAAAAATTTGATGATATTCTCTCTTATTTCCAAGACAACCAAGTTACTCAAGCTAAAACAGATAAAATTATTTATAATCAAAAGAGTACTGCCGATCAAACAAATTCTTCATTATCATAATGATGCACCTGCTTGATCAAAACCAACATGGAATAGTGTAGAACAAAGTCTTTTCTTATAGATTCAATATCCAGTTACCAAGAGATTTTATGATGACTTTACAAGAGTGCATCAAACCTCAAAATAAAATTCATTCCAAAAATATATGCTTCTTTGAAATTTCCTTTATCAAACTTCATTGAGCACAAACATGTAACTGATGATGAGAATTTACTCTCGTTGACATTGTCATTGACGTCCTTTATCAAACTTCATTGAGCACAAACATGTAACTGATGATGAGAATTTACTCTCGTTGACATTGTCATTGACGTTTTAATTACGTCAGATGAATTGAGTTGTCAGAGTACACTCTCTCGGGCTGATTCATTTTAATTTACAGTAAAAACTCTATTAAGACCCCTGGGGGCTTATTTATTGGTTCAGTCCTAGAGGGAAGTTTTTTTGAGAAGGGGGGGGGGCTTATTAATCATTGAAAATAAAACATATTATAAAAATGCCACAATGCTCTGAGATTTCTTCGAAAGAATGGGGCGTATTTAATGCACATGATGTTATCATCATCACACCAGACCCGTCAAGAGAACCAATCAATGTGTGTGTTTTCTTTGTTCGACTTAAGGGGCTAAAGAGGAGTTCTTAATAGAGAGGGAGGGCTTATCTTAAATTTTGGCATGGTAATGGGGCTTAATAGAGAGATACCTTAATAGAGAGGGTGGCTTAATAGAGCTCTTACAGTATGCCAAATTACAATGATTCACAGAGATTCATAACCAGGATTTGAGCTGATTCATGATGACATTTGCAGATTTATTATGACTTAAAAAAATTCTCGATCACTCACAATGATTCATGATTATCAACACTGCTTAATGGTGATTAATGGTGATTAATGCTGGTTCACAACCTATTCACAATAGTTCATGATTATGCAGAGATATCGCAAACTCAAAGAGTTTATTCTTTCATTCAAGGTTTTTTTGGGAGAAAAAGTGGCTTGTGATCACTGTAGTAGGATTCTGAACATTTTAACTGCGTCGAATACTCTGGAAGTTTCTTTATGACAAACAACCATCTAGGCACTGTTCCATTGACAAAACAGCTAATTGCAATTCAACCAATGATGTGAAAAAAGTTCCATGGAGATTGTAAGCGGTATCCAACAGCTTTGTCAATAATTGAAAATTTTATCGAATAGAAAACCTTAATTCCCACAAAAGCCATTTCTTAGATTGAACGAGTGCACAATTGCTGAATTGTGTGCTGCAGCTTCCTTTGAAACTATGCCAACTTCTCTTTTGGCACGGGCCAAAATAAAAATTTATGAAATTGACATGCTGATGACTTTGAGGCAACATCATTTCATAGCCGCAAGCAATAGAAAGCAGGATATTAATTAGAGGAAAATGAGGATTCTTCCCGTAGCATTCTGTTACTGAAACCGTGTCACTTTGTTTACTTACTTACAGGATCCCCCACCACTGCTATATGTATTCATTCTTCGTACATAAAAATCAGCTGTTAAACTAAGACATGAGGGAGGTGAAGTCAAGGGTCACAGGAGATTAATTCTACAGACAGAAAGAGCATAGCGGTCAATAGTATATGGTAACACAAGTGTTCTTGAGTTTCCACTTGAGGAAACACAACACTGCACCCCTTAAAACATGAATGGCTTGTCTAAGACATAAATGACTTCTTCTGGTGCATTTAATCAAGCATAACATCATTTGTACTCAAAATTCTGTATAGAATTCATCAGTTTTCTACGTATAAAGTTTTGACCTTTTGCATTGTGGAATTCTTTAGAAGGTTGGATTTATTATGCAATTTTGAATGATTCTGTAAATCTGTTTATCTGTAAGGCTAACTAGACTTTCAATTTCAATCTGGTATCATAATCAAAAGCTCTACTTCAGATACCTTCCAATGTCAGGAGGGATTCTGTTCAATGACATGTCATTCATGCATAGACTTTGTAATTCTTTGAGTTGAGTTAATGAGTCTGGAAGTCTGTGGACAAAAGTACACATATAGATAACCAGTACATAAAACAAAATATATATTTACCTAGATATTCATATAGACAGCCAGAAATATTTATTGCTTACTGCTTGGTTAACATAAAATAGCCTACTGAGTTCTTTCAAATTTGGGCAGTGGCAACTGCATTCAACTTTGTAGCCAGGTCTATGGGCCTTTCCTCATATGAGGTATTTGCATAAAAAAGTGGCACTCCCTTGGATAGCCAACAGTTTAGCTGACACCTTGAATCTTACACATAAGAAAGGGGAATGTTGGAAAAGGGACATGCTAAAACGAACCAGTCTATCTATGAATTAATCTATATTAAAATACAAACAAATGTATATCTAAATAGTTCATAGCTTGTATTACATATTCAAAATTGCTAAACTGCATATTAAAAACAAAGCAATAAAGTCATTGTGATAAGATCTACAATACTATATATGTCAAGCAAATGATCAGTGTTTTGAAACTGAAAATTGAAATCGCAAAAATTATTTCAGGCCAAGATTTGCATACCTATCTACTCTCAGGCAAATAATTGAAAGCACATATGAAAATTCTTTGAATGATTGCAATACTCCTTTTCAGGTACTCTCTTGGCTTAATTGTAGGGAGGTTGGAATAAGCAAGGGGGTGGGTATTTTTCATAAATTTTGTAAAAATAAGGGGGGGGGTCAAAATAAAATGACCTGGTGGGAATATTTATTGGAGAGCAGAATATGGGACTGGCAGCCCAAGAGGGGTCATTTGCTTTTTTATGGTTGATATTAAAGTTACTGTGTTTATCAGTTTACTATTGCATTTTGTTTCTGGTTGATTGCATATAAAGTAGGGGGAGGTTGTTTTCAAAATTTTCTTAATCTGGGGGGGGGGGTTGTATAAAATGCCACTGAGGGTGAAAAATTTCAAAATATGCAATTTGAACCATACTCCCCCCCCCCTACAATTAAGCACGGAAGAGTAAATAGATATTCTCTGATAAACATGTCTACTAGGTATTAATACTTACAATGCCAATGGATTGCTGCTAATGTCTATTGATGTCAATTTTTTGCAATACTGGATATTTTCTGGCAAAAGACCAACATCTGTTGGGAAATAAGAGATAATTTCATCAATTACAGGCTCAAACTGGATTTCATTTTCCATTCTTTATAAATTTATGATTCAGCAGCTTGCTTTTCCTATATTTTCAATCAAATATAGCTTCACCACAGTCAAGTCTCATTCCTGAGAAAACTATTTTGGACCTATTTCTTTAGGTAGCACATTTATTCAAAATAATGTTTTCTTTCTATAAGCAGACTAAAGAAGAAAATTTTGACTATTGCAAAGGATTAACTTTAATTGTTTTCCAAATAAATATTATATAATTATGCACAATTTTTAAGAACATCAATATTTTTCCATCTGTTTGTACCAAATCAGTGTCTATTCCCTGCCGATAATATATTCAACAAATACTTTGCTTTGCACATAGAAAGCACCTGTCAAATGATAGTATATTATCATTATCACAGCAGCTGGTATCTTCAAAACTGCAATTTTGGAACAATTTCTAACCGCAACTGTCTTGATTACCAGAATTAAAATGGAATCTGTCCTAAGCTCTTCACATGCTTCCTCTGTTATCACTGCAATAACAGGCTACCCTCTTGTCAGCTATTATTAGAAGTGGTATTCAGAATGTTGACAGGGCATCCCATTGACTACAGTTTTGGCTTTTACAGTTAAAATAATTAATATAATAATTTCCAATCTAACTTTAAATATACTTTAGTAAAGTTTCGATAAACTTAGAGGGTTAAAGGTTATTAAGTATTATGTTTGGAGCGTCAGTACAACCCACCAAATATGACAATAATTGCTTATGGATAAAGGAGTCTGATTTCTTGAGCACATCATCAGTAATAAATCATCAAACAAGCTTGGGTATTCTATTGAGCTATTGAATATATCTAATTCTGAGGAGAATAATACCTACTATATCTGATGACATTGCCCTAGGTTAGCCCAGCATACAAAATGAAACAAACCTAAGTATTGATTAGTAAAAATATAAATGTGTATTTCCTGTAGCTGTGTTTTCAATTATTTTGTTAATTTCATGCTATTCATGTTTATGGCTGCAAAGTTGTCATAGTATCCTGCACTCTGTTGTATTGTTCTGGCAGTGTAGTCAAGTAGATTCTATGTAGTATAGTGAGTAGCTTGTAATTGTAAAATTTTATACTGTAAAAAATATATCTAATAATAATGTAACTTTTCTTTTATGTATCTTTTAAATATATCTTTAATTGACAACAATACAATATCACTGAGCAGATTTTAAAGTTATATTGAGACTTACCATTTTTGCTAATATCAAGTTCCTCAAGATTGGTAAGGTTGCCAATTTCTGAGGGCAAATTTGCTATTTCATTATCATCAACAGCAAGTTTTTTCAGTTTGTAGAGACGAAACAATTGCTGCAAAGCATATTGGATCATGTCTTAGTATGTACATATAAAAACATATATAAAAAACTTAAATGTAATATATAAAAAATTTATCAAAGTTGGCGAGATAAAACATATTCTAGAAAAAGGAATGAAAACCATTACTCAAGTGATGATACAAAAAAGTTGTGGTGAATAATCTCAAAAATTGCCAAATTTGTGCTAAAATGAATTTTGTTTACTTAGCAGTTCTTCTCTGGAATTAATTTGCAATAAAAAATAATTACATTCATTATGACCTATTACTTCCTAGTTACAGACAAGCTTCCTTTAATTGATTACGTGGCTTCCATTAGTAAACAAAACAAGTGTACAACATCACACAATAACTGCCCAAATTTCTTCCTTTAAAAACCAGAAAGAATTTCCTATTCAACAATCGAATTGCGGCAACTTAATTCTCGATATCAAAAGCATGATTCACTGTTTGTTGAAAATCAATTTAGGGAAGCTAATTCACAACAAGGATTAGCACTAGTAATGAATATTTCATATACACAAGGAAATAACGATGCGAAACCACTTGAGGAGACTCTCACGTCAGGCTGTACTGCAATTTCATGATCTTAGGATTGAGAGCATACTGGCTAGTGACTAAAAATGATAAAATAAGGTAATCGGTAACAGAACAAGATCTTCGAAATGGTAAAAGGAAAACGAACTCTCAAAAGCAACCCTGTAAACATCAACTGGCTTGAAGCCACAAGCCACAAAAATGTTTACATGCTTGACTGTGAATGTCCTAGAGTTACATTCTAGAAAGAGTAGTCAAACTTTTACACTAATAACATTAGAGGGAGCAATCAAACCTTTGGTAGCTCCCTGAGCTGGTTTGCACTGAGGTACAATTCCTCCAAACTACGCTCCTGTCGCAAAACATCATCAGGCACGCTCGTCAAGTTAGAATGCCTTCGATCAATGCACTCATACTGTCGAGTTGTCCGCCAAGGAAATAAATTGAGGCACTTGAACATGTCTGCAGTAAGTAGGAGTCTCTACATCATAGTAAGATCACGCTTTAAATGTCTGTTACAATATGTGGCGCCCAGTGCACACTATGATGGAGACAAAGTGTTGGGCCTAAATTACAGACCCAAAGCTAACGACAAAAATCAGTTCTCCGTACAAACAACCATATTTAAACTCTGTCGATGCGTATCTTCACTTGTTGACGAGAGCGGATAAAATCCGGTGAACAGCTGTACTGAAATGAGAGGAAATAACGCAGCTTTAAAACAAAATCAAACAGAGATTTTCAACTTCTGGCTCGTTGACACCCTGATATTTAGTAAACTGGCAGTAAATCCCAAGATGCACCATGACACGCGGGTAGAACCGCGGGTGAAACACGAAGCGCATTGGAAGAGCCAAACATTCCAGTCAGTGCACTTTCCCTGGAGAAGGCAGGTCGAACCGTGGGACGAAGTGTCTAGGCAACTTTACTAACAATATAGGGACCATTTTTCCCTTAAAGATTGGATATGTCTTTTGACGCTCACTTTTCAGTAAAAAGTGGTTTTCTTGTAAAACACTGGATTGTCAGATAAATTAGGTGATGCCTTCAGGTTTCAGTGAAATCCCCCTCCCCAAACAATCCATTTTTCCTTACGTTCTCTTTAATCTTTAAAACTCCTGTTCTAAACTAATCTGCACTTTTTTATAACAACCAGTAAATTTGATAATTTTATTCGAAAATCTGAGGCTGGCTTATTCTTAATTTGCTCTCAAATTAATATGGTAAAAGCAGTGCGATTGCTAGCTTTCTCGCTCTAGGGATGTGTTCAGGCCTCATCTGCCAATAGAGTGCGTGAGGCAACCTTCATTTGCCGCCAAGTTTGAAAATTCACCCAAAAAGCACCCACACATGGCTAAAAAATTATCGTTTTTGAGATAAAACGGTATTCAAAATTGCATTTTACAGGAGCTCAGCCGCAGCTTGTTTTTAGTTTGTTCTTAACTTTTGACCAATTTTGATGCTCGTGTTCTTATAAAATTTTTCTTATAAAAGAAGTGTATTGCATTTGAAATTGAAGGAGATAAGGAATTCTAAAACCCGATGGAAATTAGGTAAGTCAAATGATTTGACATTTTTAGAAAAACATTTTTCCCTACCAAATGCCAGATATTGCAAAATGGTGATAAATACAGTTATCGCAGTAAGGAACACCTCAAACTTCAAAGCAAAAACAATTTCATATATGGCGCAATATCAGATACAAAGACCTTTTTAGAGAAAATCGTTCAAATAATTTTCAATGAGTAACCAAAATAACAAAATCCTTTGCCGGAAATCATCAGTTGAGCCAATACAATATACACATGTTTGTGCAAAATACAGGAGTAGTTCACAATGCTACAGAACATCCGCGCACGAAATACAGGGTGTAGCACACTTAGTATTGCCTACTTGGTGCCTAGAGGACTGTGATTAGTAATATGCATTATATCTATTTTTTATTTTTGTGATTGCTACCTTTATTCGCACCAGCCTTAGCTTTTCTAATTTCATCATAAAGAGACGATATTCAAGCCTGCCTAGGCCCTGTGCTGACCTGAGAAGAGTGGCCCTAAAAAGTTATAACACATTTCCTAACTATAGCATTAGTAATAACAATCACAGTTTTGTTCCTTTTCTTTTGTATTTATTCATTTTATTGTATTTTTTGTATTAACAGTCTATTTCATATTTCATTGCTATGTATGTAGTTTAGTACTTAGATTGTAACAATTTCTCATTAAGATAGTTCCATTTTTCTGTAATATTGGAGTTTTTTATTGTATTTTGGTTTAATAACCTTTTTGTATTGCTAATTTATAAAATTGTATGTTGAGAATAAAGACATAAAAACTGAACTGAACTGGAATTTTTCCCGAGTTTCAGTAAAGCTAGAGGGAAATTAAATGAGCCAGGAGGAAAAACACACAGAATGGAATAAATGAAATGCTATGCCACGAAATGCAATTTTCTATCAGCAATATGCCTTATCAATTATTAAAACTGTTTTTTTTGTAAGATCTTATTTCCCAATCATGCCTTTAAGAGGATACTTAGCATTCAAATGTATTGATAAATTGTAAGAAGAAATTCTTAGATCCGACACCTAAGCAGCAATTAGCGATCTTTATTTACGTAATAACTCGAAGCTAACAGGTGCCGCTTGACGTTCGCACTTTGGGTCTCTATATGCATTGATCTGCGAAATACAAGCACGACGAGAGAATAATTACAGCAATATCAGCTGTACTTTCATGTTGCCATGGTAACAACACGAACGAAACAAATCCCTGTTACAGAAGGCTTTCAAAGGCAAAAGCCATGTAAAAGAAACTTTATAAAGAAAGTTAGGCAAGGGTAACAATGGATGAGGGCAACAACACCCCCACATTTGGAAACGCCAAGATTTGCATTAAGGGCTACGAAAAAGTTGAGCAAACTTTGATAAGAAAACATATTATTTGGCTTGCTTATGTACTGCATAACTTAGACGCCGAACAATAATTGCAGAGTAAAGAAGTGAGGAATATCAGGAGTTATAGAGCGATGAATGAAGAAATCATTAGAAGATTGATGATGTCTTACTTTGAGGAATACACTGCAGAATGCACTTAATAGTTAACACTAAAAATTTTTTCTGAGTTTTTCGCATAAACATAAAGAATTATTCTATTTTTCTCTAACCAAATCCTGGATCTAGCTTTTTTATTTTTTGTGCAAGTTGATAGAGAGAGACCCGTTATGGTAGAAGGGTGATACTCCTTTCTTTTTCGAAACTGTAAATTCATTTTGCTCAGCATTTTTTCATTTTATAAAATACGCAAATTTCTAACTTTATAAGGCTCAATAACAGTAATCGTTTTAGTGACTGTTATAACAGTTGCACAAAATAAATTCAGCCTTCTGGGTGCCATGGCAAGAAGTATCATTTACGTGAAAAAAATTGAATCGTGATGGGAACAAAAACTTTCCTAAAACATAAATTGCAGGTCTTTCGTGCTGTTTTCCCACCGTTTTAAAATCCGTACAAAGCTCTTTGTGGATCCATCTCTTTGTGGAACTCTTCTGAAGAAAGCCAAGAACATCGAAAACAATCAAAATGATTTGGCTGGTTAGCATAAATTTTCAGACACAGAGGGAGCTACTTCAGATAACTACAGCAATAAACGGAAGTGAAGATCGTGACAGAAATGCAGCTATGAAAGCACTTCTGTGGTTCTGGCAAAGAGCATCTGTTAGGAAATTTCGTGGCGTGAAGTTAAAACTAGTTACGTCATATTTAAGATGAGTTTTAAGAGTAAACAATGAGTTTTGAAATTTCCAAAACCGTTAAGAAACCGGAAAACTCGACGTCAAATTTTGTTGCTTAGAAATGAGTGCATACAAACGAATTGGGTTATACGAAAACATTAGATTATACGAAACAGGAATTGATGCAAGATTTCTGTGGTCAAAATAATCACAACTATTGAGCATCATTGTAGAGTTTGCTGTTGCATCATCGCAGATTGCTTCAATTGATAATTCATTGAATTGGACAAGGAACTAGAAAGAATAAAAGGCATTTCAGCTGCCGCACCTGTTTTTATTAGCGGATGTTGATATTTGGAAGAGCAACGCATTTAATGTAAATAACGCGATTTTCAAGCAATAGAAAAATAACACGTTTGAGATCTTTGAATATAAAAGAAATTGATGCGTTTCGCACATCATTCAAAATTTGCTGTGCAGCCTACAATGCCTGCAAAATGTCTTTGCTAGTCTTGCAAAAAATCAAAAATTTCATACTGCATCCCCCACTCCTGATCCGAACAATGTTCTTTTACGCAACGTTAAGAGGTTTTGTGGTCTCGTGGATTCATTCAAAGTAGCTATGATATCCATCTTAAAAACAAACACTGTTTTTTAGGGAATAAGGGTGTGGTTTCTGGTAATTTACAGGAAACGTTTTTTTCAAAACAACAGTTGCCTTCCTCGGCCTCACTATAAAAATAGTTTGCTGAAGGTACCATTTATCCCTCAAACTGGTGTGTTTTTTGCGGTGCAGATAACAGTCACTTCATTTAAGCTTTTAACAAAAAGACAAGCTTTACTACAAACAAGCTCCAAAAATTAGTTTTAACTTTTGCTAACAAACCCAAAACTTTGACAAAGGGAAGTACAACGAGGTTGACACAAAAAAGCACCACGCTTTACATTATTATAAAAAAATATTAAATGCACTGCATTTGACCTAGAAGATTACAATATGTGAGACAAAATTTTAAATTTAGATGAAAACAATCATATATGATCGTTTTGAAGTGGAATCATGACATAGAGCCCTAAGTAAATTGAATAATTGAATATATCAGCCAGGAGATGTTACTAATTACAGAATCTGGATAAGGCCCTTAAACAAGGAATACTTTTACACTATATAATAAAGTTATTTCTTTTAAAAGTTATCGATAAACTTGTATTTATAAAGGGATTACAAATGTTCTTCTTTGTTTTAATTTTACAAGACACCAATACATCTTATCTTCGCCTAAAATAGAAAAAAACATCAGACATTAGCAAATTTCAATGTTGGTGGTGACGTTATTGGAAATGAAGAAAAGTAATGTCGTGAAAATTCTGGTAACTATAATCTCCAATAAAAAACATATTTTGCCAAAGTAATAATGCAGGTATCGTGTTTTTAATTTGAGTATGAGCATATAAATTGAGTGTTATTGAAGTCTAATGAATATTGCTTTTTTTGATGCGTTCTATTGAAGTAGCCCTGTCTTCAAAGAAATTAATAAGCAATCACATGATAGATAATAAGCAATTAAATACAGATTTGGAATGGGGGGGGGGGCGTTTGCAGAATGAGCACAAATGACACAAGGTAGCTTTTCACACACTGTGTAAATGAACAAGGGTCTAAGATATTCATTTGACAAATATTTCTTTTTTGGGGGGGGGGAGGGGGCAATGTAGTAGGACTAACCTCGCTTTGTTATATAATTATAGCCTCGATTACGTTTGTATATATATAGTTAAACCATCAACCTCCAATTCAGTCAGTTACTTACTCACATCACGAGTCGTTGTCTTCCTCCACAAACTGTAACGGAGACAAAGTCCGCCACTTTAGAGAAACTCACGAAATGAAGATAACGACTTGTGTTATGAGTGACTAATTGACTGAATTGGTGGTTTAACTATATATAACTCTATATATAATTGTAATCGAGGCTATATTTACATAATAAAGCGAGGTTAGCTCTACTACAGCAAAGTCACCCTGCCACCGTTTATGTTGATATTACGCAAATGTCATAAGAATGTCATGCTTTGAATAAAAAGAGGTAAAATGATTAACGAAACTCACCAAAAACTTCATACGCTCTTGTTAACGAACAGAGCGGTAAAACGCCCTGAAATAAAAAATTATGCTTTCAATATCGGACCTGCTATGCGGGGCTATGCACATTGAGTTTTTAGCAAACATTTATACGTTCGAAGTTATGTCTCCAGCTGATTCAATTAAAAATACAACACCACTTTACATTTAATGATTACAAAAACTACAGGTAAAAGTGACAAAGCGCCAGATTATCATCGAGAGAAGAGTTTGTAAACAAAATATTTTAAATTCTGAGCAGGCAAATTAATTGCAATGTCTTTTTTTATTATTATCAACAAGAGTCAATTTTATGCACTCGCATAAACCATCTTCAAAGACGTTATAAATCCAAAATAAAAACAACGTGGAAAATGTTTCCATCATTTTTTAATTTCTTAAATCATATATGCTTTAATCTATGAAAAACATGACTGATTTGAGAGCTAATTGATGAATGTAATCGAGATTCAAACATAGTAGCGTAGAATAACAAGAGCACAATAATACAAAATTAAACGGAGAAAAAGAAAACACTGAAACACATTTTCATAAAGCAATAATAATACATGGGACATACTCTCGATCTGCCTCTCTGATGGCCTCACTCAATGCTTTCCTTTCCTCTCGAAGCGAATCCCTCAAAACATCCAGTGACTCATCACTTAGGTTCTCATCAGAATCAAGAGAATAATCTTTTCTCTTCACAAGCTCTTCAACCCTTCTTTGTATTCTGTCTGAAGCACCAAGTGCTGCTTTTAAGTTCGGGGAATAACGTGCTTTGTATCTGCAAATAAACGATTCAAAAGATAGCATAAAATATAATAGGCCTGTTGATTGATGATATTTCAACCAGGCAAAACATGCAACAGAATGTTCGAGTTAAAGAATGTTCAAGTTTTCAAGTATAGAACCGTATTTTGGAAGGTTCAAGGGAAATGCAAAAACAGTTCGAGTTAACAAACGTTTACATCCTGACTATTAAAGTTCTCTCCTAAAAACGGTTTTATCAAAATCTCAACTAGTTAAGAAGATTATCAATTGATTATCTACGTGAAAACATCTTGGAATAAAAGCTTGATAGAGAGAAAACATAATACATTGGGATATGCATAATCATAGATTTGGTATAAAAATAGGTTTAGTGACAAATGGAAGCATAAGCAATGATGAGTGTCATTCCCTTGTCACTTTGCAAAAAGAAACTTGGTTTTACCTGAGCACCGGATCCGCGTACGTTTTCGATGGTTGCAAGGTGTCCTTCAGATGCAGATCATCCAGAGCATAGCGCAGGCTCCTTGTTGGACTTGCTGATCGAATTGGAGTTGTTCTTGAGCGGGTGTGTTTGGCAGTTGACCTGAGGGTGCTCGATGGAAAATCGGTTGAGTATTTCCAGGCTAAAGACAAATATTGAAAGAGGTCAGACAGTTAGGAGGTCAGAAATACGTAGTAGGAAATCTTATACTTGGATAACGGCTACGTATAAGAAAGTCTGTAAAGCAAATTAAAGTTTTATCAAGATCTAAGCATAATTAAATCTGTTCATACTTTGCTTAATCCTTTTCTGTATCCAATTAAAAATCAACGGTCTTTCAACCAATCGTTTCCAACAAACGCAATAAAATCTCCCTTCTGGCTTATAACTTGCATGGAAAGTAACGATATCAAAGACTTAAACGAGTCGATGTCTAGAAAAATAACTCTGTTAGGGTTTCAAGAAATTTAACTGTTACAATTCATTGAATTAAGAAGCCAATTTCGAAAGATAATCAATACATACACGGTAAGGGTTCTACTGTGGCGCTGCCAAGCCCAAATGATGCGTTTGGCGACACTGCCCTTCTGGTACGCGTAGGCGACTTAGATCGACGAGGCTTCGGGCGAATAAAAGAAGAGAAATCACGATTTTGAAGACTCTTATCGTCTTTTCTCTTTACAAGAAAACTAGAATCATGATCTGCGGTTTTCAGTTCAGAAGATGACATTGAGCGAGAAAGTCTAACAGGAGACACTGATCGAGAACGAGATATTGATCGGCGCAGTGAAGCTCCCTGCAGAAAAGCAGATAATAAACGGATTACAATTTTACCATAGATTACCATAGATTTGGTTTATGTTATATTAATATATTAGTTTACATTTCTTTGTTGTTATAATTCTTAGATCACTTTTAAAAATATATAGATTAATGAAAAGTTAAGCGATTGCAGTTACTTTAAAATTTAGAGTGCGATGGTACAAACATGATGCGATTTCAAGGGTCCTCTTTCAAGTCCTCGAAAGGTTATACAAGCAGCTGCCTGCAAGACTTTGATTCAACGATTAATGCAGCGGACTTCACTTTTTGCCGACTTAAATCTTAGCTGACTGTGTGCGAGATATGGGAAACTTCAGGCAAAGAGAGCATTAAAGTTTGCGCTGGAGATTATCATGGAAAACTGCAGAATAAAAACCGTCCTCGCCTTTTTTGTACAGCTGCAGAGACGAACTTCACTTGAATTTTCGGATTACTTCAAAAATAAAGTATCAATAACCCGATATTGCTCGTTTTGCTTAGAGAATGCACAGCCTGGTCACGAAAGGCACATTGTACACATTCACACGAATAACAACATTCATATAGGAGGTAATTGGACTTTTTAAATGGAAATGTGTCCTGTTTTTCATCATTTTGTGTTATAAACGAACAAATCTGCAATCTGTGAAAAGCATATGGTACAATGACACCAAATAGATGCAAACTGAAAAAAACCTATATCATATTAATTTTCCAATGCAATATTATTTGGCATAACGTCTGCTGGGATTCTAACACACTTAGAGAAACTTATTGTTTATTGAACCACATCATTTTGTATAACAACATTTTGCATGGTAATAAGAAGAACTATTTGGAACCCAGATGGTACTCTGAAAAATCCTAAAAAGCAATCCTAGAGCTCAGAAACAAGGTAATATTTTTGGTAGTGAGCCAGTTGCTTTGGTTTGTGAATATCAGGAATCCATTCATTCATGATCACCTGTAAAAACCTTGTTAATACTGAATTACTCAGCAGGGCCCGCGTCATAAATTTGAAAGTGGGGGCCAAGGCTTCTTTCTCCTTTTACTACAGCTTTAAAACTATTTGCTTCACAAAAAAGTGGGGGGCATGGCCACCCCAGCCCCCGGTGGCGAAGGTCTTGCTTAGATCCTATGTACATGTGTCATTTGCAAAGACAAGAACAAAGTTATTGGACAGGATTACAAAAATCTTAGAATAAATCTCATTTAACTAGCAACTATAAGTTAATTCCTGGATAGCCTTTCACATTCAAATGGCCTGGTTGAATCAGATAAGCCTGGTTGAAAAGCAAATTACCTGCCTGTTAAAATACAGTAGACCTATGACAAACTTCAAAGATCAACAGATATTGCTTGTTGACTGATTACTTTCAAGGTTGTTTGATGTAACACAAGGCAAGTACTGTAAGTTGAATAGCATTAATAATTCAATTGCAATAAAAACAGGTTGCAATTGAATCTAAAAATCTGCATGATTTTTTGACATGTCTAGCAAACAAACACATTTTTTCTTATCTTACGAGAATCATAACCATTTACAAGAATACCAATCTAGTGACTAATATGTTACAAACATTAGTTCTTTGTTCTTAATTACAAAAGGGTTGCGATAAGAGAGAAGAAAAAGCAGTTACCAAGAAGAAGGAAGTTGTAGAATAGCCAGAAAATGCTGCTATGATGAACACACAAGATTATCAGGTTGTTGCTACTGGCATCCATAAGAACATATGACTTTGCAGAGTATGCAGAATAGGCTTAGATAACAAAAGTAGGATACCACTCACAGATGTGCTGTACAGATCTGAAATTTCACTGATGGCAGTCTTTGATGAAAATTCCATCTTCACTGGCTCTCCCTGTTTAGAAAAATTCCAAGTGAATTTAACTTTCAGTAAAAGTTTAACTTCAAATAATGTTTATTTCAAGTCACTTATTCAAAGGCTTTGATATATAAAAATACAAATGCAAATTATATATTGTGAAACATTTTTAAGTTTTGAGGCAACTATCAAATGATCATCTTCTTTCTTCTACCTAAGTATATCCTCAAGTATTTGTTGCAAATACCTTAAATGATTTGTAGGAATTTTTCAATGAAAGATATTTATAAAAATGTCTTAGAAATAAACCAACAATTACAGTTGGTTTTATCAACGATACTTACAGTGATTCTAATTGGCTTAAACCTAGCAGTTTTGTACAGAAGAATCTCTCTCCCAGGTCCATAGTATTGAGGAATTGCAGGGAAGAGGAAATCATGAGTGTTGCTACTGCAATGTGATATCACCTTTCCATCTGCAACATAATTTAAATTCATTGTAGAGAAAAAAATTATTACAAGTAAATTAAAATGCCTTCAAAAGTACAAGTGGATAATCTTATTTAATTTCCAAATTATCAGCTTTAGTGTCTTCTAAATTTTATGGTTCCAGTAAAATCAACTACAGCTATTGCCTAAAGTTTCTGAAAGAAAGAAAAGAAGTTTTAATCAAAGATCTCTATTCTAATCAAACAGTGCCAAATAATTTACTAAAATCAACACAATTCTTTAAATTTCTGACGAACATGCAAATTTCAAAAGCACTGGGAAGCCCCTCAATTGGGTCCTCTCCTATCTGCTAATTGATGCAAGTGGTGCATGAGTCACACTGTGGCACTTGAATCACAATTAGATAGTATTCTTGCTAAAGAATAAATTGTGGTGATGAAATAATTCTGCTAAATTACTCAATAAGGAATTCTTAATTCCAAAGATAAAATACAAGTTGAATCAATGAGTTGTGGATCTGTTCTGAATTTGATTTTTTCAAGTATCCTGGTTATTATATGAATTAGTTCTTATTCATTTAATTGTTGTTTTGAGGTCTTTAGTGGGCAGCTGGAAGCCACAGCTGATTAATAATGGCTGAGGTCTCTTCAATGAAATTTATTAACAATATACTTGTGTTGGCTTAAAATTCTATAATTAGAAGCAGGATTTACAAAACCTTTTTCTTATCTATGACATCCAAATCTGTGAATGAAAAATCCCGACTCAAGTTGCTGAACAACTTTGATACTTTTTAGAAAACCACTTTTAATTAATTATTGGGTAATCACAATCAAAAAGCTCACAAAAAATAATAAGATAGTCATTTAGCATTTGAAAATTATCTGTACCTGATATGTAATCAGTGTGTTGCCTAAGTTCTACGATGACATCTTCACCTGTTTAAAAACAAGAAATTATTAGCATTGTCTGGAGTAAATGCTTTGAAGTCGCACTCAATTGCAATTTAATTTGTTGAACTTGGACTTTTCATGTCAATATCCACTTTTGTAAACCCAGCCATAAAAGATGACAATAAAATGCATTTGATCAAAAGAAAATACTATTGAAAATAACAGGAAATTATTTATTGCTTACCCTTCAGTAACGCTGCAACCAACGACGGATCAGTGCAGTCATAAAATGTCTAAAGTAGAAATGCAGGGATAATCAATACAAAAAAACAATAATCAAATAATAGCAATAAAAACGTCAGCTTGGTTTTACAATGGGTTATACACACGGCAATGGAACAATGTATTTTATCATTCAACTGTGAGCCACGTGAAATATCAATGAAGATGTGTTTGTCAATGAGGTGTGATAATTGTAAATAAACGAGTATGGTGCATTCTCTATGAAATCTCTTGCAAACAAACAGCATGCATCAAAGGAAAGAAGGTTTGCACTGTAGAGACAACGGCTGGCTCTTACCCTTTCAAACTTCAAGCGTTCATGGAAGAACAGTGGAAAGGTGGGTGGTACCGACTTCGTTCTTGCCTCTAGCCCGAGCATCTCGACATTAAGATACACATACTCGTAATCTTTCAAGAATGTCCCAGGACAGGTAACCTTGAATGCAAAAAGAAAGGGTTTCGATAAAAACTTTCAAATCAAAATCGATAACTTTTTTAAACCTAAGATATGATCCGCGTCGTTAGCAACAGGTTGTCAGACACGTTTCTAAGAGGGGATAGGGGGTTAGAGAATTTGTCAAAAAAATACCTTTACCTCATTCATGAATCTTGTCACAGCTAACAACGTAAAGCAATATATTGATTTTTTAAACTGAAAATATTTCACAAAAAAAATCAAACTCTGATAGAAAAACAGCAACAATGTCAGCTGATCGAGGCAATGAATTAATTTGGCCTAAATGCATATTAGAACATCTCAAAATTTGTCACAGACTTACAACATGGACGTCAATCTCGACAACGCATTTCATAGCCTTTCCAGGCATTTTGAAACCAGTGCTGGATTGCCTTATATTATAATCTCCAGTTAGGTATGGTGCTGGTAGCCGTTGCTACTGTCAGCTGGTCTCGACTTGTCCGCCCTCTTTGAAACGAAATCTCTGCAACTGACAATGGACGCTAACATGCAGGATCACGTGGACTACTATCTGTCCAATGCAACGTCTTGATTGGTCAAGTCACGTGGGAATAAACAATCCTTATAAACATTCTCCTTCGTAGTTTCCAGGAAAAAGAAATTGGTACATTACACTACAGGGAAGCCAATTTCAATCTGTCGACAGAATTCGAAAATAATTTCTGCCAAGTAAACACAAACTTTTCTAAATCATAAATTGTATCTGACCGACCGAATAAAAAATGAACTGCACAAATCGCTTGAGAATAAATGACGTTGTGCTAAAAGGTCATAATGAAACTTTACTCAACATGGAATATAAAATGATGAATACAATAGTTTCATCAAAAATATTATCGACTACATCGATAACCTAGCTCTACTGAACACAGATTATGTTGTTCAGAATCAAGTTGAATGCCATTTTGAGTCACTGCAAATGATTCTTACCGCATTTTTTGGACAAGTTGTGTAAGTGTTAGAACGACAAATTGCTCGGGAAATCTCAAATTTTAGTAACCATTCAATATTGCTCCGGCTGGAACCATCACTGGATACATTTCTTCTCGCCATGGGGCGTAGCTAGCGGGGTGGTATAGATCTCCTCTTTAGATCTCCGATTCCAAGAACTGCATGTTGGAAGCAGTTATCAGAAAGCTTAGGGCTCAAGGTGACTTCCCCTCACCCGGCCCCAATCTTGGTTTGAAATAGAGTTGGTTGCCTTTAGAACGGCGCATGAACCAATTCAGCTGGAAAGTGGATCCATTGTTCCGAACTTTACCGCTTAAAAGAAAATACCGCTTAAAAGGACAAAATCAAGATTATTTTAGCACCAAACCTACCTCCAAATGAAATCCATTTAACTCTGTATCCTAGTTGGAAAATCATGGACAAGGACACACCAGGGAAGCTGTAGGGCAAAGGGAACAGCAAAAGAACAAAACAACATAAAAATGAGAAATTAGCTAAATATTATACGGGCAAAAGGACAATCACCCCAGTTGTCAGGCGTCCCTGCATGGACACGAGCCTTCCAGAATAAAAACTTGATCTCCGTTTCTAGCTCCGTTCCATTCTAAGCAACTATGTTTTTCAGGGTGAAATTTATAGCTTTCACCTGCGAACGCAAGAACCTTTTGAATGATAAAAGCGAACAGCAGGAGCTGAAACGATAAGGCTAACAAAAAATGAGACAATTATTTCGCACATTTAATAATGAAAACCAATATCTACAGACCTTTGCACTTAGCTGATACATTTATGATAATAAACGACGAAGCGTACCACTAAAATTAATCAAAATAAAAAGAAAAATTGCGATATAATACGAATCCTCCTCATTCAATAAGGTTAACTAAAAATGATTTAAATTTCTACAACCCCCTTCCCCTCCCAAAACTCATTACATTCTAAATGGTTCGAGAAATGTACATTCGAAAGTGCTCAACACAAGTGGCTGGCTTGCGGATTTCTGTCTCGTTGGTCATCGTTGCTGAAATGTTAATCAACAATGGAGTGTTTATTCTCTCTTCTTCATTTTTTCAGATGTGGATCAAATACTGATCGGTGCAGCAAAGTTTGAATGCCTAGACATGAATGGCGATTGAAATTTTACAAAAAGTTTCGTTTTCAGTGAGACCAGACAGCAAATTATAATTATTATCAAGATGAAATAAGGAACTCTTATTTTATCTTGTTATTATCATTTCCATTCTGCAGTTGACGTTAACCAATGTCCCTTGCAGCAATGGGTCAATTTTTATTCAGCCTCGATTTGATCGATCCATGAAAATGTATACAAAGAAGCGCAGAGAACACCATTGAATCGTGCGCTACTCGTAACATGGCAGCCTAGAATACCTCAATTACAACGGCTGCATAAACTAATCAACTACATAAGTACGTAAAAAACAGGTAATTTAACAAAGTTGCATACTCACAATCGAATTCTCTCGTCTATAAATATAAAAAAATCTTTACTTCCTACATTTGAAATTCAAAACATCTGTTAATTTTACGCTCTAAAAATGAGCGGTGACACAAGGACCCCTTTCAGATAATGGGATCAACAGTAGAATTCTTAATTTTAAGCTGGATAACACGATCTACTGAGCACTCTGACGACTGGGAAAACGTGGAAATGAGAAGCAGCAAAATATACAGCTTATAAAAAATTAATGCTTAATACATCATCATGAATCGGACACTGTCAGCTCGGGAATCAAATTCCCCTAAAAAGACCGTTTCTTCTTTCTGCTTGATGAAATCGTAATCTTGATTTTTTTTTCTATAAGCAGCTTCTCCCAATAACATGGTCGTGAAAGGTTTTTTTAGCGTAAATTCCTTAATCTTTTTCATAAAAAACAGCAGATTCCCAATCACTAGACCGTCACTAGAAATGAAAATGCGTAAATAGCCCTAACATCGAACATGGCAAGACATACCTGCCTCGGTAAAAAACGGGATTTATTCCAAACACTCAACTCCACACAGTGAATATTGGGCAAAGTAATCGTAAAATTGTAAACGATTCAAAACCAGTTCATGTAAGGTTTACCGAGCAGTCAATGCTGGCTTTTGTCAATAGGTCACTATTATGCTGGCGTTATCTGGTTAACTCTTAAGGATTATAAATAATCTGACTGGCATTGTCGGCAAAACTTTCTTGGCTTTTCCACTGTTACTGTCCCACATTGCTGACACATTTGCCGTGTACTATTTGCAAAATCAACACTGATTCCCCATCTAGATGCATTCCCTCGCCCTGCGTCAACCTTCACGGATGACGATTGCTGATCCACAACTGGGTGCTGGTTTGGGATTACTGTTCTCTCTGGTGACGCAGATACCTGTTTTTCAGCTCGATGTTTATATAACTCACTTGAGCGATATACGTTTGGGTTCTTTCTTGGTGGTGGCTCCAGTGGTTGTTTACCCTCTTTGCTTGAGTATTCAGATATATCAGGTTGTGACTTGGAGAAGAATTCGACGGCTTGTTGTACTTTTTTGACCGTTCCTGAATCTTTTCCTTCTGAAGCAGGTCCTTCATTGTAGTCCTTCACGTTACTCTCAAGTTCTTTAACATCTCTTTGTACAATGTTTGTCTGCGAAACAGCGTTTCTGAAGTAAGCGCTAGCATTAGAAGACATTGCCACCGGTTTCTTGTCACTAACAGCAAACCTTTCTACAAAGCTGTGGGGCTGACTCGCAGGGGGGCTGCCGACCATTCGCGGTCCCTTCTGGGTTATCCGACTTTGATCCTTTCCATTCACTATCACTTGACTGCGATCATTTCCTGGGCTTGTAGAATGCTGACTTTTGGTTTGTTTCACAGAAGAAAAGTCATTAGAAGCAGCTGACTCTTTGGGCACGTCGTTATCCCTTGATATTCGTCTTTTACCCATACTTGAAAATAGAATTTCCTCCGTGACGGCTTTTGTAACAGCATATACTTCTTTTCTAGCACTTTCGGAGCACTCAAGACTATCGATGCTTCTCTCGTGGAGATTGAAATCGAGGCCTGGCGTAGACCTCTTTCTCACCTCATCTTTCAATTGTGAAGGAGAGCCCAGTTCCCGTGAGGTGGTAGATTTTGATTTTGTACCTAGTTGTTCTGATAGACCGTTCTCTTCTGAGGTCACGTGTGTTTGTGCTTTCATCATTGCGCGATATTCCTCCTCCCTAGTGTCCGGGGCTTTTTTAGCTTTCTTGACAGACCGAACGCGTTCAATACTCATGATTTTCGGGACAATAACTTTTAAAATCGACTTCTTACGCTCTACAGGCTTCCCATTTATCTCCTTCCTATTACATTCATTTTGCTCTTCAAAGGGTTCTATTGAAGAGGTGGTAGCACCATCTCCATTTTCATTTTTGGAAAACTTTCTATTGCTAGAGACTATGTTTTCAGATTCATTACTCATTCCGGATAATCCAGTTTCGGACCTAGGTTTCCGACCGTATTGTGGAGACTTTTGCAACGTTTGGTAACCAGCATCAGTTGAGCCTGAAGAGGTTTTCTCATTTCGAAATTTAGTCTTTGGACTCCCAACATCGCCATTCATTTGGTAACCAGCTGAAGGGCTTTCTGGACGTCGTTCAGACTTAGCAGTGACTACTTGGTGATTTCTTGAGATAGTTCGTGGCTCATTGCTTAGTTCCTGTACCCTTGATGCATCTGGACGACCAACTTCAGAAACACTGAATCCATTTGAATTTTGACTGATGGCCATACTTAAATTTGCAGGCATTGCCTTACTGAGATAGGAGGGATTTCCATCAACACTTCTCACCATTGCTTTTCTGGTATCACCAATAGGCTCCATCTTGAATCGGTTTGCACTGCCATTGGGTGACGTATTGCTGCTTGATGCTAGATAAGGCTCACTTCGATGCTGTATACGGTTCTTCTCAAAATCCGAGCTTCCTCGTCTATGATCTGGGTGGTCAAACGTTTTAAGATTTGTGAGCAGATCGGATAACTGGTCGATCTCTGACTGCGTTGGAGGCTCCTGAGCAGACGTCTTCTTTTCTTGATTTGATTTCTTTTTGCGAGGTAGGGTGAAGAAAATTGACTTGGTAGGATCATCCCTCCCCTTTGATGTGTCAAGTCTGTTACGCTCTTTGTTTAATTTTGCTTGAATGCCTCCTTTTTCAACAACCGGATACACCTAGTGCAGAAAAAAGATTTGGAAAACATTAGGGGAAAACAATAGATAGTAAAAATATTAGTGCTAAAACTTAAACTTAAATAATCTTGAAAATTCCCACTTGTTCAAGAACAGGACACATTTTCATAGTAAAAAATGCTAAATCTAGTACTGAAAGGAATGATAATTCAACTGAATTGATGAGCATCAAATGTTCTTATAAAACTGCCAAAAATTTTCAACCAATGAAAGATACTTTTGAACAACCTAAACGAAACAAGAGAAAATTGTAAAAACCATGCTGAATTTGCGTTTCTTAGAACTTTTATTACATTATTGTCTTTAAATAATGCATACAACTTCTGCAAAGATTATTAAAAAAGGAAGAAACGAGTTAAACTTCAACTTGAGATGAGAATTACCTGGCTTCCTGTCGGAGCTTCCTTTAAAATTTTTTGACACGACGGAGCTCCATTCTGACTTTGTCTAAATGGCAAAAGATCAAGTTATTATCGCACTCACAAATCAGAATAAAACGTCATACATAACATTTAGGAATATCAAATTCTAACCATTGAAAGGAAATTCTAAGTGAATAAAGGATAACTGGCAAAGATGTAGACACTTGCTTTGAATGTAGGCACTTGCTTTGAATGTAGACACTTGCTTTGAATGTAGGAACTTGCTCGAAATAAATACGATTTTAACAACTTGCATTATTTGCAGAACGAGTGATTTTTATGTTTTTATACAGAGTTCAGAAAGATGCAAGGTGCATACCAATAAAGCTGCAAGGAAAAGGCCCACTCCTGGGTTTGTTTTCAGGTTAGCCAAGTTTTGACTTCTTGTTTGTTTGTCAAGATAGTTTTACAAGGTTAAAAGATCTCACATCACTGCTTCTACAGTAAACAATAACATAATGCCTTTTTGGTTAAGGACCAAATATTTTTAAAAAAATTAGGCTGAGAGGCATATAAGGTTATTAATCATGAAATTATGCGTGTTGACCAAGGAAAAATTGTAGTCTGCCTCCTTTTTTAACAACTGGATACACCTAGTGCGGAAACTGGCAATTTTGAGTTAATATCTTCCAAAATTCTGCATTGTTCATTTTTTAACAATTTTGTGTCTCAGAGAAAAGACTGAAGTAAACTTTTTTATAAGATATAAACATATAAGCATATAGGACATAAGAAGAATATTTTTTAAGATATTTTGGCACTTCACTCCCAAAATGACCATAAATGATCATATGTACCTTCCAAATAGAACAAAGTCTTTATGTTACCAAATACTACCAAAACAAGTCATCAATGTGGGCAAGCAAATATTTTCCAAAAGCTATTTTATCGCTATATATAACATTCTGTGCTTTGAGTCCAAAGATTGTCATCCATTAACCCCACCCCTCCCCCTTTCTGGACAAAGTCGATTAGTACGAACTTGAAAGCAGTGACTCACCCAAGCGGACTTCCAGATGCATCTGACAAACTTCCATAATCTGAGGTCTTGGACACTTGACGATCATAATCAGCTGACTTTGTACCTCTTCGCCGGAGCTCTGATATTTTCTCATTGAGCAACCTTAGTCGATTATTTGTCTCCCATCGTTTTTTATCCGCGTGTCCTCGCATCTTCTCAGTGATCCCATCGAGATCCATTGCATTTCGGTAAAGAGCTAGAAATGACAGCAGGTAGATAGAAACCAAAGTACCGAATGGAGTTATTGAAAAATTCAGAAAAAGCTGCTACAGCGAGGGACCTTGCAGGGACGGCGAAACATATTTGAAAGTGGAGGGACCAAAGTATCAAAATCTCGATAGGGCTTAGGAAAGAACGCCACCATGGTTGGGGTCAAGAAACATTTTAGAATTACTGTATCCTAGAGATGGCCAGAGACTGTGTCTAAGATGGATTTTGACTGAATCTAAAATCAGAGGCAATAAAATTAAGCTTTGTTTCATCAATATGCCCTGTAGTCTCGTGTATTGGAATGCTGAATTGAAATAGGGTAAGTCTTGAAAAGTTTTAGAATAACCTTCATAATAAAGCTTTATAATATAACTCTGTTTTAGATTTAAGAAAAGTACTCAAAATAAGATACATTAACAATTTAATAAAAAAACATTAATAATGAAATATCAACAGAAGAACTTTCTTTCTAGAAAAAAAAAAGATTTAGCATTTTTGCAAAATTGGGATACTATTTCATAACATCTGATTTAAAATTTTTCGAAAGTAAAGTGCTTTGTATGTTTCTGAGAAATTTTTCGTTGAAAAATAGACCTTATGAGCCAAGCTTTGGCCATAGAAAAAACGAAACTCCGTCAATTTGTGCTAGCAACAAGTTATTCTGGATCAGGTGTCTCCATCTACTTCCTACGCCAAGCTGTCACTAGATGTAAAACTTGGACATGACCGATTTATTCGATCAAATTCCCATATTAAAACTTTTATATATCTTCTATGGTAAAGACATAGCAACCCAGCTAAAGCTAAAGGCATATGTAAGGGATTACTAAGCACGGTTACTTAAAAAATTATATACTACATTTATTTCCACTTTTGACTAAAATTTTTTTGCTCTGCAGAAAAGTGAAGTCATGCCCGCCGCCCCCCTCCGGTTTCGCCGGCCTTGCCTTGGCATCAAAATATACCATGAAAGTGCTGTGAGAAAAAAATCTTAGGGAGGGGGGGGGCAGACTGCAAGTAGAATGAGGGGTCTGTTATTTTCTATTGAAGACTTTCTTATGGCGAATTATTGGCAAGAGCAATGTAGTATTATAAATGGTCCATGTTAGCAACAAAGAATATTGATAGAGCTTTAATGTTATTCTTACATGCTATTTGAGATTGTGGCAAAAGAGTGCACACTCTTGATTTTGGTAAGTAGCATATCCCTAAGTTTTTAGTCATAAACGACGTAATAATTTATGCAGTGAGGTGATAGCTTGTTCTGGCTTCAGGAGAATGCATAGTCAAGAATCGAACTTAATGTTAAAAGTACAAAAAGTCTGGGCGTATGTAATAAATAGTTAACAATATTGATGGCTTCGTACCTTTAGCCTCGGTACATAAACGATAGGACTCGTAAAGATTGCCTTCTTGTTCCGCTGAAATGGAACAGATAACGAGGCGGTCTGCATCGCTGACATCATCGGCATAGGCATCTGTAAAAGCCATAGAAATTGCAAATTGGAAGGAGTGAAGACAGAAAAATAAGGAAAATTCGAAATAAGCCGTACGAGGCTATAAAATGCTACGTACGAGAATGAAAGTTAGTGTCAAAGTCAAGTAGGAAAGACACGATTCTAAACAGGGGAAATGTTGTCTTAAAAAACCCCCAGGTCCAATTTCATACCTTAGTGTAATACTCTAACGCTTAGTAGGCATAGTCTCAAGTTTAATATTAGGCCCTTGATGTCACCGCGAAGCAGTAGTTCCAGTTGAAAAAGGATTGCTTTTATCATAACTTTCGCGATTTTTTGGATAGTATTCTTATAAGGTTGGAAATAAGGTTCAAAATATGTAGGTTATTTCATCAATCGGTCAGTTTTATTTAAATCTATCCTTTGAGCAAATGACTTAATTTGTGGGGGCTAATACAGATTCAAGTGGGGCTCTCATGGAGGCAGAAAAAACCGTGAGAATGCAGGTACGATGGCACATCTGAACAATAATAACAAGAACTTAGCAAGTAACTTGTTTTTTCAAGAAGCCACAATGTATTTGCTATTACCTGAACTTTAAGTGGATTGCTTTTAAGCAAAATAAACTACCCTCCTCGAAATAGCCCCCTACCAAAAAAATTCCTAGATCCATAAGCCACCAGAGGGTAATTCGAGGACTTACGGTATCGATCATCAGACTTCAAACACAAACAATAATCCACTCACCCCCGTTATCAATATATCGACGTTGAGCTTGGTGCTTGCTTGTATGCTCTTGCTCGTGGATTTTTCCTGATGTTTGTCGCCTTCCATTCTCAACAGTGTTCTTTGGTACAGCAATAAAACGGCTGCTTTCCTTTTCTCTGTCAACATCTTCAATGGGTAACTGCTGACTCTTTGAGCGGCGATGTCGTTGCCTCTTGCTGTCCAAAATATCCTCCTCTGATCCAGAGTAATCTATACTTGTCTCCAAGCTTTTCAAATGTGCCTGATGTTTTTGCAGTCGATGAGCCTCGGAGCTTCTTCCATCAACTTTTTTGGGAGAATCGTACCTAAACACTGACTCCTCATCCTTTGAAAGTGGTGATGTTTCGCTTTGAGCCCGTTCCTTTGAATAAACCGGACTTTTCCTCGTCTCATTCTCTAATTCGGCTGATCTGTTTTCTGTTACGTAGCCATTAATTTCTAAATATGGTCCAATGACACCCATTGATGAATCATGGCCATTCACAGACAAGACGTGGTCTCCATTAAAAGGCTGGCGACTCTTGCTAGACGAAGACCCACTAGCTGTCTCTTTGCTTGACCGATCCTTCTTGAATGCTGAACTAACAATTTTTTTTAGTGATTTTCGCCTACTAGGTGGATTTCTATCTTCATCATCTCTGTCCTTTTTCTTTCCTTTTCGTTTAGAAGCTTTTTTATCAAGCCTGCGTTGGTGCTCCTTTTCATTATTATTCCGCGAAGCAATTAGATCCTCTTTGCTCATTATCTCCGTTTTTCTCGGAGCTTTATTCGCTTTGATTGTTTCCCCTTCCTGATTCACATAGAATACTAACAACGGCTGATGTTTCCCTCGTCTACAACGGTCCTTTACCATATTCCAATCTTTGCCAATCTGAAAGAAAACAGATAATTCAAATTAACTGGCTAAAAACATTGCAACAGTTTATTTTGTCAAAATGCCTTTTAACAAAAGGCACCGACATTGGCATAGGTGTTTCTTGAAAAGAAAGTGTCACACTTCCCATGACCCATGTCTATGGCCCTGGATTTCAGGCTCCTACTCAAAGAAAAAGTCAACGCAAAGATCTGAACCACAGATCATCTACTATTGGGTCAAAAAAACTTTGCAATGAGAAATCTGAAAAATGCAGATAAATGCAGGCTCACCTCCTGTACGGTTGCATCATCAAAATAAAGCCACGTTTCTTGCCGTGTGTTGTAAACAAACGTCGTATAATGTTTCCCGTAATAAGTCATAATACCAAAAAGTTTCAACTTCATCTTCTTTGCATGGTCATCGCTAAGGCTGTCGAAAAGCTGCAAGGAAAACAATAAGAAATATGTTTTAGTCCTTTCTCAGTTTAGTAACAATATCGATTCCTTTGTACAAGGTATTAAAAAAGTAAAAGAGTAAACAATTGATGAGTTTTAATTGTGACGAGAGTAAAACTGGCCACCTCATTTCTTTTAATCGATGGCATTACCTTGCTGGACGTCACATTCTAGAGAAAACAAGGGCTATCTAAATCCAAACTCTGGTTTCTTCTGACTGATATAAAAGAAGGAACGAAATCCTAGAGCCACAAAAAATCCCCTACTGCTCTACTAAAACATTACCACTCTTCTGATATTTTTTGTAAGACAAGTTCTATATTGTCAAATATTCTGTTTGGAAATAAAGAACGCCTACATACATCGCGGATTTCTAATTTCCTTCCAAGGCAGTCCAGCAGATCCATGACATATTCAGAAGATGGCCGGTCGGTATTCCAGCTGATTCCAATGCAAACTAGAGGAAAAAGAAAACATGGCTTTGCTTATGATATAGGATTAAAAAAAGACGCAAAGTTAAAGAAACATATTTGAAAGAGCGGGTTGCGTAACACACGTGAAAACAAGTTGACAGCAAGCCATAAAGAAAATGCTACCCATCCAGGCCGACCAATTCATGCACCGACCGATAAACGTGTAAGTAGCCATTTCTTATTGAGCCAATGTAATAGGCCGAAAATACGAAGCAGCACACAATTTTTATGGATCGATTTGACATAGATAAGAAAAAAGTACACTTGGTGTGTGGAACCTGGGAAATGAACGAAATCTATGGGCGAAAGAAGTAAACCTTTTCGCCTGAGTGCCATCAGTGTTAAAGAAAAGTGACTATCGCGTGGAAATGTTAAGGGTTATCGTAGGAGTGAAAGAAAGTTAGGGAACAAAAAGGAGAATAATGGAGGAAACAAGGGGGTTAGCAAGGGGACAAGCAAGGGGACAAGGCTAGGAGTAAGGGGGATGGGGGGGGGTGAAAAATGTCACGACCAGCTTTAGCTGCTATTTACAAGATTAAAAGGTCAAACTTAGACAGAATGTGAAAAAGACGATGAGAGAATATTTCTTCTTAGTTCTCTTGTTTTATGTTCCTTTAGAAGAATAAAAATGTGTAGGATTTTAGTTACAAAGCCATTCTTTCCACGTTTAGCAACTTACTAATTTATGATCATACAGTTAATACTCCATAAAGGTGCTTTATCATTCAAAGCTGGTTTCTTTGAATTCGTATCTGACTGGCTTTAATGATTAGAGTTAAAATTATCTTTGAAGATACTATTGATCAAGGAAAGCAAGCTTTTACCAATGTCTGGGCAGTTTAAAAGTGTTCGATGCATCTTCGTGGTAGGTGATTCTCTATCTTTATGGCCACATTTTTCGTCATCCTGCCAAAATCAAGAGATTTGTAATGTTCAATAAGCAATGTTTGACTTACGACTGTTTTAAATAGAATCATGGAAGAGAAATAAACTTCCGACTTGCAAGTTCGTTTCTGATAGTTCAAAGCTGGTTTCTGTATTCAAAGGTGTTAGAGCCTTTCTCGCATCACTTGGAAAAGGCTTCACATCGTCTACAAAGCTTGGCATATTTTGATTTCAGAGATATTCAAAGAAAATATATTAAGCATGTGCTATTCAAGCTAACGTATCTTTTGACCTGCAGTCACTGACATGTTATTAACACATAAACTGCCTTGATTCATTTTTCCTCTACACTTTTCTGCCATTTTTGCGATGAAAAAGACACATGCCTTTCAAAATTAAAAACGCAAAGGTTTGCAAACCGGTGGAGCTAGCGATTACGACTAACGATTAGTGTCATACATGTCAAGGAGTTTTTGGGCTGTATTAGCGAATCACAGGTCGCCTAGGGTGAGGGAACGGTAACCTGCTAAAATGACATCCAGCGACGCATTTAGCCTTTCAACAATCGCTGTGTTTGCCTTAAAGACCATTCGTTTTTTTGCAGACATAAAACTTTCGATTCGTTTTCATGTAGACGAAAAAGTGATCGTTGAAAGCGGATCCATGTATAAGCGGCCTCAAAAACTTAGGATGGAGATCAGCTCGATCCCCCAAGACCCATGTGGTATGAGTTAAGTTGTTTAAAATATTTTTCTTGGGGTCAGCGATCGTGTACTCGCAATGTATCATCCCTTATACTTTATCGGTACCGAATAAGCAGCCAGTAAAAATAGAAAAAAATATAAACAACTACAAATGCGATAAAAGAAAGATATTGGATGAATGAGATTTGATTCTATTGATACTTCTAGAATAAACTGCTATTAATCCATTGTATTGTCTGGTACTTAGAAGCAAAAAGCCTGTCGGCGTTAATCAACAACCACAAATCTCGCAACGAATATTAGAATCATCATCACTATTGTAATAACGTCAACAATACCAAAGGAAATCAAAATAACAACCACAAAAATCACACTCATATCTTGATACCTGATTAATTCAAACCGCAGGCACCAGTGCTAAAGTGGCTTCTCGATCTTGCAATACTACGCGGCTACTGAATTCCGAATAATTTTTCCGATAAACTCTCCGATCAGAAATTAATATCATTAATAACATAATCGAATTCCATACTTTTTACCCCAAGTCATTTTATTCCATATTAACTAGTATAAAATTCATTGTCAAAAATCACGGAATTTCCGACGCACTCATTTAAATTATAAGAACTAGTAAATTGAAGTTCAGGCTGGCTGTTCTTAAGCTTTTCAAACTTTGAGACTGGATTATTCTCAATCGCTAGCTATTATGTTTTTTATTACTTAGATTGCCTATATGAATGGAATTCAGGATTCTTTTTCTTTTGTTTGGTGGAATTTTGCCACACCATGCCCAAACTGAGTAATGTGTGTAACAAACCTTGTTTCAAATACATCAACACCAGCTTGTTCCTAATTTGCTCTTAACTTTTGACCAATTTTGAGGCAATTTTGTATTCTTATCAAATTGTTCTTCAGAGTATAAAACGTCAGAACATAGATCGAAAAATCTACGCTAGGAAATGTATATATCCAGTTTACAGTTGTGGATCGAAATAGGCCAATCAGAAAACGGGAGCAGACGACTGTTGAGGTTGCCAAATCAGTGCCGCTTGCCTATTAAAAATGTTACCAATGGAGTCCTAAAGTGAAACGATCTCCTACTGTCTACACAAAAGCGGTTTTTTCATGTTTATGTAGATAGATTCCAAAGTTGCTAGATGGAACGACGATCTGGTTTCGCCAATAATCCGAAGCCATTATAGTTTTTTGCATAATCTGGGGTTTCCAGTAAATGCTGCACGATAGCGGAATCGCATGTTTTACTTGTTGTTTTTCATCTGCATGTAGACTCAAGTATGAAACAAAATGTTTGCTTTTATCAGAACCATTTTTAAGTTTTGTTCCATCAAAAGACTGTTAGCAAAATGTTCTTATAAAAAAAGAATGTTGTAAAGTAGTGTTAAACATTCTAAGAGGGCGGTGAGTAGAATTTATAAGCACTACAGAGAAGGCGAACAGCCTCAAACATCGTCATCTTTTGAATTCGCCTCTTGTGAGGTTCCATCCAGTCTTAGAAATAACTGTATATTCATATTTTGCAATTGTAGAAAAGTGAATTGCAAAGATATCATGGAAGCCAACGTACCGGGCATTGTCTGCCTCCGCCATGCGCTAATGTAGCTTTCAATAGCTCCGCAAACGATGTATAAGGCTTGTATCCATTTCTTTGTGGCTGCTTGGCTTCCTCTCTGAAATAGAAACGTTATATGTAAAATCTGATATCAAAAAGCCATAAAACTCCAAAAGACCCCAGTCAAAATCCAAATAAGATTAGATTTCCACAAAATAACACTGAGGGCTGTGCAGGGGGCGGCTTATGCCCTCTAATGATCTCTTGACCGCTTGGTTTTGTGAAATCATATTTGGTTTTGAGAAAATTTCCTATGCATTCTACGGGACCACAACCTTCCCTTGATATTCTTCCGTTAATATGCTGCTGTAATCAAGCCCGCATTTCACAGAGTTCGAGAAATTGTACTACACTACTAAGCGATGGCCTTATACATAAGATAAGTCCCTGCTAATACACATTGACAGTTATCATTTGGTGAGAACATAGTTAATTAACTATGGTGAGAAAAACCTAACTGAACATTACGTACAATTGACCACATTCAAACGAAAACTTTTAAGGATGTGGTGCTTCCTTAGGAAAGATGGCTGCCAGGCGACAAGACGATTGTCATATGATTGAGATCGAGTGGAATTTAGATTGTTTCAAACGCTTTAGGGCGCTTAATCAAATACGCCTCAAAAGATTATCGACAAAGACCTTTTTATTGCACTAAATCAAAATCGGAAAAGCTTTATAAATGATTCATAAATGGAAGAAGCAGTTCTTATCAACTGGGGAGCATCCACTCAGAAAAGCCGTTTGTCTTACTGTTGTCATGCAACATTAATAGGTCTGGATTATGATACATTTTAAGAAGGCGGTTTTTTTAGTGTTTCTCGTGAAGCTGAAAAAGCACAGTTGATATTTCCTCATTTAACGGTAGCTTTAATGAACACAAAGCCTTGGTCTCAACAGGATCAAGGTCGACTTAACAATATTGTCACATCCAGGTCAAAGCTTTTAGTGAATGGTATGGTATATGCTTTGCAATACAGCTTACTACTTGCTCCAATAACAACAGACTACCTACTAAATGGGTGTGGGGCTAGGGATAGAAGGCTAAGGGTAGGGGGTAGGGGTAGGGGCTATGGGCAGGGGCTAGGGGCAGGGGGTTTGGTTAGAAACACTGTGGATAGCTAGGAGGCTTGGGCCTGGGATTAGAACGATTAGAGGCAGGGGCTAGAGACAGGGGTTTGGCCCCCTTGAAGAGGATCTGCCTATTATAGATTTACAAAGTTACCTGGATATCGATAACAGTAAACAATTTCTATAGGGCATGGCCAAAAATACCCCCCCCCCTTCATGATTTAATAACCTCAAGCACCAAACATAAACAAGCACCAAAATAACCTCAGCTGCTTTGCCCCTCTTTGCTAAAACAAAATTAATGCCCATGGTATACCATGATCAATATTTTATATAGCCATTGTGTAATTATCTATAATCTATAAATTATTTTGAAAGGACTCACAGGAAACAATGCTGAAAATTTTGAGTTGAAACTTGATTCTATAGTGTGGAATGTCCCCACACTGTAGTGGCAAGCACAAAAAATGAGCAGCCCCAGGACACGGGACTTGTAAATCACAGAAAATTCTGAGCTAGCTGTTTCATTCTAAAAACCTCACTGTACTTACATGAGGGCAGAAGCTGCCACATAGTTCACTGTTTCAAAGTAATTGAAGGGTTCTGATGTTGCACCACATTCACAGAAAGTCTGAAAGACAAAAATCAAAAGATTGAGCGTTATGAAAATTGCCATTCTTTACAAATTAGAGACAACAATGCAAAGACAGGAGGAATTAAACAAAGGGTGATTGAAATGTGGGCAAACAAGTACAAATGTATGATCCTATAGTCGTAGGAAAAATGTAAATTGGTAGCTCAAAATAATATTTAATTACCTGTTCAACTATCTGCATTGAAAACTTCTGATGTGGTATGCAGTATTTTGCATTGCAAATGTCTTCGGGTCCACCAAATGTGATGTGATCATGAAGTCGTCGCAAAATATTTTCCTAAAAGGAAAATAATAATTTCAGTGTGAAACATTTATAGTAAAATTTACAGCATAAGGAAGGAACAAAAGTAGGACCAATATTCATCAAGCAAGTCTATTTCAAGATCTTCTAAAATCATGATTACCTAATATCTTCAATATATCATGGTACAGTAACATGACAGATTTATGCCAATTTAGAATATTTAGACCAATTTTTGGCAGTCCCCATAATTGAGGGTCTGGATAAATGAATAACCATTTTACCAAAGAATCATGCTGCATAATGATAGTACCAAAGATGATTGCTGTCAATTAAATATCTTATAATTCACTGATAGGCTTAAAATGTAACAATTGGAGCTTTCAAGCTACTCATTTTCAAAGCATGGTGCTCTATCTTGGGATCTGTCAAACAGTCCCTGCTTAAAAGTTGTGAGCAACTTTTGGAAGTGCATTGAAATATTGGCTTCACAATAAATCATTTGACAATTGATTCCTTTTTTGAAAAGACAAACTTTAAAACAATATGCTTTTTAAAGAATACAAGAATGGACCTGTAGGGGCCTAGATATGTAAAATTTTCACAATTAACAGCTATTAAAAGAAAAAAGATCACCAGCAGCCAGAGAAAATATTAGAAATCATTTTCACAGTCTTGTCTGGAGCTTAGAAAGTTCCAAACACCAAAACCAGAGAAATCCTTTTAGGCCAGTAGCCAAATCACTGGTCAACCTTATGCTTGGGCCATTACTCCCAATTGTTTGCTCATATGCTGGTCATACTATTTAACAATTCATTTATGACCTAAGATAGTCATCAATAAATTCTTAAACTTCTAAACTCACAAAGCACTCAGCTGCATCACCCATTCTACCAATCTGAAATTTGCGCTGATCCTAAGAAAAAATACCAAAAGGATAAAAGCAACTACAAAAATATATACTTTATATTTATGCTCATAACAATTGATAACAAACACAATATACAAAATGATACCACATGATGCATGGAAGTGCATCACAACCCTGCAGCCATTAACAGTAACATACAAGTCTGTCCCAAAATAGAGGCAAAATGATGCAGGCTGAAGATTAAGTTGTTAGGGTCTGCATTAAGAGCCTGGTTATGTTATGCATCCTATTTCAATTTTGAGACAGACTTCAGATACAAATAAAATGTAATGATTCCAAAATTACAAACAACTTAAAAATGATTCATGAAGGGGGTAGGACAAAAGCAGGTTGTCAAAAATGGTACAATGTGTGGAAGTATTTTAGCATAGCATTGATAATTTAATATCATGGTAACCTTCCATCACCATACAAAATAACCTGAACTAGAGCTTCCTTAGAAAAGCTTGATAGGCTGCATTCAAACATGAATATTAAAACGAGATAAGCAACAAAGGATGAAAAAGAGTTTACAAAGTTTAACTGGTAAAAAATTCTACCTAAATTGAAACAATTCAATTCGATTCAATTCAATTTAATTTCATCAACCAATTCTACATAAAATTTTGACCTACAAATTACACTACCCTACATTACATTAAAAGATTTTTGTTATAAACAGGAAAACAACTTTATAACAATGATTATTGATATAGATTTGAGAATCAAAAACTACTAATATTATGGTTACCTGGAAAGCCTTGGCCATTGCATTTCTAAGTACATCAGGAGGAAGTGCACCTTCATCACTATCTTGGAATTTACCAAAGATTTCCTGATCAAATTATAATTTGCAGTTAAAGTAGAGCAGTAGTTTGCATTATGGTATCTAGCTTTAAATTGTATATAAAGAAGGAGTGAATCATCAGTAATCTTTATGTGATATCCTTATAACAGCTGAGGTTTCAAATTTCCTTCACAGAAGAGCTTGGTTAACTTCAAAGCTGTGATAACTTAATGAAACCACAAGGATTTTGGCTTGGTTTCACACTCTAATTCATAGAGGACAGTCCAAACAAATCTAAGCTCCAGGCAGAGTTGCCAACAGATCTGTATAGGACTTCTGGATTTAAAATGTCTAGTTTGAAATAATGAAAAAGTCCAGTAAATGAATAGTTTAATAGTTTTGCTTACTTTGCAAGTAAGGTTTAGAATTAAAACAGAATTTCAGGTGATTTTACCTTTAGGGCACAAAATATGCAGCATTCCTCCAGGCAAGCATGACCCTCTAGTAACCTGAAACTTCTCCTGAAAACATCCAGATGCCACAAAACCTGGTGAAATTAAGATTATATTTACAAATTTGTTGGCCTGTTGCAGATATCCAACGATTATCAAGATATTAGAGAAGTACTGTATTATAAAAAGATTCTTTGTTGTAGCAAGGAATTCAGTATAAAGAATGGGATTTGTGGTTTCATAGTCATTAAACAGGCCATTCGTTTCCAAAAGAAGCCTGTATCTTTCATAGTTGATAGCACAGTAATCACCAGGCAGACCCCTCCTCCAAATAGGGAGAATAAAACTATCAGATGACCATCATAGTTTGTAGTTTGAGAAAAATGGAACAAATGGGGCTGTTCATTTGGAAAAAGGATTTTAAGAAAGACAAATCCTTTGGTCATTGGAAAAAGACAAAGTTATTGCCCTGAATTTTTATGGTAAAATGTAAGAGACAAAAGTATAAGAATATCAATGATGATATGACAGTACTAAAAAAGAACCAAATAGCAGGAAAATGAGTAAGGCTGGCCATCCAGGGTTTTGGCTTTCAGACTAGTGGGCACTACATTTGTTTGAAAATAGTGGGATATTTCCTCATGCACCATTTAGATACGAATCCTGTAGGCAGTCAATACCCATGTTTTTTGGCCAAATTTAAAGATCAACAATTGATTTACTTTCAAAAAGAATAAGATAAGTAAGAAATCTAGATAAATAGGCAAAAATAGTTCATTTCTGAAAATGACAAAGCAAGCTTTGTGACCATGGTCAAAACAATAACAAAAAAGGTCAGCAAAACAGACTAGATAATAATAAATTTAAAATATTAAAAATAATATATATTCTAAAAAAAATTCAATAGGAAATCCAATGGAGAAAAAAACTAAATAATATAAACAAAATCCATTTCATGTAACATTGCTACTGCCCAGTTTACAAAAGCTCAATATTTATTTGATGCAATCAAAAATCAATTTACTCTCAACACAACAATCTGAAGAATCGTTTAATGACTTTTACTTCCTTCACTTCCTTACCGCAAGAATGATTTTCTTTTTTATCTAATTTATAATCATTCTCTTAATGATAAATTTTGGTTTCCAACTTGTTAGACTTCAAGCAATACTCGTAAGGCCGTACAACGAAATTCCTATCAAACTACATGGTGATGCTTTCCAGCCTCTGCATTGATTATATTTATTGTTCAAGGTCAATAAACAATTGACACCAATTAGATTCTCAGACATGATGCTGTCAACATTGGTGTGAAAATTATGTCTAATCTCACCCAAAAGGAAGTTACAGTGAATGAAGGCTGTTTTACCTGTACTGCAGAGTTCATAAAACAGTTGTTTTCCCCAGGATCATTTCGCAAGCCTCTTGAAAAGATGACCGAATGTCGATTAACTCCACCATTTCTAGATCTTACCAGCGTCATTTTTTGAATTGTTGTTATGGCCACTGTCGTGCAAAATCTCCTGTAAACTAGTTAAACGTCATCTCTGTTTTACAATTCATCAAGAATAAAATGCTTATTTCTCATTTAAAAATCGTCGTAAACAAGACGTCTCTTTTGATCTTATTCGGCGTGTGAACTTTTGAAATCGTATGATTTCGTTGATCGCCCCGAAGCCACTACCGCAATGATTTTTAACACGACGTCGGGATCGAATCATAAATCACTGAATTGTTTTTATCATGATAATTTTCAGCACTTCAAAACGTTAGCCAATTAACTGATGGAAGCTACGTTTGCTGTACAAGGATTTCTCTGCAAATCCAGGAAAGATGGACAGGAATAACTTTTTCCATCTAAAATCCATTAATCGACAGCCTAGCAAACCACATGGCAACTGTACATCTAGTCTTTCGTGTATCGCTGATATCCTGCATGCAATAAACGATCAGAAACGATTCTCTTTTCAAATTTCTCCCAGGGAGGCGAATACATCAACAAACGTTTTAATCCGGTTGGGCTAATCCATTTAAAAGTCACAGAAAAACAAGAACCATGTGAAGGCCTAAGTGATTGCCTTTTTCCTCTCCTCAAAGTCAGAAATTTGTTAACAAATGCTATTCTTGCCAGCTGTGTCGGGATGATATCTTGTTCAAGTCATAAATTTAAAAATCTTTGTTTTATTCCCAGGGAAGCGATTTTCTTTGGTTGACACTGGCAGCGTTCTTCTTCTCTCTGCCGTCGTTGTTTTTAATCTGGTGTTTTTGATTACATTAATTGTCATAGATCTCAAGAAGGTTAACGAAAACGAGGGCTGTCATTAGAGTTGTCAAGTGATAACGCCACAAAAATATATTTTTAGAATTTTTCAAATTTGTTCCCATAACCTGAAAGCGCATCATAAGATACCAATATATACTCAAAATCAGTTGAAGTTATCACGAATTGACTGAGATATGACCAGACCTATCAAACCTCTGTAATTTGATATCTGTTCATAACTTTATAAACTAAGCCAAAATAACAATATTCCGCTAGCAAATCTCAAATCTTCTATTGGCCATAGCTCACCCAATTTTTGACAAACGTAACTGATTTTGCATATATAAGAGTATTTCATGGTGTTCTTTTATGTTATGTGGTCAAAATTCAAAACTTCTAAACTGGTTCTTTTGTGACATCGCACTTGAGAACTCAATTTTCTCTTTTTTACTTCTAGATACATGCGTGTTCGTTTTTCATACAATCAGATCAGTGGTGGAAATTCAGGCTTTTACTTCTCAGGCCTACGATTTTTCGACAAAGACACGACAAGCTCGAAGTCTTCAACGAGAACGATGATTGGGGGGGCAGAGCCCCCATGTCCCCCACAATTTCCGCCATTGTACAAGATAGCACTTCACTTAAAATATTTTTTGAGTTATGACTCCTTTTTTACTTATTTAAAGAATACATAGCTCCAACCCCCTACTATTAAAACGCCCTATAATCAGGCACTGGATAGTAGGTACCCAACAGTGGTTTTTGTTTTCAACAATCCTGTTATCAATTCGAGAGCAAGCGATGTTCTCCTAAAATCATATCGGATTTGAAAATATAAGAATAATTTAAGAATATATTCAGGCTCAAAACGACAATTTCTTAAGAATATCGAGGCTAGACAAACTTTATAGTATTCTTATGGAAAAAAGCGTAGTCATTGCCTCTATCTATACAAGGGTACTTCTTCATTGAAATTTTACCTTTACGCAAATTAGTTATCTTTCTTGTATTTTACTTTTTTGGCCTTGTTTTTTCTAGCTGCATTTAAAAATAAAACTCGGAATTTTTTTTTTCTTTCGTCCATGCTATATTCATAGCACTTAATGTGCAGCTAAAAATAAGAACTATTATGGTACCGCATTTCGATTAACAAAGGTCCAGAAATTAGGAATTTTGGAAACTAGGTCATGAGCTAGGACCTTGATAAAAAGGTTGTAATGAATATTCGTGTAATGTGGATTTGTCGAGATTTATGATGACTTATACGATTATTTTCTTACATAGTCTTTTGAGAAATATTCAAGGGATGGAAAAGATGTTTTGGATGACTCGCCCCTTGGAAAAAATCACCGACTTGACACCACTCTGCTTACATAAACAACGGTCATCAACATCAGCTAACTTGAGCTTGACACCATGACATAATGGTTTAATTTTGTTGCAATAGTACGGACAAACTTAGTTTGGTTCTAACCTAGCTAACATCGATTCCATTATTTAAAAGGAAATAACGATAATTTCTGAAACAAAATGGTTTTGCTCCAGATTTGGAAGTCCACTTCCCCCCTGCCCCCCCCGGGATTTACAGCCCTGAACTAAAGACCAGCGAAGAAAGGGCGGTGAGCTGAGAGGACTTGAACCTAGAATTTACTCCTAAAATGTAGCAAATCCATAAACTGAATTATCTCATTTTTTATATGATAATAGATGTATTGGGCGAAATGGCCCTTAATCTACTACAACAAAACAAAACGTCCTAATTTTAAACGGTTAATTAAAATTGCTACATCTAAAATATTACTACAAATGGCTACAAAAATTATAACAACTTAAATATAAAACAGCAAACTGATCAGCACAATTTTTTAAAGATCTGATAAATGTCACGCTTTTGGAATGCTCGCCTTACGGTTATCGCAAGAATTTGAATCAAATCATTATCTTCTTGAGTCATCATCCAAACAAACTTGTTTTCATGACTAATATTTTTTATATAAGGATACCTCTCTGCAGTTTTCACCAACAGTTCATTCCTTTCTTCAGGGTAAAGGGGGCAAACGATTACAAAATGAAATTCGTCTTCAATAGCGTGGTTGGAGATCGAATCGCAGTATCTGCAGATTCTTTCATCCTTGCGGGTAGGCTTGTTGCCATATCTGCCTGAATAAAAAATGCAGGTTCTGAGAACTAAGTCTTAATCTAAAAAGCATACATCTTGCTTCAAAATCTGGCATAATATCAAGATACTTTTCAAATGTAAAAGTTGCCTTGAATAGCGCATAGGTCCGTAGCTTCTTTTCGTTAATGATGTGGTCTTTAATTTTTTCCATGATGTTTGAAGTGAAGTGAAGCATTACCTTAAATTTGATAGAAGGTACACTACCAGATACATTAATATTGTAGAATGAGATCAGTTTCTTGGTATCTGAAAGCCAGGTTTTAACACCAGTCAAAGCATCTTCTGATAACATAAGGAAAGCAAATTTTGCGTAGCGTACCGGACTCAAAATCCGGACTTATTTTAAGCTTTAAGCATGTTGGCCCTTATTTTTAGCCCCCCCCCCAAAAAAAATTGACTGTCAAGCCCTTCTTTTTAGCCCCCCAAATTGACTGTTGAGCCCATTTTTTAGCCCCCCAATCCATTAAATGCTCCATGGTCCCTAACTTAAACTACGCCTTCTTGTAAGACGATTAATATCGATTTGCAAACCCAAACCCCCATGAAATGTGGCGAGCTTAGATTTGCCCTTTCTCAATATAGGCACAAATTGTATTAAATAGATACGAACTTTAATGTTTTTAACATTTTCCTAAATTAATAAACCAAAAATATAGGTATCTGTAAGAATTTCTTCAAAATATGGGCTTCTGTAATACATGTAATACCATGACATAGAGGAGAGGGGTAAAATGCAAGCTATTTCTGAATTACTCAGAATTGTTTATAGCAATACATAGGTTTCTGCAACTTTTCAAATTCTAGATCTCAATTATATTCTTCCTGAACAGTAAGACGTCCCGAGAATGTCATAAATAACGATAGGATGATGAATGGTTGTATTTTACATGATAATGACTTGCTTCTGTTATTTTGCTGCTAAATGCTTTGCATTGCAAGCGTTTGCGACTTGGAATTAAGGTGGTCACAGAATATTGTTCATCTTGATGACATAGTGCTCAAATCAAGCGCTTCTCTTTAGCAACTTTACTACCATTTGTATTCGACAAAATCACAGGCTCAAGCAATGACGTACAGAACAGAATTATCTGTTAACATTTCATAAGCAGGTGAATATCAATGGAGAGAATAAAGGCCCTTGTCATACACCATACACCGCAGGAAATACCTTGGACCAAAGTTCCATAACATGATTCAAATTGCTTTCTTCCAAACCAAGCAGAAAGCCCTCGAAGCAACAAAGCATCTTCTTTTTGCTCTTAAACCCCGAATGGCTAGGGGGTTCTCAGTCACCATTTATTTGTTAGTTAATAAGAGCCTTGACAGCTATGACATTTCTTGATATTAACGCAAGGGAAATGACATGACACCTTGAAACTAAACATTGACGTCATGCTTGTTTCTTGTTAAAATTCGGAAAAATTTAGCTTATCTGAAATATAAACAGATGAATGGTTATCCTTTATCCGTATGTTCCCGTGATAGAATAGCAGGAAGCAAATCAAACCTTTTGTATAGGCGGTATAGGTTCGATTCCAAACATCCTTCCCAAGAAGTCACAGGAAGCTTGTGGCTCCCCAGATACTATAAATAACCTTCTATATTTATGGGTGTCACTGATCAGTGATGGGTGTATAGTGCATGTCTTCGTTGTATAGACACAAAGCTTTCATAGCATTTCTACTTGCAATTTAAAATATTAGAAAATTTTCTGGAATAAAGCCAGGGTAAAGCGACCAAGGAGGGAGACCGGCTACGTACCCAAACTGTTTTCAGAAGTTCAAAATTTCACGATTTGTGAACCTTAATTATGCCTTTTATGCATGTACTTAAAAATGTTTTGCTGGAAAACTCAACTAGACCCTTGTGGTACTGGCTCCCAAAACGGCAGATGCTACGACTTGACACGGTCTTTTTTAAGTTTTTTTCGTAGCTTTTTCACATATGCACCCAGGCATTGAATTTGCTGTAGAAAATAGAAATTGCATTGGTAGCAACTTAAACGGCTTTTCACAGGGCAGGGGCGCTAAGGTAAATTGGAAAACGAAGAGGGCAAGAGCACAATAAAGATTCAAACCACGATTTTCCAAAAAGGCTCTTTTAATTTATGAAAAGATGGGGGAGGGGTGAAGAGTTTTCTTTTGCCAACCGTTTGTGTTGTCTTCATTTCCCTTTGTTGCTATGGCAACATTTTAGAGAAACTTCTTTTTTGATCGCTTTTGCTTGCCTCAATGCACTTGAATAAAAATGGGTAAATTTTTATTTGTTTTTGTAGAAAAACAGAGAGTGGAAATGGACCCTTAATCTTTCATTTTGATTTAGATTAAAAATTAAAATGTTAGCATTTGTCTTACTTGATCAAAGTTTATAGAAAGCTAATACTTCAAATCATGTCTGTACCTCAAAATGAAATTGAGGGAAGACTTTTTTATCCATATTTTTCGGGTCTGGCTATACTGCTGCTTATAGGATAAACAAGGACCTACCACTCAATGAGACATCTAGAGATAATAGTAAAATGTGATGATTTTGCATAAAAATTTGAGCATGCAAATATTTAGTAGCCAAATGATAAGACTGCACAAAATATTGGGCAATTTTATTTTGCTTTTCATATGCTTGTAGGTGAGTTGCTTGTCACATGCTTTTTGCTTATACTTACAGGAACACAGAAAAGCAGCAAGTCTCCCAGAATTTTACAAAAAAAAATTACTGAAATAAAAAGATACTCCAGAATAAAGTAGCCTTTTTTCTTGTCTGAATCACTACAAACTTTACATTGGCAAATGTCAAGAAAGCTACATAAAAGAATCTTCTCCTGAGTGAGTTTATGCTAATAACTTTTACTCTATATAACAGCAAAATCCAAGGAGTAAAAGTTCTACAGAGTAAATTGAAGCAAAATACTTAAAAAATTTGCTGAGACAAATCAAAATCAGATTTTTATGAAAGTTCCGTAATACAAGGTTTCTTCTTATCTGTTGATCAAAAGTTTCCAAATGATTTGCATATCACCATGACAGTCATGGCCATGTTTACAGCCATTGAGCTAAGAAAGCCAGCACCTCGAAGCCCATGGATGGCATTCAAGTACCCAAGTGTATGTAGGATTCGACCAGTGGTGAAGATACGGAAAAACCATTTGGCAATGACAATGTCTGGATCTGTGATCACAAACAGTAGTGCACAAATGAGGAATGGCAGAATGTTCTCCAAGTCATTCAAGTGGGCTCTAAAAAGTAAGAGCGTAGGTTTAGATGGTTAGAGACAGAAACTGCAATCTTCCTTCCTACTTAGTTCAGTTAATGCAGTTTTAAAGATAAACTTAAACTGTTTTATTCTCTAACCTTCAAAGGTTTGGTCTGAAGAAGCTGCATTCAGAAAGCTTAAATTACTTTTACTACTTTACACAAAGACAAACCAATTTCTGCTACATATAGATGCGAATGTCTAAGAAAATTTTCATGGGTAAACCCCCTTTTTCAATATGGAAACTGCATTAAGCATGCTTTGTAAACCACTTAAGCAAGTGAAACATTGTAGGGTTTTGACTGAGTTAAAGAAACTACCTGGGGTAGTGTCATTTAGCCTCCTCCAAATTCCTGAGAAACTGATAAATTAGACCCAAGGACTTTGCAAAGTGAAAATACAACTAAGAATAGCATATCTTTAAAATTATTCAATAATTCAATTTTCCGCAAATTATTAAAATCATTTTCAGTCATTTGCTTAAAAATTTATGTACTTGTAATTCTAGTTTACGTATTGAAAATTCTCTAGAATTTTTCACAACCTAAAATTTGACAAGCAATTATAGATCTCAAACACAAGAATACATCCCTATAAAGAAGTACAGGGTCAGCTCCCTGGGTTAGCGAAGGCAAGAAAACTTTATTCGCTTCTGTCCAACAACTGATGTGCTTATGAATGGGACTTACCTTCTCACTCTTTCTATATCATCATCTGTAAATTTTGTAGGTGGTTTGTGTCCCTTTTCCACCTTATAGTCTTCACTTGTTGGATATATCTGAAACAGAATAAATTTATCAAACAACAGCAATCGTACTTTTAAAAAACATTTCCCTTTGTTTCAAACCTTGAAATTATATTGAATCTTTCAACAGCAGAGGTCCCATACATGCGACCATCCAAAACGCCCCCCTCCCCGCCCGAGCGTATTTTCTGTTTCGGAAATTCTACCGCGTCACGATGACACAGCATTGTGTTTACCCGCCCCTCTCTGAACTTGAAAAATTATAAAAAAATAAAATCGTTCAATTTGCGCCTGAAACAAACATCGCCTTTAAGATTCATAATTGCAATATCGCTTTTAATTATTTCCATGATCCCTCTCGAGCTATTGGATCTTTTGAGAGCGAGAGCCATTTTCTGGCAAAGACAGGGGAAGTTAAAGACCTTTCTAGAGGGTAGTGCTTGATTGCTTGCAGGTGCATTTTAAATTTCAAATCACAATAATCAAACATAGCAGTAATAGTTCGTATTTTCTGCGGCAGAGGTAAGATAATTTTCGGCGTAAAGTTATTCATCTTGAAGAATGTTGTTACAATGCTAAAATCAAAATGCTTGGAATGTTCACCCACCTTCTTGGCAATTCTGTGTCTTGCTGTCCATATGCTCATGAAAAGAGTTTTGAAAACCAAAACAGATGCATAAAATATGTAAGTTGCAAAAAGTTCGCTGTTCAAAGATTGAGGAATCATGATGAACAAGCTGAGGTATATTTGCTTCTGCAACACAATTTGCTTCCGTTCCAAAGTTCCAAACTGCAAAAGACTGAATAAAGAATAACGACGGCGTCACGTCGCTGCGAAGGAAGATGCGCCAAAGATAAATTTTTCCGGGGGGTATTTTTCGATGCATTCGATGCATTCGACATTTTGGGGTTATGTATAAAAACAAAAGTTTTGATTCATTTTTTATAGTATTTGTGTTCATACTGAGAAAGAGCAAAGCTCTGTACACTTTTTCTATGAGAATATGTAAATACAAAAATGCCCCCAAAAGCTATTTTTGGACTGGAGTAATGGTTCACAGACATCTTTTAGGTATAAAACGATCAATGTAGGTAAATTGTACCAGGAAATTTTTTTTAAAATAATGCACTAAGCCGTTCTAACTTTGCAAGTTATAAAACTGAAACCTTTTTCCTGGCGTTATTTGACGTGCTAAATAAAATGATATGCAAAACAGCTGGAACTCCCGGGGGGGGTACTTGGATACCAAAACGACGGGGGTGTGCACTCCTAAGATTGTTTTGGTGAACCGGCTGTAGAAAAAAAGCTAAAAATGACACCCGGCTTTAGAATTTCTGGAAAAAAGAACAAAGGAAAACAAAAGCTTTGCTGCAGTTGCCATGGTTGCCAGAAAACCACAAAGACAATGGGCGGGCAGCCTCTTTGCTGTTATTTCGGCCTAGATTATATGTAGCATGAAACACCGCAATACGCCGAGAATAAACAACAATAAATACACGTAAATCAGTAAAGGCTAATATTTCGCCCCGGCATACGGGGCTTTATCAACTTTTGCTTTCAAAAAAAAAGGCCACATCACTTGCCCTTCTTGATATTTATAACAGTTTCACAAATAACATTGAACAAAACTCATTCACTTGCTGCATTCTACTTGATTTTTCGAAAGCTTTCGACACTGTCAATCATGACATACTCCTCTCTAACTAGATCACTATGGAGTAAGAGGTGTACCGCATGCCTGGTTCGAATATTATCTAAGAAACCGAAGACAACGTGCGTGTGTTAGTGGTCAATTATCAAACAGCTGCAATATTTCTCATGGTGTACCACAAGGTAGCGTCCTTGGACCCCTCTTATTTTTACTTTATATTAACGATATTGCTAAAGCCTCTAAAATCTTAAACTTTCATCTGTTTGCGGATGATACCAGCATTGTCTTTTCACATAAGAATCTCAAGGAAATGGTATCAATTATTAACCATGAGCTGACTAAAGTATCACATTGGCTTGCTGCAAATAAATTATCGCTAAATGTATCTAAATCAAATTTTCTCTTAATTCACTCGAAAAACAAAAAAAGAAATCAACCGATTTGTCTCAAAATCAATAATCAAAATATTATCCAAAAAGAATATACTAAATATCTTGGAGTAATTATAGACTCTCAACTAAATTGGAAAGAACATATAAAACAAGTTAAACTAAAATTATGTAAGAGCATTGGACTACTCTCAAAACTGCAACACTACATACCACAAAATACGCTCAAAAACTTATATAACGCACTAATCATACCCCATGTTAATTATGGGCTTACGTGCTGGGGAAGTGCCTACTCCTCAAATTTAGAACCTATTCGAATCTCCCTACGCAAAGCAGTGAGGACAATAACTTTTGCAAAAAAAGCGATCATTCGAAACCAATCTTTGAAAAACTTAATTTGCTTGATTTTGATAATACATACAAATGCGAACTAGGAAAATTGATGTTTGACATTAACTCAAAGAACATTCCTTCTCTCTTCAGTAGCCTGTTTAAAAAAAGCAGTGATGTACACCATCACAATACCCGTCAATCCTCTTTGGACTTGTTTTCCCTTCCTTTTGGGGCTACTGACTATCGTCTAAAATTTATTTCTTATCAAGGTGTTAAATTCTAGAATTCTCTTCCTCTTGAATTGCGCAATAAAAAAAATAAACATAGGTTTAATAAGCACTTAAAATATATCTCCAAAAAGTTAATAGGCCTTCAAATGGCATCTTATGATCAACTTTTGAATTGCACTCCCCTTCTCTTAAGTTCTCTACTTTCTTTTCTTTTTATATCAATTTTTATTTTTTACTTTCTTTAAGTTGTTTCCTTTATTATATATTCTTGCTGTTTTTGTTAATGACACAACTTCACATACATGTTTTTCCTTGAATCTGTTCTTTAAATATATACAATGTAACCTGTAGAAACACAAAAGGGCGCGTAGCTCGAAAGCTCCTCTGAGTTATTTTTACGTGTCCTTCAGTATTTAATTTTTTCTTGCTGACAATTTCATGTAAAATATGCTTTTTAAATCTTCTAATCGTTTATGTTAGCACTATCGTATCCCTTGTAATTATTTAAAATATACTGATAATGAAATGTTGAAGTTAGAGTTGAAGTCAACAAGTTTTGCTGTCTTCAATTTGCGTTGAAAGAAACAGATGAATTGACGCATACAGAGGAAGTTAGCCTGAGATCAGGCTCGGACAGAGGAAGTAGCAGACATGGGCGGCGCCAGATGGTGGACTGGGGGGCTTCAGCCACCCCCTTTTTTTGCAAAAAAGTATTTTTAAGAGAATAAAAAGAATGTAAGAAAATAAAAATAGAAGAAAAGAATAATGCGATAAATCCTTTTAAATTTTTGTTTAACTTCCAAGGAAAAAGCCTGGGTCTATGGTGCCTCATAAAGTAACGAATTCCATTTTAAGCCGCGTTTTTGTAAACATCCCGCGTTTTCTTCGGCGTTTCGAGTGCAAACTAATAAGAACAAATTTTGGCATAAGTAAAATTTTCGTTAGTTGGGGTGCTGACCATGAAGTGCGTACATAGTTTACTTGAAAAAGAATAATCCAAAGACTCAAACATAACAGTTTTCTCTGTTAATCAGTTTTCTTGCCTGGCGTACAATATTTAGTTTTTTAATAACTGCTCATATATTCGGCGTACCTAAAAAAATGTTCCGGTGGACCTTTGGGGGGGGCGTACAGTTGACATGAAATCCACCATGGATTGATTGATGAGGGAATTTTACTTTCTGAACAGAAATGTGCATCTTCTTTGTCTCGAGAAATTTCAGTAGGACGTGTTTACATATCCTAAATGCAGGCATTTCAAAGATATAGAAAGTTATCTACTGAATTGATAAAAATAATAGACAAAGAATAAAAATATACCTAAATACGTTAGTAAAATCAAACTGACTCTTTTTATGAAATCAAACTGTTCATGTTTCATTGTTCCCTTTAAGATAGCAAATTCTATTATCCTTTCATTTTTCATAATCTTAAAATATTTTCCCTGTATCACAGTTGGGGTGTTCCAAATAAGAATATATCCTAATAACAAATTTGAATTTCAAATATCTTACAGAACAAAGAAAAACAGCAGGAAAAATAGCAAAAAGATGTACAATCAAAAAATTGAACATTGATTGACAATAAGATACTAGTTTGAAGCTGATAAAGGTTTCACAAGCAAAATTTTTGTTAGGTATTATATTGATTATTCAGCAATAGCCAGATTCTAAAATGATTGAAAAACAGAGTATTGTATGCTATATAATTTTCTTTAATTTATTGGTATATGATTCCAAATTTTTATTCCAATATATATTATGAATCTTTGTCTAGAAAAAGTTGTTTCAAAAAAGTTGTTTGAAAAAATTAGTCAAAAACTTTTGCTTAAATATTTTCCTGTTATATCATACATAAAACTTCCATTTTATGAGTTTCAAACTGGTCTAAATTATAATAAATTATATTACCAAATCTAAGAGTTTTAGAAATTCCCCCCTTAATTTGAAACTAAATATCTACTACTGAAAAAAATTGCCAAAATTTATATTTGAAAGTGAATGCTATCTTATTTTATGTAAACATTAATATAAATTTATGAAAATAGACGAATCTCCATCCATTAAAATACACAGATTATTTTTAGATGTTAATGCTTGTTTGCTTTCTTTGACTTTCCTTTGCTTGGTTTCTTAGCATCTACAGAACTACCCTTCAGTTCACTGGCTGAATTAGCAATGCCACTGCTAACAATAAGTTCCCGAGCACAGTTATTAATATGTTTAAACCTATCAGGCCCTAAAAGAATGCCACCATACCACCGGCTAACAATGACAACAATATTCTTAGCATTTAAAATCTCAAGTAGGTGCATGAGTCTACTACCAGCTTCATTTTCTCCATCATCATCACAGTCATGAAGAAAATGGTCTTTTCTTGATGTCTCAATTCGATATGCCATGATATTGTGTGAAGCTCTAGCAATCTTCCTATTATCCTTCAAATGACTAATTACTGCTTTGACTTGGTCTTCTGTAAATACATTGGCAACATGAGCTTGAAATGTACTTTTTCTGTCAACTATTGGCTCACCAGAAATAATTTCAGGAAATTGCGAACCATCATTATCTTTTTTCTTCCAGTTTCCATGTGTTTTTGGCTCCTTTGTGTTGGCTTGTTGCAAGATGAAGTCTTCATTTGGGCTCAATTCAACATCATCATTTCTTGTAACCTCTAGAAAAAATATATCTTATTGGCTTTACTTTAGTACTAGCTTTCTTGGTATCATCATTAAGTATTTTTAGAAGTTAAAAGCCTATATGATGGATTATGTTGTTGTTTTAATTATCTATCTAAATATGATACTATTAAAAATTTCATATTGGGTTTTCAATGTCACTTCATACCTGGCATATAGTTATCATCCACAGTTGTGGTTCTGCTTTTGTCACTTTCTGCTGATGCAGATTCGCTCAAACCAGAAACAGTCTTCGCATCAAATAGCATCTCCCTACATTTCTCGACCCACAAATAAACGACAGAGGTGCCAATATTTTCTAGCCATATATCTGCTAGCTCGCTATACATTTTTTGAATGCAATCGTTTGTCAGACATTCTCCAAACACTTCAAGAATGGGAGGCTCGGTTTGAGGATAACCTAATGGCAGCGAAATTTTCAAGGTTAACGACCACCAAAAATCATCCTCACATGTAATTCTGATTTCAAAAGACTCGCTTTCTTCATTAATAAATGTAAAGTCATCTTCGTAGATACTCGAGAGAGCGACGATCTCTTCTTTTCGAACTTCCTCCAACTCAGTCTGTGTTGGACTGTCAGCCATATTATTTTGACTTGCAGTTCCATGTTGTTGTTGTTGTTGTTGATCAAACTGGATGAAATGAAATACATGATGACAGTGGGTAGATCTTGTAAAGTGTCTAGCACTCATGCTGGCCCCAAGGGGCACCCATATATCTTTATGACAAGGATGCTTAGGATGGGGCAGGGATTAATCTAAGGGTTTTCACATAATAGTAATAGATGTATAGGCCGAAATAGCTCTTAATCTACTACAACAAAACACAACGTCATAATTTTAAACGGTTAATTAAAATTGCTACATCTAAAATATTACTTCAAATGGCTACAAAAATTATGACAACTTAAATATACAACAGCAAACTGATCAGCACATTTTTTCAAAGGTCTGATAAATGTCACGCTTTTGGAATGCTCGCCTTACTGTTACCACAAGAATTTGAATCAAATCATTATCTTCTTGAGTCATCATCCAAACAAACTTGTTTTCATGACTAATATTTTTTATATAGGGATACCTCTATATAGGGATAAAAAAGAGAAAAAGTCTTCACTTTCAAAATCATCTAGCTATTAAGAGAGCAATTCAAAAAATAAATTGAAGTAGGGTCTCAATTTTATCAAAGTGGAACACCAAAACACAGCTTGGAAATTTCGGAATTTAGAAACATCTACGCAGACTACAATGTTTCAAGAGCTTCAGTTGCATTTTCTGAGTTTCATTTTCAATTTTCGGTTGCTCTGGAAGCAATTTCAACACTTTTAGGCACCCAAGCACATAGTAAGTATCTCTGAATTCACCATAACAAAATCTCTCAAGCAAAGACAAGTTTTTTTATTGGAAGTATTTACAGGTACACTTGTCATCAAAGCTCAATTTTCGTGTTTTCGTAATCATGGATATTGTTCAGAAATGGAAAAAACTCGAAAGTTTTTTGCAATTCATATCTTAACTACAATTTCTTGATAAATTCTATATTATTTCCCGCTTGAACTGATCAAAACTTTCTGTTGCTTGTTACGGTTATTCGAATTTTGTTTAGCTAAAAAACTTTGGCGTCTGTATGACCATTTTCTAGCGAAGGGTGCAATACTTTCGAACCGTAAGTGTAAAACCTTAAGAGAATTTTGGGGCATAACTTCTTATAAATGTATGATGAAAGTTTCATACATTCGGAAAAGAAAGTATTGATTGATTTTTCTCAACCACGTATACCGAGATGGTATATCCTTTATGCTTTGATTTATGATGCTTCTAAAACTGTCAGTGTTCCATGGGCTCCGTGGCAGGATCGAAAGTTGGAGGGGGGAGAGGGGGCTTGTAAAGGGAAAATTTAGAAATCACAACAAAAGATTTTTGAAAAAGCTCTCTTATTTGCAAAAAGTAGGGAGGAGGGGTATGCACAGTGTTTATTTCCTTCTTGCATCAAACACACTTTACTTTCCATCCATACTTTCGCTGTCAATCAATACTTCAGACTTCATCTCGAGGCGAAGATAAACATGTGCTTATCGAGCTCGAGACAAAAGCGCTGATCGGTGGACGAAAGACGGAAATGTATATATGTTGCTGTTCCTTGCCTCGTTTCTGTTTTGCTTTCCCAACTGGAAGGAGATTGAAAAAAGATGGGGGGAAAACCATGAATTGAAAAACCAAGCTAGGGCAAAAAGTAGCAAAAAAAGTGCGACCTAAAGAAAATTTCCAGATTTGCCTGACAGATGCAATGGCAGCCATAAATTTGCCCGACAAAATCTGCTTTTTTGAAGATTGGGGGTGCAGCACCCCTCCATACCCCCCCAGTAGTTTCGCCCCTGGGTACACTGTCAGAATGTGATCTTTTATGCAGGTACACTGTCAGACATTAATGTTGTAGAATGTGATCTGTTAGCAACATCTGTTATTTTTAACTGTTCACCATTTATATAATGGTTTTAGGTGCCTTCTTATGACGTGGCTTGATAATCAAAAAGTGAGATTTACTTGTGTTTAGGGTTAGCAGCAAGCAAGTCAGGAATATTATTCAATTCAGTACATAATGTTTCTTGTAAAGTATTATTATCATAAGGTGAGTTAATATGTGAATACAACAAACTGGTATCATCTGGAAATAGATAAAAATTTAGAATTTTAGATGCTTCTGGTATGTCATTCATTTATATATAGCAGGGGGCCCAAAACGCTACCTTGAGGCACGCCATACTTAACACCCAAGTTTTTAGAGAGCTCACCGCCTACAGAACTCTTTGGGGTCTCACATTTAAGTAGGAGTTGAACCACTACAAGGGAATTCCTCTAGCGTCATAATATTCGAGTTTACGTAATAGTATGGAATGGTCAACTGTGTCAAAAGCTTTCGCAGAATCAAGGAACACAACAAGAAATGTTTTTAGCTTCTATTGCATCTACTACAAACCCTCAGCAATCAGCAAAAATATTGAGGGGCTTAAAGGCAGTCTCGATCAATGATTAGACGATTCAAACCAATCAGAGACAACTTTCATTTCAGCACTTTGGATTTAAATGATTGTGTTCCCGTTGTAGTAGTGAGAATCCCTTGTTCGTATTAGCCAATCATCGAGGGGACAGACTGCCTTTAAGGCCCTCTTGTACATTGCGCATCTTGATGCAATATGTAAGCTAGGTAACGATGACAAAGCAGGTTTTTGGGGCATGCTGTGTGGATTGCATCACATGCAGTCTCGAGCGTTAGGCAGGCCGGGGGGGGGGGGCGTTTGGTATCATTTGGAGAACAAAACACGTATGGTAAAAATTCCGAAACAGTTTTCAACCTTGATCAGTAAACTAGTATTCTATTGTAAAATATTTCTATTATGCCGAGTGTTTTATGGTGTCTGGGCAGGAAATTGTATTGAAACCTGATCCAAAACTTCAGAAAAACTTAATTAAGAAACAATTTAAAACCCTCCGTGTAATTAAAAAATAATATTTTCATGACTTTTGTGAACACACTAACTAGGGGTGATTGCCCCTGCAGCCCCAATGACTTTCAATAGTTCTAAACAATAGTGTATTGTCCTTGTCCTTATATAAACAAAGGCTTGCCCCCGCAGCGTATTCCCTTGGAATAGGCTATGAGCCCTTTTCACAGCGTTTTTCGTCAAATAAATCGTTTACTTATCGTATCCATATTTATTTCATTTTCTCCCTATTCTCTCACTTGAAAAATAAAGAAAAATGGGACTTTGCACCTAAAACTGAAACGTCTGGAAAACCGGAACTGCTGAATTCCAAGAAACATGACCCCCCGAAATCAACTGCTTGCATTGCTGCTTCTATCTGTGCATTGCATGCATTTGCATCCATCTGCTGCCAGTAAGGGAAGGTTACCAGTTACCATACACTGAAACACACAAAAATGGCCGATCCTAAATCGTATTTGTCTCAAGAAAAAGACCCACTTAACATTTATGTGAAAGAACATTCTTTCAGAAAAGTGGAAGCGCTCGAGCGATTGCAAGAAGAAACAAAGAAGTTAGGTAAAAAGTATAGGATGTTGGTTGATCCTATGGAGGCACAGTTCCTACGGTTTTTGCTCAAAGTATCAGGAGCTAAAAGGTTAGTATAACTGATTCGATAAGTTATTGAGTCACCGAATGATTCAATGACCAATTTTATTTAGACAATTAACGATTGTACAACTGATTAATGAAGTACTTTGGTAACAATCTAACTTGAAAACGACTTATTTTACTGGACTGATTTCACTTGCCCTACCTGCAGTCATATGAACAAGAAAAGCAAAATATAAATGGAATAGATATGTTTGCTTGGAAGCCCTTAAAGATTTGGAAATGAAGCTCGCAGGGCCTTTAACAATGTCCACCACTAATCTCAGGAATAAAAGAGACCAAGTTCTGGTCATCTACCAGCCAGCCAAACCTCGTTATAATACAAACAACTTTTGTAGGTGCGAGGCAGGCTGGCAATGGTTCCTTCTTGATGTAGCTTGAAAACGTTGTCTGAAAATGGACCATCAAACGGCTATGGTTAGGAATGTGAGAGCAAGACCTGAGTTGGGTTTGAGTGCTTCAAATGCATTACCCAGTGTTAATGTATCTCTGCGTACAAGAACTGACGAGAATGATTCACATGATGATAGGCCTACGGAATCTTCCCATCATATCAGTGTCCTGAGAATAACAGACACTGAATTGCCATCATACACTTTCTCTGCGCTAAGGCGAATATCTAACAGGAAAAGACCTCGGAAAACTGGGAGATGCACGAGAACAGGGTCAATGATTCCAGGCGAAGGTCTTGATAGAACGTTAACGGAGCCAGTGGATAATCGTGAAGATGGTTGTTTGCCTACCATTAGGCTCACTGGTACCAGGGCGAATGTAACGAGTACTACGGGACCAACTAGAATGGAAGGTATGTAAACAAAATAACTAATTTTTGCAAATTATCAGGTGCGGAACCCTTGTTTATCAAGATTTGGGTGGTGGCTGTGAGCAACAGCACTCTTCCAGACTGCAAAGTTTGGGTATGCGCGGGGAACGCGTTTTAACATAACAACATAACATAACAAAAGCCACATAACAACATAATCATGTGTGTACTTATAGATTTCAATGAGGTCCCCCCATAGTCTTCTGTATACAAGAGAAGGTAACTGAAGTTCTTTCAAGCACTCCTCATATTCAAGATTTCTCAAACCGGCCACAACTTTGCAAGCTCGTTTTTGCACATTCTCAATTATTTGTACATCTTTTTGTACCTTGGAGACCACACTACATTGCCATATTCCAGGTGAGGTCTTACCAGGCTTTTGAACAGGCAATTGAACATTTCCTTGTCGACGCAGGTAAATGAGTGCTTTATCATGCCCATTATTCTATTTGCTTTGTTTTGGAACATGATCCGCTCCCACGCAAGCAAAGCGACAGGTGTTTTGCACATGAAACAGATTCCCACATTGATCAACTGGTCAGAAAAATTTTTTTCAAATTTATTTTTAGACATATGTACCTAGTATTTATCAATTTTCTTTTAGCCAATGTCATCGAAGAGCTGCAACCATCAGCTGCATATAGTGATACAGAAGGTTTTTTAGCATTTTTAGAATTTGTCTCTTTAGCTAATTACCATTAAATTAAAGTGATTCTGTGACCTAGAGATGCAAATGACTTTGAATTCCTACTGTTAAAAAAATGAGATTTTTAACATAGTATATCTGTTCCATATTATTTTTTGCAAGAATTAGGGTTATTGGTTATTATAATGCAAAGCTTTTTGAGCTTAATTTAGCTGCTCCCTTTAACCATATAATCCCCTTCAAATCCATCACCCTAATCAAAATAATTGTCAAGTCATTGATCAAATTGAAAGCATAAATCTCTATCAATAGATAATGAGCAACAATTTGATGCCAGTGATGATGAAAGGCTTCAAGACTTTTCACTTCCAGATGTAGAGGTATTTCAACTTCCTGTTTGAGGCACACCAACATACCAGTTCTTCATAATTTTTCAATTTCTTAAGAATTTGTGTGTAAATAAATTTTATATTCTTTGATATGATTCAAATTTTATTGTGTGAATTCTTAAGATTTTTGTCAAGTTTTTGTCAGATTTTTGATTTTTTTGTCAAGTTATAATCTAGTAAATGTGTGCAAGGTGTACTGTTTGTTCTCTCTACAAATTGTGCAATGTTTATTTCTTACATCCAGTTAGATTGTGGAATCATACAGATTTACATGTTTCATGCTCTAACAGCAAAGACTTTTGTGATCCTGGATGGAAATGTGGACTTCTTATTGCAAGACTTTGATGTATCAAAGAAGAAACTTAAGGTAGACCATCAAAAGGGTGACAATGGGAAATTGAACATTGACCCTTGGCAGGAAAATAAATATTTGTAGTTGACTCAGGTTTTAGAGCTAAGAAGTCAATCTGAGTTCTTGTTATATTGCAATCATTGTTTGATAGTACAAAATGTCTTTAAATCATTCTAGTACAGCTTGTATGGCAAACAGAATATTGGGAATTGTTAGGTATGGTTATCTGTTTGAAGCAGTAGGCTAAAAGACTTTTTTGTGCAATATAAATAAAGTTATTGAAAAGAGAAACAATTTTTAAGATACAATTCTGAGTTTTATTGATTTAATTACTCTTGATCATATTTAGTTGAGGAAGTTCTGCTTTGTGAAAAGAAGACCCATTTCTTTCTCTGATGGTGTCTATTGGGTATATGGTTGTAATTGTGACCAGACAAAACAAGGATTTGTTAATGGGCTGTTCAGCACCACTGAGCAGATTTATGAAGGTATAATTTATTATTAAAACATGTTTTTTGCTCTTACTCGATGTCCTATAGCCTCATCTAGGGCAGTAATGTTCTAATATATCCTAAATGTGTGTACCCTCTCACAGAAATTTATTTTTATTGAGTTTTGAAGGGATTTTAAGGGAAAGTAAATTAAGAAGCCATGGCCCCTAGATGAGGATTAGATTTCTTTGCCACCCAATGTTTACACATATGTTGATAAAACACATTATACTATATTAGTTACATTTGGGTCATTTTTTTTTAGTTTCTTATTGTAAGTTGCTACATGTAAGTTTATTACTCATAAAGGTTGACACCAAAATATATGTGATATATTCTTGAGTTTATATATTTATATAAAGATGTACACCTTTTCATATTTCATAATAAGATTAGAAAGAATTTATATTCCCAGTGTGTTAATGAACTTTTTTTAGATTATGTTTAGTCTCACAAATATATTCTCTGCCACATTATTATTGTTATTTTGGTATCTATTAAATCAATCAATGATTTCTTGTAGAATTTAATCAACATGTGACTCAGCAGTATCCTGCTTGTATTCATACTGAGTTATGTGTAAAAGTGCTGTATCAATGGGATGGAGTTCACAACATTTCTCCTTCACAATTTGTTCAATGTAAGTATTTGGTGTACTCGGATTTACCTTTATATGCATGTATGTATCATCTGCCTATGAATTTTCATGTACCTTTTGTGAAGCTGCAGCTCTATCATAGTGCCTAAAGTATTTGTCCAATAGGAAAAACAGTCATTTTGATATACCTCATGGTTTATCTTTGGAGTTCTTGTGTTTATCATAAGGTCTTCATTGATTGACAATAAGGTATATAATGGACTTTCAGATTTGACAGCTTAGAAAAGACCAAACAAAGATAAAACTTATCTAACTTGCAGAGGTCTATTTATCTATGTCTGCATTTGGAAGACCTATCTTCAACAATTTTTTTTATTTTCTTCTTTATAGTGGAAGACTCAGAGCACTGGTATTCACAGGTTTGAGATTTGAAACACATTCTGCTTTGTAACTAGGAAGTGGCCTGGATACGTTAAGGATATCTTAAGTACAGAAAGTCTTTTTTGCTTAATGGGAACAATGGCTTACAAGAAAATATATATAAACTTTTGTCTGATTTTAAATTGACAGTAATGGTTATTTGTGCAAAATATAAATATGAAAGCAAAAAATTAATTTCCATCTTGATTCGGATTATGTCAAGCATTTTTGTTAGGCCTCTCTTATTTTCTTCTAGGAGCGTCCTTTGATAACTGAATTGGTATTCTCAAAGGAAAAATTAGTATGTGTAAAACCTCATAACAAGGAATTTGGTGTTGTCGGTGTAGATAGGAAGGGCTTTATCTGCTTCTCTTGCACCTTTGGCTGCCACTCATGTTCCCATGTTGAAGCCATCAACTCCCTTATTGATAACCAGTCTGAGGAAACCCCAGACTTCCTTCTTCAAATGGTGCAAAGGCATGATGTTCTCAAGAAAACCTACCCGAAAACGTACACCAGGTACTCTCTCTCGACAAGACGGATTTCGTATGGCCCTATGGCCTCACAAGTCAGCATATTCAATGGCAGATTCATCGTTGATACATCGACATTGCAGGAAGACGATAAGCTGTGCCCTGATTTTGCGTATAGTGTTTGCCCATCCTGTGATTATGATATTAACGAGGCAACGATTGAATGGAGTGGATCATCTCACAGGCTTTTTACCACAAAAATGATACTGGCTGTGCAAGGTGATCCATGAATTTTTGAGATCTTAGACCTTTTAAATCAAAGACTGAGATGCAACTTTTTGTTTGGGGGGTGGGCAGCCCTAATAAATAGATGTAAAAACAGTCATGTTTTACAAAGTAAAAGTATTTTACTTATACTAGCTAAGTTTTTCGGGAAGGGGGCAAGGCCTCTCGGTCCTTGTTTTGAATATTTAAAAAGCTAATTTATATAGACATGCAGAAAATTATACAGAAGACTTGATCAATATGTAGCAAACATGATTTCCGAAGTCAATGGCCAATTGAAATGCTAATCGGCTTAGTATATGTTGATGTCACGCATTAGCTAACTGTAGGAAGAGAAGATGCGAACCTGTGAGAACTTTGTGTTCTGTTAACTTTATTAAGTTAATCTTTTCTTGAATAAGCAATTATCAATTATCGCAACGTCAAGTAGTCCTTACTTTGATTAATGACGAGAGAGATATATTTCCTTTTTATACAAACCTAAATTTATTTTTTCAGTGCCGTACAGAAGATGCCAGAATGCGCAGTGTGGTTTCATTCAACCATATGATGGTTGCGCAAAAGGAATTTTGAACATGGGCGACTTTCTTGTTGGGCACGATGTGCTGAGAGACTATATGCTTCATTTCCTTCATGGCCACAGGTACCCTTTTGCTTCTCATCAGGAGATTTTCATTGAAGAAGAGAATTTTCTCGTAAATCTATATCTGATAACTATTTGACTCTGTTGAAGTTTACGTTTTCCTCTTGCCAACATCAATGTACCTTGCATATGAATATGCCATATGCAAATACCTTTTTACATGTTCACTTTATCTATTCTTCTTCTACAATGTTTTTTACAGCCAAAGCCTTGTCAGCTACCTGAAGATATGGAAACTCAACCTACGTGCCTCAAGATTTGATGTGTCACACTGTTTGACTTATGACCAATGGCGAATGGCCTGGTACTCATTTATTCGGCTACTAGACGTTGATTTCATTTCCGGGTTTTCTTGTTCTAAGTGTGGACAATATCCTCCAATAATCTTATGCGATGCAACATCACTTGGCTATCGGAGGAAATATTCTCGAGGCCTTCAAGAGCTACCAAACGAGGCCAACCCTGTAATGCTCAGTGGAAGATAAGTGATAGATATCTTTTTTGTGCTTAAAGATAAATTTTTTGTACATTATAGTATTGCTACCGTGATGGGCTACTTCAATTCCACATCAAGAATTTCACTTCTGCAAGTTATTACGTAGACTATTGTAGTCAATATATGAGCAATTCTTTATGAAAACTTCTGATCTTTATGAAAATGCGGGCCAGTTCTATGCTTTACTCTGTCAGATTCTGAAGCTTTCTCATTTTAAATAATTCTATTTGCTGGCGATAATAAGAAGAGTGCAAAATTTATTCTTTCATTTCTAATTCAAAATTCCTATCTTTGGTTTTGTATCATTACTAGCTTCAGCCAACGAGTTTGTATCAAGAAGAGGAAAACCAGGATGTTACTAAGAAAACTTGTTTCATCGAAATATTTGGAATGCGTAGAAAGAGCATCACTAAATACACTTCTAAGCCACGAACATCCAAACATTTTGCACGTGCTTGAAGCTTGTGAAGAGCTCTTTCAAGGCTGTGAGCAATTTCCAAGGGAGCTATGTACCTTCTTCAGGTGCATTTCATCAAATTCGCCGGTTTGTTCTTATATACCACCGACAGCTTCCTTCAATCATTTGGCAGCACGTTTATCCTCTGGGCTGATAATAAGGAAAGACCCAGAGGCTCTATCCGAGCTTCAGATTTGTGCCCCCATTGTTTATGGAGTTATAAAATGTCTTCCTGCTGCTTCTTTGCCACAGCCGTGGATCACGTTGCTTGAAGAACTAATTGTGAAGTCAAGGTATGTCACAGATTTCCAGCCTCATGACACCTCAACATCGAACAGTTTCTTATCCAACAGTTTGAGCTTCTTTCCTTCGTGGCCACAGCTATCCGACCGTGGCTCCTACACAATGGATAAAACGAAGAGCGACACCAGGGAGGAATGTGCTAAAACATATCGAGGTCATCCAAATTTGTTGCCTGGTATATTCACAGTTTACTGTCAACACGGTATGCTCTTTTAATTAATGTTCTTTGCTTTAGAAAAAATGTGTCATTAAATTGTAGCATATATATCTGAGGTGCCCATTTGGAGATAACTTATCAGTGCAGTTGCTCTTCAGAGAGAATTGTATTGTTGTCTTGAACTTTCCACCAAACATATAGCATGGTTTCCGTTTGTTATAAAATAGTTAGTCGTCATCCAAAAGATTCAAAGAAATCTCATGAGTTATTAACAAACCTGACATAAATCGTTGCTTCAGAAAGGATGATTGTGTCAACAGCTTCCGTGATTAAAAAATAGTGAACTTTCTATGAACTCGTTCCGTATGACCTCTCGTTTGGCAACTTTTGCTCTTTCTTTCCAAAATTTTGTTTTAGGAACACCTTTTTTATCTATTCAGAAATCTGCTACGGTTTTGAAATGATGCAATGCCAAGAGTCTACTAATGTCCCATTCACAATTATGCGAACTAAATTGCCAGAAGGTATTTATACAGGATTTATCACATCAAGCTATTGTCATAATAAGCGATTTGATCTTGTTTTATTAATGCGTGCTGTTATCTTCAAGAGGTACAGGGATAAAGTTTCATAAAGTTTTCAGGTCATTCCGTTTTCGTAGTCAAAACGAGATGTGTTTCCAGATTGTTTCAGATTGAAGGATTGTTTTCAAATGACTCCACTTTTTGAATGGCTCCACTTTTTGAATGCCTCCACATTTTCAACATCGTTTCGGAGTTTGGTATCGAATGACAACGTTTTCGAAACTAGCAATGGAAACGCAAAATCTATCTTGGGAAAACAATGTGAAGCCAATTATGTCCAAATATGTAAACGCAGCAAATAACAGGATCTTTTCCAAACTGAATTATTTTTGTTTGGAATCAACGAAGATTTTCTCCTGTAATCAGGGTCATCGTTTCTTCTCGATTGTGTCGATTTAATTTTCTATATATATTTTAAATTTTTTTTTTTAATTTTAATACCGAAAGCAGTGTAAAAATTGATATGTTTAAAAGCGTTTTTCATCATGTCTTTCATCGCTTATTGTTTCCTCTTACAAGTAATTTGTTGGCCTTCTCGTTGGCCTATTTATTTCTTTTACAGCCCCTGAAGCAATAATATATGATAACTGTTGCCATCTGCATCATTACTGCTTAAACAGAGACCCTGGCTTCTTTAAACAATGCAACTTTTTAGTAGACAGATTCCACTGGAAGAATCATAAAGGTTTGTAAATTGTTGTTGTTGTTGAAGCAGTTGCAAATAACTGTGCCCCCTGTGATAAATATACGGATGAAAGATATACAACAATCTTTGTTCTACGTTGTTATCTACCTTATGGTCTTTTTTCTTGCGTCGAACAGTGATACCACATCTTTTTATTGATCATTAATTTGAATAAAAATGAAAATCAGATTAAAGATAATTTTTCAAATGGAAATGAGTGTAAACAAAAGAGCTCTCATTTCAGTACAACATACAATCGAATATAATGAAGAATTATTGCGAGACAGTTCTTTATGATTGGAAGCTAACTCAAATGTATAAAGCCAGTGATAGTTACAATACGAAAAGATTGTCGAAATAGAAGGATTTGAATTGTCAACGATAGGCTAGAAAAGCAATATATTTGATAGAATTTACATTTATTTTAAGCTTTGTCCAATTGGTAGGAGGACAGAGCTGTCCCTGCAATCCCAATACGTCAATGGCCATTTGAACTAAAGGTATTTTTCTTATATTTAGCTTGTGCTGAAAGCTACAATGCTTCTTCTCATCCAGCATATGACCGAATCAACACCCAAATCAACGAGCAGAGAAATGCAACACTGAAGACGCTCAAGAGTCAAGTGTCGTACATGAATGAAGAGAATTTTCTCAGCCACATCAAGCTGCTTCTTTTTCACTGCAATTACACCCTTAAACAAGAAAAAGGATTCTGAAGCTTCAAACATTCACCCTTTTCTTACTTTAACGCTTAACTTGCTTGACACCCTATTCATTTGCCATCATTAATTCATTTGATCATATTTTATCGTCATATATAAAAATTCTAACCTTTTCTGTGTTTTTTCAAGGGTGTGAGTCCTTACATGAGAAACTTTTCTTATAAAAAGCAACATAAGATATATTATTCTACAAATAAATAAGACGATATTAAGAAAAAAGTTAATCTTTGTCTATTTTGAGAGAGAAATTAACCAACCCTTTTGTTAAAATTATCAATGTTTATCGAACATTAGGACTTAGCAAAAAAGACGGTGGTTATGTATGTGCCATATTACAGTTTATCGCTTCAAAAACGCCTTTAATTGGAATATGTTGAATTTACGATGTTGATGGAATTGTTTCAATGATCAGTGACGATAAAATAACTTTTTGCGTATTTTTTCTATAAATGTGTCTTAACATTGGCGCTTAGCATGACATAATTTGGTCAGCTATGCGCCATTCCGATTATTATTGGTACAAGAATCAATTTGTAGACAAAATTTTGATCTCAAGACACAAAGAGATGATTGCAATTATGAATAACGACAAGCGAACCGTTTGGGTATTTTTTCTATCAAAGTGTCTTAAAATTGGCGCTTAGCACGACATAATTTGGTCAGCTATGCGCCATTCCGATTATTATTGGTACAAGAATCAATTTGTAGACAAAATTTTGATCTCAAGACACAAAGAGATGATTGCAATTATGAATAACGACAAGCGAACCATTTGGGTATTTTTTCTATCAAAGTGTCTTAACATTGGCGCTTAGCACGACATAATTTGGTCAGCTATGCGCCATTCCGATTATTATTGGTACAAGAATCAATTTGTAGACAAAATTTTGATCTCAAGACACAAAGAGATGATTGCAATTATGAATAACGACAAGCGAACCGTTTGGGTATTTTTTCTATCAAAGTGTCTTAAAATTGGCGCTTAGCACGACATAATTTGGTCAGCTATGCGCCATTCCGATTATTATTGGTACAAGAATCAATTTGTAGACAAAATTTTGATCTCAAGACACAAAGAGATGATTGCAATTATGAATAACGACAAGCGAACCATTTGGGTATTTTTTCTATCAAAGTGTCTTAACATTGGCGCTTAGCATGACATAATTTGGTCAGCTATGCGCCATTCCGATTATTATTGGTACAAGAATCAATTTGTAGACAAAATTTTGATCTCAAGACACAAAGAGATGATTGCAATTATGAATAACGACAAGCGAACCATTTGGGTATTTTTTCTATCAAAGTGTCTTAACATTGGCGCTTAGCACGACATAATTTGGTCAGCTATGCGCCATTCCGATTATTATTGGTACAAGAATCAATTTGTAGACAAAATTTTGATCTCAAGACACAAAGAGATGATTGCAATTATGAATAACGACAAGCAAACCGTTTGGGTATTTTTTCTATCAAAGTGTCTTAACATTGGCGCTTAGCATGACATAATTTGGTCAGCTATGCGCCATTCCGATTATTATTGGTACAAGAATCAATTTGTAGACAAAATTTTGATCTCAAGACACAAAGAGATGATTGCAATTATGAATAACGACAAGCGAACCATTTGGGTATTTTTTCTATCAAAGTGTCTTAACATTGGCGCTTAGCACGACATAATTTGGTCAGCTATGCGCCATTCCGGTTATTATTGGTACAAGAATCAATTTGTAGACAAAATTTTGATCTCAAGACACAAAGAGATGATTGCAATTATGAATAACGACAAGCGAACCATTTGGGTATTTTTTCTATCAAAGTGTCTTAACATTGGCGCTTAGCACGACATAATTTGGTCAGCTATGCGCCATTCCGGTTATTATTGGTACAAGAATCAATTTGTAGACAAAATTTTGATCTCAAGACACAAAGAGATGATTGCAATTATCCGAATCCCCCCCCCCCCCCCAAAGCCACTCCCAGCCCGGCGCCGAACTCACGCAAGAGTTGGACACAAAATCTTTCAGACTGTTCTTAATAAATGAATATTTGGACAATATATTTACTGTTTATCTATCTTCAACTACTTTTTTAAGGATCGGTGGGGATAAAGATACCTTTGGGATAGAACCCTTATACATACTGCCAAATGTCAATGCCTATAATGATGGAAACTATCCGAACACCCCCCCCCCCCCCTCAGCAAAGGGACACAAAATCTTTCAGACTGTTCTTAATAAATGAATATTTGGACAATATATTTACTGTTTATCTATCTTCAACTACTTTTTTAAGGATCGGTGGGGATAAAGATACCTTTGGGATAGAACCCTTATACATACTGCCAAATGTCAATGCCTATAATGATGGAAACTATCCGAACAACCCCACCCCCCCCCAACAAAGGGACACAAATTCTTTCACACTGTTCTTAGTAAATGAATATTTGGACAATATATTTACTGTTTATCTATCTTCAACTACTTTTTTAAGGATCGGTGGGGATAAAGATACATTTGGGATAGAACCCTTATACATACTGCCAAATGTCAAAGCCTATAATGATGGAAACTATCCGAACAACCCCACCCCCCCCCAAACAAAGGGACACAAATTCTTTCAGACTGTTCTTAGTAAATGAATATTTGGACAATATATTTACTGTTTATCTATCTTCAACTACTTTTTTAAGGATCGGTGGGGATAAAGATACATTTGGGATAGAACCCTTATACATACTGCCAAATGTCAATGCCTATAATGATGGAAACTATCCGAACAACCCCACCCGCCCCCCAACAAAGGGACACAAATTCTTTCAGACTGTTCTTAGTAAATGAATATTTGGACAATATATTTACTGTTTATCTATCTTCAACTACTTTTTTAAGGATCGGTGGGGATAAAGATACATTTGGGATAGAGCCCTTATACATACTGCCATATTTCAATGCCTATAATGATGGAAACTATCCGAACAACCCCCCACCCCCAACAAAGGGACACAAAAATTTTCAGACTGTTCTTAGTAATTCTTAGTCGCTTGTCGTTATTCATAATTGCAATCATCTCTTTGTGTCTTGAGATAATAATTTTTTCTACAAATTGATTCTTGTACCAATAATAATCGGAATGGCGCATAGCTGACCAAATTATGTCATGCTAAGCGCCAATGTTAAGACACTTTGATAGAAAAAATACCCAAATGGTTCGCTTGTCGTTATTCATAATTGCAATCATCTCTTTGTGTCTTGAGATCAAAATTTTGTCTACAAATTGATTCTTGTACCAATAATAATCGGAATGGCGCATAGCTGACCAAATTATGTCATGCTAAGCGCCAATGTTAAGACACTTTGATAGAAAAAATACCCAAATGGTTTGCTTGTCGTTATTTATAATTGCAATCATCTCTTTGTGTCTTGAGATCAAAATTTTGTCTACAAATTGATTCTTGTACCAATAATAATCGGAATGGCGCATAGCTGACCAAAGTATGTCATGCTAAGCGCCAATGTTAAGAGCCTTTGATAGAAAAAATACCCAAATGGTTTGCTTGTCGTTATTTATAATTGCAATCATCTCTTTGTGTCTTGAGATCAAAATTTTGTCTACAAATTGATTCTTGTACCAATAATAATCGGAATGGCGCTTAGCTGACCAAATTATGTCATGCTAAGCGCCAATGTTAAGAGCCTTTGATAGAAAAAATACCCAAATGGTTCTTACACCGACTTCAGGAAAATCAATGTCAATAGATTCTTTACATTCTACTGTTTTTCATTTTTCTTAGCTGTACGAGTTAAAGTATTAACTAAAATGCTGGTATTATGGTGGCTTTTTTCGGAAGTATTCGAATTCATACTTCAAGAGAAAAAAATCTTTGTAGCCCCATGTAAAGGATTTCTCAGAATCATTAGTGAGCCATTTCCTTCAAAAGTTAATTGCTTTGATCAATAACTAATTTCGTCGCTTGTATATTCAATCAAATATCCTACTTGTAGATGTAGGTTTACGAAAAGATATTGTGTTGTTAAATTTTGTAAAACGAAAGTTATGCAATCTGAACGAAACAAAATCGAATAATATAAAAAAATATCAAAATCGAGGCTTTATTTGTCATTTTCGGCATCCAAATTGTCATTGTTTACAATTCTTCTGCTGCATTCCATGGGAACACTTGCAGTTTTGTGAACAAGAAAGGCGAGCACCTGAAATGAAAATGACATCCGATTGTATTCGAAGAATTCTTAGCTTGAGATGTTTTAAACAGTGAATTCAAGATTTCAATGCACTTTTAAACTTTCCTGAATAGCAAATTTATGAACGAAATAAGATAATACAGATATTCATGGATAACCAACTGACCTACAAAACTACAAGGGCCTCAAAATAGAAATTATTGAAAACTTGAACATCAAAAGTCATTTTGAAATAAGAACTGCACAGCTATTCATATCAAGCGGTAAAGCAGCTTCTTTGGTAAAAAGTCAAGAGAAAACTTTTTGACTTCAGCTCAAGTTCCAACCAATTGCCTTCCCAGAAAGTGCCATAAACATGCTTGTAAAGAAAACCTATTTAAAAAAAGTCAAACAGATTTCACGTATTCAGTATCTTATTTCTGTCCTGACTTGCAATTAAAAAATATAAAATTATGTGATGAATCATGTTTGACAATATACTCTGTTAAAAAATATACGTACTTCCGGAGCTATTACACACGTGTTCAGGGAAATTCTTTGCGGCACGCTCAAGCCTCTAAATCTTGAAATAGGATTTGTGTTGCGAAAAGCGTGTTCAACAACTTTGTCCCACTAAATAAAAGACAAATTATTAGGATTGTAAGTGATTGGAACTGATAGGTCATAGAGAATTAATATGGTACAAGAAGAAAGGTCTGATAATAAGACTGGAACTAATTAAAAACAGTTTAGAAACTTTAACTTACCGATGCATCACTAACTAGGCATATCCTTTCTGACGATCGGCGCAATAAATTTTCACTCCTCTTAAAAAACAGTGCCAGTCTTGGAGAGTAAAATTCTTTCTTTGCCATGTCAGTAATGAACTTCTGTAATAATATCATATACGAATAATAAATTATCTTTTCCAAGACAGATTGTTTGTTTGCTGGCTAATGTTATCTAATAACTCGTGGTGAATGAACTTTGCAACTGAAATGATATTATTCAGCTATCAGTGGTAGTGGAAGTAAATTTTATATGGCTCAGGAAACTGTTGGAAACCTAAAATTTTCGTGTAATCGCGCAAGATTACAGAATACACTACTGTAAGGCAGATATGCATAGCAAAAATCCAATAAATGCATATATAGCATACACTGATAAAACGACACATCAAAGGGACTTTTACAGAGTTCATTTAGCAACTTTATCAGATGAAGGTTATGACCCATGAAAAAAGATAGATTCGCGGGGAGAAGCCTTTAGGTAAAATAATGAAGCGCAATAAAATTTTATATTTTCTCACACCTTGCCCTTACGATGACGGCAATTGACAAACGTTACAAGCACTTCAAAATGTAGGGCTCACTGTCAGATATTTTCCAGTATAGCAATGTGGAGGGTATGGATGAAATAATTGAAATAGGTAATCAAGCCGCAATATCTTTTACCCTAGCGTATACCGTAGGCAATAGAATAGATTAACCTACCTTTATGTCTGGTGAATACCTGTGTAGCAACTTCTTCATTTCATCAGTCAACTTGAGGTGTTGTAGGCTGTTGTAGGTACATAATACATACTATTATTAACGTACATACGTTGGTTGATAGCTTGCAACATCCACACAAGAAGTTCGAAAAAGAGAGACTTAAACTATATCTCCAAAGAATAAACTTTTTCAATATATTGAATAAGAAGAGGATGGAGTAGGTTACAATTATTTCACAAAATGGAGCAGAAAAATTGTACAATTGTCGCAGGCATTCCCTTTTTTTAAATCACCAAGCTTAAAAGTTGGCATTGGTCTATCTAATTCAACTTGAAAATGACAAAGCAAATGTAAAATTGCCTACCATGATAACGAATCAGCCTTTAAATGGCAGAAGCATGACCAGTTGTCGTCACTGGCAGTTGCCATTACACACCTTACGTGATAGTCCCGCAAGCAGTGCTGACAGACCAAGATTTCTGACGAGGTGGTTTCACCCAGCGAAAAAGAGCATACATTTGCATGATCCAATTGGATGCTGCAGCAACCTTCAGCTCGTTCCTCCGGTTCCATGTGTACCAAGGGAACAACATGGTTGATTGGACCATTAAGGCTTGACGGAACCCACAGCAATCGACATACGTCTTCGAGACTTTCAGATCCAAATTGCCGATTCAAAAGCACATTTGACGAAAAGGAATGTATCCTTATTCCAAAAGCACCAGAGATCATCATCATATGAAGTATAGCTAGCAAGGAAAATGCCTTATGAGAAATTTCTGTTCATAGGATCTTAAAAGGATTTTACGTGTAGCAATAGCTCATCTAGAATGAATTTAATTCGGATTGAAATAAAAATAAAAATGGGAGCACAATTGAAAATTTATTCAACTGAAACAGCAGAATCATCATGCACAAAGAACTTGAATTTTCAAAGTTTAACACTTTTACCAAGTTAAATGATTTTACCAAGTATCTAACAAAATATGTGCAGCTTTGTTTGAAAAATTTAGCAAGAAAACATTACTAGGTTTTTGAAGTAAGAGAAACAAATCGAGTTTTGTCTGCTAGCTTTAATTAACCACCCTTCCAATACAGTTGAAGTAGTTCATTAGGATTAAGATCATGTTTCCTGTGTCCCCAAAATTATCATTAAATAGTTTATTCTGTTTAAGAAGACTGATTGATACGTTGCACAAACCTCACAAAATCTTGAAAAAAACCCTTGGTTAAATCAGCTTGCTAGCTCAACAACAAATTCAATAAGGTTCAGTGAAATCTGATTAACAATGATTATCTCTCAGGATGTTGAGGAAACTACGCGAGCAATTCATTGTAATTTATAATAGAAATTCAACGAAAGGTATTTGAAACAAGTATTTTCATTGATCTTAAAGCACCATACCATCTGGATAAATAGATGAATATATCAGGACATAATGTTCTAACAGAAATCTAGGGAACTAAACAATCACAGAAAACATACTTCCATCTCTGTAATACTCGACTGTGCGCATGATTTCCTCCATTACACACAAACGCAGAAATCTTGCGTCGTCTGAAATACTTTGGTATTTCGAGGCAACGTCATCTGTCGTTAAATGAAATGCCAGGTTTCTCTTGTCCATGTCAACTGCGTTTATCTTGTAGGAAAAACATATATAAACGTTTGGAGCATACAAACAATACACAGAAGGATCCCTATATTACATAATGGGAAAGGTCCGCCACAAAAAACCTAAGACCACAACACCACATTCTTTAGTTATGTTTTCAAGCGTTAATAATGTCAATGACACATAGCTAGTGAATGAGAGATGGAATCAGGAAACACTGGCGAATTTCTAAAGGGGATTTACTTGAAGTTTTTAAGGATTCTTTAAAAGATCCTAGGTAATCCTGATGTAGATCCTATATTGAAGTACGTACTTGTTCAACAATGGTATCCATGGAAAGTAAACCAAAATTCAAGGTGCGAAGTTTCACCCAGCTCCAATTCCTCTCGGTACCGTAAATGTGCATAGAGGCCGCTCGAAAAATACAGTTTCCATCGCCCTTAACATTTACAGGCTCAAAACCATGTCGCCTTATGTCAGTGGGTACGAGATGACGGTACCTGAAAATTGAACACAAGCCGTTCATTACAATAAAACATGCAACATCAATCAAACACCTATCTTTGAATTAAATGTCTATCACACCATCATGACATTGTAAATACGAGATAAAAAATAATGTTAAGAAAACTACATTGATGAATGCTTCATTTTGGTTCTTTTCCTACTTCATGGCAGGGTGAGTAAAACTGCATCTTGAAACATTGAGTAGACTTTCAAAAAGAAGATTGGATAATAATTGCTGGTCTTTTAAAACTGCATGGATCAGGAAAAGAAGCAAATATTCGACCTACCAAAACTCGATATCCTTCCTACCAACACTAGAGGTGAACGGATATGGGCAATGGTCTGGCAAAACTTTAAGCAATTCCTTTAACAAAGCTGGGCTCGTTACGTCTCCAATGCCTTCCAAAAATAGCTCGCTTTCAGCTGTGTTCCAAGTGTATTCCTGAAAGCGACCAAAATATTAAATAGTTCTCTAGCAAAAGGTCGTCTTTTTTTCAATATTTGGTATTGATTCTTTCCTTATGAACATCAGGTAAAATTCAGCATAAATAGGGGATAGATTCTACCTTATTTTGAGACATTGACAAAAAATCGCTGTCAACAAAAATCAAGATAGTAAAAACAGATCTATCTTCATTTTTGTTGCCTTTTCCTTGGACATGAACATATTTTGCGACTACCTTCACTAAAGGCAGAAAACATTTTCAATGTCAATATCTGACAAAACATTGTTTTCTGAATTTCTTATGGGAGCGTTCTCATAAACCCCTAATTCAAAAACCTTCACTTTCAAAAGACATTATTGATAAGTCCTTTATATTGCATTGTAATTAAAATGCTATCACAAATCAAACACTTGCTGCATGGAAATATACAAAATAACTGTATGTTTGACTTGGCTTGTAGTTGCTTCTTTTGTATGTTATAAACTGTTATAAACTCGTCATGTTATAAACTGTACTTCAAATATGTCAGAAAAGGAAGAAAGAACCTATTTACGTAAGGATACAATTGATCGTACTTTATAAATGTCTCTATCAATTTCGATGCGCATTAGATCTAGATCTGTAAGCTCTTCGCAAGCATTCTGATCGTTGCCTACTTCTGGATCAATAGCGTTCTCTCCGTATTGTTCAGAATGCTGCTCTATAGCTCTATCAGCCTCCTCGTCAACCTCCCTATCAACTCCCATGCCATGCTGACAAACTTCCAATGGTCCAGGACCAAACCGTTCGACAAAGTGAGCATTGCATTTTTCCAGTACTTTGTCTAGTTCCATCACGCTGCATTTTGGCTGTGCATTTGGAGAACGAAAAGGAACATCAGCTGGCCACCATTCGGGTTTTCTATTTATGTCCCATAGCTTTCTTCGCTTTATTCCTTTTGGAAAGAAAATGTAACTCTCAATAGTAGTTGAAATTCATTCTGACAATTACGAATGGGTGTGATAATGTACCATTTCGTTTCAAAATAAATCACTTTTCGTAGCAAATTTTGATACTTTTCAAAATAAATATATTAAAGAGTTTGATGATTTTCGAAGATTGGTACTTTTTAGCCTATTAAGGTAATTATTTTTCTTACCATTTCCCAAAACTGCAGCTGTCAAAAGTTTCCTTTTGCTGTCAATGTCAAAATGTAGCACATTCTGGCTCAACATTGTGTTGACAACTGTTTGATCAAAATCTGTGTCTAAAAAACAAATACCTTATATATTGAGAATCTATGCCCTTGAATTCATTCAAACTGAGAGAATTGGCAAAAGGATCATAGCAGTCATATTTTTGTAACACATAATTGAATGACAAAGGTAACAAATGAAAATCCTAATTTCACTTTCCCAAGAGTGCCTCATAAGTGATATGTTCAATGACAATAATTTCAGAATGATAAATATTACAAATTCTTCTAATGATATTTTGTGTCACAACAAAAAGACGTCTATCACATAACTGTAAACTTAAAATCTCAAATTTTCTTATCCAACACATGCAGCACAATTATTTACTTAATCAGGGGCTAATCCAAATCTGATGCAAAATATTGTGATTTACTAATGTTCAAAATTCTTTGCTTCAATAGCACATAAAATTTTCAGAATTTTCTATAACACTGTGTTAATCTCACTGTTGATTGCATTGCTGGCTCCTTGAATGTCTTGCTGCACATCTTTTAAATATAACTTTTCAGCAATTTTCAAAAATTCAGATTGCACAGTTGGATTATCTGTAAATGCTTGAAACTCACTGTGACCTTGAATTGTAGAAGACAAACAATTTTTAATAATATTGTTCACATGTTGGACATCCATTAAGAAATTATTAACTGGTAGGAGAAAGAAGTAGATCCTTCCAAAAGTAGATCCCCCCCAACTTAATTGCCCTATATCTATTATTCATAGAGCAACCAGCATAATGGAGTTTAAAATAAACAAAAGATTGCTCATGGATTATGGAAATCAGACAAGCTAGCTGAGAAAGCATTACAAGTAATGCAAGTCAGAATGAAAAAATAAATACCTGTTGGCTTAACATGCATTTTTCCTGTTTTATCAATAACCAAAGTAAGGCAAACAGATGGTACTCCAGTTTCTTTATACCAGTTAGTCAACTAAAATAACAAAAAGACAGCATGAGATAGAGCCTCTATAAAGAGGCAGCAAATTTGAATTTTTTCAGATAATCTTCTCAAATTAGTTAGCAGACTTGATAAATCAGTATCCAAGAGTGCTCAACATCCAATTTTAGGAAGATCAAAAACAGGGAATAAACTTGAACAATGGGATAAACTTACGTAGAATATTGCAGAATAATCAACCATTAGAAGTTCAATTCTAGAATTTGGTCTGCCTTGAAATTTCAAAATTGCAAGGTTCATTAATTCAATAAGCAAATAGATTCATCAACAATCATTAACACCTAAAATTCATTTACTTGGTGAAAAATTTATGGGTACATATCTCATACATTAACCTTTTATGGGTAAATAATTTTGATATAGGGTACTTCTTTGAATCTGTATGAAATACTCAACAATACGGTACACAGCATGCCACAAAAATGGCATTTTCTTCATATCAAAAAAAAACTTTTTGCAATATGGTATCAGGTCCGTGCTATTCCTTGGTGCTAAATCTTGGAGCAATATCCCAGTAGATATAAAAAGATAATTGCCTGTTGTCAGTTTTTCTCAAAAGCTTCAAAAAGATCATTGCCTTATTGTTTTGTCACCCATGTAAATGATTAATGATTAAATAGATTTAAAACCATCTTAGAAAAGGAGGTGCTCTCTTCTCGATTAGTTTATCTACTGGGAGTGCTCCACCTAAAAAATTCCCCTACAAACAACATCTTTAGTTATTGTTATTTATCATGATCATTAAGTATTTTTATGCAATGTGTTAACATTGTATGTTATTAGTTATAATGAAGTCATAAGATATTTTATGTAGAGGAATTTTGAAACAAAAGAAATGAAACTGAAACAAAAATAAAGTTGTTGTTATACTCATCTCTGGAATTAACAGCTATCAAGCACCATTAAGGTTATAATATAAAAAAGTTTGCATTAGGATGTAACTTACCAAAGAATCCAGACTTTTCATTTTTTGTCTGTTTGTTTTGTTTCTGTCAGCAATGCTTGACTTGAAAGAATGTATGGAAGGCCCACGATGTCTCTAAAAAGAAATGGCACAAATAATATATATTATGAAAAAATTATTTACAGGGAAAAATACTTGTGTATGAAAATAAATCGCTACTCAAAACCATACTATTATTTCCAAACAGATATTAGTGTATATTTCAGCATTTTCAATACTCACATAAAATACCTTCAAGACTTTATGAAAATCACATGACAAAAAAATTCCCAATAACCAAATAATAAGGGAATCAAATATGGACTTATCTCATTTGGATTCAACAACTTCCATCTGAGGATTGCATTATCTTGATGCCATCTTCAAAATGTATGATTTCATCATTGAAATCTTTTGATCTACAGATTAACATCCTTAGATAAACCAAGGATCTCAAAATCAAACTTGAAGGCTTTCAAAGAGTGTTGTAAAGTTACATTGTAGTTAAAAAAAGAATTAGAATGCAACAACTCAATGCTTAAACCTTGGTGTTAAACTATGGTTGCATGGTTGCATGGAAAACTATGGAAAGTCTTCAAAGGTCTGCTAGCAAGTTTCCATGCTAATAAAAATAAAAATTGATAACTACACTTTTGTGCACAGAACGTGAATGGTTTCTTTTCTATTAAACTATAGTAATTCTATAGTAGTTCACTACCAGAATTACTGAATACACCTAGATGGTCTTTTGCATAATTTAGAGGGGAACGATAGGGGTAATAGATATTTATACACACGAGGGGCTGCAATAAATGTAACAAGGATATGAATTGTGTTGCCCATAAATGAAATCAGACCCTTTGGGAATATAAATATTTTTGGTGGCTATAATAAACAATGATCCTTGACTGACCAGTCAGACACGTACAGATAATCTTCGGGACTGTTGTATATGTTTTGACACTTTAACGTGAATTTTCATAGTTGTAAATGGACCCCCTAAAATTATAAAATCATGTTTATATCATTTCATTTACTTCCCGCTCCCAAGGATTATGCCGTTTGTGAATTTTCTTTCAAACATGCAGAAAGAAAACGTAAATGCACCTTTCTCCTCGGTTGCTGAGCAGAGTTTGTGGCAGCGTCATCAACAGCGATCTCTTGTTCAGCATCCATTTTCTAACTAAAACTTCAAGCGACCGAAAATTTAAAATTGAAAACCGAAATTCGAAAACCGACTGTACGAAAAAATCGAGAAACCGAAATTTGGCGGGAAGCGTGAAACTCCAACATAGAGACTAGCCTCTATACCACCCAACCACCCACTGATCCATTTTCCCATTGTTTCGACCGGCTGGCTGGCTGGCAGATAACCAAATTATAGCCACTTTTATAGCTCCTAATCTTGCATCATATAGTGATATCAAAGAGGATATTGGATAAAGCCTTGCAGACCATCGCAGACGCACAACCAAGGCAAACCATAAGGCGTTGCAGACCATCGCAGACGCCCTTTGGGGGGAACACCCAAGGCTATAAGCGTGGGCAAAGCAACAGTAAAACGACCTGTCCGGCGCACCTTCGCCCTACAGAAAGTGCGCTTAGTCAAGATAGGGGGTATACTCAAAACTTGGATTCATCCCAGTGATGCCGGAGCATAGGGCTGCAGGGGGCAGTCCCCCTGCCCTGGCAAAATTATGCAAATTTCTTTATTTGCTATATTTTGCCCTTTTTTTGGATTTTGCCCCCTGCTTTACTGTTGTTTTGTCATCTTTGAATGTATCTGAAATGCAACAAGTTTTTCAACTTTAACTTATGGGATGAAAATCAGGAAAATCTACAGGCAGCCCAAAAATGTCATATCAAATGAACGTTTTTACTCTGGTTCTAAATTTTTTGATGTCCAAGAACTAAATACATTAAAATTCCCTGATCCACACAGAGAGCATCTACAGTGGAAAATTGCCTAAGCCTCTTATAAAATTAATTAATCTTTGTGTAAAAAAAACTCCTATACAAAAGATCACTCCTATACAAAAATTATAAAAGATCTAAAACTGGAAATTACGGGCCTTAGTCACTGACATAAGGTGTGTGTTAAATTCTTTTATCATTTGTGAGAGAAGCTTTGCTAGATAACATAAAAAGAATAATGCAAATCAGTCAGCATGGATTCATAAAGAAAAGATTGTTTGTAACACTGTTGTTAGATGCCTTAGACAAGGGCCCTAGATAATGGCAATGCATTAGATGTTATCTTTTTTAACATTGCCAAGGCATTTGACAGTGTACAGCATTCAAGGCTACTTAGTTAAACAGAGTCATGTTAATCAGAGTATGGGTAGAAGGCACATGAAAGGGTTCCTCCATAGGCTGCAAAAATCAGAACATAGCCACTGGTTTGGAAAAGTGAAGGGGCTGCTTTCAATGAAACATCTAGTATAATGGTACCCTTTCCCCACCTGTTTCTTTAAATTTTCTGAAAAAAATACACTCCTTGCTGACATTTACTTTTGTGTCCATCCTCATTAAGATTTAGTCCAAGTAAGTGTCACACCCTCCATGAATAACTTATTATTTAAACCCCTTAGGTAATTTATAATATAGAAAATTTGACAAGAAAGATTATCAAGAATAATCAAGAAAATTTGCTAATAAAGAATGTTTAGCTTTAGTATGCGTAAAGGCTAGTTTGCTATATGTATCAGATAATAAGCAAGCAGGACTTGTTGTACAGTTGTTCAACTGAGCTAAAATATTATGCCAATGGTCACCCATTTACAGCCAAACAGGAAGTTAAACTTGAACAGGTGCCAAGCTCTAAATCTTTCTGTAATTGTTTAAGCTCTTTTCTTTAGAGCTGTAGTTTTCAAGTGGAGCTTGAAACATTGATATAAACTTCTGCATTTGAGGTTTGATTTTTAATTTTCATTGTTTTTTTTCTTTATCGTTCTTAATATATATTTTATTATTATTTAGGTGCCTGGAAATCGGTACATTTACTGGTTATAATGCTTGCAGTGTTGCTCTTACCATACCAGATGATGGAGAAGTAATAGCATTAGATATCAATGAAACATTTATCAACCATGGTAAAGAGTTTTGGCCTGAAGAATGTGCCAAGAAAATTAAGGTGAAGTTTGGGCCTGCTGTTGAGTCACTGGATAAGATGATTGCAGAAGGTGAAGCAGGAACATTTGATTTTGTTTTCATTGATGCTGATAAGCCAAACTATGATAATTATTATGAGAAAGGATTGGTTCTTTTGAAGAAAGGCGGCATCATAGCAGTTGATAATGCACTGTGGAATGGGAAAGTTACTGGCAACCCAGCAGAATTTGAGGAAGAAACAAAAGCTTTGGATACCCTGAACAAAAAGATTAAAGCAGATGAGAGGGTGGAAGTGTCATTCTTAACAGTTGGTGATGGTACCTATCTTGCCTGCAAAAAGTGACATGCTTTAATTTTACTCAAAGAAACATGCACCTTAAATTCTATAACAATGATTTTTTAATTATGTGACACCATTTAGAAGTTGTGCGAGTTCACAAATCTTTGTAGTCTTTAGCATAAATGAGCCATACATAAATTTATTACAACTTTGTAGTATTTCTTTTATTAACTTAAATCTATCCTATGTCACCATATCTGAGAATACTACCTAAAACATTGCTGTATTGGAAACATTCTCTTTGGAATTGATGCTTGGATACAAGGAGCATATCACTCCACAAATTAATGTAGGCCTTTGGTAAAAATAATTTTGTTTTCAAGAAAAATTTCCCAAAACCCTTAAAAATTTTATTATAACCCTTTTTTGGATAGATTTCTCTCCCACACAGGCGCCTTATTTTATAAGACATGTTTTTTAGCATGGCTGGTACACACATGCCCAAATTATATCAATTCTGTTTTCAAAAATAAGGAAAACAATGAAGGAATGACTAGCTTTTAGGACAGTCATTCTGCAATCAATTATTTAGGTAAATAATTTGTTTAGACCAGTCCATTTATTGACAAATAAACGAAAAATGACAAGGTGGCTAATTGGCAATTCCATTTAAATGATATATACATTTTCAAACCAGCTAAGGAAAAAATAAATACTGAAAAGATGATTTTCATTCAGAAAAAAAGGCCACCACTTCAAAGGAATTTTTTATCCTTTAGCTGAATATAGAACAAAAAATAAGCTAGTTTTTTTAATTAAAATGTTTTATGCTAATAGTCCAACTCATTTCTTATTAGTTGACTGACACCCCAGGTACCCCCTGTACTGGTGTTACATCTGTACCAACCACAGGGCTACATCTGTACCAGCCACAGGGCTCAAGACAAAAGTTTAGGGATTGATATGCCAACCTGAAAGTCTTGTTTGTTTTTGGTATGTATCACATAATGTGAGCAGTTCAATGTGAAGTCTGAGGATGGTTCATGGTTAGGGTTGTGAATTAAAGATCCCAGGGTCTGTGTAAGTTCCTGCCATGACCAAAGCTTTCACTTGGAGTGAGGAGAGTAGTCAGTCAATGGTGGCGCCAGCCACTGCGTTCTGGGGGGGGGGGGGGGGGACAAAACAGACAAATTTAGGCCACGCCCTTTTAGCACTAGAAAACGCCCTTCTACAAACAAAGAGAGCCTATTTTACCTGAAAGGAACGCCCATAACTAACTGTTGGCTATGTAAAGGTAGTTTTAAAATCAAAGGATGACATCAAAAAATGTACATTGCCTTACGTTGCCAAAATGTTACCACTCCTCCAACATTTTCTCATTGGATTTAGATGAAATACAAAATTGATCCTGCCGAGAACTACAAAATTGGTACTGCTACTGTCGTCAGCTCTCTGTAGTTCCAGGCATAGGAATCATGAGGTGTGATCACACCAAGAGGAAGGACCAGGAAACTGCTTGATTAGAATAGCTTATTGTGTCCTAAAACTGCCTTCAAAAACTAGGGAGCAACAAATGAAAGAAAACTGTTCAACAGGCCTACTCTTTGACTTTGAAAACATCTTACAAAATACTTATAACCGGCTCAATTTTATTTAGAATCATTGACAAGAATATGGATTCACTGCTGAAAGGGCTTTCAAATAAGGTTAGGGTTTATTTGATTTTCCACATTTTTCAGTAGAACATCAATTCATAAACATCATCTGTATATTCTAGAGATGACCACCATACATTTCTAGAGGGTTCAGAATCCGAATTGAAAGGCACATTAAGAGCTCTGACTAAGTGTAGTACAGTACATCTCTGCTGGAAAAATTGTATGAAAACAACCACAAAAACTTTCCAACATTCCTGAATTGGGTTTGCCAGTTGAGAACTGGGTAGAAAGACACACTGGATAATTTTAGTGTATAATAAATTAGCATGATTTGGTTTATTCTGGAATTTACAACTACAATATAGGCAAAAGCTTGCTAGCAAATTAATGATAGTAAAAAAATAAAAGATGAATATTTCCTTTAAATCCTAACAGGAATTCTACAGTTCATATGTTTCAAAATCTTAATATACAAAGCTTGATGATCAACCAACTGATTAACTTTCTCATTATGTTATGATCAATAATCTTATCTGCCAATTGTAGCTTAAGAAATCATTCTAACCTTTAGATGAAAATAAACTTTAAACAAATGTGTTTATTCTATTCAGGGTTCTATTTACAATTCGTCATTCAATGCATCCCCAACATCTGGAGTGATTTATTTTCAAGCAATAAACCTTTCAGTTTAGCAGCTTCTCTCTTTGCAGCGAAGAGTCCACTGGCACAAGTGGCTGTTGGGTTCCTGGATCAGTCAAAACGGTCACCTAAAGTTACAATATAATCATTAGAAACCAATTGCATTTTAGTTTTTCAACCCTTTCAAAATCATTTCAGTGTTTAGCCTGAAATTACAGTCTACAAACACCTTATGGCATGTATGATAACATTTGTTATGCTAATTTAATAAATATGGCATTTGAAAACATTTTACATGACTTTTGCATGTATGTGACAAAAGGGACAAGTTTTAGTTACCTTATTGAAAACACCTCTTCCAAAATAATCTGCAACAACAGAAAAACCATCTGCCGATCTTTCCAACTAAATAAGACAAACATTAAAGGTTATTCACAGTCTTCTTTCAGGGTATGTTACTTTAGAAAATTTGGTTTATCATCTGTTGTTAATAATTAAAGTAAACCATACATTTATGCAATTTTATCCATCACAGCCATTTTGCATATTATACAATCTTTCTTATTTTGGTAAATTTTCTGTAAATTTCAGATGATTGGTATTTCAGTTGCATGTATGACCCCCAAGAGATCCTCAATTTGGCACCAAGATATACTGGAAGGAATACAGGACTGTTTGGCTTATCTGTTGAATTAACAACAGCAGGCTATTAAAGATAGTCATTTCAAGCAACAATTCAAAGGAGGAGAAGAAAGAGAGTGGCTTGATAATATTAAAGGGTGGTGCCAGAAAGAAGAGCTTATCTCTTTGAAATGTTGTGAAGGTGTGTTTGGATCAAACAGGCACAGGACTAGAATATTCGGAAGTAGTAATTAGTCTAGCTTTAATACTTAAGAAAACCTTATAAATAAGTCATGCAGAGTTAAATGTGTTGATTCGAGATTTTTAAACATTGTAGCGAATGAATGTTGAGATAGAAGGCTAGTAGATAATCAAACTTTTGTAAAAAGCTGTGGGGAACAGATTAACTGACCAAATATAACTGAACTGAACTGAAGAGAGCTTAACCAAAGAGAGATTAACAGAAGAGAGCTGAATTGAACCAAGAGCTGAACTGACTCTTTCAACAAAATCTTTGTCCCCTTGCTGGCTCTACTCTAGCAGTGGCTTGATGAAGGGTGCATTTGAACTACAAAATATGTTGCATGCTTTTATACTGTTTTGAGAATATTGAAAACTACTTATGTTACCTGGTGGTGAAATTGTTCATGAAGGTCTTTATTATGTTCTTGTGCTTTGATGATGTCCATGACCTTTCTGAAAATATCAACAAAGTATTCGAATTAAGAAAAATACAATAGTCTATAAAACTGGTAGAGATAAAAGAGTGCAATTCATGTAAGTACTTCAGCAGTTTGCCACAAAGGGCACTGTGTCTGGCAACAACTTAAACTATAAATTGATAAATTTGTCTTGCTGTACTTTTGCATTGTAAATATAAACATTGTAGGTAGTGTGTAAACAAAGATGAATGTTATAAAAGAAGATGTTCTCAAATTGTTTTGATTTGATCATTTAAAATTACATAACTATCAAATATACAATAATGATATTTCTAATATTACCTGTTCTCAGATATGCATACAGGACATTCGTTTTCACTTTCTGAATAATTTTCAAAACATCTAGGAAAATAAACTTCCATAGTTAATATATGTTCAAAAGCAAGCAAAACATCGAAACAATTAAAACTGCAAGATAACAATATCAAATGGTTATTGCTAACAACTTTTTCTAAAGGCAGGGTCATTGAATACTTAATGGAGGTTTCATGATTGTCACCCCAGTTTCATCAAACAAAAAAACTTATAAAAAGAGATCACGTCCCTGCAATTACTGGCAGTCAAATACTGTGTATGCATGTGTAACAACATTAAACAATACTTACTGCTGGTGAAAAGAGTCTCCACAAAGAAAATGGACGGCAGGCAGTTCCAGCATTCGAGAGCAAATCATACACTTTGCACTTTGGAATATTTTTGCACTATAAACAAAAAGTGAATGATAGTCAGTCTCTTAGATGAAAGTAAAATCAAACAATTTATTGTGGTAAAAGAAATTTGAAAATGGCTTTGAAAAAAGCAATCGTATTAGAAAATACTAAAACATTTGGTCTGGCACTCTTCAGGGTATGAAATTACTTGGCCTGCTTCAATCCGCAACTGGGTCAGGCTAGGAAATGAGCAAAAGATAGAAGCTTGTTTATTCAAGCCCTTCAATTCAGTTACGCGCTTATCAAGCTTCTAGATTATTTTCGTCTTTTGATCGTATTTTCTTAAATGTGCGCAATCAACAGTCGTAAGAAATTGTTCGCGAAATAAAATGAAAACGAGCTGTTACGATGACCTTTAATGTACTCCAAGAAGGATTATATTCCTAAAATAAATGTGCTTCGTTTAATAACTTTATGTACATCATCAATCATCTAACGCGATCGTGAGTGATTAATTTATTTATTCACTATTATTTATTTTATCATATTTAAACACAGAAACCTTATCAGCTACTAAGTCCAAAAGAAGTAAAGATTAATTTACATATAATGCTGGTCTTCCTAGGGATCGTGCTTCGGGAAAAGATGCTAATTTTGCAGGAATTCCTTTAATTTCTTTTTGAATGTGGTAATCGTTGAGCTCGTTTTTATTTGTAATGGGATTTCGTTCCACATCTGTGCACCACAATAGAAAAAACTTCCTTTGGAGAATAGTTAGGAATTTGGGACCTTGTGACAAGTCTTCCTTTCAAATTGTCGGGGCAGAGACCATTATTATTTTGTAGATCATAACTGCCCTGTCAAATTTTATCATATTTGAGACCGAAAGCCAGTTGCAGCGTCACCCGTCCTTTAATCTTGAGCCTTCTATTAGCGTATGCGCTCTGTTTTGTAAACGCTGAAAATGATCGAGCTTTGTGTTTGACAATTTGCCCCATAGTTCATCACTGTATCTCAAACGACTCTCTCAAATTGCTTGCGTCAAACTAAAAGGCCTGCAATACGGAAGCGAGGCAAATGGAAAATAGTACATGTGATCTGAACATTACTTGGGATTTACGAAAGCCATGAAAACTTTACACTTTTGTTTTGCAATGATCAGCTAGGCGCTCGAGCAATCAAGCCCGTAAATTTTCTGAGGCGAGTGTGGAGGCGCTCGCGCTCGATCGAGCGCCTTTCATTTTAGGGCCTGCTGGGTAAATAGATTTCCAAGCTTAGAATTGTGAATGGAAATTCTGACGTTTTGTACTCTGAAGAGTGCCAGATTAAAACCTTAAGCATGTTTAAAAATTTCTGACTTTTTTAACAATAATATATTGACATACTAGGTTATCTGGACTTTGAGAAAATCAAATATATAACGCAAAAAGCTGCATCTACATTCTAATGAATTCAGTAAATAGACTAGTTAACAGAAATTTTCATTTATTTGGATCATACAGCAGACTTTGCTTCTGGACCCATATGAGGTCCCATATGGTACCTCATATGGTACCCCAACTTCTGGACCTGGAGAATAAGGGTACCCATATGGTACGACTGATAAACTTAGAATAGAATTAAAGGTCCCTGAAGGCAAGTAAGAGGGTGGGTCTGGCATGCAATTGCCAGTTCACCACAAATCACAAAAGTGCCCTTTTTAATAAAGTGAAAGCTTGATGACTTTAACAAAGAATTTGTCCCTTCATAATAATCCTTTCAGGAAAACTTTTGATGACATCAATTCACTTCATTTGAAAATCACTAGTTGGTATTAAGTCTGAAGATATTCAGTATTAAGTCTATTCAAAATCTGACGGTAAAAAGATAGAAATTTCCTTTTAATACACATTGGTATAAATAGCTAGTCGAGGACATTATAAACAACAACTTAACATGCTCTGTATTTACCACGTTTTCAGTTCTTCGATTTGATTTCTCATTTTTTCTGTATCCTCTTGATACTGGCGTATCATTCGCTCATCCTAAAAAGTACACAAATAGTCTTGTTACCATCTGACCTCTTTCGCATTAGCATCTAGCAAGGGCAGCTGACTTAACTAAGCAACATATTAATAGTAATATAAAAATAGTTTTCCCTGCAAACTTCCAAGTAATGAAACTTCGCTGAGTGAAATGAAATAAGTAATGACATGTTAAGAGTTATGACAATACCTCAAATGCAGGACAATATGTTTGAGTAAAACGTTTCTCCTTGAGAAATTTGAGTGGATCATATGTACGCTACTTTAAGGGTTTTGCAAAGAAAATAAATGGTCATAAAGTCCATACAGGGTTATTTGTAGCATTTTTTGGACTCAGGCGGTGTTGGACTTAATGGAGTCGAATAGGGGAATAGAAAACAAGAACAACCGATTGACATAAGCAATTTGACATCTCAAGCAATTTTGATTGAATATACTTGGATTTTGATTAAACGATTTTGATTAAACGATCTTGATTTAACGACTTTGATTATGACATAGTTTAAGACACATTTAGAAGGAAAGAATTATGTCTCTTAGTAGGTAAATTGGCTTTGAATATAATGTAAGTTTAAATATATAAAAGGGAAGTAATAGGGCTAGAAGTATGCAGAGATTCCATTCAAGATATAAGAGATTTATAAAAAAAACAAAACTCTGCATATTGTGACAGGATAACTTACTTTTGCCATTTGCTCATTTTCATCTTGTAATCGCCGTACAATGTAATCCTAAAAGACGGAGAAAAAACTCACTGATTAAAAATTTAAAGACTTTTAAGGCAACTTTTGTAAGGACCTGCAAGCATATGTATGTTATAAGCATATAATAGAAGAAAAATCAATGCACAATTGCAAGGCAACTGTGATGGAGCATCAACAAAAACAGTGACAACAGCAAAAACAGCAGCGCCGAAAATACAGGAGGTAATTTGCAAACACAGTAGAGTGTCATCAACAAGAGGTGTCATTCTGTAAATGAGAGCATTGTTAATATTGAGTGCGGAAATAACGAAAACCATTATTGTCAAGAAAATAGGAAAACGCAGAAACATTTTAGTAAAGTAAATTACAAGAAATATTGGAATATTTTCGTCAAAAGCCGCCTTCATTGCTTTTATCTTTTCATTTCACGCGTTTAAACAATGGCTTTGTATTTCATGAGTTCAAAATATCATTAGTACTTATATCAATGGCAGTTTTAAAAATCTGACCTTAACAACGGCCAACGTTGCAGTAGAATTATGGGCGAGTGTTTGCACCACAATCAGCGGTGATAACAGGTTATATCTATCAATATCTTATTAAATGTTAAAGAAAAAAATAAATTATAAAATACAGTATAATAACAAGTAACTATATTATACGTACACATATAGTGTTTTGCATTTTTTCTCGCTCAAAACAAGAAAAATGCAGTTTTCATTGATAAATATGAATTTATATAAAAAGCTATACAAAAACTTGTGCATCGCATCACACAACAATACTATTGCAATACCTACTTTGTTTGTGATTTGTTTTCCTAAAAATAGCTTCAACTCAAGAAAACAGAGTATTTCGTGTGATCAGTTACACCTAAAAATTTAAACTATAAAATTGCATTCCTGGTTGCAATGCAGTTTGCAAAGTGTAATACACAACTTAATAGGAAACTTATTGTAGAAACCTATTGATTTCCCATTGCTGACGAAAAAGATACGCTCCAAAACCTCCCTTATTTGGCTTCGACAATCCTCTTCTTTTCTTGCAAAGTATGACAAGGCTTGGCTCCACAAGCTCGTGTCTTGCCGTCTAAAAGTCAATCGTAACTCTACAATAACATAAATTGACTGCAGTATTAATTAATTTGATCCTATAAAAGTAACATAAAATTATCTTTAAGGCAAAATCTAAAATGCTTTAAGAACAAGGGGGCTCAAAGTAGTATTACAACAAAATGTACACATAGCTTTGTGCTTCTCATTCAGACAGCAGTAGGGCCTATGTACGTCTGACGACGAAATACGATGAAAATTACTTAGATCTTCTTAAGTTAGAAGAAGGCAAGTTTTGTTATTCTAAGCCATAGCAACATTCAAATAAAGTTCAAATCGTTCTTAGGCATTATACTAACCCATATTTCTTGCAATTATCTATTATGGCATCATGATCATTATGTTCCATATGATAACGTAGTATTTGCTGAAATCTAAAATATAAATGATAAGATAAATATCAAAATTTCAGGCGTAAGAGTATTTGGGTACAATTATCCTTTGATTCACTCTAGAGATGTCTAGATGTCTAGTTTATACTGTGACTCAAATGAGTCCTGTTGCAATTAGAGCTTTTCTTTAGGAAAAAGGCCGTTAAAAAATTTCGAAAAAAGTACTTTACAACTTACAGTTTTGCTTTTTCGTACAGAAAGAGGATCCCGCGTTTGAAATTGTGCATTTGTGCTAGGACCAATGCATGATCCAGGTCATACTTTGACTAAAATACAAAAAAGTTTACGAGTGGCATCATTCTTACACTTTAACGATTATAGATTTACAGGACTTTTCGATAAAGCTCACCACCTTAATGCATTGGAAAGGTTTCGCTTTCTGACGCGTTCTATCAGACTGAATCAAAAATGATTATTTGCGAAAAATCTGTCAGAAGACTGATAAAGCATTGCAGCTTTCACCAGTTAAGAGTCTGGACCTGGTTCTCGCAAATCACGTGTGAGATCATATAGCCAAAACCCCAAATAACGGTGAATTGCTACTCTTTTTGTCTGTACGTTCGACTGTCTTTTGAAATATTTACAAATAATTTACAAACATTTATATCCTAAACACCTATCAAGATGATTAACGTGTCCATCTAATTCACCTATTGGTTCCCAACTTTGAAATTACTTAAAAAATAATCAACGATATAGAATAAAATTGCAATTTATTCTGTAATGTCAAAATTATTCAACGAACAAGAATAGTTTAAATGTAGCAATTTTTCGCACCTCTGTGTTTGTGAAAAGATTCAAACATTTGTTTTCCTGCTCAGCTTCAACCTGTGAATCGGTGAATGACAAACAGATGAGCTTTTGTCAAGTACGTTAGGGAATCAGGCCCTTTGATTAAGGCTTTACTGTATTCTAATACATTAATATCAATCTCAGAAGGAACAACAAAAAGCAGAAAATGATTTGACAGCCTAGTTTGGAACAAAAAGAGTTGCCCACTTGTTTCATAAAAAAAACGCTCTCGAGGAAGCTAAACGAATTGAGAAAAGATCAAAGAGGGCTAAAAGCTACTCAACCATATCACAAGAATGATGGGCAAAACAGTGAGAGAAATCCTTCTCGAAAAACAAATTTGACAAAATTTCATTTAGACAATAACAAAACATGCAAAACTGATCACAATTTTGAATCTAAGTAGTATATCAGTTGTATCAGGAAAGGACAAAAAATACACAAGAGTGTTGAAGATCGATGAATATGATTTCGAAAAAGGGTCTTGGGCAAGAAAAATATTCAAGAAAAAAATTGAAACGAAAAGTAAGAATGCAAAGATTCATTTGGCAATTAAGATCTTTTCACAATGATTTACAAACAATGAAAACAAACTAATGGTACGGAATACTCACTATAAAATCTTTGGTTGCTGCTGCTCTGCTTGCATTTTGCAAATAAAGTTCTATCAAAGTATTGTAAATGACATTGGAACAATCATTGCGAATCTGAAAACATGATATTGTTTATTAACCGCTATCAAGAAAAAGGATAATTAAGAATACATACTAAGAAATAGAGAGAGAAGAAGAAGAGAAACCATGCTGCAACATTGTAATAATATTTTCTTTATTAAAACAGTCAATTAAACAACGAAGTAACCGGAATATTGCAGTGAGCTTTATGACCTTAGTTTAATAACTATGAGCCCCGACGAAAAGGCCCAAAACTATTTTTAAATCTACGTTTTTAGGAATTCGCTCAACTTTGAGACACGATTCCCACATTTAAATCTTGCAATGGTTTTTGTTATGCTCTACAGCGTTGTATGAGACTTTCTTGTAGTCCGTAAAAAAGGGTTAGAGTCTAAGAGTAGTAGCTTAGGCCCCAGATGACTCCGTTACGTTTCTGGCTGTTGCCTGGTGATCACGGCGGTCGTAGAGTAGCAGCTTAGATCCAACATATTCTATACACCAAAGCAGTCAGTCAAAGCAAAGATATTTTGTTTTGAAAAGCTCACGAGCACGATAATCTCAAACCATACCTTGACCATATGTTCAAGAAAATCGATTAACTTCTGTTTTTGATGTACAAAAATATGTATATATTCGTCTGGGTTTGCTCGAAGAATCGGTTCAATGGAGGCAGGATCTAAAACAAACAAAAACAGGAAAATATTGAAAGGCAATAAAAGAAAAGACTCCACCTTCTTCACCTTCTAAACAAACCCTTTGACCCAACTAAGAAACAAAAATTGGTAATAAAATTGCAACGAAACGGTCAACTTAAGGACATTAATAAATCTGAGCAGGTAGATCAATCTAGACTGTAGAACCCCATTTATTCCATTGTCAATAACAAAAAGTTCCCAGTTATCTGACCAAAATTTCTTTCAGTAATCTTCTTCAAGCATATACCTGCAGTTTCTCAAGCCCTCCTGTATTCGAGCCACATTTTTTACTTTTAGAACTTTGAATAACTTAGGAGCTCACTGCATTCACCCTTTATTCTCTCGTCGGAAATAGATATTTCTTTTAGATTTTTGTTTGTAATTCTAAAAAAATTACTCCAAATCAAATAGAATTGTGAAATGCTTCCCCTGTAGAACATAATCAAATACACTCATCTTTCAGACAACATTTAAATCGTAAATTGGCAAACTAGGAAAAGAAAAACAATGCAGAGAGACATTTATGACAATTCAAACTCTTACTTAGCATAAGAGAAGCAGTCTTCTGGGCCATTCCTTTCAACCCAAGACTTGGCGAGCCTGAAAAATGCAACGAAAATTTATCTGGAATTTCTGCAGTAAATGAAAGTCAGTACATCTTAAAACGAAAAGCCAATAGATTGCCAATTATGTAAAAACAAATATGTAAAATGTAGAAACTATTACACTAAACTGAAAACCTTCGTTTAGGAGAAAGTACACAACTCACCAACAACAGAATGATCATAATCAGGAATAATACCTAGAGAAAAACACAAGTAAGAATATTGCTGCATCTTCTGATATAATGAAATGTCACTTCATATACGACTATCATAGCTCTCAGGAAGATTACCTTTTTGAAACATTATGACTCTTCCCTTGGCCCTAAAAACTTTGAAAGTCTCAGTTTAAAATCTTTTATCTAGGGATGAATACCATGAAGTTATTCTGCAGACTGTTGCAAAGTATTTGTTAAATAAATATTCTATTTGGTTATATTCTATTTTATAATACATACGATCAGCTGGCTTTTCGACTAGGGGCTTGTAGTCTGAACAAAGCCTTTTTAAGAGTTCAGTTGTTTCGTCTGGTTCTTCATTAACTAATGTTTTTCCATAAGCTTTCATTGTTGCTTCTGCCTACAGAGAAAAAACATTCCATTAAAATGAAAATTAACTTTTCTAGTGACGATTATATGAAAGAAAAGAAACATCCAGTAATAACTTAAAGTGGTCGAGCAGCGAAAGCATAAACAACTCGTCACTTAATCGAGCAATATAATTTTAAAAACATTCAGCACACCTAAAAGCTCCTACGTTAACATTATAACAATTTTATCATGATGGCAAAACAAATGCTTTTAATATTCAGCCAGGAAAACTATAGCTAAATGCTTACTTTTGATTCGAAAATGAAACTAGTTTACAGTTAACACCAATATTGTATTAATGGAGTAAAAACCAATAGTAACCGACTTTACGTTACAGTAGCAGTTTATGAGTTTTTAATTCAAAAGAACGTTTGATATTTATTTGAAAACAAATGAGCTGGCCCACATGAAAAGTAAAGCCTGGCCATGTACGTAAAACACATGGCATAGAAATTTCGTAATCTAGAGGTTCCTGGGGATGTAGACTTCAGTTATGGCCTAAAACTGGAGTCTACATTTCATTCTGTGCGACGATTGATTAGTAGAGGCATGAAGGAAAAATAGCAAATGAAAATCAAGTCAGGCTAGTGATGTCAGTTCGAAAATGCACGACAATAAACGATGAATGCTACGTTGCGATTTAAAACTGGACAAGAATGTCTCCAATTCACGGTCAAAGATTGTTGAATTTGGGATAACTGCGTCATAGAGGTGAACAATATTGAGAAGTTTGGAATGATTTTATTTGTATCAGAGAGCTAGTGTGATAAAAAATACCTCAACAAACGGTAGCCTTGAAATGTACTTCAAAGCTTTTTTATAGTCCTTAATATCTTCAAGTTGAATCTTAAGATACCTAATAGGGAGGAAAAGACAAAAAAGACATTTACATCAGACTTTGCGTTAGATTGTATGTCAGGGGTGTAGTGCAATGACACGTAACAATACGGATGATTAAAAGGGCGGAAAAGACGAAAAATGACATTTACATCAAACTTTGCGTTAGATTGTATGTCAGGCTCAGGGGTGTAGTGCAATGACATGTAACAACACGGGTGGTTAAAAGGGCGGAAAAGATAAAAAATAAGCCATTTACGTTGGTATTACAATGTAAGTAAAAATTTACGTCAAAAAGAACAAGGGTGGCTCTATCCCAGGGCCCCCAATGGTCTATACACCTGGCCACCAGGAAAAGGGTCGCAATGCATAAATCCTGTATAGGCTTAGATTTTCTATTCACATTCACTTCATGAAATAAATTGATGTTAAAACAAGTGAAGTAGTCTAAATAGGTGCTTTTATTGTAGAGATAAAGATAATTTTTACATAGCCAAAAAATTCAGATTTCAGCAATAAAGCACATACCATTCATGCTGCTCGAACTTCTCAGCAAGATCAAGGGCATGCCTGTAGTATCCCGCCTGCCTACAAACCTGTGATGCAAAACAGAACACGTGAACCGAAGTGAGCAGATAAGACTGAAGAACCCCATTGCATTCTCAAAGAATCAGGGCAAAAAAGAGCAAGCTTGAATGGTGCTAATCAAAGAAGAAAGGTACTATATGAAGAGAGAATGACTGACCATAAGAAAACATTTAAACAAGTAACACTAAAGGCAGATCCGGGAAGAATCATAACGTAATGATATCTGCATCCTCATCTGAATACCAACCTTGATCGCTGTTTCAACTTCAAAGTTAAGCTCTTTGTCCGTCTACAAAACAAGGAGAGTTTTGATTTATATACCGCAATAACTCAAAAACGCCCCCCTCTCGAATGAGTCCCAATTTTGGAAATCGAATTTTGAATAACGGGGGGATTCTACGAATTACGGGGGGATTCTACGAATTACGGGGTTTAATCGAATTATTACGAATTATCATTCAATTCATAGCATAATGATGAAGTAGGGTATTGTGGCCATTGGCTCGCTACAAAACCAATAACGGTAAATGACAAAGACCAGGGACATATTTTGAAAAAAAGGTCGAGTTTCTAGCACTTATCACAATTGGGAAAGTGAATACAAAATTGAAAAACATTATTTTGTCTACCTACAGCCATTTTCCTGAAACGATTTCATCTTGAGATATAACTTATCTTTCTCATCTATCAGCCAGTTTGAAGATACCACAGAGAGTCAGATAAACAGCATACCTAGTACTTCTCTTAATCCCTGTTTACTTTTATCACTCTCCGACCTTTTTACTCTGAGAAGTGTCGGTCGAAAAATACTCAAGTATGCTATGATGCTAGTAGTCATCAGATCTTTTCATGCTATTAGTCAATAATGGCTTACGGAAAGAGACGTGAAATGGAAACTTTGATAAATAAATCAAAAAACAAAAATAAAAGTTTTTACACTTTGCAATTATAAACATCATACCTGGATAAATTTATCAAGCTTATCGACAGCTTTAAGTTTTGTATAGCAGTTGAGCAGCAGCGTAGTGTGGTCAGTGTTGGCGAGACCTTTCTCGTGCAGGGCCTAAAAAAGTTGATCGATTTTAAAACATTTTTAAAATTATTGTTAGAAGGACAACTAAAACGACAGGGTGTTACAAAACAGGGTGTAACAAAACAGAGTGTAACAAAACAGGGTGTAACAAAACAGGGTGTAAAAACAGGGTGAAACAAGGGTTAATTTTCATTTCCCCCTTATACCACAACGAGTATGATTACAGACAGACTAAATTATTCTTGAAAAGTTGCGATTGAAAATGGAACTTCTGCATGGGTTCACATTTCATTTGACTGTAATAAGCTAGGAGCAGAGAAGTTATAACTAGAGTCCTAATTCTTCATCTCCTTTATTATTATGGGGGTAGAATATAGAAGATTGGCAAGATAATAAGAAGTTATTGTTGGGAAGCAATACACTGTATGGACGGCCCAAGCAGAGTCTAATGATCTCCCAATAAATTGCAACTTACTTGTAAATAATCTGTTAAATTGTGGATACGCTGAGCATCTAGAAACTGTGAAAGAGACAGAGACTAAGTCAAGAAAAATTGCACGATGTCAACAAAAAACAGAGGAAAACCGTAAAAGTTAAAGATTAAGGCATGAATAACCGCATTATGTCAAAACAAAACCCAAAAATATCATCAAAAAATTCTTTTATACTTATGTAGATATATAGCTGATTTTGAAACAGATTTGGGTCCATGACCAAGTCCAAATTTTAACAAACAAAGATTTTATTAACAGAGGTCAGCATGTGATATATTGTAGAATGTTGTAGATAGAGATAAAAGTTTAAATATTGTAGAAAGAGGTATCACAAGGACATTTCGAATTTCGAATTCATACTCCAAGGTTTTGTTAAAAGCAACGGGAATGTAATTAGAAGCAGGGGGTCTTCAAAAATAAACGCGGTAAAGAGGTACCCCATGCTCCTAATTAATCTCGACTTAAGTGCATTTGAAACGTAATGGTAAAAATGACAAATAATATTCCTAGTGCCACAAAGCATGCTGAAACAGAGTTTTTTGTTAATTGTCTGTAGGAGATCCAGGATTCCTTAAATAATACACAATCTCAAACGAAACAAAGTTTTAAAAAAGACTTCTTTATTGCAAATAGATATGAAATTACCTTTCTTATAACATATGAGGCTTCTAGATGTCCTATTGTTCGTATATATTGCTGTATTGCACCATCATGGTCACCTTTGCTATTGTGAAAAATACAGACAGTTAGAAGCTTGGACAGAACAAACTATCTTCCGTATTACGATGTCTCAAGAATTTACCCGCTCAAACAATGCTTTGTAAAGGTTCCTCCTTCATTTCGGCTGAATTTATAGAAAACATTATTTAAATTTCCTCATACACCAAGTAAAGGCTATGAAGTTTTTAAGTAAAAGTCTACCAGGAGCCATCTCTGCACGCTAGATCGCATTAACCGCTACAGAAAATCAAACAATATTTTGAGCTTGTTGTTCTAAATTTTTTGCCTGCACGTGTGGAACAACAGACGGCAAAAACACTGCAGATATTTTAGACCCTTGATTAAATGTTTCAAAATTACTCTTCACTGAATAGAATCATTTAGAAAATGCTTAATCTTGCATAACATTTCAAAACCTTGCACAAAATAATTAAGTTTATACAATGGCAGCTAAAGGACATGGAAAATTAATAAACATAGCAGAAAATCATAATAATTACCGAAATATAAACAATACAACTACATGTATTAAAATTTGACAAACCTATAGAGATGATCTCCATACTGTCGGAAAATTTCAAATAGTCCATCAGAGTAATGTTGGCTTTTTGCAAGACTGAAAAGTAGAAGAGAGCAGGTTTGTGTGGAAAAAAATATAGGCCATCTTGGATATAGGTCATCTTGGAGTTCGCGACCCCAAGATGGAATTCTATTGTCCGAAATTTCGTTCATATCGCTCTGGTTAGGCAAAACAGAGAGAAATTCATGGTGGAGAGTATTTTTTACGAAAAATATTTCTCCCATTATTTTGGCCGTAAAACTTCCTTAAAATAAACCATGCTTGAGCTATAGAGGAATTTATCAATTTGTTTTTTTTAAATATTGAATATGTAAATGCAATTTCTTCCTTTACTGTTGAGCGATGTTAGCTCAAATTGCAATGCCATTTAAACAACTTTTATGCAACGACAAATATCATTTTCAGCAATCTTCTAGTTAGCATAATAATCCTTCAAAATTCTAAGGCTTTACCAATTTGCGTCTAATTCATAAACGATTATAGAACCTAGGGTATACATTATTTGTATAAAGGCTCAACAATCAAAGTAGAATGACATCAAATTTAGTTTTGGAAAAAGGCTTGAAGTTCCGACCGACTGAAAATTACGTTTGTGACAAACAACAAAAATCTACGTCAGTCGAATAACACAGAAACTTACGAAACTTACTTAAATTGATTCAAATTTAAAAATATCACGTGACGTATTGAACGCTCTTTGTTTCGATAGAACCCAAAACATGCAGCTCATAAAGATGAGTCTGTCTTGAAGTTAATGACCTGAGTAAAAAGATGAGGTCCTCAAGCGTCTCCTGTTTTCCAAAAAAAAATGGATGTGATAATCATCCATTCAAATTGGCTGAACCCACGTTCACGCATAAGCCTCTTTCAACAATTATCACCACAGCTCGTACAGTCATGCCTGAATTGCATAAAATTTTTAGCATCGGCCTTTAAACTCGGGCCATTCACTTAAAGTAAATACTTCATACAGATGATTTTTCACATACTTTATTGCCATGTCATACATATTCTTTCGAAATAACGTTTCTAGTTTTGTCTGGGTGTCCTTTTCTTCCAACTGAAAAATCTAAAAAGAGAAGCAAACAATCTTTAAACAAAAAAATAACTAAAAGAATTTACAAGCATTTATCTAAAAAAGATTTCGTACAGCATTTTTCGTATGGTATGAAAGATGATCACGAATACAGCAGAATTTCGAATCTTTATCTGATCTACATTTTTCTTAATAAAAATTATTTTTTGGCGATTATTAATAGATCCTGCTAAGATATTGTTAATGTATCTACTGAACAATATTTTTTCTCTAAAAATAAAACAGCGTTAATACTTATCAGCCAAAATTGATTCTCAAAATGCAAATAAAATGGTGAATTGAATGTAAGAAAGTTTTCCAACCTTTCCATCCCTAGTGAGTACATGAAGTGATCCCCATTCGCCAAGAACGTCAACGATTTCTGGAAACGGTGCTGAGAAGGCTGTAGGACGAAACGGCTTCAGAATCAAATCAAGTGGTATTAAATTGCAAGTTCCTAAACAGTGCAAAGAAAATGCCACTCAGTGGTAACTTACGCTAGAATAAAACTTTTGTACAGAAAATTTGCAATTCAATTTGCAATCCTGCAATTCAGGCATGACCGCACACAAATGTGCTATTTTGATTGACTAGACAACATGCAAATACCTGACATTTTTGTGACCATACTCCAAGATGCTTTTCTTTTCCCATTAAAGTTCACTTTCAATTCGTTTTAACGCAACAAATGTGTGTCGTATTAAAGCAAAATTAATTAGGGAGCAGTTAGCAGAGAATACTAGCAAAAAATAGAAGATTGTAAACATATCTTTACCGATAAATTTATTTTGAATGTCATATATTGTTAAAATGTTCATTGGGAAGCCAGCTCTGTAAAAACAAAAACAAGGGCAGATGCATCAACGAAATTTCTAGCATCATGACACAAAGTTAATATAGCTCAGTACAAAAAGGTTTAATAAAACATTGTGAATAATTCTATACACAAAAGAGCACTGAATTTGATTCTGCAAACTACACTGACAAATATGACAAATATAAAATTGATAGTTTGGAAGCACAGTGATACGATTAAAGAATGAACTGATGTATTAGAGGCTGCTAACAATCGACAAACCAGCTAAGGTGTTCCAGACTACATGATCATCTTCAAATAGAATGGTTGCTTAGAGAGTACAGGATTTCCCTTCCTGGGATATTTTCAGTTATTCATCAGAAAAAACGACCATTTATTTTAGTGCATCATTTTACAGCACACTATGAGTTCTAGTGTCAATGATGTAATACCTATAAACAGATTGTTGTCAAAAAAGAAAAAGAAAGTTTGTGAAAAGACATACCTCGGAAGTTGTTTGTTTTCTTTACTCACAACAACTAAATAGCCCCTAAACCAGTAAACCATTTTCTTTTCTCCTAGAAATCACAAATATCAACTGTTACTGCTTTATACAATTTACTATCAAATGAAATACTTTCTTTGATATAAAAGAGATAAATAACAAGTTTAAATGTCAAAGGGTTATCTGCTAAAATTTATGCATGCAGGAGTATGGAATTGGCACAAAGATGTTTTGAGTCGAGAAAGTGTGGATTATTTCAGTGAGAGGGGAGGATTGTCCAAACCTTTAAGGTGTGGACCAATACAATATTGAACAGAAACAAGTACCATTTGTCTGGCAACAACACGATTGTGTATCTAAACGACAGGGTTTTATAATTGTCCGGAAAACATAGCTTTCACCCCTCAATACATTGACAAGTGCTCGCCACTGTTTAGGAGATTAGCTACTGCATTATCTGTTTTGAAGCAGGTAGAAGAATCTTAGGACATTATGCCAACCATGTAGCTGTAGATGTCGGCTTAGGGGGGGGGGGGCAAACTCAAGCAGGAACCATACCTGAGGGGGGAAGGGTTTAAAAAAAGAAAACAGATAAATATGCCAAACTTTCAAAATATCATTTGGAAAAACTGTAGCAAGAGGGGGCAAGTTGTTAGAAGGGGCAAGTTGTTGTCAGAATCCTAATTTAGGGGGGCACAGCCTCCCGTGCCTCCCTGCAGCTACGTGGTTGCATTATGCCCATTTATTCTCATGACAGCAAAGTGCAATAAAAGTCAAATCAAGCTAGCTGGTCTGCGTTTCCAATTGAAAACCCATTGATACTTTCTAAAGCCTTCAAAAGTTACCTTCAAAAGCCAAGCAAGGTCCTCTTCCTTCAGTTTGATAAAAGTATAAGGCCTAGGAGAAAAAGCGTTGTTGAAATCTGAAAAAATTCTATATTCGCTCAGATACACTGGTGTCAACATTGGTTTTCTATTTGCCATTTTGATCAAAATCTGGTTGGTGATTACCATTTTGATCAAAATCTCGAATACATGAATAAGCTTCTTACGAATATATTATGTACTTAGAAATTATTACAACTTGGAGGAGATTGAACAAACAATGATAGGAGCTGTTGATGGTTTCCAATAAAAAAGCAAACATTTAATCAACTAATTTAATGAAGGTTTAGTTGCAATGTCCAGATAGAATCCAACAGAACTGAAAACATACACTTGGAATCCAGCAGTTTCCGGATAGAATTCAAGAGAAATATGTAAAAAATCATAAGATAATGAAAAATGATGATTGTGCTAGAAATTTTCCAGAAAAGTATATTCACATCTGGTCGTGCAATCACGAACTGGTTTTCTTGAGAAACATCACTGATGGCTGAACATTTGAAATCACATCCAAATCCATCCAAAACCTCCTACAATGAGAATTCCATTTTTCAAATATCAATACCAAAAAAAGCATACACACTGAATATTAGATTGAATAAGAGTGTTGAAACAATCATCTATTAGCTATTGTGTATATAAAAATTGACACAAAGCAATGGTATAGTTATTCAAACTGTCATTAGACACATTCATTCCCAACTCTCTCCTAGTCCATTCCTTTGACTGGCAGTCTTGTGACACATCATAATACTTAAGTAAGCTTAGCTTGCATGACTGAAAATCTTAAACTTGATATTTGCATTGAAAGGTTCTTTTGTCATTAACATATGAAAACCCAACATGAATCTTCCAACTGGCTTTCTTAAGCATATGCACAAAAATTGCTGCTAAAATCCTTACAGGATTTTCTAATACAGCTCAGCAAAGTAACTTGAAATCAGCAGAACAGGTATATCTTTTCAGTAGGCAAAATACAAATATTTTCAGGAATTCACCCTAGTATTATACCAACTTCAACATAAACAGTTTGCCAATGATTTTAAACTTACAGCAAAAATTTTGGTTGACCAGAGGTAGCAACTGCAGAGAGGTCTGTTCATATTCAACAAGAGACAATTTTTATGCAGGCTATTATGAACACACACTTTTGCATTTCTTTTGAGCAATCAAACATATTTCTAGACTTTAAAGTTGCATTAAAAGTTTCAAAATAGGTGTACCTTATGATCCCTTGCAGAAACATTATATGATGTCACAGTCTCAGTTGTTGTAACAAATAAGGTTATATTGCTGCCCATTTGCTTGTAGGCCAAACCTATGGGGAGAAAGATCCATACTAGAATTCTTTACTAAAGTTTAGCTCAACAGGTAATAATGCAATACAATAGCTGAACTTCCATATTGAAAGCTGAGTCTATATCTGGCTTTAAAGATACCAGTTGCATAAAAGATGTAGCAAATGGAGACAGGATATTAATTTTTCAAACAGTGTAATTTGACCAGAATAATGTTATACCACTGATCCAAAAGAATTATACCTGTTACTGGATACTTGTCTTGGTGAACTAATCTTTGTCTGGCTTGCCTGCAAAATAAAAAGGGGCGATTGCTAAGCATGGGGGAAGTACTTGTTTGGATATTAGTCTCACAAACAGAAATAGCAATGCACTACTGAAAACCCTCAAAAGAGAAAAATTAATAACAAAAACCAAATTTTTTAATTTTCAGGAAAGAAAGGTAATCACAGCAAAAGAGAGTAAGAAGTAAAACATTGACATTTCGCAAGCCATTGGAATCTTGAAGAAGAGAAAACGTTAATGGAAGATTTCTTCTCTAAAGGATATTGGACATTTTTTTTCTAATGTAAAAGGGAAGCATCAACATGAATAGCTAGAAATGGCTTTGAAAAAAATCAAACATGTTCTTATTAAAAATGTTTTCTTTTTTCAAAGCCGTTTTCATATTCTGCATCACAAATAGATTGCTTGAACTGTTAGAGTTATGAGATGTATGACATCATCACAAGAGAAAAACAACAAAGCATAGAAGGATGAGGCAGTAAACAGGTCTAGTGCACCAACTTTTGGTATGGCAGACAGCTTGATGATGTTCAGCCCAAAAATTTCATTTATACCTCACAAGTTTCTATTAATGACAGTGATTACCTTTCTCTTGTAACATCCCCTCGAACTATAATAACTGTTCCATCTTCAAAGCCTATTGCCATCTGGCTCAAGTTCTCATGAACACAAATGATTGTTACCTGTTTATGAAATAAAACATCTAGTTAGTGAAACTAACTGTTTACTGGCCTGCTTTATAGTGAGTGATGCCAACTAGATGGTCTGAAGTTCCAACTATTGAGTTTCATGCTAAATGTGATCATCAGGCAACTGATTTTAACTAGTTGCTCAAGTAAACCACAATGCCTTCATAGATCAACTGAAACCTTGCAACATTGATTGTCTGACAGAGTATCAATGTATCATTAATTGAATGTATACAATAACAGGTTGAAAAAAGCTTGCACCCTTTGTGCCTCTATAGATCTAACTGGGATAAAAAGCAAATGCAATTTGAATTAATGAATAGAAATCAGAGAGGAAAGTCATCAGCTCTCCTACATATTGTTTTATGCTCTATTTTGACAAATTATGCACAAAATGTGAATCAAAAAATAACAATAGTTTGGAACAAATAACTCAATATTTCAGCAAGAAAGTTAAGTACTTACTGATACATTCTTTGTTCCAGTCATTGCTCTATACATTCTGCACCTTAATGGTGATCCAGATTTGTCAATCTACAAATATTAACAAAAAATTGGTGATCAACCGAATCTAACGGAGACAGAAATTGGGTGTACCTGCAAATCAAGACAAAGAGGATGATACTGAAAAATGGACAATTATTTGCATTGTGTAATTTTCTCTTATACAAGAGACATTTAACTTGGTTGTTGCAAATTATAAAAACACTAAATTATTACAATGATGATACCTTATCAAAGTTCCAAACTTTAATCAGATTATTTGCACCTTTCTCATCTTCCTGTAAGTAATAAAATGAGAAATCAAAAAAAGAGAAAAGTAATCAAAAATTTAAGAATCAAAAATAAATTTTAAAAATTTTCTTAAATCATCATTTAAATTGAAAGAAATAATGAATTTTTACTTACGCCAACAGATACTAATATATTATGTTGCTTCATTTGGAATAGCAAACTTGTTCTAAATTCATAAGCCTTGAACGATGGGAAATTCTGTTCCCTGTCCAACATATGGATCATTCCATCATTGTCTAAAAAAATAGAAAAGCTTACAAACACACTTAATAGGCAAATATATACTAATAATCAAAAAGGTAATTGCCAAGGCTACAAAGCTAGCTAAAGAAAAATTGAAAAATTTAGTTCATAGTTTGCCAATTTGAAACCTAGATTTTGCAATTAGAAACAAAAGTGTACTGGAAATGAGATAACAAACAGGTTTTCATTTTAAATAAAGTTGAATGGTTATCACAATAAGCACATAGCTTGAGGGTTTCTGGAGAAGCTCTCTTGTTAGCAAGGCCTTCTTTGTAAGCCATAGTCCGAAAAGTATCTGAAGACATCAAGTATTACAAAAGAAGATCAGAAACACATTTTTGTTATAGGATGACTGGTTGATGTGATTATAGTACATATGGTAAATTTCAAACCTCCAAGTAAAATGCTGCCTCTTCCACTTGCAGTTGCAGATATCTCTAGGCCCTTTATGAGAAAAGTATTTTCAATCCCAGAATCATTATATAGCATATCAAAAAAATATGGTACAAACAACTATAAGAAAATAGATAGAGGAATGCCATAGAATGATTAAAACATTTATTTTTGGCTAAAGAGTCCTTTATTGGCTTAAATGTCTAGCCTTATCATATTTCATTATAAAATAATATGATAAAAAGCAATAGGAATGTAAGGCATACAGAAAAGGTTGAGACATATAATAATAATGATGCTTAGTGTAAACTAAAGCAATTTAAATATAGAATTTAAGTAACCTTGAGCTTGTCAAATTGTTGATCTGATGGAGCGTCTCTTGCCTTCAATATTTCCTTGTCAAAAAAGTTAAATCTTCTCCACTACAACACAAAAACTTATATTATGAGTTACTCATATTAAAAGAGGGCAATCACATGGCATCAGTGAGATCTTATACCTTGTGACACATCAAAATGTAATATGACAGTATGTCGCTTAGATTGGCGAACATGAAGACTCCGGATAAGCATCATGTTTTGCTGGATATTATTACCTTTGGTAGGTAAGTCTAAAATTCCTTCTATAATGTAAACTATAATTTATTGTTTAAATCGCTTTTTGGTACCACAAAATTTGAAGACGGTGCGAATACTGCAAACATAGCATACTGCAGAAAAAAAAGAAAATTTGGTCGCTCTTAGCTTACTTCATAGCCTCAAAGTATCATTCAGATCTCTGATCTGATCTGAAACCAAACTCAACTTGAGGACAAAACTTGGTCATTATTATTATCACACGAGTATAGGCAATCAAATTTCTGCATATAGAGAATTGGACAAACAAGTACATTGGATGTCCAAAATTTAGTCCAAAAAATAAATGTATTGAAAACACTTCGTGAGCAGCATTTGAAAAAGTAAGGACCTTACCAGTGGAAACGCCATTTTGAAAAAGAAAGGAAAGAAAAACATGCGCCTTCCCAGGGACTTACACCGGTGAGTTTCCCCCTCTACGGAGGCGAGCATGACTTTACGCGGCCTAGCCAAGGAAAGAAAAGGTGTTTGTGGTGTTGAGCCTAGGTGCATCTGGCCCATCGTAGGAGGACAAAAGCACTGAAGGGGCGTCTTCAAGATGCACACAGTCAAAAGAGCGTCTGCAGCAGCTACTCTTGTAACAAGAGCTGCAACGAGGGTTGCCTGCAACACACGCAGGGTCCGATACCAGAATCGCTTGCCAAATTATTCTGTTCGACTGCTCACATCCCAAACTGGGAAAACAGTACATTTCAGCAGCCGGTAAGTTACATCGAATGCATTTAAGCAATACATACATGATAAATTTATTTGTTCCTCATATCTCTGAAGATGATTGTCACATGCTACACGATAAAAGCCAACCGCCTGTTAACCAATAAGAAGATAATAATTTCAGGACTAATCATTTATCTTTATCTTACTCCATATTTGCCTCTCTTCAATTTTGTTTTACAAAAGAATGTTTAAGAAAAAAAATATTTTATTAACTTAGAAACAAGATAAACTTTTATACTTGCTAAGTTTATAGAATATTGTTGTTGAAGTCTAAAAATTTCAGGAGCCCTTCTGATTTCTTTTGCTACGATTTTACAGAAATGCTGTACCAGCAAAGCGATTGGCTTTTCTGAGAATTTCCCAGCCTGCCAGACCTTACAGCGATGAAGGTAAGAAATTGAATTAAATATTTTTTTTTGGGAATCATGGCATTCATGGAAGTTTCCATTCGATGAGGGTATTTGAATTTAATAGCCTGTAATTGGAGCAGAAAGATAATTTGCTGTCACGTTATTTGTTCATTTGTACTGGTTGACATCACAAGAGAAAACAGGATTTGATATGCCAGAGATTGCCAGTATGAAACTGGAAATTACAGGCCTGTGGTCATTGACATCAGTTTTATGTAAGTGAATCACTTGTAAGGGAAGCTGTGCTAGACCATATGAAAGTATTTCTTCATGTTTGTCAGTATAGATTTATTAAGAAGAAGTCATGTGCAACATTTTTAGAGATCTTAGACTACTGGACAAGTATTATAGATGACAATTATGCATTAGATGTTATCTATTAGACTTTGCTTAGGCATTTGACAGTGTGCCACATGTCAAGCTACTAAGTAAATTAGAGTCATCTGTATAAAGGGTGATATGCTCAACTGGATTGCTGATTTCTTGACCAACAGGAGGCAAAGAGTTATATATTGTAAATGGATTGTTTTCTTCATGGGCTCCTGTACTAAGTTGATTTCCACAAGGTAGTGTCCTTGGACCAGTCCTATTTGTTTGTTATGTTGATGATATTCTTGATTGTGTTCATAATCTGGTGGGAATGTATGCAGATGACACACAGGTTTTTTTTAAAAGATTGAAGCAAAAGTTGATGATGAGAAACTACAAATAGATTTATCATATTTGGAAGAATGGTCCAGAACGTGGCAGTTAAAATTTAATGCCAGCAAAGGCAAAATCCCTGCCACAAGAACATGATCAACAAATACACAAATGAAAATGATCAGCAAGTACAAGTTGAAGAATCATGTTGTGAAAAGGATCTAGGTGTATATATTGATAATCAGTCAAAGTTTAACAAACAAATAGAGAGAGCAGTAAACAAAGCAAATAGTTAAATGGAATGATTTGTAGATCATTTGAGCATCTTGATGAGGATATGATGATACAGTTGTACAAGAGTATAGTCAGGCCAGAGCTGGAGTATTGTAACAATATAGTATGGTCACCACTTTATAAAAAAGATGCTCAATTGTTAGAGGGAGTTCAGAGGAGAGCTACATAATTGGTGTCAGGCACAAAGGAATCGGGATATGCAGACAGACTTATGGGACTTAAACTTCCAAGTTTGGTGTACAGGAAATTGAGAGGTGACAGGGCTTTGTAAGAACTAGCCCATGTTAGTGGCCCATCGCTTGCATGATTTCTCTTGCGAGAGCGATCGCTCAGATAGTGAAAAATTAGTTCCTGTTATTAGGTACCTTTTTGTTTGAGGTAACATCAATTGAAAAAGAACTGTTACCATGCTCTGTAATGCACTCCAAGGAAGACTAAATCCCTTTTTAAGTGTGCTTTGTTTAGAAACTTTATGTACACCCATGAAGGTTATAGTAACGTTTTTGCCAGATGATTGCAGAGTGTTGTTCAATACCCTTTTAAAAACGCTTTTACTGCCCAGAAAATGCCTTAAGTGCTATTATAGTTTAAATAATAAGCATCTAAAGTATTCCTAAACATTTGCTGTGGAATTGATTTTCAAATGCATTTTTTCATTGTTAAATTAGCTTACTTATATTTCCAGTGTTTTGATATACCTGGCTTTGTATTGTCTTAGTCACTTGCTTGGTTCACAAAATATGACTAGAATTGCTTGTGTTAATTGATGAGACATTTATTCCTCACAATTTGCTGTTTTGCCTGAGCGATCAAACTCGTGCGTGGTTGGGTCTGCACGAATGCTGACACAATCACAAGTGATTGCTTGTGTCAAACGAAAAGGCCTGAGGTGACCTAATTAAAACCTCCAAATTCAAGAGCCAGATGTATGCAGAGAACAGTGATACTCTTTTAACTACCATTGGAAAAGAGAATCACATACAAGAGGAAACAGTCAGAATTTGAAAAAGGAAAGATTCAATACTACCTTTAGGAAACAGTTTTCCAGCTTGAGAGAAACAGACTATTGGAATGGTCTCCCTGATGTCATCATAACATCAAAAGCGTTTAATGATTTCAAAAACAAGATTGACAAGTTAAATGACAACAGCAAATATTCTATGGAATTTCCTGTACCATCTGTAATTATCTTGTATAGTACAGTTCAATCTGTTGCCTTATGTTTATACCAAGGTTGAGTTTATACCAAATTTGCATAATCTGTCAATGTTGTTTTTTAATCAATATACCCAAAGGTTTTTGCAGTCCTTTTTGGCTTTTCTATCAAATTACATGTCAAGATCTTCCATTGCCTACAGCAAAGTTGCCAGTCTGGTGTTTAGATGTGTCAAAGGCTATAAGCCTACATTTACACAACATTATTATTATTATATTATTATTATGAAGTTTTCTACCAGGGCAGCATACTATCAACGATTTTATTTTAAAGACTTTTAAAAACCTGAGAGTTTAAATACAATATACTCTTGTGAAAGTGCTTGAGGGTCACTGTTTGAAAAAAATTAGGTTTTTATAAACAAAAGAATTTGTAAGGAATTTTGGAAAAAGTTTATTGAAAAGAAAATATTTTTATAAAAGGGATAAAAGTTTTGTAACTAATTGTGTCTTCAGTATTGCTTTAAAGTTAACACACGCAAAAAAAATAAAAAAAATTATTTAGAGTGAATTGACAAGAAGTTAAAGAAACAAAATTGTAAAAAGAATAGTGAGTCAAAACGTGATGGCTCAACCCGTGAGGCTTAGTTAAGACAGAATAGGTTTGCATTTGGTTCTTTGAAAATGATCTTGAAATGAAATTTAAAATCAAAAGATAATCTTATTGAAAATGAATTTGAGCTGGAATTGTAGCAAACTTGCAAACCATGCAGGAAGAACTAGATGAATAGACTGTGACAAAGGATGTTGAGTAACTAGTTATAAATTAGCAAGAACAAAGATTATTAAAAGTTGCAATGTTTTATTTTTAGGCCTCCCTAGCCATGAGAAGGTTATTTTACCAAACCTCTCACCAACAATGGAGAGTGGAACAATCGTTAGCTGGGAAAAGGAAGAAGGTCAAAGACTAAATGAAGGTGATGTTTTGGCTATGATAGAAACAGACAAAGCAACAATGGAAATGGAAACACCAGAGGAAGGATACCTAGCCAAGATTTTAGTTCCAGGCGGCACAAAAGATGTACCAGTTAAGGAAGTATGTCCTTAGAAGTTTTATTTAAAATCAACTTATATGCTATGGTAATGATACAACACGGTAAAGTAACATAAAATCAAATCTAACAAAGTAACAAACAAGATACAGCTACAATTATTGGCATAAGTAGTTTTTGAGACTTTTCAAGAAATGTTTAGCTTTTCTCTTTCCTTGAAAAATAATTTCTTCCCCTTCCCCTATTCAATGCTGAATGCATGTTTTTGAAGCACGAATGATATAAATGCACCAACATTACCTGAAAGAAAAAGGGGTTCAAATTTAAAGGGATCAATTAAAAGGGAAACAGATGCAGAATTGATTTCAACGATACGTTTTCAGATAATGGCATTTAAACTGTCCTGAACAATGAATGATCAATTATATATGCATTTCTTACTAAAGAAATTAGTTTCATTTTGTAAAGTTTTCAAAAGCTATGTTTATCTTCTTTTGTTCGTTGTGTATATATTTGAACATTTATTCACTAGATAATCTGTATAATTGTTGAAGAGGAAGCTGATATTGCTGCTTTTAAAGATTACACCCTGCCTGCATCTGCAGCTCCAGTAGAGGCCGCTCCGAAAAAGGAAGAACCAGTCCCAGAAGCACCAAAAGTGGAGGTATGCATGCATCAAATTACAAGTAGAATCCTATCGTGATATACGATGGTGGAAAATCGATCTTCCAAGCACCCGAGACATCAGGTTTTTATCTGCAGGAGACCACTTATCGTTATGCATGGTAACCAACAGGCAACCAAATTTTTTATGGAAATGTCTACCCCTGTTGCCAGAGTTTTGTTTTGGGAGGCCACAGGCCATATGCGGGAGACCACTGTTTTACCAGAATTGTCCACCTCTAGACATAATATAGTGCCACTATTTAATAGTTTTGCTATATTGTAGGATTTTATGAATGATAACCCTATAACCAAAACATAGAAACCAGGGCGCCTTCTACTTCAAAAATTAATGAAAACCCGGTTTGTTAAAAAAAAATTTCGCTGCCAAAAGTTGTGCCCTTTCAAGTTATCATTGTTTACTATGTCCCTGCCCTATAATTTGCAGGAATTGGGAAATTGCATATTACAGTTAGAAAAATATAGACACAAGCTAAAAGTCTTTGTACCATTCTTAATGCATCCTTTTTTTTACATTTGTTCCAAGCAGCATCACTCTTTATTCGATATGAATAATGATAAAAATGTAAACAAACTATAGATGTGACATTGTATTAGCCTGACAAACTGCTTTTTTCGTAAACTTTTCAAATCTAAAGTAGTCCTGAATTTCTTCAGCCACCACCATCAAAAGCTCCAGAGCCTTCTCCAGCCAAAGATGCAAAATCAGCTCCTGTTAAAACAGATGGACGAATCATGGTGAGCCCATTGGCAAAGAAGCTCGCTGCGGAAAAAGGACTTGATCTTAGCGTGAGTTTAAACCTATTTTAAATGTACAAAGAATTTCTCAAAACATTATTTGCTAGGGAATAGAAGTACCTTCTAGTGATTTAAAGCCCTTTTTTATTTGTGAAGCAACTAATTTTCCATTTTGCTGCTCTTACATGACCAATATTGCTTAAAATCTTTACTTGCTAAGACTTATAATTCATTTTTTCACTACAGTTCTTTACAACGAATTTCATGCAAGAAGAATTCACTTCTCTTAGCACTCTTGTATGAATTTAATTGATGGAGGAATTAATTGCAAGTGGGAATAATTACTCCTCCAATCATTCTACTGCCGACCTGTCCATCCTTGGCTTATTGCATGCACCGCCAGACACCACCAAACTGAGGGCTTTGGAGAAACGTTTAATTTTTAGTCTAAAAACTCTTTATTCTAATGGTCTCAATAAACATTTTAATTTCCTTCAATAATTTCTTTTTATATCTATTTCCTACTTTTTTCTTACTTTCATCCCGTTCCCCTATTCTGTTTTTTCGGTTGCGTCGCATCTCGCTTTCTTTTCTATTTATCGAATCTCGCCTTCCCTTTGCTCGGCTCGTTTCTTTTCTAGCCACTTGATAACGAGTACATGCTTGAAACTTCGTGTTTTTAACAATCAAACTAATATATTTTCATTCTGGTACTAAATTTATTTGCTAACTATATTATCGTTATTCAGGAATAATTCTAATTCTTTTAACGATTCTTTTTGGTGAACCAAGGTATCTTGCATTTTATGGAGTGCAAGATGTCTCTTTCGTTATTTTAGAAAAATGGCTAGAAGGTTATCTCTTTTCCTACACTCGTCTGTCGAAACATAAAGATCTTAATTCCAAAAGATTTCATCCATACTGCTTTAGTATTTTTGTCTGTGTAATGAAATACAAAATGATCCCCATGACGATTTTCTTTTTGTTTTGTATATGGCTGTTTCGTATTACCTATCTTTGCTACTTCTTGTTACTTTAACCCCTTTCTCTTTTACATTCACTGTTTTCCCTCTCCTCTGTGAATCCTCAAACTGATGCTTATTTTTTCTTCACTTACGTATGGTAATTGCTAGTTTTTGCATCCATATAGTTGGCTTTTTAGTACCTCTTATGCATAAATATTATAGTCATTTTTAATCTTTTTAATTATTTGCCTTTAATTTTTTTATTTTAAAGCCTGATTTTTTATTCTTTTTATGATTTATTGCCAAAAAGAGAGGATCTAGGCCTTTGCCTGAGTTTTGAATTATTTTACCATAAAAGCCTACTAACTTTTACTTTATTAGCTCTTCAGAGTATAGAACGTCAGAACATTTCCTGGAAAACCCAGATTGTGCAAAAAACTACAATGGAAACATGTTTCGGATTATTGGTAAAGCCTCATCGTCATCCACTCCAGCAATTTTGAAATCTATCTACATAAGCACGGAAAAACCGCTATTGTGTAGACAGAAGGAGTTCGTTTTCACCTGAGCGCTCCATTGGTAACATTCTCAATAGGCAAACGGCACTGATTGGGCAACCTCAACACTCACGTGATTGCGTTTTTGACTGATCTATTTCGATCCACAACTGGGTATATATATTTCCTAGCATGGAGTTTCTGACGTTTTATACTCTGACTAGTGTCAGACGAACGTCTTTAGTATACTAAAATATTTGTTTTTTCAAAGCCATTTTCAATTTTCGTACCACCAAAAGATTGTTTACTTTATTTACTGCATCCTTTTTGTCAAGCAGCTAATCAGTGGAAGTGGACCTGGTGGCAGAATTACTGTTTCAGACGTCGAAAACGCAACAGCAAAGGCTGCGCCTGCGCCAGCTGCTGCTCGTTCGCAAATTCCTGTACAGCCTCCTCCCAGGGTCACTGTTACAGAAGGTATTGTTAAATATGTTCCCCCTAATGTTTTTAGTATATATACCTGAGTTAATGCATGTATAATCTAACCTACCTTTGCCTAATGTTCAAAATTTTTTTCTCTTCAACTCATACGATATTCAAATTATGCACGAGTAAAGAAGTTGAAATTACGCATAAAAATGTCATCACCTATTTATTACTTTGGCATATACGTTTTTCAACTAAAGCTTTATATTCTAAAACGTTTTAAAAAGCTTCTCCTACTGTGTGTAAAACTTTAATTTGGTAAGTGGCTTCCAAGTTAGATAGAGATGAATTGACAGGACCTTAGTGCTATGAAGAATTGAAAAATATTAGGCACATGATACAAACTGAATTGATTTTCCCTACTCGTCTACTCCAGTTCTTATAAGTTTGTATTTGATAAAACAACGAAAATAAGATACGGCAAACTTTTTAACGTTCCAGTCAACATTCCATTTTTTAATATTAACTTTCTTTGCTAACATTAAGTCTTATCTTGGATAAAGTCTTTTCTTTGCTAACATAAGGTCTATCTCTGCAAAACTCACTGCTACCAACGGGTTTGATCCAATTATGCATTTTATTTGTCAGCAAAGAGTATTATACATCTTGTGTTTCCATGTAGGTAAATATGCAGACATGGACTTATCAAGCATGAGAAAGGTCAGTAAACATCGACATTATTTTTTACTTAAAATTTTCTTAATTTGTAATAACATCTTTTTAAAAATTTTTTTGATTTATGAAAAGTTTTTCCAATGTATAATACTTTCTTTGTTGACGCTAACTGGCCTCTCCAGACAATCCCTATTTATTAGCCAATCTTATTGAATTCAACCGGCTGATCAAGAATTAGCTGCTTGTTTTCAAATATAGTGTATAGTTTTTGAGTAATAAATGCTTGCATTCTGACAAATGAACCAATTAACGTGAAAATAAAGTTCCAATTTTTTTACTGCTACGTACATTTAACGTGCCAATGTCTATCGAATGACCTCACCTTCGTAAGTGAAGCCACAGACTCGTACGTTAGTTGTTAGTTGCAAATGGTGGTATTTGCTGTCGTGTTGCATTTGGAGCCTATCAGAATGTAAATATGGAGCTATTTGTTGGCCTCGCTATCGTACCTCGTTGCATAATTCTCATTCCAATCCCTTTTCTTTTGCAGACAATAGCTAAGCGATTACTGGAGGCAAAACAGACAATCCCTCATTACTATTTATCAATCGATGTAAACATGGATAATGTATTAAAGTAAGTCTTCCATACTTTCTTAATCATATTTTTAATTCATATCTAGCAGAAGGGTCAATTTAATCAAATGCAGTTCCTATACTTTGTAGAACTTTGTTTTTGGCGTGTAACTCGTTCCAGTGTGTCGTTCTGGTCGTCCTTCCGAACGATCAGACTAAGGACTGCCGTGAAAAATACCGATCTTTTGACCTTGTCTTCGAAAGACTTTGAAAGACTTCGAAATTTCGTGAACGACTGCCCTCTAGTCCCCACAAGGATTGCATGGAAAGACTTGGCTTGAATGCAGTGAGTTAAGCTAATAGAAGAAGCGCATATGTCAGGCCAAGAAATAATGCCATATTGCCTAACTTTGCCTTAAGGGTCTTTTGATAGAGACACGATGATAGAAATAGAGATAGTGAATGGCTTGTGTTTGCCTTATCGATCTTTTTTCATATGTTATCTTTGAAAGATAATTTCGTGAGCAAGTACAATTGTCAACATAAAAAGTAACTGAAATGTTCAATAGTAAAAGCAGCAAAATTGTATTATATTGACACATAGGTAACCACGTGATATCAATATAGTAAAAGACAGGATGTAATAGGCAAACCTACCTGTTATTTTCTCTTGAACCAGGGGCTGATACAGTCTCTCTTCAAGAAGAAATATTTTTGCAAAATATACTCTTTGTTGTCTTTTAAAGAAAGTGTTGAAATTGATTTTAAAAGCTTCTTACTGTTGGTTCGGACTCGAGAATGCTACTTATTGAAATGCTTTTAGGCAAAGTAGGAAATTTTTGTTACCTTATAACGCATTTGTCATCGTTTTAGTTTCATAGCGATAGTAATACGATTAACAAACTGAATATTTTTTTACTTAAATTTCATTACATACGTACCGTCTTGTCATCGATTCATTTATAATGGGAGTAAGCAATTTGGTTTCGTGGTGCTAAGTTGTGGAAACAGCTTGACTTGAACACAAAATGCTTCTCCCCTTTATGCTTTTAAAAAAACTCTGACAAAGGCTTGAAGCTGTAAGCAACATAATTCGTTTCAAGGATAAAAGTATATCTTTTAGTTTTTAACGAAACTTGCTGTTTACTTGGCTTCATAAAGTGCTCGATACCGTATAGGCAGGGCTGTACGCGCTATTTGGTGCATAGAACAGGATAGTTGTAAGTTGCTACTCTGTGTTCCACGCTCAATGCGATCATCAGGAAATTTTTAATTTCTTAATTTGACCTTTCAATTTGTAAGTTTTTTCGCGGACCCAAGAAAACCAGTTTCTTCTAGCTGACAGGACAACCGTGTTTAAAAAATTAGGAATAAAAATTAGTTTTTATCACAATATCATTATATCATAAATATCAATAATAGAATTATTTTTGTCATGGAAGAAGCTTCAAATCTTTCTTGACTTTAATTATTTCCTCAGATTAAGACAAGATCTGAACGGATTGGCAAAGGACAGTTACAAACTGTCAGTGAATGATTTCATCATAAAGGCATCCTCATTGGCATTGAAGAAAGTGCCTGATTGCAATTCCTCTTGGATGGGAGAATTTATCAGAAGGTTTGCAGAATTTTTTTGCCATTTCAACTATAGCAGAAACATAAAGACCGGGGGTATGAGGGGCACTATACCCCTTGAGTTATCTGCCAGTGCCCTTTAAGGTAGTTTCAGTGCTCCTTTAAGCACCCAAGGTGGAAGTATACATTTATCAAATTACTAATAGAATTCTATCATGAAAACATTTGAACGTTTAAATGTGTTACTTGTAGTTACTCTAGTTACTCTAGATGGGGCTTGCAGTGATCAGCAGAAATGGTAAAATAAGCGAAAAACTGTCCAGTTCTTCATATTTGAAGCCTCCCTGCACTAACTTGCTAAACCCTCTGGTTTTGTGCTAATTTTAATGTTACGCAATAAAAATAACTGTAGGTTTAAGTGATAGTGGCTCATTTTTACCCATTCTAGAAATGAGGGATATTTATAAAGCTAGCAGAGATATCAAATTTTGATGCCTAAGCTCTGTTATAGTTACCTGCTTTTGCAACCTAATCTACTTCCAAGTATCTTTGGTATTCAGTAACACTTTTTACAATGAACCTGTGGAATATCCAAATTTATACTAATCATTACAGCAGTCAGACTTTTAGGTACGATCAAGCCAATGCCCTAACGTACTGCAAAGTTGAATATGAATGTCGCCGTAAATTTCTCAAGCGTATCTTATCTTCGATTCTAGATACTATAACGTCGATGTCAGTGTTGCGGTTAGCACGGACAACGGTCTCATCACACCAATTGTTTTCGATGCTGATAAAAAGGTATCATTATAATCATTCGCATTTCAGCCAATTGTCAGCCATCTCTCACTCAACCCGTGCGTCCACTTTCAACTTGAAGTCAAGATCTGCTTTCCCTTTGAATATTAATACACGATAGCAGATGCGCTGAATATGATGGCTTCTACTGCTTTTATGGATGATTGTTTGGGGTTAATTAGTTCACATTTATTACAAACTTCATTGTTACCCTCATCTGAATGAGCACTAAAAGCTTAACTAAAATGCAGATACCTTCGTATCTTGAAGACCAAGATGCGAGATCGTCATTACATGAATTAACCAACCACGTTTAAACCCCCTTTGAAAATGCCTCCACTCTAAAATGCCAATTTTTAAATAGAATATTGTATTCTACGATAAATCACGTTACTAACGAAAAATGAAAGTCTTGAATAAATGAAGCATCTTCACAATGTTTTCTTTGTCAACATCGATTTGCAGAATATGTTGTTTCTCAGACTGAATTTGTAAAAATGACAATGAAGCTAAATCACCCGCTCTCATTTAAGCCTCCACTCTCGAATTAACCTCAATCCAAAAGTATTTCAAATCTCTGGAAGTAATTCGAGGATTTACAGTATTTGCAGCTTTTAATCTGTTATAGTTGCTAATTGTCTATCTATTTCTTTGTTTTCCTGTAATTTGGAAACTTAATACACTTGTTTCTGGTATTACAGGGACTCGTTGATATCAACACTGATGTTAGAACTCTGGCTGAGAAGGCTAGAAACAAATTACTGCAACCTAATGAATTTGTGGTATGCGTCATTTAGTTTCTGATTCATATCCTTAATTTCTATCCACCAATTCTTGCTACTTGTCTTGCTATATGCCACAAAATATCATAATTTAGCCCACTGATATGCAGTCCAACTTTGATGGAAGGATCTGTCTCACATGTGACCACCTTTTGTCGTTCCTTTTAATAAATTTTATACGACAAACTATTGCTATGATATCACTGTCGTTTCGTATAAATAATGGTATGTACATCAATGCTTTTCGCGGCATAGAATTATATTTTAATTTAAATTTTTGGCTAAGTGCGAGCATCAAAGATTAATGCTCGTTTTACAAAATCTGATTTCAGTGAAATTATCAGTTTTAGTATTTTTTCGTTTGATTGAAGGATAATATGCACAGTTTTTGAATGAAGCAAGTCATCTGTGCTTGCTTTAGCCATTCAGGTGTAGTAAGGAGGCGTAACAAGGTTTATTGCCCCTTCTAGTATCGTATCTTTACCAACTATCGTTTCCCATTCTTGTTTTCAAGGGTGGCACGTTTACTATCTCTAATCTCGGAATGTATGGAGTAAAGAATTTCTCTGCAGTTATAAACCCTCCCCAGGTACGTATTATGGTACACATCGTGTATTAAAGTTTTCAAATGCTTGTTCCATTGAGGTTTGTTATAAGAAATGATTCCTTTTCCGGGTTGCACTTACCAGATTAGTAGTCTTGGCCATTGTGCAAAAGAACTGTAAATAGGCCTACTATTCTAGCTGCACATAGTTTGTTTTATTATGAGAATTTGTCTCTCTGTTCCGGGTAGGAGAGCGTAAAGCACTCGTGAACTTTCAAGTGCGTTTTGTTTTTCTCTTTAAAATTTCGGGATGAATCGTGTTAGCAACAGAGCGTTCAAATATTCGGATGTAACTTTGCTGGTTTGTGGTGAATGGCAAAACAATTATCAGTTATAGATGTATTGATAAGGGCTACTATGCTACATAATACTCTGTAAAACGAGAATCTTTGAAGATATTTCACGTACTCATGCTGCAAAATGCCATTCAAAAGTATTGTTAAAATGTTATAGCACTTGTGATACTCAAGATGGCAAATAGAACTGATTATAACATGAAAAGTTAAAGAAAAATGAATTGCTACTCAGAGTTATGGGCAAGAAGTTATGATGTCACGCCTTTAGTGTGGTCATGTCAGCTGCCATTACTGATCCTTTATTGAGCTTTATTTTGTTTTTCCGATGAGCTATAAGGACTTCTCAATTTCCAAAGATCTGCAATGTTTTAGCTGTATTTATTTACATAGCCCATGTTAGACCTAATCTAACAACATTTGGATCCAAAAGTCTTATGTCAATCGGGCCACAGATCTGGAATGGCCTACCCAACGATCTGAAATCCGAAGAAAATTTAAAAAGTTTTAAGAATCTAATAAAACAATGGGACGGACCGATTTGCAAATGTATTGCCTGTCAGCTTCTGCCAGTAAATGCAAATTAATCTTTAACTTAATATCTATAATTACTTTAATGTACTAATTGATAGCTATGCTCGATTTTGATTAGTTAACATTGTATATTTATGAATATATTGCTAGCTATTGTTTTTATATCGAATTAAAATAAATTTCCAACAACAACAACATAGCCAGGTCTTAGCTGTATTGCCGTTTTTTTTATCTAAGCGTTTTGCAATGTACTACCTCCGTTTTGCTTGCATTTCTATCTAGAGCTGCATTCTTGCTGTTGGTACAACAGAGAAAGCTTTGATTCCTGATGAAAGTGACGAGAAAGGGTATTGTATAATTTATCTTTTGTTTTCATGATTATATTGATATTCGATGCTTTCCTTGAAATCTTTTTCGGGTCTGATTGAAACCTCGTTTAAATATGCTTACTTTTTGTCAGCTATAAACAAACCTCGCTTCTGGTATATAAAACAGGACGGTTTTAAGTTGCTACTGCGTGTTTCACTCTTAATATTTTTTCCTTGTAACTTTACTACCGGAATTACTTTCCTTTGCCTGGAGGCTAATAGACATTGAAAACAGAACTAGAAGTCTGGACAAAGTTATTTTTCTGTTGTTTTGGCATGACCGTTTGTAGGAGATAACTGTTGTTTAGATTATCTGTATTGGAAAGTTTTGTTTCTTCAATTTCAACCAAAAATATCGGGCCTTCACTTTCCTCAACCTGGTATTTTGTCCGTTTTCCCCTTTGATTATGAAATATGTCATAGACATCTTTAGTTGTTCGTTAGATATATTTTACATTTGATGTTTCTCTTCTGTTTAACAAGCCATCAAGAAAAAGTTGATCAAAAAAGTCTGGAAATTCCTCTCCCTTTTTCAAGTCATGAATATTTAACAAAACAATTTATGAAAATTTACAAAGAAATTACAATTTTCATTCGCTCTGTTTAAGACCACTAAAACTAGTTTTCTAGCTTTCTTGGTTTTTTTTAAATTGTTACAGTACAGTCTTGTTTTTTTGCTTTTATTAATGCTAAATTTTCATATTTTTTTGGTAGGTACAAGGTAGCGAACATGATGAGTGTTACGTTGAGCTGCGATCACCGAGTGGTTGATGGCGCTGTCGGGGCGCAATGGTTGCAGCACTTTAAAAGCTATTTAGAAAAACCATCGACAATGTTATTATAATTCAAATGTTTTATCGACTATTCGTAGGCAACAACTGCATGATAAATCAAAAGTAAAACAAAAATTCCTATTTCCCTTTTCACTCTAATGAAATAAAGTATAAATTGTGACTAATTTGCCTTTTAGAGACATAAGATTCCACTCTGATTACTTAAACCTTCCGTAAGATATGGAAATAATATATCTTCTGCAAGTCTAAAGGCGACATCTTGAGCACCAAGCACCAATGTTAGCTACAAATTAAATAGCTGGAATTTCGCACTGTCAAAGTTTATTCTTCTAAAAGAGATAAAATGTTGCTTAAATTGTTTGCTAAGAAAAAATGCATTTTATTTTATCATGTATATTTGATCTGGAATCTTAAGGTCTTTTGCCCCTCAAAGCGTGAAATGTTTATGTAATCTTAAGCTCAGTTCAAAGTTACTAACTGGCTGTCAAATTTTTTTTTAGTGTTCCAGTGTTGTAATTGCAAACTGATTTGTATGTCTGTTATGAATATTTGAAAATTGTTTTCCAAAACATAATGTTGACTCTTTCTACAATACCTCTCAATGTTGTAATGGATAACCCCTTTTTTAAAGGCTCTTGACCAACCGCCATGCTTAACGTTATGCTTGTCTTGAGAAATGTTTCGATATTAGACCGGTTCTATGAATTAAAGTCGCAAAGCGTTCCGCTTGCGCAAGACCCTTCAATGTAGGATAAACTGTTTTTTCCTATTCTTTTGGGAACTTTCCAAGTTCATACTTAAAAAAAAGATATGATTTAATAAAATTTGCAGGATTTAAGTATTAATTACAACTTGATTTTTGAAACACCAGCACTTTATATTCGGGTTTACATCATTAGGGCAGACTCGGACTGTTATAAATAATGATCGAGAATCCGATTTCTTCCATTGGAGTCTCTTACCCACGTATCAGTCAGAATTTTTCCCGGTTCCGCATGTCTTTAGTTGCAACATTTTGCAAGGAAAAGTAGAAAAGTAGAAATCAGCGGAAACATTATGAAAACGAATGCCAATTTTACCCATAAAGGTCTTCGAAGTCTGCATAAAAACTGTTTCAGCACAGACCTGCAAAAAATATTATCTTTTCTGGGAACCTGGGAAACGGGACAAAAATGTCTCTGTGAATTGAAAGTATTGTGTACTATAGCTCTCGCAATAGTGCCCACAAATTTTTAAAGAAGGGCTTCTTATTTGTTGGGTCTAGAGAAAATTTCCAACAAGATATCGTGACTTGGTTATTTATTACGTCTTTTTTGGCTTTGGCAAAGATTGAATACGCAAAATAAATAAAGTGATTTGTGAACCAAATGGGGATGTGTTTATTTATTGGCAGAACATTTTACCAAAATTAAAAACGCCCCACAATTGCCTGGTGCTTAGGAAAGTTAATAGATGCTAGCTTTAGGGAAGATGAGTCTAGTAACCTGTTTGTACTTATCAGCCAGCCTTTTTAGCCTTTCATTTTATGTGGTGGGTACACATGTCACTATGATATCTTAAATTAATAAATTGTGACTTCTCAATATTCAAAGAACAAATATGATCTGAAAGAACATGAAGATGTAATTCAATACCAATCAAAAACTTTGCGTCAAGAACTCAATCAATACTCGACACTTTGCCAAGTTTATCAAAACCTCAATCAAGACTGAAGTCAAGTATTGTATTGCTGGCAGGCAGAAAACTTAGAATGCATGTAGTTTTCATAGCTTTTGATCTTTAAAGATAAAGAGCATTGCCTGAGGCAACCAAAACGACCAAAACACATGAATTGCTTCGGGGAAACCAGCATTTCATGAAGTGCGAACATTAACAGAAGATAAAATAATAAAGAAAATATTCTGGGCTTGATTTATTTGAATCGCCATTAGCAATCTGTCAAATAGAGTAAAAATAAAGTACCCAAATGCGATGTTATCAATACCTATAGGTAGAATTTTTTATTTTCGACCAATCTTTTTGAAAGAACAATCTAACTTTTGATTCTAAAGACAACCAGACATTATCCCTAAGAGCAACAAAGACTTTTTGAGCACAAAATCACTTAATTCTGTTGCAGATTTACTAGATCTAGCTAGATGAAAGAATTATGCTTTGCTAATGGATCAGTGTTACATTTAAGAACGAAGCCCAAATTCTAAACTCAGTCAAAGACCGAGATACAACTTTTTGTTTGGGGGCAAGCCCTGATCAATTAGTGAAAAACAGCCATATTTTTCACATTAAAAGTATTTCAATTATAACACTTAGTTTTTTGTGGGGCCAAGGCCTCCCTGCCCCCGGTATCTCGGTCCTTGAACTCGGTTATACAAATTTATGTGACGTCATACCTTTGGAAATGACCAGTTAGCTCTGCGTAGGCACAACAAAATTGAGTGTAGCTGTGTAGGAGCATAGCACTTCCACTGCCATGTTTTCGTTGAAATAAGAAGAAGAGTCGCTGTCAGCATGGATCTTTTTGTTTTCAATAAAGTAAGATCCATCCTTCTTCAGGAAACAAATACATTCCACTACAGGGAAAAAGTTAGCTGAATTCTGTTTGTTTGTAGAATCATCACAGATTTTTGGAAGTGACTTCAACATGCATGCACAAAGATTTGGGCCTATTCTCGTGACTTTCTTGTTGATACTTGTTTATGGAAGTGGTTCATTGTTTGTGACAGGTCTTACCTTCGTCTTTATCGCAATCGTTGCCACATTCATATGTTTTGTTTTTAAGATTCAACTTGATTTTGAATTCCTGTTTTCACTGATCGAAAAATTCCAAGCGACTTCTAACAGAGGAATTGGAAATGATAATATAAATGGACGCAAGAAGGGTAGCTTATTCCAGCCTTTGAAAGTTTCAACTGGATCTTTCAAGGATTTGCCTAGGCCTATTGCTAGAAAACTAAAACTTATTATCGATGGAGTAATGAATGAATTTGTAGAATCCTGGTATATTGAGGTTTGTCCAGAAGACAGAGATTTTGTTGATGAGACAAGAAGGGCTCTGGAGCAAATAGCTGTAGAGGGGTACAAGAGGATTTGCCGTGTAGACACACATTCGACAGCAGTTAGTTTGATTAATCTTCTTACTTCGCATTTGAAGATATTTAATGATTGCAGAGATGTAGTGAATAGCAAATACCCTGGAATAAATGCAAGTGACTTTGAAAAATGCGTTACTGAATTATATGAGACACGGATTACCCAACACGTTTCATCTAAAAGTCAAGGTGCAATGATAGACTTTTTAAAAAGAATAACAGACATTTTGCTTTATGTGCTGCTACCTAAAAACAGCTTCTCATGTGAAGGGGGTAGATTCATGTTAAGAGAAATCTTGGCAATACAAGGCCTAAAAAGATTGGTTGATTTGCTTTCTGATCCACATTTTGTAAATAAAGCCTTGATTGATATTTTTGAGGATCCGGTTCCAATAGAGCAGATTTTGCAAAATTGGAAAGATGAATTAGAAAAAGACCTTGTTTTAGAAGATGAACTGGATGAAATTGAAGATTCAGAGAATAAAGGCGATAGTGATGTGTATGAAAGTGCAACGGAAGGGAGAAAAATGGAAGCTGTGAAAGAAAAGAGAAGTGCATCAAAATGGACAAAACAGTCATCGTTTTCATCAATTGATCAAACACAAGAGATTTCAGATAATTTTGAGTCAAAATTTGCTACTCCAAGACATTCAACAACAGAATGGTCATCAGAAGATGAATCATTTGAAGCCTTTGGTCGTGTCTTGAGACAAAATCAACTTGAAGCAAGATCATCAGCACCTGTTTATGGCTCCATGATGGTCAAACTTCATGAAGAAAGTGACAGGAAGAAAGTGCCAAATTTAGACTATCCTATACAAGGAGCAAAATATGGATCAATTCCAAATTATACCCAAGGTACGAGTGAACATTTAGTTGAACCAGTTAAATTCAGAAGCTCTTCTGCACCAATGGATTCAAACTCAAAAAATCAACAAGTTGTTGATTTATCAGTTAATGAACTTGAAAGGTTTAGTAATAATGCCAGAGGTTTAAATGACAGAGAAATTCTTACCTTTGCAGAGCATAATACTAAAAGTAAGGTTGTACAAATTGGAGAAAATGGTGAAGATGAGGCTTGGAGTGAATGTCCTCCACCAGGATCTAGTTACTATCGCAAAGTAAGTTATAAACAAATGAACAAAAGCCAAGATTTGTTTAAAGAACAAGTAAAAGCAAAGCTGCATGCCATAGGGAGCAATGTTTCTCCATCTTGCTTAACATCTGGAAGAAGCAGAACAATCATGCAAAGACATAGTAGTTTACCAGAATTGACTCATTCTTTTGAAGGAAGTGTTGCCTTTAGCCTTCCTGAAAATCATGATTACTTAGAAATTAAAGCTTCAATTGATAAAGATATTGATATTGTGAAAGACCAATTTGAAACAAATGAAGATAATAAGGAAGAATTTGTAAAGATTCATTCTGTTCCTGAGAGGAATGTATTTTATGAGGTTGCTCCAGATTGCCCTACTTGCATTGAAATGACAGCACTTGCTAATCCATTAGAAAATGGTAAAGCGGTGTTAACCATTGACCCAAAGTCAACACCCGAAAAAGTTGTTGATCATGAATGTGGCTTGTCATGTGGCCATTTTTACCATCCAGAAGTAGATGATGAGGAAGTGGTAAACAATGACAGTGATGTTGAATCATTTGTTTCTTGTGAAAGTGATAGTCTCACAGATTTAGATGATTCAGTTGCAAGTATAGCCAGTGAAAGTACACTTTTAGCTTCCAGTGAGAGCATGGGTAATGGTAATGATGATGCTGCTTTTCAAAGTTTGAGAAGGCTTAAGTTGAAAATAGATACAAAAAGCACAAGTGTTGAGAGCTTTGATATTGTCTCTATGAAGGGAAGTGACTCTGAATTTTCTTCTGCAAATGACTTTGATCAAAGTAGCTCAACACAATGTCTTGATGATATGAAATACGACTTAACTGAAGAATCTGATACAAAAGAGCATAGAAATCGGTTGGAAAAAGCCCCATCAATTACAACCTTTGCAAGTGCTTTTGATTTGAGTTCTGGTGAGCCAACTAACGCACAACACTTCAAGACCCCATTTAAAAGTGAATCTGCACCTAAGTTGTCAGCAAAGGATTTTAAAAGCAGGACTCGGTCACCTCCAAAAAAGTATATGACTCTAAAACCAGGAATGCCAGCTAAATTTCTAAAGTCTTTGAAAGAATTGAGACTGAGAAGAATCATGGCAAAAGAAGAGATAATTGACAGCTCTGATGATGAAAGAGGGAATAGTGTACCTGACCTTACTGAAAAAAAGACTCATCATCCCCTTTCTCGTGATAAAAAGAAAAGATTGTTTTTGGAAAAGTTTAAGTTCCAGGGAAAGAAGATTCAAAGTGTTAATGATAATGGTAATGAAAGTGAAGCCCGCCTAAGAGAATTTCAAAGCTCGTTTTCAGGTAGAACTATGTTTGTTTTTATTTGATTATTTTGTTTTGAATTCACTACTTTTTCTTTGTAGTTGTACTACACATAGATTTTTTTGAGAATTGAACAAGCTTTTTCCATATAAAAACAAGGTCATATAATGAAGTAATTTCTTTCATTTGTGTCATATCAAGTGTAGATAAAGAAATGCCTGCAATGCAAAGACAGATAGATGTGGGCTACTAGTAACTTTTCAGCCATTGTGCAGTTTTTTAGACACTCTTTAGTCTGATAATGAAATTTTTTTTCTTTATTTTCACTCAGTATGAATATGTCTGTTGTCGAATTACAGACATTCAGTAATAAGAAATCATTTGCAAATAACAAAGAATGAATTTCCAAAAAGGGTTTTGAAACCAATAAGTTATAATGTTTCTTTTAGGTACAACAGACAGTGATGAGAGTCTTTTGCAGCACGTTATACAAACACCAAGCAATGTATTACCTTATGAAAATCTTGTTAAAGAATGGAACGAGGAAGCTATGAAAATTGAAATCAATGCAGCAGATGAAGTTGCAGATGAAATCAGTGAAGATATTGATCCTAATGATTGTTTTATGGATGCTCATTCAATATTCAATGAAAGGTTTGATGACTCACTATCTATTGTTGCTGAATCTCTGGATAGTCAAGATGGTTCAAAGCTAGGGGATGATATATCAGTAGTTGCGGAACCTTCAATAGTATCAAAAATCAAGCCTGGAGGGGTGATAGCAGTTTATGAAGGAGAAGTGATTCTTCCCCACCCAAGCAAGATGTTTGTCTCTGCATGGATGTACCCAATGCAGATGATATCCATTCCCACCACTGAAGTTGCTTTTGAGAAAGGATGGGAGCCTGGAGGAAATAAATACACACTTTACAGTATTCATGTAAGCAAAAGTTGCCATTAATATTAAGTTTTCTAGTAGGCCTTTTATGAAAAATCTTATTCATGTTTTTGGTACTGCAAAATTGGCAGATGGCTCAAAAGCAGCGTGAAAAGGAAGAAAGACACATTTGATTTGTTCTTTTGTTCTTATCAATAAGCAACTGCTAACCTCTCACCATATTTCCACTTTTTCATGCCATCTTCGAATAATCATATTGTGAATGGGGACATAGTCTAATTTGGCACCTGGTAACACTTTTTACAGTGTTTTTTCGACTTAAGAGGTTCGTAAGATCTTAGTTCCCTCTCTTTGGTTATATCTCAGTTCCCGCTAACAGGAATAATTCTTGATAGTGAAAACGCTTGTTTAAAATGCATATGGCTGTTTATTCAATTCAAGTATGTTTTTACAAAGTAGCAAGAGAAAATAAACTTACCAAATCATTGTGATGGCTCAAAACATGCATCCTTTCTTTCTACAAGTCAGTTTCCAAACAAATCCAATGTAAAATTATAAATGACAGTCTCCAATAAAGTCCCAATGCATTGGACTAGCATTGGGACTTTATTGGGACTTATGACACAATATTGCAAGCTTTTTAAGCTATTTGATAAGCTATATTTTCATGTCTTCCTAATGGCATTTTTTGTGATAAAATAACGAAATTGCCTTGTCAACATTCTCTTAAAATATTTTCGTTTATTCTTTTAATTGTAAATTAGGCAAGACTATTTTTATGTAGCAAATCAGGTTTAGATGTCTTGTGATTTCATGTTCTAATGTGAGCCATGCTGCATCCAAAAGAATGCTGTTAGTAATTCTGTATTTGTGATTCACTCTTTAGTATGATATCAGAATTTGGCCTGAAATTTATCAAGTACAGATGATAGAAGCATCCCAGAAATCATCAGAAAATGAAGATTCCAAAGATGGTATCCCCATTATCCGGGAAATAAAGAGGAGATACCGCGAGTTTATGTACCTTCACAATCGATTAACTCACAGTCACATGTCGGCCTATATGAAAGGGGTGCTCAAGCCTAATCGACGGTATGGCATGCCTTTTGGGAGAATGGACCCAGATGTCATTGCAGGAAGAAGAAAGATCTTGGAAGCCTATCTTGTGGTACTTAAAGAACTTATTTTCTTTGTCTTTTATCATTTTTATTTGTTACTTCTTAGCTTGACTTTCCTCACTCTTAGTGAAAGTTTAATCACTGCTGAAACTCAAACCCAAAACTGTCTGCTGTACTGGTCTGTAGTCGGCGAGCATAATCACTGAGCCAACCTCACACTATAGTGTTTGATAAATTAAACGTCTGCTAGATACAATACTCATTGAACGTTGGTAGTTTACATGTTCACTAAATGCCCTAAAAATATTCGCCAATCCTTTAACAGCTTTCACAAAATAAGGTTTAATGCTAGTCTTAGCTTCTCTTAATTGTATCGATGACTGGGAAATCCTAACACATTTCTTTACCAACTATTAAGATTTATCATACGTTTGTGAATGCTTTTTGTTTTCTAGTGCTTTCAGGATATTGAATCATAAATTCTGCCTTGTTTTTTTTACCTACAGAGCCTTGTCAGCAGACCTGAAGTGTGCAACAGTCGCGAGTTTAAAGAATTTCTCGGCGCAGAAGGATATGGAGTTGCTTCCTTTCTGAAACATAAAGAGGTTCAACCGAAGCAGGTAAATTTCCTTGTGTCGATAGTAAATTTTCAATTTCTAGTCCATATCTGTTTGGCTCAGATATTTTTCCTTTGAAAAGAGGTACCCATTGTCTAGATGTAACTTCTACAAGGCTTTCACTGTAACCGGGTAGTACTCGGGCTTTTGTCTGTTGTTTGGGGATGTCTGTTATGTAGAAATTCCTTCAAACTCAAATAGCTTTGTTGATATAAACTCTTTATTTTTCAGATGGTGAATAAAATGATGGGTAGCATGAAAAACCCTTTTCCAGGTATGATCTCGATACTCCTCTTGTGTTCTTGTATCTTTTTTTTGGGTGCTGTCTACCCTATATTGTAACAGTAGAAATGTTTTGTAGTCAAGTGGACATGAATCATTGTATTTGTTCCCCATGCTTGTAAGCTTTTTTCTTTGGGATTGAAAGGGCCTTCTTTTTGTTGTAGGGTCCAAGGATGTAGCAGGATTGGGAGAGAGCTCGCAGTATTTCATTCACGGATATGATGTTCCTAGAATGTTTGGCTATGCCGAAGCTAGTTCACTAGTAAGTGCAATATTTTGTCTTATTATCTATGAGACAGCACAACACGAATCGATTACGCATTCATTTAAGACGAGGAACATTTTCAAAAATGTGTTTCTGGGTGGGAGACTTCCAATGAAGAAACCAGAGCTTACATTAAAAACTATTTTGAACTATTTAAATAAACATGGATAGAAAATTTCTATCAAAGATGTACAATTTTTTTCTTTCACTACTGAATCTACGCTGGCAGATGTACACTTACTAAAAAGGAGGCTTTTTTGCGACATAGCTTTAAAGGAGAACTGACACGCAAAAATAACTTTGGCTTATTCGATGCAAAATTTGTCGCTGATTTCAAATCTGGAAAAAGTTTTCTTCTTAGATTCGCCGTTTTTCTGATATTTGCACTTTTATCCGTCAAATACGTCACAGCCAGGACTCGGGAATTTCCCGAAGCGGAAACAAGATTATCGCCAGGAGTTGTTAAAATTCTCGGTTGACGTCACAAGTGACATGTTAACAATGCCGTTGTAAAGGCTTTCACCGCAACGGTGAAAATACAAGTGAAGTTTCGTGTTTTATTGAAAAAAGTCCGCGGTGAAAAGACAAAAAATTGTCAGGCATTACATTTATAAGTATATAGAGGCTAGAAAATCCTAGCTACATGTCTGCTAAGACGCTTATATCCACATAAAATTTATTTTCATGCCATGATATCTTCGAACCAGCATGCTTTGAAACATTGAAAGAACCTCTAAGCTTGTGAAAAAAGGAGTCGACTTTGTTTGAAAACTGATACCGTTTCTTCAAAGTTTTTATTTTTACAATTACAAAAAAATCGCAACATGGGGGGTGGGGGTTGAAGCAGTAGCCAAAAGACAAACGAAATCTAGTGGAGACAGCGGTAAAAGCGATCCTGCAACCTGCTTTGGGTGCAGAAATATGAATTCAAGAAAAAACCTTGGTTGATGGGAGCTGCGAGTGTGACTAAATAATAATTTCACTGAACTTGATTATTGTATTTTAACAGAGGTTGAGATACTAGGGAATAACCTAGTCTTGCAAAAAGCCCATCCCCCACCCAAGTCAAAATTGCTTGCAAAAGAATATAATGCGCCAGTTGATATTCCTATGACAGCTAAACAGCATTTTCTTCGACTAAGAAATCAAGTTTTTGACTAAGAGCTAAGAGCCTATTTCGTAAATCCAGATCTTTCGACTGCCAGGTAACTTATCAGTTCCCGAAACCCTTCACGCCGGGTGAAAATGGCATAAAATCCGCACAAGTCGACTTTTAACCCGCCTTTACTATTCAATATCACTATACAGTTAACGCGTTTAAAACATTGAAAAACAATCATAGAATGTTACATTAATTAATAATGAATAACTTGCAGTTCCGTTTAGGGCATCATGGGCATTTTAGCCAATTTAGGCCATACAGACAAAGCAGTCTGGCCAAAGACGCCTCAATCTGAAATAAAATTCTAGTTTTACGATACCTGATCTCATTTAGATTGTAGCAATAGCATTATTTTTAATAGAAATTCCATATCAGTTTGTACTTCCAGTCTGTTCTTTGTTTACAATATCGTCACTGTTGAGCCATGGGACGACTGTCTGCCCAAGCGGCAGCGCTGGTTGGTAGCAAAAACTCAGACGGCTGAAATTCTCCATTTGTTTCGAAATCAGTGTAATAAAACTCCGATTCAGAGTCCCAAACTATTGAAAAAGTCAATTATGTGTCAAAAATGCAAAATTAGCTCCTTTCGCATGCACAAAATAAACATTTGTCCGCAGCATTTTGTTAAAGGTTTCTATAGAGAAACACAATACGTGCTGAGAACATGTCACTTGTGACGTCAAAGATGATCGTCCACTCGTGACGATTTTCGCCTCGAGTCTCAAGTTGTCGGAACAATTGTCGTTTCTCAACTTAAAACGCCTGTATTTCAAAAACGGTAACTGTGATTTAAAAAATTTTTTCGATCCTGGAATTTGCTTGTCACAAACTACCGTTTTAGCCAAACTTATTTTTGCGTGTCAGTTCTCCTTTAAAAATTCCCTTTCTGAAGAGGGCTTTTCCAAATGCCAAACTATTAGACCATTTCTTTTTCTGTGTTATGATTTTAGGATTTCACTGCATTTATTATGTAAATTTAATAAGACTATGTATACCACTGAATATCATGCATTTGCAATGCTTTAACTATAACTGATAGATTGCTTTGGCAATGCGTGACTAACGATTTGGACTCTTTCCTGCACAGACAACAGCAAATAGGCACTGGGGAGGTCACAGGCAGATTAAGAAGATACCTGCCTTAAAACCTCATGATACATTCCGTATAGGATTTTCACTGATTCCTAATATATAGGGCAATATACGAGACACGCCTTAACCTTTCTAATTAATTTTGGACCATTGATCCTTTGTATTAACTAGTTTTGTAGCCTTACCTCTCCTCATAAGTGATTTCATTTTTGTAGGTTCGTCATTCGTCTCCATGGTTCTCAAGTTTTATTGATGTTCACTTGCACAGAGACATGTTACCTGAGGGAGAGACAACTGACCAGAAAAGAATGAATGTTATGGGTACAATTGAGTTTTTCCAAAGGCCTAAGCTTATTGGGGCAGATTTTCAGGAGACAGCAAATCGAGACTCTTTGGGAATTTCACTTGATTTACTCGGCCCCAGATCACTGGGTGATGGCTCAGATTGTCCGGAACCCAGCCGAAACGAAAATGGACTGTTTGGTGAAAGTCCTGACAGAAGGTAATATTTCTGCAATCTAATTATTACTTTCCTTTAATTCACTCCTTTGTATTCAGCGTTAGTTCCCTGTCTTTCATTAGGTCGTGTCGGTTTTCTAGCATCTTTGCTAATTTTTAATAAAGAATTCTCTCCATTTAGCCATATTTTAGTTTTCGTGTTCATTCTAGTCGGAAAGTAGAAAAAGTTCTTGTTGGAAATATTATCGCGTAAAATCTGGCATCTTAACGATTTGTATCAAACTTGTAATGGTTTAGTCCTTTAACGGAATGTCTAATTTGAATTGCATTGCTATCAGAGAGATATCCGTTTGGAAAGTTGTGGGTTTGGCGAAATGTTTGTTATCGAATGGTCCGTTAACTGGGGACTTTTTGTTAATGCAAAGGTGTCTCTAAGTGGTATCCATTACTGAAAGTTTATTGTTGTCTTTTTTATGGATTAGAACTGCTTCATGAAACTCTTTTGATAATACTATGCCTAATTTGTTTTTTTAAGATTTTCTGTTGGCATTGCCTCCTTATTCACAAATGAGTTGGCTGCAAAGTCGAAAACTGAAACTCTATCGACACTGGATGCAAGAAAAGCTGCCGAAGACATACCATGGCCTCTTTCTGATGCAGTGATGTCGTTCTTGTGTCAAGCATTGAAGGGACATGACTGCTGGGTGACGTACGAAAATGTCCAGCAGGCTCTTCTCTATAGCCTTGGTAGTTTGTTGGAATGGTGGGTAACTCGTTATTGTCCATTCAAAGTCTACTTCATGTTTTGCAGCTATGATATATGATGGCTTAAATATGAATTTCTGCTTACTTTATGGGTGCTAGATCGTAGACTAGAATTAGCGAATTGCTATTTGCTCAGATCATTCGGTTTTTAAAACTTCCTTTGCTATGCGGTTTTAAGAATATCAAACTAATAAACAAATAAATTTTCAAATGTTCACACGAAATATCTCGATATGTTGCGTCACATACGATAGTTGATACCTCCTATCTGACTTTGCTGCTCCTAATCTCAGCGGTTTATCACTGAATAAATGCGCTGCCAGCGGGTCATAGAATTCCTGAATCCAGAATATACATACCTCGCAGTTATGTTTCACCCGGGTACTCAGTCAGGGTTGCCAGATGCTTGGAATGGTTGGCAGCCAAATATTTTACGCTTGGCTGCCAATTTCGGCCAGCCAAGCAAAGTATACGAAAAAGCTACATTTTGGCTAATTCTGTGGAGTGATAGTGCAATTAAATTTGGCTTTGTTTGTTTAAAATGCTCCAACTTGCATTCAATTTAAATTTTCTGTTATCTTCTACTTTGTTTCTTGCTTCATTAGATTTTTGGGGCTTTCAACATGCGGCCAAAATTCAACTTTTGCTTTTTCGGCCAAATCAATTTTTGCCGGTCAACAGCTTTGAAAAACGGCCAGAATTGTGAAATTTGGCCGTCAAAACATAGTCAGGTTTTTCTCATTTGTAATAGATAAATTAGTCAGAAGAAAACCTCTCAGCTGCATTTATGATCTTATATCTTTGTATTTTTCAATAAAGGCAAATTTCAAGAGCTATTGATGAGGTGGTTATCGAGGAACGTTGGATGAAATATCTGAATGATTTGTATCACGTGATTTGGGAAGATGGGAAACTGAAGGAGCCCCTCCCAGAACCCACGGAAGAGGAAAAGGAAGCTATTAAAGAAGAAGCGTTGCAGAAAATGCTGCGTTTTTTACCAGGTAAAGGAAAAACTCCCTGATATATTGTCATCTTTGACCCACGTACTCATCCAGACTGGCATTGTTTTGATCACTTGATGTCCCTTGCATTTAGCAGTCAGAGAGTCCCGATAGAAAAAATGTTTTCTATCTGCACAAAATTTTTTTCTTTCTTGCTTATTGTGATCTAAACCTTAGTAACCTTTTTCAAACTCTTGTCAGTGTCGGAGACAAAATTTTGAATATTGCTAAATTTTTTCAAACAATATTTTCAATGTACAATAATTATTACCCATTTACCTAGCTAACCCAAGTTTTGCATAACTTTTCAAAATGTGCATTAATTTGTCCAAAATGTTTATTTTTTGAACTTATTTTTATTTTTTTATCATATCGTTTTAGGTATAGTGTCAATGATTATAGGGGATAACCAATACAGCAAATGGGGTGAAGACCTGCTTCATGCATTACAGTACCAGAAGATAAACAGGTATGTGATACTTTCGAATGTAATGCCTACTTTTTTCAGCCTGCCTGTTGCGCTTGCAGAATTTTGACTTTTTTTTTTTGACTAGAACCCAAGCCCCTTTGAGAGTCAGATGTCCAGTGCGTTGCAAATCGTAGTTTTTTAGATGTAGCCCCTGGTGGTAATAAGTATCTCAATGATAGTGGGATTAGCAACTTCAAAATGATCTTATTGTACAGATACGTATGCACGAGTGTGCTCCTTTTTCTAAACATTGATTGGTGGTGCAAACAGTCTAATTTTACTTCTGCATGGGATAATGAAACGTCTGTTGTTATAATTCATTCACGACTTAATGAGTCAACCAACCTTATTCAGAAACTGATTTTTTAAATACACTCGATTGAACTATTGTTCATTATTTCGTTGAGTACTTTAAAACAAATTTGCAGTTATTATAAATGGACCAAAATATATTCTACACACTATTTTGTCACGTTTTCTATCAACAGTTGATGTAACAATAGCCAATATTCCTGAACTTTCAAACAGCAACGAAAACAATGTTTTAAGTTTTATACAGCTATCTACAGCTAATTGAGTTATGAGAACGAAAAATTTATAGGCTTGGATTTATAATTCTTATTTCCATCTTCAGGCATCTCCTGTATGCTGCGATTGATTTGGTAATGGGTGAGTTCATACCGGAACTTCAAAATGGGTTTCAAGATTATAAAGCTTCGTCCGCTCCATCAAAGTAAAAGCAACCAATTTTCGCTAATGCTGTCTTTACAAATTTGAAATCGAGGTCGGTGTCTAGCCTACCATAAATACTACAGAAGTGGCAGGTTAGCTTTGAACAAAATCGATTGAGGTTCTGAGTATAGCGTTAAAGTCAAGTTTAGTATAGTTTTTTGTGCTGATTTCAAATTACCTAACTCTACTTCGCAAACACAACTATCTAGGTGTAGAGATAACTTTTGAAAAGTGAACGATCACAAAAATGGAGAAAGAGTACCTTGATCTCCCCCATTTTATGCAGAGGCTGTATTGACCACAGTATCCTCAATTTTGGCCTTTCAACTGATAAATTTATATTATAATAATTAAATGTCATCATAAGAATAGCATTCAAAATGCAAAGGGGTGCAGTCATTATAAAGGGCCACATTGATCAGCACCATTTCATCACATTGGCCCTTTCGATTGATAAGTTACAGTTAACCAGATATTATTATTGTATAAGGTCTTACAGATGGCAATTGAATTGAGTAGCACTGCACTGTAAGGCTCCATGAAGAATAAGAGAGTCTTTGGAAAAAAAGGAGGGTATTATTGTTAATGGGATTGCACTTTTCTATGTTGTTCTAAACAGTAAAAGAAACACGTTCAAAATCCTTCTTTATTTCAACGCCCCTTTAATTGTAAATATTACGAATACACAGAATGCAAAAGTATTTCTATAATTTTGTTGATATGTAAGTGTGGAAATAATAATAATAAGGCTATATTAATAATCAGTACACACAATGTTACTGTAACGATATGAATGATATTCCTGTTCCCACTCAATTTTTTAATCTTATGGTGACTAAGTCCTAAATTAGAAAAAAAGATGTTAAATTAATTGCAGCTGAGCGGGATAAAGTTAGGATATTCTGTTAAAGTTTACATAATTTTTTGTGTACATTATTAAGAATCATTTGAATGTCTTTTTGATTTTACTGGCGACTGACTGTCCTTAATCAGTATACAACCTCTCTATTTCTTTTCGTACTATGAAAATGATAGTACCCTTCGTTTGTTTCAGGACAAATGACATGTTTAATTTAGTATCTACTTATTTTAGAAGGCGTGAATTCGTGTTGAAGTGTTGAAATAATTTAACTAAACAGCTATTATTCTGAAATTGTAATTTTTGGTGTCATTGCTAACATGCGAGAAATTCAGGTTCAAGTTTTAATTATTGATGTAAATAGAAAATTTGTAGAAAATGCTAACATTGAATTGAAGATCGTTTTGTACACATTTAAAATCGTTTATTGCCGCAAATGAACTTGGCGTTTCCTTAGAAGTAACATCAGTTGTCTTTCATGTTCCAATTCTCTACGAAACTACTCGGAAACTTCTACTTTCAAATGGATGTTTTTTGTCTATACATGGTGCATAGGGGAGGGGTGTACACTCGAATACCTTTGTTTTAAGGGAGGTCCCGTAAGCATCTCCCGACCAAGGATCAGGACGTCAATGAAAGGAATATGTTTTCCCCCTTGTGATAATTTTAGCGGTCCACATAACCAAGAATTTTGGAGTGAAAAATTTAATTTTTTAATTCATGCCGTTTTTTGACCTCCAAATTTGAGTACGCGTTTTCGTTATTTACTCTTCTAATATAGAAAAGTATCATTGTTTGTTTTAAACTTTAAATTTTTTGAAAGAATGGTTGAAAATCAGGTGATCCTGAAATCGATTAGAAACTTTCTGTAAATAGCAAAGTACGATTTCTGGATCACGGGAAAACATCTGATGACGTAACTGCTTATGATAACGAGGGTAGCCACCAGAGATTGCACCACCACACTGAAACTAAAAACAGATATAAGGGTTAATAGAAAGCTTTGACTTGGCCAGTTTAATACTTGAGTTTGGAATTCCAAGGGAACATACACAGATTTTAGTTTAAAGGTTAGTTTACATTGGTTGTTAGTTATTGCTATTATTATGTTCAGGAAAAAGTTGATGCATGCTTTTAAAAGCTTGTTTATTAGGCCAGAGCACCATCATTCGTAGACTGTTCAATTTGAAGGTTCGACTTTTGCAGTATTTGCCTAACAGAAACTGCATTTTGACAAAACGTCCTTTAAGTAGTTCTTTTCTTAAAAGAAATAAAAATTCGATAAGCAATCAATTTTTTTGTTAGAAGGTACAATGCAGCTTAGCTTCATAGGTCATTCTTTATAAACCAAAAGATTGATAATCTTCTAAAGCATGGTAATTATTTAGCCAGAAATATAACCGAGCTCATTCTTGATCACATATAAAATTGAGAAGGGTCATTTGAGTTGGCCGAAATTATTTAGTCCTTGAGGTCAATGAAAATTATACATCAATTTTGCCAACCTAATTGCGTTAAGAAGCTGCATTCAGATAATACAAATCGGAAGTTTGAAAGAAATAAATTCCTACAGATCAAACTTGGGGATCTCAAATAATCTTGTTCTGTTATCTAGAAGATCTGGGATCCAGTCTGACTCTTAATGATCATGATTAATATCTTAGTAATTCTGAAAATCAAGATTATAGATAGTTCTTACAAAAAATATTCATAATGGATACAGCATATGTCCATTAAGGGCTAAATTTGTCATGTTCCTTTATTCATACAAATTTCTTTTATTTTACAGGTATTTATACATAGAAATTTTATAAAATAAAAAATGGCTTTAGCTGAAACAGATAAGACAAAATCTCACATATCATCATGCCCTTGGGGCAATCTTCCAAAACAAAATACAGAACCATCTTCATTTTCATCACTAATGGATGAAGAATATGCCAAGCAAATGCAGGCAGAAGAAGAAACTTCAAGCAAAAACACTACTGAAGGAAGTTTCAAAGCAGATTTATTTAGTGAAGGTAATTATGGAGATTTTGTATTTCTAGAAAGTACAGATCTTCTCTGTCATATTTACCATATCAAAAATTTATCATAAGGTAATTACAGATTGATTTACAGTGTTTGGGCTGGGTTTCTGGAAGAGAGGTTGGGCGGAAAGGATCCTGGTGTCTATTATGGTGTATCATGGCATATAAAAAGAATATTTCAGAAATCATGTGCCAGAGTTAATCTCCTTTAGGACAATCACAGCTCATAAGGAAGCTCATAACAGAAGGCTAAACATTTTGTACTTTAGCACAAGTACCTTTGAAGAAATAAACCAAAAAGTATGGCCATTATTGCCATACTGTTTATATTTCTTCCTCCAATGCACTTTACTTTTTAATTTATTTCTTGTTAGTAGGGATGTACCGGATATCCGGTAGGCCGGATAATCCGGCGCCGGAACACTGATTTTTTGAAAATCTGTTTCCGGCCGTATTTGTTTGCAAAATCCGGCGAGTTGCTGGATTTTCCAAAACTTAACAAGATCAACGATAAAACAAGTACCTTGAAAAGGGAGTTGAAATGAAAGTGCTTGTCATCACGAAACAGGAAGACTGGATGATATAATTCACAAATTTGGTCCAGGGTTGCCAGATTGGCTTTATAGGCCAAGTTTTTCATTTTTGATTTATTGGATTTAGATTGCCTGGAAAAATTGTTTTTTGATTGCTAATTAAATTTGACCTTGTTGGCCTTTTCAGCAGAACGTCTAAAATTAATGAGTAATTACTAAATTCATGGAATAATTAGTAGTTAACTACAAAGTGTTAACCAAATTTCAAATTTTATCACCTAACCTAAATATTATCTTGATATCAGCAAAAGGTTTTGGAAAAAAGTAAGATTCTTATCTAAGTTAAGAAATTATCTAACAGGCACAAGCGTAGAAATATAACCAGTGCCTGCTTGATGGATTCTTGAGAAAGTTTTTGACTTGGCCTTTTCATGAGCATTTTAGCTAAAATTGCTAACCAGTCTAGCCTTCGTTTGTAAATTCAATCTGGCAACTCGAATGGGTCTCTTTGATCTTCTCGCTATACATTTTTTCACAAAGGGGCTCAAAACTTTTTATTACTGAAAAATCCATAAATGGTCAGATTATCCGGTAAAATCCGGCCGGATATTCCACAAAAAAATCCGGTAAATCCGGTTCCGGCCGGATTCTGAAAATCCTGATTCGGTACACCCCTACTTGTTAGTTTGAAAAATATGGGTTTTAATGCTTGATGTGCTAATTCCTAAAGTCTCTTTCAAGGATTAAAGAAAATTCCCCTTAGCAACCCTTCAGCCATGGCCATAAAACATTTTCCAATGTTGTGATGAGTTTTTTGTATGTGTGGACGATATATTTTTTAGGTCTGTTGGATTCAAATGATGCTGGGAATGATCTTTTATTGGCCCAAATGCTGCAGCTTGAGTTTGATAAAGAATATGATGACTATGTTAAATGCCAGGAGAAGGTCTTCAACAAGAACAGTAATGGTATGTAAATCTTGGGATTTGTCAAATTTCATGCAATTAGATTCAAGGCTTTAGAAATGTTCAAGCTCTGAAGAAGTAACTTATAGGTTAAGCCCCGGCCAAATGAGCCAACATTTCACCCAACATTTCAGCCAACACGCTCTTTTCCCATGTTGGCTCAAATGTTGGGTTGTTTGGCCACCATGTTGGGTCATCCAACATTGTTGGGAAAGATGTTGGGTGAATTGTTGGATCGATTTAAAACTGGTCAAAAATGTTGGCGGCTGTTTGATGGTAATTAAAATAATCCCTATTGTTCAAGGTGCTGTTTGGCGTTGTTGGCTCGTTTGGCCGGGTTGCCCAACATTTGTTGGCTTCACGCAAGCGCTGTAAACAATTTCTAAATGTGAATAGCTCTGCGCACCAAGTTTGAGTTTGTAAAGCAGAGATCAAAATTGTAAGAAGAAAAAGTAGAATTGATTTGGATGACTGAAGAATATTGGATAATGGAAGAGTACAAAGAAAGAGATTTGGTGAGTAAAGATTAGTACGACGAGGCCGTAAAGGAGATGAATAGAGTTTTGGAGAAAAGAAAAGCGTTGCTTTCAAGATCAGGGATGGCAGGCTTAGGTCGTCTTAGACTCACTCCGGGTATCCCAAAAACGGTTGTGCTAAATTTAGGTGAATTGTTGGAATTGTTTGGCCAGCCTTCCTAACAACTCCCAACATTGTTGGCAAAGATGTTGGGTTAAATGTTGGGTGAAATGTTGGCTCGTTCGGCCAGGGCTTTAGAAAGGATTTAGAAAGGAATTGATAAAGATATATTTACTTTGAAAACCCCTCAATTTTCCTATACATGTGGTTAAGGCTGAAATACATAGTCCTTTTTTGCCTCCATTTTTACATGAAGGATGAGAAACAGGGATGGTGGTAAGCTGTTTCCATGTATCCTTAAAGTTTCATCCCTTTTTCCTTTTCATTCTTTTCATCATGGGTAGGCCAGCTAAGAAAGTAGCAGCTGCCTGTTTAATTCTGGCACTTATTGCCAAGTGGCAAAGAAGAAAGCTTGGTAAATAAAATAAATTTGGTGAAATAGTGGTTCCAGAGAAGAAGACAGTGAGAGGTTTCAGCAGCTTTGCTGAATGAATTTCGCTTGGAGGATTGTGTCAAATAGGAAAGGTTTTAATAATAGGCCTTGGAATTGTTGACATGCTTCTCAGACACGCACTGTGATGGAAGCACCACCTATCAAACTTGTGGTACTGTTCAATTCTGAACCAGACATCATGACTTAACATTAAGACATTTGAGACAAAAGGTTTAAAAGCACCTTGTCTAAAAGAAAAACTAAAACCGTATCCTTTTTTGCTGCAAAAGTTGAACACTCCAACTCGCATAGGTGAAGAAAGGGAAATAATAACTGATGGTCCTTTTTTCCAATTTAAACTCTCAGCTTTTTTATCCATTAGGCAAAAACAGACATATAAAAGGACCATGTATTTCAGCCTTTAGTTTAATTATAAAGTTTTTTTAAACATTGACATATTAAGCCACATAGTCTGCAAGCTCTCTGTTAGTTTTTGGCTCATAGCAGTGTTAGTTTTACTTCAATATAGCCATTTTTATCCCAATTTAATGGCTGTAGTGTAGTGTTGTTTTAATTGTATTGGAATTTCACAATGTTGGGATGTTGGTGTAAATTGTAATATGCACTGTGATGTTTTGTCTCAAATTGGAAAAGGTGTACTTCTATTTGCTCTGTTTTAAGGCAAAAACCATGATCCTCTGTTTTCAAAGGGTGTTTTTATAAAGCACTAGTATATCTTTTTAAAAGAAAAACAACTTTTTCAAGCTCTTAGATCTCAATGTCTATTATAGGAGTTGACAAATTGGACAAATGGATGATTTTCTTTTTACTTTGTTGCCAGAATAAATTGAATGGTTTGATAAGTTTAGAAGCATTATAATTTTGATACATAATTTTAGGTCCTACAGAATATATTTGGTATGGAAAAATTACTCCTTCATGTCTAAAATGAGATCAAACTATTTCAGTCCAAAAATGAAAATAATCTCAGGGAAGTGGTTTTTTAAGAGCAATTGCCCTTATGGATATCATCAGCAAAGAGCTAATAGCATGTCTTCAATAAATTGTTTAATTTCAACACCTCCCTCGTTTAGTATGCAACAAAATGGTAGAAACTAGCCAAAAATATTTGTGTGCTTGGGAATGGACTCTCAGTGCATACTTTGTAGTCTCAATCTAATTTAAGGTTGTGTCCTAAACGCAAGGAATTCGCTTGAATCAAAATTCGCTGAATTTTCAAAAATTTGGCTGATCCCTCCACAATGGGAAAAGTGATATCATCTTATTAAAACAACAGGCTTACCCCCTCCCAATATTTGATCAAGTGTCCACCCCTGCTTGGGTGGCACCTCTCCTTCTTCTTTCATCCTAAAGTTTTGAAATGATTATTTAATTTGTATCGTTTTAGGTTGATCTAGAAGTTTTACTGCTTTTTTATTTTGTAGTGAAGATATCTTATGAAAAGTATCGCTCACGTCACCCATATGAAGATGAATCATCTGAAAGCGGCCAAGATGATTATGATGATGATGATGATTACCCAAATCCATCAGGCATGTTTGATTTGGTATAATATCATTTTGCTCTGCAATTTTTGTCTGAATTATTCAGTATTCTATGATAGAGTGGCATGGTTTTTCCCTTTGTACAAAAGTTATAATGTAGATTTGTTTTCTTTATATCTTTTTTTAACAAATCCCCTGTACCACAAAATGTACATTCAAACATGTTAGGCAGGTTTTCTCTTAAAGGCAATGTGTCCAGCTAAAGCAAGCAATTCTGCGGGTGTTTTCAGAAACATATCATTTTTCATGTGATCGCCCCAGCCATTACGATTGTTCTGTTTATCTACAGTTTTAACTTTTTCATGTGAGCAATTTTGCATCGCAAGAATACTGAGCAATCACAAAGAGTTATTTGATGGATACGCAGTCCTTTTATATGGACACATTTCTTTTAAATCATACTTTTTGCTTAAGTTTAGTGAAAGTTAATCGATGAATTTTTAAGTTGATAAGATTTCAAATGATCAATCCCATTATAATGGCTCTTGAAGTATTCCAGCTCTGGCATTGAAAGGACAGTAAGACCAAAGGCATATCTACAAGTATGTTACCTGAGCGAAATGAATGGAAACCCACCTTACTCTTTATTTCTATAGACAACAAATCCATTCCTTTTTAAGTGTCATGTAAGTAAAATACTGAGCACCGACTGAACACTGAGGCATGTTGAAATTTATTTAACTTTAAACGCCAACCTTCTGACAAATTTTTATTGCTCTAATTTTGTTCGATATTTCATTCAAGCATTTTCCTTTCAGGATTTAAAAATAACCACACTGTCGACAGATTGAGCATATTCAGAACTATTTATTTATTTCATAGATGTCAAATTGAAACCCTTTATCTTTATTTCCAAGATCTTAAATTTAACAAAATATTTTTTTTTCTTCCTAGATGAAAGGACTGTGACAAAGAAACGCCCAGTTGGACCAGGTTCTGATATGGTCACAAAACATGATGCCATCGTATGTGGCCGGAAAAACGCAAAACATGTTGAGAACGTAGGTTTCTTATATATCTGGTGTAGCAATAATTTGTTTTCAATACTAACCTGATGCTTCAGCAAAAAGTCAAACGACTTAAGTCAATCTCGAATTAATTTATCTTTTGCTTTATCAATGAAAGCAGCATTTTGAACTTAACTGCCAATTTCAGTTTCCGCCAAACTTTGCCAGTGGGGATGTTGCTTCAAAAGACCTGGACATCAAATTACCCAACCATGTTTACAACACTCTTAAATTGCACTCAATGAAAGAGGAAAAACACAGTCATAAAGTGACAGAGAAAAAAGAGCATTCCACACATGTGAGTATTGTTAAGATTTTGTATCTTTATCCTGTATCTCGAATTGAAATCCCTAAGTTGGCGTCATAGGTGGCTTTTATTTGGATAGTAACTGTACCTTTTAAGATTTGTGAATGTTTTTGGAAATTGTCATAACTTTGCAGAATTTTTTTAATAAAGAACTAGTTTTTAAATTTTGTTTTCTTGTTTCTTGAAAGGAGCAAGCTTTGGATTCTAAAACTAGAATTATGCTGTACAAACTAGTTAACAGTGAAGTTTTGGATACAATTAATGGTTGCATCAGCACTGGCAAAGAAGCTGTTGTTTTCCATGCTAAAGGAGGGACGTGAGTGTATTTGCTAATGTTCTCTTTGTTCTTTTATGCAGTCAATATGTATTGTAGTGTGTGTTTTTCATTCAAAGCTAGACGCTTTATTACCAGTAAGGGAACTTAAGTAGTCTCTAGTTACACAAACGGAAATCAAGAACATAAGGGAGAATGCTTCAGATTAATCTAAGAAGCTTTTAGTATCTTATTAAAGACCTTTGTACTGGCATCCAAACGAAGTTTGACAAAGTCTATAAGTCTAATTTCTAAGTATTCAATATAAAGTCATAGTGTTTTTTAATAGAAGATGATAACAAGGTTTTGAAATGTAAAAAAATTCACAATCCTTTCACTTTGTTACGATCGACAACAAATCCATTCCTTTTTAGTGTAATGTTTAAAACTTAGCATCTAATGAAAACTGGGGCAAATTGTAATGTTTGAAATTTGATGAAAAATTGTAGTGTTTTGTCATGAAAGATAATACCAAGGTTTTGAAATGCAAAAATCGCCTATTTGGTTAAGCTTCGCGGTTTTAATGAAAATGCTTCACGCATATGTTTTGTTGGTCGCTCGTAGCTTGTGAAGTGTGACGTATTAAGCCATAAAAGCTTTGGACCAAACCAAAATATCAGCAAGTTTGCAATACCCATCATCGCTTCAATGGTATAAGTATTTTTAAGAAAAATGAAATTGATCGTTGCAAATTTGTTTTGTAATACAAGATTAAGATCAGGTATTTTTGCTCTGTAGAACGTTCTCCGTGTAAAAGAAACGTGCAGTAATTGTGTTGTTGTTAAGCTTTAACTGAGATTTTTATGGATGGAGAGTAGGAGAATAAAAGGAGAATAAAATAATAAGAAAACCGTTCTTGAGATGTAACTTTAACGTAACCATGGTCTTTAAAGGTTCGAGCACAACAAAGCAAATTATTTTCCTCTTTAAATGTATGTGCAAATATTTTGGCTTTTTTATTTCAGTTACGATGGTGAAGTTTTTCCTGACGAATGTGCTGTTAAAGTTTACAAAACAACGCTAATTGAATTCAAAACTAGAGACAAGTACATCAAAGACGACTTTCGATTTCGAGATCGGTTCAGCAAACAAAATCCAAGAAAAATTGTTCGTCTTTGGGCTGAAAAAGAAATGCGTAACTTAAAAAGGCAAGCATCATTATATAAGCTGATGACGTCATATTGAAGTTCGTGATGTTCAGTTGACTAAATTACATCATATGAATGTTGGTGATGTCCAATTGACTTTAATGATACTCTATTCTAGTTGATGATGTCATAATGATGTTGTTGACGCTGATGGCTTTTTTATCGGTCTTGACTGGGCTTATTCTTGTTAGGCATATGATGACGATTCCGCCTGGGTTCTTAGTTTCTGTTGTTAAAAGAAAATGTCTTTCTATACCAATGCAACTACCTAGAAATATTTATTATCTATTAACAATAAGCGACTAATCTTTGTCATTTTGATTCTTTTTGAAATATTAGCAATATTTAAGTCAAAGTTTTTTTCTTGACAACATTTTTTATCGCAGCTTCATTCTTATAACGTCTTTTCATATGTGATCGCTTCTTTTAGGATGTACGAGAATGGAATAAGCTGCCCAAAAGTTATGCTTCTGAGAAAACATATCCTTGTTATGAGCTTTGTTGGCCAAAACCAGAAGCCAGCGCCAAAATTAAAGGATGCCAAATTGTCAATTGTTGATCTAACCATCGCTTACGAACAATGCATCGAGGTTTGTTGATTAAAATACTGCAACAACAACAATGAAATCTGTATGATAGACATTTGTGAATCCGAATCTAATATCTGTTATGAAAAAGGATTTCTTGTCCAAAGGTCTCTTGCCACAAGTTTAAGGCCGTAAAAACACAAATTTTGAGACCTAAACTTTTTTTCGCTGTTTATTTTGAAAAAATGAAAGAATTTATGCTCATTCTTCAAGCATCTGTTTTATCTGAATTAAGTAAAAATATAACTGTTGATTGAAAGAGATCAAAAGATAAAATTGAAATCAACCAGATGCTAAACTCATAAATAGTTTTCTAGTCCTTTTTTCCTGTTTTAAATAATTCCCTTATAAACAACGTAATTTTCCCTTGCCTTATCTAACACAAAAGATTTATCATAGATGATGCAAAAAATGTTCAAAGAGTGCAATTTGGTCCACGCTGACTTGAGTGAATACAATATGCTTTGGCATGATGACAAACTATGGGTCATTGATGTCAGCCAATCAGTGGAGCCCACCCATCCACGTGCGTTGGAATTTCTGGTTAGAGACTGTACCAACGTGGTCAACTTTTTCACGAAGTCTGGTGTACATGGAGTCATGAGTGTGGAGAAACTGTTTAACTTTGTGTCGGGGTTGGAGATTTCTGGAGAAAAGGAAGATTTCCTTAATCAGGTTGGTGGGCAGTCTAAGATTATACTGGAATTTTATCAAAAAATGTTTAGTTGCCTGGTTTTATAGATTTTTTTACTGTATAGAATAGAGTACCCAACGTGTGCAGACTGATTCATAAAGATGCTTTTTTGGCATAATTTGTTAGCATATCTCTCTTTGACAACTAACAATTTCTAGTTTATACATGGATTTCAGTACCGATTATTGCTGTCAGACTATTTCTGTAGCAGAAACTTATATTGCCTCCATATAATTTCTTATGAGTAAGATTATTAATCTATTGCTGTTCTAGATACGTGACTTTGAGAACAACGAAGAACTTCTGACGCATGGAGTCACCGAAAACATGACAAACTTTGACTATCTTTTTGAACTAAGCAAAAGAGAAAATTCAGATGAGCAGACAGCAGACCATGCTTCCTCTGAAGATTCCTCATAACCAGAATTGTACACTAATTTCCAAAGTATATAATGTGTGATTTTTCTGAGTCGTTTACGTTAAACGTCGTTTGAAGTATCAAATATTGTTAATATTTGTTTTGTGTAAAAGTTGTAATCACTGCTTGTTTCAATTAATATAAGTGCTGTGTGATGTAAATTGAATTGTTGGATTATATTTAACCTCTATATGCTTAATGTCATCTTTATTATTAAATTTCCGCTGGTTATACGATTTCAAAAAGGGCCAGTTTCTCTACAGAGAATCGTCCCACCTTCCAGCCTGTGAGTTGAGCGGGAGATCTCACTCTGCCATAGAATCTTTTGTTTTTTACGTCTTGCGTTTATATGGAAAACAAGCTAGCCCGGTTAAGTGGGATCCCGCTGCATGGGAGGTGGGATCTCACTAAGGTGGGATGAATTTTTTGATATAAACGCTGGAAGGTGGGATGAAGCTGGAAGATGGGGTGAAATGTTCATATAAACGCGATCAAATTTCGTCCAACTTGTCAGCACACGTGCTGAAAGGTGCTAAGAGGCTAGATAGATTTGCTTATATCAACAGGCCCTAAGTCGAATGGGCTGCATGAATTCTCGGTTGTTTACCAGCAGTCAAGGGCTGCGAGATAGCTCTCAGATGAAATTTTATCGGGCCCTAGGGTGAATTCTGAGATTCGAGATACATTTAAGATACCACTAGGGGGTGTAAAGAAATGTTCCGACAGAGTCAGTTACCGTCTTATTCGGGGTACAACATTTAACTTGAATAAGGTAGAAACATCCAATGTGAATTGAAGATCAGTTCGACTTGGTGAAGTTCTGGGTTATCTTGGGTCCATCTTAACATGATTCAGCTGTACCTGCTTTATAGAAATAAATAGTAACAATGGCCCTGTGGAGCCCTGGCCCTAGAAATCTTCAGCAAACCAAGCCATCTTTCTGACGACTCTGTCGCCAAGATGCAATGTAAACAGATATTTTTTTCGATCTCAAACTGTAGAAAATCCGAAAAAAATGAAGCTATAACACCTTATTCAATTCTTTCATTTCTAATAAGACTCAAAATAAGCATTTATACAGGAAGACAAGGATAAGATATTGCGACATTACGACAAACACTTCATTCAAATATGTTCACTTTGATTGTCAATCCATTAGTTGAACACATACTCGCGTTCTCCATGAATACATCGTACTATAGTTTTCCGTCCATTGCTCTCAAAAACCTTCTCGCTTCCATCTTTTATAAGTCCTAGAAATGAAATTAAATATTTATGTAGTTCCAATTGAGAGAAGTTCAAAAAAATTTGTATAGTAAACTGAATAACTATATTTCTTAAAATGATAAGCTTGGCGTTTCGCCTTTTGACGACCTGGTCCTAATCTATTAAGCAAAACATCTTTCTTGTTGACTTTATTTCCTCAGAACTTACCACCCATATACTCGCAGTCAACACCTCTTTTTGACCTTTTAACAACGGACGTGTTCCCAGTTATATCATCTCTTCTTGCGTCGTTCTTGTCTCTATCATTTTTCCTTATGTCATCTCTACGTTCATCATCTCTTCTTGTGTCATCTCTACGTGCATCATCTCTTCTTGTGTCATCTCTACGTGCATCATCTCTTCTTGTGTCATCTCTACGTACATCATCTCTTCTTGTCTGAGCTCTACGTTTGTCGTCCCTTGCGTCATTCATACGCCGGTCATCCCTTCTCGCATCATCTCTTCTTGTGTCATCTCTACGTGCATCATCTCTTCTTGTGTCATCTCTACGTGCATCATCTCTACTTGTGTCATCTCTACGTGCATCATCTCTTCTTGTGTCATCTCTACGTTTATCGTCCCTTGCGTCATTCATACGCCGGTCATCCCTTCTCGCATCATCGTTGCGTATGTCATCACTTCTTGCGTCGTTCTTATTTCTATTCCTTATGTCATCTCTACGTGCATCATCTCTTCTTGTGTCATCTCTACGTGCATCATCTCTTCTTGTGTCATCTCTACGTATATCGTCCCTTGCGTCATTCATACGCCGGTCATCCCTTCTCGCATCATTGCTGCGTATGTCATCTCTACGTACATCATCTCTTCTTGTGTCATCTCTACGTATATCGTCCCTTGCGTCATTCATACGCCGGTCATCCCTTCTCGCATCATTGCTGCGTATGTCATCTCTACGTGCATCATCTCTTCTTGTGTCATCTCTACGTGCATCATCTCTTCTTGTGTCATCTCTACGTGCATCATCTCTTCTTGTGTCATCTCTACGTATATCGTCCCTTGCGTCATTCATACGCCGGTCATCCCTTCTCGCATCATTGCTGCGTATGTCATCTCTACGTACATCATCTCTTCTTGTCTGAGCTCTACGTTTGTCGTCCCTTGCGTCATTCATACGCCGGTCATCCCTTCTTGTATCATCTCTTTTTACGTCATCTATTCTTGCATCGTGCCCGTCGATGTCATCTCGTACTGCGTCCACCTTTTTCATATGTTTGCTTTTATCATCACTGAAGCGTCCTTCGTTCCTCCTCGTTTGCCCTATTCTTACACTGTCTTTTCTAGCATCGGCTGCAGAATCTGAGTTGATGTCGCTCTTTCTAGCTGTGTCAGACGAAGGGTTTCTGCTTTGGCAAATATATATATTGACGCATATCAAAGTGAGCAATGCAGCTTTAAACACCATCTTTTGCGGATTCGACGCACCTAATAATTTATAAAAAATCGGAATTAGCTTTTCTGTAGAGTGTAGACGTTTTGATTTCAGAAACACATGCACAGAAAGCACGAAGATTGCTTCACAAGAAGCGAATATCAACAACGAGAGGATCATATTGGCATCGATAAAACAGAATCAATGATAGTTTTTGCAATGTTTGGGCGAAAACAACTAAATGCTATGCGCTGTTACATCAAGTAGTATCAAGCTCAGTTTTCGAATAAGCAAACGCGAAGGTAAAATGTAAAAACATATACTCACATAGAAATGATGCGTACCAGCTGCCAGTCGAGAAGCAATGCTCAGCCAGCCTTGAGCTCTTTCTTATTTATATCATTCTGGAATATACCGGCATATTTAAAAATGCAAAGAAAATAGTTTTATTCAAATCATTCTTCTAAAGAAATCAGCCGTTTCAATAAATAATGATGATATTCTCTTTCGAATGAAGATGATATACTTGCCGATTTGGTATTTTGTTTAATTGTGATTATCAGCAACTTTTCCTGCATAGTTGAATATTGGAAAACAGGCTAACCAGTTCCCGCTGTCTGTGCGTTTTAAAGAAAAGGCAACAATGTATCAATTAGAACTCGCTAGAGAAAGTTCGATGTTGGCAGATGCTACATACAGCGATTAAAAACCGTTTGTTGACTCTTTTCTGTGTGTTCTCCTACAACCGCCTGTTTTTCGCCCAGAACACTTTGGTATGCTATCAGTAGTAACAGGGGGCTTGGTGTATTGAGGGTTTGTTATTGCGTTGCCCCGAAATTTTAGGCTTCAACCGTATTCTCCCGGAGTGTCTTGCCTTTTTTCGTCCCCCTTCTCTCCGGCATCGAATCTCGAAATCACTTTATGTCAACTTTCAAGTATTTTGTGTTTATGTTCTTAAGTATAGGCTTATTTTGGTCCTCAACGCAAATAATGAATCGATAAAACATTTAAGCATATCCTAAGGCTTCTTATGCTGTGACGTAAGTCATAGCTTTCTTTTCTCTCTTAAGGTCTTGTCACACGCAAGGGCAACTCCCTAAAAGCCTTAACTTCAAAATGAAAGGGCCATAAATAGAGTTTTTAAAGGGAGAGCCTCTTGTAAATCAACTCCAGGTCAGGCTGAAGGGCAACTCTCCTTAAATGAATTAAATATGAGAATGAATGAAAAAAATATAGTAGAATAAGTTTGGTTATCGGTTACTTGAAATGACAATGTTCCTTACAGAGAAGTTCACGAGCAATGGGAAATCCTGTAATATTGAACTTAACTTATGCGAATATTTAGGTATTAACTATTTTTTTCAAGAAATCATAACTAATTTGCGAAACATAAGGTTCCACTGTGTTCTTGCGTATATTTCAACACAGTTCAATTGTGAATAGCATTTTACTAGATGCGAATCTGCTGAAAATTCTCATCCACCTCAATCTTAATAACGTCAATCTTTTTGCGTGAAAACAATCAGTCCTCCAGGATTTTGTCCTGTATTCTCTTCTTAACTCACTGATTGTCCCTGAAAATTGAAAAGAACAAGCGCCAAATTATAAGATAGAATTCAGGGTCTATTATTCCCATAAATTATATTGTTTTACGAAGAGCGGGAGGCAAAGTCCCCTCCTCTCCCCCGTCGTCAGATGTCGTAGACGTATAATATAGCGCTCCAAAGGCGCGTGCCTATCAACTTTTGGAAAACATCTCTTTGGAAAACATCCCTGCTTTTATTTTTTTGGAAGGTGTCCCTTTATCTGAACCATAGTATCCATTTCCTGACACAGAGCTCCCTTTTTTTACAGATATTGTGCACCTTTTTCTGAAAAATTGTGGCCCTTTTTCTGGGACAAGGGCCCTCAACTTTGAGGCATTGAGCCTCTGAGTAATTTTTCATCTTTTTACCTGTACCCTTCCAACTTTGAAATGTGTCCGATGTCTTTGACTAGCGTATGTACACGATTACCCTTGGTACCAGAACTACAAAATTTCGAGCGAAGAAATAGAAGATTTCAGCAGAGAAGCGGAGGGGCGTCTTCTATTTTTGTCTTTTCTTTGTTTCTGGATTTTGCGATATTTTCATCTTTCTTGTTTGTTTTTGTTTATGTCTATCAAACCATAACAAACACTTTTTCTGACTTTTTCCTTTCTATAGAATCTTCGCTTTCTGCCACCAAACAGTTTCTATAAAAAACATCTTTTATATTGAAGACCAATGGCAATTGTACAGTATTTGTTGTTCAAAACACACATGTTTGTTTCCAGGGAGATTTTCGTCAGAAAATGCATTTGAAATAATTTCAATATCACTTTGTTGCAGGGAATATCCTATGGGCTCGGGGTAAACACACAAAAAATGATGGCCAAATAACTTTCCAAATAGTGGTGGACTGTGTAGTCCCATTTAGCGACCTCTCGTTTTTATGTTTTCGCAGGTTTTCATTCAAGCTCTTGTAAAAATGCAAATCTACCCAGCAATTCGGTACCTCCAAAAATGCAAATTTAAGATTGAAATCTAGCATTTTCTAGAAATGTTTCAAGAATATAGAAGGAAAATGTTGTAATTTTGTTATTACTTGACTAGTCCAAGACATAATGTTCCTGTTTATATGCTACAGAGAGCTGAAAGTGCGATGTCATTTATTTAGGCTGCAGTGTAGGCTCATAATTTATCATGTTTTGTTGTTGTGGTCTCAATTCACCAGGTTGTAAAATATGCGAGAGGAACAACGTTTTTCTTATCGATTGCGTTTTATTAGCCAGTTACGCTAGTTAAGATGGTCTTCCATCAGTGGCGGCTCGTGACTTTCACAGTTGGGAGGGCAGACCATCAATATTGCGATAATCAATAGAAAGTTCGAGTTTGCAAATTTTTCACTGTATTCATGGTTCGATGTTGATCGTCATGGAGCGCAGAAGAAAAAGCATATATAGATGTGGCTGTTGTTTAGCGATGATGTCATTTTATGGGCAAAATTTTTCTTGCCCCGAATTCCTCCAAATAAGCCAATCACAGGCCGCGTTTCGCAATGCTTGTGCGGAAATTAGGTGGAAAATTAGCTTGTGCGCATGTCGGCTAGGGGCAAAAAAAATTTTGCCCGTAAAATGACATCATCGCTCAAGGCACTAGCGGGCCAGAAGCGAGGCTAAGGACGAGACGGGATAGCAAGGAGCTTTTTCTAGAAGAGATACAAACTTATATAATTAACCAAAGTAAGACTATCTTCAAAATTAAATATGAATATCATAGATTTCCTTTGAATCTTTTTGAGGGGGCATTGCCCCAGATGCTCATTAGCAAGAGCCGCCACTGTCTTCCATTCAATTCTGAGTGAGCTATGTTTTTCGGTTGCCTTCTAACCGAAGACTGATGATGGTGATAATGGTGATAATGATTATGCGGGTTATAATGATTATGATGTTTATGATGGTAATGAATATGTTGATTGATGCTGATTATATTGATTAATGCCGATTAGGTTGATTATGATCATGATGGTGAAGATAAAGATGTGACGTTGTTACACGACTCGACGATCCATCACAAAGATATGATGGAAACAGTTAAGGCTACGTGCAGGCTAGGATTCTGTTGATGAAGAAGATGCCAGACAGATTTAGAAAAGACACCAACATCAAGGCCTTGAGAACTTATAACCAATATTTCTTTTTTAAGATGTAAGCCTAGAACGATCTTAATATACAGCAGCTAAACATTGATGTGCAAGGTGCAAACGAAGTGTTACAAACAAACAATATTTTCTTTTTTTCTCTTTTTTCTTATTCTTCTTTTCCTTATTTTCTTGTTCTTTTCTTGTTCATTTCTTCTTCCTTTCCTTCTTCAAAGAACATACTCATGCTCACCATCATGGCATGTGACTTGCGTTTTTCCGAAGAACACGCTTGCCTTGTCTTCGATTATTCCTGAAAATAGAATATAATTTTTTGTATGATTGCATCGAAGTAATAACACTGCTCTTATTCAATCACTGGCAAACTGCACAAGTCAATAAGTTGTTGAAGCAATTTTTCATTTTCTGTTCATTTTCAGTCAATAAGTTCATTTTAGCCCCCTGTCGGAAGCTCCAACCCCACTGTCGGAAGATTTCTGGCGCCACATCTGGCTGTCATTCATATGATACTTGTTCAACATGATAAGCTCCTGGCATATTACTTTGTTTGCAACCCACTTTGCTGACCTTCTTGTCTTGAATTGAATACCAATAATTTATCATGCTACATTTAAGAGCAAATGCACCAACTACTTAAAAACCCGATTTATGCTGTCAATTACAATTGAAATAAAAACTGGCATCTGTAAGTTTTTGGCTTGTTTGCAACTGTAAAGGGGAAGGATGAGCATATTGATATTCTTGTGTAGAAGTATAACACATGAGTGCGAAACTAAAGAAGACAGTTATGATATCCAACTCAAAATCACATGTTACGCACTCTTTCTTTCTTTACACCTTTGAAAGTTTACTCACTTCCAAAGAAAAGACAAGGGGATCCTCTTTTTGTTCTGGTTCCAGTACTTCTTTTGTTTGTAAGAAAGTCCAAAGCCACTTTCTTTGTAACCGACCTCTTGACATCTTTTGCGACATCTTTGGCGATGTCGTCTGCAATGTCATTGCCAGCCTCCATTGCAAGATTTTTGCATTCCACAAGGGATAATGCTAACAATGCAAGTAAAACCAGGACTTTCATCTTTCCTTCAGAAACGTTGCTACAATAAAGAATTTTTTGATCAAGATATAATACAGAAAATTTCAGAATAATGGTATGCCTACCTGAGTTTTCTGAACACAGAAATCAAGTCTACTGTTATTTGAAGTTTGGAAATGACAAAGACGTGGTCAGGCCCCATAGTTCTACACTGCTCGGGATTGCATTGCGGGAGAATAAAATTTTAAGAGAAATGATTTCTTGTTCAGATAATCTTCTTACTCAATTCAAAACGTGGTAGAAAACATCTACCCAGCCGTTTCTTTCAGAAAATTCCTTTACCCAACCCACTTCTCTTTGGTAGCAACGACACTGTAAATGATGGAGATTTAGAACTCGAAAGACCTTTCGAATAAGCTATTTTAAGTACACTTTGACATTACTAAAGTAGCTGCAGAAAACGAATAAGTTTTATTTTATGCTTAGATTCTATTCAGCAAAATAATTTACTAAATGCAAAAATCTTTAAGGCTTTTCAAGCAGTATTCTGAAAGGCAAAATTTTTTGTAGCAAAAATATTGAGTGAAGCAGCTTTTTACTCACCGGTTGCTTCTTTGCTTTTGAGTTAAATCTTGAGCAAATGTGTGTCTTATGCCATATTTATATATTCAAGAGAGAAGTATCCAGGGGTGATATTAATTACTTACACAGCAGAATGATGCAGCTGTAGATCTTGTTTCATTGAAAAAATGTCCAAGAATTTAGGCTAAAATCAGCATATCCTTAAAACAATGAAATGCCTGAATGAAAGTCAGATTTAAGCTTTATAAACATAATCATATGGCTAAAAATATTTCCAAAGGTGTGCAATTTTAAGGAAATTGATTCCCAGGACATGTTACATTTTATTTAGTCCTATTTCGCAGCCTAGTTGCGTTTTGCCTGTTTCGCATTGTACACAACAAACCAAATACTTTGCTGTGGGTTTTTCTATCAATATATAATCTCATACTCTACGTCACTCATACAGGTGAAGCTACAGGGATCCTTCGTTAAAGATTATAAAATATAATATTGATTGATACCAGCTACCAGCTTTGGCGAAATAAGCCCATGCTCCTAACGCTCCATTGTTTTGCTTTTTTCATTTCAAAACATTATCAAAAATAGCTTCCTTGTGTTATTTGCTGCTACATAGCGTTTGAAGATGACTTTAGGACACTGAGAAGCTACGCTTATGGAAAAGTGTCTCAGCATTTCCTCTCGATGTGACCACGTCTCGTTTGGGGGATCAAATGAATGTTCCTGCGCTGGGTTAACGCTTCGTCTCTCCATAGAGGCGAGGCGAAACACCAGAAAGGATCCTGGTTGTTTCTTACGAAGTAAAAGAAAAGATAAATGCAGCGATTGTTCCGTTTCATATACATGCGTAGCGAATCATCATTGCAGCAAAATTCACATAAAAATTTATTACAAGAGCGAAGCCATTTTTTAGTGTTAAGCGTTTTAATTTCTAATCGTCCCTCCCCAATCATAGTATGTCTCGAAGCTTTACTTCACCGAGTCTTTTCTTTCTATTCGTTAAATTGTTACCCATCACGTGACGTTATCGATTTCCTTCATCTCTTAATTCTTACGCCTGGAATTACAGTGACTCTAAGTTTGGTCATGCCAGGGACTTGAGCCAAAGGCTCTCCTTGCTCTACTACAAACCACACTTAAATAAAATCGCTACGAAAAACAAGAGGAGTTCACGTCTTTTTTAGAATTTTTCAATTTTACCAAATCACCTGAAAGGGCATCATAAAATGTATCTGAATTTAAAATATTATTTAGATGTGTTAAAACTCGTCAAATCACTGTTATTTGGTGTCGGTGATCTGTGCTCAAAACCAAGCTTACTAAGCCAAAAACAGTAATCCGTTAGCAAAGTTATAATCTTTTGTTGGCCTTTTTAACATATTAAACACATATTCAACTGATTTGTTTAGGTTATGATGTCAAAATTGTATGTTCTAAAAATAGTAGAAGGACCGTATTCAGATACATGGTTGTTTTACAAGCACAAAATCTATAAGAATATCAAGGCCTTTGCCAAAAAATAAAAACATCGCGAGAAAGTGTCCAAATGTTGAATTAGTAGACCAGGCGGAGGATAGGGGGAATGGTCACTCGAGGGCGAAATTTATGGGACCAAGTGCTTTTGGTCAATTCGAGAGTGCCGATTTCGAAAATCGATGTTATACGGGGATTTCGGGGGGCCACCAGCCTCCGGGGATGTTCATGTTTGAAGACTCGTTTTTGCTAATATGAAAGTAATCAATGAAAAAACAGTTTAAATGGAAAAAAGTTTAAGTCTTAAAGTTAATTAAGCACACTTCTTGCGCATAAATGCTTAAAATTGAATTATGGTCTGTTAAAAGGGGCCAAATGTTTTGAAATTTTTTTCTGATGTGAACATAACAGAGCAGATTTTATCAGCTTAACAACTGTTCTGTTACAAATGCAATGGAAAACTGTTAGTGAGTGATTTTTATTAAGAAAAGCCAAGTCTCAGGTCATCCAGTTCATAAGAACATCGAGTTTCGTCAAAAATTAACCGATTCATATAGGAAAAGGGTGCAAGGCCAAACAGGATGCCTGTTCATTTGAAACTAGAGTGGTGTGCACTGAGACCAAATCATTTAGGGCCTTCCGTATGAATCCTTTTTAACAGCTGATGAATGCAGCCACACGTAAGATTATCAACAAGAAGACATTATATTAAAAAAACAAATTGTTTTTTTAAATTTACCTTGTTTGTAAGAAATATTAACTAATACGTAATATAAAACGAAATATATCATTACTATAAATCAAAACGACATCTGAAATTACAGCTTTACCTCCCTAAAGGGTTGATGCAGCAATCAAACTTATAACTGATGTAAAACATCGATAAAACAGCAAGATTTAAGTGAAAAATCTTTCATTTATTTCTAGCCAGCAGTTTGGGGCGGGGGTGGAGTTGGGGTAGAGGTTCTGTTTGCTTTAAAATACCTGATGGCATTGAAATTTCTGACCTAACTTTCTTATAGCCCATACCGTTGTACCGTTTAAAAGCACAAAAGGGAAAACCTTCTACTGAAAACCTTCGAGTAGGTAAACTCGGTAGGATTACGTATAGAGGAAGTAAGCTTATAAAGAATATTCCTTTAATAGCAGAACATCTTTTTAAAATCGGAAAATCAAAATTAACGAGTACCGTGTTTTATTTCGAATTAGGAAATGGAGCTATCAATTGGGAATATCAGAAAAATCGAATAAAATGTAAACTTATAATCTCAGTATAATGCAATAAACGAAAATGAAACGTCATTTTTGTAAACCTTCAATTACGAAAGAACACAGAAAATCCAGAAGTAACCAAAAGTTCAGGGAAACTTTCTATAAAATCTTTTACTTCCGCATAAAAATCAAGTTGTAAGTTTTATTCTGAATAAAGTTAAACTTTATGTTTTATAAAATCTCAATCGAACAGTTCAAGGTATTTCAATTATGTAAAAGGGCCCTAAAAAGGGCATGGTGTGATCAGTTGTAATTCTTAGTCCTTTACTGTGCAACGTTGTCATGCATTTTTCACAAAATCGGTGTATGTTCAAGCTTCAATCTTTTCAAATAAATCTATGAAATAAAAACTAATGATATTTTGTTAATCAACAATCCAAAGAAGAATTTGCAGCAAAAAGTCTTTTACATCAGCTGCAGGGTAGCACTAGGCTTTCACTGCACGTGGAGTGTAAACAACACGGAATGGCTTAGGCGAGAGGATAACTGACCGGTTGCTCAGTTGCGGTGGCATTCCCTCACCCGGAACCTTCTCTATACGGAACTTGTGAAGAACACGTGTAAGGAAGAGATAGATCTCGGTTTTGGCAAGAACTTCACCAAGGCAGACTCTGCGACCGGCCGAAAACGGCAAGAAACTCTTTTCTCTTTCCGGGATTAAATTGCCATCGTCATCAAACCATCGTTCAGGCTTGAAATCGTATGGGTCTTCCCACTGACGTTCATCATGGTGCATGGCCCAGTTGTTGAACAGAACCTGAGTGCCTTTAGGGATGCGGTAGCCGGCCAGTGTTGTCTCACACGTTGTCTTGTGGGGCACGCCCAGAGGAATAACGGAAGAGATTCGCAGAACCTCGTTAATTACTGCTTTGATGTAAGGCAAATGCTCCTTGTCACTCAAACTGGGACTGCGTTCAGTACCAACAACCTTGGCAATTTCTTCGGCGGCTTTCTCTTGGACTTTTGGGTTTCTAAGCAACAGCAAATGGGCCCAGCGCAGGGAGGTGGTTGTAGTTTCAGATCCAGCGGTGAATGCGTCATGAATAATCATTTCCAAGTGGTCATCTGTGGGAAACTTGCGATCATTGACATCTTTGGACTCCTCCTTTGAGGCTTCTAGTATCAAAGCATCGGTTAGGTCGCGGATGTTTGTCGGCTGGAAGCTCTGCCTGTGCAGATCGAGCTGCTTGCGAAGAATGACGTCACGGATTGCAATGCCCATATCAATCTTATTATAGCCTTCATTGGGGAAGAAGCGTAGCCATGGCAGGAAACCAACTGGTTTGGTATGGTTGAAGCCTTGGGTGATGAGGGTGTTGTATTTAACAACGTTGAGGAATTCTGGATCGTCTTTGTTATATCGCTTGCCAAAGACCAACGAGCAGATGATGTTGATCACTGCCAGGGCTGTGAAAAGAAATGCAAGTAAACAACGACAGGTGCAAAAAATCGCTTACCCAACTAGAATTTTCTGGCACAAATTTTTCAGTCGTATAATTCTGTTTCACTACTTCCTTAGCAATTAATAACGCAGATAAATAGAGAACTACTAAAAAAGTATCAAGATAATAAGCAAACCAAATTTCAAATTTCACGATAATTGAATCTCTTGATGTATTTGCGTCACACACTAGAGTTGGCCATCTTTTATGCATCTGACATTGCTGCTCCTAATGTCAGCGGTAAATTATTGAAAACATGCGTTGCCAGCAGCGGATCTTAAAATCCTTTGACTCAAAGTATATATGCTTGGCTCCTTCGTCGCTTCGCGATAGCAAAGTTAACAATCGCAAGGGCTGTGAAAAATGCACAAAAGATGTTCACGGACTTATGTGAACAATCGATCTAAATAACAATAAGAAATGGAACTAAAAAGAAACTATCAAAGAATCATACAGGTGAAATGCGAATGTGAAAAGCGAATGATTAATTCTGTCTATTTATGAAGAATAACTTGAAAGGGCTAAAACGAATGAAAATAAAGGAGGCATGATCTCTAAAATAGCAGGGTTTAATTCAATTTACCATAGTTTGAGTTTCAAATTTCGTTAATTTGAAAGAGTGGCCTAAATGGATTTTGTTCCATTTTAAATGCAAAACAGCCCTCTTTAGCAAGAAGTTTGAGTCCTTGCCCCTTTCCGATTCTCTAAAAAACGCTTTCACTGTCATAAGCTAAAGAAAAGGTGTCTTGGTTTTGATTATCTAGGTAGAAGCACGGCTAAACCACCATTAAACCGCAAACTGCAAAGTTTATGAAAAATGACAGAAATATAAAAACAGCAAAATGTTGCTGCTGACCCAAATTTTGATGTGGGTCTATTGGTGCTCCGTTTGCTTTGGCAATTCTATCACACAGATCATCGGCTTCTGCCTGAATGAAGTCTTCCATCTTTTCCATGCCTGTTCCATACAGTTTTAAAGATGTATGTGCCAACTTCCTTATTGATTGCCATACTGGTCCATAATCGGCAAAGGCAATATCCTTGAAGCCGCGCGTGATTTGCCCAGCGGTAAAAATGTCTTGCGGACGACCAGCAAATTCGACGCTCTTCTTGGTCAGGGCTTCACGTGCAGGCTCGACGGCGTTAACGACCACAACTCTCTTGTGTCCCAAGCTCACGCTTAAAACATCACCATATTTCTTTGCCAAGGATTTCAAGGTCATGAAATTGGAGTCTTTGAGCTGGTACAGGTTTCCTATGATCGGGAGTGGAAAGGGTCCAGGTGGGTAGTCCCTAAGTTTCCAGATATGCCTGAGATACTGAAATAGCAGGTACAGGAAGCCAAAGCCTGCTAATACGCCAAAAGACAGGAGAATCATCGCGATGTCCTAAAAGGTGAATAACAATATCAAACAATTTTTCGGTGGTATAAAATTTTGAAATGGCTTTGAGGACATAACTGAAATCCGAATTTGAATCTCCAAAATTTTTTATTGAAACCTCATGCCCTTGGCACTGCAGTGACCCTGGACATGATTGGGTCAACGATTACCATATTTCCTCTAAAGAACGCCGCGGCGTTCATTACAAAATCTAACTTTTGGATGCGGCGTTCAATAGAGGGCGGCGTTTATCAGAGGGCAGTGTTTATCAGAGGGCGGCGTTAAATACAAAGTCAAAATTTGTCAAATTAAAAAATGATAAGAAAATTGTGCTGAAGAAAGTTAAAAAGAAGCTTTAAACAATGTTTTCTTTTCCCAAAACACGTAGAAGATAGTGTGAATTTTTTTTAAAGTCCATAAAAGATGTCTTCACGTTATGGAAATGTCAAGGAATGTCAATACCCCTGCCTCCGTCGTCAGACTCCTCGTCTCTATGATATAACAACGTCTGTAGCTTCCAAACAGTGAGCGTATAAACTATTCGTTTCTTCTTGTATGGTGTGTTTGCTTACTGAACGCCGCTTTTCAAGAAAGGGCGTTTAAAAGAGGGCGGCGTTTTTTACAAATGGTTGGCTGAAGTTCAATAGAGATTCAATAGAGGTTCAATAGAGGGCGGCGTTAAATAAAGGGGGGCGTTTATTAGTGGAAATACGGTATGCGTAGCAGTTCAAACTTTCCACACAATGGTTTGGAAAATCTTGCCGAGTCATTCGCCTCCACAGGATACAATCTGTCCGCTTCGCAGCAACCAACATGCAAGGCGAATTTCATCCCAAATATATGCTGAGTCATTGGGGGTGACGGAAATATTTTTGGAAAAATAATTGTAAAATACCAAAAGTAACATCAGGTCCCTTTTTGAATGACCTAGACCAAGCCATTTTGCTTCCTGGAGTCACAGAATGACACTTCTCTCCGTGTTGGTTTTGTTTGCGGTTATCGTATAACTGTTTAACAAATGAACAATTCTAACGAAAACAAAAGGAACTCTTTCTTCAGCTGGTGTCTTGGTAACTGTAACTGCAGTGTCGTTGTTTTGTTGTTTCTGGGCCTAATTTACGCTGGAAAGGCTATGTTCATGCTGTAATTAGCGTTCCCAAGTGTCTATTTTGTGGTTCGTCATAAGAAGTTCTAAAAAGCCTCATAAAATAAATAATGGCAGTTTCAATAAATATTTCACAGTTTCAAAGATGCAAAACTATAATACCAACTGACAAATGAATCACTTTCTACATAGCGCGAGCAACATCAAAACAAAACGAATGAGACTGTGAAATTGCTTTTGAGCGAATCGCCAGCATGGCCAAAAACTTTGCATTAACGTTGACTTCAAATTAGCAGAACTTTATCTAAAACACAGAAAATACCTGCTTTCGATGTCAACTGACTTTGCTTTTCCTTGCTTCTTCTTTTCAGCTTGCAGCAAAGCTCGAGCTCCTTCACCTAGCTGTTTACGTGTTTTGATTTCTCTTTTCACGCTGCTCTGCAACGCACAAGCAGGGGTTATTGTCGTGTCTGAATTAGTCTGTGTTGTCGTGCGTTTTAATCCTGAGCCCTCTTTACAGATGTCATGTGTGTCTGGAACGTCTATCAATGCTTCCGTTTGCATTCTCACAGGGGGAAAGGCAAGAAAGTTTTTTTTATTTTTAAGTCAATTTTCCAGTTGGCTGCGTCTCTTTGTTTCCTGTTAATAGTATTACTTCAACGAATATAGATATGAATCTATTACTTAAGCTTAAGAGAAAAAGGAGCGACGTTCTGACAATCAATTGAACCTTCAAATGCCCCTAGTAGCAGATTTGAACGTTGACCATGAGGACTCCTTTCTATTGACTAGTAGGTTCTGACAAAGAAACATGCGCTGAGATTCCCCCCCCCCCCGAACGCCCATGGTAGCATAAATGATACCAACCAAAGAAGAGGTGCAGGACTAAATTATGAAATGTTTTCTAAAATATATATATTTCATACTTTGCTTTGAGAGTAAACTCGGATTAAGGAAAAATTTGTCTTGATAAAGGTTGGGCCTGGCATTATTTTTAAATGATTCTTAAATTTTAGCAATTTTGAGCCTCAATATTCTTATGTACATATATCATTTTTTATTGCCAACATAGAAGAAATTGTTAACAAAAGATTTTACAAAAATCCCTTTGTTTTTAAAAAAATTGGGGGCTCTAACCCCTCGTCGACGGCCTGCGGTTAGATTCGTCTTGCTGTCTTGGTCGTTGAGCAGCGGGAAAATGTTTGCCGCGTAGACGAATGACTCAGCAAGATTAGCTCTACCCTACTGCGCGTGCGTGATCATACCCTTATCCAAGGTCACTGCAAATGGCTCCCCTTGTATATCTTTGCACAAAGTTTGTATTCTGAAAATCTGCGTAGATAACTGCATGGCAGTGCCCTTAAATATTCTCTCCTAAGAAAAGATTATGGAGTCTTGTAGATAATCAATTATGTTACTCTCATTATGTTAATTTCCATTAGTAATTCAAAAAATCGAAACATCTAGAATCCAGAAAAGTTGCTAACCTTTCTATACTGTAAAACCTTCCTCATTCTTCATGGATTCAAAATGGGCGAAAAATGGGGTACTCAACTAGTCTTGATTCCCTCTGCTTGCAACTCTGTTCTTCCGAAACCTTTAAAAATTTGTAGCTCATTTTAAATTATTGATAGTTTTTGAAACACATTTAAAATATCATGCCTATGTCAATTAATAACAAAAGCGTGTCATAACTTAAATATGCAAATTATGAACAGGTAATGCCAAAATTTTACGATGCGAAGCAGTTCAGCATACAAATTCATCTCTAAAAAACAGATTTATAAATTTTACTTGTATTATTTCGATTTTCACTATTTCATTTCTGCATATCTAGGTGCAAGAGAGTTAAGAGATTTGTAAACCATAGAACCTGTTTCTTTTGATCAGTTTTTGTACAGATGGCCAACCAAGTCTCTGGAGCAAAGGAGCTGCAGATGCATCAAAAGGTCTATTTGTTACTATTCTGGCGGCTTTATTCTGTAATTTTTGAAGCATGTCTAGCTTTGAAGCACGACAAGAGCCCCAGACGGAGCAACAGTAGCTGAAATGTGGCTCTATGATGCTTCTATATAAATTTATCAAAGTGTCCGTTTGAAAAAAATTCGCGCATGCTTCAATAGACCAATTGCTCTGGAGATCTTCTTTTGTAGCGCGCTAATGTAACTTTCCCAAGGAAGGCAATTATCAATCGTTTATTAGGTCGATTTCCTCGCCCCCTACCCTAAAAGAAGGAAGTGTGCTAGGATTATTCTTTAGTTCTTTAATTTTTGGCTTAGAGCCAATTATCATAGCTTGGGTTTTGAGAACATTAAGGGAAAGCTTATTACCTTGTAGCCATTTTTCAATGTATGAAAGCTCCTCATTGATAACTAGGTCCAGCTCATCACTTGTATCAGAAGAATACGAGATTGCTGTGTCGTCGGCATACATTGTAGCCTTAGCCTTCTTAAGAGCAAATGGCAAGTCATTTATGTATAGAAGAAAAAGAAGAGGCTCTAGACACGATTCCTGTGGCGCTCCGATATCAATATTTTCGATGCTGGGAGTTGTGCCATTGATTCTACAGTACTGCTTCCGATTATCAAGATAAGAACTGAACCATTTGTGTGCATGTCCAGTAATTCCATGGTAGTGGAAAAAATTCTAATATTTGCCCTCAGCGCCAACACTGCCCCTTGTCGGATATTGAAGAGTGAACGCAGATAGTACACCATTTTGTTGTCTGCCTCGTGTATCAACTCTAACTTAGATTCCGGGGGGCCTGGGTCTTACATATGTGATAATAATTATAATCATAAAACATTACACCCCTCCTGCCTTAACCGTTTGCAGGCGCCCCTGGATAACTGGCAGATTTTGCCTGTCATCAATAGATGAAGCAATCAAGTGGAGAAGCGGAGAAACATCTGCTAATATTTCTTTTTCCGCGCTTGAATTTACGTAGCTCTGGAACTCAGGGTACAACTACATCTCACGAAACACGAAACACTAGCTACCTACCAAAACTAACTAACCAACTTTTACCTGTACTTGTAATTGTATGCAGCCAACCGTATTTTCAAGAAGCAGTTCTGCTCTTGCTAGCTAAAGCATCACTGGATTTACGTGTATTTATTGTTGTTTATTCTCGGCGTATTGCGGTGTTTCATAATTGCTACATTTTTATCGACTTTTCGCCGCAAGAACTCCTTGGGGCCCGTCGAGCAGCCTGCTACAGTGGCCTTTTCTTCATTCACACATACAACTACATCCCAAGCTTGTGGTTCAAAACGAACTTTCAGGAGACCTATCTCCTTCCTTTCCTCCATCGCGTCTTCCTTCCCCTAAATTCATATATCAAATAATTTGTACTTGATAAGGAAAGTGAATACCTGCTAGAACGACAGGGAGGATGCCACATAAAGCCTAGTGCATTGTTAAGAGACGGAACAAGAATTAAGGTAATGAATGAAGTTTTAAGAATATCGACAAAGAAACACCGTAACTGAAATCAATAGATATTATAATTCGATAGCTCATTATCTGATAACAAATTTTGTGTTCATTTCATATTAAATCATAAAATATTTATTTTTCATGAAGACATCTCTTTACTAGGTGCATTTTGTAATCTTTCGCCGAATTTCAAAATTAGCTTACATTTGTTTGGCGAAGATTTGCTGGGAAAAATTATCAGAAATATTACCTTCCAGAGCAGCTCTGCGTTTGAAATTACGGGATGAATAGTTCACGAGAACAGTGGGAAAACTGTTCCTGTCCTTATTACGAAATCTAATAAATTATAATCTAGCAAAATTTACCGATGTTACAAGTTTCTTCTGCTCTGCTTGCAAAACACCTCAAATTTGACCCATACAGCAAACAATCCTTCAGTTCTAAGAAACATTGGCTACAACAGAATGAATGGGTAAGAAAAAGGAATCATTTATTGAAATTCGACGGGAAATCAATTTTCAGCCCTTTAAAAGTATTCATCTCCTTGCACACGTTATAGTCCAACATTGCAACTAATCAGCATAAAGTGTCGGATAATCTCCCTTCTTATTACATTACAGCTATAATTTTCTTCTTATTGAAGAAAATAAACGATTGATCAGGCACGCTGGAGTTTGGGAGGCGGGGGTTGTAGCCCATTTACATTGTTGGAGAAGTGCTCCCTTGCAAAGGTACACCGGAGGGCCTCGTTCCAGTGGTCATCTTGTCGTGTGGGTTCATGCGAGCGAGGCATCTGTCCACTTAGGCCGCAAAGCATAGGGCTCAAATCTTGATTGGCTGAGAGCTTGCGCTAAATCACGTGACCTCTCTCGCCGCTGAGCCAATCACAGCCCCGGAAAATGTAAACAAACTTAGGCCAAAGCCGAAAATTGGGCATTTTTACCACCGTCCATTAAAAAAATAACGTGTAAAATCTGCTACAATAAATTTCAAATTTTTTTAACTTCATCCCTACACAGATAAATTTCCCACAAATCTACCGTGGAACATGACCTCGATTTTGCGTTGTTAAGAAAATACAGCGTTGTAAACCTAGCCATAGGATACCTTCACATCCAAGGGGTTTAAAATTAACACAATTTCAAGTCAATTATTGCTGTTACCCCATAAAACCAAAATTTTGCATATTTCAGTTGCTTTAAATCTGAATATCACATTAGACTCAGCTTAGTTTTAAAAAACTCTGACGAACAACGCATGCAGTCTTTACTAGAGCTTTGATCAACGCAAAAATGAGAGAATTTCCCTTTTCAAGACAAAAACTCTCAATAGCTTTCAACTGATCATGTAAAAATGCTCCACCTAGCCGGAGAAGCTTTTAAACTGATACATAATGACTTATTTTGCGACTGTACCATGTCCTGAGCATCTCTGCTGAAGCACAGGTATCTAAGTATTGTGGGGCGTGAAACGATTAGTTCTGAACATGTGCTGGGCACCCAAACAGAATCGTAATACATGTACATAAAGGGAAAAAAGCTACTCAAAACCTGATTAGAAATACTTACTGTGTTTCTGTGAGTGTTGGAATCCTGCTTTGCCAATTTTTGAATCATGATTTACATAACGCGTTTGAAGGTAAATTTTTGGGTTATTCTTGTCCTTGTGACATAAGAATTCATATTTCGAACAATTCTTCAAGTCCATCTCTTCCAGTCCGTTGCAATTTTAAATTTAGGAGATAGAAATGATGAAGACTTTTGAAAGCAGGAACTACCCGCATGTTTCTCAAATTTCAAAAGTTAGCAAATGATGACGTGTTGTAACAAAGTGAATTTTCAAAAAATTAAATTCAACTTTTAAAAGTATTGCAAGGGTTTCGAGATTTCGTGACTTTTCAGTGAAAGGTCTACATATTGATTCTTCGAAAAGTAACTTATGATAGTTTTAGAATAAAGAGAGATGCAAATTGTTTGACATTTTAATTGCTTTGCTTGAAGCGTTAAACTATAAGACTGTTAGAATAAAAAGTCAATTTTTCAATAAAAAGATGATCGTGGTCATAAGAAACCACAACCGGTCTTATAAAATCGCGTCTAGAGCCCCCTTCCAAGAACTTTTAGAAATCAGCCCTGTTCAAAAAATGACTTTTTATTCTGACAGTTTTACAGTTAAACGCTTCAAGCAAAACAATTAAAATGGCAAACAATTTGCATCTCTTTATTCTAAAACTAAATGTCAAACAATTTGCATCTCTCTTTATTCTAAAACTATCATAAGTTACTACTAAAACTATCTAAGACTGCATGCGTTGTTCGTCAGAGTTTTTTAAAACTAAGCTGAGTCTAATGTGATATTCAGATTTAAAGCAACTGAAATATGCAAAATTTTGGTTTTATGGGGTAACAGCAATAATTGACTTGAAATTGTGTTAATTTTAAACCCCTTGGATGTGAAGGTATCCTATGGCTAGGTTTACAACGCTGTATTTTCTTAACAACGCAAAACCGAGGTCATGTTCCACGGTAGATTTGTGGGAAATTTATCTGTGTAGGGATGAAGTTAAAAAAATTTGAAATTTATTGTAGCAGATTTTACACGTTATTTTTTTAATGGACGGTGGTAAAAATGCCCAATTTTCGGCTTTGGCCTAAGTTTGTTTACATTTTCCGGGGCTGTGATTGGCTCAGCGGCGAGAGAGGTCACGTGATTTAGCGCAAGCTCTCAGCCAATCAAGATTTGAGCCCTATGCTAGGCCGCAAGGAACCGACTGGCGGGAATTTCGAATTGTTTCCTTTGAGTTCTCTTTTTCCACAACATCTCAACTATCGTGAGTATCCAAATCCTTTTTTTCTTCATGTGTAAAGGTGCTTTCAAAGATTTCCTTGTGACACGTTTCTTCCCTGAAATGCAAATAAAAACATATCATTAGGAGACATCGAACCATCAATTTCGAGGCATTGAAAGCGTTGTGTGGACGCATTGAAAGATTATAGAAACAGAGCTTTCGATCCGGCCACGCAATGTAAAGAGAATATATAATTAGCAAATAATATCTCTTTACAGTGGGAGAATATATAAAAACTAAGTGATAAGTTAGCGCTAACTTAGTTAGTGCTATAGCATGATGAGAAACGTTGACTCAAAGCAGGAGCTCGGTCGGTAGAGCACTTTGGATATTACTTATGTGTGAAACCCTTTAATAGATAAGAATCATTGTTATTTTGGAAAAATGCTATTGCACCAGTGCTATTTTGATACTTTGTTTTATTGTGATTTGAATTGTGCTTGAAAAAAGATTAAAAGTGTTGAGGATTAAGAATTTCAAGGTACTTTACATTTGTTGCAGCTTTTTGGCCTCAACTTGCTTGGCTTTTGTTTTATTTCTGTGTTTCTTCCAAAATATTTCAAATAGCAATGTTATGATTGACAGAATAATGCCTCCAAGTAGAACTGCATAAACCCCAGTCATCTGCATTGCTGTTATTCTTCCATATTCTGAAATATAGACGATCATATAGAAGTGAAGAGTGATTTTGAAGCTTTATCACAAGCCATTGACATGGAAAAAGAAACAATGAAGCAAAACAGTATGGGCAAGAAAGTCAGTTACATTAATAACTAGTTATTTAATAAATATAGCTATAACTAACTATGACTATAACGATAACTGTGCTAAAGGCTAAGAACCTGTCACAGATCTTCATATAATGCTTAACATCAGGACTGATATAGAAAGAGTTTGATTCACATTGACATTTCTATAGTTCATGTGTCATCTTCTGTTACCCATAAGTTTAGCTTATCAGGGCTGCCTATAAGATGGAAAGACAAGTACACTATTTTCTGGCTTCTCTGCACCCAACCAAACTTACAAAAGGGCTCAATTACCCCCAAGCTACACCTAAATTTTTACTTTGCTCTAAGACAAAGCTTTGTTTGGATAAGTACCTGTTTCTGTGTTATCTGTGGTGCATTCATTTGCACTGTCCCAATAAATCTTCCTCTTTGCTTCTATAAAGCCCGAATCTTGCAGTCTTGAAATTGCCACAGAAAAAATGTCATAAAGTGGTGAATTAAACTGCACAACAAAAGCATAACTTCTCACTGGCAAGAAACTGTCCACTGTAACAAAAAAAGATTTATCCATCAATTATTTTAACATATCATGCAAAATTTAATTTAGTAGAAACAATGTTGCCTTGAATTTACATCTGATGCATTGGTAAATTTAGACCTTTTATGAAGTTGTTTCAATGTGCTCAGATGATTTCTAGTTTTGGCTTCAATTCTGGGGTTTTGTGTGCACAAAGATGAGCTTCAAAATATCTGCCTAAAAAGCTAATTAGAGCATTAGTTTTGGCTACCACATAAGGCATGGCAGTTCTTACTCTATGACAGAAGACAGAAACTATCAGGAACAGAGAAAAGCAGTTGCCCCACTACTCCAATTGACATGATTTAGAATATTTATTGCCTGGAATTCAATCTTTTGGGTTATAGGAATCAGAAGGGAAAAGGCAGCTCTAACAGGAAATTTTAAAAATCACTCAAAACTCAGTTCCTTTCACTACTCTGTCAGGCAAGTGTTAAACAACCAATCAGAATTGGGAGATGAAGTTGTCTTCTAATAAAGCCAATATTGTCCTTTCAGCCTGTTCAATGAGAAAAATGCATAACATCCTGTTTATCAAATATTTCTTGATATTTTAGCCTCCCAGTTTTGTGGCTTCCCATCTATTGGGCCTCTGAGAGTACCCTCTTTTTATATCCTGATGATTAAAATTACATTGTTACAATCTATATGTTTGTCATTAATGATAGAGGAAGTCCCAATCAGCAAAAACATAGCATCAAACCTGAAATAAGGTCACATGGCTTTTTATTAGCTATGTCTTCTAGGAATGGGCTCTCTGAAAGCAGTATTGTAGTCTTGTCTGTTCTATTACGGATTTGCGATATGCCCTCCTCAAAAAGATGCACAAAGGCATTGTGTGCAACAATCTTTTCATATATCATTTTGTACGGTTGGTATGTGGCATATTCAAGCTGCTTGTGAATCACAGAATGCTTGAAGATGAGAATGTTATAATCCATCTTAGCAAGAGTCTCAAGGTCCCGGATCTCAGTTGTTGTTTTCTTAAAAGTGAAGTATGCTGCCAGGTTGGCGGTGTATGATGACATTTGAATTAGAACAATGAACCAGAATACCATCACCAGAATCCGACCTGAAAGCAAGTAAAGATATGGCTTCAAATTCAAATAATTATGATGATGTTATCAATTATTTGAATATTCACTCTTTTTGGGGGTATATGATAAAGGGGTATATATGAAAAAACAAAGTGAGCTTTTGCAATATACCAAAAAAAAGCCAGAGCCAGAATGAATTTTTCCGCAAAAAGGTTTATACGAAATTGTCTTTCCTTCATTGACCGAGAGGTCATTTTCAATTTCGATTCATTAAGAGCTTAAGTCATCCTAAATGACGCCAGAATCTTTCAAGTTGCTCGGTTGATGATTGATTTTTGCGATATAAAAATTTAAGAACTTCTGTACCTTTTAAAAATAGAACTTAAAAAAAATTTTTTAAGTCCAAATAAAATTTTTCTATATATAAGATATTGTCCCTAATGAAGTTCCTTGGAAAGGACTCTAATAGGAACTATTTTTTATTGACGAACATCCCTATCGTTGTTAAAACACTATGAAACAAATTCTTATCACATCAAGATATTTTGATTTCTTGTTTACATGAAGAGGGGAAGTTGAGAATTTCAAGACTCTTTCTTACTTGCACACGACCTCGGAGTGGCAAGAGGCCCTTGTCTCAACATGCAGCCTACTGTAAACCACAGACTGTTTACCAAAGTAAATTCACGTCCAGGAGTGCCATCCTTCTTAATATGCCATTGTCTCCATCCGCCCGGTTCAAAGTAGTCAACAAAGTACACCGAGATCGTCACTACAAAAATGCATGTAAGAATAGTTAACCAAACCGTTTTCGTGAATGGTTCTAAGAACTGAGTAATACTCGTCGTGGTAGTTCCCGTTTTCTTCGTCAAATATGAAACGTGGGCCTTCATGAATGGATGGAGAAAAGTTATTATCTTTGATCTCACTTCGTCCACAGTGAAAGGGGCCAGGGCAAAATCAGCTTTCTACAACAGAAGTTATTTTTTAGTTCAAAATTCATACAATTCTGCTTTGGAACGAATATATTTTAAAACATGATTTATGATCCAACTTACTATTAGTGAGTTGAAAATTGACCAGGTGAAAATAAGTTTTGGTCTTGTAAAGTCACTTTCTAGAAAAACTTGACACTAGTATTAAGCATGCCTCACCTCTTGCCCGAATTTTCTAAATCTCAGTTTACAAATACAAAAAACCAAAAAAGCTTGTAATGACAAGTTAAGTTGATGGGCTTTGATTAGTTGCAACATGCTGTAAACTCGGTTTTTTAACATTCTGGTGCTTTTGAATGTCTTAGAAAAAATCTTAAATTAAGTGCTAGTTTTGACACGTACTTTAAACAAAAAATTCAAAAATAAACAAACGAAGTGACCTTTTATATAGCTTTCTAGATGACATGGTTTTTGAGCTACTACTTGCCCATTTCTGTCCTATCGACAATGTAAAGGGTAGACAACTTACATCGTAAAATACATCTCCAACCATACCGATCCACTTTCCTTCGTCCAGCGTGCCATACTCATCATCCGCGATTTCGTAAATGGTATATTCAAATTGCAAATCCTTTTGCATCCCTTTCAGGATGTCAATCAGAAATCCTCGGAAATGCCTCGATCCGTTCTTTAGATTGTCAATCCAAACAAACGGAGGATCCTACAACGTAGAATTTGGATGTATCTTTCTTGGGTTTCAATATGTGACTTGGCCCCCTGTCGTATTTCATTGGAATCTTTTCTAAAATACTAGCAAGAAAGCTTCAGTAAAGCTTCTTCAAATTAATACTTAGAATAATAGCTATAAGGTAGAGAAATAGTAACCTAGATTGTATGAAAAGTAGCACTGAAGTTGTGGAAGCGATAATCTTCCTAACGAGAGTTGTTCGAATTAACAAGTTCATGTGCTATTGCTCTGTTATTCCAATTCTCAGCTTTGGAGTATTTTATTGCATATATTTTTTCAAATAACTCTCTCAAGTCAAGAATTTAATTACAAAGATTTCTCAAAAATCTGCTTTGAAATCTTTCACTTTACCTAAATTGTGCATTTATGGAACAATCAACGTGGCAAAACTTTTTCTTTCAGGGCTTATAATCTTTTTAATGGCCTCGTTATCCCCCAATATAACACGCTACTAGTCAGCGGCTTATTTATACCAGTAACATTTTACGAGATAAATATAACTGTTTCATATAACGTCACTTCTGCATCCAATTCATAATCACTTGCATAAGATCATTTCGTTTTATAGACGTTTAATTCATAGAGCGCTAAAATCTTTTTGGTGATCCATAGCCTGAATTCAATGACGTATAGTATAGCAACGAAGTGGAGTTCAATAAGAAAACAAACAACCACGCTTAAAGTAGTAATCAGCGTATCAAGCTCGAATTTTGCCAGAGTCGATTACCCCCTGGCAGCCATTGAATGTATATGGATACTTACATGTATGGTCACGATTCTCAGGGGTCTGTTCATGCTTCTGAGATAATTTCCAGGAGCTTTGTTTGTTTTAATTAATGACCACAAATTCAGAATTTTGCCGTTGTCTTTAGCGGTCCCGATCTGAAATATAGAATTTGTATGTGAAAAAATAAATGTTAACTTTGAATAGTGCTCATTGACTCAAGAAAACCATTGCTTAAGCTAATTTATTATCAATTTCATCCTTCACATACTTGTTGTAGCATCTATATTTTAAGAGTTGCAAGGACAAATTCAACTGTAAGTATGTTTTGATGCAGTAAATGACTCAAGAAAATTGGCATGTATGAAAGAAAGGTTGTCTGTAACAGCATAAGAAAGGTGGATGTTAACATCAGCAAAATAGAAGATTAGAGGATAAGAACTGGTGAACTGTTACGTTCAATAACATTATTATTAAGATCATAACTATTTTTTATACTTCATGGGTTTAAATTTTACTGTCTATAGTTGTTATTTAAACAATTTATTTAAATTTACCTGCACAAAGCTGTTATTTCTCAGATTTAGAACGTCAATTTGGTGTGCACTGGTGTCTTCTTTTATGCATCTTGTGATGTTTTTGAACTGCAATATATATTTATTTGGTATCAAACTAGATTGGCTACAACTGTGTTAAGCAATATGGAAGGTCGTTGTACAAGCAAAGCGGTTCGGTTCATATTGGCGAATAGGGAATTTTACTTTATCGATTTTGTTATCATAAAGTCTAGTATTTCAGACAATATCCTTTACCTACTATGGTCAGCGATGTACCTGCCCGTGATTAGAAAGCTTTACGGACAGTAACATATTGATAACCTATCATTCAACACTTCAAACTGTACTGCCCAGATCAATGAGACTTGATCTATCTAGAGAGCTGGGCTAATTTGAAACGTTAAAGGGCGAGCTCTTTGGAGATTGATAGCCATGAGCCAAACTAACAAGGTTCATTGAGATTCATGTCAAGTGATAAGTATACTTAAGTGTCAGAGAATGAGTATTACATGTTAAGAACATACCAGATTGGAACGAAGTGTTTCATTTTTTGTCAGGTTCAATGCGCAATCGATGATGTTGGTGGTGACGCTGAAGATGGCATTCGAAAGAAGAGCTCCAAAACCCTAGAAATGGTAAGTTTGTTTGAAGTAATTTACACGAGCTCGTAGACAAGTGGATACATAAGTGTCGTTGTACTTTTACAGGACATTTTTTGTTAATTTACGTGGACGACTTCTTTCGGATGCGCTTTTTTATCACCTTTCGTTAATGGCTAACGTCTCATTAATGCACTCATAACTAAATATGCCAACAGTAATATTGAAAGGAAATGAATACTCCAGATACGTTGTTGTATTCCATTCTACAGTATGATGTTAACTAGCGGTCGCTATCCTCTGACAGACAATTTATAAAATGGCCTTTCGTGACCTTTGGCGTTTCACCTAATGAAACTTTCACCTGAACACCTTTGACCCTAAGTGAAATTTTCATAGATGTAAAAGACAATTTTTGCAGCAATTTTTAAGCCACTCACATTTTCCATGATGGCTTCTTCGGATACGAAATGTTTGTGGGTCATGTTGTTGTGCAGACTGTAATTGGTTTTAAACGCTACAACCATTTGTGAATTTAAGCCATCCTCAAGTTTCTTTCTTTTGATCTAAAAAGAACAACATTGGTAAGGACTGATTCTTCACTTAGATACATTACATTACACTGGCATATTATATACCAGAGGCGAATCCAAAAAATGCTTTTTGGAGGGGTACAGAAATGATTTTTACCGACCAAAATGGAAATGCCTCACTCTCTAAGGGTGTGGTCATTAGATAAATAACCTGCTGCTTTTTTGCTTTCCATTTTAAACTCCAACTTAAGTGCGATATTTTGACAGTTCAACTAATACTGAAATGTTCATACGATACTATTATTGAAGAAAGGTTTCAGGGTGAGAAAATATTTCTTTTTTTGTCCGGAAAGAATCCATTATGTTCCTACGGACAGAGCGTTGGGAGCGATAGTGTGCCCCTTGTACCTCCTTTGGCGACGCCACTGTTACAAACGTTATTGAATATTAGGATGGTTTTTCAGTTAATTGAAAAAGAGCTAAATTGATTTGCTTTTTCTGATCAAATTTATTGCTTTAAAGCTAGCTATAACTTCGACCGCTTATAATAGACGAGACAAGTTTGAAAGAAATTTTTGAAACTCAAACTCTTTTTGAAATCTCAACTTTTTGAAAGAAAATTTTTTTAATTTTAATCTCTAGTAGCAGAAGGTCTTTAATTTGATATCTATTGGGAAAGGAAAGGTATCAAAATCTGTCGATGTGAGTACCTGCATCAAGTAGATACTCTTAGCAAAGTAAAAGAACAAACTTGATTTATTCAATCATGAATGTAAATAGAAATATCTTGAAATACTCACTGGATTTCGCAAAACAAGCGATGGAACCACTCTCGCACCAGATCTGTTAACATTTTTTATCTGAAAATATATGCGATGTTTTCTTAACTAAGTTGAAGTCAATTTTCCTTGTTGAGTATTAAGGAATTGTTTGCCATCTCTGTCACTGTTTTGAGAAGAAAATCGTGATTTTGTGAAGGAAAATGTTCAATGTTATCGGATACTTTTTGCGTTGGCTTTGTTGATATATTTTTTATCAAAATATTTTAAGGGTCATTGATTTCGATAATACGAGTTTTGAATGATATCGATCGCCTTTGCATTTATGTCAACACGTTTGAAACATATTATGAGATGTGCTTAGCCTTCGATTGTGTTATTTTGCTGTCTAAGACGCCCGTGACATTTTGTCTGTGATATAGGCTAGTATTTATTTAAATAATGAAAAAAATAATGGTTTAGTAGTTTATTTTTTCAATAAAAACTCTCTAAGTTCCATTTGAAAAGTTGAAAAGTGCACCAAACAGAGAATTGGTTTTAGTATTTATTTGCAGGAGAAAAATGTAAGTTGTCTTTCTACCAATACTTCTAAGCTCGGAACATTTTTTGTCAAAGAATTGTATTAATACAGATTCAGTTTCAATACAGTTTGAAAAAGTACCCCGAAATTGAATGGGTGGAAGGTGTTATACAGCTATATATTTTTTAATACGTCTTAGCGACCTCTGTTTACGGAGACTGGAAGTATGAGAAATCCTTTCACACCCTATCAAGAAATACCTTATTCAAGAGAAATAAGTCAATCTCCAGCTTGTTTGCTTCGACAAAGATGGACAAGGTGCTTTGTCTCCTACTCTGGAATTTTTAAGAGACAATCTAACTTGTTGGCGCAAAATTCGAATAAATAACTCAACTCTCTATTGCGGAAAATTTTGTGTACTCCCCTCCCATCTTCCTCGATCAAAGTGCTTCCTTGCGTGTTCCATAGTATGTATTCTAATACACAGTGAAATCTCTTGAGGACAACTCAAATTTCTATTTCGTTTTTCACCAATAAACAGGATTTGTAACGAAGCACTAAGCAAATAAACCCAAAGCTAAGCAAAGAATTTAGGCTGAAGAATAACCATGAAGGCGTATTCCATGTGTTGCTGTATTTGTTTGATATATTGCTTTGTTTTGCCATATCCAGGAATTATCTTTCTGTCTGTGTTTTCGTAGGATCTTTTAACTGCTTTCAGCTCTTTCTCTACGGCTTTGTGTGGCAGTTGCTATCAACTGGTTTTCAGTTTTAAAACTATTAGAGTGTTTTTTTCTTACCAACCAATTGTATTTTACTTCAAGAGGTTTTTGGGGTGAAAGATCTACGCTGTATATCTTATGAAACATACCCACGTATTTTTCAAGCACGTAAGTCAAATCTTGCGAAATTGTGTGAATAGATTAAATTCATTATCTGGTCTGGGGTGTATCAAAACTTTGGTTGTTAAAACTTTCTTCCCTGACGTCTTTATTTAGTTCAAATGTATATGAACTTAAGGGTTTTGGTTTTCGCTCATTGGTTCATACCTCGTTATTTCTGGTAGCGCGTGCTTGTAAACTGTTTAAAATATATTCTGAAGCTGTTGGCCATGATAATTTCAAAGACTAGATACTTGTTGCCTGCACATTTTTTACTTTGAGAGAAAATTGTCCCTATTGAATTTTTACTGATCACAAACTATCTACAAATGACCTGACTCGACTATTTGCAAATTAATAGCTATCAAGACATTTTGCTTTTACCATGTTGACGATTGGTTGTAAGTGTTTCTCCCTGCATAAAAGGATGACTGCATGAACTGAGAAATTTGCAAACACTTGAAGCCTGTCCAGAGATGTGCCATTTATCCTTCCATTATCTTGCACTTCAAGTGGGTATCCTTTTCGTTGTCCAATTGTCCAGGTGGAGCTCATATAATCACTGAATGCTTTGTAATCATTGGCTAGACGAAAAATTACCTCGAATCATTTTGGATCTACAGCCGGGTATTTTGATAAACAAAATAAAAAACTTTTGTGACAAACAAAATCATAATGTTTTGAATAAGTTTGGCGTGGATTGCCAGGGAGATTTATGAATGTAATTGTGCCAATGTGGGATGCCTAGAATTCAAGCTAATCAAAGGGCCAAGGGAAACATGACGACAACACCAGTGTCTGAAGAGATATCAGAGAGAAGTAGTATCCTAGTTTTATATTTCCTTAAAGTCTAACTAATGATACTTATCATAGCTTTTGCTATCCTCCCTACCCCCTAATAATGCATGAAATGAAATCATCCTGCCCCTTTGTTATTAGCGTGTTAAATCCCCCAAAACCTTCCAGCTCTTCTAGTCCGTAAAATGATCGGCGTTTACTGATAAGGGTTGTTTCGATTAAACGATGGATTGCTTACTTTTGATGGGAATATAAACAGATTTGTGTGATTGCTCAGATAATGTTTAACTTCCGGTCACTGTCGAGAAGCGTAAGCAACATACCATCATAAAGGACAACGATCTCGTACCAGTCTTGTTTGACCAGAACCTGATTCACTGCGTTAGAAAATTCGTCATTACCATGATGCCTCCATATCACATGGCTGGCTGGGTTGTTGTTTTCATTGTCAGGGAGGGTATTTCTGGACACGGAGACAACAGGAACTCCGACCATGTTTAGAAAACTTATAAAATGTGAGGAACAGCTGATTGATAATACAAGGCTCACGTTGCGTTTTTGGATTTCATTTCCTGAAACAAATGGCAAATGCAGATAACTCAAATTCAGATAATTATCTAGAAAATTTATTTTACACGACATGATATGATATTATATAATATGGCATTATATGATAAAATATTGTATTATGACATGGTGTTATATTATATAATGTTATATTATATTTTACAGTATAATATATCGTATTTTATTAAATTAATTCATATTATGTTGTTTTTATAATGTATTATTCTGTATTAGTATGTATTGTCATGATAAATCATACAAGTCTTGTAGTGCAGTCTTTGAAGTGATGAACCAGGAACAAATTAGTAAAAAGCAAAATGTGCACCATGCTACGTGGAGTTTTTTCCTCAATACCATATCCAAAATTGCCTAAAATAAAATTTGGGGAAAAACTTTTCTAGAACTTTTAAAAGCATGAGTTTTTGACCATATGCACAATATCATCTGCCGAGGGATTCTGCAAAATATCAATGGCTTGCAACAATTCAAGGCGTAAATTCTGAATTTTGAAGCTAAACAGGTATTCGAGTGGACAATTGAGAAGTAAAAGTGAGTATGAGGGCCCGCACCACCGAGGGCCCGGACGGGCCATGACCCTCTTACTTTTTTGGTAAACAAAAATATTCCCATAGAGGTCCTGTTTTGAAGCCCTAAATTCAAGTTCAGTGTATAGAACTTGGCCCCTCCATTTAAAATTCGTGGCGTGGGCCTTGAGTATAGGTTGAAAAGTAGCAAAATAATTAAGTCTGGTTGCTAACCCGCCAAAATTTTTGAAAATTCTTACTAATTTTTCAACAATTTCACAGATAGGTCAATTCTGTCTTTTAAGGACCTTTAGTATTTGGAACTCTTTCCCAGGATAAAACGTGAAAGGCAGTTGTCATGATATATTATTTTATATTGCATCTGCTGCTACAAGATTAATGCAGCCGTGAAGACGAGGTTGTACATTTGCAGTCCACGAATAATGCCGCATCAGTCCAAAGCTTATCTTGTATCGTTGTGACAAGGTCTTCTAGCGCCGCTTTTAGGCGGTACCGGCCCTGGAGCATAAGCCATCACAACTCCCTAATTTGAAGCGAAGGCCCAACACCCTTGCTCTTGCTCTGAAATCGAAGGCTAAAATGGGCTTTATATGTTCCTTTGTAGCGTGGTTAACATTTCATCTTTTCTAAAACTTTCTCATGAATCTTCAGCCTTGGGTTTTGTTTACACAAAATAGGTATGAATGCAGAGTTACGCGGCAAATAAAAGTGAGTCAACTTATGACCCACTTTGCTAGCCTGAGTTCAAGACCGTCGAAAAGGCGCTTTAAACATTCGAAAAAGCAGAATTAATTCAAAACACTAACATCTTAGCTTTTTTGAGGTACCTTTCTTGGGTCTCGACGACAGTTTTGATGAACTAAAACGTTATCAATTGGAGTTTTTTAACTCTCTCTGTTGAATTATTGTTTAAATCAAATCTTGCCTGTCTTTCACTGTGCTTTATAATGTTTGAGGCACCTTTTTCATAACTTGTACTGCCTTTCCATTTTTAAAAACTAGCATGCATATCACAAAGTTTTAATCCAAAAAATTGCATAGCGATTCTGTCATATTTATCCAGAGGTACCAGTTTCAAGAAAGTGAGCCGTTCATTTGTACCATCAGGAAATAATGACCTGTGTTGATATCAGAATCACATAGTGACATTACATCTTTGTTTGGCATGTCCCCAATACCCAAAATAGCCCATCCCCCGAGTAAATTGCTAAGGCATTGAATAACTTTATGTACCCTGAAATATTGATAAATGTCCCTCGCTTATGGTGCCTTAACGAATTTTTATTTTGGCATTCAAAATCTGCCTGCCGTTTATAAAATTCCTGCCCATGTTTTTAGGGAAATCAGAAAAAAACTGACTTCTTCGTTTATTGGCCCTCTTATTAATTTTTCAGGCCTACAATAGGAGAATTTTTCCTCACGTAAATCTACAATTTTAGAATAAAAACGGATTTCTTGCTTTTCTGAACAGATGCCATCAGTTGTGCTACAAGTATTTGATTATCAAATGTGGACTCGTATACCATATAAACCTCAAAAAAAATTTCCCCAACAGTCGATTTTGGGCGATTTTAAGTTATAGTTATAGAGGAAACAATTCTGCACTGGATGGTGAAAAATTCGCTTTTCTGTCATTTTTTCCCCGGGTGACCTTGAATTAAACGCTCCACAACATCACTGTTGTAGAAGACTTATTTGATGTACCTCTGAGATTCATAATTATTTAACTCTGTATGGTATTAACAAATCTTTTTAGATTAGATCACATCTTCAGTTTGCAAATTTCGATCAAGACTAATATAGCTCACCCATCTTTAAATAGTCCATTTCTTCAGAGCACTGGAAGTGGAAATGGTCCAATCTTCCAGCAAACGATTTTTCGGATATGACATTTGCTGTCACGTTGCTGATTATCTCTTTCTCTACTTTTGAAAGCTCCTTAAACATTATACCTGCAAACAGAGATTAAAGCATTATCAAACAAAGCCATCAGTATTTCGTAAGGCAGTATCTACTTCAAGCAATCTAGAACGGAAGCCAACCTAGTGACGTCACTATGACGTAAATTACTCACCTATAGTTATGTTATTATCACATACTGTGAAACATATCCCGTTGATGAATACTGCCAAATATACAAGGAGGTGCATGTTGCTTTTGATGTATGTCTTCAAACCTTTGGTCCCTTGAAACAAGAAGATGAAAATGTCAAAAAAATTCAACTCTGCTTTCTATTTTAAAGACAGGATCAGTGCTATTAATTAATGCGTTAGACGTTATTGCTTAAAGGAGTCATAATTTTATCACTTTAGTGGATCTTTAGTTTTTTTAAAGTTTGATTTAGATATTTTCTCCCAGTGATACAAGAAACCTTATTTTTTTAAAAATATTTTCAAATACGACTAAGAAAACAAACTGTTGAACATGTCAATTTTAATGAAAATATAATAATATAAAATCAGATACCTCTTTTAATTTTTAATGAGTATTTTAAGTGTTCTTTATATATGTTGAAGTTTTAAAGGAATGAAAGGGGCTTTCTGTTACTATCATGCACATATTTTGCTTTTAGCTATATTGTCAATGGGTAATAACTGAATCGTGCTAGTGTTGGCACGACAATGTGCTAGTTAGATTTATTTAAATATTTCATGAATTTTGAGTGAAACCGTAAATTGAAAAATATCAATGCAAAAGTCTTTCATTAGCTTGAATGCTGCAAAAATATTTTTGAAACAGCAACAATAGAAATCATAAGGTCATTGTATATTTGTTTAAGGTCGCACAAATGAATGCGTTTGGCAGCAGAGCCTTTCTTCCAAACAGTTTTTAAGAGATGAAATGAATTTACGTCCATTTGGTTTTTATTTTGTATACACACCTTCTTGCAGTAGCCGTAAAACTTATACATCTTGTACATTAATTTCTCTTCGTTCGAACATGCAAAATGAATCAAAACAATGCAACGAAAACCACACTTATCGATGATGGCTAAGCACTCAAACAATAACATTATTTACGTCACAAATCAAACACACAGCTACTTACTTCTATCGTGCTTCTCACGATGTTTATCATTTTCCGCCGATTTGGAATACGCTTCCATCTTGATTCTTGAAAATTTTTCTAATCTACTCTCCGTTTGCATCGTCGGCAAAAATGAGTCAAGCGGGATTCTTTCCAACAGTTAATTGAATTATTAATGACGAGAAAATAAAAATAGAAACTCATGGCAGAAAGTAATTAAAATATTTCTCACTACATTTATCTGTGATTTTACCCACTACGAATAATCCAGAAGCAAATATTAAGTACACTGCTACTCGGTTTTTTAAAGATTTTGCTTACTTTCAGATGTCGCGAAGCAGTTGTTTATCTCCCTTTTACATGTTGTCCGGTTTGATAAGATTCAGCGTCTTTGTTCTTCACAATACCATCATCAGGTCCTTCTCAGCATTAACTAACGCAAATCTACTTAAACTTGCAGCCAAGTTTCTCAGTATGATTTATTATGCAAGTCAAAGAGTGAATACTTCATCTTGAATGCAACTTCATACCTGATCTTGACACTTCTGTTAGATCAAATCATGTCAATCCAGTGTCGTTGTTTTGTTTACATACATCTCGAAGTGCATCACAAAGGTCTGCTAAAATCGTTGTTAGGGATACAATGTTATCAATGGCAGTGTTAATCGTTGTTTCAAATTCACGTGCAAACAAACAGAGAATTGTAACTATTTGAGAATGTAGCTTGGTTCATTTCACAGATAGGTATTTAAGTATTGCGCTGTCAACGTCAAATTAAATGGCCCCGTTTAGCAGAAGGCATATCAGATTCCTCGCGCAAAAAAGCTTTTTGCCCTTCTACAACAAAACAACTCACTCCAAATTTCTATCAAAAAGAGCTTTTGCATTGTAATTTAAGCAGTTAGACCAAACATAAAATGGTTAGCCATCATATTTTACGTCATCTCTAAGTATTGTCCCTATCTGATCAGAGTTTCTCTGTCTCCATTCATGCTAATTTAGCTGCGTCATGTATGCTTTACTGTCTTCATGTCTCAATATTAAGTGAAATAGTTGTAAGAACCATACTTGCTCCATTTATCGTGGCCTTCATTGTTGCTCTCTAACAATTTACTCAGAGAGAAATGTTACATTGTTTTCCAAATTGGTTTGCGGGAAGAGTTTATAAGTTTCTGTCACACCTTTTCGTATTTTGAAAGAATCATTTTTCCACAACAAAAATTACATAACAAAATAACATTGATGAATATTATTATATAACAGATTACATAAGATTACATAACAGAAATCATTGAAGTTTGAGCAACGTCATTGTGAAATAGGCTATATGAACAAGAAGAAAGAGCTTTGTTTATCTTCTGGATCTTATCTTTGTTTATCAAAGAATCTTCCTTTTGAACTGTTGCAAGTGCATCGTTGTAAGTGCATCGTTGTAAGTGCATCGTTGTAAGTGCATCGTTGTAAGTGCATCGTTGTAAGTGCATCGTTGTAAGTGCATCGTTGTAAGTGCATCGTTGTAAGTGCATCGTTGTAAGTGCATCGTTGTAAGTGCATTGTTGGGGGTGCTTTGTTCCCCTTCACAGAAGCAGTCAGAAATTCCTAAAAAACTCTGCAATTAAGAGAGCCTTCTAGTGATATTTTTTTAGCAAAAAACCCCTCTATTCTTGTATGCTTAAGTTGTCTTGGAAAGGAAATAATTTCTGGCTTTGAAAACTCTGGCTCTGATATTGGTTTTCTGATTTAGATTATCAAGTATAAATCAATTTTCTCGGTTGTCACCAAGCTCTCTTTGAGGACATGTTAGTGAGTCATCTCTAATAGATGATTCAACGAGAAATGGCTTTGAGATGAAATTAGTGATTTAATTTAAAGAAATATTGCACCCAAATGTTTGATGGCTGCTGGTCATTCGCACGGTACTCTGACGCGATGAAGTAAACTGACGGTAACTTAATAAGTTAGATCAACACAAATAAAGACAATATTTGCGTTATCTTTAGTTTTAAGCCTATTCGTAGTCGGATCGCCTTTTGTTGAGCCGCTTATTGTGTATGTTAGTAGATACCTTGGTCTTCGCTTCAAAATTTTCAGCACTGACACGTTATTTACTTGTTCCTAGTTTGTTCTTTAATTTAAAATTTCAAATGAAACCAATCTTCTTTTGTGCATCAAGTTCAGGTGGCGGTTTTGATGAAAAAGAAATGTCTTGTTCGCAGTTTTTAATCAAGCAATTTTTGCAGAAATAATTTCAAAAATTATCTCTGGAAATTAAGAAGCAGATACTTGTTTGATTTAGAAAAACGCAATAAGATGCAAACAACACGACATTAGAGTTAATCCTCTCTTATCCAAACCGCTCCCGATCCAACAAAAATCCTCCGATAAAAAACAAGTTTTCCTTTTGTAGGTAACAACAAGATGGTTATTCATTTGCTTTACTGGATATAAGTGTACAACATACAAAACTGTAATCTGAGTACAGCCTTTAAGTTAAAATTTATGTTGATGACGCAATTGGGATTTGCTTTCCTGGAAGTATCGAATCCATCTGTATTCATTGTTAGCGCTGCATTCTGGTCAAGTCAATGACATTTTCTTGCATTTCGGTTTTTTATTTTTGTAGCTTCAATATTAGCTTGGAGTGTAAGATCCGTTGGTTGATATTGCATAATTATTTGGATTTCAGAATGAACTTGCGAAATGGCTGTTTAATATTTAACTTGAAGACTGCGTACATTTGAAAATCAACGCAAACTGTGTTCAAACATAGTTGAGCCTCAAATAACCATAAATAAACGCCTCCGGCTAATAGACGACCTATTTATCAACTGTTATCTTCTGATAAGCCCAGCATGGAGGTTTGAAAATTTGACGATAAAATCTTTGGATGATATTTGTATTTGGATGATCATTTTAAGTCAGCAAAATTTATCAACTGTTTTAGATTCGGTTGAAAAAGAGCAAAATCCTATGTTCCTATACTGACAATGAACTTTAGGGTTAAATTATATCTTATATCTGAATTACATCTATATCTATATTATAGTCAAAATATAAAAGCTATCACAGTAAAAACAGAATGTATAATGGTAGGTTTTCTAAAATTGTAAAAGAAGCAAATTGAAAAAGAAAAATTGGTAAGACAAAATTTACACGCCAACAATCTTTTTGAGACGATGACTCAGAATAAGACAACTGCATTTTCACTGCTTTGTTTTCTTAGTGTTAGTATTTACAAATATGCATAGATTCATTCAATACAGAATCATTATCACATTAGTTGTTTTCATTCACTACCAATAGTTGTTTGCAAAAGTGTAAATATATTTACGTGTCTCGCAAGTTAATTTACAAATTTCATTTGAATTTTGCTGGTTTAGTGTTAATGAAGTTACTATTTAGCTAAAGTGTGTTTCTTGCTTATTTCAGCATAAATACTAATCCTTTAAAGATTGAATACAAGTACTATTCAACATATTATATTTTCCAGTCCCCTAATTCATCCACCGACACTTTCCTTCCAGCTTCATTTCCAATGAGTGGCCTTGAACCAACCTATTTCATTCCACCGCCTGGAACCAACGCAATTTCATTCTCTTTAAAAAATTTACTATTCTTTGACGAAACCTCGGGAATCGTCCTTTTATCTTTCATGATACGTCAGTGATTGAATGCTGTGTCCTCCTAAGCTTTTCCTTCTACTGCTGATGGGTTCTCTAGCACATCAATTTTGGTTGCGGTTTTTCTACAAGAAATAATAAAACATTAGGTAGGGAAAATAGCAGTTTGCCTCAAGGATTTCTATTTGTCATGCGCCATCCCAAAGCTGCAAGGAGCTGCTTTCTGCTTCACGGAAACTCTTCACAATTTTTTAACAAGCTCCTTTGAGTCAAATATAGAGAAAATCGCTTGACCCAATTTTTCAAAGTTTCTATTGTTGTTTCCACTTTTGTAACCTTTACGATCTTTGAATACCCTTGTGCGACTCTTAAAAGACAACTTTTACTCTCTCTCTCTCTAAACTAGTGTTCTGGTATCAAAGCCAATAAAGAGCTTTGATTGCATTTAAGCAACAGCAAAATAAATCGTAATTTTTAGAGGCGAGTCAAATTTTTTTCAGCTTTAGTAATCTATGCTTGCAGTAGCCCTCTAAATGCATTGCTTTTAACCACACACGGAGGAAAATTCAATAGAGCAATCAACCTAACGGCAATGATGCACGCTACCAATGTCCTAAGAATCTTGACTTTTTCTTAGAAAAAAATTCATATCTACTCATTTAGATTTAGAAAAGGCTCTGATCAGGCCTCTAGCGTTGTTAGATAACAATTAATCCTATGTTTGGTTGATCAATTATAGCTTTGTGACTACCTTTTTCGTTTTTCTACAAACGCCTTGAATTTCTTTCCCAAGCTTTTCTTCCACCAAATTTCTACACCAACCATTATCACGGATATGACAATGCCCGCAGACAGTACCAGATACACACCAAGCATTTCCTTGACGTCCAAACGAGACTGTGAAACTACAACACAAAAGTCACTCATATGTTAGTGTATAGAGATCGAAGTTTTAAGAGAGATTTCTTTTACTCCATCATTCAATGTTTTTAGATATCCGGTTATTCATGAACTCTTTACTTTAACGACTACAACAATCTCAAGGCCTCTTTTGAAAGATTGTCAAGAAAATACGGCATGATCAATGATATTCAAACAGGGAACGTTTCCAAACGTTTGTTGTAGTATTTCGTCTTTAAGATTATCTTCACACGCAGAAGTATACGAGTCAAAAGCTTTTTTCATATTATTCTTTCCTTTGAACAATCCCTGCCTTCTGTACACAGCCCACCTTCTTCAATTTTTGAAACGGGCTGAACATTTTAAAAACGCCTATTATAGACTTTAAGTTGTTTCATGGTATGGGAAGGAAGGGAGTTCCAACGGTGATGATACTGCAGACAATATTCTTACCTGCGTTGGTTTCTTTTGGACATTGATTTTGGTATTCCCACCATTTCCTTTCAAAGGAATCTGTGACCCCCTGTTCCTGAAGCCGAAGTATCCCAAGAGACATTGCATGCGTGTATTTCGAGCTGAGAGGCAGGCCAAATGCAAAGCTCATTGGCTGAAGAACGTTGTTAACTGCAAAATAATGAAACCCGTCTTGAAAAATGAAAAGCCAAGTCCCTGGTTGTAATAAAGGTCAGCGTAGTAGTTGACGTCATATTTCTAAACATGGCCTCAACATGGAAAGGATTTTTTCTAAAAGTTGAAAGAATAATTTTTGTGTCATAATTTCTTTCAGCTTTCTATTGATTTAGCTTTTCTTCTTGATCAAACATAAAGCTTTCGCATTTAATTTTTCTGCTATAGAATTTCTCAAACTCTTGGTAGTTACATAAGATTCATTATTAATTAGATATGTAGTTCTATGGCCCTTACTTGTAACTAAAATGCATTTCTTCCTGCCCTTATGGTAATTGAGAAACGGCTCTTCTGCTATAAAGGCTTGCTTTTCTCCATCACGCACCCTTTGGACTGCATTTGAATGTGACGTCTCGAAAGCGTTCACTTTCGTTGCTTTCTCCCAGACCTCCTTGTAAAGGCTGTTCTTAGAGCTTTCAATGACTTTTGCAATAGCGCTGTCGTTGAGCAATATCATATCATAGTTCTTTGCCACAGCCTCGTTCAAAGATGCCACTGGCAATTCGCTGTTCTTTAAAACCAGAAACGAGGCGAGATTAGCTGTGTATGTTGCATTCCAAATCAAAACACAAAACCAGTAGCAACCAGCAAGTATTCGACCTGCGGGAAACGATGTTTCATCCATTTCAACATGAAGATTAAAATTTACCGTTAAATCTGTCTGCTCAATTTCTGTACGATATTAAAGGAGTTGAATAAAGAAATAATGCCGTGTGCATTAATAGAAAGAAACACATAGAAGGAGAAGAAGGCCTTCAAAGACGATTATCTATTTTTAGCTCTACACGAATAAATCAGTCACCTGAAAGATTTCTGGGGGTGTTGTCCGCGCCCTGCGCCAACATGCAAGCCAGGCAGAACCACAAACTGTTAAATAAGCTGAATTCATCTCCATCTTCTCCCTGTGCTTGTTGCGTTTGTCGCCAGCCATAAGGACTATGTTTATCTAATACATAGACTATCAATGTGACGACAATGCAGCTTGAGATGAGCAGTAGCCAAGCAGGAATCGTGAACGGTGACATGAACTGTGTCAAATCAAGCTCTTTCTCTTCCTGCTTTTTTACTAGCAAACCGACTGAGAAATGCATGAAAGGCTTAGTGAAACTTAATGATTTCTGGCGACTTGCCGATACAACGAGTGGATTCAATGCAACGTCAGCTTTCTAAAAATAAAGGGTAGTTAGATCATCACAATTTCCAGCATCATTATCATCATTCTTATTATCATCAATCATCAGCACAATCATAAGCATTTATCACTATAATCAATCTTCATCATTAATCATAATTGATCATCGTTATCAAGTATCACCAGGATCATTAGCAAGCATCGTCATCATTGTAATCGGTTTCAACCATAAATCATTATCATCAATCACTATGAATCATAGATCATCAAGCATCATCAGAATCATTTATCATCATAATCAATCTTCATCATCAATCATAAGTGATCATCGTTATCAAGTATCATCAGGGTCATTAGCAAGCATCGTCATCATTGTAATCGGTTTCAACCATAAATCATTATCATCAATCACTATGAATCATAGATCATCAAGCATCATCAGAATCATTTATCATCATAATCAATCTTCATCATCAATCATAAGTGATCATCGTTATCAAGTATCACCAGGATCATTAGCAAGCATCGTCATCATTGTAATCGGTTTCAACCATAAATCATTATCATCAATCACTATGAATCATAGATCATCAAGCATCATCAGAATCATTTATCATCATAATCAATCTTCATCATCAATCATAAGTGATCATCGTTATCAAGTATCACCAGGATCATTAGCAAGCATCGTCATCATTGTAATCGGTTTCAACCATAAATCATTATCATCAATCACTATGAATCATAGATCGTCAAGCATCATCAGAATCATTATTAAGCATTAGCGTCATCAGCATTGTCCTTACAACCAAGAGCCCGATCACGGTTCATATCAACTTTAATAATAAGGATATTACCTGTTTGTCTAATGGGTGCGAATGAATGAAAACTAACCTCATCAGCAAGCTCTTGTATTAAACTGTTAATATCGTTTCCTTTGGCTCTGTGTATCGTGAATTTGAAATTCAACAGAGTGGAAAGTCTTGTTAACAAATCGAAACTGTAGCCTGTGAAATTGTACGAACTATCGTTTCCTCCATTTTGATTTATGAAGACAAATGGCTCTTGCTGTAATAGAGAAAGCAATCTCAGAAAGAAAATTCCGATACTAAAAATAGTACAATACTTAAAGTTATTTAAGTATGGAATTTTCTTTACATATTGCCGTGTAAATGTACACAAGCTTCTTTGACTTCTCAACTTTTACTTTTTTCTTACTCATCATGCAATATGATATACAATAGTTGCATCAATTCTTTTCCCAGTGACAAAGTTCTTAGAGTCTGGTACTCAACGCGAAAAATTGCTTGATTTTACAACCGCCGTACAGCTTTAAGAAAGTTACCTAATGTTTGACAATAGTTCAAAAATACGGAAACATTTCATACCTAAATACTTTTCATGTGACACTCCTCAGATTATAAACGTCAGATCGTGTCCAAAAGTAAGCAGAAAATTAGCTGAAATATCTCACACTATTTCGTACTTTTTCAGGTTTTGCGATACCAAGGGTTATTCAGTTAGCTAATGGTGAAACGCGTTTACTGGACAGTAGTAGTGACATGCAGCGAATACAGAAAAAGTGCATATATCTTTAAAATATATAGAACTGGCAGGTTCTAATATATGTAACGATTTAATTTGACCTTGGGTTAGGATCATTTTACTTTATGCAAGATTCAACCCTCATATCCAGGATTGATGCTAGTCTAAATCAAGATGTATGCTGATAAGTTTGCAAATTAATATTTTTAAAGGCGCATTGAAGTCGGTCAAATGCTTCCCCAAACTTATTTACGTCAGTGTTTTGTGCCTGCAACGTAACTTGTGTCTGTGTTTTCCTTAAGTTAACTTGTAACTGATCCAATATGGCGGTGTCAAGCTTTGTACGATTGCAGGAGCATCATTATTTAAAACGTTTAGTAGCATTTCCAAAAGTTTCATTTGGTTCTTCTAGACGCCTACAGCATCCAAATTCACGACCACAACTCTGACGTAGATCAGAATCCAAGAAATGCCATAGCGTATAATATCCCATTGTAGATTCAATTTTAAACAAGCTTGTGACGTCACAGCAGTTTACCTGTATTGCCACCACTCTAAGAGTTTTGTGGGCTATTTCTGTTGTACTCAGAGGCCTGTTCTGCTTGACGTTGCCGGTTATCGTTGCTCCACCTGCTGTTGTGTAGGTGCCAATCTGTTTAGATAAAACCGAAACTGAGTAATCGATTGGTATTTGAAAAGTGATTTAATACTTACAATGCTTGTACAAAGATCTTAAACTTTCTTAGAATATCAGGATATTAGGGACTTTTAAGCGATCTAATCCAGAAAATGTCTCCTCGTATTTGATATTAAATTGATTTCTTAGATCTAAAGTCCGAAACAATAGTATCTTGCCTAATCCTTTGTCCCATTTTTGCCCTAAGAAACTTTTCTTACTTATTTGACTTCCCCTCAAATGTTGGCCAGTTTAGTGTTTAAACTCTTTATTCTAAATCTGGCACAACTCAAAGACGTTTTCTACAGTAAAGAAAAGGCTCATATTTCCATTTCACCATCATCCAAAACATGTTTGCAAGGAGTATATTAAAATGAAGAAAGTATGTCCTTGCTATGTCGTTTTGTATAAAGCTACTTTTCAGCATTTATTTATGCAGCAAAAGGACTCATTAAATGGTTACCAATAATTGATGATTAATAGTATATTACCTGCTAGTGGTGGTAACAACGAAAGTTTTTACAAAACAAAATGCTATTTGAAATTAAAAGATTTCTTAAAAAACAAGTCTAATTAAAAATACAAAAGTTTATAGCATTATCAAATAATGTATCATAGAAAAGTTGAAAGTCATTTGGCTAAGAATGAAATAGTGAATTTTTTATTTGAAAGACAGCAATGTGCATGTTCTTTAAGTTTAAAGCATTGTAGTACGTCTCTCTAATAGCCCCTGCTTCTCTGGTCTCTGTCTAACAATCAGTTCATTCGATGCAACAATTTTCCTTACCCGCTCAAAGGTATCCTTCTGTAGCATTAGTATTTCAAGTTCGGTTTGGTTCCGTTCTCCGTTTGGCTTTATTGAAGCCGATCCCGTGAGTCCTTGTATTGAGACCTGGATAGTGAAGTATCAATTTGTAACACCCAGAAATATTTTCCATCAAAAGAACATTAGAAAAAACCGAATATATATCTCTAATCCAGAAAAAGCCGTTAACAACCGGATTACTGAAATTTGGGTACCGTATTTGTATTTGCTTTTGTGTAAGATGAATTAAGTTTCATGGAAACAATATGATAGATGGTTGTAGTTGAGGTGTTCTCATAGTACCACTTTTCATTTGTTCAGCTTTGCTTATTCGAGACCTATAGCAGCTTTTTTGACATGCTAAAGGGTATAGTTTTTCCCATAGTCATTTCCTGTGTTATCAATTTTACCAATCAATACACTGAAAGTTCTTTGATTGAAAATCACTTTCTCCTAGATTTACGCCATATGCCGAATGGATTTGTAAGAGCATAGCTTCAGCGAAAATGTTCAATGGTAAGTGGATATTCAATAAGTTTGCAATGTTTTTTGTACTCACTTTGCTCATTGCTTCTCGAACCAACCCGGCATTTGCTGTGCGATTAGGAAACAGACCATTGTTTCCCTTTGTTGCCTGGAGCGCCCATTGGTTGTTTGAAATCACGTGTTCTGTAGCTGCAGCCGCCAACATGATGGCATCATGCAGCAAAGCTGCAGATTCCTGGTTTAAAAAGCAAATTGGTAACTAGACAAGATTTAATTGATATTGATTTTGAAGAGCTTAGAAGTTGGAATGGAATATTGATAGTTGATCAATGAACTGAGGATCTAGTTGATATATATTCTATTATTTCTTTGGAGTATAAGATGAGATAATAATACCCCTGAAAAACGAGCCCAGAAAGGTTTTTTTTCACGGCGGATATTTGGAGGATTTGTCAGGGGCAGCCAAACTCGTCTTGAACTGGCGGGGGATAGGATGTTTTTCCAAAGAAGGAACGTAATACAGTTCGGGGAAGAGAAACATTCTTGGATAATTCGATTTTTTTCGAAAATGGATATCCTGGTTGGGATCTTCTCACCGAGGGCGGTTTTCAACAGGTTTGTTGAACAGGATTGTTTAAAAGCTTGCAATGCATACCGGTAAATCGTATTCCATAAAGTCTGCTGAATCTCGAATATTTGATAAGAGGTCCTTGTAAGCTTTACCCCTGTCGAGTTTCATTCTGAGGGCTACGACCTTGTCCAATGGATTGGCGTTGTATCGCGTTGAATTCTATGAATGAAAGGCAACTTGTTATCTAACTTATAGGCAAATGCTGCAGTAGCGCTAGCAACGTTGCATTCATTATAAAAAATCAAATATTCTTTATATGGGAGCTTAAGAGTTAAACACATTGTTAAATACAAGGAGAACAACAATTTCACAGTTTCTCTGTTTTATGGGACTTTAAATGAGGAATAATAGGGTTTAACAATCCACAGACTGCTACATTGAAATATCCAATTTAACACCCGATTGTTGGTAATACACAAAATTAGTCTGAGAATCATCGCAGGAGTAGGTTTTGGGCACTCACTGATCTTCTGTGCAGTGTTGTTTCGGCAAGAACTGGATGATTGTTACTGCTAGGTGCTGCCTTTTATTCGGAATGTTTTCTAATTTAGTGACCCAAAGTGCCAGTGACTCACCCCTATGCCCCCTAAACGATCCACAGGCTTTTTGCTCTGAAGATTTAGACATTTTGCACCGAAGAAATGCCATAATTAATTCATAAGAAATATGGCAAATTTGAAATAGGCAAGGTTTCTGGAAACAGTATGTCAAGCTTGATGAGGTGCTGATTCTCTCTTTCTTCTCTCTTTTTTCTCGGGGGAACTGCTGCGATTTTGTTTAACCTTCTAATTTCCTGAGAAAGAACTCTGAAAATCATCAGACATTTTTAATTGAGTAATATACAAACCACAAGTGGTAGGACCCAAAGCATGCTCTCTGAAGACGTTGCGCAAGAACAATAGAGATTGACCTAAAAGGCAAATGAATTCGTCTTAAAGATTCCAAAAGAAAACCAGGGTTTCCAGCTATTAGCTACATTATGGTTTTAAATTGCGAATAGAGAGAGCAAACTGCGGCAGAAATTGGCAGATTTACCTGTTAAGATTTCATCCTAACATTTAATCTAATTATTGATATTTTGTTTAAATAAAGTAGCTTTTATTCTCATCTTGATATTCCAATCAAAATCTTTGTTCAATAACCAGCTTCCAGCTTCTTTAGTATTGATATGCATTAGAATTCTATCTTGTTTCTGACTAAATGTAATTGCTATGAAAAAACTACTTCTTCAAACCAAAGAAACAACTACTTCATGTAGATTTATTTTAGGTTTATTTGACTGCATTTTCAAACAAATGTTTGAAATATGTACTATAAAAAAATTCGGTTGCATTTTCGAAATTTTGGGAATCATTTAATGAAACAGTGTTTCCGAAATTGATTCTTTTACCAATGCTTCTCCTTTGAAAGTAAGGAATTCACAATTTTGTAAAGACGATAATTGGCAATATTTATTTTCACATCATTTTTTCTTTTTATTAAGACATTCCCTAGACATTTTGCAACTTTGCATGAATTATATTCCATCCTTAATTACTACCGTATAGTGTTTAAAAAATAGGCAAGGACAAAACGATATTTTGTATTCGTTTTTGTTTTTACCAATGTGCCAGAACGATGCTGTATTTTCCAATTGGTATACTGAATTTGCAAATTGAACACGTACACCTTTTTTTAAAAATCTCAATTTCAATTTATTTTGTTTATTTTTTGTTTGTTAATTTCAGTACTTAAATGCCTCAAAAGCTCCTTATTAGTCAGTGCTAGAGAGTTAAATCTGGAGAAATACAGAAATGCAAAATAAGAGCAGAAATAAGTTACTAATCTTGCAAGATAATTTTTCAATCCTTTCTTCAATAGAATCATTGTTGAAGCGTTTCTTACGGTAGAGGGCGCTTGTTGCTAAAATTTCTTAGTTTTAAATGCGTTCAGTTCCCCTAAAAGCAAAGCAGCTAGGCTTTCTGCAAAATTTCCTCAAGTCTGTTTCAGCTTCAGATTTAGTAACAATTAATGAAGTAATCTAAAAAAATCTCTTCATTGGTGGAAAAGTGATCACTTTCGCAAAGAACATGATTCTCTTATACAGTTGACGTAATAAGCTTAAGCATTCCGCGCTTCAGAAAATTTACCTCGTTTGGATCAGGAGTGTATAAAAATATATCAAAAATGGCGTTATTGTAAGGAACCGTTGCCTTATAGCTTGTTGATTAATTCTCGTATTCTAACTAACATATAAAGAACTGATGGATTTTCCCATATTTTATGTTTATAAAGCTATGAGATGCATGTTGTTTCCGAACAAAAGCTGTTGCAAAAAGTGATGACCTCATCTTCATTTTAATACATTGCTTCATTTTCGTAAGTTTATGAGTCTTGTATCCTTCTTTTGTTCTCTTCTTCTGCAATCCTTTCATTATTCTCAATCCTATTCGGGTTCCCGTGCATTTGTGCAACTTTTATTGTCATATACATCAACAAATTTTCCGCTCTGTTCTAATTTTTATTCTTAAACGAATCTTGCTTATGCTCACTCAAGTTGCACCTGTTCAGCATTAGTACAAGAGAAGCTTTTGCTTTGAGCTGCTTCGATCCTCAATGGTATTACAAATTCACGTTTTGTTTTCTTACACTGTACATGTACTAGCTTCTATATACAAAACTTGAATTTGTGCTATAACAAAGAACGCTTTGATCAGATCCTTCATGAATTAAACCTTTTCAATTCATAGGGCTTAGTAACATTCTGTTCTTCACTTCACAAATGAATGTCCGGTCACTGACAGAGAACAGTCGTTGCATAAGTTGCCAACTTAGGTATATTTCAACCTCGATTTCGAGAATACAACCAGCATTTGCAATTTCATACAGCATCAATCCGAACCAACCATAATTTTTTACTGTACTTTAAACATACATAAATTATTTCCTTTATTCTGAGAAAGTTTTTTACATTATTTTTTGCACTTTTAGACCAAAATGTCAAAAAGTATAGTCAATTTCATAGAAGCTTTGATAAAAATTTTCATTATGAATTTCGGGCTTATGAAGATTCTCTGAAAGAAAATGGCCTGGGATTGGGAATAACGACAATGATATTGAAGCGAGGCTTCACTGAGGCATGTATCACCGCCTCTTGTCCACGACCATATTCCTCAAATAATTTGAAATGCTGCTTGAAAGGAAATTATTCATTAATAACATGCAAGCGAAGTGAGATGAAATAGGCTAGTATTGTATTCAAATACAGAGCTTAATTGTCTCTGTAGACAACATAGATAAAAACTTGACTTCAAAGTTTAAATTGTACTAAGAAAAAATAACTAATTCATAAACGGCTTTTTGAGCATAGCCCGTTATCAAGTCACTAACGGACTATGTTCAAAACATCGTTAATAAATTCGCTATTTTTGCCAAGTACACTTTTACTTCAATTTCAAGTTATATTGTCATATCATATTGTACAGCACGGCCGCCAATCATATATTCTCCTACTTGTTAGCGATAAAAATACATACGATATCCATAATCAGCTCCATGCTGCCAAAATCGACGAAAAGGATGACAGTCTTTATGTTAAAACCCCAAATACTCCGAAGATCTTGCAAGGAGTGTGACGTCAGTTGAGAGTCTCTGCCAAAGTTCAGATATATCAGCTGGTACTTTTTTAAGACATCACTTGACAAATCCAGAAAATTGCTCACTTGTTTCGATCTCAAAACTAAATATCGAAGAAGATGTTAAAAGCTTTTTAAGAAGATGTCATCTTGTACATTGGATTGTATTGTATTGCATTAAAGTGCATTGTGTTGCATTGTATTGAATTCCATCGTATTGAATTGCATTGTATTTTATGCATTGTATTGCACAGAATTGCATTATAATGCATTGTAATGCATTATATTGGATTGTATTGTATTGTATTTTATGCATTGTATTGTAGTTTATTGCATTGTATTGTATTGTACTTTATTGTGTTGCATTGTATTTTATCGTTTTGGATATTATTGAACGATTTCATGTTTGACCTTTCGTCTCCCCTCTCGCCTCTTTCATTAAATGTAACTTAAAGATTTATTTTTAATAAAACACTTGCTTCTGTTGACATCATCATGCCATAAGATATTTATACTTACCATCATACACAATAACAGCTTGTGTTACGTTAATGCCTGAAAGCAACTCGACAACAGCCTTGTTTATCGTCTCAAGGTTTTGATATAGCGAGAAAAAATGGTCGCACATTGAGTAGTCCTCAACTTGGGACAACCTGTCACAATCGAAACGATCAAGCGCTGTTGTTGTTGAATTGAGGATGTCTGCTGCGATTTCAGACGGCACTTGCGGAGGCGTTCCCTCGAATAAAGCGATGGTGTCCTTGTCCATGAGTTTGATTACTAGAAAATGTTGAATAATTTTTGTCAGTTTATAATAAGTCTTTTTTGCAACCGAGGGTAGGTGGGATGGGCTCCTCACTTCTGGTAGCGAAGTAAAGCTAGTTTGACTGGAAATCTTCTCGGATTACCTCCTGTGAAGTCTAGTGAAATCTACTTAGTTTCTTTCAATTTGATTCAGTTTACTGAAATGAGCAAGAATCAGGTCATTCAGGCCGGATATTGATTTCTTACTCATGTTCACGCTAGATGTTCTTATTTCGCGTGTGTCTATAGTGGAAAGCCCCCCTATTTTGGTAAATCTGGAAAAGCCCTAGTACAGGACCAGCAGGGGGATGCTGATTGTTAAGAGATGCTTATCTCAGAAGAGAAATGCAATCTTTTATTGCTTTTGTTCAATTGTATCTCTGAATGGAACTCAACTGTTGTTCTACTTTTCAAAAGGACTAATTATACTGTATCTGTCAGCTAATGTCAATAAACATATGACCCAGCTACCAAAATAAGGCAACTTGGTAGTAACAAAGTACGTTAGGGTGATTGTATATAGGTAATTTAGGGTTTTATAGTTATATTCTTTTATAGTATTTTTTCGTTTGTAATTTATATTTAATTTATTATAGTATCTGGTATTAAAGTTTCGGTTGGCTTAAATTAGCACTTGAGCTAGCAATAAGAGCCAACCTTATTGGCTCTTATTGCTAGCTCGAAATTATTATTATTATTATCATTATTATTATTATTATTATTATTATCATTATTATGACTATTATTATCATTATTATGACTATTATTATTAATATGATTATTATCATTATTATTATTACTATTATTTTTATTATTATTATACGATTGTCAGAGCGAACAATACGAATAACTAATACTCACTATTAGCCAGTGCGTCATCTGTGGACAAGGTCACATTGATTGCTTCTAGCGTTGTATTCGGTAAGATTTTCCCATCTCGATTTATTTTGTCAATGGTGTACTTGATCACAGATAGGTGCAGAGCATCATAAGGGTCTGTTATGATTCCTTTTGATGGAAAAAGAAATAAAATGATCCTAATGGTCAAGACACACATGCAGTTCACGGTATTACTGTGTGCTATTGTAATACTGCTAATTTTAGGCCTTTCTCTCTAGTCCATTCGTTTGATTTTCCTTACCTAATCACTCTTGTTTATCTGTAACTTTCCTTGCTCGTTCCGCATTTTTCTATCACGTGTATTAGGATAATCTTTGTAATATTATGAGTAACTTCATACCTACGTCAATTATCAGCATGTTAAGTAGATCGCCATAGCAACCCAGTATTTTAGGATATCGCGCTACCCCACCCCGCTCGTTACTAAGTAGACTAGAAATAGCTCTTGCTAGTACTGCCCGCAAACAATTAGTTCCTTGATAATGATTGTTTTGAAAATGTAGGTCAGGATATTCGAAGAAGACACCATCTTGGGTTTTCACAATTCTATAAAAACAGCTGCTCTAGTTGATGCTAAACTATTCTTTTTATCAAGAATTTTTGGTGTTCAGTTTGCCTTTGATTTAAGTCCAACGCCCTTTTGAAAATCATGAAGTTTTTCGAGGGTTTGACATTTATTTTTCGATAATCACGACAATCATAACTTTTGCTCGTACGGTCTCGAGTTTTTGGGAGAAAAGTGTGGCATTCGACTGGTTTTGATTCCCAAAACTTCGAATCAAAACTTCCATCCATTGCGGAGAACAGAGCTGTGATGCAGCACCGTTTTCGTGCCAACAATCATAACTTTTGCTCGTACGGTCTCGAGTTTTTGGGAGAAAAGTGTGGCATTCGACTGGTTTTGATTCCCAAAACTTCGAATCAAAACTTCCATCCATTGCGGAGAACAGAGCTGTGATGCAGCACCGTTTTCGTGCCAAAAAACCGAAGGCCTTTAACAGAGTCTTGGCAGAGCAACGCTCCGAAGATAATTCCCTTCCGCACAAAGAGGTGGCGGTTAACGACCTCCTCGACAAAGCCGATTGATTGACAATGAAATTGATTGACAGTTGTCATGGCAGCAGAAAAGTGACAAAATCTGCTGAAAAAGTGCTGACAACATGAACTGAAGCTTCCATATGCTACTTATACGCGGGGCAGACTATAAGCCCTTCACTCGCGCGCTATCGCGCGCGAGTTGCGGGCAATTACTTCCTTTCACCGTTTCTTTTACGTATGTCTATTGTTTTTAGTTCAGTATTTATAGGAGCCCCGTACCTCATCTTAGGGAGTAAGAATTATGGAAAAGTAGCAGCAAGAGAAAGCAGTTTAGGCATGCACCGTTTTAGGGGCAAGATGCTTGTGAAAGATCTTGTCGCCTTCGTCGTTTTGAAATATTTATAGAAGATATATATCAGTTTTGGAAGACCTCTGGGATAGTTCTTGAGAAAGATTATGCCCATGTCACGCGTTAATCATTATGCCGTTGTTAGCATGCAAGTTATGTAGCTGCCGGGACGATTTTATCGAAAGAAAAGAAGGAAAGATTTAACCGATTTACGTCGCATCATTTATTGGCCATCCTCTGCTTTTTTAAAGGTCCTGAGACTCAATCGATTTAAGCAACATTTTACACTATGTATTAAGTGAGAGAAGTTTTTTTCTCTTGTTTGTTGCCCCTTTGCAGAGTAGTATCTTCTGCAACTTTGGGAATGTCTTGATAGAAGTAAAGTAAAGCCTTGCAGACATGTTTTTCTAAACAAGAGGCGTGACATGTCACCAAACAACAAATTTCGCCCAAAAAATTTGTCCAAAACCCAGAACTTTAGGCTGTGAATTGGTCCTGCAAAAGATTTCAAAACAGTTTGTACTTTCTTACAACAGTGGAAACTAGGGGAAACTGATGCATTTTTAAGACAATATGTTATGCACTTTCAGTCTAGCAAACTTTCCAGTGAGAGGAGAAATTTGACATTTGAAATTGAAGTCAGACGGAATAAGTTGTGAAAGGCTTTAGGTAAAACAAAGCTCTCTTTCATGTTTTTATGTTTTCTTATTTTGAAGAAGGTTTTTAGAAGACTCCTTGCCTTACGATTGATGCTTAATGGTAGCTTTAGACTGATCCAAGTACACACGCGGGATAATACTCTAAACCTGATGTTATGTAGTTTGATATTTTCTAGTCTCTGATTTATCTACAGTAAAACAACGAAATACTTTGATGAAAAGCTAGCTTTATCTGCAGTTAAGGGACCCTAATGTTAATCGTAAGGGGACTAAAGGGACTATCTAGTGAATTAAAGGCACTGACAGAATACTCACAATACATTTTGCCTAAGACTTTCAATAAACAAGTCAAAAAACATCTTTTCCAGAAATGAAGCAAAGATTTTGGCGTATCAAATTTATTTGGTGGAGCACAAAGATATAGATGTTTTATTTATATTTAGGCCAAGATAAGAAATGATTTTATTGGATAGCCAAAAAAAAGCAGCGAAGATAAAGCTTCAAAATTTTCAAAGTTGTAATTGTCCAGAAAAACTAACAGTTAAAAAGCGTTGCTTTATAGTTGCAAGGCTTCAGCTCGCTCAAAGAGTTCTGTTGTCAACATTATTTTTATTTTTGAAAGTAAAAGACACTGCTGTGGCACCTGGATGTCTTTGGTAATTTAGAGGGACCGGTAGCTTTTGTAACGGATGATTTGCTAAATTTTAATCAGCATGCAATGAGAGCTGAATGTATAGTAGGAAGGCACTGTCAATGTCTTTGAGTTATGGATTAATATTTGTTCCTCCTCTAACAAATCTTGTCAGTACAAGCTTTATTGAACATGGATTATCTTTGGTATTCTTAAGCCACAACAGGGTCAGCTGAGAGGATGATTTCCACGAGGCGTACGCTGATGAAGGTATCGAGCAATGCGCTTTTAAGGTTTTTGATTTCGGAGCGAATTCGCAAGAAAATGTTTTCTTATTATCATTATTGAGTTGTTAGTTATTGCGAAGGGTTATTATCATTTGATTACCAATCATAGCCTGGTATATCTGCTTGTTTTCTGAGAAAATTATCTTTCAACATTCGCCATGTGTTCAATTTTGAAATTAGCTGCCTAGAAGTTAATTATTGGGGGAAATCAAAATATTGTTTCGTGACCAATTCGCAGTCTCGTCGAAATGAAAAAAAAATTGCAGCGAATTCGTAGCGAATTTTTGTGAGAATTTTCTCTCCTCGAATTCAGCCCTGTCGTGTATGAATGATTTTTAGTTTGGAATGTCTCCTTGACAACATTTCATTAAGCAACAGATATTTCACGCAATTTTAAGCTATTCAAAGTTTGTATATGGTCCCTTGGTGACCAAATGCAGCATCATACTGCATTATAATGCTACTTAGGTATTATATCTACCTGCTTTGTTTGGAGATGAGATGAATTTCGGAAAGGTTGACTCAAGCTGTGTCAGTGTATAGTTATGATTAAATATCCATTCTTTTTCTCGCTTTTAATGAAATGATAGAGATTTTGATAATATATTGGTCATATCAATCAACCAATACCACGTACACATGTGCTATCTATTTTTAATCTATGGGCTAGTTTGGACAACTTAAAATTATTGTCAAAGTTACACGAGTCACACTTTTATGCTTTCATTGCTAACACAGACTTGAACTAAAACTATGTTTTTTAGGGAAAAATGAGAATATTTTCATCATCGTATATGCGTACTTGAGACTACTTGATATATATAAGAAGGTTGTTAGCTTATACAATAAAAAGCTAAGACCCAATCAGGATCATTGTGGAACTCCAAATTTCTACCTTAATCCAACAGTTTCCTGTCAGATAGGTAAAGTAAAAATTAAGAAACAACAATTATTTAATAACCCATGGTACTGTAGCTGATCTAGTGTTTTCTTCATGGTTTATCGTGTTTAGAGTCTTTAAAAGTAAACAAACTTGACCGAAACGTAATTTCAACTTTCAGTATTTCTATACCTATCATTGCACTTTTTCAATACAGAATCTAGCAGTCAATGAACAGACTTTGGGGAATGCATAAACAGTTACCTAGGCTTAAGGTGACTGTTTCATCAGGATGATTTTAAAAAAACCGCGAAATGATAGAATCATTATGCAATGTAAACCTAGCAGGATCATTTCCCTGTTTTTTGCTGACTTTTAGAGTGTTTACCAGCGTTTCTGGTGATTCTAATGATATCATGGTCGTTTGATTCAACTAAACATTTCGTGACAAATAATATCCTGGTCCTAAGTACACAGATTATCTGCAATAAAACAAGCTTCTTGTGATAGCGTTTGCAATCAAGTTATGGTCTCATTAATTCTTTTCATCTCTTTGCTTACTTATAGATCAACATTTTGTAAAGATTCTCGATCCTTGTAGATGTTTATTTGGATCAGCTTTCAAGCATCTTCAACAAAACGCAATATTCTCTTTCTATAGTTATTGTAACTTCTTTGGCGTTCTTTTTCTATAACTATTATCTGAAGGCGCTATTGTCTATAGATTTTAAGTCTATGCTCCTGTTTTGAATAAGAATTTGTCTTTCTAGTGGAAGGTCGGTGTTTTGATAACAAATGGCATATTGTATAAGGGTTACACAATAATATACTTGATAAAATAATGATAACAGTGTTATCGCATTGTGTGAATTTGCCTGATCGGGCATTACATCACATGAAACTGATACTTTTCTCGTAGCGTTTTGCAAAATTGAGCGTCTTAATTGGAGAAAACAGTACCCCGAATTTCCATTCAATACTATCTGATGTGTGTCTTTCTCAAAAATTTAGACAATACTTTCTTGAATTGTCTGCTACTAGTTTCATCCGAATCCAAATGCAGGAAACGATGTCAACGTTGTGAGAATAGACTTGCCTGCTAAAAACTGAGTCACGTCACGCCGTTATCAGAAGGATCTTTTTCTTTAGAGGCCTGATTTTCTATCGATAATTTTCTGTCGCCTTATTCTGGCCAATCTTGCTATACATGGATTTTCGATCTTTACTTAGGTAAAAGCATAAAGTCTGCAAAAGAGCTCTATATTGAACGATAACGTTTTGCTCGATTCTCTTTTCCGTCCTTCTTCTCCGCGTAACTTCTTTCCATCATCTTTGCTTGTGTTGTTTTGCCATCGATATAATCACCTTGTTTATTAGCTGCTTTGGCATCAAAAATACTGATAAAACTGTAATTTAATTTCATTGGATTCAGTATTACAACTTTGAGAAATAATTTCGGAACAACCCCCTCCACCTCCCGATTGATTAATGTTAACAGTAAGCAAATAAAATGAGGTACTTACCAAGTGACGTTTTGTTAGGAATCACTGCATTTGTTGTAGAGACGAATACAAGGAAAGTGAAGTGCAATAAAATATTGCTGCTAGACATCATCAGCATCAAAATCTTTTTCACCACCATTCGTGGCGCTCCTGTTAACAAAGATTAATAGAGATCTGCAATATTATTTTCTTTCTTTCTGAACATTTTTTATACAAAAGAAAACAAAGGAAAAGAAAACGTAACAAAAGAAAAACAAATCATATCAGAACTGTAAATGCTTAAAAATGTTTTATGAAGGTAATCTAAAAATGAATTAAGGAATTATGCATTTTAAATTCATCTTGTAAGCATTTCAGATTCATTGCTTTAAGTAGGAAGAAGCCCAGGTACTAAACCTGCCCTTGGTTCAGGCGTTGCTCGTGGAGGCAGTATAGAAAAGAAAAGTGACAACGTCAGCAAAATGAATTGTTTTTATGGTGTCAGTTAAGACCATGCAAGGGGGCTGCCCATTGTATTGCTTCTCATTCAGTACATTGTTACAAAGCTCTAGCCCCCCTCCTGCTCCCCAGTCACCCTGCTTCCAACGGTCCTGCAGTCCCAAAGTACAGTGCAAACCGACAGGCGATGTAAGGAGTGAAATGAACCATGCTAAAATAACAGTTATACATTGGCAAACTTCAGATTTGATCTCAGCCAATCTGTAATACGCTAGTTGCATATGGAGCATATGGTACTAAATCCGCATAACGACAATATAATAAGCAAATAGATTAAATACCAAAACGAAAAAGACTATTAACAACAAGACTTTTCGAGCATGCACTCGTTGCTAGCATTAAAGACTTGTTTCGGAGCACATGCTCAAAGCATCGTGTTTTTATTTGTCTTCTCATTTGATACTTAATCCATTTGCTTATTATACGGTCATCATTTAACTTATTAAGATGAAGAAATTAGAACCATTTTTAGATATGATTGACCCAAGATGGTTCTTTTAAACTAAATAACACGAGGGGGTTGTGGCTCTATGAAAAGGAAATTCGAATATTTGAAATGCTGAAGTTGACAGTTTCATCAACTTGTAACAACAGGTAGGCTGATTCAAATGAAGTTAAACAGCACTTCAATCAAGGCCACCATTTATAAAATACAGTTGTGGTCAAATTAATTATTTTTCTGGTTTCTGCTAGTGTTGTTTTAGATGATGTCGGTCTTTTTAATGTAGAAATATATCCGAATGCTTTATTAAATTTTGATGTCGATCTCTAGACTGACCTGTGGACCTATGCAAAAATGAAGAGATATTTTTTCCCTAGGACAATATTCACTGAAATGAATTATTCAGTCGATAGTTGGTTGTGTAAGATATATTCAAATGAATAATGCGGGTGGCAAACAAGAGTTTTTAGAACAATATCTGTTTCTCATAGGAACAAATTTGCACTTTGCTTTTTGAATCTTAGGTAAAATAATTGCTTAACGGAAAAAAAACTAATGCAAAGTGTTGACTTTGTAGACTTATGAACACAAATGAAAACTCAGAGTCAAGGGCTGTTGAGCGAATTATGAATAAAGGGTTTAGAACTTTCTGGGAGTTGGTACACTTTAAGATTCAAAAGAAAATGGTACATTGTTATGCAAATTTGGGGAGGGGGGCTAATACCTCAGTCAATTTTCATAGTCCCTGTTCATAATCAGATAATTCTGTAGCGCCACACGCTCCGAGCAATGTATTTTTATCTAAATTTGCCATTAATTTTGACACTTAATTTCTGCAATTCTTATCACTTTTCAGAACTATTCATCATTTTAGTCAATCGCCTTTTGTCCGTTGGTGCCTTTGTCGGTACTTTTTCTTAAAGATTCGTTCTGTTGATTAAGAGTAAACTTTAGTGGACAGTTCATGATAGTAGAGAAAAGGAACCGATTCAGATTTGATTTTGATGGAGAAACTTTAGCGACCACGAGGTAATATAGTGAATATTTGGTATCAAAGTGATTAGTGTACGGCACAATTCCGCACACTTTTGTCTCTGTCAGTTATTGCCAATTTTGTCGCAGTATCATTTATTTTGCCAGTCATGAATTTTCACAAACGAAAAGACATCCGCAATCTATCACTGTAGCCATAATGCACATTATGTTTCGAACCTCGACTATGAATCCGCAAAGGTCGTTTTTCGAAGTTTATTCCTGTGAGATGAGAAAATGAAATTTCGACGGCCATTTTGAATGACCATCAAAGCTCTGTAAAAAGTTTTCCATTGCACAAGATCCAAAGTTTGTCTTCAAAACTATCCTTTAACGATTTAAATGCATCTGCTTGAATTTGCAAAGAAAATACGTACTTTGATTCTAAATGATATTTTCAAAAGCAATCAAAAGTTTTGAGAGCTGCATCATGTTTCAGCAAGTTTATTTACCTCTTAAGTAAACAAAAAGCTCAGATGGCAGGTTCTTACAACTTATACCGTTGCGCTAAACATATCTGTGCTGAACAGACAATGCAGTGTGATTCTCTGCCCATTCATCTTCATTTCTCGATATCCCAAACGAAGGTTTTAAAAACTCGCTTTTAAATTTACTATCAACCTCTGATTTCGTATGTTAGTAGGAATTTTCAACGGCTGGTTTTATCTCAATAAAATCGCGATGGCAATTTATTTGTCAAGCTATTTCGGTACACAGAAGGCGTAAGGAGTGATAAGACAAGAAACTTCAATAGGGTAATAATTTTGATGCAATACTGAGCAGCACTTTGCAGGCAAAGTTTTAACAGCAGCTATTCCTGGAAGATTAGATTCATGGTGAGCAAATGAACGAGCTCTAAGACACCATCGAAATTGCGACTTATTTCAGCATTATCAACTGAATTGAAGACGCCCTTGTGATTAAGCCCCTGTGATAGTGTACAATGGAAATTCACTATCAATTCTCAAGGACTTTCAAGTATAGCACCACTACTTTACCGTGCTTCGTAAAATATCCGCAACGAAATAACCATCACTATTTTATTCAACTGTGAATTTGTATTAGGGCTTTAATCTTCCCTTTTGCTGACTAGCTACTTCTTCACATTGCAAAATGAATTTGAAGCCAGACCAGCTTGAAAGATTGCTTTTTTATGCAACTTTATACTAACAATTCTAGTCGTCGCAAGAATATCAAACCAGTATTGTACCTTATTTTATGACGCTGTTCTGCCTCCGTTCTTGACCTTCCCAGACTTTTCTGTCCTTGACTTCTTAACGAAATCCCAACTATCAAAGAACAAGGTTGTAGTTTATCGCCAAGGTCATCAAATTTTCAGTATCAGCAGGAACAGTTTATATTTTGGACGAGTTTGATTGAAATCCAAGCAAAGGAATAGTGAGCACTAATCTTCACACAGACTTTGCTCAAACAGTGTCTCAATGGCTTCAATTATTAATCGTACCGGTATTTTATTGTCTTGTATCATTGAGGAACGAATTGATCTGCAAGTTGACGTTTATTTTGATGTCTCAATACAAAAGTCGCGCTCAATCGCGCATTGATACAACGATAACCCGTTGTTAAACTGGATGGGACATATCAAACTTGTTCATTCGTTATTCGTTCTATATACATAGACAGCAATACGCTTTGCAGGTTCTGTTGACCAGTTCTTCTTCAAATGTTGGTGAATCTAATTACTCCATGTAAGTAATTTTGGTGTTATGCTTACATGAAGTCGTATCAGTGATAAAGTCAGGGCTGTTTGTTTCAGAGTTTGAAAGAGTTGTGCAAAATCGGATACCGGCATGAAACTTCGTCCACAAGATGCAGACCCCAACTGATAAATGCCCCCAAATGCTATTTATAGACTGTTGTACTAGGTACTATTTATAGACAATTTCTTCGAGTTAACATGAACAAAGAGGCACTCTTTACGATGCTGGCACGAGAGATTGGAAAACAAAATATAAATGATAATATCATAGTTCAAACATCTCTTGAAAACCTAATCTGCAATAATGAAACTTAGCCTCTCTTGCATGATGCAAGCACGAAGATGCCAATACTAGCACAGGCAATCTGAAAATCTGCATATGAACAGTTGATACTTACGTATAGATACTTTTCATGCATATAGATTGCGTGCAGGCTAACCCAGATGGAACAAATGTCTTCTTGAGGTATTTTCTATTTAAATTTAGCATATCTAAACATTCTTCACGGTTCTGCAACATTCGATTGGAGGAAGAGATTGGAGGAAGATTAGCTTTACCGAGTTCTGATAAATTAGTTATTCCGGAAGATTAGCTTTATCTGTGAATAAACTTAGCGGAGGCTTCGCAAGCGTGCTACAACCTTTTAAAATGCAGCTGTAAGAGGAATTGCTCTTCAAAATCCAAATGCAAATAATGTACTAATCTTGAATGTACTGAGGAGGGGCGTCGTGGATGGTGACTTTCAGGGTTGGCACAGACTGCAAATTTTCCGACAATGTGTCTGCATTAAAATCAACGTCATCATCATGGACATGCGCAGTTATTTCAAATATTGAGAGACATATATGCATCTTTTGCAAAGTTAATTTTACTTGCAATTTTTCTCAATTGTTGGTTTCAGTAAGTCATTCAGAGAAAATGCAGCATCCGTATTCAAACTTTGTTTGATTATCAGTAATTGACAGTAAACAGTAATTGTAATTAGCAGTAAGACACACAATGAAAATCGTAAAAATCTAAATAAATGAACTGGATGATTTTCAGTGCATGAGAAGTCTCCTTAGCAATATTATGTCAGCTAAATTGTCGATTACTCTATCATAACTAATGGTAACAACTAAGACACACCTAACATTATCATTTGAAGATGGCACAAAATAGCGGGGAAATGGCATACTAAAGGTAATCATCCTTAGAGGGTTTAGCTTATTTTGGCCCAATGTTGATTGCAGCCTGTTTTTTACATACTTGAGCTGTTTTAAGGTGATTCACATTTGTTAGAGCCAACTTGTAAGATTGTGATTACTTGTACCGCGAGTTTGACTGCGAGTTTGACCGCGAGTTTGACCGCGAGTTTGACCGCGAGTTTGACCGCGAGTTTGACCGCGAGTTTGCCTGTCATCAGAAACTTTCCCTTTTTTATTTTTTATATTTGCGCTTTTTAATGTTGGTTTTTAAACGTTTTTTTATTCACTATATTCCTATCTACATCTTTCTCGGCAATCCCCTTCTTACGTAATTGTCTTTGAACTTTCACATTTTCTATAAACGACCAATAGTCCTCAGCCGAACAGATATAAAATTTCCGAAGAAATTCAAAGAGGTTGATGCTAGGGGGCATGTGCACCCTGCCCCCCCCCCACAAAACATGACTCTCCTGGTACTGAGCTCTCCAAATGTGTAGCACAATGCTCCGATGACGATGAATTAAGACAGCATATTTATATCCTTTCACTTGTTACCTCTCTGCTTGAACAGTTAATATTTCCCTGGAGGCCTGGGTCAGATATCGGATACCCAGTCTAAAAATAATTTTGTTTGGCATTTTTCATATGAGATTGGCATATCGTGGTCATTGCACTTTGCCTATCACTACAAACTTTCATGTTGGTAACACAAATTGCAGCAACATTTTTAGAAAAACGCTTTTGGGACCTGCGACCTAGCACAACAGGCTATAAATAGCATTTGGAGGCATTTCTCAGTTGGGGTCTGCATGTTATCTTTTTGAGCATATCAAGCTGCTGATCTCTTCCAATTTTCATGCTGGTTTCACAACTGGCAGCGATATTATTTGAAGATAAGACTTATTTCCCCGTTAACCAATTTTTCTTCGTTAGAATATTCATTATCCCATACCTCCTTTACATGATAATACCGCTTGCCTCGTTTTGAAGGTAAAACAAGACAAGTAGGACGAAGTCCTTCACCAGGACAGCTGTCAAGAGTTACAACTGCTACGAGCTGTTATTATCTAGGCCCTAACTACAGGAATTCGTTCTTAAAATGAGAATGCAAATATTCTTTTAGGCATTTGCTTCCCACCTACACCATAACGAAAAATCTATGAAAACGTAACGCTTCCGTGTACACGCACGTGTCCGTGTGAATTCGTTTTCAATGAGTTGAAACCCAAATATTATGAAAATGTGTCCATAGTGACGGGTGAAGCGAACGCCAACAGAACTTAATTTAAATTTCTGAGCAGTTATCATTACAAAATTGTATAATTCAACGAGTTAGTCACCGTGGCAATGAAATTTTGTGGTTTTCGAGTAGATCGACTGACCGAGGACTGTTAGCAGGTGGGAGTTATTCAAGTTACTAAACATTTCTCGCTTGTTTGCTAACTCACGACCAGGTCACCAATTTATGGTCACTCAGAAATGCTACAGCTGACATGTTTATACTGCTTATGAACTGCATCAAAAAAGGAAAAACTGCACTAAACATTTGTATTCTTTCGACTCCGGTTATAAGCAAATCATTTGTTTCATCTAACTTAAGGCATTGCCCTTACGCCTCAACAACGTTGATAGTCACGTGAAAGTTACATTCACAACGCTCCAATCAACATTTTCCGATATCTAACGAGAGGCTGGGGCTGACAATTGTTTCAGCATTCAGCTTAAGGTCACGTGTAATAGAATGACTATGGCTTTAAAAAAATTAAGTGTTGAATACAGATTTCTTGTGGGTCATAACTCGTGACACTCGACTGACTGCTCAACATCGAATTCTCATTGGTTTAAAAACAAGCCGAAAGTTAGGCATATAGAGTCATGCATGAATTTCCTTATCCATAACAACAGCCAATTATAAATATGCAGCGCTTTCTTTTCAAAACACTGGAACATAGCGTATCATGTGTTAAATAAAGTTTTTCATCGAACTTTCATAGGAGCTACCAAAAAAATCATTGTTTGGATTGAATACATCGTGCACTCAGAAAAGCAAGATATTTATGCTGCAAATTAAAAGATGCGTAAAATTGTGCAAAGATCTCAAATTTGTCTTTATCTAAGGTATAGCTCCTGGTCTGGTATTCAAATGTCATATCGTTCGTAACCTGTTTTCTAACTCGAATAAATTGTTTTCATTTGTTAAACATCGTAATATCTCACCCGTTTTGCTTTCTCTAGTTTGGCCATGCACCGATGCTTTTAAGATTGTAGCACTGGCTGTGTGGAGATTTTTGGTTTTTGTACTTAACAAAATGTATTTTTGTAGCAACGTGAATGCATTTTTCTCCAAAATTACTTGTTAAGCTTGATAGATTTGTTTAAATTGTCAACATTTCTGCTGGTTGATAAAATAAAATGAAATTTTTGAAGTACCAGATTGTGAGACTGTGGATGTATTAATAAACTTCTAATAGTTGGGTATCGACTGGCATGATTTTGAAATGCAAAATTTGGGGCCAGACCTCTAGCATGTCCTTTTAGGCCCAAAGCTTTATCTCTCCAATCACCGGTTAGTGGTACTTAATAAGAAGTTTACACTAAAACATTTATTTCTTTAGAAAATACCTTTTTGGCAAATTTTCTAACAAAAGCAGTTAAAATAATTTTTGTGCAAATAAATAGTATTTTTGTTCGTTTTCTTGCATCAGTGATCCTAATCTTTATTTGGTAGCAACAGGGTAGAGAAAAAAGACAGAAATATTTCGTCAATAAATAGATATCTTACTCTAATAAAAGCAATCAATACTGCATGTTCTTGATGTATATAAATATTAAACCATCCATTGTAAAGTTTGGTTCCATGAAATTAAAAATACATTGTTTAAAAAGGTTAAATGCTGCCCGTTTTACATTTTTGTAGCTTTTTTATTAAATGTTTACTTTAAAGAATTTATTTTCTAATGTTATTACTTCATATCAAGTCGTGAATTCCAAAACGTCTTCAAATGACAAAAGAAACAAGTAAATATAAAAAGTTATTTGATATTTAATACAATAATTGAGATCTTTTGCGTGGCTAAACGGCCTGGCTACATTACTTTGACATTAAATATACAAGCATTTGAGGGCTATCTGTTGTCCTAAATTCTTAATCATAGGCCTTGCTAGCACATTTCAGATTGTTTATTTTCTTTCATTTCAACTAGTCTAAAATTTAGCGAATGTCATAATGCCATTCAGAAACTTGAGCTAATGCTAGCTGTTATATTTTCTACATAGAAAGGCATTAAGCTTTTTTCTCGATCAGTTTCTAAAAAAAGGTCTCAAATGCATTTTACACTTGCTATCTAGAGGTTCAATTTACCCAAATGGTTCAAGATACCCTGTTGGTTTAATGAACCTCAATTACTATATTTCAAAGCTGTATTATAGATTCATGGATGTTCAATGAGAGTCTATAAAAAACATTATAGCCTCAATTTCAACTATCAACATATTTTCCAGGGCCCACGCTCCCCAAATTTTGCAAAGCAAATAATTTCCATGCTGTCATAAAAGGTGACAGAAGCTTGCCCCCCCACCCACTTTCAAATTCGTAGTGTTGGCTGGCCCTGTTTTTTAGCATCTTTGAATGGCAATGCCATTGAATTTTTGATCTTTCTGTCAATAAGATTGATGGCTACTTATACGACGTGTATCCAAGCTAAAAAGGTTAAAAAAATTAATCATTTTAGCCAAGAGAATTTAAAAATGATACATTATGCTACCAGTATTTCAGCTACTCCCCCAAAGGTATGATAGTCATACTATGATCAAACTTTTTCATCTTTTCCAGAATTGTTCCTGCAAAATAACAAAATTTCTTTCAATACCACTTTCCTTCAAAAATTTAGCAAAATTATCACGTGAAGCATTTACTATGAAAAATAAAAAACAAGGGCCTTTTTTAACATACTTATTAGGGGGGATTACCCTTGCAGTCCCAATGACTTTCTATTGTTTTGAACAATAGACTATTGTCCTTCTCCTAAAATAAACAAAGGTACGCCTCCGCAGCTTATTTTCCTTGGAATAGGCTATGAAATTAACAGCAAGAAGAGTGTAAAGCAAGTTATCAAGCTTGCATTCGTTAAGTCGTTGCAGCAGACTCTTTTTGCGCTACTTTTTGAAAAGTTTTCAAATTAGGAAAACTTACCATGTTTGCTCCTTTCTTTAAATCCTTGTATCTTGTATTGAAATTGAACAGCATGAACTTTTGTTTACTGTGCCTGTACTACAAAGAACAAGATTGGTAAAACGTTAGAATTTTCAAAAGAATCTTCGTTAACAAAGAAAATGAAGGAACTTTTTGTATACAGATCGATTTATATTGGGCTGGCTCTACTTGATGCTTATTTTGGCAATGAGTTAAAGGCACTATATTCCGACGCATTTCGCTGACCAGCTAAATTCCCATTGGTTAGATCATACAATAGACCTATTGTTACGGAGCCAATCGGCTAATCTTCAATATTTGCTCGATCTTAAACGAGCTGCTAGTGCCTTAAATGATTACAATTATTTCACCAGGCTTTTTGTCGAAGTACCCTTTTAATCCCTCAATTTCCTGTTTTTGACTGTGTATCTTTACATGTCGCCATAAACATGTTTATTGCCAGCAGTTTTATCCTTAGAGCTATAATCGACATCCCCTTAGTAAGCACTTCAATAAAAAAGTCTTGCCCATTTTATTGATCATAACTCGATTAGTTTAGCAAATATATTTGTAGCAGTGTTAAAAAATGCCCGTCTTCTCAAAAAACGTTCCACCGATTCGAACATGTTTGAAGATCTGTAGCTTGAAGAACATTTTTAAAGACATTTTAGATTCCTCACTTGTCTTCATCTCGTTTCTTTCTTAGTGATTTTATTTTCCACCACTTTTCCAGAAACAAAAGCAGGAACGAAATTGTGATTCCAATCAATAAGCAGGCATATACACCTACAAGCTGCTCAGGCCTGATTCTCCCATCGGACCAGGCTAAAGGTAAAAAATAAGAAAAATTTATTACGAAAACCATGATAGTAAACAACATTTATATTGAATTGAAAGAACTACCATGAAATGCCTTATTTTCTTAAAACAAATGCTGTCTCAGAGTCTCCCGTTCTATTATCAAACTTCCTTTAGACGGTTTTATTCAATCTAGAAATTGCAGCTATGCCAATCAAAATCAGCCAATCAATAAGCGTCTAAGCGATTTCGCGCTCATTGATTGGTCACTTAATGATTGACAGACGGCTTGAGCCACTTTAGTATCTGCTAATTGCCTTTAAGATTCGATGCTATGGAATTCTTGGCAGCCAACAATTGTTCAATTTCTTTACTTCGCCTTTTTAAATGTCAAAGGAAAGTTGTTTAGGATAAAGAATATGAAGGAACGAGACTGGAGCCTTGTCATACTCCTTTATTTTCTGCTGTCTATCCGAATTGACGCCATAGATATCAGACTTAGTCCTTTCTACCTCTGAAGCTGACAGCAAACTTTAAATGTTAGCACATCATTAGATGTTTCAAAGAAAATGTATTGCAACAATTACAGTGCCTTATTTATATTCAATTTCACGAAAGTAATTAACTAGGACCAATTTCATAGGTATGTTGTTAAATTGAAAACTCTTACTTTCTGAGGAGGGCTTGCATACACTCAGCTCTTTCCAATAATAATTGATTCTATCCTGCAGAAACCGCGACTCTTCAAGGTGCGAAATACCTATTGAAAGCTTCTGCTGAAGTGGCGATCCTTTTCGCAAAGGGAAACCGTAGCCGCGTGATGGAAGAATTCCTTTCACTGTCAAAAAGGTAAAGAAGAGCAACTGATAAGCATTGAGAATTAGGTAAAACAGAAAATTAATTTTTTACATGCACAGCCCACCCCCCTACCCTCCCCCACTTCAAAAAGCCTATGTTTCAGAGGCATTAACTTTGATTATACTATGTTGACCCACAACGTAACAGGGCTTCAAGAGGGCAACAACTGCGTGTCGTAAAGGAAAACGAAAAGTCTAAACAAATATTTACACTCTGATTGAGAAATATTGAACGGCAAATAAAATTCAAAGTAATTTTTGATATCATTGAATTTTACTGTCAGTGATGCATGTTAGCCAGTAAATGCGGGACAGCTTCTGCTTGGGCCAATTTCAGTCAAAAAATACCCTTTGTCCGCCCGAATGGGCCTTTTTTGCAGACAACGATAGGTCCTTTTTCTCGCTAATTAACTCCAAATGTATGGTGATTTTACCCAATTCCATTTTTTGTAAGTTTTTTCAAATGCTACTTTATGCCCAGTTTAGCTGTTTTTAATGCGAAATCTATTACTATGAAGGCATATATACATTCTATATACTATAGAGTAACAAATACTACCTATTTGAATGTCACATAATCCTTTGTTTACACTCCACTCTACGTATGGCGTCTCTGAAAGCATAACTGCATTTGAATCCCTCTGCAACATTTCTAGGCCTACGGATCGGTTTGCGTAGGTTTTTTCTTGTTGTATTTTCTGGGCAATCACTTGGTAGACTTTGTATTCTGAACTTTTCAAAAACTGATCTATTGCAATGTGCGGCTTTATGATGAATGAAACACCCTCCTTCAGCAACGCCTCTAAGTCACCAGTTTCTGCTTTTGCTTTGGCGAAGGTGAAGTAAGCCGCCATATTGGCAGTATACGTTGAAGTGACAACGAGAACTGCAAACCAAAGCCCGAAAACGAAAAGCCTCCCTAAAATGCAAAACATTTATGAAATTCTAAAAGATATCAAGGTAGCAAATGTTTCCCTCTAAAAGAGACCAGTTTGTCATTTTACACTAAGATTGCTTAGAAAAACTGTCACTTTGTAAATCGAGATGAATTACTGTTTTACAAACTGCACCAAAGATTTGAATGAATGTACTTCCGAGGCTTTAAAATCGAATGGACACGTTGCCATGAAATTCTGAAGACACGCAAATACATGACTGCTATCTTCCTTTTTAGTACGCAGAGTAACCGAGAGGGGAGGAGGGCAAGGGAGGCAAATTTACCTAGGGTCTCGAGGTCTAGAAAGCCTCATAAAGTAACGAATTCTGTTTCAAAATGGATTTAATCAAAAGTAACAAAGTTATGCCTGAAAATAAAAAAAAAGCATTTAAACGAATGAACCAATTAAAGCTAACCTAAAGGGTGTTGTCGCACTTCCGGGTTTCCCAGGGCCTCCAGAACCTGTTGGTGGCACTGGACATACGATTAAACGCTTCATAGCGCTCTGTGTTACATGAAGTGTCAATGTACCCTTACTTGAGGTATCAATCTTACCTGACAAAGATCTCGGAGTATTGTCTCCACCTTGCAGCAGCCACGACGCAGTACAAAACCAGATACTATTGGCTGCGCTAAATTCATCACCATACTTTCCTGTTGAAACTAAATCAGATTGCCTCCACCCAAAAGGGCTATTGTAATCAACGAAATATATGACGATGCTACTGATTAAAACGACAATAACAGTTAAAATCCAAACATTTGTCGTAAATGGCTTTAGGAACTGTAGATAGTCGAACTGCACCGTGGTTGACCGTTTCCTCAAATATGCGTTTTGTAGTTCCATGAACGGCCGCGTAAATTCTATTGCTTCTTCTCGGGTGGATGTTATTGTTAAAGACGCAACTGCAATGTCAGCTTTCTGCAAAAGAAACAAATTTTTACGATGATAATGAGCCAAATATTTTTACTAAGGAAAAAAAAGAGGAATGCACTATGAAAATAAATTTTCCTTTTTAAATCCAAGCAAAAGTGCTCCATTCTAAGGCTACTCTTGAAGATATCCAGCCTTTCTCAAATTGACTGTCAAGTTCAGCGAGCATCAACAACACTCAGTGCCATTTCGTTACAAGAATATGTTCGAATTGAAGAGGTGCAATCACCCTGTTCCTCTGGCTACCCAATTGAAGATTCATAAAGAAATTAGGTAGAATGAGCTTATTGATAGAGTTTTAGTACCTTAGAGTTTTAATGAGAGAAATAAGGTGAAATGTCCTCATTTGTTACTGGGCAAAGATTTCTTTGAATACTGCAGCCTCAACCGCTTTAAATCTTCTGTCATTCATAAACTCATATGTCAATCTTAACATCACACCCTGTGCACAAATTACGCAATAATGAAGAAATTGATGAAACTACTTGCCTTGTAAAGTACGTCACCTATCATGCCAGTCCACTTGTCACCGTCTTTCCTACCGTATTCACCGTCCTCTACTAAGTAGATAGAATAAGTGAAATTCATCATCTGTGCCAATTTGTTCAGAATGTCTATGCAGAGACCACTGTAACTAACCGTGCCGTTCGGGTTCTTGGTTACAAATGTGAAAGGCTCTGTCTGCAAGAAATTTGATTAAAAATATTTATTAAAAGAAGTTGCTATCAATGATAACATTTAGGCCTACTGAGAAAGCCGGAAAGAGGTGCAGTCATACCTGGATCTGGCACTTCCAATTTCTGTGTGTTTTTTGGAAATAATTTCGCCTGTTTAAACTGAGATCGCCATTTGTCACCGTTTCCACGTGACAAAGAATATTTACGTAATGGTCTTTGTTTACTCTATATACAGCCCAATAAATTATACTCGCTTCTTAAAGGATGGATTTAAGCGGCAAGGATTGGTGGAGGTGCTAGATAATGGTTTGATTGTGGTACCACACCCTTCAGGTGACTAGAAAATTCAGATAACAAGATGAATAAGGAAAATCTTTGCATTATAATGTTACTGTTGACCACAAAAAATGCTTTTACCGAACCAAAGCGAAATATTGCTACCTATGGAAACAAAGTCCTGAGGGGTCGGTGATGCACCCCTACACGCTACGGTAAATCCGTCTCTGTATTTCTTAGCCAAATGGAAGAGATCCTCTCTTGAATTGTTCAAAATTCAGTAAAGGAGGGTAGGAGCTGGCCAAGGGCATGTCTTTGTTTTCAATATGTCTTGTTTGCCTAAGCGTTCTGATTTATAACATGTGCAGTCAAAGTGTCTTTAAGTACAGTTTTGTCGATACATTTGGCAATGTAAATGCACAGACTAGATAAATTTATTTATCATGCTGAAAAGATGCAAATTGTCTCAAAAGATTTCAAGTTTATAAATGCAGTGAAATCTCAGATATACTTCCAAAGAAAACTATCAAATATTTTCATAGGAAATGCTTTCATAGGAAACTAATATTTGATTCTTGTAGCGAGATTTAATAAGGAAACTTTGAAATGAATTTAGCTCACCTCAGCAGTGACCACTTTTATATGATCATTGATAAGAATGCTATCTAAGTGGTATTCAATGTTCATTCTTGGGTTTTTCACTAGTTCGATATCCGTGTTTTCTGTTGCAGTGCCTATCTGAAATGATTGATAAATAATTAGGCGAAAACCGAGTTCAAAACCAAAAGATTGAAGAATATATGGAAGACTCTGTTGGAATACTTAGTTTTATCAAGGGTGACTATGTCCATGTGTGAGTTTCTTTTTTCCTACATTTCTACCGAATTATTTACGTATTTTTTTTATTAAAAACTAAGGTTTAAGATGCATTTGAAAGTTAGATTTTAAAGCAAGTATTAACATACCCAGAGACCTGCTTGTCAAGTGCAGTTTTGCAGTATGTAGTGGTGGACTGAGCGATTTGGAAAATCAAAACTAGAAATTGCAAAGATTTCTAAAGTTTTTTAAAGGTTATTTTTTATCAATTTCGAAAAAGTGAACCTAAAGTTTTTTGGGCTTTTTTTTAAAAAAGAAACGTGTATGGTATGTAAAATTGCTGCCATACAAAATTAGCCCAATACAGCAGAAATTTCCATAAGCTTTAATCTAATTGGAATTAGAAGACAAAACTAAATTTCTCACCTTTACTAGGTTGTTCTTCTTAACATTGACTAGATTAAGTGGCATGTTCACACGTGTTCTATTTGCATTGAACTCTATATTACCACTTGCACCGTCAAACTTTCCCTGAAGTTGCGGAACAAAGATTTGCATTGAGAAGGAAGTTAGGAAATTTCTAAATCGTTCTAAATTATTCTAGAGAGAATTATTCAAGAACTTTTTAATTTTACTATAAAACCTTAAACAACACGATAAAATATATCTCGAAAAATTGAAAATCAATTATTTGTGTTAGTGTGTTAATAATTTAGTGAGATCACTGCTAGAAGATCGTTGCTATTTAGACATCGTTCATAAAGTTATGAACAGGGACCAATTAACTGTGTTTTGAAGAGGAACGTGTCTTTGCTCGTGCGGTGGCATAAAAAGTCTAAATGATCACATCACGTGAGAACTCTATTCTGTCTGAGCATTTCCTTTGAGGGCAAAGCGAAAAGACGAAATAGAAAGAAAGGACTTTGAAGACATCCTAGCCATACCTGCTGCAATGCTGCAGTAAAATTGGCAGTGTTCGCAATTCGAATGGATTGGATAATGCCTTTCTCATCTCTGCTAAGAGACAACCAACGATCTGAGCTGGCAAGATTGCTTGTGATATTTGCAACCAAGTTCAAAGCATCGTAAAGAAGCAGATTTCCAAGCTTTATGGAGGGAGATCATTAAAAAATTATAGAACCGGAACCGGATTTGAGTAGGTATGAAGAAAATGAAAAGTCCCCTTTCATCTTGTTAAATACTTTTTGAAAACATCCAAAACAAATCAAATCTTGCTCTGTCTTAGCTAAAATCTCTTCTTAGCCATAGAATTTTTATTTTGCATTCTCCCAAGTAAGAAGTCATTGTAGCTATCAAAGAGAAGACACAACATTGTTTCTATTTGGAATGAGATAAGATTTTATGATCGATTGGAATGTCGTCTTAAAACATTTTTGTCAATGAAAGAAGAATAATTTTATTTGAAGCCTGTAAATCAAATGGAACTATAATATTTTTGAGGTGATCAAGACATGATTGTTAAGCTATAAGCTACATTTACAGGAGAGAAAGTAGGCCGGATCCAGTACATCTAGTTTTTGTATTGTTAAGCCTTCTGTCCGTAAGGGACCTCGTAGATCCGATCCTTTTTATGTATAACGAATGATGCATGCTTATATTGATCATATCCATTTGCTGCTCCAACAACCAATTTCTCCTATTCGAGGATTTTACTTTTGAATCGAGTTCACGCGTAAACACGATGTAAAAAAGGGTCAGATCTGAATTTGAGCCTTCTCTAAAGCGTATTAAAGTACATCAAATAGCGGACCAGAATATCGTACAAAATTAATGATATCAAGATTAGATCCGATTAAATATAGTTCCAATCTAGTATTAGTCTTATCGAGTTTAGATCCGATCCAGTTTAGATCCGATCCTATAAATCTTATCCAGTTTAGATCCGATCCAGTTTAGATCCGATCCAGTTTAGATCCGATCCAGTTTAGATCCGATCCAGTTTAGATCCGATCCTGTTTAGATCCGATCCAGTTTGGATCCGATCCAGTTTAGTTCAGACCAACTTCCCTCGTGTAAACGGAGTCTAGGATTCAAAGTTATTCTACGTTTTCATTCTTTTTCAGTTAAGAAGCAGAAACTTACAGTTGGATCGGCACCAAGAACCTCTAGATGTGATCGATGGGTACTTCCCTCGGAGCTTCCATTCATCTGAACTTGAAGGCCAACAACAGTGTGCAGGTTGCAGACATTCAGTTTGTCTCTAAAGATCTACAATTAAGCACGGAAAACTAAGAAACTTTAGCGACTGGATATCAGGATGAATGGTATTTGTTCAATCTTATTTCATACTATTTAATGATAATCGAACATCTATCAATTGTTTTTCTACAAGCGGGCCTAAATTTAGCCTAGAATATTCATAGTACTCGTGGTAAGTAACCTAAAAAAAATTTTATGCCTTGTCTTTACAATCAGGAGTAAATTTATTCATCGGCAGTCGTCAGTTTCATTATTCACGTTTATTCTTCAGCATAAAGTCTATTTAGCAACAACGATGAAAATGAATTTATACACAAAAAGAACTGTAGTCATGCAAAAATGAGAATAGTTTTTCAATATGCAGTATCTTCATTGAAAGAAACAGTAGTAAACGAGGCACTATGAGATGGCAGACACATGCAATACTTTCGTAGCCTCTGCACGTTTGTATCACTTGCAGAAAGCTTATGGAGAGTTGCAGAACCTATATTTACAGTATACTGTTTATATGTAAAAGTAGTTGCGCTGTCTGGGATACAAAATCTGAACACAAAAACAAAATTCATATTATGACAAGCGATTTATCTAAGCCGAAATGTTATTTATCCCATCATCCCTTATGCAAAAAAGCAACTCTCTATATCTTAAGCGAGAAAAATTATCCAAAATGTTATTTAAAATCTGAAACTAGCTAAAAATAGCAGTAAATATCCAAAACTTTGTTGTCTGTCTTCGGTTAACAAGGAAGTGATAAACATATATAAACTATTGGATGTTATTTACCAGATCTAGCAACAGAATGTTTATCCTCACTGAGCAAAGATCAACATCATCCGAACGAATCTGTAAAATGAAACAAATATGTCGATCAAATTTTCATTAGAAATGCTTACAACGAAGCTTGTCCCAATGCTGCAACGACGTTTAAGTGGATTTTCGTATTTTTTTAAAAGAATTAATTGCAATATCATATACCAATTGAAAAAGCTCCGGAAGGCCAGCTTCATCGTAGATCAGAAGAACTGCACTGAAATTGCCTGTTGCCAGTGATTTGATTCTAGCGACTGAATGATGAGTGATAGAGCCATTCAGATTTTCTTCAACAGGAAGAATTGCCAGCACGGTTCCTTTGTCAAAAGACCGAATGAAATGGTCCAAGTCGTTTATACGTTTCACTGTAAAAAAAGTAATGGCAATGTTGATTAGCAGTCAGTTGAGATGTTGATGGCTTATGTTTGGTGATTTATGATTTTTGTTGCTTGATGATCGGTATTTATTGGTGGTTGTATGGTTGGTGATCGCCCAGGTAGTTGATTCATGATCATTAGTTGTGTATCATGGTAGCATGATGTTCCAGTATCTTTTGGTACAGTTACAATCATCAAGAAATGAATCGAAGAACGTAATTTCAACATAGTGATACATTAATTGCAATGATAATATGTAATCACTCATAAAGAAAGCAAAGTTAATCATTATCACAAGCGTACCCTGAAAGACGACGACAACGTGTGTCCATGATAGCATATGTAGAAATTTAGCAGCCACTGTGCTTCGATAGTGAGCATCTGGGATCATGGAAAGCTCATTTCGATTGCCAGAGTCGTCTCTGTTGGGGATGGTTTTAAAATGAAGCAGTGAACCAGTCTCTATTAATGGGACATGAAGAATCCTTGCTGCCCCTTTTGGTACCTTTGATCTTACTGCAGTATCAATGATGAAAGACATCCTTTCGAAACCATTTATGTCTGTAAAGAATTAAAATTGAAACTTTTCTATCGATTATCCACCCAGTGTATAAAGAAAAAGAAATAAAACTTAACGCTGAAATTAACATCCCAACTAGGCGAACCTAATTTGTCTTCGGTGTTTAGAACAGGACGGTTCTAAGTTTTTACTCGGAGTTTTACGATTATTGCAATCTTAAGGCAGGTAGTTTGAATGTCGTAATAGTCTAAATATTGTATTGTTATCTAAGTAATGCAAGCATCGGTCTTTGCTTGTAAACTATGATAGTGTTTACTTGATAGTAAGCAGGACAGTTCATACTCACTTAAGATTTCAATGGATTTGCTTGTCATGCTTGAAGTGTTAAATTTTCTGACGTCAAATTTTACATTGTATTGGCTGATTGTTTGCTGCAGTGTTCTGTTTAAAAACAAATCTGGGATGATGTCGTTATGAAACAGTCCTGGAAGTGGAAGTTCACAGGTTTAATTGACAATCAAAGCATAAAAGTTTTGTTAATGGTCATGCACTGGGACGAAGAAAAACTAAGGCAGCAACAAATCTAATCTTTACTCAGATTTGACGTGTTTGCACCACAAAAGAAAAGTTAGCAATCTATTTTTAAAGAAATGAAGTATCGCTAATGTATGAGAAAGATTTCTACAGGTCGTAAACTGTTGGGCTTACGTAAACTAAATATTAATTTGTAAAGAATGTATGCATTTTACTAAAATATGTTGGCTTTTAAAATTGTCAACTTTCAATCTTAGAATATAGGATAAAGATGATGAAGTAGAAATATTTCTCTCTTTGCTTATATTTGTTTCATTGTTTTCTTCTTTTTCCTTTTGTTTCAATGCTTTCTTTCTTTGAAATTATTTGCTTATGAAACTTTATTTTTTGAAGATCTATTGAAGGAGTTCGACATTAATAAATTCATTTGGAGGCTTGTGCAAACTCGAAGGGGGGCTTGTTAGAGGGGAGCTTGTTCGAGGGGGGCTTATCAAATTATTACGGTATTCAAAAAAAATTACTAGTACCAAGAATTTGGCAAGCATTGTACATATTTACGTAATTACGATTGCCCATTAACTTAGTACATTGATCTCGAACATCTTTTAATTGATGCTGACACCCCCCCCCCCCTCTCCCTAGCATAGTGCCTGTGAATGACTTAAAAGGAGTAAGATTCGGTATACCAATAGTGATGTTAACTTGCTCTGTGCTATATACTAGCACCACCAATATTGAAACAATCAGGAGCATGTCCATCTGAAATGATAGGAAATAAAGTTTTAATGCACTAAAAATGTATATGTATTTAGAGAACAAAAAATGTAGATGATTATTCCGGTTTCAATTCATTCAAGTTGAAATTAATAAAATCTAGATTTTCTTCGAATATTGTAGGTGCTGTAGTTATGACGTCACAATACTTTGATTTGTGTCTTGTCATATAATTTGAAAGAGGATCATGAAATACTTTTTTATGTATGAAAAAAGTGAAATGGGATACGTATAGATCGTTACATGGCCACATGAGCACAAGCTTTTTTCCCTTCATGTCACTGTAATTTGGTTTCTGTTTTTAAACCTTTTTAACGAAGTTAAAGTAAAAGCATCGTCCGAGTAGTGTTGTGAGTGATTCGTATGTGATGTCTTTGGTACGTTAAATTTAAATTATAATCTGCTAGCAAACTCCACATCTATTATTGGCAATATCTCTCCAAAGTTTTAACATATTTGACTGATTTTGGATAGTAATATTAGATGTTGTTCTGGGATTTATAGTCAAAACTAAAAAGTTACAAAAAGCATTTTCTTTCATGTCAAACTTAAAACTCTATAAGTATCATTGGCGTTAGGCTAAAACACCAAACAAGTTCAAGATGGCTGAAATTATAGACTAAAGACGACAGAGCTTATTGAGTATCGGAGAAATTTTGCCATCGCTTGTTGGGAGATCTAATTGACAGTGAAAAATGATTGGCATTTGCTGATAAAGTGTTTGACGACCTTTAATTATGTTAATATTATAATTGGAGACTTTTGACTTCATTTATTTGTTTCAACAATTGAATCAAAGTTTAATTTATCAATTACAATAAAGTATCACATTTTTTCTGCAGATAAATTAGTACACTTGGCAGAAACATTTATAAAATCATTTCAACTTTTGGTAAGTTGATGGCTACTTCATAGCTTTTAACAGTTTCACCAAACAGAATTGTAATAAACTAATTGTTAAGTTTAGTTGATATTTCCTTATTTTTCCAATAAGAGAGTTAATATTGCCTTTCACTTAATTGAAACTAGTTGGGTTTATGAGGTCATTTCTAAAAATTATCAAGCAATTACCAAATCAATTTTAGTTCATTAACTAATTTCATATCTAGTAACTTTTGCGTAAACAATTATAAATTGCAGACTTTTCCCTGCTTAGAATTTTGAATATGCTGAATTTTCTGATCATTTGAATGAACATTTTAAATTACTTGTATTGAATTTAATGTGCAATTTGACTTAACACATATATAACCCCCTTCCCCCATATGTAACCCTCTTCCCCATAAGGTACATATGCAGAGGAAAATTTTATCTTTTTATGTGGTATGGCCATGAGTATAACAAGAATTGGACCATTTAGAATTTATTCATAATTTATTAATACAAGTTATACTATATTGCCCCTCCATATTTGGTGTACACAATTTGCAATTCTTTAAAGATGAAACTATGCTGAATATACATTGTTGTTGTTTTATCAGTTTAAGGCAATTTATTTATATTATTCTAGTATTTCCATATTGTCTTTGCAGTTGTGTTCCACTTGGCTTGATATTACTTGTCTTGCTCGTTTTGCTAATTGTTGTTATATTTGGTGAGTATCATTGATCTTTTCTAAGGCTGAGCACCTTGTAATTCCTTTATACAAAACTATTAGTGCAGTAATATGTATGCTGACGTCAAAATGCTGAATCTGAATTTCAAATTGTTTTAAGTCTAAAATGTTTTATAAATATAAAACACTGAGGCTATCCATTGAGACTCTTTTTTCATGATTGTTTAGCTTCTTTGAAAGGGGGGCCTATTAATTATTCAAAATATAACATATTATGAAAATGCCACAATGCTCTAGGATTTCTTTGAAAGAATCGACATCAGTATCCTTTTTATTTCTAAGGCGCACAAGGAAATCTTTGCATGGGCCGCATTTAATACTCATGACCTTATCATCATCACATCCGTCAAGAAACCCACTCAATGCATAACATCAAGCGCTAAAGAGGAGGTCTTGATAGAGAGAAGGGGGCTTATTTTAAAATTTGGTGTGGTAATGGGGCTTACTACAGGTGTGGCGTAATAGAAGGGGGACTTAATAGAAGGGGGAATTAATAGAGCTTTTACGGTATGCCGATTTGCAATGATTTACAGAGATATATGATCATTTGAGCTGATTCACGATGACTTTTGCAGATTTATTATGACTCAAGATGATTCTCTGCTGCAACACTGCTTAATGGCGATTATTGCTGGTTCACAGACATTTACATTTATTCACAATAGTTCATGATTATATGCAGAGATATCGCAAACTTGAAGTGTTTCTTGTTTCATTCGAAGTTTTATCGTTAGAAAATGTGGCTTTTGATCATTGTAGTAAGATTCTGAGGTGAACATTTTAACTGCGTTACAGATTCTCGAAATTTCTTCATGACATACGTGCATCTAGGCACTCTTCAATTGACAAATCAGCTAATTGTAATTCAAGCAATGATGTGAGAAGAGCTTCATGGAGATTGTCAGCGGTGTCAAACAGCTTTGTTAATAATTGAAAATTTTATCGAATAGAAAACCTTAATTCCCACAATAGCCATTTCTTCCATTGCACGAGTGCACAAATGCTGAATTGCTGGTGCTGCAGCTTCGTTTGAAGCTATGCCAATTTCTCTCTTGGCACGGCCAAAATAAATATTTGCAAAATCATCAACAGCGGGACACTAATTAGAGGAAAATGGGAAGCCGTTGTACACATTCTTCGTACATAAAAATAGCACGGTTTTTGCAATGTACGAAGAATGAAAAGGAATGGTACTTCGATGTTATGAAATGATAGCGATGATGACGATTATGACAAATTTGATGACAATGATTATGAGATGACGAGGATGACAAAACTGATAATTATGATTATGATGATGACAAACGAATATCATCTTTTGCATCATAGAAAATTGGAGGCCCCGTTTTCTCAAAAGGAAATTGACCCTAAAAGAAATACAAAAGTTATTTTTATAAAAAGAAAGAATCAGTATGGAACCTTTCTGGAAATTTGTGTTTTTGAGTAGCCAAAGAGCATTTTCGCTTGATCACAAAACAGAAATATGACCCTTTATCAAAATGCGTTTCGCAGATTTACAGTGTATTGATAAACGATTGGGAATGCTATCACGCAGTAAGTTTACCAAACGCAATAAGTTTGGATTCCACTATCAACCTTTGCAGAAGGAGTAAGTCTGTGATGCCTAACGATTCTTAACGACCAGTACTGACAAAACGATTCCAGCACAACGATCTCACGGCAGTGCAATGACTTTATTGAGGAGGGGAATCTTTCGTTCGTAACTGTCAGCAACCGACCTTTTAATTTTGTAAAATTTTCAGCTGCAAGTGTAAAAATTACTTGAACTCGGTTATTAAACTATTTGATTAAGAAATTTAGTCACAGATCCCAAGCAGTGGCGTCGCCACGGGCTGGACTGGGGTGGACATGGGGGGTTTCGGAAGGGAGGCTGCAAAAAAGCTCGCACTTGCAAAAAAGCTACCGATATGAAAAAAGATGATTGAGAAATTTGCGCGCCCAAAGATAGAAAAAAGATAAATTACTGTACTAAATTTCGAAATAGATGAAAAAATACTAGAAAAGAACTTTCCAAGAGTCTGAAGAGCGTGGCCGAGAAAATTTGTCTTCGTTCACCCCAGTTTTTGAGCTGGCGATGCAACTGATCCCAAGGTTGTTAATTGATAATGCTTGTAACTGTTGGGTTAATCTCAGACATCTATCAATCTTCCAATCATTGTTTCTATGATATTTCTATACCAAACTACCTTATCAAGCATTTCTGCCCTTTCTTTATAAAATATGGGGTTTGAAGAATTTCTAATGAATATTGGATAAACCCCACAGAAGTCCCTGCAAGCATTATGCAACAATTTTGCCAAACCTGGAAACGTTCAAATAATTTTCGCCAACTTTGTAAACACACTTAATAACAATACAAATGTGTAAACATTCGCTAACCATTCGAAATTCCCGCCCTTGCTTCAGTCCCTTTGAATGTCCCACGTTCCTATTGGTCATTAAAATGCCGATTCATTTATACACAATTGACAATAATTCCACATATATAGCTTTATATATGGACATACATCGAGCAACCCCTTTTCTTGTACTCATTCGGAGGAAGGGAGCTTCAGCCTTTATTATCCCTTGTTTTCATGAAGAATTGTTTTGTTTTCATTGTTCTCAAATGATAGTGCTCCTAATAATGTCTCCATTGCTTTAGGAATCATGCCGATAGACGGTATACACAATTATTTCTAGAAACTGCTGCATCTCTTAAGTAGCTTAGACATTTATTGCTATTCATTTCTGATTATTATTCAAATTTCTAGCTTCGTGTGGCTTACAAACTGTCCTGGTGACATTCAGTGAAGTGGTGTATGGCACTCAAATAGCATTAAACAGGTATGAGCATCATTCAGCGCAAATATCGTCATAAATTTTAATAATTCATGCTTATTGGATTGTTTATTCAAGAAGTGATTGTTAACTAAACGAAGCACTAGGTCATTTAAACCCCTACAAGAAACCTTAATTTGGAACACTATTATAATCCAGGAGATCTTTTGTACTGAAAGCAATTTTGGTTAAATGGGTGACAATTTGTTAGCAAAACCCGAGCAAAATGAAAAGAGAAACTGTTTAAAAGTTAACATTTTCAGTCGAACCGAAGGTGGGGTGCAATCCAAGCTTCTTAGGGAGGCTAACGACAACAACAATCTTTTTTAAAGTAATCAATGCTTTGCCACAAAAGAACAGTTGGTTTCTCCCTGATTTTGGTTCAGATGAGTCTATGACCTTTCCATAGCAATATCAGCTGAATTGAGTTGAAACAAGGATATGAGTTGAAAAAGTGAAACATGAGATTTACTAGATTAGAATTAATAAGTGATTCATTTGGCAGTACAAACGCCAATGATATTGAAAACACACATACTAAAACGAATGCATTTGATAATTTGTCACTGTAAGTTAATGTTACCGTTTACCTTGTCACTCACCGCTGCCGTGTTTCTGGTACCACAAGTTACGTCCTTACTGATGCTTGATTATTCATCGATTGGGTGAGATTGCTTCATACTCGCAAAACCTTGCCGTTTTTTTAACTGAAATGCTTGAGCATACTTGCCTCATAACAACAACAAGATATTCCTGTCCCTATGTTTTAATCATAAACTGCAACTTCATTTTAAACAATGTTGTAGTATCAGATGCAAACTGTTTATCATCACTAAAAAATTTGCTTTTCAAACATTGCTGGTTCTGCAGCAATGATTTGGTTGTTATTACAACCTAATGAGTAGAGTGATTAAAGTTTACAGAATGAATCTTATCAATGCAAAAGTGGATCATCAATAAATCATGAAAGCACCATGAATAGACAAAGATTTCTGCATGCAAAAAATAGATTCACCTATTAAAAATAAAAACTTCTGTACAGTAAATGTAGCTAATAAGGGGTACGTTGGGAGGAAGAAAGCTATGGAGGGGTAATTAGATAAAAAGAAGCATGTTTCGGCACAGAAGGAGCAGCGAGAGGTTGAAGAGGAGACAAGCGCAGCAGTATGATGCTGAACATGTCATTCAACTTCATTTTTCATCATTAAGGTGGGATACACTTAAACACAATCAAATTCTCAATGGCATTTTTCAAAATTTTCACAGCTACAATCAATATATTCAAATGCAAACAATCTTTTTAAAAGATCAGGCTATCTAACTCAGCTTGAAGAATTTTCCAATAGATTTGCGATGTCAATAAAAATAGGCCAATAAATCTTAGCAGTTTTTGACGCTCTTTAATTGTTAAACTTAGCAAAAACAATATTAGTTCAAAACAGTGTTGAAAAAGGGCTTAATTTTAAAAGTAGAGTTGAGGCGCAATGTTTGAAATTTTAATTGGGAACAGATAAATTTATTTATTGAATACAAAATAACTTAAGACAAATATACTCCATGATAATCAGCAGAGCTATCGTTTCTTGTTGTCATTACAATCCGAAATGGCTTGAAACGCAGAAATAGGAAGAGAGGATAATAATGCAATCATAAGAGGACATGTAAGCAGTTTAGAACGAACTTTAGAAGAAGCAGAAAGAAAGTCCCTAGATTTTAGATTTTAGAAAAAAACCTAGTAAATTTATTTTCATCTTTCATGTCCTTTTGCAATTATGTGAATGTATAAGAGTTGAGAAAGAACTGTTTTTAATATGGTAGCTAAGAACTTAGCCTGACAATTTTTTAAACTTGTTTGAAACAAATGTGGAAAAGGAAAGAGTAGCTGATCATTTTTCATCTTGAAAGAGAAGAAAGGCATTGAGAGAAGAAAGGTGCTACATAGTTTCCCTTCTTCAAGCTGCCCCATAGCCAGGCCCAAAGATACCAGATTCACTTTCAACCATTCGTCTTTTGAGCTGGTGATTTCAGATCTGTATTAGCTGAGCGAAGTGCAAGACCATTTTTTCTTAGTATTTTATTTTTTTTATTTTAAACATATTTACACAAGGTTACATTTAAGAAGATAGTGTCTGCTTCATGACTGCCCCTGTGAAAAAACTTTTTACAATATAATTCTTATAAAACTGAATAAATAAGTAAAATTCCTTCGTAATAAAATGAAAAAAATTAAAGGGACGAAGATAAGAGCGGCTTACTGTTAGAGACCCTCGTAAGCTTTCATTCCAAACTTTGGCTGCGAGATAGGCGACGGTTTTTTCTCATGCATGTTCTCATCCGGGATCTTAGCAAGTCAGACCCAGTGTTGCGTAGAACGCGAGTTTGGAAATCTGACAATTTGGAAATGATGAGGTAGGTATTCTAGAGATGGTTTGTTCAGACATCTATAGGTGATTGCTTATGATTCTGGGTGAATAAGATTCCAGATTGTAGGCCATTTTAATTCTTCAATCAAAGGTGCTGCAGATGTATCAATAGCATTGTATTTTACTATTCTTGCTGTCCTGTTCTGTAATTTTTGTAATTCTTTAAACGCAGTCTGTCCCCTCAATGATTGGCTTATATGAACAATAGGTATTCCAGCCTTAATGGATTTGGCTGGCCTAGCTGCGGTAGTGGACGATATTTTAAACTGCGAGCAAAAAGCTATTGGAAATGGCAATAAGATTTAATTACTGGAATTGACTGATGATAATGGAAGCATTTTCTTTCGCTCTTAACATATCTGTCGCAAAAACTAAACAGGGAACAAAATTTTTCTAGCCACAGCTTCACTTCAACGGGAACACAGCCATTTCATGCAAAAGATCTGGAACCCATGTTGTCTCTGATTGGTTTAAATCGTTTAATTATCGATATTGCTCAACTGTGCATGAATTTAACTCCCATGAAAATAAAGTTGAGCGCAATAGGGGACAGACTGCCTTTAACCTACTGCTCCAACAGGATTCCCTAGGACGCAGCTCTACAATACCCTTATATATACTTTCTAGAGTTCTACATGGATCATATTGTTTGGTATATTTCAGCAAGCCAAGAGCTCGCGAAATTTGAATCTGGATGTTCTTGGTTGATTTGACATTTTAAAACAGTAGATATTTTAGATTCCTCACTTGTCTGCATCTTGTTTCTTTCTTAGTGGAATCTTCTTCCACCACTTTTCCAGAAACAAAAGCAGAAACGAAATTGTGATTCCAATCAATAAGCAGGCATATACACCTACAAGTTGCTCAGGCCTGATTCTCCCATCGGACCAGGCTAAAGGTAAAAAGGAAAAAAAAATTATTGCTAAAACCATGATAGTAAACAACCTTTATATGTACTTGAAAGAACTACCATGAAATGCCTTAATTTCTTAATAAAAGTGGTGTCTCAGAGTCTCCCGTTCTATTATCAAACTTCCTTTAGACGATTTTTTCAATCTAGAATTTGTAGCTTTGACTGCCAATCAAAATCAGCCAATCAATAAGCGTCTAAGCGATTTCGCGCTCATTGATTAGTCACTTAATGATTGACAGACGGCTTGAGCCACTTAAGTATCTGCTAATTGTCTTTGAGATTCGATGCTATGGAATTCTTGGCAGCCAACAATTGTTCAATTTCTTTACTTCGCCTTTTTAAATGTCAAAGGAAAGTTGTTTAGGATAAAGAATATAAAAAGGCCGAGACAGGAACCTTGTCATACTCCTTTATTTTCTGTTGTCTATCTAAATTGACGCCATAGATATCAGACTTAGTCCTTTGTACCTCTGAAGCTGGTAGCAAACACTCAGTGATAGCACATCATTAGATTTTTCCAAGAAAATGTTTTGCAACAGTGCCTTATTTATATTCAATTTCACGAAAATAACTTGGACCAAATTCATAGGTATGTTGTTAAATTAAAGACTCTTACTTTCTGAGGAGGGCTTGCATACACTCAGCTCTTTCCAATAGTAATTTATTCTTTCATGCATAAACTGCGACTCTTCCAGGTACGAAATACCTATTGAAAGCTTCTGCTGAAGTGGCGATCCTTTTCGCAAAGGAAAACCGTAGCCGCGTGATGGGAGAATTCCTTTCACTGTCGAAAAAGTGAAGAAGAGCAACTGATAAGCATTGAGAATTAGGTAAAAAAGAAAATTAATTTTTTCCATGCACAGCCCACCACCCTACCTTCTCCCACCTCAAAAAGCCTATGTTTCAGAGGCATTAACTTCGATTGTACTATGTTGACCTACAACGTAACAGGGCTTCAAGAGGGCAACAACTGCGTGTCGGAAAGGAAAACGAAAAGTCTAAACAAATATTTACACTCTGATTGAGAAATATTGAACGGCAAATAAAATCCGAAGTAATTTTTGATATTATTGAATTGTATTCTCAGTGATGCATGTTAGCCAGTAAATGCGGGACAGCTTCTGCTTGGGCCAATTTCAGTCAAACAATACCCTTTGTCCGCCCGAATGGGCCTTTTTCGCAGACAACGATATTTCATTTTTCTCGCTTATTAACTCCAAATGTATGGTGATTTTACCCAATTCCATTTTTTTTTAAGTTTTTCAAATGCTACTTTATGCCCAGCTTAGCTGTTTCTAGTGCCAAATTTATTATTATCAAGGCATATATATATCCTATATACTAAAAAGTAACAAATACTACCTATTTGAATGTCACATAATCCTTTGTTTACACTCCACTCTGCGTATGGCGCCTCTGAAAGCATAACTGCATTTGAATCCCTCTGCAACATTTCTATGCCTACGGATCGGTTTGCGTAGCTTTTTTCTTGTTGTATTTTCTGGGTAATCAGTTGGTAGATTTTGTATTCTGAACTTTTCAAAAACTGATCTATTGCAATGTGCGGCTTTATGATGAATGAAACACCCTCCTTCAGCAACGCCTCTAAGTCACCAGTTTCTGCTTTTGCTTTGGCGAAGGTGAAGTAAGCCGCCATATTGGCAGTGTACGTTGAAGTGACAATGAGAACTGCAAACCAAAGCACGAAAACAAAAAGTCTCCCTAAAATGCAAAACATTTATGGAATTATAAGAAATATCAAGGTAGCAAATGCTTCCCTCTGGAAACACACCAGTTTGTCATTCTACTCTAAGATTACTTAGAAAAACTGTCACTGGTAGTAGTTTAATCAAAATCATTGCAGCCAATCGGAGAAGTAGATTATATCAGCCATTTTGCAACTGAATCGCTGCTTTACACGATTCTTTAAAAATCTTAAACGTATTGTTACCATAATATTGCAAATTTCAGCCAAGCTTTTCACTTTAATTTAGTTATTTCTTTATTTCTTTAGAATGAAAATATTCTCCGGTAATTGCAGCTTTAGGTTTTTGCTTCGAAGGCTAAACAAATGGTAGAGTCCAAACCGAATTATGTGTTGAAGTTTTTCTGATATTTTGAGTGGTTAATTTCAGAGAGAATTAACAATTCACAGATTTCTTTGTATAGCGAGATGAATTACTGTTTTACAAACTGCAGCAAGGATTTGAATGAATTCCGAGGCTAGAATCGAAAGGACACGTGGCCATGAAATTCTGAAGACACGCAAATACATCACTGCTATCTTCCTTTCTAGTACGCAGAGTCACCGAGAGGGGAGGGGGCAAGGGAGGCAAATTTAAAGTATCACATGAAGTTACAATGTATCCTGCTGCAGGAATCGATGAAATTCCTAAAAATAGTAAAGCATTTAAACGAATGAACCAATTAAAGCTAACCCAAAGGGTGTGGTCGCACTTCCGGGTTTCCCAGGGCCTCCAGAACCTGTTGGTGGCACTGGACATACGATTAAACGCTTCATAGCGCTCTGTATTACATGAAGTGTCAATGTACCCTTGCTTGAGGTGTCAATCTTACCTGACAAAGATCTCGGAGTATTATCTCCACCTTGCAGCAGCCACGACGCAGTACAAAACCAGATACTATTGGCTGCGCTAAATTCATCACCATACTTTCCTGTTGAAACTAAATCAGATTGCCTCCACCCAAAAGGGCTATTGTAATCAACGAAATATATGACGATGCTACTGATTAAAACGACAATAACAGTTAAAATCCACACATTCGTCGTAAATGGCTTTAGGAACTGTAGATAGTCGAACTGCACCGTGGTTGACCGTTTCCTCAAATATGCGTTTTGTAGTTCCATGAACGGCCGCGTAAATTCTATTGCTTCTTCTCGGATGGATGTTATTGTTAAAGACGCAACTGCAATGTCAGCTTTCTGCAAAAGAAACAAACTTTTACTATAAGAATGAGCCAATTTTTTTTACTAAGGAAAAAAAGAGGAATGCAATATCAACCATTATTTTTTTTTAAATCCAATCAAGAGTGCTCCATTTTAAGACTACTTTTGAAGATATCCAGCCTTTCTCAAATTGACTGTTAAGTTCAGCGAGTATCAACAACACTCAGTGCCATTTCGTTACAAGAATTTGTTCGAATCGAAGGGGTGCATCACCCTGTTCCTCTAGCTACCCATTTGAAGATTTATAAAGAAATTTGGTGAAATGAGCTTATTGATAGAGTTTTAGTGCCTTAGAGTTTTAATGTGAAATGTCCTCATTTCTTACTGGGCAAAGATTTCTTTGAATACTGCAGCCTCAACCGCTTTAAATCTTCTGTCATTCATAAACTCATATGTCAATCTTAACATCACACCCTGTGCACAAATTACGCAATATTGAAGAAATTGATGAAACTACTTGCCTTGTAAAGTACATCACCTATCATGCCAGTCCATTTGTCACCGTCTTTCCTACCGTATTCACCGTCCTCTACTAAGTAGATAGAGTAAGTGAAATTCATCATCTGTGCCAATTTGTCCAGAATGTCTATGCAGAGACCACTGTAACTAACCGTGCCGTTCGGGTTCTTGGTTACGAATGTAAAAGGCTCTGTCTGCAAGTAATTTGTTTAAAAATATTTATTAAAAGAAGTTGCTATCAATGATAACATTTAGGCCTACTGAGAAAGCCGGAAAGAGGTGCAGTCATACCTGGATCTGGCACTTCCAAGTTCTGTGTGATTTTTTGAAAATAATTTCGCCTGTTTGAACTGAGATCGCCATTTGTCACAGTTTGCACGTGACAAAGAATATTTACGTAATGGTCTTTGTTTACTCTATATACAGCCCAATAAATTATACTCGCTTCTTAAAGGATGGATTTAAGCGGCAAGGATTGGTGGTGGTGCTAGATAATGAGTTGATTCTGGTGACCACGCCCTTCAGATGACTAGACAATTTATCTTTTTTCTTCAAAGTAAGGAAGATAACAAAATAAATAAAAAATCTTTGCATTATTATGCTACTATTGGTCAAAATGAGAAATACTCTAGTCGGATACGAAGGACCTATAAAAGTGGGAGGCAGAACTGGTACGCTGATGACATTGTGCTCATAGGTGGGACCATGCAGGAACTAGAACTTCTCGTCACGAGAGTTAAATTGGCCAGTGAAGATAAAGGACTGATGCTGAACACACAAAAAACGAAAGTCACGAAGATGGCTGGTGATCCAGAAAACCTCGAGATGAAAGACCTCATTATGAACGGTGAAGTAATTGAAACGGTTGAAAATTTCATTTACCAAACTTCACAAACGACTGCAATGACAGCAAGGAGATTAGAAGAAGACTGGCAATCGCAAGAAATGCAGTCATCAGCCTGGGCAACATTTGGAAAGACCGCTCCATCACGCTCAATCACTAAAACTCAAATTCTCAATACCCTGGTGTTCCCGGTAGCGACGTATGGCTGCGAATGCTGAGTCATGAAGAAATCGAACAAAAATCGGCTAATTCTTTCGAGATTTGGTGTTACAGACGAATCATGCGAATCAGTTGGAGAGCGAAAAAAACAAACGAATGGGTCCTGCAGAAAATTGGTAAAGCTACCCTTCTCAACAGCATCAACAAAAGGAAGTTGTCGTTTATTGGACATGTCGCAAGAAGCGAAGGATTAGGAAATGCCATTCTCACTGGAATGGTCAGTGGCAAGCGAAGGAGAGGAAGACCACGGCGAAAACTTGAAAATGAGGTTAAAGAGGTCTTGGGAATGTCAATGTCTGGTCTTCTACCAAGCGCAAGAAAAAGAGACACCTGGCGTACGACCATTGCGCGTGCCATGGCGGGTCAGCACTGACCCATCCGTTCCTGATGATGACTATGGTCCAAAAAATGCATTTTACCGAATCAAAGCAAAATATACCTAAGGAAACAAAGACATGAGGGGTGGAATGACGCACCCCTAAACGCCCCGGTGAATCCATCTCTGCATTTCTTATCCAAATGGAAGAGATCCTTTTTGAATTAATCAAAATTCAATAGAGGAGGGGATGAGCTGGTCAAGGTCCTATCTTTTTTTCCAATATGTCTTGTTTGCCAAAGTGTTTTGATTTATAAAATGTTCAGGCAAAGTGTCTTTGAGTACAGTTTTGTCGCTACATTTGGCAATGTAAACCCACAGACTAGATAAATTTATTTATCATGCTAAAAAAAGTAGATTATCTCAAAAGATTTCAAGTTTGTAATTATAATGAAATCTCAGAAATACTTTCATAGGAAACTAACATGCTAATATTTGATTCTTGTAGCGAGATTTAATAAAGAAACTTTGAAATGAATTTAGCTCACCTCAACAGTGACCACTTTTATATGATCATTGATAAGAATGCTATCTAAGTGGTATTCAATGTTCATGCTTGGGTTTTTCTTTAGTTTGATATCTGTGTTTTCTGTTACAGTGCCTATCTGAAAAGATTGATGAATTATTAGGCGAAAACCGAGTTCAAAACCAAAAGATTGAAGAATATATGAAGAACTCTACTGGAATGCTTAGTTTTATCAAGGGTAACTTTATCCATGTGTCAGTTTCTTTTTTCCTACATTTCTACCAAATTATTTAGGTATTTTTTTTACTAAAATTTAAGGTTCAATGTGCATTTAAAAATTAGATTTTAAAGCAAGTATTAACAGACCCAGAGACCTGCTTGTCAAGTGCAGTTTTGCAGTATGTAGTGGTGATAATTGGGCTGAGTGACTGGTAAAATCAAAACTAGAAATTGCAAAAGTTTCTCAGCTTTTTAAATTTGAGATAGGGTTGTTTCTTAACTTTCGAAAAATTGAGCCTAAAGTTTCTTATAAGCTATTTTTTGAAAAGATACGTGAATAATTTGTAAAATTACTATTAAACAGAATTTAGCCCAATGCAGCAGGAATTTACATAAGCTTACGAAAAAAACTAAATTTCCCACCTTCAATAGTTTGTTCTCCTTAATATTGGCTACATTCAGTGGCATGTTCACACGTGTTCCATTTGCATTAAACTCTATATTACCACTTGCACCGTCAAACGTTCCCTAAAGTATCAAACAAAGATTTGCGTTGAGAAGGTAATGAGGAAGTGTCTAATTTTTTTAAATGCTAGTTCTAAAGAGCGCCCACGAAGTTCTAAAATGTGACGTCATTAAAAGATCTATTTAAGAATCTTTTTACCTCTACTATAAAACATTAAAGAATACGATGAAATACCTCTAAGTACGGAAAGTCAATTGAATATGTTTATAATTTAGTGAAATCACTGTTAGAAGATCGTTGCTATTTAGGCTTCTTTCATAAATTTATGAACAGGGATCAAATGATAGTGATTTGATGGGGAAAAGGTCTTTGCTCATTTAAAAATCTTTTTAAAAGGCAGTTTAAAAAAATCTAAATGATCACATCACACTCGAACTCTATTCAGTTCAAGCATTTTCTTTGAGGGCAAAGCAAAAAGATGAAAAAAGGACTGTTAAGACGTCCAAGCCACACCTGATCCAATGCTGCAGTAAAATTGGCAGTGTTCGCAATTCGAATGGATTGAATAATGCCTTTCCCATTTCTGCTAGAAGACAACCAACGATTTGAGCTGGCAAGTTTGCTTGTGATATTCGCAACCAAGTTCAAAGCATCGTAAAGAAGCAGATTTCCAAGCTTTATGGAGGGAAATCATTAAAAAATTATAGAGCCAAATTTGAGAAGGTACGAAGAAAAAGAAAAGTCCCCTTGCATCTTGTTAAACACGTTCTGAAAACATTCAAAACAAACCAAGTCATGTTTTATCTTATCTAAAATTTCTTCTTAGCAATAAGAAATTGCATTTTCTTGAATAAGAAATAATTGTAGCTACAGAAGAGAAGACAATTCAATTACAAAATATCGTACAAAAACAGAACTTATCAAGATTAGATCTGACTAAGTATAGATCAATTCTAGTATGGATCCTATCCAGTCTAGCTCTGATCCATCTTAAATCTGATCTAGTTTAGATATCTGACCAGTTCAGCAGTTCAGCTCTGATGCAGTTTAGATACGATTCAGTTTAGATTCGATCCAGTTTAGATCTGATCCGATCCAGTTTAGTTCAGATCCGGTTCAGCTCTGATGCAGTTTAGATCGGATCAAGTTTAGATCAGATCCAGTTCAGCAGTTCAGCTTTGATGCAGTTTAGATACGATTCAGTTTAGATTCGATCCAGTTTAGATCTGATCCGATCCAGTTTAGTTCAGATCCGGTTCAGCTCTGATGCAGTTTAGATCTGATCCAGTTTAGATCAGATCCAGTTAAGCAGTTCAGCTCTGATGCAGTTTAGATACGATTCAGTTTAGATTCGATCCAGTTTAGATCTGATCCGATCCAGTTTAGATCAGATCCGGTTCAGCTCTGATGCAGTTTAGATCTGATCCAGTTTAGATAAGACAAACTTTCTCTCGTGTCAAAGGAATCTAAGATTCAAAATTATTATAGATACTTTTTATTCTTTTCAATTAAGTGTAATTTTAAGAGGCAGAAACTTAAATTCAGTTTATCCAGTGTAGATCCAATCCAGTTTAGATCTGATCAAGGTTAGTTCAGACCAACTTCCGTTGTGTAAACGGAGTCTAGGATTCAAAGTTATTCTACGGTTTTATTCTTTTTCAGTTAAGAAGCAGAAACTTACAGTTGGATCGGCACCAAGAACCTCTAGATGTGACCGATGATGGGTACTTCCCTCAGAGCTTCCATTCATCTGAACTTGAAGGCCAACAACAGTGTGCAGGTTGCAGACATTCAGTTTGTCTCTAAAGATCTACAAATACGCACGGAAAACTAAGAAAATTCAGCAAGTGAATTTCAGGATGAATGGTATTTTTACAATCTTATTTTATACGTTGTAACGATAATCAAACATCTATAAATTGTTTTTCTTCAAGAGGGCCTAAATTTAGCCTAGAATATTCAAATTACTCGTGGTAATTATCTTAAATAGCATTTTTACGCCTTGTCTTTACAATCAGAATGTAAATTTATTGTTCAGCATTTGCCAGTTTCATAAAGTCTATTTAGCAACACCGTTGAAAATAAATCTATGCACAAAAAAGAACTGTAGTCATGCAAAAGTGAAAATAGTTCTTCAATATACAGTATCTTAATTTAAAGAAACAGTAGTACCCAGTGGCGTCGCTTGACCTTCCAGTCCAGGGGGTGGAGGGTCATCAATAGAAAAATTTACCGACGAAAACATAGATGGAGAAGAATTTAGGTGCTGTTTCACAAACTGATAAATGATTTTACAGACAAACTAAGGATTTTGTAGACAAGCTGAAGATTTACCGACGAATTCATGGAGTATTGGGGAGTGTTACACCCCCTTTCCCTAACACAACCCCTCCAGCTACGCCCCTGGTAGTACCATTTGCAGAAAGTTTGTGGAGAGCTGCAAAACCTATATTCACATTAAGCTCTTTATACGCAAAAGCATCAAGTTGCGCTGTCTGGGATACAAAATCTAAACACAAAAACAAAGTCCATATTATGACAAGCGATTTATTTAAGCTGAAATGTTATTTATCCTGTCATCCTTATGCAAAAAAGCATATCTCTATAATTCAACCGAGAAAAATTATCCAAAATATTATTTAAAATTTGAAACTAGCTAAAAATAGCAGTAAATATCCAAAACTTTGTTGTCTGTCTTCGGTAAACAAGGATGTAATAAACATATATAAACTAAACACATGTTACTTACCAGATCTAGCAACAGAATGTTTATCCTCACTGAGCAAAGATCAACATCATCCGAACGAATCTGTAAAATGAAACAAATGTGTCGATTAAATTTTCAAAAGAAATGCTTACTACGAAGCTTGTCCCAATGCTGTAACGACGTTTACGTGACAAGCACGAAGCCAAAGAGGGGGGGGGGGGCACGAGGGGCCATTACCCACCCATTACAATTTTTTGCCCCTTTTTGCCAGTTCAAAAATTTTAGGATGTTAACATGTTTTTGTGTAAAAACTTGAAAAAAGGTTGTCTTTATATATGACTTTCAGAAAAATAGCGATCTCAACAAAGTCAGTGCATTCGTGCATTTATGGTGAAAACCAATATTGGCTGCACGGCAGTCCACACAATGCTATTTCGAGTCGATCTAACTGCTGATATGCTTCAGCCTACGTTGGCAAGGTAGATGCTCCCAATGAAGACGCCAAGCTGCAAAACGAGGCTTGAATTTACTTCATTTATCATTTTGAACGATAATCTTTCATGTCACTGCAGTTTGACGACTTTTTAAATATCTGGGAGCAAAAACCTTAAAAACTCTCTTTAAAGTAGACGAAATGATACGACTCTGTTGCACCTATAATTATGGCTTAGTTCCCTTTTACAGATAGTTACCAATTTGTGGATTTATTCTGTAAAAAGAAGTAATAGAAAAAAAAACTTCTTTTCAGATGTTTGCGTTTCTAATCGCCATTGAAGGAAGATTGCAAAGACTACACAAAGTTCATTACATTGCAAAAATTCTTTATCGGGGGCAAGATGATAAATCTATTCAAACTCTGTATCAATTGCAAGATATTAAATTTTTGAAGATTCTTCAAAACCGTTACATAAGTTCTTCAATACCGTTACTTAGGTTCTTGCCTTCAAGTTATAAGCAGCGAGCCCCTTTGCTTCGCTCAGTTGATAAGCCGACCTATACTCGGCATTGCCCGCCAGGGGCGTCGCTAAAGGAGGGCACATTCTCCCCACACTTTGTCAGTTGGCACAGAATTTTTTTCTCACCCTGTAGTATAGTTATGATCTTCTTAAAACGGTTCTAATGTGATAAAAGTTCTGTAGCAGCTTAACTTTCAAGTATGCACTTGAAATACTTTAGATTGAACTTTTGGAATTTTGAATGATAAAAAAGAAACACATAAAAGGAGCATATAAAGTTACTTATTTTATGACCACACTCAAAAAGAGTGAGACACGCCATTTTTGTCGGCAAAAAGCAATACTACCCATCCAAAAAGATATTTTGGCATCGCCCCTGTTGCCCGCCCACCTTTTCAGTTCTGGCTTCGTGCCCGTTACGAGACTTTTCATATTCTACTAAAAGAATTAACTTCGATGTCATATACCAATTGAAAAAGCTCCGGGAGGCCAGCTTCATCGTAGATCAGAAGAACTGCACTGAAATTGCCTGTTGCCAGTGATTTGATTCTAGCGACTGAATGATGTGTGATAGAGCCATTCACAGTTTCTTCAACAGGAAGAATTGCCAGCACGGTTCCTTTGGCAAAAGACCGAATGAAATGATCCAGGTCGTTTATACGTTTCACTGTAAAAAAAGGTCTGATTTAAGATTTTAGAGGGGAAGAATTGGAAGATGATGAAGCAAATTGTGTAAACAGTTGTAGGATTGGTGATTTTAATGTTGATTAGTGATTAGTTGAAATGATAATGGCTTATGATTAGTGATTTATGATTTTTGTTGGGTGATGATTGGTAATTATTGGTGGTTGTAGTGGTTGGTGATCGCCCAGGTAGTTGATCCATGATCATTGGTGTGTATCATGGTAGCATGATGTACCAGTATCTCTTGGTACAATTTACAATCACCAAGAAATGAATCAAAGAACATAATTCCAACATAAAGATATAATATTTGCAATGATAATATGTAATCACTCATAATGAAAGCAAAGTTAATCATTATCACAAGCGTACCCTGAAAGACAACGACAACATGTGTCCACGATAGCATATGTAGAAGTTTAGCAGCCACTGTGCTTCGATAGTGAGCATCTGGGATCATGGAAAGCTCATTTCGATTGACAGAGTCGTCTCTGTTGGGAATGGTTTTAAAATGAAGCAATGATCCAGTCTCTATTAATGGGACATGAAGAATCCTTGCTGCCCCTTTGGGTACCTTTGATGTTACTGCAGTATCAATGATGAAAGACATCCTTTCGAAACCATTTATGTCTGTAAAAAATTAAAATTGTATTTTTTGTTTCGATTGTCTACCCAATACAGTTAGAAAAAGAATTAAAACGAAACACTTAGAATTACTAGAACACCCTAATATGCCTTCAGTGTATAGAACAGGGAGTTTCTACTCCGAGTTTTACGATTATTGCGATCATCAAGCAGACAGTTGAATTTGAATTAAATCTAAATTTTTCATTGCTATCTAAATGAGGCAAATACTGGTTTTTACTTGTCAAATATGGTAGTGTTTACTTGATAGTAAGCAGGACAGTTTATACTCACTTAAGATTTCGATGGATTTGCTTGTCATGCTTGAAGTGTTGAATTTTCTGACGTCAAATTTTACATTGTATTGGTTAATCGTTTGCTGCAGTGTTCTGTTTAACAACAAATCTGAAATGACGTCATCATGAAACAATCCTGCAACAGGAAGTTGACAGTTTTAACTGACAATCATGCATAAAATGTTTTTTAATCGTCATGCACTGGGTCGAAAAAATAATTTAATCTAATTTTTACTCAGATTTGTGTATTTTTACAGAGAAAGAATAGTTACTAAGGGATATTGGCAATCTCTTTGTTAAAGAAGTGAAATATCACCAATCTACAGGAAAGATTTCTACAGGTCGTGAACTGTTGGGATTACGCAAAGTAAGTGTTGCTTTCTAAATAAATATGCATTTTACTAAAAAACTGTTGACTTTTCTAGAGAAAAAATGGTCTGCTTTTCAATCTAGGAATAAAGGAAAAAATTCAAATAGAAACGATTCTCCCTTAGTTTATATTTGTTTCAATGCTTTTTTTCTCCATTTGTTTCAAAACTTTCTTCCTTTAAATTATTTGCTCGTGAAACTTTATTTGTTGAAGATCTATTGAAGGAGTTAGACATAAATGAATTCAATTAGGGGCTTGTTCGTTGATCTCGAACATCTTTTAATTGATGCTGACCCCCCCCCCCCCCCCCCCCAGCATAGTGCCTGTGAATAACTTTAAAAGAGTAATGTTTGGTTTACCAATGGAGATGTTTACTTGTTCTGTGCTGCATACTAGCACCACCAATATTGAAGAAAACAGTAGCATGTCCGTCTGAAACGATAGAAATTAAAGTTTTAAGGCATTAAAAAAGGACATATATTTAGAAAATATACAGAGCAGAATATTATTCCTGTTTTCATTCATTTAATTCAAAATGGTTTAAATCTAAAATTCCTACGAATATTGTAGGTGCTGTAGTGATGACGTCACAGAACTTTAAATTTGAAAGGGGATCATGAAATACTATTACGTGTGCGAAAAAAATTAAATAGGATATAAATAGGTTGAGACATGGCCACATGTGTCAAGCCTTCTTCCCTATCAAATATCTGTAATTTGGTTTATGTTCTAAACTTTATGAACCAAGTCAAAGTAACAAAATCGTGTCGTTAGTGATTCTTGTGGATTGGCAGTTTGCTATTGTTAAAGTTTCAATTGAATAGAAAAAACAGTTAACTCTTTCCAAAATTCAAATCTGTTATTGGCAATGTCTATTGGTAATGTCTCTCTAAAGCTTAAACATATTTGACTGATTTTGGATACTAATTATATGATGTTCTTCTAGGCTATATACTTCTAGGCTTCTAAGCAAAAGTCAAAAATTGCAAAAAATAATTTTCTTTGACGTCACACTTAAAAACTCTATACTAATAGCAAATTTTCCAAGATTTAAGTATGATTGTTGTTAGGCTTAAACATAGCTATGCGATGTTACAAGTAAAGCCTAAAGACAATAGAACTTATTGAATATTGGCAATATTTTTACATCGGTAGGTGGAGATCTAATTGACAATGAAAAATGATTGGCATAAGTTAAAAAAGTGTTGGACGACTATTCCAAGGTGATTTATTGACGTAGCTATTTTTTTCTTCAGAGGGAGGGACTTTGAGCCTATATTATCCCTGGTTTTCATGAACAAATGTTTTTTTGCTATTGTTCTTAAATAATGGTGCTCCCAATAATGTCTCCATTGCTTAAAGTGGAATTTACATGAAAAATGAAAAAACTTCATAAAATATATTTAATACCTTTCAGTATAGAGCTGGCAGTGCTGAATCGAATGGTTTAATTGTTTCCTGCATATCCTTTCGTTAACATAATTTTTCAAGCTCCAAAGTACTGGTTGTCGTCAGTTTTTTGTTCGAATAAAAAAACGCGGCCAAAGAGGAATTTCAGGAATTTGTGACGTATTCTGGTGTGTTCGTGCATTAAACGATACTGACTGTTTGGATAACAGTCACATTCCCGGAAATATATCGCAGAAGTTTACGAAAGACGGGAAAGATAGCGTCGATTGTGGGTACAATTCATGAGAGAGAAGTTACAGGACCGATTTCAATCCATTGTCTTCGTCCGCCCTGTGACTCAAAACACACGTTACGCACAAGAATTATAACAACCCTACCAAGTTTCAATCGATTTTGAATAGTTTTACGGAAAGAAAATATGGGGAAACAAAACAGACATACGAGATCGCTGTTTTAAGAGAAAAGAAATCGATTCAGGTTTTTCGCTTTGAAATAAATTTTTGTTATCTTTATCTGAATATAAAATCTGAATGATAAGCGAAGGGTTGGCTTTGCCACCACCTATTCACCCATCGTCAGAGGAAGGTGGTAATGGATCATTCTCATCTGGTTGTAACATCATTTCAACGTTCCCGTCAACATTACAAGGCTCCGTTGGGATTTCGTGACCGTCAACCATTGAATAACACACCAGAATACGTCACTCACTCCAGACTCTTTACAAAAAACCTCCTGTGACTCAAACCCCCCAAAAATGAACTTATGGCCCTTATTTTAAAAAACATATTTGCAGATATAGAATCAGTGATGTTTAATGCCTAAGAAAAAGCCTTTTGCAAAATTTTGATTTTTCATGTCAGTATCAGTTTAAGGACTCATATTGATAGATGGTATACTCAATTATTTCTAGAAACCGATGGATCTCTAATGTAGCTTAGACATTTATTACTATTAATTTCTGATTATTATTTAAATTTCTAGATTCTTATGGCTAACAAACTATCCTGGTGACATGAAACTCTGTTGTATGACACTCAAATACTACTAAACAGGTATGAACAACATTCAACTGCGTGGTGTCTGCCGTCAACAAATTTTGATAACTCATGCTTTACTGTTGAACACTAGTTTAATCCTGGAGACCTTTGATGTTGACAGCAATTTTTGTTATAGAAGTGACGAGGTGCTTTCAAAATGAATAGAGAAACTGTGCAATGCAAACTTCCTAAGGGGGACTGATGGCACTAACGGTCTTTCTTAAAGTAATCGATGCTAATCGACAATAAATGGTGATTTAACGATTGACCTTTCTCCTCGATTTTTGTGCAAATGAGTGATATGAGCTGGAAAAGTGAAAAATTAGATTTACTAGATTAGACTTAATTAGCGATTTATTTGGCAGTACAAACGCTCATTCTAAAACAAATGCATTTGATAATTTGTCACTGTAAATGAATGTTACCGTTTACCTTGTCACTCGCCGCTGCTGTGTTTCTGGTACCACAAGTTACGACCTTACTTATATTTGATTATTTCAGTGATTAGCTAAGATTCTCTCACTCTCACAAAACATTGCTGTATCTTTAAAGCTGAAATGCCTAAGGATACCTGCCTCATAGCAACAACAGGATACATCTGTGTTTATGTCTTTATGATAACCTCATTTTAAACAATGTAGTAGCATCAAATGCTACCTGTTTAATCATTACGTATCTTTTAGCTGAAAAATTAGCTTTTCAAACGTTGCTGGTGTCTGCAGCAATGGATTAGTTGTTATTATACCTTGATGAATAGAATAATTAAAATTTACAGAATGAATCTTATGAATGCAAAAGTGGATCATCAATAAGTCATGAAAGCACCATGAATAGACAAAGATTTCTGCATGCAAAAAGATAGATTCACCTATTAAAAATGAAAACTTCTGTACAGTAAATGTAGCTAATAAGGGGTACGTTGGGAAGAAGAAAGCTAGGGAGGGGTAATTAGATAAAAAGAAGCATGTTTCGGCAGAGAAGGAGCAGCGAGAGGTTGAAGAGGAGAAAAGCACAGCAGTATGATGCAGAGCATGTCAGTCAACTTCATTGACATCATTAATGTGGGATACACTTCAACAGAACCGTTTTTAAGGGAACCTGCAATCAAATTTTTAATGCACGTTTTTAATTGCATTCTAGCGGGATCGAGGTACATCGACATCATATCAAGTATGAAACAGAAAACTATTTTACAGATGAGTGACCTTATTACATAACGTAACAATGTGTTGTATTTACAGTTAGAATCAATATATTCAAAAGCAGACAATCTTTTTGAAAGAAACCTCTTTTTGATGAACAATTTTGCTCGAAGATGCTGCTCCTCGCAGAGTTCGCACACACGTGGCCTTCCAAGGTGAAGATCTACCTAGCTCAACTTAAAGAGCTTACAAATAGTTTGCCTGTCTTGATGGAAAATAGAAATAAAAATTGTGAATGGGGTCCTGATATTAAACGATAACACTATTTTGCTTAGAGAGAATAACTGTAAAAAATAAAATAATTTCCAACTTCTTATCTGAAAAGCCAAAAAGAATTTCATTTTCACTCCACGAGGTCTGAGCTCAAAAGTTTACTGCCTGGGATTTTTTCAGTATTTTGTAATGTCAATAAAAAAAGGCCAATAAAACTTAGCAATTTTTGAAGCTCTTTAAATGTTAAGCTAAACAAAAACAATATAAATGCAAAGTATGGTTGAAAGTAGGGTTTAATTTTGAAAGTAGAGTGTAGCACAATGTTTGAAGTTTTGATTAGGAGCAAAAAAGTTTTTTTATTGCATGCAAATAACTTTGAGACAAATATACGCCACGATAGTCAGCAAAGATATCATTACATTTTGTCATCACAATCCGAAATGGCTTTACTCAGAGCTTTAGATTTGGTGTCGGCCTTGGTGGTCACAGCGTAATCAAACTCAGTATAGCATTCAGATAAAACGCAGAAATAGGAAGAGAAGATAATGCAATCATAAGAGGTGATGTAAACGATTTAAAGGCACTATGCATTTAAATGGATTCGGTTGATTTAACAGTCCGTTTAAATAAAAATCTTCTTCGTTTTGCAATCTTAAGAGGAGATGTAAGCAATCTATGTAGAGGAAGCAGAAAGAAAGTCTCCAGACTTTAGAAATTAGAGAAGAGCCTTGTACATTTAGTTTCATTTTTCATATCCTATTGCAACAATTACCACAGCTTGGGTTTTAGTAGTGTTTAATGAGACCTTATTGCCGCGAAGCCATTGAAAACTGCATTAACTAAAGCATTCAATTCTTCCACGTTATCAGAAAAGATGGTTTCATCGTCAGCATACATAGTAGCATGGACTTTTTCAGTTCAAAAGGCAAGTCACTGATGTGTAATAAAAAGGAGTGATCTAAGACACGATCCTTGAGGTACTCCAATTTCTATCTCGTAAAAATGCTTTAGCTTGTTCCCCATTGAAATAAAAGAAGTATTTCTGCCCATAGAAATATCAATTTCTCCCCTCCCCTTTAACTATGGTGATGTTGTATGAAAACTTAATATCCCAGCATTTAATTTCATCTCATAAAGTCACCTCGGAATTGATATCAGTTGGGTCATGATGAATAAGTAATTATTTGAATGTGTAATACAGTACAATATATGGTACTGATAGAATTCGGATGAGCGCAATGCATCACGGAATGCATACTGCGTCGTCACGTGAGATTACTTGTAAATAGATGGACACGAGGAGTAGAGTGAAATTGAGAGTTGATAGATTGGAGTAAAATTGTGTTGAAAAAAGTTACTGTTTGCATCCTAATGAGCTGGAGTTTTTTGGAAATAGAGTAAAGTGAAAATAATTGTGAAGCTAAATTTTCTTTGAGATATTGAAAGTATAAACACATGATATCATTATTTCTGGAATCCATTTCTATGTGTATTTGTCATTGAAGTATAGGACTGCATTATCTCGATTCACTACATTATATCGGCAACATTCAAAATTTAATGAATCAAAAACAGGTACCCCTGGTGACACTTATGTGTCGGTCTTAGCAAGAAAATCTTTCATGATACAACCTTAACATCATGGGTACCCTAGAAAGTAATATGCTCTTAAATTTTTAAGAGAATTATTTTGCTCTTAAAGTAAGCATGGAAGATCAAAGATATGAGCAGAACATAAGCTCGTCTTTTTTCGGAGTCAACAAACCTAAGAAAAGATAATACTGAAAATTTGAGAGAAACGACTTTACAAAGAGAGAAAAAATGGGAACTAATTGAAGATCTGTGGACCAACTCATGACGAATTTGGGAGAAGGGAGTTGCCATACCTCTTTCACCCTCTGCTAGCCTCGCCCTGAAGAAGAGGCTAGTTTAAAAGCTTAAACCTCGAAATCTGCTGTAAAAATATATTTTTAGAGCATAAAAATGTGCCATGTCTTTCAGACACTCGGTCAAACCACGATATACCAAGCATTCTTCTAAGAAACCAGATGTCTGCCGCTTCTAGACGTTCCTGCATTGCTTTGCTTATAGTCCAACTTTCGCATGCTTACATAAATGTAGACCACACGTAGCATTATAAAATTCTCTTCTTGGTTTTTAAATCGATTCTCTTTTTTTTAAACCTGTGCTAGATCTTTAAATGCTTTCTTTGCAATCCCTATACGTTTCTTTACCTCTGTGTCACTCCTTCCATCAGCTGTTACGGTACTACCTAAATAGACAAAGCTCTTTACTTGTTTAATGTCACCCTTTTTTATTTTAAATCGTATTTTGGTACTGTCTGTTTCTTTGAAATGACAATTCTGTATGTTTTCTTTACATTTGGCTGTAAACCTAGCTTCTCACTCTCTATTTCAACTTTTCCCAAAAGATCCTGTAGCTCTTTTTCTGATCCTGCACTATGTCACTGTGTCACCAGCGTATCGAATATTGTTGATATTGATGCCATTGATCTTTATTCCATTCAGATCTTTAATTTCCTTCAATATTTTCTCACTGTATAGAGAAAAAAAGTCCGGTGACAATACACAGCCCTGCCTGACACCTTTTTTGATATCAACATAGTTACTTATCTCATCCCCGATTCTAATTGCTGATTTTTGGTTTCCCAATAGAGGTTTCTAATCAAACGTAAGTCTTTTCCACCTATGTCTGATTCTATCAGTATTTGCATCAGTTCTTTGTGTTTTACCCATCAAAAGCTTTGGAATAGTCTATAAAGCATAGATATGCATCCTTTTGCATCTCTATTGCTTTTTCTTCCAATATTCTCAGTATGTAGATGGCGTTACGACTCCCTTTATCTTGCAGAAGACCATATTGTTCTTTCGAGATTTCTGGTCTGATTTTGTTTCTTGTTCTTAGCATGACGACTCTAACAATTATTTTTGTCACGTGATTCGTCAGACTTGTTGTTCGATGTATCTCATAGTCTGTTGTCCCCATTTTCATTGGTATTGCTATGAAAATATATTGGAAAAGATCATCTGGGTTGCTTTTCCTCTTTTCATTTTCTTTAACGCAAGCTCTATTTCATCTTTAGTTATTGGCGGTCCTTCTAATGCTTTCTTGATTTCTGGTCGTTCACCTCTTTCATCATCATACAACTCCGCTATGTACTCTTCCCATCTATCTAGGATTTCTTCCTTGCTCATGACAATTATTCCGTCTCTTTTCTTGATACATCCACTCGACAGCATATCCTTGGTTTTGATGTATTCTTTATTATCCCCTGCATGAGTTGTGGATTTTTCGATTCTAAAGTCTTTATTTCTTCGCATCTGTCATTAAACTATTTTTCTTTGGATTTGCACACTCCCTTTTTATTTGCTTTTGATGTAAGCAGATTCCAAAACACCTAAGTGAATCATTGAAAAGGCGACCTTGCCGCGTACTAAATTACTACAGTATGTTATGTTTCAGCTATTTCGTGGCAGCTTGAGATTGAATTGAGAAAGCAATCATTTCACAATTTTGACTAATCTCTTTATGCAGATCGAAAGTTACAAGGGCACATCAAAATTTTGATGAATCTCCTTATGGTGATTGCAGTAATCTTATTTCAAAAGATCAAGCCAGTTCTCACCAAATTTCTTCCTTTGAATATTTTTTCATTGCCCTTGATATGAACTACCAGTCGGTTCACATTGTAAGAGGATTTTTTGTCAGTTCAAATACAATTAACATAGCTGTTAGGCGTTTGCTAAACAAACATCTTAGAGACAAGTGATAGCTGATAAACAATTAAGCACCTTGTGGTGTTACACAAGATTGCATATTTGTTCTTCTACTGTTTATATGTTCAAAGATTCTTTCAAGCAAATTTCGCCGACAAAAGTGATAATATCAGAATCTCGGAGAATGATTGAAACGACTCAATAAAATTCAATATCCTGGCTAAGAATACCTGTGTGTATTTACCAAACAATTTTATCCCCCGGAAAAACAAAATCTTTCCTATTGCAGGTTGTCTTTCAATGAACTTTAAATTTTTTACTGTAATCAATCCTCACACGACAATGACTGCTGAGTGTTGCTTTCTTTATGAAATTTATTGATATTCCCAGATGACATTGCTTGTGGTTACGGCAAAAACTCTCCCAAACGAATCTTCTGCAATGGCGGCAACGGAGACTTCAGCATCTGTTAAATTTAGTTAAATCAAGTGGAAATTGTCTGCAAGACAAATTTAACCGTAAGTAGCTATATTTTCGTCGCTTTTAAAGTTTTTCTGATATATTTGTAATCAGCAATAAGCACTGCAAGTTCACACAATATTACGTCATCATATCAGTTGGTGACCTCTTGAGACTAGGTAACGTTAAATATGATTCTTGTTATATGTAAACCTAAATTTGTTTTAAAATGATTTGATAAACCTCATCCCTAGATAATTTTTGTTTTTGTACTTGAAGTAAAAAGAAGTATCTGTAGAATTGGAGTAACTGAGATTTATTTTTGATGCAAAATCTACGGCAGTGGAGAAAGCAGGCAAACACATTGCATCAAACAATAACACACTCTTCAAATGTAAAGAAATATCTGTAATTCAGACATTAAATATCAAGGTAAAATATATATGATGATACAACATCATTTTAAGGTTTGCATCTCCTGTTCATTTTCATATTCTTTACAATGTTTGTAAGATGTGAAGTAAAACCTGGCCGTAAAAGATGGGGAACTGTCATGGTTTTGTCTGTTACAAGTTAAACAGACAACATCCATTTTCAGATAAATTGACTTTTTATGAAAAGTCATTGTATAAATCATATGTCGTCACAAATGACATTGGAGGAGAATTTAAATAGTTCAGTTCATTGAGTACTGTAAGGAGATAGGTCAGCGTTTAAAAATTGATATTTAAAATTTTAATATTTTCTTTTTAAAGATATTTTAAATATTTAGGGATATTTTTTAATTTTTCTCCAATCTAGGATTTAGCTACTTAAAGTAATTTTTTAAATAAATCATTCAGTCAAATATTTTTCTGGAAATTTATTTATAAGTTGATCAGATCTCGTATTAGAGACAAATGTAATTTTTGAATATTTTAACTCTCATAGTATCAATACCTGTCAAGCCTTGCTAATACTTGTCAATAATGGTCAACTGTCAATAACGGTCAATAAGTGCCAATAGCTGTTATATTATCATCAAGGATAACTGTTATACTCAATAACATGTCAAGCCTTGCTAATACTTGTCAATAATGGTCAACTGTCAATAACGGTCAATAAGTGCCAATAACTGTTATATTATCATCAAGGATAACTGTTATACTCAATAACATGTCAAGCCTTGCTAATACTTGTCAATAATGGTCAACTGTCAATAACGGTCAATAAGTGCCAATATCTGTTATATTATCATCAAGGATAACTGTTATACTCAATAACATGTCAAGCCTTGCTAATACTTGTCAATAATGGTCAACTGTCAATAACGGTCAATAAGTGCCAATAACTGTTATATTATCATCAAGGATAACTGTTATACTCAATACATGTCAAGCGACCTTTGCTAATACTTTTCATAATGGCCAATGTCAATAACGGTCAATAAGTGCCAATTATGCTGTTATATTATCATCAAGGATAACTGTTATAATTGCTCATACATGCCAATTCAATAATGCTTATTCATATCAAGGCCTTTTCTACTTCTGCTCGCGTTTTGTTAGAGTTTCTAAAAACCAAAATAAACAGTTGAGCGTGTAAATCGATCTAAGATAGTACCGTGGGCGATTCCTCAAAGACTTTTGTTTAATAAATTCTTTGAATTTGATTTTAGACTGCATCTGTTCTGGCTTATTTCCCGATTTTATGCTTTTGTTAGCAGGCAAGCGAACACCCTGTCAAAATTACAATGGTAATAAACTGCTGTATCTCATCCAGCAATTTTTTTAAGTAAAATCTTCTTAGAATTTTGTTCGGTCCAGAAACTCGCATTAAATATTAACAATGAATCGCGAAATTGTAGCTAAGTATTACATAAGCCTAGAATAAAAGGGTAAACAAAATATGACATGGCGTTTTGTAGAATGAAACGTTAAATGGGTAACGCTTTGCTGAAATCTTGTATAAACTTCACAAAGGATACTGTATTCTTAACATTGACATTGTACTCATGGATTTTGCATAGATTAAAAAGGTGCAAGATGCTAATAACTTTTTATATCAATTAAATTATTGGTATAGTCATGTGATACAGTCTTTTGGCGGTACAGAATTTTGAAAAAATGGCTTTGAAAAAAGCAAACATTTTACAAACATACTTAAAGCTTTTTCGTCTGACTCTCCTCAGAGCATAAAACGTCAGAATAGGTTCCGAAAAACATGTTTGAAAAATATATACCCAGTTGTGGATCGAAATAGGCCAATCAGAAAAACGCAAGCACAAGACCGGTATAGTTGAGACCTGCCTTGGCCAATATCTTTGTTGGCTTTCATGAAGAGCGTTTGTTCGACTACGACCAAAAGCCAGGTGTCTATTTTCGGTATGTGGATGACACATATACCATTTTCAAAACAGAGGCTGAGTGTGATATTTTTCTAAAACACCTAAATAGCCTACACCCAGCCCTCCAGTTTACGTTTGAAAAGGAAGAAAATGATTCCTTACCATTTTTAGATGTTTTGGTCGAAAAGTCTAACACTGGATTTCTTACCAGTGTATATCGCAAGCCTACTTTTACCGGTCAGTACATACGCTGGAATTCATTTTGCCCAAAACAACGCAAAGTCAACCTTGTCAAAACATTAGTACATAGGGCACTTATGATCTGCTCGAAATCTAAACTGCACGCTGAACTGGAAAAACTCAAAACGATCTTCTTGGACAACGGCTATCCTGAAGACGTCATTTTATCTTATACTAAGGAGAAGATCGCAAGTTTTTCGGCTGTTCAAAAGTTTGGTCCGCAAAAGTGCCCAGTTTATTTGAAACTACCATGGATTGGTAACACTTCCTTGCGATTCGAGAGTCAGATTAGGCAAGCCATAACCAATTGTTTCTTTGCTGTCAATCCTCGGATTGTTTACAGCACTAGGAGAGCCCTTCCATCCATTCAAAAGGATTGCGTCCCTACCAACCAAAAAAGTTCCGTCATTTATGAATTTACGTGCCAGTGTGATTCTGGCTACGTAGGGCGCACAACCCAAAGATTGGGGGATAGGATAAAACAGCATGTTCCTTCCAACATACGAAACAAAACTGCCCCTCAAAGAGAACAGCCTCCTCGATCTTGTAGGTCGAGAAACACTGTTAAAACAAGTGATTCTGCCATTGGTCAACATCTTTTGGACAACCCAGATTGTGCAAAACTCTATAATGACGACATGTTTCGGATAATTGGCAGAGCCCGGTCGTCCTTCCATCTAGCAGTTTTGGAGTCAATCTACATAAAAACGAGAAAGCCGCCATTGTGTAGACAAAAGGAGTTCGTTTTCTCTCTTGGACTCCATTGGTAATTTTTCTTTAGGCTCGCGGCACTGATTGGTCAACTATACCGGTCTTGTGCTTGCGTTTTTCTGATTGGCTTATTTCGATCCACAACTGGGTATATATTTTTCAAACATGTTTTTCGGAACCTATTCTGACGTTTTATGCTCTGAGGAGTGTCAGACGAAAAAGCTTTAAGTATGTTGTAAAATGTTTGCTTTTTTCAAAGCCGTATAGTAATGTCTTAACTAGCAAGCACCTCAAACAAAGAACAAATTCTTCCAAAATGGTTTTTCCCAACTTTTTTCCTTTGATCGTGACTTTGTACAAGTAATCCTCCAGAAATGGAAACCTCTCTTTGACGAACACTTTTCTGCGCCCTAAATCTCTCTGCAACGAACACCACTCTGCGACAGTACTTCTCTGCGAAAGAGACCTCTCAGCGACGTACAACTCTCAGCGACGTACAGCTCTTAGCGACATACAGCTCTCAGCGACGTACAGCTCTCAGCGACGTACAACTCTCAGCGACGTACAGCTCTCAGCGACAGAGACCTATCTGCGACGGGCATCTCTCTGCAACGGACCCCTATATGTGACGGACATCTCTTTGCGACGGAGACCTTTCTGTCACGGGAATCTCTCTGCAATGGACCCCTCTCTGCGACGGAGACCTTTCTGTCACGGGAATCTCTCTGCAATGGACCCCTCTCTGCGACGGAGACCTCTCTGCAAAGAGACCTCTCTGCGACGTACTCTGTGATATCTCAGCGATGGAGATATCTCTGCGACGGAAGCCTCTCTGCGACGGAGACCTCTCGGCTCAAACACGTTTCTGCAACAGACAGTAACTTGAATTTTCAATGTGTCTGCTAAATAGATGCTTCACTCTAGTGTAAAATTACAGTAACTATTTTTCAATCTAAAACAACAAATTTTTATCGAAGCGATTTTTCATATGAGCAGAAAGATATAGAATCGTTAGCACCTAAGCAAGCTAAATTATTTTTGATTTATTAGTCTATCAATCAAATATTGATACTAGGTTGCGATCAAATTGTCATCAATAGGCTTTACTTTCCATTGTGATTCTTTACTTTACTTTCGCAACATGATAGTAAACAAGGAGTATTCTGACGAGCAAAACAACTTGAATAGTTGAAGAAATGTTTTAAACATTCATGCTAAGTCACTATTGTATCGGTCTAGTATTACCTGGTATTGAAGCCTGTCAATATAGAACTCTCTTTATTTTGTTTATCTTGATACTGATATTCTTTCATACAGGTCTTTTTCATGATGAGGTTGTGCCTGAGTTTTTGGCAAACAGAACACAACAGCCAATATACAATGACTCTAGAATCAAATTAGAGCAAAAAATGGTTAATGTTACGGAGCTGACTAACGAGGCACTTGATATTCTCAGTAAGTTGCCTTTTTTATATCACCTGTTCTATGGTTTGCTGTTATTTTTTATATTTATAGACGAAATATTTTTCAGGGACCAAAAATCTTTCAAACTGAGACATCGTGGGAAACGACTGTTTTTTTAAGGAATATCGTAATACACTCTTTTTTTAAGAACCAGTAAATTTAAGTTCCGGCTGACTGTTCTTAATTTTTTCGAAAATCTTAGGCTGGATTGTTCTTAATTTGTTCTTAAATTAAGAGGGTGTAAGCAGTGCTATTGCTAGCTTTTTTGCTCTAAGGAGGTGTTCAGACAAAGTGAGTGAGACAGCCTTAATTTGCTGACAAATTTGAATATTCACCAAAAGGCACCCACACATTGCTAAAAATCCTCGATTTTGAGAAAAAACGTTGTTCAAAATTGCAATTTGCAGAAGCTCAGACTCAGCTTGTTCTTAATTCGTTCTCAACTTTTGACCAGTTTTGAGGCTCGTGTTCTTATAAAATTGTTCTTATAAAAAAGGAGTGTAAACGATACAAATAAGACACATGCATGGAACAGTTGACTCCGCTTATAGCCACTTAGTTTAATGTCACGCTATCCTTTACAGTCACATCTTTACAGTCAAATTTAGACCCAGCTATCTTATTTAGCTCCTCTTACAGTCACACTGTGCTTACTGTCACAACTTATCAAGTAACATTGGGTGTGACTATAACCAGTGTCTATTTTAAATGTTCGAAAGAGAAAAGTTCAAAGAAAGAGAGTTCTTTCTGCTTTTTACATAAGGTAGCTTGTACTTCCTAATAAACACAGGACACATTTTTTAATAGGTGATGATGCATTGACAGAAATATCAGTTGCCATTAGAACCGGAGGAAAATCAAAAGTAGCGAAAATGACATCAAAGATCTTGAACATCCCACTAATAGAAATTGGACGCTTGCTTCATTCGCAAAATGTTCAAAATAGAGATACTGCTAGCTACCGAAATGAGTTTTCAATGGTGTCCAATGCTCAGCATCGAAGCACCGTGATTGCAAAAATTATGAAAATGTACTCTTGGAATCAAATAGCAGTTATTTTCCAAAGTGAGTATGGCAGCCATCTTACTCGAATTATTCACAATAATCATAATTATCAAAAAATTATAATCAACACAATCATTAAGAAATCCATTATCAATCATAATCATCACAAATTTACCCTGGATACACGAGCCTCAGAGAGTCAAAGGTTTAGGAACGGGGAAAAGGAATTGCGAAGGAGATGGGAAAGGAAATGAAACTTTTCCCAGATCTTTATCCTTTGGCTCTTTGGGGCACTTGTACCCAGAGTGCACAATTTGAAAAGAGCGAAGAAAAGTGGAAGCATTCTTCCTTTCAAGATACTTTTGGTAAGTGGAAGCATTCCGCCAATCGCAAAGATGGCCATAAATAAAAGCCACAACCATTTCTGAGGGGTTGAGAAGAAGAAACAATGGCCTTCTTCGGCTAACTAGCAACACCTTGTTCATGTAAAAGTCGCAAGCAACTCGGCCGTTAAATAATGCACAAAGATATGGAAATTAATATGCATGTAAACAACTTTTAAAAGTCCTAGATATGGGTTGGGTGGGCAGGGTCGCAAGAAAAAGCTTTGCTCTCTACAGTATAACTTCAGGTTGTTTTGTAGTGTGCGAGGGTGAAACTAGGGCAACATAAAGTTTATATACCCAAGGCAAATGCACACTTACACGCTTGTTGCTCTGGCCATAGCCTAGGCTTTGGCGCATAAAAACACAATATACTGCTTACTCGAGCACTGCTACAATAAACACAGACTCCACAATCGTGCTATATGTGCCAAAAAAAATCCAAGAGGGACCGAAAGGCGTCCCTGTCACATACTAAACGTGATTATATTTGATTCTGTGAATGAATGTATCTTTAATCGTTGTATGCTATATCTGGTAGATTGAATCCACGATGACCTTACAAAGTTGCATTTTGTACAGTGTTGTACTGTATTTGTACTTTATTTGTACTGTATTGTATTGTATTGTGCTGTGTTGTTCTGTATTGTGTATTGATAGTGTATTTATATTGTATCATGCAAAGTTCTGGAATATTTGGGTGTGGAAGCAACTCGATAACGTTATGTTTTTTGCCTCCATCTCAACAATGATCAACTTGAGTTTTTTTGTATTTGTTTCTATTGTGATAAAAAAATTGATTCAATTAAGCTCCATTCTCCGACATTTATACTCTGAGGAGTGTCGGAAGAAAGGTACTTCATCATGCTGTGCTTCAGCTTTTCCGTGCCATCTTCAAATATGGCGGTATTAAAAGTTTATTTGATAATCAAAATCATCACCGTCAACTTGATAATCATCATCAAAATCGTTGTGATCACCGTCATGAATCAGAATCAATCACATAACCAAGCTAACTGTCTTATTGTTTTCTCTGCTCTCACTTCAAGCCAAACGAACAGATGATCTGAATCACTTTACGCAGTCGATCGGCCGGGAAGTATCACTGGAGCTAATTCCTGTTGAAACTTACTTAAATGGCTCAGTTACACATCATTCAATTACAAGGATGAAATCACTAACAAACAGCCAAGTCAGTGCGATTCTTCTGATCTACGATGAAGCTAATCTTCCACAACTTTTCCAATTGGTATGTTAAAGTAACTAAATTGTTGTGATTAAAGCATACGTATTCATGCACACAAGAACTAGAATAGTTCTAGAACAGTTACCTGATTTTCGCATTTAGTGTGAATCTCAGAGTAGCAACCTAGAAGCATCCAATCCTATACAATAAAATTGTGTGCAACTCTGCCTATACGGCATAAAGTTCTTTGTGACAGCTCGGTAAACAATTGTACTCATTAAGTATTCATGCATATGGGAATTTTGAGTTTTTCGACCAACTTATAGCAGTGCTCTTCAACATTTCATTGAATCTAGTTCAGTAGCATAAGAAAATCATTAAAAATAGAACCGCTTGGAGTTTGTTCTTGATGAACATATATAACAAAGATTCGCTGCTCATTAAGAAGTTCTATTCAAAAGAATATGCATAATGCATACGGATGTCCGGCAATTTTTATTAGTTTTTACAGTCATTTTCGCTATTTAGCTTAAGAATTTTCATGCAGCTCTGTAAATATTATCTATACAAGTAAAGTGTACATTGCTGTTCTTTAATCATAACATTTTTGATAATTTTCATTTTTCTGATTTTCAGTTTCGTTCCGATACTATAGATCTTTGTGCTGTCAAGAATAATATTTTCCTTTTAGATCTGGTGAGTGTAGCTTTGTTTTCTTAGTGGTCCTTTTAGCAAAAAGCGTCTCGTGCTAATATAAAAACGGTAACTTGCATAGACCTAATGCTACTAAAAAACTTGCTACTGAAGATTTTCTTTGAACTTCTATCACCCTACTTCACATTCTACTTTCTAGATTTAGTGGAAGCTAAGATCTATTCTCAACCACCCAAACTAAGCCTTGGAAAATAGAAATATATTCAGGACATGACTGATGTGAAAAATGCCTGAACAAAGGCCAAATAGTGGGCGGCATATAGTGGAAACCCGCATAAAAGAACCTGTTTTTATAAGAACCTTGAGGCTGAAATTTTATCTTTTAAACCTCATAATTAAGAACCCTCAAGAGGTTGTAATTTGGAAAGGTTCTTACAAGTATTTTTGAAAAGGTATTTTTACACCCTATTCACACTGGCAAATTAAACCAGCTTAGAGTAAATCAGGTTATGGTATGTTACATTCTAATTGGACAATCTAACAACACAAATTCATTAGAGTGGCTTGAAATTTAACATGAAAAAATGGCTGGTTTAAGTGTGTCTGCTAGAATCCTTGCGGTGGAAAACATTGTTAATGTGTGCAAGGCCTGTACGTATATAAGAACCTTTTAGACTGGAATTTAGAATAGCAGCCTGTTAATTAAGAACCTATTCAGGCTGCCAGAAAAAAACCTAGGTTCTTTTATACGGGTTTCTACTGTATCCTCTTTTCTGATTCTCTACATCCATGTTTCCCCATTTCCCCCTTCATCATTCAAAGTTGAAGTGCTTGTTTTATATAGGACGATGTTGAGATTTCTAACCCTGATGTTGACCTATCTTTCAACATCTAGCTTTAATCTAGATGTTGATATCTCTGCTTAGATAATATAGATATTATATTGAAATCTCATCTGTTGTTGATATAATAAGAAATGCTGAATTTCATTGTGCATTTCAAACATGGTCAAACGATGTAATATTCTCTATACATACTGAAGTTTTATTTTGCAGAATGCCACTAAATGTGTTCTAGGCTCCCTTGCAGAATCTACGCAATACCTTCTCCGTACTTCTCTCATTTTTGTTTGCTCATTTGTAGATATTCAGTAGCAAACTGTTTGCTTGTGACTTGCACACCGTGATCGGCTTCCAGGTACAAATAAACAAGGATCTTGACGAGGGCCTTTACCATCCATTGCCCAAAGATGTTCTTGGTACCATAGCAAGAGTAAGTTTCCATTACGTCATTTTGAATCTTCATTACTAGTGAAACACTGCAGCACCAAGCAAACATTTTCCTAACAAAGCAAAACGTAAAGGCACCAACTACTGCAGAATGGGAAGGTCATGTGCGTGACCAGGTAGAAATTCTTGAGACCACGCTCTTTTTACTTCATTTCGGGGATATATACTCTAGGTGTTATTTTCCAGAGACAGGTATTTAAAAGATATAAATTAGCTTTGCCAAGAACATTTTTGTCAATTGATGGTGCCAGCACTGAAAAGCAACTGTTGTACTATTTAATTCGTTAGAAGTATCATAAAATAACGCTTTATATAAACAGGTGTATTACCACACTTGCTACGATAGTTATAAACTCGATATTTTGCAGAAAGTATCCCACTTTTAAAACATTTTAAACATATCAACAGCAACACTTGATAATTCATCTCTTATGTTGATGCTCAATATGTTCATGTATATTTTACCACATTGAGAGACACTGAAGGAACCTTTTTCATGCACTTTCTTACTGAAAGAAATTTATGATGGTGAATTGTAATGTAGTATTCTGCTAACCCTATCAGTTGCAAGATGTTCTTCTCTACGACGCCTTCCATCTGGTTGCAAATATCACGAAGACTCTTGTCACGTCAAATCGTTGGCTTTCTCCTAGCAGAAATGGGAAAGGCTATGTCCATTCCATGGCAGTTGCAAACACAGCAAATTTTTCTTTGGAGTCTGGAAAGGTGAGTTAGTCATTATACAGTCTTGGTATGAGATACAATTAAAGTACTTGAAGAAAACATCAAAGGAAAAGCCAGACTGCAGTTTGATCACTCAAGGTCATCAAACAGCAATAAAGCTACTATTAGTAATAACAGACTGACAAATAGTGATAAAAATAAGCAGTGAAAACCCTCATAAAGGAACACATTTCCACTTAAGCCAGAAGGCTAATAAGAGGTATATCAAACTAAGATAGGTTTACCTTTTATGTATACAATAGTTCGCAAAGAAGATTATTATCTATATTATTAGCAATAGTTCTACACGGCCATTAACACAAAAATTAGAAAACGACTAAAATGGCTTGAAGTTCCAAAATGATGAAACAAAAGACAACTTTATGATTAAATTAGAAAAATTAGTTTCATGAAATTCGAAAACCTAATTGATACAAGATGCTCTTTGGGTAAGAATCTTCCCAGACTAAACTAAAAATGAAAGGCTTTGATCAAGTGGTTTCTTCTGTTTGAGCACATTGCCGCATATTTGAAAAATACTGCAAGTTTTTGCTGTATTATCTTGGGTTCTCATCATTTTTCCAGGTGAAGATAAATGGTGCAAGTGGAAACATACAGTTCAACACGCATGGGAATCGCTTGAACATGCCCCTAAACGTTGTTAATATCAAGGAGAACATACCAGTAAAGGTGGGGATTTAGCATTATCTGAGCTCGTATAGAACCCGTTTTCGATACTACATTTTTATCACGCATGCTGTATATGAAAAATTTAAAGAGTTACACTCTTTTATCTGTTTCGTTTGATGTTCACTCTAATAATTATAACACACATAACACACACACACAAAAATCTGCAGCCAAAGCTAGGTGTTGTTTCAAGTATAAGTATATATTCGAAGTTATTTGCTTGGCCAAATATACACTTACCCAAAGAAGGTGAGCCTGGCAAAAACTCTTCGACTTCTAAGTGGTATATGATCCTGCATCGCTAGAACTTGTAATTTCAAATAAAAAAAAAGATTGATTAGTTTTTTTACATAAAATAAAGTAGATTTAATATGAGTTTATTGTCAATGACACCTTCAAATTACCTACTGTTATTGATATGTAGAATTTTCGTTTTAGATTGGTCACGTCGACGAGAATGCAAATGTCTTTATGTCCCAGATTCCAAGCTCTAATGTCAAACATGATATTACAAATATTGAAATAAACGAGCATCTAAAAATTGTTACTATCGTGGTAAGTAGTTAATTTCGCATTGCAGTAAAACAATTTCAGTAAACAGCCTCATATTCCAACTGTTCCAAAATAATATCTTCTAATGAATAAATTTGTCACACAACGTTATGACCCATTAGAAAGTTCTTTCTCGGTTGTTCTTTTATCAACGATTATGATGAAGTCAAAAGTAGCTAATTGTAGGGATTGTTATTTCCTACACAATTTGGACATTTTAACTTAGCTCAGGGTTTATTTTAAGAAATTGTTATCACTGCACAAATTCAAAATTTTTGAGAATTGGGTGTTGCCTTTTAAAGATTTTCATGACCACACCTATACCTATCAAACTAACTGTATGTGACACTTTTGAATTACATCAGCCCTCATCAAAGCTTTACAAGATATTTCGACGAGGAAAAGTAGTCTAGGTTTAAACGAGTTTTCGAGACTAAAGATATCAAAGGAGAATATGAAAAACGAAACAAACTAGATAGCTTCTAGATACTTGACAAATTTTAAATAAATTTCTTAGATTATGATCGTTGGTACTCTTATTTTCTCGTTTTTAAAACTGTAATGCTTTTTTTTTAATTTCTATTGCTTGTTGCTGCAATTTTACTTTTTCAATGCAATACCTCTTTATTTTAGTTTTATCACTGCACAAAATTTGAGTTTATCACTGCACAATAACGATTTATCACCGCACAAATTGGTTATCACTGCACCTTATCTCAGCTTCCGCAGTCCCTAATGTCAACCATTGTAGAACCATGACGACCTGAATTTATTTCTTTTATAGGACGAGCCATTTACTTTTGAGACTCGATACCAGAATGGTACAGTCAAATACACTGGCTTCTGCATCGATCTGCTGGATGAATTGGCAAGACTTTTGAATTTTACATACACAATATACTCTGTGAAGGATGAGGAATACGGAAGAAAAGAGGGGGACAAATGGACCGGGATGATAGGTGACGTTCTATACAAAGTGAGAATCTGTCATTAATTATTTAAAATTATTTAATACCTTTTAAAGAAGCCTTTAACGGTTAGGCATTTCTTGTACACCGCATACTTTTTATGCACATATTTAACCTGTAAAGACTAACAGTAAATTTTTTGTCAAAAATTAATAATTTTCACACAGTTTTGCTGATTCGAAAGTTAAAAATGGCTTCAAGAAAGCACGTTTAAAACAAACTTGTTCTTTTCGTCTGACATTTTTCAGAGGATAATCGTCACAGTAATAATTGAAAATTCTAGGCTAAGAAAGAAATATATATATAGCCATATATATATTGTACAGTTGAAAAGATGTGTACACTAGTAAAAATGCAAATAGCCATATATATATATAGAAATAGATATATATACATATATCAATATATACCTAACTGTTGATTGAAAAATGCCAAAGAGAAAAATGCGAGCACGTAACTGCTAGTGTTGCCAATGCCTCTACTTATCAGTTCACTTCATCGTGGCTGGTGACACAGGTACAAAAAAATGTCAATGTAGATCACATAATACGAATTTTCCTTTCCAGAAAGCTGATATGGCTGTTGCATCATTAACTATAACATCTTCTCGAGAAGAAGTAGTTCAATTCACAAAGCCCTATATGGAGCTGCAAAATTCGTACGTACGATTACGCGGAACCACAATGCAATTCGACCCTTTGCAGTTCCTGAAACCCTTTACAACGAACATGTGGATTTTAACTGTGCTTGCCGGGATATTTTGCAGCATCGTGATATACTTTATCGATTACTACAGCCCCTTTGGATGGAGACAGACTATCAAAAGAGAAACAGGAAGAGATGGTGCTACTTTTAACGCAGCTAATAGTGCTTGGTTTACCGTTGCCTCTTGGTTGCTGCAAGGAGGAGATAATACTCCGAGGTCTCTTTCAGGTAAACGCTCTCCTATGATGCGACAGAAAGTCTTAAAAAAGCAAATAAAATGTAATTGATATATACCAAATCAACAACTGTTGCGAATTCCCATTAGTTTTCCAGCAGCTGCGACATTTATAAGGATCAAAGTTATTTTCAAAATAATCGCAGCACCCTGGAGAAGGGGAGGGGTACTCATGCATTTTTAGAATAGGGGTGTTCAGGTTACTTTTTGGGTCTAGGAGTACTGTGAAAAGGTACTTTTTGAGTCAGTCAATTGTGCAATCACTTTATTAAGTTCATGAAATTTTGACTTATTTTCTAGGGTCTTTTATATAAGAAAAGTTTAAAGAAATTGAAAAAATTGCAAACTGTCTTGTGCATATTTTTTGGGTCATTTCCAATATTTTTTTGTTCGTACCCTAGTACCCTTCTCTGGGTTCTCTTGATAAACCACAAAATGTATTGGTTATTCGTTGTAGATATCATTCAAAGTGGGAAATCGACACGTGTTCATTCAATACGCGAAGAGGCACGGCACAATTAGTTTATTTGTTAACTGTCGAGTTCCCCTCCTTAAAGCAGTACCGAAGCTGTGAGAAGATAATACGAGACTACGTTGGTTGTTACAACATTGGTCAAAACTATTCTATTGCAAAATAGTTGATTTTACTTGATTTTGTTAAGACGCTAAAATACACTTGATAATGCACCTGCTACACTTCAATTTAATTAAATCTAAGACAGATTTTGCTTGAAATGGTACTTTTCATCTAAATACAAAATTTGAAATATGTTGATGAGCAATGAAATATTAACAAGAAGGCTCTTCCTTAGGCATAGAATCTTTTAGTGCTGGATCAATAAACATCCCATCCATCAGAAGCGGCGTTACGGGGGGGGGGGGGGGACTGGGGGGACACGTCTCGGCAGGATCAATTTTGTATTTCGTCTTTTTGTTTTGCTCCCCCCCCCCTTCCCAGAGCGCAGTGGCTGGCGCTGCCAGTGCTGACCATGTCTTATTTTAAAATTTTCGACAGCCAAATTTTTAATCTAAACTTTTTTTAAGGGAGAATGTTTGTCAGCTACCTGTGGTTCGCTATTCTTATTGTCACGTCGACCTATACAGCAAACATGGCTGCGTATTTTACGATGAAGAAATCTGTCACTGAGAAAGAGGACATCGAATCCTTGCTGAAAATGGGCGTTTCCTTTGCTCTGAAGCAGCATACTGCCATGGATCAGTTTCTTCAAAACTCTGAATACAGAGTTTACCAACAACTTGCTCAAAAAATTGGAGAACAAAAGAATTACGTTAGCAATGCTTCCCAAGGCATTGCAGTGGCAAGAACGGATCCAAACTTACTTTTTCTAGGAGAAGGGCCTTATTCCGAGTGGCTCATGAACAAAGATGCATGTGATCTGAAAATCGGTAAACCTTTTTGCATTTGTCAAATTTAAAAATGCCTTGCTCAGTCAAAACAGACATCTTCAGCTTAAGTTAATGGATGCCTTATAATGGTATTCTTTCCAGTTTTCTCTTTCCTGTAAAGGAATCTATTTGAAAGTGACGATTTGCACTATTAACGTCAAAAATCGAAAGAATTGCCTATTTGCTTTAATGTCGGGTGTTCAGTAATGGAGAAAAGAGCCTTCTAGCTTACCAAATTAAAGCACCTACTTTCTCACATACAGGCACTAATGAAAGACTAAGAAATAAAGCATTAAATTCACTCTTGTTTAAGAAGTAGTGAATTATTTTTGGATTTTTGGAGACCTATTTTTGGAGTTCTTACCACACAGACACAGAGAGCACAATGAAATACAACTAAAACTGCAAAATTAGTTGAATCTGTTGCAAATCGACAAAAAATGCATCAATTTATAGTGTCGAGGTTTGCTAATCAATTAATGCTGTTTGGGCTGGTTCATAGACTGAAGAACCAGGACAAAATTGAGGGATCTGGCGATGGTAGACCCATGTTCATATCGTCATACCTCCGTCATACCACTTTGCAACACATTGAACTTAATTTGCGCAGTTATTTTGTAATAGCTTTTAAGTTAAGTTAGTTATCCAATTCAAAAACTCTAGAAAGATTTTATGAGAACTTCATTTACGATTTAGTTGTAAAATGACCTAAGGTCTTTATCAGTAAAACTTTGAGATGAAACGGCTTTCGGTGAGGTTACACAAACTTTACTTTGCGCTACTGGTAGCATTTATCTTCTCATTCGTACAAAGTAGGAACCCCAAATTTGCCTTTCGGCATTTATCCAACATTAACACCTACCAAGATCACGTGAATTTCCTTGCAGTTAACGGGATACTGCCATCAAGAAGTTATGGTTTCCCTGTGCGAAAGGGATCGCCTATTTCTGAGAAAATTTCAATCGGGATCTCACATATGGTAGAGTCCCATTTTATTCAAAACCGAAAAGATCATTATTGGAAAGAGCTAAGCAACTGCAAAGACGATAGCATTTTCTCTGCCGGAAGTAAGTATGCTATTTTTGATCTTTTTATGTAGTTGCTTTGTTATTTCAGCTGTAATAACGGCACAATATTTTAGAGTATATCTCATTTCTAGGATCCAATATTCCAATTTTCTATGACCCAATGTCCTAGATTCCACGATCCAATGTCAAAAAATCCCTATGATAAATTGCGCTTTTGCCTGTGGCAGGCATCTGTGTCTGCGCATGCAAGAAATTCAAAGTAATTGTACCGTTTCAATAGCTTACTTATTTTTTTGTATTTCATCTTGGTGTGTAGAACAGGACAACATAATATCTACGAAAGAACGGTGTTCTGATCATCAGAAAAGTTGTCTGATGATTTTAAAAAACGTGAAACTCGATGTAGCAACTTCGAGCCTTCATGTTCTATACAATAAAGTGTTAAGATGTGAAGTAAATAGAACAACGCATGGATTGAACAAAACAGAAGGATAATTTTATATTAACTTCAACGGCCTACACACATAACTGTAATATGAAATTCTATATCAACATGGATCAGATGAACTTATGCTCCTGCGCATAATCTATTAGGTTACTACAAAAAGCGTGTACAGCTTTGCCTACACGGCATCGAGCCAACACGACAGACTGTCAAAGACAAACAGTGATTTTCACTTTTTTCATTTTCCAATATGTTCAGTTACATCACAAGGGCGAATCGAACCTCTGCAATTGGTGGGTGTGTATGGCTGTTTGGTATTCGCAGGAATATTGTCAATTTTGTGTCTTTTTGCTGAAAAATGGTGGAAGAAACATTCAGCAGAAAAGAAACGAAAATTAACCCGGTAAGTGTTGTTTTACGAAGTTTCAGCACAGCACACATAGTTGTTTGTTTTTATCATTTTGTTTTCTGAGATAAGACTTGTTTAGTTTTGCTGGTTGGTCTGCGCTCCAGTTCTTGTTAAAACAACAGCACCGACAGTAAGAAAATCATAAAAATATACGATAAAATACAAAGACAAGGGCAACGTGAAATAACACTTGAAAGCTTTCGAGCCAGATACCCTTTTCATTATCAAAAACCAGCAGAAAGTATATCGTTTAAGACATTGCTAAAATACTTTTATCTGAATACAGGCATAGAAGATGATTTGTTAAAAAGTAATGAAGGAGGACAAGAAATAAAGATGGTGTTTGTTAAACAAAGGAAAACAGTCTATTCGTATCAAAATTGTTGTCTGTTTCTGACTTACATAAGTAATTGAAAACATTTGTTTTCTTGTAAGTTTTTTGAAACGATAAACCATTCCTTACCCCAGCCCCTACCCTCACCCCAGCCCCATTCCTTCCTTAAAATATGAATACCAAGATGAGATGGAAATGTGAAAATCTAGATTCTAGAAGGAGATTTTTCTTCAGAATAACCTTTATCTGGATAACTGATTTTTCGATAAATCCTCTTTTCAACGACCTCGTTCTTTGTAGCAGCGACTGTCATCCTATTTAGCTCAACTAATGGAACTTTACTGGTAAATATAGGGTTCATTACTTTAAAATGAGGTGGGACAGCAAAAACTTCAAAATCGATGCCATTTTCATACATTCTTGTCTTTGAGAAAAATAATTTCTTGAACGCATAGGGTTTTAAATAAGAGATTTACCGTAATTTATGTTAATACATATTTTCTCGTTTTAGAGTTCTGAAGAATACTGTTTCGGTGCGACGAGCGCTGCACGCGAAATCAAACTGGAGGGTTGGTGACTCGCAGAAGCAAACAAGATTTGGATTCAGATTTCAATTGACATAAAGGTGCGTTGATATAAGCAGTTATGAGATACACTTCTCATAAAAATCTGGGCTCTTTTGTTATGTATGTGAACTTTGAAGACCGTAGAGGTAAAATCAAGGAACAATAGAACAGAAAGACGGTGATTTGACGGGTTGTTAAGAGTGGCAAAGATATTTACTTATGTTTTGGTGATCCAATTATTCACAGCAAAATTATAACAGACTAAATGCTTGAAAATGTCATGATAAAAAATGTTTGCATGAATCTTGCTTGTATTCTTCACGGATTTTTTACTGTTTTCTATAGTTTTAAATAACCAAGATTAACCACTACATGTAAAAGTCCGATCAGACGTTTGCGCTCTAATTGAAGTTGATAAAAGGATATAATTCAAATTTTAAGAAGGGGCAAAGAACGCAAAGTTAACGAAATCTTACAGAGAACATCTCCTTGTCGCTACTGGCCTAATGATACGTTTTTTTATACAATGCTTCATGGGCTGACTGATTAATAAGAAAGTCATATTTATTTTCGATTTTGCCAAAGGTGTAGTGGCTTAATCCCTTAATATAGACAATAGCAAACTTAAAATGAAGGCCAACATATGTTGCGTGTAAGGACCTGAGAAGTGAAGTTGGGATTTCAGTTTTCAGTGGCATCGCTCCCCTGTTCATCGACCACATTTCATCCCACTGTAGTCCTTTTAATAGTCAAACTTGGTTGCATATTGCAAGTTTTACTTTTAGTTTGTATTTTTGCTGTCATTGTGTGTCAAATTTCGTCTACCCCAAATCCAACTTTAGGTGCCAGTCCAACTATCTCGGAAAAAACTCGCGGGCGGTAAACTATGCCTAATTTTGGACAGGAATGTGTTATTTTGGTTTAAAATCTGGACCCATAATTCCGCAAAGGTCTAGCAAAATGTGACCCATAGTTCCGCAAACATGATGGAAACTATACCGATAATTCTGGGTATGCCAAATAAAATTGTTAAAGCACATAAAAAATCATCAACCAAATTTTGCATGTCTTATGCTCCAAAATCTTAATATTACACCAATTTCATATTTCCATTTCTAACTGGACATTAATTTTGTTAATGCTCAATCTCCTTGATGATTTTGAAATATTTTTCCGAAATGGTGCTCATAATTCTGCATGTTTCTTCAAACTGTACCCATAGTTCCGCACAAACTTCAAAAACTGATACCAATAATTCCACACTTTTCAGAAAAAAGGTACCCCTAAATAATGGCACATCTCCGTACCTCCAAGCATGTTAAGGTACCCCCCCCCCAAAAAAAACTCCATCAAATAAGTGGAATTTCTAGATCTTAAATAAATGCTAACAATAAGTTTTCAAGAATGTAACCAGAAATTGTGAAACAGTCTTTCTTCTACATAGTTTGAATATATTTTAGTGGAATGTTTAATAAGGGATACTCTACATATTAAGTGATCCCTCACATAAAGTACTTGACTTTGCATTTTACTAATGTAATTAATTAGTAATTAATTGATTGATTAAATCAATTAAAAATAAAATTACTAAAACTCAATTCAAATCATTTAAAGTGTAACAAAATGTAGCTCATCAAGCAAGTCATTTACTGTTTTAATGTAAAACAGAACACTGATTTTAACAAGATAAGCATATTTTCCAAAATTCTCCTGTGCAGAAGCCACCCAAGGGTATTCAGGGCCATGTAGGCAGGGACGCTGGAATGACCAAGGACAAGGGGGGCTGGCTTGAGTAAAAGGACATTTGAAAGATAACTCTCAGCTCAGCTTCTACTAATTCTGATTATTATTACAATTGGCTGGCTTCAAGGGTACTTTAATGAAAAGGGCACTCTGGACCCCCACACTTCCCTTCCCTGGCATCCCTGCATGTAGGCTTAAGGTTTAATAACCCCTGAAATATTATTTCTCTCTGACCAATTGTCAGTTGAGTTTAATAATATTGGGGCTTAGCCGGGTAATGTAATACTGAAATTGTTTAACAAAAATCAAACAGCTTTCAATTATAACCAACTGACAAACAAAATGTTAAAGTGAAAACACCAACTTGTACAAGCTCGGACATTTGGTTTGGTCAAGTCACATTGTTGGTAGATGTTCTTAGGTGTTTCCAAGTAGCAAGCTCTGGGCATGTCAAATATTTTCAAGATTTTTTCAATATCTAACTTAAAGCAGCCCCCCAAACAATGTCATATCTATTCCCTTTGCTGGGATCATCACGATTTTAGAAAATGTCAATTGAAGCATAAACAAACCACTACATCCACAAAATGGGACAATCAAAAATTTATGTGGCTTATAAACAGATTCTACAGTAATTTAGAATTAAACATTTCAAATTCATGTCAAATTTTGATCTAACACTCAATGTAAAACTTGCAATCATTCATCCTTTAATTTTGTCTCTTTCTGTGCACTTTGCTCTAAAATGCGACCTTCGTTGGAATATTGTCTCTCACGCCTGAAGAACAGTATCATGAAATAGGTTTTGTTCATGATAAATCTCAAGCCATAATATATCTTTCTTGAGCTTTTAAAGATCAAATCTCTGATAACAACCATTTGAGCTTTCAAAGGATCAAGGTGCCCATGCAAAGCTTCATGGATGAGCTGCACCACATAAAACTCACTGCTTCGTTTGATGATGTGGGCTACAGTAGGGTTGCTCATAAGGTTAGAGAAAACTGTTGTAAAAGCCAACACAAAGTATTGAGAAATTACACCAAAGCTTGCCTTGAATGGAGTAATGATTGGTTTGATGAATAAGTAAATCATGTTGAACAGCTGTATAAATGGAGCACAGAGGTGAGGTATAATATTGATTATTCCTTTGAGAGGCCTGAATATTTGAAAGATTGGAGACAGAGCAGCAACAAGAAGCATTATAATTGGTTTCAAATAATTCCACCAATAGTGTGATAGGATTGCAAATAAGTCATCAATCCACTGAAACCAAGTCTTGAACATGCTGAGATAGTGCTCAATGAATTGCACAATAGGCTTCAAATATGAGCGAATGAAATCAACATGTCGATAAAGCTGCCATACTGCCCAAAGTAATGACAAAATTGTGTAGGTAATGAGAGCATACTCTATTGCTCTTCTCATTTTTGCAGAATACCACTGATACGGTATATAATTAACCCATTCAGGTAGTCCCTCCCTTATCTTAGAAGGAAGTTTTGTTCTCTTTGAAATAATCCCACTCTTCTTCAAATCCTTTATTTGCAAAATCTCTCTTGTTTTTTCAACTTTAACTAAATGCATCATTTTGCAAACCATTGATATATATTCCACTGGGAATGTGGCCTTTACCATACATGACTTCAAAATAAGGTACTCATATTTTGCAGTAGGGCATACATTTTTGTTATAAGCCTCAGCACTTGCGCTTTGGCTACTCTGCTTCCAAAGAAGCATAGGCCCATCACATTCGATAAGAATCCTTGCAACCATTGAGTCCCAGGAACCAAATTTTGTTATTACTCGTAGATCACCTGCAGAAATGTCTGCACATTGCAGTACACAGTACTGGTTTTTACCTGAAGCCTTTGTGGCAGCTGCATCTGGTATTTTGAAATAAATTCGTGGTGTGTTTTGTTCATGCAAAAGTTGACAAACCTGACCTTCTCCATTATCATCTTCGTATGCATTTTCTAATATTTGCCTCACAGCCTCAGGTGCCCCTCCTGCACCTATTCTTCCCTCTTGATGAGAAACATTACCAGCCTTTTGCACCTCTCCAGTCAAATCGCCTTTACCTACACATCTTTCATCTGTTGCTGTCTCACAAGTTCTAATTGGGGGAAACTCCAAGCCTGTCACTATCTGCTCTTCATCGTTTATTTTCTTCGGTGTATTGGCAAACCCTTTTGCAACTTTGCTGCCTTCTAAAGCTTCGTCCTGCAAAGGCCCTCTTCCGGGTGAAATTGGTGCAGGTTTGGATGCATTCCTGGGTTTGAGCAGTTTGTATTTCAGTTTCCCACTCTTAAGGCTTGTCAGAGGTACTTCTACCAGGTTCATAATTTCTTTTGCATTGACATTCGTTTCGATTTTCCCGTCTGCTCTCCGCAACCTTCCTGTTCATCAGCTGGCCTTGTGACACAACAACCCGCAGCAGCAACAACAACAAAACCAACCAACCATCTGCCCGACTGCATCTATTTTTTTCAACATAAAATTGATTAATTACAATATACTTGTTAACATACTAATGCTAAATATCAATATCCAAGTTAATTTGGCTAAAGAACAATGAATGGTCAACCGCGATATTTTATAGAACAGCAATGAAAATTAAACGGCTGATGGACAATTGCCAAAGGGAAAGAAGCAAGGGGACAATTGCCCCTGGGACTGTAAGCAAAGATGGGCTCCATGGTGATTAAACTGTCTCGATTTAACAAAGGCAATTCATATTAGCCTGCGCGCAGACTCTAAGTATCTCACCATAACTGTTCTGGTAAGTATCTTTCGAGGCTCTCTTTGTGGAACAAGCCTTTTGAGGTTAATTCGCAGACTCTACAGTTCTGGTAAGATACTTAGAGTCTGCGCGCAGGCTAGTTCATATCTATACTGGTGGAGAGTTAAAAATTGCTTTGAGAGTACAACTTAAACGAAAAAAATAAAGTTTTATGCATGAGGTATGGGTATGAGGGGCCCGAACATTTGGCTTCCCTCTTCACTCGACGGCCAGGTCTTTATCTACCTTTTTCTAGCTTTAACTTGTGGATTTAACGTTTTTCGTTAAAATGTTAATCTTCAGATGTCGTCCATTTTTCTATAAAATCGACCAAGGAAAAGGTGATTTCTACCAAAAATTAAATGATATTTTATCATTGCAGCAACTGAATATTGCTCACTCCAGCTTCAACTGGCTGATACCTATAACATATTTTTGTTGAAAAATTGACCTTCAAATGTTGGCTATTTTTCTAACCCTTTAGGCTTGCCTATTTTAAACAAATCGACCAAAAAAAGGTGACTTCTATCCAGTGGTTAACGGAGGCATCTGAGGCAATAAGTAAAAAATTGAAACGGGGCCCCTATTTACGGACTGCAAGAAAGAACCATCGAAGGCTGTACAGCATGTGAATCATAATAGCAAGTTGCAAAAGTGATGAGTTTTTCTCGTTAACTAGGCAAAGATGTAGAAGCTTCAGCTGAAAAACTTTTAAAGTCTTTGTATATGAGATAATCTTGAACAAGGTCTTGAAAGAATACATATGATAATAATTTGGGGGCCCCATTTGGTCGAGCTAAGGTGCCCTAATCTGCGTTAGGTCACTGCTTCTACCAAAAATTAAACGGCCTGTAGTTATTGTACAACTATCTACCTCTTTCTACCTCAAACTTGTTGATTGACTGACCTTCAAAAATTAGATATTTTCTAAGCCTTGTTTTCAACAAAAATCGACTCGTATAGAAATTTGAATCTGTTACAAAAAATATCACATCTATTCCAGAACTTAGTTAAAATTTTAAACGAAGAACTGAAGGTTTCGCATTCCGAACAAAGACTTACTATAGACTATAATTGAGCTAAAACTTCCCTAATTCGAAAAAATACAGCATTTATTTTAGAATGAAGGTAAATTCTTGATGATTTTTCAAAGCTTACAGCATTACTTGTTTAACAAGCCTTACTTGCCTTCACTCCAGTAACAAGGTTAACCCTTTATGTTCTGAAAAGGGCGTAATGTAACTAATGTACCTTCGACCGAGGCGTAATTTAACTAATTTTAATAAAAATACAGCTTTTACTCTAGAATCAAGGTAAGCCCCTGTTGAATCTCATTGTATAAAGGCAATATAACATGTTTTTGGATGAAAAAGATTCCGAAAAATTTTGACGATTTTTCAAAGCCTATAGCCTTACTTTTTTGTCAAAATTCGACCGAGCCTTAATGTAACTAATTTTAATAAAAATACAGCTATTACTCTAGAATCAAGGTAAGCCCCTGTTGAATCTCATTGTATAAAGGCAATATAACATGTTTTTGGATGAAAAAGTTTCAGAAAAATTTTGACGATTTTTCAAAGCCTAATGCCTTACTTTTTTCTCAAAATTCGACCGAGGCGTAATGTAACTAATTTTAATAAAAATACAGCTATTACTCTAGAATCAAGGTAAGCCCCTGTTGAATCTCATTGTATAAAGGCAATATAACATGTTTTTGGAAGAAAAAGATTCCGAAAAATATTGGGGAACGGGAATTTTTTTTTTTCCCCCCCCCAAGCCTATAGCTTACTTCTCTTGTGTGTGCGAGTTCGGACCGAGGCGTCAATGTTTAACATTAATTATAATAAAAATACAGCTGGCCTCATTCCTACCCTCTAGATCAAGGTAAGCCCCTCCAATTCTCTCATTAGGATATAAAAGGCCGACATATAAATATCTATTGTTTTAGTGTGGGGGCAGTGAGCTAGTTTCAGAGCCCATGTAATGTTTGACGATTTTTTCAAAGCCTAAGCATCTTATCTTTTTTTTCTTCTTATACCCTTCGAGTCCGAGGAATCGTACATGTTAACTAATTTTAATTCGCAAAATTAACTCTATTTGACTCTTATACACAGCGCTCCAAGGGCGGTTTTTAAAAAAAAACAAAAAAGCCCATCTCCTGTTGAATACTCATTGTATAAAGGCACTATAACATGTTTCTGGATGAAAAAGTTTTCAGAAAAATATATTGACGATGTTTTCAAAGCACTAATGCCTTACTTTTTTTCTCAAAATATCGACCGAGGCGTAATGTAACTATTTTAATTAAAAATACAGCTATTTACTCTAAGAATTCAACAGCGTTCAAGGCCCTGTTGTATCTCATTGTATTAAAGGCAATATTAACATGTTTCTGGATGAAAAAGATCCGAAAAGTTTTTGACAATTTTTCAAAGCCTAATGCCTTACTTTTTTCTCAAATTCGACCGAGGCGTAATGTAACTAATTTTAATAAAAATACAGCTATTACTCTAGAATCAAGGTAAGCCCCTGTTGAATCTCATTGTATAAAGGCAATATAACATGTTTTTGGATGAAAAAGATTCCGAAAAATTTTGACGATTTTTCAAAGCCTAATGCCTTACTTTTTTCTCAAAATTCGACCGAGGCGTAATGTAACTAATTTTAATAAAAATACAGCTTTTACTCTAGAATCAAGGTAAGCCCCTGTTGAATCTCATTGTATAAAGGCAATATAACATGTTTTTGGATGAAAAAGATTCCGAAAATTTTTGACAATTTTCAAAGCCTAATGCCTTACTTTTTTCTCAAAATTTGACCGAGGCGTAATGTAACTAATTTTAATAAAAATACAGCTTTTACTCTAGAATCAAGGTAAGCCCCTGTTGAATCTCATTGTATAAAGGCAATATAACATGTTTTTGGATGAAAAAGATTCCGAAAAATTTTGACGATTTTTCAAAGCCTATAGCCTTACTTTTTTGTCAAAATTCGACCGAGCCTTAATGTAACTAATTTTAATAAAAATACAGCTATTACTCTAGAATCAAGGTAAGCCCCTGTTGAATCTCATTGTATAAAGGCAATGTAACATGTTTTTGGATGAAAAAGATTCCGAAAAGTTTTGACAATTTTTCAAAGCCTAATGCCTTACTTTTTTCTCAAATTCGACCGAGGCGTAATGTAACTAATTTTAATAAAAATACAGCTATTACTCTAGAATCAAGGTAAGCCCCTGTTGAATCTCATTGTATAAAGGCAATATAACATGTTTTTGGAAGAAAAAGATTCCGAAAAATATTGACGATTTTTCAAAGCCTATAGCCTTACTTTTTTTTCCAAATTCGACCGAGGCGTAATGTAACTAATTTTAATAAAAATACAGCTATTACTCTAGAATCAAGGTAAGCCCCTGTTGAATCTCATTGTATAAAGGCAATATAACATGTTTTTGGAAGAAAAAGATTCGGAAAAATATTGACGATTTTTCAAAGCCTATAGCCTTACTTTTTTTTCCAAATTCGACCGAGGCGTAATGTAACTAATTTTAATAAAAATACAGCTATTACTCTAGAATCAAGGTAAGCCCCTGTTGAATCTCATTGTATAAAGGCAATATAACATGTTTCTGGATAAAAAAGATTCCGAAAAGTTTTGACAATTTTTCAAAGCCTAATGCCTTACTTTTTTCTCAAAATTCGACCGAGGCGTAATGTAACTAATTTTAATAAAAATACAGCTATTACTCTAGAATCAAGGTAAGGCCCAGTTGTATCTCATTGTATCAAGGCAATATAACATGTTTCTGGATGAAAAAGATTCCGAAAAGTTTTGACAATTTTTCAAAGCCTAATGCCTTACTTTTTTCTCAAATTCGACCGAGCCTTAATGTAACTAATTTTAATAAAAATACAGCTATTACTCTAGAATCAAGGTAAGCCCCTGTTGAATCTCATTGTATAAAGGCAATATAACATGTTTTTGGAAGAAAAAGATTCCGAAAAATATTGACGATTTTTCAAAGCCTATAGCCTTACTTTTTTTTCCAAATTCGACCGAGGCGTAATGTAACTAATTTTAATAAAAATACAGCTATTACTCTAGAATCAAGGTAAGCCCCTGTTGAATCTCATTGTATAAAGGCAATATAACATGTTTCTGGATAAAAAAGATTCCGAAAAGTTTTGACAATTTTTCAAAGCCTAATGCCTTACTTTTTTCTCAAAATTCGACCGAGGCGTAATGTAACTAATTTTAATAAAAATACAGCTATTACTCTAGAATCAAGGTAAGGCCCTGTTGTATCTCATTGTATAAAGGCAATATAACATGTTTCTGGATGAAAAAGATTCCGAAAAGTTTTGACAATTTTTCAAAGCCTAATGCCTTACTTTTTTCTCAAATTCGACCGAGGCGTAATGTAACTAATTTTAATAAAAATACAGCTTTTAATCCAGAATCAAGGTAAGCCCCTGTTGAATCTCATTGTATAAAGGCAATATAACATGTTTTTGGATGAAAAAGATTCCGAAAAATATTGACGATTTTTCAAAGCCTAAAGCCTTACTTTTTTGTCAAAATTCGACCTAGGCGTAATGTAAATAATTTTAATAAAAATACAGCTTTTACTCCAGAATCAAGGTAGGTATTCGTTTAATTTCCACATAAAAAGATTTCTTTACCAAAAGTACCAAAAAACGTTTTTTACCAAAAATCGACCGAGCCAAAATGTCACTTATTTCAAGAAAATATAGCTATTATTTTAGAGTCAAGGGATATGTTTGTTTAATCTCATCATATTAAGGCAATACAGCGTGTTTTGGAAGAAAAAGATTCTGGAAGGTTTTGACGATTTCTCAAAGAAGATAGCCTTACTTTTTAACTAAAAAAAATTTAACAAAATAAAGTGTTGTAAACTCTAAAAAATTGCAGCTTCTATTTTACAATCAAGGTATTTTTTAATTTAGTCTGATTGTAGAAAAGCAATATGATCTGCCTTTGGAAGAAAAATCCTTTCGAAAAAATTCGAAATTCATCAAACGAACCCATTTTGGCTATAACCTCACTTTATTATCAAAAAGTCAAATGAACCGAAATTTCACAATTTCTTTAAAAATATAGTTTTAATTTTTAATTCGATCTTGTTTATTTTGATCATGCAAAAGTAAATCAAGATGCTTTCAGTTCAAAAAAAATTTGTTATATAAGTGACGATTTTTCAAAAAATTGTGTCTGGGAAAATCTGATCTTTTTGAAGATTGCGTGCGACTTTAATTTTGAATCTAAATTCAATTCTTGTCTGCGCTGCTATTACTTATAAAGGCAAATCGTCTGATTGACTGGAACAGGAGAAGAACAATGATGCACATAGCGCTTTTAAGGAGCTGACACTGCTCTCGAGAGCGAATGTTCCATTAGCGGTGGAGGCATCCAAATCAACTTTTCCTTGGTCCTTTTATAGCAAGAACTTGTTAAACATCAACAGAATAAAAAAGGTGCTGCTACAGTATTAACTGATCTTCCTGAAGTACATCGATTATTTGAGAGTGAATTACAATTAACGATTCTGAAGAGAAGAATTTCTAGGATTTGCAACTCGCTTCAGTTTTTACGATTCCTATTTCGGTTCTTATTTATGAAAAAGTAAAGGTAAAAAAAATGATAGAGAGCTCTTCGTGACCTGCCATCACTAGAAATACAAAGATCACGGGAAAGGACGCCTGAAGAAAACGTGCGTGGCTTTAAAAAGACGCCGACGGGTACCCTGAGTTGCAACAATGGCTGGACTTTCTTTAGGTGATCTTTTGCAAAACCTGAATACCAAAAATTGCATTTTACAAATTTGAAAAATATTAAAACTTGCTAAAACATGTATAAAAAAACAATGTATATATTATATGCTCGCCATGAGGGATTGAAGTTTAAGTACATGGAGTAAGAGGAGTCTCTTTCAAATTGGCAATAATACAATAATATCAACGACGATGAATCAATAAACATTTTTACAGTAGTCTTGTTGGGGTAAAAATCAATAACAATCATTGACAAGAACGTCTGTTTGATAACAGATTTTATATTGGCAAAATACAAGACTGTTATCTGCGAATAAACTTTCTTTTTTTTCGTTGCTCTTTCTCACTTTTTAAAATACTGCTTCTGAATGCCATAGCTTCAAAAGGAAAATACAGTCAGAAGAAAACACTATTAAAAGAAATTAAAATGAAAATGTGCTTAGGCTTTTATTGGGAAGCAGAGGCTAACAACTATGAAGTTTAGTACACAATTTCTAAGTTATAACCTGGAGAGGGAAATTGAGGTGGCAATGATTTTTATTGACATTTTACCTAAGTCCAATTTGTTGGAAACTAGATCTTTTCTTCATTTTTGTTACGATTAATGATTTGTTTATTGTAAATCCTCAAATTGCCCACACCTTTGGAGTACCATTAGGAGTGTAATAAGCGCTGAAAGTTATACCAGGTGCAACTTGATGGGATTCAACTATATACAAAGCAAGGTAGTAGTAAGATCTGCAGCTCAATCAATAATACTGAATAAAAAATCAAAACACCTAGGGTATGCAGTGTATTACTAGCATTCCTTGATGCTATGCTACTGGGCACACTAGTGTGACGTGGCACAGTGGAGAAACCTTAAACTAAAAAGCTATTTGGTATCATAAATTTTGCAGTATTTGATGGGAGATGTAATGTTTGTGATTTGTTTCTGTTTGAATGTTTTAAAAAGCAGCAAACTTTTTCTTACAAATTATTAAACATTGTGTGAGAGGATCATGCATACAATATTTATGCAGTGGAAAATAATGAAACAATGTTTATATATATTTTGAGCCATAGCCAATCGTCATAATTTGGTAAATAATTACTTATATATATATAAAAACAAATTCTACACTAAAATTATATTATTTTTCACATCATTGTTAGAATCTATCAAATAACTGTTTCTAGGCTATCAATTATAGTCCCTGATTCAACGATGTCACCTGGTGTTTCTGGGGTTCTTTCTGCATCATCGCTACCATCTGTGTACATATCAATGATGCTTTTTCTTCTTTCTCTATTCAGAGTATGGTTCAAAATGTCTGCTTTCAATGGTTCATGCTCTCCAAGCTCTGATCCATTGTCTGAACCTGCTGCCTTGATACTTCCAGCTGGACTTTTCAGCTCACAAAACTTTCCATCCTCCTCTGACACAGGAAATGACTTCTTGCTCCTAATGATAACACTTGCAGGTTTATAGCTTTCATCTGTTTCCATCTTCTTTGAAATTGATGGTAAGAATTTCCCTGATTGTCCAGTATGTCTTGAGGTACATTTGCGTATGCTGATCACAGTAACCGAAACAACGAGTATAAACACAAAACAAGAAAATGCAGCAACTGTGAAAATTGTCCAGTCAGTTTCATGCTTTGACTTCTTCTTGACTTTATGACCAACTGTATTTGAGGAATTTCCATCTTCCTTGCTCTTGCTAATGTTCAATATGTCTTGACTTATAACCATCTTAGGAGAAAAAGTACTTGAGAACTTTATACCAGAGCCTGTCATATTCAACTTCTGGCTAATTATCTTTTTTGTTGCCCTTTGGCTTGTAACAGTGGGAGTAGTTGGCTTTCCAATTCTTTTGTCATATGAAGTTATCTCTAATAAAAATCCTTTCTTTACAATAACGTTGTCACTCTTAAATCTCAATCTGACTCCACTTGCTTTGATTATAATTGGTTCACCATCAGTAGGGGGCTTGGCTGAATTGCAGTATTTCAACATATTTGCAAAATGCTTTCCTTGCTGTTCTTCGATTGAAACAAAGTCATTTGAACATCGTTCTTTGCTGCCTATTTTGCTCGCCTCAATATCAAATGTTTTGAACCAAAGATACAATAGATTATTATTTGATGAAACATTCCATATACAATCATTGTTATCGAAATAATCTTGCGGATAGTTTGGGCTGGTAATTAAAGCAATTTCACCTTCAACAACTCTTATATTCTTTAAACACTCTGAAATATAACGCAATCTAAAACCAACTTCATCTGAAGATGAATTCGAATAAAAATGCAACCACAAGTTGTTTGTTTGTGCTTTAAACAAATCATTGGAAATTTCTTCCCCACACTCTCTTTTCAATACTTTAGCTTCTCGATAATCCTTTGAGCCATCCCTTATCTCAATAAAACCTGTATCACATGGAATATAAAATGTGAGGAAATCAAGACTTAATGTCGTAGTATTCTTAACATTAATTTTCCATAGGCAATTTTGATCGTGTGTTTCCTCGCCTCTACCAATGATTTCACCCGATGATTTGGACATCTCTGTCCCACAAGTGAAAATGCAACCGTATACTTCGATTCTCATACACGTTTTTCCATAACTATGCAGGGGCAGGATTTTCAAGTATCTTGTGACAATAGGCTTCTCAAGTTCATTCATCTTCACTTTCCCTGGGAAAACATTTCCGATAAACTCTGAATTGTGTCGATACTTGTCCCTGTACAGTAACCATTCCTTCTCGTTCAGGCTGTGAAAAATCTTGAAACGACTGACCCTGCCAATCGATATTCCATCTGTGGCAATTGCTGTCACTTTTGTGAAATTAACAAAATCAATTTTAAAATAAATATTTAAAAACGACGAAACTGGATCAGCAGAACACCAAGCAGCCGAATTCCCTAATCTTCCTTTCGTGGGATCGTATTTGAGATAAATATCAGAACTCGATGAAAGTTGATAATTTGCGATTTTTCCAGTTTCCATTCCAAGGGGGTTCTTGCAACCACATTGTCTATATCTGGTGGAACTTCCTTGACATGGCTTACCACCTTGGACAGGGGTTGGAGAATCACATTTTCTTTCACGTGAGCTTACAGAAAATCCATTAAAGGTTGGAAAGAAGCTAGATTTGTTTACAGAATTCCGGTAACATGAACTCCAACTTTGCCAATTCGACCAGCCGCCATCTATTGCCAAAGGCCGTTCTCTGCGCTTGAATAGAAAACAGTTGCTGACGCTCAAGATTGATAGAAGAAAAATTAAAGCCTGTAACTTCATTTTCAGTCTAACAGATACTGAGATCAAGCTCAGCGAGATGAACGATACAAAATCCTTGCACAACAGCGTACTTTGAACATTGACGTCAGTGTAGGATTCAAAACAAAAGCTAGTAGCACATGTCATGTGATGTGCTTTTCTATCACCACCCGCGCTTTACTAATATTACCCGCGAGACTGCAAAATCCGGGTGGTTTCTGTCCAAAACCAATCCAGTTGATTGGATCGACTAAGCCCAGAGTTTTGAAAACCTAAAATTATAAAACCCAAAGCTACTAAAGATTCAAGTTTAGGATTTCAGACGGTGTCGAATACCCCTTGCCCTGTAGAAAAACCCGAATTATGTATTCACATTATTGTTCCTTGCATTATTCCAAACCAAACCATGGAAATTGACTTACCACAATGAGAATTCCCTATCTTTTCTTAAGGGCACAATTATCGCCAAATATAGACTGCAATGACCTAGGGTTGGCTAGATGTAAACCGCTGTGGACGATAGTGATCTTAACTGGAGCCCAAACTGTTACAAATATCTGCGTTTGTATGAGATATCGTTTGCATATGCAAGTAAAATAACTCCCAAAGGTTGATAAAATTGTTTCATTTTAGCCTTAATTTTAGTGTTGACTTTAAAAAGAAGAACAAAAAGAAAAACATGCTTTCAAAACCAATCAAACACGGAAATTGGTAGTTAGCAGAAGAAACGTTACTGGAGTCGCAGGCTGTCAGATACCTAAGAATGGCCTCGTATTTTGGCAAAGTCTACGTGATTCTTAAGCTATCATGGCATCTGCACGTACAGTACCACAGAATAGACAATATCCGTGTCCGAAAAGACAAAAAGCTTTGCTTGCATCATCGTAACAAGATCGCACCGAAAGAAACATGAATTAGAGTGAGCAATAGTATCTTAGCAGAAAAAATTCTTTTTTCAATCTCCTGGGTTATTTAGAAACCTGAATTATAGAACAACTTTATAACTTATGTGTAAATCATTATTGCATAGGGTGTATCAAAGTTGGCTTTTGCAGATATCACCCTTGGTTAAAAAGCAAAGTCTCAAAAAGAGACATTTTGAGCTGCCAAAATGGTTATCGAATGACACAAAAAAACTTCAATATAACAGAGTGGCAAAAACAAGGTCAAAGCAGATTCCTTTACACAGCTGAGACAAATCTCTAATAACATGACCGAAAACTTTGGTACTAATGCATTTGACTAACAGTGACCAAAATTATCAAGGAAAATTTGGAAAGCTTCTGTTTCTGACTTAATGGTAATTAAAGTGGACGACGTATCGCCTTTCTTTTATTTCTCATTGACATAATACTTCTTTCTTTACAACATTTCTTATCAAGTTTTTATAAATGACTTTGCCACATGGAAACATTTCAATACAAGACTATTGCGCTTATGATTAGCCCATAAAGACCCACAACTTGGCCTGCATACTTGGTAGCTCAAATTTTCAATCATTTTCTGACGTTTTGTAACCTGAAGAGTATTAGACGAAAGGCTGAAGCATATTTTCAAATGTTTTTTGTCAAATATCGTGCCTCTAAATGTTTCGATTGCTCTAAATATAAGTTGCAATAAATATTTAATCTATAAAAAATGTTCGTACCTTCGATTGAGCATATTTAGACAGATGAATAAAAATAACAAAGATTCTCGCGGAAAAGTCAATAAATTTATATGATAAAATTGAATTTAAGCTCTAACAAATAAATAGATGATAAATATTGTTTTTACAATTTAAAATTCAATTGAATTGACTTTTTAAAACGCAATGCCTGTGTACATTTTGACAATCTATTTGTCAAATCCCAGAAAGATTTTCCTTTCCATACCCTAATCACAACATTTAAGGAATTTATTCTTTAAAAAATCGTGACATGTTGACAGCCCATGTTCAGGGATGGCGCCACCGGGGGTGCTTGGGGGCAGGAGCCCCAAAAATTAATTGGGCCCCCCGTCGGCACTTGAATTTTTGAAAAATTTTAAGCAATGTCAGCACTTTCATAACTTCAATAGTCTTTTGAACTAGAATCACCACAGCGGAAATGATGTGATACTACATCTTCGTGGGTGGTTCACTCACTGTTGGCACTCCGACATTACAGCCCCCCCCCCAGCACTTCTTTTTTGGCGCCATCCCTGCTCATGTTATCAAAAATCGATCCTATTTGAAACTGAGTCCTCATTGCCCTATGTTGATACGTCGTAGATAAAGAAAATATACAGTATATGGCTATCAGTACGTTTGTTGGAAGACACTACGTGCAGACGCAGGACCTCGTTGAAAAAGGACGAAAGGGGTTTACGGACAGCCCAGAGATTTGATATCTGGCAGTCGAAAAAGTTCAGACTCCAGGATGGAGGGGGATCCCTTCAGCTTCTTCAGCCCAAGCCCTTAAATTTACAGCCTTGTTATACTCAAAGCAAATAAATCTGCTAAATGAGCAAATGGTTGGATGAATGGGTCCATATGTACTGCACAGGCAAGGAAGAAAACGAGTACGAAGTTTAATGACCATAAATAAATACCAACTTGTCCCCTTTTTTCAGTAACATATAGGACAATGACTACTCGCCAGCAGGATTGCTTACTTTGATTCTTCAATCTTGGTGTTGTTCGTGACGGTTCCAGGTTTTGGCCGGTACCTTAGGCAAATGCCAATGAGGAATGACAACCAGTGACTTCATTCGAATGGCTTTGCTACTATTTGGTCGTGAATCATCAGAAACAGGGGTATATAGAGAACGAAATCAAGAAAGTCTATAAATCCATGTCCATGATGATTCAATTTGTCAATAACCTGCAATGAAATGACATGGCATTGTAGGCCTTGATTTGATTTGTTAAAGGTAAAAAAGACGCACTCAAATTTGCAGGCGCTAGATACAGATGAACGTTTGCGAAAATGAAGTTTCTAAAGGATTATTTTGTAGAACTATCATAACTGAAGTTCCACATACAGAGATAAAACACCAGAATTTTTTAATATCTTTACAGAATAATTTTCGTCGTCAAATTAACTTTTGTGTTAGTGTAGCCTTAATAAAACTTAATACGGCTTTTCTATCAACATAATATTTGTCCTATCAAATAAAACCAGACCATTTGATCGTGGCAACAAAGAAACAAAACCACAAACGACGCAGAGGTCTTCAGACCAGAGGGCAGGAGTGCCAAGGCAAAATGCACCATCGAGCTTATAGCACACCAAAAATGATAAAAGTCAACTTTCTTATTTGTTTGAAGAAATCTAGACATTCAATTACAAACAAGGGCGTTACAAAAAGCGCCAACAACCCTGCAAAAAGAACAACTTATGGAACAGACGAATTTCAATTAATTCGATGACATGTTGGACTTGGAGTAAAAGAAGGAAAGGATCTGATCGACACGAAACTGCATTCTTTGGGACTTTTATGAGCTATCCTGTTTTTATGATTGTTTCCTTTCCTCTGAATTTACAAATCTTTTAGAAATTCGTCGATGTACGCAAACTAATCTGAAAACTTGACAGATGTTTCCATGTTCGAATACAAAATATATCAGATCGTCTACTGTCTATAATGAAATGAGAATGTGAACTAAAAACACCATGCACCTGGCTATTTCTCCTTTGATACATGATTACACTGCTAGTAGTACACATGTGAATAACGATAAGCGGTTTTTATTCATATCTCTATGTTTTTATCACACCATCTTGCGATGTTTCCGTCTGCGCTTATACTAACCGCATTACTTAGCCAAAATGATAAGCTTATGTGCTCCTGATAGAACCAGTAGGAGCCCGAAAATTGCACTATCAAAAAGAAAACTGTCCAAGGAGATTGATTGCTCTATACTCGATGACTTCTTATAAATAATCTTCTGAATTCAAATTGTCAAAAGACTCCGCGAGGTGTTTTAACATACTTCTGTTTTCAAGATTGACATTTCTGATAACGTTCAACAGCCGTACAGACATCAGGCTTGATCAAAAAGCACATATTAAGCAACCTCATTACTTCAATAATCTGGACATTGTGCATAATGAAGAAATCTATAACTGTCTGATTAATAATTCCAACAAAAGGAGCATAATCTTAAGTTCTTATGATATAGTGGGCTTTGCTGGATGGCTTTTGAATTATTCATTAAAACAAAAAGTGGTTTTGGATATCCATAGTAAACATTCGTCGATCAACGTGTGTATATGAAAAACATTATTGTAGGCTGTCTACTGTTTTTCTTATGCAGCTGTTGAGAAAAAAGCTTCTGAATACTGACTGTTCAAAAATCAGTAAGGAAGTTTGGTCTGCTAGCACAATAGGGGTGGTAACGGAGTTCGCTCTCTTCTTGCCTTTACTCGTTAACTTTTTTTTACTCTTTCATCTATATCTTGTGCCTTCCGAGTGCGGACATTCTTTGCCCGGTAATTTTAAGCAAATATACCAATTCAACTTACGGCCATGTTTTGGAAACTATAGTCTAGACTTCATTGCACGAATCTTTTAGCTCATATTTGAATTTGCCACCAAACATTTAATCTGGATGCAACTTTCATTTTGTTTTCGATTGTACAGTAGAATTGATGACAATAAAATTTAGAAAAAGTATACCGGAAATAACCGCCGTGTGAAACGTTTCACCATGAGCCGCAAAAAGTCGATCCCCAAAATTTTCAACCTCGTTTTGCGATAAAACCAATATTGCGAGTTGAGCAGCAAACAAACTTGCGTTGAGTTCTAAATTCTGGTCCTTTAACGGAATCTGAAGCTAACGAGATCGGAAATGGAATTGGTGAATTCCTTAGAATTCATCCGGTTTTTCTTAGAAATAAGAGATTTTGATGGAAAGAAACCTGTTTGGATAGAAAATTAAATGTTTCTCGGAAATAAGAAACATGAGGATATAATATGAGAGCAAAAATTTACCGATCTTTGATGATCTTGGTCCAGGCCTCCAGCTTGAAGCTCGACTAATAAATTTTCCAGCGGGACTATTCTGTTTCCATCATGGTGTTCTTCTGATAGCAATCGATATAATTCCTTGAAAAAAAATTGATGCAAACTTTGAAAAATAGCTTAATAGCAAGAAATTCTGAAAGGCTGTTATTTTTGATGACCAGTTTCACCGATGCAAAACTATTTGATACTTTGCAAGAAAAAGAAAATAGGAACCATTGAAGTATAGAATATAAATTAATTCATTGAGGTTTAAGTAGTGCAAAACTTGTAAAAATTGCATTTACCTTGCATTTATCTAGCTTTCTTTCCAGGGTTCCAAGATCAACTTCCTTCAAAAGCGCTTTGATCGATTTGCTGCATAAATATAGAAAAAAGACAGTAGAATATCGACTATACGTTGTAATATTATCATTATTTAATCTTAAAATTAAATAGCGAGAAAAATAAGCAAGCTGTGCATTGTCAAATGTCATTTTGTGCAGTGGGCTCATAAAATCGTGTTAAGCTCGAGTAATTCAAGTGGCAAAAATAGCTTTTCTGTTATGACTGCAATCTCTACCTCGTTGTCTTCGTCTCCCTCGCTCAATGGCAATAGAACTTTGTTCTCATTGTGTTTCACGACAATATTTTCCAAAACCTCTAATTATTGCAAGGAATTTGTACAGGAAAAAATCGATTACGAGCTCCGCATTGATCTATCAATTTCTCTAACGATTTAAAGCGATATCAATTATAATTTCTTAGTTCTGGCTTCGAATTTTTTTCAAATGCTCTCTAACCAAAGCATGACAAATCAATATTGTACTAACTGCACTGGTTAAAAGTTATCTAAAAAATTATAAACACCTATAGAACCAGAGATTTTGCCAAGGATTTTCAGAAAAGAAATAGACAAAAACAAAGATAACGATATGTAAATGCAATGAAAGAAGAATGAAAAAAAAATTGAAGAATTATGCCGTTGAATTATTGCCAAAGATAAGGCTTTAAAAGAATATCTAAAAACATTGGTTCTGTGAAATTTGAATGAAAAATGTGACTAACTCGAGAGACTTTACTCTTTCCGTTAGAGCCGATACAACTGCAAAAGCTTTGAAATCCAAAGAGTCTTTTTGTGGCAGCTGCAGCACCTACGAGATGCACATAACAAAATAAGGTTTTGCTAAGGATCTATCAAGTATAGTTCGTTAGCTTGAGTCTAAACAGAATACATTGGTGTTGTCCCAATTGCCTGACTTCAGCGTGTTGCAAATTTTCTTGAATGTCTCAAAGAGCAACTTTTAACTAACAAGAGGTTTGTAACGGGGAACTCAAAGTGCCATTGAGACATTCTTGACAATACCTTTAAGACTTAGTGAAAAAAACACACATTAAGTATAGATAAAAAGCAGCTGTTGAAAAGTACCAGATGAATCTTTCCACATGCAAAAATAGCTTCAAAGATATTGTGAGACGTACGTGATTGACAAAGAGAAAGTCTTCCTCATCAAAGTTAGAATTGAATGATTTCAGTGCTTCAGGTAAATCTTCCACGTTGATCTTCAAACACTAAAATTAGAAAGCAAGATACCATTCATGCGATCACGCGATAAAAATAACAAAAATACTTTTCAATAAATATCAGTCTAACACGATCTTTTCCATTCGTTGCGGTGGGTAACACTTATTAAAATGTAAAAATGCTAGAATATCTATTTAAGTACCAACTGCCATAACTACGAAAGCTGAAAAAAATAAGGCAGGATTTTACCCTGCTGCTGTATTTCGTACGGTTAATGTAACAACAGTTGCAGGATGAAGTAACATGGATAGTTTAAAGTTTAGTGTTTACCTTTAGCTTTGCGAATTTTCTTCCTAAAAAGTCGCAGTTTTTTATCAGTTTATCAACCGTCTCATTGTCCATACTAAGCTCTCGTAATCTGTCTTCCATGCTCCGCTTCTTAACTGCGTGGAGGAAAATAGCGATTGATGAGAACTAAGCAATCCAAATCAATGGGGTAGCAAGAGGGAGCAGAGGAGCCTGATCCCCCTCAATATTTTAGAAGATCCCCAAACGTTTTCAGATGGTACTGAGTTTGAAAATGTGCACATATTGGCTCTTAATCCTCTCTCCAATGACTCTGTTGGCTTTTGCGTGTTTATGCATTACCTCTGTAAGATATTTTTAATAAAGCCATTTTTATATGTTGGTAAAAAATGTTGGGCACAATCTCAAATTATCATGTAATTTTTTTGATAACAATTTAGTAACATGACTATTTTGTATATTAAGTTTATCATATAACTTGTTTCAGGCAGTACATTTTATGACTGAATATTTAGTTTCAAACAGTAAGAGAGAATGCCTGTTGGCATGGATACCTAATCACAAAAAAACTATCATGTTATCAAATACAAGGTCTACTAATTATGTAGAAATATACATTGAAACTTACTCATCATATTTTTCACGTTGTCAACAAATTGTTCGATGCGATCATCAACTGTTGCGATCTTTTTTGCTAATGTTTGCAGAGACTTCTCCAGTAGTTTCTATGAAATATGTAAACCTTGTTACGAAAATTCATGCAACTCAACTTGCAAGCTTTTTAAGGTATTCTAAACTTAAAAGCATTGTCAATTAGACATTTGAAATGAGTAACACATGATACGATAATTTCAAATCGGTATGATAAGCACAAATTGATACGATAGAAATATTTTTCTTGCATTTGCAAATGGATATCGTTCAGATTATGTCAAACGTTTTGAGCTCCAAAAAAATGTAGCTCGATAGCCTAATTTTGTAATAAAAGTTCTTGATGTATGATATAATAATGAAGAAGTCTGCTAGAAGATATATCAAAGAACATGATCAAAGAAGTAATGTTGCTTAACTGATTTAAATGTTGAAAATTCATCAGAAAATAGGCACAAACTTTATGATATTATTATATGACAAATATTATTAGCTGATGTTGACAAACATTTTATGAAAAAATTATTAGCTGATGTTGACAAGTACCTTCTTCTCTACATCTAACTGCCTACTATCCTTCATGTTTCTAATAATAGTATCCCTTTCACCTACAAAGTAAAGAACAATCTTCAATAAAAAAGCACTCAATTCAATAATTAAAAAATAAATGCACAAAACTTCTTATGATATTCATGACAGCTAGTCTTTGGACTCTCAAAATAACCCTGTGACGTATTCAATCATCCCTATCAATAACATTAACCAACTGAGATATGAAGACTTCTAATAAAAAAGCTTTCTTTCGTTACTTGCCAGATATTATACTATATTAAAATTGCATGCTGGAAGTTGAACGAAGAAGAAGGAATGGAATAAACGGAAAACTTCTCCTTGGTTGTTTAGGTATGAAAGGCATTTAGTGTAGAGAATATATTAGAAAATAATTAGCAAATGATTCGTTGATAATCACCTGCCTTTTAGTCTTCTCTCAAATGCCGAGAGTTGTTCGTTATAGCACCAGTTGGACGGAGAGTTGTTGTTCGTTCAGATATAAACTATAAATTTACAAAAGAATGAACAAACTGTTATAGTTACATTTAAGTTCGGTCTTTTTCTTCTCTGCTTCTGAAATCTTTTGCTGATATAAATCCATACTGTAAATCAGTCTTTCATATTCCTTCAAGATTTTTCTCTAAAATAGAAAAATAAATTTTAAACATTTCAAGTTTATTTCTAAACACAGCTAGAGCTATATGATTGCATTCTTCCAAGCATTCATCTCCCTATAGAAGAGAAATTCTAAGAAGGCACTATTAGTTTTACTACCTCTATATTGATATCCACTCTCTGTGAGGCTAGTTTAGCAAAATGGAGGTGCTAATGAAGGGTAGGAACAGTTTCGAACTCAGAATATGTCTTGTAAAGATGTGCCCTTTTTGTGGAATGAATAATTTAAAAAAAAGTAGAAATAAGGTTTTCAATAACATGAAGTTTTCACGATTTTAAATATTAAAATTTTACAACACATTAAACACAATTGAAAACGGTTCTCTGTGGTTACAGGCAATAGACTCTTGAGTAGCTGCAACAAAATTTTATTTCTAAGTAGTTAGGCTTTTCAATGGCTTTCTTCATATTGATTTGCAAAATTTGTGGGTTTCCTGAACACCTTCCTTTGTGAACTGTTTACATGTTATCACAATAATTTTTGCTTTTCTCAAACTCAAAAATTAGCTCGATATCAAGGGTCTTAGTGCAGCTCTCCTGGTACATCTTCCTACTTATGAGTTTTCACGCAGCTCTGTTAATCATACTAAAATATTTTGCATTTCTTTGTTTCTTAAAGCTTCTAAAAGGTAGGAAGAGCGTTTTTAGTATAAATTTAAACATTTGGGAAGGAGATCAGATTGATAGAACAGAAGAAACAAACGAAATGGTAACAATAAAACAATGTTTGGGGTGGTGCATTGTGGGTCTTAATTACCTGCTCGTCTGTTTCACCAAATGCCATTGCATCAAGTTGATCCTCCCCCGCACTATGCATACCATTGTCCTACATGAAGAACAGAAATAAGGAAATCACAATCAATGGAAAAGAACAAAAAAGTCTCGATTAACTACCATGTTTTTAGGAGGATTTAAAATCTTTCATATTAAGAAGAAAACCTGATTCTGAAATTACAGGCGCTTTCAAAACTCAAGTACTTATCATTCAGAATATTAAATCACATCAGAATATATCAATATTTTGTAAATATTACAGAGAATTAAACTTATAGCAATACTTACATCACCATTGCAAGCAGCGTAGGAACTGAAGACGTTTTCATACTTGGATAATCTTTCAAGACTGTAAAAATATATTTGCAGTCAGTGTGGGTGTATGCTACCTAACTTGGTATAAAATGGCATCGTATGTTGCTTGGGATTATACTGATGTAGGGGATGATAATTTTGAAGATGGTTATCTTTATGATAATAATCATTAGAGTTGATCATCTAAATAGAGTTCTGAAGTGATGACATCACAAAAGTATACTTTTAGAAATTTTTGAATTTGAATCCCATAACCTGAAAGAGAGTCACCAAATACCTCTTTATGTGCAAAACCAGTCAAATGCTTCACGGATCGCACTAGATATGGACACATAATCACAGGCACTTTCCCCATCAACCCTCTGTGATTTGGTCTCTGCTCATAATTTCATAAGCTGAGCCAAAATGAAAGCTATCTGCTAGCAAACTTCAAATCTTTCATTGGCCAGATCTCGCCCGATGTTTGATATATTTAAATATACTGATTTTTCATTATATATAAAATATATATATGTAATATATTTAAATATATATAAAATATTTTATGGCGATTTTTAGGTAGTATCGTAAAAACGTAAAGATTCTAAAAACAAATGTTTTAATAACGTCACACTTAAGTACTTTGTTCTTAAGAACTCAATCCAATTCGATAAATTCATCGTCGCGTGATGATAGTGATAATATTAATACGAGTTTGAGTCAATTAAACGTACCTAATGATGCAGTATCTAGCAGCATAATCCAACATGCTCAAATCTGCAAGAAAATGTGGACTCGTAACAAGAAATCTAAAAGTCTTAATTTCTACATTATTATCCAAACTAAAAAGTTTCAATCACCTTCTCTAAACTTATCATGAAGCATTACTTGTAAAGGATGAAATGGAATGAAGACTGAAGCTTGATACTTATTGGTATTTTAATCTAGAAATCTAACCATTATGCATTAAAAGACCAAAGAGGTGAGATGTTTTTGGAGAAATTTTGAAACGCTGCCAGAAACTGAAGAAAAATCCGAATTTATAGAATATTCGCTTTTGTTTGATTCAGCAAACATAACAGAAACCTTGTGATAATCTATGATCTTAAAAAATCTGAGTCAGATTTGCAAAAAAGATACAATAATGTTTTTAAAGAGCTGAAGTCATGCAGAAAATTCCTTAAAACTTTATTGGTTAGACAATACTACATTGAAATCAAGGCTAGTAACGAACTAGTCATGGATAATTGTATGTTTGAACCTATTCAGTATTAAAGATTCTGTCCTGAGTTTCAGAGACGTTATGAAAAATCAGTATTGATTTTCAAATTAATAGTTGAAAGTCAAATAAACCTTCGAAAGAGTAAGGGCAGTCATTGTGAAGGACTATAACGTGCGTTACAAGAAAATACACAACATAAATCAAAGTACTTAATAACGAGACGCAGAACTTGTGGTTCGTCTTACATTGAAGAGAAAGTAAATAATTCTATCACCTTCTTCCATATCCTGAAGAGCCTCTGTTTCCTTTCTTTGTCTTCTTTTCAACGTGTATCGAGAGAGTGGCCTATCAAGAAAATTGCTCTGTATTACAGCGAAGTGACGTGAGTGTTTGAAAGAAAAACCAGTCGCAGACAAATTATACAAACTTGGGTCAGTAACCATGGGTGCAGATCAAAGTAACCATCTCTGAAGTCATCAGACAAAAGAATCCAGCATTTGCTCACGCAAAAAAGCAAAAAATAGGTCAGTGTTATATTAAGCGTTGAGCAAACTGAAAGGGCGTGGCCTCAGAAACCTAAAAGCTTGAATACTAATCTTGTTACGCAAAACACGCACAATGCGAAATGTTTGCTAGCTTATGTTCTCTGTTGCTGAAAGAAATGCTAGACAAGACTAGCAATATAGACAAGACTGCGATTTGCAAACCTCGATGTAAATACATTTAAAAGTATTTCGGTTCCATTAATCTGTTTCGTTGTTGCATAATGAAGTTCAAAATGCATGTTTTTCACGCATTCTTGCATAATATATCCAGGCAAACAAGCCACGAGGATTCCATTACAAATGATTTTTTAGCAATTAACTCGAAATAAGATTATTTTATTTTGGCATTATAGGCACCGACTCTTAAATTGTGCCTTTGCATAATCGGATTCGCATGAAAATTGCAAGTTTGGTTGATAATCTGCTTGTAAAACTCGCATATTTTTGTGGATTTTTGGACATGTGGCCGAGAATTTGGCAGAATCAAGACCGCATTTCTTCAGCTGGAAATATCTACAAATCAAGATAGCGCTTTTTGGAGATTTTGAAAATCGATTTCAAAGCAAACTGCGAAAGTTGGTTGAATAGACTATGCTCGGAATTGGTGGATGAAAAAACTACATAAAAGTATTTAAGTAAATATGAAAACGTAGACAGCAAGGAGAGATAGCATTTTTTTACTTAGGTTTTATAAAAGTTCTTACTCATTTCTGAACTGCAGGGTTTTTCTTCTTTTCAATCGTTTACGAACTTTCTTTCCACGTTGGTCTGAATCAATAGCAAGGTCATCAAACTCATCCATTCCTTCACTTTCTTCGTTTGATTTCAAAGCTCCAGAAAAGTGATTGTCGACCTCTATGTCCATCTCAGCATTTTCTAACTCATTTATCTCGTCTGTAAGTGACCTTTCGGCGAAATCCATGTAAGAGTCAATGCTTTCGTTATTATTGAGAGATTCCTCTTTAATGCCATCTTGATCTCCAACATTAGCAGCTTCTTCTTCCTCTTCCTCTACAATTCTGAATTTTGAATCTATTCGTTCCAAGGCCTGTAAAGCAATCGATAAAACATAGATGTCACATTTTTTGGGTAACCAAGAAATTCCAAATTATCACGCAAATTTCTAGGATTTCCTCTTTCTTGATTTTGACAGTTTCAGTATAGGGAAGTAAAGTGTAAATGTTGCTTATATCTTCAACTATAAAATACTGCAGGAACTGTTTCGTTAAAAAAACAGCAACTTTTGATAATTAAGATTGGGATATAACTATTGGCTTATAAGAAAGAAAAAAATTTTGAAGTAAGTTAAATAACTTTATAAAACTATGCACGTTTAGGAACTAACTCAATCACATTGAATGTAAATTACAAAATTACTGCATAAAAAGATAATGAGTTTTTATTTATCGTTTTCATATCGACAGCTCAAAAAATAATGGAAAAAATCAGTCCAATCCAAATGATCCCGTAGCAAGATTGTGGATCTATTCAGTTTAAGAGAGATTCTGCAACTTTGTATTTTTGGGGTTTAAAAAAAATAGAATGAAGCCTTTGAAACTATCAAGTTAAAAGTCTTGTACAGTAAACAAAAGAAAGATGTCAGAAAAGCAAAAAAAACCTTAGACTACTCAATCAATTTTTTTCGTGCAAGTCAATTGAGGATCTGGCACCCAGAGTACAAACGAGTAATAGCAACTTAGTCTTTGGGAAGATTGAAACAAACTAAGATTTAACTTTAAGGGTAAAGGGTTCAATGAATGATCACTTTTTTGAAGGCTTTATCATGTTCAACAGCATTGCTTCTCAAATCCTTAAGGACGAAGAATAATAACAAACTCTACAGAGTTAAATAATTCAACTAGAATCCAAAATTTGTTTGAATGACTCTCGAAACTATTTTAAAAACATTTCGTCTACTGCTCTGTTTGCGAACGTAAACACGTTAATCTTGGTACTCTAAATAGCTATTAGTGTAAATTGTTTAGAAAAGCAAACAAAACGGAACTGAACCGTTCAAACGGCGACTGTTGTTTAAGAATAAAAATATATTCAATATCATACTTTATATATACATACATATTCCTCTTTTTTAAGCTTATACCTATATATATAATTTCACCATAATCAGCAAACTGCTACTCTGCGATCTTTCGATTTTAAAATTCCTTAATTCTGCTTTAATAATTCCTTAGCCATTCTGTTTTTAAAGTATTAAAAACACAAGAATAAAGCTTATAGGCAACCATAAGTTTAAAATTTTCACGATAGTATTATATCCCTTAAATAAAGGCCCTTGATGTGCTTGTATCATATACTAAGTTGTTCATGTATTGTCTGAATTGCTTTTCCAAAAGCAAGCGATGAATAACTGAACATATGCGCTGCCAGCGGATCATAAAATTCCTGGATTCAGAAATTATATGCTTCGCACCCTCATCCTTTCAGATGTGTTGCTACAGAAAAGTATTTGAGCCTACCTTCGAGCTTGAGCCTCGTGAGTTGGAATCCATCTCAAATGACTCAGAATCAGAATTATAGATTTCTTGTGACATTGACGAGAATATGTCTACGAAAACCTCCGTGGTTCCCATCTGTAACGAACAAACATTAATGAAAAGAAAAACATAAAAAGTGTTAGTCGCAACCATGCGTTGATCAGTGAGAGAATCAGTCAATGGTAAGAGGACAAGAGTGAAAGTCCTTATTCATACTGGGGTGAACTCGTTACATGGTAACTGAAGGATTTTCACATAAAAATTTGCAGGTCATACAAAATAGTGAGATTTATTTCTTGTTAAAAGCACCAGGTATCCAAAAGTATATATTATCGAGTTTCGTTCACAGGCACGACATGTACATCTTTTCGCAACAGCTAGAAAGAACTTTAATCAGTCTTCAATAAGCTGAAAGGTTTGGTTAAGTTTTGAGGAAGAGAACACAAGTTTGTTCTCAATTGCTGTGTAGGGACTTAACAAAATTGCATTATTTAAATTATTTAAAATTGCATAAATGGTTTCAGTTCAACATCCAAAAACCTCAGATATTTCAGGATGTTACCGATCTGATTGGAAATGAGCCAATTTTTTCATTTTGAAGATCCTTGGAGTCTATTAAGAAGTATTTTATTAATACTTACACGTTAAAGTGAGCTGGATTTTTACCAAACTGCTTTTTTGAGGTTACTATTTCAGCAGGATTATACATAATTAATGAAAATAAACACGATACCTACCTTCTTGGTATTACTTCCTTTCTTGCTAAATTTTCGCTTGCTTTCGTTTCGACTTGCCTTACGCTGGTTCAATCGCTTCCTTTCGCGCCCCTCTTCTTCAGCATGATTGACGTCATCAAGTGCTTTCGAGGCCTTGCGACCGTTGTTGTTCGACTTGGCAGCCTTTCGTCTTTCATGGTCCTTGGCAAGTCTTTTCAACCCAACAACTCTTGATCCAGTGAGTGTGAAGTCCGAATAATCTATAGGGCAAAAGATATGAATGAATCTGGTCCAAAATCTATTTTGCATCAACATCATTCATACCATAGCAATTAGAGCTATACATTTAATCGATGCTCCTCCACAAAATTATGCTAGCTAAGTTTGCATCTCACATTTGCCAGCACTATAAATATGTTCCTTGTAAACAAACAACTGATAGATACTACGTAAGCTAAGGAGTGATTTGATTTATGGTCTTTTGCACTGGTGTTTAAACAGACTACCAAATGATAGGCCCACACGATGTATGTTAAGCAAAATGACACACATGGTGAAAAATATCAGAACAGTTTGATTTAAATCTTTTGGTACATGGGTCAAATGTCTAACAGAAACATTTCCGTAAACACTAGGAAAGTTATTCCGCGAAAGACTACAGACTTTTGTGCTTAGCAAATCTAAGCTAAGATCAAAAGGTTGCTACATGAATCAATTATAACTTGACAATTTTTGGCATCATAATTAAATTGCAATTAAATTTTTGGTCAGCTTTAACGAAATCGGTTGATCAAATTAGTTTTTGCTTAAGATTTATTAATCAAATTTGAGCGTCTACAGGGTCATATTTTTCCAATAAGAATAGACAAAATAACGTGATTGATACACGAACTTGGACAGGTTCGATACCTGATTAATCTAATTCAACAATCTGATCATGGATGGCATCATGGATCTGATTCCTGCACATTCATGTTCAGATTTCGTCCTATTTGATAAGCTTGTAAAAATCTAAACTAGACCTTCTCTTGATTTTAACATCATTTCAATGAATAGCAAAATTTACCTTCGGTAGAAAGAATATTTCTATTTGTCTGAAAAACAAGCATAAGCATAAAATACTTATGAGAATCATAAACATCTCACCTTCCAGGATATCCTGTTGGGATGTTCCAATTGATAATGAACTTGAAAAGTTCACAGACATATCTGAAATGCTCGATGTGTGATCTTTTCCAATTTTTTCTATGAAAAATATGAATCATTACTTGAAATGAAAAAGAAGGCCAGTTCAAAATTGTGTTCCAAAAGTCAACTCCGATGTATATCAGTTGATGCTTGACAGCAGCTTCTTTTGAATATGGCCCTTTAATGGTACTTGAAGAGCAAACGGAAAAGAGAGCCAACTAGCATCAAAGCTTTCTTCTATCAATTAAAAGTTGCGTTGAGAAGAATCAAAATAGTTGAAGTCAATAAATCTTTGTCATGATTTAAGATAAGCATGTAAAAAGCACTTCCCGCCGTCCAATGGATTAATTAACAACATTTGTTCTAAGGCATAACAAAGAGGAAGTTTAACAGGTATAGCACAATCATCTCTCATTATTAGCCATCAGCCTTGAAAAATGTTTGTTCGCAAAAAGTTAACAGCAGGATATTTCGATTCCGTTTGACAGAAGGATTTTGTGTTCTTACGTTGACTCTTATGTAAGTTGACTCTTCGATTGTGTGAGGGGCTAGTGAAGGTGAGTACTCAACATAAAGAATCAGTTAAATGCGCCAGTATTTTTTTCAAGTTAATCTTTTTCCGCTAATAGATAATAGTTTTTGTTAAATTTTGGTAATTATCTGAGTTCTATACACTGCGGAGCAAAATATGGCTATATGTATACGGTACTTAAGAATTAGCCAAAAGGAAACAGGACAAGCCTGTCAAGCTTCGTTTAGTCCAAGTTTTGTTATCTTGCATCCTCATTGTAATAGAATATTAACTAACCTACGCCATCGACAGACGAGATTTTCTTTCGATAACCAACTGGTTTCAATGGCTGCTTTTTTCTCACTCCAAAAGCATTATTTGCTACAGGGGACGTGCTGTCGACATTAGGGAGAAGAGCAGAATTGTGAATCGACTTTATGTCATTTGTATTTGGCGTTATCGACATGGATCTTCGCACAACAAGCTTCTTTGGACCTTTGTGTGCCTCAGCTTCTAGCGTTTGCCTAGGGCTTCTAACAGATTTAAGTTCTTCGTAACCAGTGAGTCTTTTACGGAGATGATTTAGATCGCTGAGGTTTGAGGGCCGTGATGATTCTCTGTCGGTATTTGTGACGTCATTTTTCTCAAACGTCTGGTTCTCCGATGCTGATGATACAGCGGTCACAAAGCCACTGTCGTACCCTGAGGATGCAAGGGTCTTCTGACTTTGCTGACTCACGTTGTTTCCTTCCAGTTCCTTGACAAATAAATTTAAATCTACATTGCCTTGACAAATTTTAGGCCAAATTTCAAAATACAAATAGTAGATGTGATCAAAGCACGTGACAGAAAGGAACATGACATTGCCATTACTTACAAAAGTTTTGATAAAGAAGAGAGAAAAAGCAAAGAGAACGAGGACCTAAAGATGCAAAAAGAGGATAAAAAAGTCACACAAACAATAGAAAACAACAATGCCTGTACCGTTCTTTGACCTAAGAACAATTTTATAATGTTATATTTGTGATGGAGAAAGTTGAATACTAAATAAAATAGCAGACAATTCAAACAGATGTTAAATTATTGTCATTTCAACTTTAATCAAACAAATAAGTAGAGCAAATAAATCTCTGGATTATGAATCGAATATCCTAAAGATCAAGCAAATTTATTGTAAACGTAACTCCTTTTTGCAAACAGCCAACAATCTTGAAAATGTTTCTTAAAAGCGAAAGATGTCATTTGGCCGCAACAAGATTAGCTGTGCTTTAATTTTTGTGATTTAGATGTTTGAGTCATTTATGAAATATTCATTCAAATAATAGTATAAAAGCTAGTTCAACAAATTACAGCGTGCATAACAAATCATAAATTGCTTATAGACGTCTTCTAACGACGTCTTCTAACGACGTCTTTTCTAATAAGCTTTAATTACCTTGTCTTTATCAATAACGATCGTCTCAGTAGAAGAATAAAGTGAGTCTTTTCCACCGCGGTGCTCTGGATAATAAAAATATGTCATAACAAAAATATAATAAAGAATTCACCACTTGAATTACTTGCCTGTTCAGAATTTCAAGAACAATTTGCTTAAAACTGCTCTTTTTAACAGCTTAAGCTAGCAACAAGCTCTCTGGAACAGACTGGTCAATAAGAAATTCAATTATGTAGGATATCAAGATATTTGGGACTACTTAGGTATAGCAAGCTATGGAATTTCCTGGAATTAGTAAAAGTTAAAACAAGTGAAAATTAAAGAATACACAGTGCAAACATAAAAGCTACTATATAAAAAATAAAACTAAATCCACACACGAACAAAGTAAAAACCTCTAAGCTTAGATGACAAAGAAAGTAATAAAGGGTGAAGAAAAACCTCGTTCCCATCATTGACCCTTACGGAAATATGCGGGACATTTATATCACGCGTGGAAATACGCGGGACAATACAAGCATCTTGAGGTGCTCTAGAGAAATATAAGTTATTACATATCTTCAATACTTAGTGATAAACGTATTAGTGCGAGAGTGAGTGTGTATTAGCGGATGGAGCAACATTGAAATTTATGATTGTGTCCTAGTAGCCCTCAAACGCACTGCAATAAATTTGTATCTTCTGGGGAGCAAGTTTATTGTATCAAATCTTCACATCCTACATGGGAAGCATTTTGCGGTTCTGCAATTCGTGGAACGATGGGCTATTCAAAAATTTTATCAAAGAGTATATCAATCTTTGAGAATGCTTATCTGTTAGTCAATAAAGAAAAATACATGCAATATCAAAGACACCTGTACACGGGAAAACGCTTTTCAGGATAGATTTCTTACTTTCGAAGTGACGTTTTATTTCCAACACTTCGCAACAGAAGGCCAAGGCATTGTGGATACTGACACTACATCTAAATTATTTCAAACTAATAAATGTAACTGACATTAACTGTTTATCATTCCAATGACGTCAAAACCAGTAATTGTATCGGTCAAATTTGACTTTTTTAATCCCCTTGTTTCTATATATCATAGGTTTACTTTTGATAGAGATCTTTTGCAATTTTAATTCACAATTTTCAGGAAAATTAAGAGTGATTATGTTGAATAAAATAAAACTCACCCTCCTTTGCAGAGCATGTTTGTGTTGCAGGCGCAAAATCTTTCTTCCTTCAAGAAGAAGATGCAAATGTTGAATTCAGTTTGATAAAAAAGCAGTGCTGCAATTCACGAGATTTATAGCTACTTACGAGTGGTAAAATCTCACGAAAGCAAGAATGGCCTATCTCTATAGTCATTAACATTTGCTATTTGGTGTATAGAACAGGACGGTTCTAAGTTGCTACTCCGAGATTCACACTTAATGCAATCATCAGGCAACTGCAAAAACTTTTGGACGTATGTCCTATTGGGAAATTACTGGCATCTATTGGGAAATACCTGACGATACATTCAGTGTTGATATAACCAATGTAGCGAGCAAGTAACTTAATCATGTTTCAGGACAAATCGAACAGGCTTAATCTCACGTACAATCTAAAAACAGTTAAACCTGCCTTTTGAATGCAGCTCTGCAAATTTCGTACATTTAATTGCAGCGTAACAAAAAACAAAACGATGAACTCGATAGGGTCATTGGTTTTTTTCAATTCTTATTGCAAAATCTGCTAAAACTTTTGAAAAATTAAAATTCAAGATGGGAATAAAAGCCTAAAATTTGCCATCAAGAGAGTTTATTGTAACGCGGAAATTGCCACACGGGTTTCCTGACTTCGTTTCCAGACATTTATTTCAACAAATTCAAAGTGACAAGCATTTAAAACTAAAAAGCAGTTGTATCAAGGAGGGAAAAAGGAACTAATGATTACTAATGAGTGCTTACCTTTTACCAAACTTTACTTTGCTGACCGGAGAAAGTGGGTGTTGATCCGATTCCGGTATTTCTAATCTCACCTCTAAGGATATCTTTGGCTTGCTTAATTTAAATGGCAATGGTTTGGTTGTCTGTGTGGCTGATTTTTCAGGTAAGCGATGCATTGAGGTATCAACCAGTTTTCCCCTCTCCTTTACAAAAGGGTCCTTCGGTTTTGTTAACGGCTTTTCAGAATGAACACATGGTAGGTGAAATTCAACACAATCAAATCCACCTCCGGTTCGGTAGACTTCATGATCCGGATACAGGTATCTAAAGAAAGGTTTGGGCAATTTAAAGCCACAGTGATGTAACAGAGGTTTCTTAGAAGGTTTTGCATTGTATTCTAAGTAAATAGTGAGAGTAGACGAACAATCCATACCCCACTTGCCTGCGAAGCAGCAATGCAGGCGCTTCTATATCAAAAATTCTTTATGAAATGCATGTGCCATGCCTTAATTCTAGGTTACAATATGCAATTGCCTTTATCTCCCTAACTAACAAAATATAGTTAAAAATGTTCCTTAGGTAGTTTACTATTCAAACAGTTAACACCAGGAGTTAGGAAGCATTGATTTGAAAAATTTTACACCAAAGAAGGTGCTTAAAAACTGAAAACTTATCTTATCTCCCAAAACAAAACTTATTTCTTAAAGAACTGATATCAGGTCCGGTCAGAATAAAGGGAAACAATTTCTCTCAACTCCGACCACTTATTCACCACAAAGCTGGTGTTTTTTAGGTCATCCAGATAATGGAACAAAACAATCGAATTTAAGAATACAAGCTCTTCGATACAAATGTCTGCTGTTCAAATACTAGAGCAGAGAAAGACGAAAAAACTTACAGCCATGGCAGAAGGCCTCCATCTTTACAGCCCTTGCATATATGGGGTCTTCGCTGTACAGGCTCTCTCTTTTCTGCTTTGTTCAACACTCGAGGGCTCAGAGGAACTGCTTGTGTGATGTTTTCATACTTCATCTTGTTGGATAAGTCCATTAAATCAAGCTTAAAAATAAGAAACTCGATCAGTCCTAGACCTTGAAGCATGTCTCATATTGAAGCAAACCCGTCAAAAATTTATAATAAATTTTCAATAGTTAAGGGTATGACTTAGGCCGTATCTTCAACATATTGAAATACTTTGAACTTCAACCTGAGTCAAGACGTCAATATACACAATATCAAGTCGATTAAACAGCACCACATAAATCCAGGACTGAAGTTAGTCAAAAATGTATAAAAACGCATAATTTTAATATATCTCGAAAAACAGTCAACTTTCATAACATATCTTGAAAGATTCTATAGAATTTTCGTGATCCTCTTTATAGCATACTGCAAAATGTTTCTGTCATAAAATTACACAGAGGCCAATTAGGTAGCCCTTCGTTGCTTTTTGCAAAAGATTTTGCAGCTTTTTCCTCTAGATAAATGATAAAGTACAGTACTCCTGACAATCTTTGACGGAGGCAGTTGAACCATACATATCAACACGAAATAAACTAGAGGAAAAATTGCAATGCTTTTTCCAAAAGATTAGTACAGAAAGATTGCATGTACGCGACCCAAGGCCTATTCCAAAGATGTAAAAAGACCTTTGTTTTTAAATCAAGTTGAGCATTGATTCAATAACTTTAGCTATTTGATTTCCAGTACAACTTGGTCGAGTCAGGGAGAAGAAATTTCTTTGCAATCAACGTGCTGAAAAAACGATAAAAATATCGTGGCAAAGTTTATCTTATTTGCATTTGTTTTTGTTCTGTAATTAAAGCCAATACTTCAAGATAAAACTATTTTCTTTTAAAGATCAATTTTATAAGTAAATATTACCGTGCTTCATTCACGTCGAAACATTACCAAGTGTAATTTTTCGAAAAATTACAATGTGTTCTTTATATGAAAAACATTTCTTTTTCGCAAAAACGACTAGCAACAAAAGTACTGTCTGTTGACTATCCAAGCAAATAAAAAAAAAATCTTTTCAGCTTTTCTTATCAACTATCACTCACAGGTTCTTGTTAAACATTGTTTGGTTTGGACCCGCACTTGTACTACAAGTAGAAAAATTATCCTCTGTCAATAGATTTTTCTTATACTTATTATAAACTCCTTGTCAACATGATGCCTAAGATGAAAAGGCTACTATTTAACCTGCCAATAATCAGTTAGCCTTAAAAAAAGCTTTAGATATCAGGTGATTTACTTTCAAGTTATCGTCAGTATTTCAGCTGAACTGTCCTATTTTAAGCTCTTTGAAGATCACAAGACTTTGATGCCAATCACTTAATACCAATGTAGTTACACAAGACAAAATTAAATACTTACGCTCACATTGATTTGGTCTTGCCTCAATGTGTGGAGTACACCGGCTATTACTTTCCGAAGGCCTTTTAAAGTGTCTTTTCGCAGACTGAAAAGCAAAAAAAGAAGATTTAAAAACAGGAACTTACTTGACAGGATGAGCGATCAGCACAGACCTAACCGTTGCCTTTGATGCAGGGAAAAGAACTGCTATTGAAAAACACATGTAGAGAAAACTTTAACCCATTTGCTTTTTTACCTTAAGATCTATAAAGCAAGCTGTAATCAGCTGAAAAAGCTGATTTTTATATGGTCATTGAAGAAAGTGATTGATACGTGCATGTTTGTTCTAATATAACAAAGAATCTCGATTCTTGCTTGGTTGATAATCTAATATTACTAAAAGAAATGAGAAATTTACAGGTTTACAGTCGAGCCAGAAAATACATCTACACACACGATTAATAAATATAAAGGCATAAAATTATACGGTGATAATAGATAATTGGTGAAAATGATGAGCCTTTAGTTTTTAAATTTATTTTAGCTGCTTACATAGAGACTTCAGTTTGTTTTTAATCTAACAAGTAGGGATTAAATAAACATCCTACCTGATTTGGCTGTTCTCAATAGCATCATTGACCTCCTGTTTGAAGAAAACCAACAAATTTTCAGTAATTAATAATCAGTAACACAGTACATTGTTGATTAAAATTTGCTGCTGTTTGAGATGCTGCTATGAGGCGAAGCACGCAAAATGCGGAAAAACAGCAGATACACGTACCAGGAACCAGGAAAGGCTAATAATAACTTGTGATGCAAAACAAGTTTTTAAAGCTGTGTGAGATAATCACTGAAAAATAACCTGTTGGAGAGTTTTTCTATCAAAAGTATAGAAATGACAGATCTTCTTTAGGCTAAAGAACACAACACTATTGAAACACTCATTGATAAAACTGTTAAAAGATTCATAGGCTCCAGTAGAGTTTTATAGAATTGAGAAGAATAGAAATACTGACATAGCCTGCCCTGCAAATAAGGTTTAAGCGAAAAAATTAATGGTTAACCAGTAGAAAAAAGAATACAGTGATTATAATGTTGAAGGGATGTGCTAGTTATCTCAAGTTTCCATAACAGTTATTGTAAAACCAATTTATATATTTAGCAAGCCCATGGTCAACGATGCTCGCTTTGTAGCTGGCATTCATAACAATAGGCATTATTTTGAGTGCCTTTCAACTAGGTTGCGTTTCCGTCCAGTAAACTTAAAAAAATTCGTCTCTGTTAAAATACAAAAGTACCTTAAGTTTTAAAGCAGACTAGTTAAATGTAAACTTGACAATAAACCTAAGAGCATTTAAGGTGTGAATTTGATAGACTGAACAACATTTAAAAAACTTGATTAGCTATTAAGAATTATATAGCAAACATGGATGGAATTAACTTGAAACAGCGATTATTTTGAAAATAAACAACCCCTGCCAAGCTTGCATCTGAATTCAGAAAACTAAATCTTAGGCTTCTTTAAGTAAAATCATGAAAAACATCGCCTGTGTTATTAAATGAACATTATCCAAGGGTCGAGATAAAATGGCATGATTCATTCAACATTGGAAATTTAGATACGTTTATGTACGTTTTAACATCGGCACAAAGTATAACAATAATCTTCCTAAAATCACATAATAAATTCTACGAATTCATTTGAAGACACTGGCTGCAACAGTCAACAAAATGATTCCCAAAGAACGACTTTTCCATTTTGTTTGTGCGTACTTAAGAGTCCAGATAAATTCATCCCCTTCTTACTAATTCTTTGAAAGAAATGCACCCAGGACATCAATTTGCTAGAGGGATAGGGAAAGGGAAGATAAAAAAGGAAGGAAAAGGAGTGATAGCAACTTTGGCATTCCATCAAAAGAAGGTAAAAGATATCTTCAAAAACAAAAGCTTAAACTACACCACTCCGAATAAAACATATAGAATTTAATCTGAATAAAAGATTGAATAATTGTTATGATAAACAATGCTGTCGAAATTCCAGCAAACATGTTTCAAAGAAAACCGACATTGGCAGAATCTTAAAGCGTAAGTCAAATGAAACGATTTTAAAAAAACTCGACAGTCGGCAGGAATCTTAGAAAATAAACCAAAGTAAATTTTTTTCAGGAAAATAGAACCAAAGCAAACAAAAATAAAACTCGCATCATAAGTAATGAAAACTTATCTTACCCAGAAATATGGCTTTTGATATTGAAATACCAAAGAGCGATATTCCACACTCTAAACTTCGCTATTGATTTTCACGTATGAGCTTGTCACCTCGAAGGCGGAAAATCAAGATGAAAAGAAACTGCGATAAGCTAATGGAAAATTCCATTTTATGTTATCTGTGGTAGAGATATGCTTTTTTCCATCTTTGAGATAAATGCTATCTTGATCCCGTGCATGTAAATGTACAAAAATGTACAAAAATTAAGGGGGTTTTAAGTGAAGTTACATGTAAGTCCAGCAACATAACTCACATGCCTCGCAAATTTATTCTTTCGTGACTATGGTCTCTCAACAGTCATAGACTAAGCAAGAACTCTTTCACCAAACAAAGAGACTAACATTAACCTGACATAATTAGACACTTTATATTCGCACAGATACAGTAATACGTCACCTTTCTGTTATTGCATTTCAAATCAAAAGCAATTCGGCTTTTAAGGAAGTAATATGTCAATCTAATAAGCATTGCTAGGGAAAATACAAACAAAGAGCTGGTTACAGTGTTCCAGTTGGTATGAAAACTCCCTCCCACTAAGACTTTTGATACAGGGACGTACACCAGAGGACATGAACTCAGCTCTCGAGAGAAATTTCATGTCTTCATTCTCAATTGATTAGGGGATATTGCATACGAATGATCTAAATGATATAGAAGCTATAATTTGATAATCTCCTTTACACTCATTTAGAAGGCATTAATTTGCGCAGTATTTTTACATTTTTCAATTCTTTTCCTGAATACTCTTATTTCGACACCGCCTCCCACCCAGAAAAATACAATAGAAGTCGCAGCAAAAAGCGTACTTCCTAATCCCCTACGTAGTTTTGTAGTAAACCAACATTGTTCATAGGAAGAAAGGGGAATGGCTGAATTTGCCCTTTGAAACTGACGTTAGTGTACAAAGACTTTTAGCAGGCATTGTAGCAATAAAATGACATCTCTCTTATTTCCTGCATCTTTACCAAAAGAAAAAGTTCTGTTCGCTTCAAAAACGATTTCCGTATAGGATTACCCCCAGGCTATACCGAAATTGGCTGATTGATATTGATGATTGACTAAAGATAACTTACAGCGTCATGCAAGAAAAACAATAATTCAGTACAATGCAAACACGTTTGTTCTATGTACCACCTTATCGTCCAATTGAAGGTCGTCCTTTATTTGGTCTAGGATATCAAGTAGGGGTTAACGCCCAAGTCACCATCGATCGGATCTTGAACTACTGTAGTCTGGTACTTCACATACACATTACTTATCTGATTGAGATTCTGATTGGTTCGGTCAATACGAATAGTCTCTATTCCAATTGTTGATAGAATGGGTTCTTTGGACCAATCATTTTAGCTTTCTTGAGTGCGTTTATGGTATGACCAATGGTTGTTTTTCACATTTTACCCTCTCATAAACAACCTCTAAAACCTCTGCTTCATATAGAATGGCACAAGACTTGCATTATGAATCTCATTCATTACACGCAACGCTGGAACAGATTAATGTATAAATAGGCTGCATGAAATGTTTTGGGAATCAGCCTAAATCTAAACAATATAATAGTACCTATACCTGCAATAAAACATCTAATACAACTTCGCACTGGCTGCAGAGGCGTAAAGGAGTCATTTTAGGCCCTAAGGAAATCAACTGAGACGAGGCCCCTACTTATGGACAGCAAGAAAGTCCCATCCAACATTGTAGAACATGTCAAACACAATGGCAGTGTGTGAACATGATAATTTTTCTCGTAAATCAGGGCGAGCTCAGTTATAGAAACGTAAGTTGAAGAACTTGCAAAGTTATTGAAAATGAGGTGAACTTGAACGAAGTCATAAGAACATTGATTTAATCATAATTTGGGGGTGTCCTTAACTAGGGTTCCCTAAACTGCGTTACACCACTAACTAGCAATACAAAAAGATCATATATTGTACAATTAAGTAAAGTCTATCGTTCTGTATTTCGATCTTGACGTCGGCAAAACATATTTTAGAATGTACATAGCTTAGGCCACCAGCAAAGGCATTTCAGTTGTCTACACTCACCACAATTCCTCTTTGTAATTCCATTGTTTATCTTTGTAATAACCTTTTTTCTTTATCTAATGTTGTATCAAATCTTATAGAAACAACATTCCAAAGTCATGCAGCTAAATGCTGAAGATGACAAGTAGTTTCATCTTGTACTGATACTGCAATACTGACATTTTCAGAAAAACGTAACGCAATTGAAAATATTTCCATGCTGCTGCACCTGGGATGTTTCTTAGCGAGTTTATACAAGATTATCTTTGCATTTCACACATCGATAACAGTTTTATCGTTACAACCTCCCTTTTGTTTCTCTTCCTTTTCGCAAAAATACTGGGATTTGCTATCTACAATGCCACTTTAATTTTTAAACCCCTGCGTCAGCCAGTGCCTTCCCACTCTTTGTCTAAGTCGAAAATGTTTGACTAATTAGCTCTGTTATGTTAACGTGGCGCTACTTTTAAGAAGAACAAAGTTAGGGTGATTGCAGCAGAGAGGGCTTTTATATATGTAAAAATATTTTGTTTAAAACCATGGAATGAAACAGACAGCTTACTAACACGCTTGCCCTTTTCAGCTCCTGGTATCAAATTTTCAAAATAACGTTGTATTCTAAAGAAAAGCCTCTTCGGGGTATGAAATGTTTTTGCACTAGGCAAAACGCAAGATACAAGTCGATACCACGTGGTCAATACCAATGAGCGAATTTTTCAGTGTGGGCATTCCAGCATACGAGGCCACAAGAAAGATCACACAGCAATACAACATCGTAATAAAAAAGGCGCACATCTATTGCTGGTAGAATGGAATAGGTGTTAAAAGAATCTTTGAGCATAGGTAATACTCCACTCACCGTCAATTCTCTTGTAAGAAAGCTCATGACATCAACAGAATTTTGCAGATCTGATTTCTCATCAGCTTGCTGCCGCGAATTGTTTATGCTCGGTAATAAAGGGGAACATCTCCCCACTATTTCTACATTTCTTTTCCGCTTCAGCAATGCCTTCGATTTTTGCAGGAGATAACGCCTTTGTTTAGCAACCAACGTACTTTCGGACGCTTGCATTGCACGCAGCTCCCGCGGGCAAATATGTGCCACTTTCGAAGGTGGCTGATTGTCCCGGGGATCTTCATTCCGATCTCTTTGCAGTGCCGGGAGCCTGAATGCAGCTCCCCTGTACAGCGTTAAGTTCGCCGCTTCTGTCTGCATGGCCTAAAGAACAAAACCAATTCAAGAGCTGAAATAAATTTTTTACGACATTTAACGGCGTAGAATCGCAATAGAAACGTTTTAGGCAAACGCGGACGCTTTTAAGTCTCCTTAAATATGAAATATGAAATATTAATCAGATGTTCAAAACAGAGATTTCCTTTTTGAAATATCAACAACGGGAAAGTTCAGGGAACTTTCAGTTGCAATCGAATTCCCTACCCATTGGGTTTGAGGCCTGTGTCTAGATAGGGCTGACCAGAGTAACTTTTTAGTAAATGTTTTGAGTTGCTGTCAATAGAAATTTTCCCTCACTTGTGTTGGGCAACAAGATACAGATAAAAGAGAGCAGATGTTGATTCAAAAGCAAGATAAGGCATTTCAGAGCAAAATTAAGAGAATCTTTCAAGAGAAATCGCCACATTTAGCTGAAAGCATTTTGCTCGTAGATTATTGAAAAGAAAACAGGGGGTACTGTTTGTAACTTTGAAGGCAGGTCGCATAGGGGCAGCATCAAAGGAGGGAGGGGAAGTCAGGCAATACCACTGTCCTTTTTATCAAGAATGAAAATGGCAACGATTCTGTTTGCTTTGAAGGAGATTGATGGATGTGGGGGTGAAAAGGGGATGCAACTGAAATTCATCTGCAATAACAATAACAAAAAGTGAAGAAAATGAAAACTTCTTGGCATTTTTCATCTTCATTACCATGGTTAATCTTATAAAATCAACTTGGCTCCTTTTTCGAATTTTTTCTTCCAACTTTTCATCCAACATAAAAGCTAAAACCATGTCTGCAAATGAATTGAATGGAACTCTTCCATTTTCTAGATGAACTGAATGGTATTCTCTCGCTTGAAAACTAGCGAAGGACTGCACACTCATAAACGTTCGATAGCAACGTGGATCTCTGTTTCGAAAAAGGATCCGTCAATAGTATATCTAAGTTTAAAGGCTGTTGCGCAACCGGCATGCCTAGCGGCAGCTGTTTGATTGTGTTTTGCATTTTCATGCAGTTCGAAATCAGGCCAGTTTTAAAAATATAGTCGCAAAGCATGACGGTTGCGCGAGAGCTTTTAAGTTTATCTCCAAAAAGATGAGCCTAAGAATTTAAATCCATACGGCCTCTCTTTCTTTTACTAATCCTTGCACTTAAGAACATATTTTCACTGAACAATCCCAAGGTCTTTATTGTAAACGGCATTGTCCCCATCCCATCTATTATTATGAGACAACTCTATTGCCAGGCATTACCAACCAGAGAGAGGAATCTAATTTCAGGTCTTCAACCCTGTAACTCATTGGTGCACCTTTAAAACAAGACATCTACAAATATGAAATTTGCACTATTATTGTAAACCCAACAGCAGCTTTTTGACAGCTGACTGGGCACTAAGCCCCAGTCTTCTGTGTTGTCCTTAAAGCGCCATTTACATGATAAATAAATTAGAAATCCTTTCTATGATTGACCGTATGGAGAGAATCTCATTTACCTTCATGGTGCTCTATTGTGTTCTTTAGCCTGTGTAGACATGTCATATTATTGCAAAGGCCTCATATAGGCGATGTAAGTAAGGAGAGCAGGTAAACGATGTGGAATGTGTACATATGTAGAAACGCAAAAACTAAATGAGACCGACTTTCAACAAAGCAGTAGACTAGATAAAGATGGCTCGCTTTCATGACTCTGAGAGACAAAACAGCTCATTGCCTCTTGGCATAAACTATTTTGGAAATTATTGATGTTGTTATCGAAGAGAATTGTAGGAGTGTCATTAACTCTCTAGACTGGGATTCAAATTTGTACACAGAATGAGGAGTTCACATGGGCTCTAACATAGGTTTAAAAGTGGGGATGGGGCAAGGCAAAATTCAACAATCATAGAAAAAAAATTGCAAAAGCTATATTGCTTTTCAAAGGGTGGGGGTCCTTACTCTCCCGCTACCTCTTCGTTGTAGGCCTTTGAACGAGGGTTTAGTGCGGGGAACTCAGGGAGGACCCCCCTGTTAATGTCGAAAAAGCCAATTTCTACTTTTGCTATTGTTTTTGGATATGTTTTATGCGGGGCCTTATCCTGTTTTTTTTCATAACAAGACATCCCTAGAGAAGAATCGCCAACACTTTGTAACTCCAGACATCGAGAAGAAGGACTAGGACACTGACCGTTAAGGATGCCAGCTTGGGATACTAAAAATCACCTTTGGAAGATAGATAAATGTAAAAAAATCCTTTGCAGCCTTTCTCAGCTTGCAAAATTGCTTCTATAAAATCGATTGGCAAATTTCTTATTCGCCTAAACTGCGCTTTTACTGATATTCCAAAATTATCCCTCCATCCAAATTGAACATTGTGGTTTTAGGAACCAAACTAACAGTTTGGTTCCCAACTCTTGCTGCTACAAGTCATGGCAATCAGAACAAGATCTGACATCAATTTGACCAAAAGCATTTACCAGGGGCAGGATGACAACTTATACAGGGCATAAGAATAGCGCCGCTGTTCTCTCATCAAACGTTCCTCTTTCTTTCTTCAATCATAAACATACACACAAAGTATTTTAGCTCAATTTCACTCAAGAATTTCAGAAATTATCTCTCTATATTATCAGAAATTATCCCAACCAGAACAAACCTTATATTGGAACAACCAAACCTTATAAGGAGTATGATTGACTCAAATCAGGGGTGAAACAATTGGCGGGGATGGGGGCGGGATGTAACATCCACAAATTAGCCAAGAGCTCAATGCGTCCCGAAGAATTTTGATGAATGACTCAAGGTATCAAAAGCCACGAAGATCCAACAAAGAGAGACACAGAATTAATTAAACCCTGCGGTTTTCTATGTTCAGACCTGAGAACAGTCGCAGACGAAGTGTCAGATATAGTTTTACCTGAGTGACCCAGATATTTTCTTCGATCATGGGGAACTAAAGAGCTCTTGTTGTTGAAGGCTAATAACAGGGGGAGGGCGGAGGGCGGAGGGCGGAGGGGTTGATGTGCCGGTCAACACAGGGTCTCATTATCAGCTGAAAATTCATGGGCAGGAAAATACCGTTCATCTTTTGTTTCTGCCACAGGTATGCCAATTGAAGATGTTTTTTCCAGGTCAGATTTGTCATGAAAATGAAAGTGTTCTCTTGGAATTCAAGAAGTGGTTAACCTTCAACATAAATTCAATAATTTCTTACTTGTAAATTTATATCTAGGCGATGCATCAGGTTCCTGAATCTTATTCAAGGACAGGTATCATGTTTTCAGAATTTTATTCAAGGATAGGTATCATGTTTTGAGAATTTTATTTCACTCCTTCAGGATTTTTTTACTGGGTAATGAATCTTTTTCTGGAAGGCATATCCCCGTAATTCCAAGGTAAACTCCTGGGTGTTTTAGGATCAGGGATCCATTTTAAAGGGGACCCCTTTTGCAAGATTAGGATAGCCTTACAACTGGCCACTGGCAACTAATGTGTGCCCCACATCGTGCACAGAAACATACATGTTCGTTTTTGGAGATGGGAACGGGAGGAAATGTGTAATGTCATATCTCAGCCATAAGAACGAAAACCTCAACCTTGAGAAAACAGAAAAACATATCATTGTGACAAAGGCGAGATATTGATGAGATTTCCTTTGGTCGTGAACTTTCAATTCATGTGATTTTGAAATGGAAATACGATTAAATAAAAGTTATTTTCAACCGGTTGAAAATTAAAAAGCATTTGACTGAATCGAAATATTCATAAACAGATGTGTTGAAGTTTAGCGTTGAACCATCTTTTCGGCAGAAAACTAAGGTTAGACTTAAAGAAGTTATCTGTGGACTAAAGTTTATCTCTACACAGGATTTAAAGGGATTTCAACCTGCCGTTGTAAGAGGTCTGGCATGTAAAGCTCAGCATTATGACCCTAAAAACAAACATAGCCATAAATCTCAAAGAAAGTAGAGGAATCTCGAATGATGCGATTATATGAGACGAAAGAGGCTCTTACAATCAAATATTATTCGCTTAGAAGGCAAAATGAGCAGCCAAACATCTTTGAAAGCCTACCTTGAAATTCTAACAAACTATAAGGTTATATGGCATTACATAAACAGACAAATTCATACCTCGGTCTGTTTTGTAAAGTTGCTAAGTTTATCCACACGAGACGAAGTCTTCTTTGCCATCGACATGTCGAATTTCTCCCTCGCATTCCATCGTTTTGATTCTTATAGTGAAGCCTTCACTTCTCTTTATACTGTTGCCAAGTCTGACAGCTTATTATTTAGCCTGTTCCCACAAACCATTAATTCATTATCAGCGTTCTGATGTTTTCTTTTATCTCCTGTTCATTTAGCATAAATATTTTCAGTTCTAAGACCACGAGGCCTGTGATGAAGGCCACAACAACAAAGGTGTCTAACTACAGGAAGCTTTCATAGCAACCAATGGCAGTATCATTGCGATTGTTTATGCTTCATAATCCCTGGATTGTTCTCATTCTTTCTAATCCACTGTCATTTAATGCAGCATTCCACCGTTATTTTCGATATGCTCTGCTGGACGCTAGTGTATGTCTGATTCACGGGTTGACATAACAGCTTTTCCTTCCGATTCCCCAATATACACAGAAATCCTTCATGACTTCAAAGTTTAGTCTAGTAACGGAAGAGAATGAAAACATCGATGAAACGCAATAAAGTTTTCTACCATCTTCACAGCTAAATTCGAGGCAGGATATGAAAATCTACATAAGCAAATATTTGGAGTTGCTTGTCCTTTGGAAAATTATGAATCATTCCCTATTGAAGTATTTAAAGATCATGGCCTTGAATGTTGATCTACATTAAATATTTGTTAATAGTTATCTCATCGCAATAAAATTGTTGGTTTATGTCCAGGGGGTGCAGAAATAATCTTCTCAAAAGAGTAACCCATACCGAAAGTCCTCGAATAAGCCCCCACCTTCGAATAAGCTTCCCCCCCCTCGAATAAGCCCTCATTCTAAAGTCATTTTTTGTACAAGAAGCCCTACCTTCGAATAACCACCCATGGCTAAGGTATTGCCTCGAAATCAATAGGTTAATCTCAGAGTATTTTTAAGCACCTGACCAGCCTCAAATTGTGGAGAAAACTTGTCTTGCCTATATTTTTGGCTGCTGCCAAATAAACCCCCAACTTTCGAATAAGTCCCCTAACATTGTCTGGAAAAAAGATACAAGGTCCACGCCACCGGGGGGGGGGGCTTAAGGGCCATGGCCCCCCACTTTTTCAAAGCAAATAGTTTTGAAGCTGCAGTAAAAGGAAAAAAGGCCTTGGCCCCCTACTTTTGCTAGCCTTCCCCCCCCCCCACTTTCAAATTCGTGACGTAGGCCCTGAGATAGACACTTCCCTGGACTTTGTGACCAAAAAAATCAATTTAAATCTTACATAGGTAACTATGAATACAGCGTAGATTAACCGTAAACCCAAAAAGGATATTTTTTAGGAAAATAGTTAGACAATATCTGATACCCAACTTTAACTTGCACCGTGGTTGATGTTGAGGGTTGATATGTAAACATTGTATCGGACTACGTGACGTCATCTTCAAATCGCGTGAAATGTCACAGAAGAATTGGGTTAGGATTCTCTCTAAAATGTTAGAAAAGGCCGGTTTCAGAGCTTAAAACAACAACGGCTCTCAAGATACGGATACAACATCGAAAAACAGATATTCCTTAAGTCAATGTGTCTAAATTTCTAAATGTAATGTCTTGTTACAAAAACTTCTGTTTGTTTGAAACGTAAAAAAGAACGTTTCTAGTGAAGGAGTGCACTAACAATATGGGGATGATGTTTGTCTGAAAAAACATATTTGAAGAGTAGAAAACTGCCACAGAACAAGATCAATAGTCAACGATTTCACTACCTTTGTTCAACAGAAGGGGTGAAAAACGTATCAAGCCCTTGTATTCCCGAGAAATCAGCTCTTGTTTGGAGAGACTTGCACGACGAGCAGAGGGCAGCTATAGTCAGAACCCAGGACCTAGCACTCATAGGATTTTCGACCCACCTATGGAGGGAAAAAGTTTGCAGAAACCTTTACGGTTAAAAGCACAGTTTGGAATATAAGAACTGCTAATGGAATGGTTAGGGTGAGATGCTTTTTTATTTCTATAAACCTGAACTAAATAAAACAGAAAATGCTGTAGTGGCAGAGCTTTTGCTTAAACATCAAGGTATGGAGAACGGCTGTAAAGTAAGTGCCACACCCTTATTTGCATACATCATAGCACACGCACATCATTTGGAAGGGTGTGCTATTATGTTTCCAAAACCTTTGCTTGTCGTAAAAGGATCGTTTGCCTTAGTTTGGTAGATATACCACACGTGGCTTGTTATACTGACTATCTCGTACGATGTAACAAGAATATCATTTCATAAAAACAAGAATTTAATCCTGCTCATTTTGCAAGATAACAAAACACGGAACAAAACTAAACGCTTCAACAATCCTACAAAAAATACCATGACTACATTAGACATATATATTTAAAGTCGCCTACAAATATTAACATTTCATTTGTTTATATTCAATTCAATGTTCAATCCTATTTTACATTTTGCGAGTGGACATAAAGATTGATCTTTCATTCCCTTTCCCCAACGCCATCTTTACAATCTTTATTCATGCTCTTTCGATGTGCTTTCTAATTTCAGCTACCAGCTTTTCATCGATTTGATGGTTTTGCGAAACAACAGACCTGAAAAATTGAACACATTGAAAAGACTGAATACCTTTTCGCGTGGACCAAAAAAAATTCAAAATCAGTCCTTGACAGTGACTTATGTCATCAGCAAGGTTTAAGCCAAACGAATGTCAAAGTGACGTAGTTAAAGAATAAATCAAACAACAAATTCAGGTTACAACAACAAATCACACAATTGAAGCAGTTATTAAATTTGCTTAGTCACAAAAATTAATTACCTGAAAATACGAGACTTCATAGTAACATCCTCTAGCATCCGAGCTTTTAGATAGGCACATTTTATAATCTGAAAAAAATCAAGACTTGTAAGATTTCTCGTAGCAGCTGTGGCATAAACACATCAATACATTTTCAGTTTTGCTACATTAGGCGTTTTAGCTGCATAGGGAGCTACTGAGCTTTCGGTTGATCGACCCCAATGATACACAAGACTTGACCAAGAATAAAAAACGCTCAAGGAAAAAAGCAGAATAAATTAATAGCAAAGTGTGAGTTCCCTATATCTCTATAGAGGCACACAACTAGAAAATAGCCCTCTTATCCCGATTCATCAAGAACATGTTTATGCTCATAGAAATTTTTCGTTTAATGCACATATCAAAAGACTTACAGACAGAATTATTAAGTACTTACTGTACTGCTCAAAGAAAGAGGTTTCAAAAGCAAGCATTTTGCCCCGTGAGCATTTATTCGTACAGATCTAATGAGGAGGGTAGGTATTACAATGCAAAAATAAATGGTAATACAGAAGTGCCACGAGTTTTTCTCTCAGAATTTTCAAAACATACGGAGAATCCTGCCTAAATTTAGTTCTTTAAAAGTATGTTGACCCTTCAAGATTTGAGTTGAAATAAAGAACGATATACTCTGGAAAACAGCAACGGTACCGTGATTTACGAAAAGGCACAGGAGTATAGACTGCGAGGTTCAGATACCCCAGGAGAAGAAATGATGATAAAGACACTTGCAAAAGAGGCGATGGGAGTGGAAGTGAGGGGGACAGGAAGAAGAGCAAGGCCGAAAAGAACTTTGCATCTTGGGATTTAAGGGAAAAGATTGAGGACAAAATAATCAGGCCAAGAATAAAAGAAGACATGACCACCTAGATGAGGCTAATCTATAAAGCAGTCCCTTATAGAGTGACGAAGGTGAATGTTGGTAAGCATAAGATTAAACTGGAATAATGCTACGGAGTGAGCAAATGTTCCTTTCAATTGCTACCGTGTTCCCTAGGTTGTTTTTATAGCGCATATGGCCAAAAGGAGATACACCATTAAGCATGAGGTGAATTATCAGCAATTCAATACAAATCCTTACATAAGTCGGTTAAGCCTACCTCGATTGGCAATCCAGCAAGTCGAGCCGCGTTGAAACCATAACTCTTAGGGCATGGTCCACTGGCAAGCTTGTACAAAAAGGTTATTGTTTCGGTGCTTGGATCGCCAGAACTGTTTTCATCATCATTTTCAACCATGCACGCCTAGATAAGAGGGAATGAGTTTAAAAATGCATTTGCCATTGTAATAGACGCAAGCACGACATATGTATCTGAATTCGTTTATTTGAAACGTTATAAAGACTCGTGTGTCGCAACGTCTGGCTTTGATTACCGATTGAAGTACAATAAATGCCGAGTGCCTATAAGATACTATTTGAGGCATCCTTAAGGGGAAGGTAAAAATATTTGGAAAAGTAGGGTCAGATGTATTTCAAATGTTTAGAATTGCCTATAAACAACATTAAAAGGATAGTGTGATCCAATAATAGCTTTAAGGCCGTACAGTTAACTTGGTGAGTACTAAGTATTAGACCCTCAATAAATCGCGCCCGGAAATGGAAGGTAGGAGAATTCCTCTGCTTTTCTACTCCTCTCTTCCATTTCCACGCTCAAATATCTGTGGCGCTTGTACACAGGGTAGGTGTGTCCGCTTAAAACATATTCACAGGAACAAACTAGTCTTTCTCTTGAGACTATAGTTATACCTAGGGCCTTTATTAATAGTCTGGCTCTATCAAGTTTTAGGGGCCCTCTAGATTAACCTAACCTAGCGGCATCAATGATGATTCAACCATTATTGGCTTTTAGTGATATGAGATTTACCAGATACTATATTGGATTGGCCCAACGATAATAAGAGCTTTAAGACTCAACAGCCGTCTAAAATAACCAGTTATATATTGGAAATACAGGGCTATACTTTGTCTTTATAATGCCGAAATCCAGCAGTCATTTGGTTTAAGAACGAGGCTAAATGGCTTAGTTAAACAATTACAAAGCTTTAAAGTCACTATGAAGCTCTTTCTGAAAATACAAATTATTTACACGTCCTAGCAGCATGTTACTTTATCATGACTTGTAGGTCTCCTTTGATGCGGTAGCATAAGATGGGCTCTGTATTAATGCATAAGTACAATAATAACAGACGAAATCTCTTTATAGTCACCTGGCTTAGAAACACTGAAAACTGCAAATCAAGAAGGGTAGTTGACCCAGGGAGTGTATTTTCATATGAACAAGGGGGAGGGCACCCAAGACGTTCACCTGCACACACACAAAATAAATATCTTTCAAATTTGTACCCAGAAATTTTATAAAAATTTGTCAGGAACAAATGTTCAATGACAGGCCCAACGTAACATGAAAAACCTCATCAGATCTTTGTGAATCCGAGCCATTGTATTCCAAAACTGGGACAAAAACTGACCTTTATAAGATACCCAAAATAAAATTTGTAGTGAAATTTTCAACTCAAAAAATTAATCAAAAATCTACTGCCCAAAAAATTTTTTTCTGAACCCAAGAAAAATAGAGATTGAAAACATCAAACTCAAAAATTAGCGCATCCCTCCTGCAAAGACTTCTTGAGCACACTGCCTGTGTTCGCTGTAAGTTAAATACCTTATTGTATTACTTGTAATTTACTGTATAAACTGTTACATCTATTAGAAAACAAAGATACAAACTTTACCATATGGCCTAGGGTGATACTCGGGTCGTCGCTAAATTCGTCGACCAGTGAATGATAATGTGTCGAAAAAAGTGTTCTGCATTTTATGCTGTGTGCTAATTCACGAACAACAGCTGATGCAATTGCTGTTCCATCAAATGTTGCAGTTCCACGGCCTTAAAGACAGAAATCCAAAAATCACCATGAAGATTGCAGAAAAAAACAGAAGTTGATATGAACATGAACATCACTTACGGAGATTTTTGACAAATTGAGCTAAAATATGCAATTTTAAATTTCAGGCTGACAATAACTTTAGGCCCGTTCAGTTCACGGTGAGCAAACAGAGTGTTTTGATGAACTTTGATTTGGCTTATGATTGAAATCGGTTATGGTGGCTATCTCTGGCTTCAAGTGACAAAAACAAGGCACCTGTAGTATGGTACTAAGGGTATAATCGCGTGCTCGAAGTTGTCATATTCTGTCATCAAAACCAAGATAATTTTGTGCAAACTTATATGTGGACATCAAAGTAGCTATGCGCTCAACGAATCGTGGCCAGTTTTGGTACAAATGGCAAGGAATCATTACACGTTCAGTGATACAACAGTAAGAAACGGTAGCAACGATGAGATCTCCAGATACTAGCAAAATAATCAAAACGCCTCATTTAAGGTCAATTTTCCTTCACAAATAAAGTGCTACGTCAAATATATTTTGTATTAGAATGGTAAAAGGAAGCCTTGCAAAGAAAAATTCAAAAGACGCAAAGAGGCAAAAAAGCCGTCTAAGACCTCTCAAAGCTCCAGATCCAATGTGGAAGTTACAATTTTTCAGATTTTTCTGGGAAGCAAGTGTAGTTTCATGCTTGTGTGCACATTATTGCATTCCCATCTAAGGGCACTTTCCTTTACTGTTATTTATAGTTAAAAAACGTACCAAGCTCATCTAGGAGGACCAATGAATTTCTTGTGCTGTGTTGCAGGATTGTGGCTGTTTCGCTAAGTTCTACAAAGAACGTGCTTTCGCCTAAGAAACAAGAAAACGGGACGGTTAGCAATAAAATAATTGGCATGACATCACAGTAGCAAACATGGCATAGGCATACGAGCAATACGATGCGAATCGGGGCAAATGGTCCAAGTGGACCGCGAATTGTATGACTCGACTCGATAAGAATCACTTATGATAAACCTTTTAGGAAACGATTTTGTAATAATACTTATTTAGAGATTAAAATGTCGGAGAACGTGTTAGGGTTAAGCAGGCAGTTGTTTCATTTTTGTCTCAATTAAGTTGGTGACTGTTCTCAGACCTACTTTTTTCGCATTAGGTTTAGTCGCATTGCTATTCGAATACTGAAGCAATTCTATAGGAGTGGGCCGATGCTTGCCGTGAAAAATATAAAGATTGGTGACAATAAATCTACAGAGAATTGAAACCAGATGTAGAGGCTTTAGGACACTACTAGGAAGCTGTGCTTATCGAGCAGTGTCTGGTTTTTCACTCTCGGATGCGTTCATGACACTGGATTCCTATGCCAGGAATTACAGAGAGCCCGCGACCCTCCTCACTCTTAAGTGAAAGTTTAGTTGTGTCAAGAGACTCGATTTTCAGACCCTTGGATCTGTAGTCCACGATACTAACCACAAAGCCATCATCACACCTAATGTTGATGGTTGAAGAGAGATGGGAAAGATGTCAATGTACAACATTTTACTGACTCACCGTGTAGAATACGATCATGAGCTCCCAGCCTGGTAAATACACGATCAACTGGTGTGAATCTGCACATCTCAGCCGGAACGTAGCATCCCTTTAAAGCAAAATGATACAGTTTAAATATCTGAGTATAAATTGTATAATAATTATCAAAAACATACATACAAAATTACATGCTCAAAGTCTTGATGATCGTTTCATTCAAAGTAAAATAAGAAACATTCAATAAGCAGTGAAAGATCCAGCCTTGAAAAAGCCAACTTTCAAAGTAAAGTTCAAAACACAACATTTTTAAATAATCACTTCACTAAATCTAACCAAAAGGAAAAAGCCCAAGTTTCAGCATTCTTTATCAAGTTCCTCGAAGTATACGAATATTAAGGAAAAACGAAAACTAGACTGTCTTTAATAAAAGTAAACAAACAAACAAAATTTTAATCAAATTAATATAGTAGGAATGAATATTAAGCTCTGGGATTGATATAAGGGATTTGGGATGAGCACTACAGATTTGTTTGATTACAAATAAACAGATAGGCTAAGAATTTACTTTCTTGACATATTCGCAGAAATTTCCTTGAACGAAAGGCTTCACTTGATACAAATCCCAGGAAAGTGAGGAATTTCTTCCAAGGCCCATTCGTAACGTTGCAAGACTTCCCTAATCTAAGCCACAATACAGCGAATTTATTACAGCAAGGGTTGCAACATGCACCCATTTCTAGTTGCATTGTATAATTATCTCTCAAGACAATATTCGAGTGCTGAAATGTATTTTCCTATCAAATCTTTCTCTCCTTTTTGCATAACAGCATGACATTGCAAATACGATTTATTTTAAAAGTGTCTACAGGTGAGACTTTTAATTTAAAAATAAACGAAATATAAAGGAGAGGAAAATTCTTTAGGTGCCCCAAGTAACTTGGGAGTAGTTTTAGCAGTGGAGACAGCGACAGTCTTAAAGTAAGTCCAGCTGCCGGGCTACTTAGAAGGGTACAAGGTACAACGCTTTGATCCAGCTTCTTTTTTTATCATTTGGCGAACAAAAGTCTCCAGTTGTTACTCAAGTCTTGCTAAGCAAGAGGGATATAGGAGTCCCTCTTGCTGATAGGAGTCAAACGATGCTGCCCAGAGCTGAAAACGACAAACACCAGAGCTATAACATATTTCAAATATATAAATATTCTTCAAATAATAACGTACTAGTTGTGCCATTATGATAATAATACCAGTCTGACGCATCAAGGTCGATTTTCCACCCATGTTCGGACCAGTTACAAGAAGGCAAGTGCTGTCGGAGTTAGCTTCGCCCTCGTCTCCCTGTAGGAGAAAAAACTTGATAAGTAACGGAATCAGGTTAGAATGGTAAGTGCAAAAGGCTTAGAAACGATGAAATGTCATTGGATCGATGCAAAATTGTCAGGCAGGCTTCATAAAATGTGTTGGTACAAAAAACTTTGAACGACAAAAGGCCACGGAGCAATGGCACGCAAGGGTTCTTGGGAAAACGAACTTGCAAATGATGTTTCTTGATTCATCCTAAACAGGCAACATGTTAACAATTGTCCAGACAAAAAATATCTTTGGTTACGTCGATGCAATAAACTGCTGTAAAACTATGAATTTCATTTACCTGCATTTTTCCGACATTGATGTCGTTTGGTATGAAGTCGTCACCAGTGAAAGTACGGCTAATGCAGGGGTGACGAGAGTTGCGGATTTCGATGAAAGGCTTTGGAAAAAATTGTGAAAGATAACAATATTTGGTCTAGGTTAGAAAGTCTAGGTCTAGGCGGTGGGTTCCCAGGAATCAATTTCAATTGGTAATTGCTGGCATAGCAAATGCCACATTAACTATCTTCGAGATACTTGCATGGTTCATGGAACTCCCAAGCAGTTCTAGTCAATATTCAAGCGGTTCTTTATACACACCTCAATAAAAGCTAAGTTGCTCTCTTTTCCCCAATGATGGAATTGCACCTCAGAATGATTTATCACTAAGACAATTTGCTTTAAAAATAGTATTGTTGAAAAATCACTTCGAGCAACTCTTTGGGAGCACTATATACTGGAGCGAAATATCAGTACAAACCTAGTTTATTCATATTTGATTTTGTCTTATCTCGGCAAATGGCATTTGTTTGAAAGTATTCATTTGTAGTTCGTCGATCAATTTGATGTTTCATTACTAGCAAATTCCTCATATTAACATTTAGTGCAGAGGCTGTCAAATTGCATTCTTCTATCATTAAAAAATCCACTGATCACTTTATCAGCTGATAGGCAAGCAATGCAAAAAGTAGTCAAAATATATTGACAGGGATAAACTGTATCACCAAGGCTACAGCAGTCTTGAGACAACCTAGGAACATGAAATGCAGTTGCCGATAAAAATAAATATAGGCTTTTGCCCTCTTAGACTATTTACCGTCACATTTTCGTTGCCTTCATGAGTTGACGTCAGAAGTATTTCTGGCCGGCAGGTAACACCATCTGCATTGGAACTAATCGGAGATAATCGGAAAAATGAACATAACTCTTTTGATGAATACAATGATCAAACAAACGTGAATTATAACTCAGTTTAATAAATGAAAGGCAGACTTAGATGAAAAGTTCATATCTTTCTTATGGAAAAGGAATGTTGAAATTAGGCAACCGAGGTGCAACTCTCAATAAACAACCTTTCGTCTTGATTAAACCATATGATTAAACATACTTTTCATCTTCATAAAAAACTTCCAGTAAAGACATTAAAATTTCCAAATTCAACTTTATGTATTGTTTACAAGAACATGTACTCGTTTCCCGGTGTAAAAATAACAAATTGCACAAAAGCTTCATCTAAGCGAAAACAAATTTTCAAAGGAAAGCGCAATGACTTCTTTGCGTTTTTACATCCCATCTACATGCATAATTTAATCTATGAACAGAAACAGAAACATTTGAAAATCTCATCTAGGGTAGAATCTTTCAAAAATGCAATTATGTGAAAATGTTTCGTTTTCGTGTAGACGAAAAACTTCTCACTCAATCTCACTGAGAAAAAAATGCAACATGTGTTTAACGCGAGAACATGGTTTGGCATACTTGAACTGGTGTCATAAGGCTATTTAAAGAAATGTCAAAAAAGCCTACCTATATATTGCTAGGCTCATTAGGCAGTCAAGCACAGATATGCACTGAAGAGCACCTTCCATCGATTTATATCTGAGAAAGGAAAATGGGGATATTATGAAAATAGGTCATACTTTAAACTGAATAAGAAAAGGAGAAAATTTGACCAGCTGCAAATGGGTTTAATCAAACAACAGGATTTCCTTTTATAAATTTTAATGTCAGCGTTTTTTTCTTAAATAACAAATTCCGTCGCATTGTTTGGGGTGAAATGAGGAGTAGCAACTTCTTACTACTAACATGATATCTATAGATAACAGAAATATTAAACTCTTTAAACAGAGGAAAACAAGTATACTTTTCGTCGAAAATATGGAAGACATTTCTCATTGTATCCTTCAGAGCACTATCCCTCCTATCTTCTGCATCACAAAGCTCCAAAAGCTTTTCTTCAATGTAATCAGTTCGAAATCGTTTGTATCCCTTTCTTTGCGATTTCAAATGATAATCATCCGGGGTATTTCGTGCCAAATTTTTTTCAGGAACTTCCAGCTGGTAGCGGAATTTACCTTAAATGGAATGCAAGTACTTTTAAACTAGAACTATGAGGAGGAAATGGATCCATCATTTCCAAGGATTATATGGAGTTTAAAGAAAAAAAAACTGCCTAAAATCATTGTTTTAGAAATATAAAATATTAAAATATGGTTTCTAGCATCATGAAAAGGATAACAGAAATCTAAATTCATATGCGGATCGAAAGTAACGTGAGGGGAAATCTTGAGTTTTATTGGTTGTATTTTATTGGTTGCTTGTTTTTGACCAATCAGAAAGCACAAACCATCGTGTATCGTTATACGTCAAGAATATCTGGTCATTCTAAGAAAATATCTAAATAAAGGGAGAAAAATGCATTTATGAGCTTGAGTTATTTTACTTGATGAAAAAGCATTCCAATAACCAAAAATAATAACTAACACAGTTTTCTTCCTTAGAGAAGATTGCCACAAATATCATAGAAATTAATTTGATAGAATAAGATGATATTTAGCTGCACAATCTAGCATCTTTTTGAACGTACCATTTCCCCAATATGTAATTGCCTAAAAGAAGAAGATGGTTTTTTAAAGAACTAATGAAACTGAACATCAACAATAAGAACTTTTCCGTTGCTTACATTTTCTATTTTTTTCTATATTATCTATTTTTTTCTATATTTTTTCTACAGTATCTGAAACCAAAAATATCCTAGTATTTCATGAACCCTAGAAAGTATTTGAATAGGAGGCTTACTCCTAGAGGTATTTCTTACCTAAATTTTAAACCCTAAAAAGTACCCAGAGAATCCCTATCTTAAAAACAGTAGAGTATTACCCTATCCCCCACCAATGGGGGCTAAAGAGATACTAAATACCAGCAGAAGCTTACCCGACAGCCAAGTCTTTTCCTTTGCTTCTCTAAATAATCATCCAGATCTCTTTCGACTGCGTTGATGTCTTCCAGTGCTCGGTCATATTCTTCGTGTACACCTGACAATGCGAGAAATATAAACGATACTAGAAACATTTCAATGAGCTATCTCTGAAAATATAATCATGCATATTTGCTAAAAAGACACAAGTTTCAAGGCAAATGAAATTTAAATTCTTTCCACTGTTGTCAAAATTAGTTTGTTTCATACATTTCAACGTTTATGCTCGATAGATTTTACTTTATCAGAAATTAAACTTCTTTTGTTCTCCTTCCCTCTCCAACCTGAGCAACGTCGATAGGTTAGGCAAATATCATAAATGACACACGAAAAACATACTTTCAAATTTTCTACGCAATTTCTAGTCTATTCACATTGTTTCAAGGGGAGATTTTATTCGACCTTGAAAATGATCATTAGTGTTCCATGTCATCTGGTATCCATTGTAAATTTTAAAACGAGAGCTTTACAGTAAAAATTCACAAACAACTACGAAATGATTATAGACTGTTTTAATGGATGCATGGAATGCAGAAAAAAGCATGCTTGTCTTTCTATAAATAAAATATTCTAAACAGCGAAATGGGTACCTTTCTTTGGCAGGATGACGCCATCCTTCTTTGCTTTGTTGTGATCAAATGCATTCTATAGTGTAAGTTTTTAATGAATCGAAAGAATAAACTGTAATACAAATAGCCATTGTGCTAAAAACATTGGACCTTACAAGGAAAATAATATCAAAAAAATATGACAGATAGGGGGATGTTCGCGTTCCAGCTCATCTCTGCAGCATCGTACATGTATTCAAAAAAACAGTTCTGAAGTGTAAAGTCATCTAAAATACAATTTTTATTATTTTTTTATCTTTGACCACAGAACCTGAAAATATCCTTAAATTTCTCCAAAAGTGTGAAATCATTTAAATCTGATGCATTCGACTGAAACAGAGAAAAAAAGTTGAGTAAGATTGACACTTACTTTGAAAAAGTCTAAAAATTCGGACAAATCAGGGAAACCTTTGGATGACCGCCCTGAAATAAAAAAGGGAGAAATTTTTTTTCACGTTTGTAAGCTTTTTTCTTGTCAATTTTGATAGTATAGCTTATTATATTTTATAAATATTTGATCAATATCCATATTACAAGCTTGTCTTCTATCAAAAAACCTCTGGAGGTAACTGTTTTTTATGAGACTTGTGATCAATGGCATGTGCCTCTGTGAAAGACTTGGTGAAAACTTGATACCTCAGCATGTATTAGTATCAATATGAGCATGTATCAATTTATACAATATGAGCATGTATCAATTTATACAATATGAGCATGTATCAATTTATACAATATGAGCATGTATCAGTTTATACAATATAAGCATGTATCAATATATACAATATCATTTATCAGATTAATTGAGCAAGATTTAAGGCATACCTTCTTGCTTGCTGACGATTTGCTGGAGCAGACTGGATCTATTGTCAAAACAATTATCTTTCATTTAGAAATTAGAATTCTTTCGAAAATCTTAAGCAGAAAGTAATTTATATTTCTTAAACTGACGTTGTCACCGAGATCATAATTGTCCTTCGTTTAAAAGAAATATTAATCAGAAAATCTTAGGTGCAACCAAAAAGCCTTCTTACTGAAATCAACGAATATTAAGTTGCCAATTCTACTTTGTTGTACGTTGACATTCAAGTAGGGCTAGGCGTGAAGAAATGGAACCTATCGTATTTTACAAAACATATTGTAACTAGCTGTAACTGTAAGGTTTATGATTGTAAAAAGCAACTTACTTCAGTGGCTCATCATCTGATTGAAACAATGCAACAACCTTGCTGGCCTTCTCCAATCCCTCTAAAGCAGAAAGCAGATCACCAATCTTTCGCTTGCTGCAAATGGGAATTTCATGAAATTAAATACGCTTAAACTGGTATATGTTGACTGCTTGCAGGCGTTGTATGGATGAAATTCTAAATAACGACTTCACACCTTAATGTCTTCAATATTCTAATTTTTCAGTATTCCAACCCATTACCACAAAAATACTGAAGATGCTACCGTTTTGAAATTGAAATGAAAACCGGCCTTATTTAAAAGATGCAGATTATGACGATGACCTTATATTGGAAGCAGAATATGACGATAATTCATTGTTAGTGTTCGTCATATGCACAAAGTGCCCAATGTTACAGAGAAACACCTTCGTAAACAACTCAAGAGGAAACAACAAACAGGGCTTTGATTGGAAAACTCTGCGAGAAATAGTCAAAAAAAACTAAACTTCATATGAACACAGATCTCCAAAGAATAATTTCAAAGTATCTCACTTGTAGACGTCATTATTGAAAAGAATTTGTCTGCTTTCAGGATGAATTTTGCTTTTCTTTAATGACCCCATCGCATGAATTCTAAAAGAAAAACATTATCATCTCATATAACAAAATATGTTGCGATGGTAAGAACTTGGAACAGTCTAGCTTTGTTAACTAAAAAGCGTTTTAACCGCTACATCAAATTACATCCAATAATTGATTAAAAACACTGAAATACAAGACGTATATACACTTTTGTTGTTTCCCAAAGAAATCTGGGAAACTTTCAGTACTTCAATTGTCATTTAGTCCTCACATTTTCGATCTAAATAGCATGATGTAATTTCTCGTCAAGCTTTCTCATTTTTATTATTCCTCTTTTTTTCAACATATGTCATTTCTAATTATCTCTTCATATTTCAGTTAATATTAATTAATATCAGTTAACATCACTTAATATTAGTTAAAAAACCAGATTTTATCTCAATGCCTCAGATAAGAACTGGCATACTTTGATTGATCATAAATTTCAATTGACAGAGCGAAGGATATAGGATGCAAAAACAGTTGTACAACAGAGGTACTCACATTCGGCAAAAAAGCATAGAATCAATTGCATAGGTCAAAAAGGTTATGATGACATCAAGACAAACCTTCTCAAGATTCTTTCAAGGTCTGGAATTGTCCGCATGATTTCACCAGCTTTCTCCATCAAACTTGATTTGCCCATTAGTTCTTCGACCGCATCAAGCCTGTTGAGCCAACAGTATCGTTAAACATCTTCTCGTAATAAAAATTGGCTTCTATGTCATAAAGTGTATCTTTTGAGAAATAAAAGTGATAAAAAGATAAGAAGTTTTGAATTTCAAAACTGCATAGTTGTTTTAAATTCTGATCACTGGACTAGAATGAACTGGTGATGCATATCTATTGGTCACTCTAACTAGAAAAGCTGACAGATTTATTGCACCTTTTAAGAGGTAAAATGCTAGGATTGATATAGCAAAACGCTGAGAGTTTGGGAAGGAGGACAATTTTGTTTGCAATCCTGACCAACGTTTTGATAAGTAAGCCTGCTCTTGTGTCAAATCAGTAATAAAGAGAAATCGAAACTCTATGTCGAAAGCAAATGAACTGATACTAGCATTAAATAAAAAACATAAATAATGTACTATTATAAATGTGCTGAAAAAAAGGTTCTTCTTTAAGATAAGCAAGACAAAATTGTTAATATAGAGTTGAATGCGGTTATCTGTACCTGGCATTGATACCATCTGGATGACAAAGTGGCGCGCAGAGCCACTGCTTCAGCAAGCGTTTTCCTATTGCAAAAAATCATAAAATTGCAACGATTATTGCTAAAATATTTATGCATAAATTTTTATGCAATATATGAAAACAGCATCACGCACTTGGAGAACAAACGAAAATATATTCAATATTGAAAAGACGTGAAAGATTCATCAGAAAAGAATTTGCAGTATTCTAGAATGTTTCAAGCAACCTTTTTTGATAAGCAAAAGAGAAATCAACAATTCTTTTGATGAAGCATGGATAGGGCTGCATCACTTGAAGGCTGTCTTACACGCATATTCAATTTCTTCACGCCTTTGAATTACAAACATAAAAATTAGAAATCAAAAGATCTTTATTTTGTTACCAAATTTATAGGTATTTCGAGAATCCCGTTACCACGATAATAAGGACAATATAAAATGAAAAATTGCCCAATGAGAATAATTATTCATCATGCATTTTGGTAAAAAAATCTATTAGCGGCTTATTGATAAATATTTTTCCCTTTGTCAAATTTCTGACTCAAATTCTAACAAAGAAGATGGGACTTTAATCAAAAAAGTAATCTAACTTCTTTTAATACTAAGTTGACAGTTGCTTGCAATATTATGCAGATTAAATATAATTCTCAGATCTTCTTGATTATCTCATCTTATGATATAAAAACATAGAAAGCAAAAGGTTGACAGCTCTACCTTAAGTGGTTACAGGTTGATGACTTTTCGGTAAATTATATTTTATACCTTTTTATGCAAATTTGCAACAAAAAATTTATATCAAGACATTATAAAGACAAAACACGGTCAACACCAATAATTGTATGTCAAAACTTTGATATAATAGTTTATCAGCAGCAGTTTATCAATCCTTAACCGAAAATTTTATAAAAGCAACAACGAACAAGCAAAATGGCTCGAACAAATACAACCAAAAAAGGGGCTATATAGACAGATGATAAAACGACTCAAAAAACATAGTAGAAATAAGCAAGCAAGTGAAATATATAATATCATCTTACCAAACGGTGTGCTACAGTGATCAAGCTGTTCCAGCAAAGATCCCTCTATTCCCCCGTCTCCATTACAAACTATATCAAGATTGGCAAGCGTGACTCCATCAAGAATCTATAAAAAATCACAAAATGGAAAAGGTACTATGGGTATTACAACGTCTTTGAAATAAAATAATTATCTCATACCTAAGCGATACAGCTCAGGGCAACTGACGATTCACGATTGAAAATGGTTTCTTATAGAGGGTTCGACTTGTAGGTAATACAATGTGCTTTGTTTACATCATAGCACAAGAATAGAAAATCAGATGTACTTATATGTGTTTTGCTCTGCGTTACCCAGACTGTCAGTAGATCAAAACAAACTAACCAATTTCTGTCTTTTTTCGGGGAAAGAACTAACTTCGCTCGATGGTGAAAGATTGTCCACGGGTATGTATTCCTGTAAGGAATGGAAAATGGTGAGACCAATTCATATATTTCACAAAATGAACTTCATAAAAAGGTGGTAGATAAAGTATTAGACGGAGTTATGAAAAAGGAAGAAAAGATACCCACCTCAAACTGGCCCATTGACAACAACTCTTCTTCGATCAAGCACTTTTTCAAGTACCTTTTGATAGATAGAAAGCGTTATATAAAATCAAGTTTATTGTTATTATTTTTCAAACAACACAGAACGTCTCTAGGTCGAGATGGTCTCTAGCTCAGATACTACAGATGATCAAGATTAATCTAAATGTCTATTAACAACAGGAAAATTAATATTGATAAGATTATGATTTAAAAATATCTCTTTCGGTATAGAACTGTGATTATATATACTGACAATAAGTAAGATACGGAGAAATACAAGGTAACACTGAGGAAAAGAAACAATAGAATTTTAACATATATTTACTCACAGAATGTCCACAAGCTAATATAAATGTGATTATATATATTTTGTAAATGAATACTAAAAGTGACGTCATAAAGATATATCAAAGATTCAGTCATTACCAGGTGCAAGCTCCAAGAGCACTGATTGCCAAACTGTACTCATCAGATGCAGTCAGCCCCAGAGTGTCAGCTGAGATGAAAAATTACAATGATTAATAAGAGTCACGTCAAGTGATTACTATTTGCATAACATGAACAGTGTTAAAACATTGGACATGGGTAGGATAGATTTTAGTGCAAGAAGCTCTAAACTTAAGGTGGGGGGGGGGGGTAGGGGGACATCTGGTTTACATAAATCCAAAAATATACTTGCTATTCACAGACATGGTTCGTATTACACTTTACTTGGAACAGTGATGTCGTAGTTTTCACTCCCTGTTGGCACCACAAAGAAGTTCATTGGAAACTCTTTTCACAGAGCTTAAAACAACTATTCAAGATGAAATTTGAAACACCATAATTAACAAAGACGGGATATATTAAAACTGACCATTTGACAACATTTTCTTGATAACTGGCGGCCAAGACTAAAAGAAAAGGAGTCAACAATATTGTAAAGTGGGAATATTTCAACACAAGACTCAAGCTCAAGAGAGATTTCATGCAAAGTATTGAAGCTTTCATCCGATACTAAAAAGTCTTTATGTTAATATCTTATGAAAATTGCACCTAACGGAAGCTGGTATACAGACACTGGCACAAAATAACAGACAAACACAGGCATAAAAATAGGCTTAATCTACGCAAGACAAGAGTCGCTTAGGGCTCGAGCTGGTGCAACTTTATAATAACATAACGCTCGAGGTATGCTAAAATTTCTAATGTTAATGTGTTCAAATATGTTCATACCTTGGTTGAGTTTTCGCTTGACAAAGAATCATCGAACCAATTATGTTCAGCGAGTTGTTTTAATGTCTTTCCAGAATCCCAAAATTCTGTCCCTAGAAAGGAACACAAAGATGAACAAATTTGTTTGCTCAAAAACTGTTAACATAATCATCAACAAGAGACGGTACTGTATTAAAAACAGCCAAAACGTACCTGGAACTAACGCTTCTTTCAAAGTGGAAACCAGTTCGTGTTGCAAAATGCTTTGGGTCTTGGTGCTTAGGCCACCCCTTTCATACAAGACCTTGGGGAAGAAGCGAATATTTTAAAGCTAAAAGAACCAAAGAAACGTTCACTGGATGCCTTAAAACATAGGAAATCAATTTTACGATTGTTATACAGTATTGCAATAAAATCACAATGCTAACTGTAGGAAGTTTTCAACTGCCAGTTGGAGAATTGATACATAGGGGCATTAGACGAGAAATGCAACTTTATTACTAACTTGTTCCAATTCACTTCAAATTTTGGGTGCACATGGGGTCAACAGGGGTTCGTTTTGGGTTCAATATGTGAAAAGAAATGAAAAAGAATAATAGACACATTAATTTGCATCATTCTAATATTGTATATGGTTTGATTGCAAACGAATTAGTATTAGATAATCTATCCAGCTATTTTTATTTTTCAACTAAATATATTTTACAGTTAGATAAATAACTAAAAATGAATGACAAATAACATGCCAATGGATTTCAAAAGAAAAATTTCAGTGATCAAAATAGAAAACTATTGCCAATGCCAATGCCATATTTTAACATTTTGGAAACAAATTAGATTAAATTTGTAGTTGGAGACATTTTCTACTGGACAGAGAATAGTAGGTGCTTCAATGTAAAAGGTAGATTTAGATTATTACCTCGGCAGGGGGGTAATGAGATAGCAAAGTTCTGAATCTTGATGACTGCCGGTCATCTTTAAACTGGCCAATCTGCAGGGGAAACGAATAATGGAGTTTACATGTAAGAAATAAAAACTGCTTGGAAAAAAGTGGGTTGATAACATTATGCTCAATTATTTGGCAGCACAACTAAATGTATTTTTAAAATTAAACTGGGCACCACAGCATCGAAAAATAGGATAAAGAAGAACAAAATTGAAGAATACTTTAAATACATAAAACATATATAATAAAATTTAGAGCTACAAAATGCTTATATAGTCACACTGGCCTGCATTTTTCTTAAAAAATCTTTTCATCTTGACAAATTAAAATATTGATTTATATACATGGTATATCTGCAAAGCTGAAGGTACTTTGTTGCCTAGCTTCATTGCCTCAGTGCACCTCTTAGCAAATAGAGCGATAAGATCGTTATTCATAATCTATTGTCTGTGGCGGTAAATATGGCAGCAGCTATAATATATTTATTTCTATTATAAATGCCAAAATTAATGAAGCATTACGTGAAATTTCCCAATTGACGTATCCAAGAAGCAGACACCAAATGTACTTTCCGATCCACCATCATTCTGGAAAAAAACATAAACTTTGTAATTCATATTTTGAAATTCAGCTATTTGAGTATATTATAATAAAAACGAAGCTTGTTTTTATATCCGATTACTCGTGCACACAAGGACCTTACTAGACATACATGAAATGGTTAGACACAGGGCGTACAATATCGTGGCCGTAAGGACCGACCCTCCCCTCCAATAATTCTTTAAGATTTGATATTGCCAGTAGCTATGCTAAAATATCCTGGATTCGCTGAAAAAAACTGATTGCGACGAGACCCCTACCCCAACCCCCCCCCCCCCCCCCCCAATCAAAATATGCATGCTACGTTTCCGTGTAATAAAGCTATCTAGAGCTTTCAAGTACCCTGTTTGCAGCATTTGAAAAACCCTGTCGATTAACCAAATATACTTTAATCATAATTTTAGGGACTGACTTTTAACGAACAGCAAAATTAAATGAATAAAACCTTTTCGCAGAAGGCAAATAGAAAAGAAGACTCTGAATCGACAGCTTGCCCCTCCATGTAACTGTAAGTCTTTGTGCCTGTCGAAGAAACAAAGAGATGCAAGTTTAGTCAATACATCTTTAAAAAGACGAAGGCTTCAATCGTAGATGTCACTTCTGTAAAGAAATGTTTTTTTGTAATGTTTTTCATCAGAAAAAAACATGCTTCTGTACAGAAAATTTCTTGGGGGATTAAAGATCAATAAATTATTTTTGAGAAAAGTGAAGAAAAGAGGCAACCAATCTAAATTAAACATTGTACAGGTTTTGGTGCTCAAAAGTTACCTTTAAAATTCCATCAAATTTCCTTGTATTAATAGAGAATAACGATGAAAACATCTGAAATAGGTTTCATCAACTTAATTAAAATTATAGATTATAACAAACATTAAAATCAGTATAAACACATTAGAAGAATAAATCATAGGCCGTTATGAGTGACATCTACAATTTTAGTAGGGAATCAATGACAGAAAACTTTATTAACTGAATCATATTTTCAATCATGTACCTGCATCTATTGATGATTACTCATATCAAAATTTAGTTCTCTGGTTGAAAAAATCAATGGAAAAAACCGCATACAACTCTAATTCGATTGAACAAAGTCGAAAGTTAAAAATAAGATGACAGTAACTAATCCAAAGTTGTTGAATTCCCTTGCAACTGCATAGCTGCATAGATGATTACATGCGTACTGCAATATGTAGCATCGATGAAATCATTGGAGAGCAAACCTTTTGATGTTACTGCCACTAGTTCCCTGGCAACAACTTTTGGTGTCCCCGCTTCTGAAAAATTCAAAGATACATTGAATTCATAAAAGTTTTTATGAAGGTCCTTTTAACAACCAAATTTCCAAATAAAGCAAAACATTTTCTTTGCCAACTGCCTAGGTTTCCATTTTGGCAAATATCCATAAATAATTAAGAGAAGACTTTGATACTTCTATCAATATATTTTATCATAAGGTCTGCAGAAACTTGATATGAAATATAAAAAGGTATCAACATACTCTTGGCACATCTTTCGTTCATCATTTGTGGGGTCTCTGTTTGCTCAACCCTTGCGACTCTGCAGAAAACGAACCAATGGATGACAAAATCATGGAATTTATTTTCCAAAAAAACCTTGAAAACAACTCCAAAAACCAAAACATCTACCGTTCATTTCATGGTATCAGTCTAATTACAATAGCACTTCGTGAAAAATGATTGAGGTATGTAAAACCAGCGAGCTAGAAAAACGTACAAGGCAGAAAGGGAGAATGAGGAACAAGCAAGCTAACGATCAAACAAACAATAAAAAATCGGAGCAATAACAAGCTAATTTTCCCTAGAATTTGGCTTTTTGACTAAGCAAAAAACACATCTCAAACTAACATAAATTTATACAATATAGTATAAAGATTACAAACAATTAAGATAATAAAACTTATTCTATCTTATGCCTTCAAAATAAAAAAAGGAACTAACTTGTAACCACGTTGAACCAGAATGTCTGAGTATCTCGAGAAAGCAATTTCTGGGAAGCCACAATGAGCTGCTTTCCCCTGGTATAGACAATACAACTAATGTATAGAACAACAGAAAACCAAACATGAAAGTCCGAGACTTGAGAAAGATACAATTTGAAAACGCAGTTTTGTAAATAACATTACTTCGAGAGATAACATTGAAAATGTTAGATAAACTTTAATAATGAAATTTATAGAAAATACAGGCCTTTAACTTCATTTTCACTTGTATTCTACATTTTCAATTAAAAGGATAAGTTAATAAAAGATATGTACCCTCATGAAAAGAAGACCCAACTCTTTGACACCAACAACAGCATCCATGTGGTACAGTTCGTAAAACTTACCAAGCTACAATAAAATAATAATTCGATAATAATAATAATGATAAATCAAGCAACACAGGTTTTGGGAATTTGCATAGGCTTTCATATCAAGTATGACTGAGTGGGACTTTTATCATCTCAAAGGCAACATGATCAAAGAACAACACTCTTGCTTTTCAACTCGTGGCATTTTTCAAGAATGCCTAAGTCACGACAGATATCTTCATCCCTTGAAAGTCTTCAATATTCTATTCAATGGCATTTACTCTTAAAAGCAGTTTTTTCTGCTCACCCCTCTTTTTAAAAAACCAAGTTTCAAGTTAAGTTATGAGCTCTAAATACCAATATTGTATTCAGCAAATTTTTGCATCCACCGGAAGTGGGGATCTTTGAAACTACAGGAGATATCGAGGAAATTCCTTTTTAGAGGGTGTGTCTGTAAGATGTCATATCTGTATAAAAAATCTCAGAAGTGAGGCAGCGGGGGTCATGGGGGTAAAATGGCAAAAAGAGGCGCACAGAGAAAAAATTGTTTCGGTCATTCTTGAATATCTCCGCAACCATACAAGGTATTGAGACAAAACTTGTGGGGTAGAGGGAGCACGCACATGGAGCATCTTTTGGTGCAAATTAAAGTTCGATTGGGTGTGGCCCCTACGTCACAGTGACGTAAACAACTGATTATGACGTGACAGAAGTAGACTAGTTGCTTCCTTGTTGTAAAAGCTGTTGGGGAAGCATCACAGACACCAAAAAATTTATTCAAAATAAATTTAGCAAACAAACAAATAAGTGATGAAAATAGACTACCTTAAAGAATAATATGGTGTCGTATAAATCACGTTTCAAATACCACCACTGTCTGAGAGCCTAAAAGAAAATTTCAGAAACTGTTTCTTATCAAAAACCATAAAATATATCCAACTATGGTCTACTAGAAACAATAATAAAATGTTGACTTTATTTTCTATCAGTGTTGACATTGAGCTTCAAAACTTTACACAAAGTATTATGATTCAGCATTTAGGAATTAAAATAGCTTATCACCATCAAAAATTTTTGCAATGCAAATAAGAAACACACAATTACATTGAAACATTTAACAACTTCTGTGGCAAATAACTGAGAGAGAACCCAATCAAATTAACTAAAAGGTACTTTTATACATACTGGAGTCACTTCCTTTGATTTCAAAAATGAATCTGGAATCTTGCATGAAAAAAGGGGGGAAAGAATATTCAGAACAGGAAAAGCATCAAGCAACAAATCAAAAAATTGGAATAGGATTCAAATGATCACAGCCACCCCCAATACTTGTAGTAGGATTTAATTGCTGCTTACATATTTATGACCTAGGCATGCCCAGTATGATGCTAGGTAGATATAAAAGCTTTGAAATTTAGATTAGAGAGGGTTGCCAGAGGCTACATGCTGATAACAATGAAAGTCTTATATGAAATAAATGAGTTTCTCTTGGTTTGAAACTGCCTGTTTATAATTCCTCTACCATATATTTGACCATATCTGCCACTGATCACAACATAGCAATAGGTTCATATCTTGAGAATCTTATTTTGTCAAAGGAATTACTATTGTAAAAATACATAGTTACTTACAAGGAGTGTTTTTTTGTCATAATTTGGATCGGTATGCAACTTTCCATTCTTGTCTTTTCTATGCCCATCCTTTAAAAACTGTAATTTCTCATGATCAAATGTCCTCACTTCTCCAGTGCCAATATCGGGAGCTGGACTTGATGGCTTTGAAAAAGATGAAGAGGATAAATTGATAGAATACACTTTTCAGTGACTTTTTCTAAGTAACATGGTCAACACAACTGAAAGTGCTTTGCCTCTCAACTGAGTGTACTTTATTAATGGCAACCATTTTGGTTACCAACCTGGAAATCTGAAACTGTAATTACAGTGATAATGAAGGAGAATATCATTATATCACTTAAGGCAATAATTTTATGCATCTTACCTCTGCTGAAAACTTTGCTAGAGCAGTCTGTGCTCTGTTGACTGAGCTTGCAACTTTTTCCATTAATGGGGAAGTAGATTTTGGTGTCCCGGTATTGTTAAGATTTTCTTTACCATTTTTCTTACTTCTAATAGGTGTTAGAAAACTCTTTGAAGCTGCTAACTTTTTCTTTGTCTTTGAACCACCATCCTTCAAGTAAAATGCAAAGATCTACCATCAGCAAAAGACTTTTCTTAATCTTTCACGTTTTTTGCACCCTGTTTGAAGTCAGCTTATGAAGGGATCTGAACATCATCAACAAGCTAAACTGGGAAACTCAATCATTACATAACTATATGTGTGCTGATTAAGAAATTCCATCAAATTCATGAAAAAATTTGAATACTTAATTTGAATAATTGCTTAATTGCAACTTATTTATGCAATAAGGATCAAAACAGATTATTAGATTAACTTCATCTCAACCCTACATTACCTCCTCATCATCTGAAATCTCTTCAGCTTCAACACCACTCAACTCATCTTCATTTACCCCACTACTGGCACCATCATCTGAGCTTTCCTCTCCATCTGGTTTATATTCATCTTCTGCAGAAGTAATGCAATCAAATATAAATTGTTAAGAAAAAGTACACAGTTTTGTAGTTTCAAAAACATATGTATAAGAAGCAGAAATAAACTTCAATTATTAAAATACAAATGTTTATTGTGTTTTAAATATCTTTCTTACAATAACAAATGAAGATTAATATACCAGATTCAGATCCAGATTCAATAACTCTCTTTGCCTTTTTTCTCTGTTCTTTTTCATTATCTCGTCTGGTTCTTTTTCTCTTTTCCTGAGAAAGAGTATACATGGCATTCAAAAAAATGTGATATAAAAACAAAATCCCAGTATCCTTTCATATATGTTCAGAGAATAACCATATGATAATAGCTAGGTTTGAAAATGGCAACAAAAAATATTTTTGCAAAGACACCTGTTATGGCGTCAACAGTGTTGATATAGGGTTACAGTGTTCTATCAGATATCATAAAATAATTTGATATCAACTGGAAACAGCCCTATCAATGAACACTTATAATTTGAACACAGAATATATATGTTTAGACTTCGGAACCATCACTAACATGGCAGGTTGAAATTTCAACAGATTGAGAATTCAAAGCAATGAACTTTATTACAAAAGAAATATAAAATACAATATCCCATTGAAATCTTCAAAAGCATAGCAATTTAAATGTGGAAATGTTGTGCAATTTTAGATTTATTGGAGGGTTTATTACACAGCAACCATTTGTTACAAAGTCATAGTGAGCACATTTTTTTATTTCAGTACTTTTAGTGTCCAATAATGACAATGAAAATAAACTAACCCTAAACATACTATACATGAACCTATACTTATTAAGGCATATTATGAATGATTAAGTAAGGTTTCTCATACTATAAATAAATCACATAGCAGCAAGACTTAACTTTGACCATATTATAATTAGCATTTAATCAAAAAACAATGCTTACACTTTTAGGCACTTTTTGATTGACATCATCCTCTTCATCTGCTGACATGATAACCTCGCCATTATTTTCCACAGAGTTCCCTATTTCAAATGAAATTTTTCCATCCTCCTCGTCATTCTCATCCATTTCCTCATCAGATGATGCACATGCATACAGCTTTTCAATCCTTTCATTAGACTTTAATTTCACTGCCTCTAATGCTTCTTTGTATGCACTTTTCACCTCCTCATTGTCATCAGGTTTCCTATCATTGATTCCTTGCAAGTCCCTGTAGAAAAAGAGGTCAAACAGAGTTCCTTATCATGATAGCCCAAAAAAACTATGTAAGAATTATTGAATTTTGACAACATAACAAAAAAGAACCATGAAATACTACAAAACATAAACATTCAGTTAAATGTGTAAAAAACCAGATATGACTTATAAAGGATTTTAAGTTTACCACTGGATAACTGTTATTTTGGATTACTGATATCAAATAACAGAGGTTTGGTTGGAAACACCCCATGCTCATGTTGCCATTTCTTGACACATTTGTTTACATTTGACTGTTTTTTCGTATTTAGAGGTATTTCTCACTGCTCTTTCAGGTTAAGGGATCCAAGGATGTCAGTACATGATAACTCTATTCTGAATCATTCTCCAAATTTATAGATATCTTCAACCATTTGATCTAAGCAGAAATTATTAAAACCTTTCTGCTATTTCAATAATCTCCAGAAATTGGAACTAGTATAGGAACGCTGGTTGATGTCTTATAAATTCCTATACTTTGCTTCTGTTGAATGTGTTGTCGCTTTTAGACTTGATTTAATGTGCAGAAAACACAGAACCAGTAAGCAATGATATCATGTGACCATTGTGTCTTACTGACTAAACTACAATACAGGGTCTCTCACAAATAAAGAGGGGATGCTACAAAAGTGTTCTTGATTATGTTGCTTATTGATTGGCCCATTTTCATTGATAGATGGCTCAAGGCACTTTAGTATCTGCTGATTGTATTTAAGTTTTTTTCCTTGTCAGCCCTAGCCCTCTAGTCTTTTCGGGTAATTTTGAGGTCTAGGCATAGTACCATCAGTCCAGGTCGCTTTTGTACCATCAGTCCAAGGTCGCAGGAATCACTTCATATATATGTTACCAAGTTTAGAAAACAAAGCTGTGTCATCAAAATAAACCCAGAAAATTCACGGTCACATGACAATGAATAAATATTACTTAAAAACAGGATGATTACTCGCTTTTTTGTAATAACAACCCATACACCTGGGGATCATATTGAAATAAATAATAGAATTGTCTATAAAAATATTTCATCATATTCAAACCTTTTCTTTATCCATCCCCTGCTTGGAGGTGTACCAAAAAACTGTACGTGGAGTTCAATGAACTTTCCAACCTTCTTTTCAAGCTTACTAGTGCTCGGATGTTTGCATATCATACTTGGCCACCAGGGATGACCTTCCATTTTCGCCCAAACGATTTCTCCCTCTCCATGAGATTGCACATTAAAAACCGGAGATTTCGGTCCGATAGGTGTTGAGCCATTCTTCTCTTTCAATTCTTTTGCTTGCTCTTTAGGGGATGCATTTGACTTTTTCCCAGCTGTTGCTCCAACTTTCGGTGATTTCGTAAAATATGAAAACAACGTAGCCATTGTCACGTTGTACAGCAAGTTCACGAGGGCGGAATCCTCGCGCCAAAAAGAACCTCGAGATCAGTATCGAGAACGAGTATGGAAAACGGGACTGAGGTTACATCGTGGTCCTGCCTGGCCTAACTAAGCACTTCGTTGTTTTCAAGAAGACAACAGAAAGACGATATGGCAGATAAAAACAGGAATCGGCTACCAAACAACTTGCCGCAGCTGCAGAATCTCATCAAAAGAGATTCATCCCTGTATAGAGATGAATTCCTCCAACAATGGCGTCACTACAAATCGAATATGGAAATTTTCAAGCTTAACCCGACACAAAGCTCAAATACGCTCGAGTCTTTGATGATGTTTATTGCCCACATTTCTTACAACTATCCAGAGGAAACACTTGAATTTCCCCAAGAACTTGTAGATTTGTTAAATAGCAATGGACTTGACATGGATCCCGATCTCAGGAATACAATGTGTCGAGCTTTGGTTATGGTGCGAAATAAGGGGCTCGTCTCTCCGTTGGTTATTTTGCAATTGTTCTTTAAGCTGTTTAAATGCAAGGACAAATTGCTAAGAAGCATGCTATACACACACATTGTTTCTGATATAAAAAGCATCAATAGCAAACACAAAAATAACCAAGTCAACAAGTCCTTGCAAAATTTCATGTTTAGCATGCTTACAGACAGCAATGCAGTTGCAGCAAATATGTCATTAGATGTTATGATTGAGCTCTATAGAAGAAATATATGGAATGATACAAAAACGGTTAATGTTATAACAACAGCATGTTTTTCAAAGATTGGGAAAGTTAGGAGCTCAGCATTGAAGTTCTTCCTTGGTACAGATGCACCAGAAGATGATGCTGATGCTTCTGACAGTGATGATGAGGCAAATGTGCGCAGGCTGTCTTTTGCTGGAAGTGTGTCTAAGAAAACAAACAAGAAAAGGAAAAAAATTGAAAAGGCAATGCTTCTTCTAAAGAAAAAGAAAAAGAAAACAAAGCCAACTAGTTTTAATTTTTCAGCTATCCATCTGATAAATGACCCACAGGGTTTTGCTGAAAAGTTGCTGAAAATGGTAGAAAACTCTCATGACAAGTTTGAAGTAAAGATGATGATTATGAATTTGATTGCGAGACTTGTTGGTATACATGAATTGATTCTGCTCAATTTTTATCCATTCCTTCAGCGATTTCTTCAACCCCACCAAAGAGAAGTCACAAAGCTACTTTCATTTGCAGCCCAATCATGCCATGCACTTGTCCCACCTGATTTGATTGAAACAATTATCAAGGTTATTGCAAACAATTTCATAACAGAAAAGAACTCCAATGAAGTTATTGCTGTTGGTTTAAATGCAGTGAGAGAAATATGTATCAGGTGTCCTTTGGCTATGACAGCAGATTTGCTTCAAGATTTGACAGAGTACAAATCTTCAAAAAGCAAGGGAATCATGATGGCATCAAGGTCATTGATACAACTTTTTAGGACACTTAATCCAGAACTCTTACATAGAAAAGACAGGGGAAAACCAGTACTTGATGCTGAGGAACAAATGGTAACAGAATATGGTGCAAATACTGCCAGAACATTTGTGCAAGGAGCAGAACATTTAGATGAAGAGGCTGATGAGGAGAACAGAGATGAAGAAAATGATGGATGGGAAACAGATGAAGGTGATGAAGATAATGATGATGATGATTATGGAGAATGGGTTGATGTGCATCACAGCTCAGATGAGGAGAGCAATGTAGAAGAAGAAGAAGAAGAAGAAAATCCAGAGGAAAAAGAGAAGCAAAAGAAGAAAGCAGAATTGATAAGTCACACCAGGATTCTAACTGATGAGGACTTTAAGAAAATAAAAGGAAAGGAAATAGTCAGACAAGTTGAAGGCAAAACAACAAGAAAACGAAGTGCCCCATCTGCTGATTTATTCAGTAATAAAGATGAAATAGTAAAACTAGATAATATTGAAATGGTGTATAAAAGGCCAAGGCATGACAAAGAGGCCAGATTATCAACAGTATTAGCTGGTAGAGAAGGTAGGGAAAAATATAGCATGCCAAAGAAGAAAAGGCAAAATGAATTTGCAAGTACAACTAACAAGGAAAAATCAAAGAAAAAACCTTTCATGATGATATCAAAAAGCAGACAAGCTAAAGGAAAGAAAAAGAGATCCTTCAGAGACAAGCAAATAGCCTTGAGAGATTCTTTATTAAAGAAACAAAAAGGAAGGTTTTAAATCTTTAACTTTACAACATACATGAAGTACATATATATATTCAAATTACCTTTTAATACTCATTATGACAATGGTTGAACTTCATATATTGATTTGGCAAATTCTGTATTTTGCAAAATGCTACCCAAGCATCAAATAAAGTTGTGTTTACCTTTCTTACCAAGTCTATGCTTCTTAAGTATTTCTGAAGATCATGAGGTTTTTATGAACATTTCTTTTCTTATCTACAAAGAATGTCTCCTTTTGAGGATTCACATATTCAAACCTTTTCTTGTATTGATCCAAGATATTGGGTTAAATTGCTGTTCTGGGTTCAGGTGCGTCATGGTGAATGAATTCTAGAGGGGGCCAGAAAGAAGAATTTTCTGACAAAATTTCATTGATTTATTTTAATCAAATAGAAGCATTTCAAATCATAATAGTGTAGGGGGGGACACATAACCTTTGCCAAAATGCACTTTTATTTTACTGTGAAATCTCTGACATCTTGCAACCCTATAGATTGGTAGATTAGAACAAGAGTGGAATAAAGATACTGCTTCTAGGGGCAACATTTTTTAATCTTAATGTTTCAAGTTCAACAGAAATTGCATTCTTTAGAGCAAATTTTGATAATAAAATTTTATTCTTAAAATTATCCACTGGCGGAGAGCGATAGTATTGACAGACTTCCTTATTTTACCTTATGGAACATAACTGCATTAATTTTCAAATTTAGGGCAAAATTTTTGAATCTGGTTATAGGCACAAAATTGACAATGTCCCAGTCTCCAATATCAAATAGAAATATTATTTATGACCAATATTGCAAATTTCCACAACCAAATTTGGCCCTTGAAGATTCGGATTTCAACTGACAAAATACGAGCAGCTAATTACTCTATCATAGAAATCGGTAAATCCTGAGAAATCATTTTGTTTTTGTGGAAATCTAGTATTATCTTTACAGTGAATTGCTTGAGAAAATTGCTTCTCGATTATACGGTAAGAATTTTGGTTCATGTCGCTAAAAGGTTCCTTTCATTTCTCTATTTACCCACAGCTCAAATCTGAGAATTTTCCAACATAACAATGATTTTTTCAAAAATCTGTCAATTTTCAAGGCGGGGGGGGGAGGCCACGGTCCCCTGCCCCCACGGCCACGACGCCCCTGGTTGGGTTAACTAACTCTAAAGAAAATTATTTCTACAATGACTCTGGCCAAACTGAAAAAAATATACTACACAATAACTACATCAGTAATATACTACACAATAAGAGAGAAATTTAAAACTGGTAGGCGACAAAAATTGTCTGCTTGCAGGGGACGTGGGAAAAGGGGAAAATTCCTAGGTCCAATTTTTTACTCCCCCTTTGGGAAATTCTCACTGGGAACAGTTTTCGCAGAGGCTGTTACAAAAGGGTGTCTTTTTGTTTCTGAGGTACAAGTAACGAGTTGGATCATAATATGCTGATAGCATAATCTTGTGGTTTTTGCCTATAATCCGCCAACAATTTGTGATATTTGAGTTTTGGCCCTATGCTTTGCTAAATGCATAATGAGTGCAAGTTTCCAACCCGGAAAGGAGGGCCGCTTCAGGGCCTCTGACGTAGGGTACTTGTTCCCCACTTCTGCAAAACAATAAAGTTTTTGAGAATATTATTTAATGGTTGTTAAATTTCCCCCCCCCCCCAACCTTTCCAACTTGCGTCGGAGCCCAAGCGCTAACCTGTGCTCAAGACTCCTCTGTGGACGCTCATTTCAAGGGTAAAAAATTCTGCATAATTCTGCAAGTTGTGGCTTTGATTGTAGGTGAAAGAAAAAAAGTAAATTTTTCTGTTGTAACAGTTTACAAATGTCAAAATTTTAGTACAAGAGTTAGGAAGAGTAAGGACGAAAGCTGATGCCATATTTGGAGTTGTCTTATTGGGTTGTACCACGTGACGATATCAAGTAGGTTCCGCCTTCTCCTTCCAAGTCCTAGCAAGATGGCTGCCACATCACAATTAGAAAGTCTTGTAACACGCCTAGAGCAAGTGACGACGCGGCTTGAAAATGTCTCTCTCAAATCAAAAGGAACTGGAGGCCAAAGTGCAGTCATAGGTATTTTTAAAAGCGTTGCACTAGTCATTTTTTTCTTCATTTTGATCGATTTCTTTTACTGTTGACAGCTTCCTGATATGGGCCTACACGGCATAAATTCCGTTTTCATAAATTATAGGAAGGGTATTTAATGTTTATATTAATTTTTCAAGACTTTTCGGCTAAAGTTTTTAATATTTTTCACCAATTCTAAATAAATATAGTGAAACTAGGACATTTGTAGTAACGATAATTTGTTAAGCAATAATTTTAGATCCGTTTTTTGACAAACTGAATGGATGCAGGAAATGCAATTGTCACACCCTCTCCTCTATCGCGCAAGCTAGTAGAACAAACCTTTTTACATGAACTAAATTCGCACTAATAATATTTGTTTCAACAGATATAAAACCTTTATACTAACTTGCTGTCCTTTTGCTTGATGTATACCATAGCAGAAAAAAATTTATTCATGAAAGTTTGTTGTCAGTGTCAACGGGCTTAGCGTCGGTTGGATACAAAAAGAAGAAGCTATTTCTCAAAGATAATAGGTTTTTTACAAATTTTCTTAATCGCTTTTAGTTTTAAAAACATGTCCACCCTCTTCTGAGCATCTTAAGAACACTAATAACATATTATCTCTTAAATTAAGAATACTTATAATCTGACACACCTCCTAAGCAGGCACAAAATAACTTTTGCATCAAACGGTACACATAAAGAGAATTAAAGCTTTGAGTTGGCTCCACCTAACTGAAATTTTTCAGGTAAAGCTCCTTCACTGCTGAGTTAAACCTGATTCTTCCTTTACTGTGACCCTCTACTTGCAACAGATTTTGTCAAATAGAGCAGAGTTCAATCCTGTCTGTTTCTTATTTTTAGTAAAACTTTGACAATAAAAAATGTTACCTTTTATCGCCTCAGTTTTTAAGGCATCAATGATTAACTCAGTTTTATAGATATTCTAATTGTTTCTTGCTACAGGGCAGTGATATGGTGCAACAAATCAAATTTGACTGTTGCTATGTATTGTGAACCAAACTGAAAACAAGTTTTCAAACTTAGTTTGTTATTCACATTAAAGATTATTATACATACACACATACATACATTGTTATTGTTATGGGCTTACATGGATCACATTTTCCATTTTTTTTAATGATATGCTTTTAATCTTTTGTGATTTTTCCCTGTTTGAGAAGTGCTTAATATTGTAATTGTACTAGGAATGAAATATATTTCTATACTCTATGTTTGATGATTAAATTAAAATGATGGACAGTGAGCATCATGTGTTCTCTAGTTTTCTCAAACACTGCATGCTTTTCAACTTTTGCATTCTTTAAATGAAATGTGTGTCTACATAATTATTTAACATACCTCTGTCAATGCAACAACAAGTAAAATATGTAAAAGCAAAAAATGCAATAAATGGTCATTGAAGTAAATTTGCAATCCCTTTCTTTCCCAGATGATGTTCCAGAATTTGTAGAGGAATTTGACCAGGTACTTAATTTCATTAGTTTTATGATGTCTATGTAATCTTAAGCTTTACGCATTGTTATTATAATAATTATACCATAGTGTACTTATTTTAACTGAAATCAGATGTTCCAGATTTTTGGATAATATCAAAAAATGCCCTAATTCATATCTGAATATTTTTATCAAAATTTCCAAGCACTAAAAGTGATACAGTCAAATTTTGAAGCCATGCCAGTATTTTTATGTAAAACCTTTACGTATTTGTTTACAGGGCTTTGCCTAGACCTCACAAGAGGGTTTGTAAAGTCTCCAGAACTGTCAGCTCTTTCTGAGTTGAACAGGTGCAATATGGCTTAAATTTTTTAAATCTGTTTAAATACCACAACAGCTTGATCCATGAAAATCTCTTATTTCAGTTCTCGAAATTAGAACTTATTTGTATATTATAACATATTGTATTTTATAGTTTTTTTCTAATTTTGTTGCTTAGTTTCTTGGTGGAACTGTTGCAAACTACATGAAACTTTCATCAGAAATTGGAGATGATGTTAAAACACAGGTACAACACTATCTGGATTTCTTCTAATCTTTTATTTTTAACATAGCCTAATTTTAAAAAATCAGCTATAGGCTTTCAATGATAACAATTGTCATTAGGGTTGCTAGTGGGCCTTGTACTGTAAGGTACATAATGGAACACCTGCACCTTGTCACAAATGAAATTTTTCAAAATGCAAAACTCTTCACTTGCCTTGTTTGAAATTTATTCATTTTGACTGATATTTTACAATTTTTTGGCAAAGATTAAAGCAGCTAGAATGAAGTTGAAAAAGACAGCTTAAGTTTTCTCTTTCTAAGTGTTTGAATCTCCCTACGCAAGCTATATGCATGTGCAAAAAATTAAACATGCTTATAATTAGATGAGATGGCCAATAAAAGTGTGTATTAAGGAAAAAATGCAGGATATCCTGTTAGTAGGTTTCTGTGTATCTTGCAATGAGTAGTGATTTGAAAAATAAAAAGGAACTTATTTTGTACTATATACTGTTTGACTTGTTTGTTACATTTCACTCTGATGAAGCCCTGTATGCTGGGGCAAAATTTTAGTATTCATATAATTCAATTTATTTTTAAATTCTATTTCACTTCATTGGATTCTCATCATCTTGGTGCTTTGTTTCTGACTAACTTTCAAAGATTTGAACTTTGCTAACAAAATACTGTTGTTATTGCTTTATTCATAAAGTTATGAACAGGAACCAAATCGCAATGATTTAATGGAGAATGAGCCTGTGTTTATGTGGTCATATCCTGCTTCTCAGCCAATTTATACATATTTAGCTTATTTTGTACATTTAGATGTATTATATGACACTATTCAGTCAAGTGACCCAAATTTAAAAAAATAGTTATATTTAAAAAATAGCTAGTCCCTAAATCTAGTTATTTAGTTAAAACTCACAAATCTTGTTGATTCACAAGGCTGATTTGGTTGATGGTGTGTTCAAATTACAAAGGCAATTTTTACTGGTAGCTGGAAAGCATAGCATGCCTTCACAGGTTTGTCCTCTGCTATATATTATACATCATACTTGCCTAGTTCATTTCAGATATTATGGGGAATTGAACAGTATCGAGAAAGAATTAACTAGCATCTTTTGTAGGGGTTTTTTGTCAAAGAATGGTGAAATCAATGATGAAAACTGACAAACAAATATAAAATTTTTGCACAACTGAAAATCTTCATTTCCACTATTCTTATGACATTTGAGATTCTTATGATCTGAGACATTTGAGATATTTGTGATAAAACTACTGATAATATATAAAGTATTTCACTAAAGCCATTACTTCATGAGCATTTCAATTTTAAAATTACTAAACATGGAGTTCAATTTTTAATTCCCTTTTTGTTTAAGGATGAATTGATGAAACTCCTCAAGCCAACATCTGAAAAGATAACAACAGTTCAGGTAAAACTGTTATCCAATTTTATCACAGTAACTTACCATTGTGGTTTGTCTGTTGAAATTTTTTCAAGAAAACATTAAACTTCTGCTGTTATGAATTTTAATCAACCCCTTCTTTTAGGAATTCAGAGAAAAGAATCGGAAATCAAAATTATTTAATCACCTTTCCATTATAAGTGAAGGAATACCAGCTTTGGGTTGGGTGGCTGTGGTAAGTTTTTGGTCTGTTTTGATGGAGTTGACTATGAATTCTGGATAAAACATTACAATCAATATAAATGTATATCACCATGTTCATATATGTCATATATTCATTATTGTCTTTGGTAAGCCAATTCAAAAGGGAGAACTGATTATTGTGGCATCTTTGATTTGATTTTCAAATTTCTATAAGAATTGTTCTCTAAACATACTATGGTTATCTATTGCTATCCAAAATAATTCCCAATTATGAACTTACAACTTCAGGTTTTCTTTGCTTTGTCAATTGAAAGGTACCTTCAACTTTCTATGTTACATGACACAATTGGCTTTGTTAATTAGATGTGATCATCTGCATTTCATTTCATGCCCATCCTCTCATGCTCGCAATTCCGTTATTCTTTATCACCAGAGTCCAAAGCCTGCAAATTACGTAAAGGACATGATTGAGTCAGCTCAGTTTTATATCAACAGAGTTATTAAGGATTACAAAGAAAGGTAAATATACCAGTTTCTGTAGCTGAAATTGATATCAAATCTGTATGAAATGACCCATTATACATAGGTACTATTAATTTGTATTTGCCTATTTTTGTTTCATTTATGTAGCAACCCAAAGCATGTTGAATGGGCAAGGTCATTTCTCAAGATTCTAACAGACCTGCAAGAATATGTAAAACAATATCATGGTATTGGTGTGTTTTGGAACAAGGAGGTGAGTGTTCTCTGATTAACTGCAAATCTTTATATAAATAGTTTGTTCCATTGATCAGATGGGTGATCAGAAAACTTTGGCTATATGATATTTTGGAAGCAGTGAATTGAGTTGCATATGAAAAGCAGTGTTCTTTGATGCATTTCTACTGGAGCTGCAGGTATATCATGAAATGTTGTGCAATGTTATTGAGATTCACTTCAGGATTAGGATTGCCATTAACAAGATTGTCATCATTTCAATGAACAATACACCATGGTTTATACCAGGGTGTATTTATACCAGGGTTATACCATTTATTACAAACTACATGCTAATAGAAAAAAAAACCACTTTGAATTATTCTTACACATTAGTTTGACATATTTTGTTTTTGGTAAAAGCTTCCTTTTATAAATTTTTTGCCTCATTATATCAGGGAACACCAGCAACATCAGGGGCACTCCAAGGAACCCCAGCAGGTGGAGCAGCAGCCCCAGCAGCCCCAGCAGCCCCAGCAGCGCCACCTGCAGGAGCACCCCCTCCACCACCACCACCAGCAATTGACCCACCAGCACCTGCACCAGCAACTTCAGGTGGCAGTGACCAAGCAGGGAAATCAGCTTTGTTTGCTGCCCTGAACAAGGGTTCTGATATAACCAAAGGTTGGTTTTATTACAAGCAGTCTCTCTTTATTCTCCGATACATTCAAAGTAAAATTGTAGCCTTTCCAATTTACACTTAGTTGTTTCACCTAAAAATTAGGGTCAGCGGTGCTCGTCGGCAAACCATGCCGATCAAATTACTTCAACAGGCACATCTGAAAAAGTGGTCTTAGATAGGCTTGCTCAAAGTTTTCAATTGTTTTTAAGAATTTCAAGAAACAATTCAGCTACAAGTTTCACCATGTTGATATTCAGTTAAATGAAAGTGATTTATGTAGCAAAACAAGAATAATAGATTTTCTGACAGCAAGAACAAGATTTCCAAAGATCTTGATATGACTATTTATTCTGTTTTTGTTGCTGCAGCAATCTATCGGTCATTGATTGAAGGCTTCCGTGTAAAAAAGTCAGAACAAACTACCAATCTGGGTGGAGCGTGCAAGAGATGGAAATTGTGATTGCAAATACTAAAATACTAAAATGCTGTTAATGATCCAAATATTAAAAAGCTGAAAGTATCCTTAATTAGTGTATAAAACAATATCAAGCAATAAAACCGACTGCCATTTTGTTCCTTGCTTGATTAAATTGAGGACACAATCGCTGCAAATTTTCATTTTTTGTCATAAGCTAAAGTTTGTTTAAACTCTATTATGCTATTCTTGTTGATAAATGTGAATAGCATAATAGCATGTGATGCAAATGAAAAAAATCTTGCAGGCAACTTTTGCAAAACAGTTTATGCTCACAAGCAAAAAAATTTTAGGGAGGTCTGGGTTAGGTGGCCTTCTTTACTTTCTTATGTGGCCATTATATGCTGCAGGTAGTTTCCTTAAAGAATCAGAAGAGAGCCTGTTATTTGCCTTCTTAAGAATAACCAAGCCAACAACCAGATATAGAACATGATTTATTCACACATATTTTCAAAGGATCCTGGTTGGTTATGTTTTTGTTTAAAGCCTTGAGAAAACAAGTGAATCAGGCTTTTTTGTTGTAAGGATGCCATTGACCTGCACCTCAATCCCGGGAGTACCTAGCAAAATTATTTGCATAGGTCGATTACTGCCCTCTCAAAAGGCATCCTGTTTGCAAGAGACACCTCAGTGGCATAAGAGAAGCAGCAAAGTTGACACTGACATGAGGCACCCTTCGTTTGAAAATAAAGTCCAACAAAAATGAAAAAATGCAATATAAACAGTCCATCATACGCTTAAGCACGCAGGCAGTCCATTGCCCTTGCACCAATTTATACCCAAAATGGTCTCTAAATTAACCATGTTTTCTATGCTGCAACACCTTACAACATTAGATTCCTTCTTTAGATCTTCCTTAGATCATCTCAGAGATCGCGACGCCATGATACAAGTGGGGTAAAAACCGCAAAAAATACAATGGTTGACTTTATAATTGAAATTTGTGAGTTCCCCTGAAGCTCAAACAAGGTCCAATGTTAATCAACGAAACTCAGGTTTTATTCTAAAGTAATTTCTCTATTCTAAAGAAGTTTCAAAAATGTAAAATTAAAAGCGCCCTTATCCGCCATTAATTGTTCACCGGTTGGTCCATCTGTGGGATTGGAACTTGCTTTAGAATTCCATTATTGCGTCGCGAACTTCAAGATGGTCCACAACATCATGTGATAATTGAAAAACCTCTAAAGATTTGTTTATTTTCAGGCCTAAAAAAAGTAACAAAGGATATGCAAACGCACAAGAACCCTAATTTACGTGGAGGTAGCACTGTGCCTGCAAAGTCAAGTGCTACAATAACAGCACCCAAACCATTCAAGCCCAATGCTCCTGTCAAAAAGCCACCAGTCATGGAGCTCAGAGACAAGAAGTGGATTGTAGAATTCCAGGAAGGAAGAAAAGATTTGGTTATTTCTGAAGTAAACAGGAACCAGACAGTTTATGTCTACAAGTGCAACAACATTGTTTTGCAAATTAAAGGAAAACTCAACTCTGTCACGCTTGATAGCTGCACAAAATCAGCTGTTGTCGTTGATGACCTTGTTGCAACTTGTGAATTTGTCAACTGCAAAAGTGTTCAGACACAGGTATAAATTTAAATTTTTGTTGTCACGTTTACAGACGGCTGAAGTTTTCAGTTGATGTAATACTAGGTTGCATGTACGCACTAGCAACTTTTAATAACATGGTCAGAAATTCAAAAGAATTTATTATCATTGGAATTTATCAATAGTATCTTTCTAGGAGACATTTAATTTTTTGGTTTTATGATAAAATTGTTCTATTCAGAAACTTTGAAGGGTCAAGCATACTAGCAACTTTCCTCCTTCCACAAACAATGTCAAATCCTAACCACTTTTAGTTGTTGTAAACAATGAAATAGAAATTGAATTTTCATATTTTTGTGCCTATGAGCAGCACCACCCACTCTAGTAAAGGCCTCTCTTCTCTATACTTACATTTAATTGTTTCAGATCAACGGAAAAGTGCCAACAGTTTCAATTGACAAGACAGATGGGTGCCAAGTTTACCTCAACAAAGATACCCTTGATGTTGACATTGTGACAGCCAAGTCATCAGAAATGAATGTTCTCATACCTAACAGCGAAGGAGAATTTGTGAGTGATGTCACTTCTTACTGTTTGCCTCTCCCTTCTCCTAGACCTTTTGCATACCTTTCTGCAAAGGGTACCATTTCATACTGTTTTTCCCCAAATGTTTCTTATTATGATCTAATTACAGGGTAATCTGCCTGCACCAAGACAACCAGCAACCTGGTTTCAAAATCTCTATCTTGGCAAAATTATATCCTTTTGATGTATAAAACAGGAAGGCTTAAGTTGCTACTCAGAGTTTCACACCTAATGCGATCATCAGGCCACTTTAACTATTCGAAGAACCATCCTGCTCTATACACTAACACCGTGCACAGCTCTGCCTTGTGCTTATACGGCATCAAGCACTTTATGACAGACTGTTGACAGAAATAGGCAAAATTATGATAGAAGTTCTGTCAAAAAGTATCCTAAATATTCTGGTGAAATAAGCATGGCTGCACAATTTACTGCGCTTTCACTGGTCTGACTAAGCTTTTCTTGCCGACTTCTGTAGAGGGAAATCAAAGTTTGAAAGCATCATCGAAATGATTAATTTCTTTTGATAACATTTAATAATTCATGTATGGTTCGTTCATATGATTTACTTTCCATTTTGTCTTACATTTAGGTCGAGTACGCACTTCCAGAGCAATTTAAAACAAAGTGGACGGGAAAAACACTTAAAACAGGTGTGCTCGACATAGCTGGATAGAACATTCTCACTGGGCAGTCTCCTTTGAGTTATGAAAAGGCTTAATCTAATCTACTGTATTCGGGATTAATGTTAAATCGTTAGGAAAAAGAACATAGTTTTCTTATCTTGATCATCGTTTTATTCCAACAATCTTTTCTAATGAAATTCGATTTATTTAAACCAAGCTTGTACTTTTTGCCACACCTCTCTAGAAGAAGTTGCTTGCAAATTGCGCATTCGATTACGTCGCTGGATAGGCCTAGGTCGATTAATTTTGTTTTTCAATCGATTTATCTCGTATTTTTAATACTTCCATGGAAAGAAATATCTTACAGAAGAACTTGGACTGAATTTACTGATGTACAAAGGAAGGGACGGATCTCCATTGTGGTAGCTTAACACTGAGTGAAAAATGATGAATGATAAATTCATATATCAGAAAATATTTTCACTTGGCTGCCGTAAAGATGATTTCTAAACCCACAGTAGACTTAAAATTTCAATCATGTTAGCTTGAATGATTTAGTTGACTTAAGCTCGAGACAAGAAAATAAATTTAGAAGTAGATACAGCCCAGCTTTCAGCTTTTAACACAGTCTCTCAATGAACACAGACACGTTAGTAGACGGAAAGCCAAGCTTGAGCACCATCTTGCCTTTGATACAAGCGTTTCAAAACTCTTATATCAAATTTATTAATCTTTCATCCAAGGTGGTCTTAACTGTAGCAGACCGATAGGTTGTTTTGGGATCGAGCCTTGTATTATATTTCGGTAATATCTAGACTGGGCCTATTGTGCATTTTGTTAGATGCCGAGAAACGTGTAATTGGCACCAGTTTCTTAGTTTGCTAAATATTGTATAAGATTCAAAATATTTGTTGCAGGAAATGGTCTGGGAGGGAAATATATCATCCACTTTGAATTTACCATCATTCCTTTAGAATTCGAATGTGGGCAGGGGTAACTCGTCCCCGTGACAGGGGTAACTGCTCCTTGCGGCGCACTAAATTGATGTGGCAATGGTTTCAAAGGTAGCCCTCATACTAAACCCAAAAGTTCTCGTTTGAAATGTGAGTTACTCTGTCTGTCCAGCAGATGAACACGCGTGAATTGACTAGGAAAAATACGCGGGGGTTAACCTTAGAAGAAAATGCTAGGGATGCGTCTACCAGAAAAAATCCATGACCCTATCCTGGAATAAAATTCTGAAAAGATGATGTCTTCAATCGGCATACATGTGCCGGAAAAATATAGAGAGAGAAAGAAAAGGTATAGCCCTGTCACGGAATTTAAGGTTGAAAGTGACATCCTGTTGGAAGGCACATTCCCAGTGGATAGTCAATGTATTAAGATGGCACATCACCAGGAAAAAATGACGCATTTTTATTAGATTTCAGTCACAATATTTTGCATAAAAATTAAATGACACAATATTCTGCAGAGGTTTATAAATCGCTGCGTTGCATCTAGAACACCGGGAGGAGGAGCTGTATCACTCACATGGCCTGAATCCAACATGGCAGCGAAATCGAAATTCTGGCCTGTCTTTGAGAACCTATGTTTAAGTGACGTAAACACGAAGCCTCATTATGTATTGCATTTAATTAACATAATTCGAGAAGAAAAACCCTTAAAGGTATGATTTTTGAATTGATACTGCTGACAAACTTTTCTGGGTAACGAAATCACAAGGTGTTTGTTACATCGCGTAACGAAAGTGAAGGCCTATTTTCGGACGATTATTTGGACGCAAATACTAATAAACGTAGATATGAAATATCTAGATGTTATGAGTATGAAGAGAGAATAGGCATTAATGAAAGCATGTCGAGGTCTAGAGAGAAGACACCTCATCTTCAGAAAACAGGAAAGTACAGCAGTTTCCAAAGAGATCTCGGGTGTGCAAGAGTGCAGAATTTCAAGTGTGCGAGTTTTTACACTTTGGTATAAGTGTGCACTTAAGTTTTGCACATTGATGTGCAAAATTATGCTAGATATCAAGGATATCAATAGTGAAGCGAAAATGAACCAAGACTGAAAATGTACATGATTGATAGTTATTTTGTTGTCAAACCAATGGAAAATTTGTGTGAGAAGGAAGAATCGCATCATAGGCTGTGTGCCGGATTCTGTGTACTTGCAATGAGTATAATATAAAAACGAGGATAACATTTAAAAAAAAAGCAAAACAGCGACAAGAATCCAAATGTTATAATATAAATTCTCAAAATGAATAAAGCGAATATTAATATTTCACCTTGGCATACAGGGCTTCATCAGAGTAAGTGAAACAAATGAGTAAATGAATTTGAAATGTGAGATGGTGATGCCAGATTGGTGAATGTTGAATGGTGTGAATGCAGTGCAGTGGAGAGAAAAAATGGGATGATGTAAATTGGGAGGGAAGGGTAGTACAGGCCTGGCCGTTTGTATTTTTATAGGTGAGCTGTGAATTGCTCCCCTCAACAACAATTCTCTTGCAAAAAAATCTTTTTGTTGCACAGAATTTGAAAATGGCTTTGAAAAACAAATTTTGAAACAAACCTAAGTTATACGTCTAGCACTCTTCAGAGAATAAAATGTCAGAACATAGATGGAAAACTCTACGCTAAAATACCCAGTTTTGGATCGAATGCACTTCATGTACTGTTTAGGAGAGCAATTCATAGCTCGCTTCAGGTTGCGATGGGAGCGTGGAGGCAAGCGCAAGCTATCAAACGGCCAGGCCTGGTAGTGGGTGATGTGAGAAAATGTGGGTGGTGCTGTAGAGATATTATAATATATGATTATCTTCGCCGTTTGCTTCGTTCCTGAATTTTAAATTACTTTGATTGTGTGGAAACTTGATTCTTCATTTGCCCTAAGCAATAAGACACACCAATGTCATGCCCAGATCTCAAAATGCCATACTCTTCACCAGGTTTGCAGGAATATTTTTGAAAAAATATATGGGGTGTGTACTTGCCATACTTTGCAGTCTGTACCTTGAATAATGTTTATTGTTAAGAAATTTTGTTTTCATATTATGCTAGGGCCTTTGCCTGCAATTTTGAAACTTCTATCCTGCTATTTTTGACCATTACTTCTCAATATTGTAGAATAAAGAAAATGCTAAGGAATTTGCTCAGAGAATCAAAAAATGGTTTGTGTCAACTGATGAGAGATGGGTGGCATTATGTTTTATGCCAAACTGTTTGAAATACTTTGGTGCAGAGTTGGTGCAGCAAAATGCAGTTTTTTGGATGAAATCTCTGGTGCAAACCTTCAATTCTAAGCCAAGAGGACAGATTTTGCAGCTGGTATTAGACTGTGTTCATAAACTGCTTCCTTTATCTGTTGAATTTGATGACATCTCTAGGGATTTTGCTTTGAATCTTATTCACCCGTTTTTAACCACTTTAACATCATACACTAATTCAGAGACAGAATTTTTAGAGAACAGATTAATGGTTTACAGACAGAGCATAATATGTTACCCTGGCCCAACAGGACGGTTCAGAACCCATATTGAAAACCACAGCCTGTCACTGATTGGTCATAACATAGATTCTGTGAGATTGAAAGCCTCTAAATGCTTAGCAGTCATACCACAATGTGGGACTTCAGGGGAGAAAGGCACCAAGTTTGCAGAATTCTGGAATAAGCAATTTGGTTTAACCTTGAATACAATAAAAGAACTTATTGAGGGTTTCTTGCTGTCCAAAGATGAGAAAAGTGCCAATCAAAACAGTCCCAAATTAACTTTGAAGCTCCCAAAGATATTGCTTGCACAGCCACATCACTCAATCACTCTAAGCAGACAAATTACAAGTCTGATTTTGGTCCTTGAGGAGATGCTGACTTACAAGTTTCCAAGCATGGTAAACTTAACACTACAACCTGTCATTTCACTTTGCCTTAAGATCTTTAGCAAACAAGTAGATTTAGAAAACAGTTCTATTGAAGGTGCATGTGTAAATGTCATCTTGCCACAATTGTGGGGTGGCTGTTTATCACTTATGAATACTATTGTTATACAGATTGGATCACTTGCCTTACCCTATCAAAGCAGCATAAGTAACATGGTTTTTGAGACATTATCATTTGCACAAAAAGATGGTAAAGCCTACTACAATGAGCACCCAAGAATTAAAATGTGTGCATATAAGCTAATGACAAACTGGATAACTTTCATCGGAGAAATAGACAGAGAGGTCATTTCAAAGATTATTGATTTGATCTTTCATGATATCAAGCAAGTGATGGACAAGGAGAACTCTGTTACAAACCTGGCTAGCGTGAAACAAAAGAAGCAGAAACATGGAAAGAAACTGCAGGAAGATATTGTCGAGAGTGCAATGGCTGGAAAGATGGTTGATAGAACAGAAAATAGTGATATTGCCATGGCTGCTTTAGACCTGTTAGAAACCTTGATCAAGACCTCAGGATCTAGAATGATGCTTGAAACTATCCAAAAAATTGAAAGTTTTGTGTTTTGGTGTGTATTGCAATATCAGAGCCATTGAGGCAAGCTGCCAGCTCCTTTCCAGCTCCGTATGGAAGTGCTCAGTGTAGAAAGCAGATACTGAAATGTGCCTTTTCATTGCTAAATCTTTATCACCATCAATTGCCTACACCTGCATCAATGTTTATCAGCATTTTCCGATACTGTTTAAATGATCCATCATCTTCAGTTTCATCAGACTGTAGACACTACTTGTATCTTTCTGACAAAATCCTTCACCCTTCAGTGCCTGCACTGAGAGTATATGAAAAAAGCAGTGGAGCCAGTATGTTCAAGACAAAGTCTACTGGCTTTTTAGGTGAAAATTCTTCTGTTGAGTTTGTTGATATTCAAAACAGCGTCATCCCAAACCTTACAAGTTATGCAAGTAGTAGAACAGAACTTACAGATACTTCACTCAGTCGTGAAATTGATAATTTGGAAACAGCAAGAGATATTTGCGACACATCTTCTGAAAAGGTATTCTCGTTAGTTAGTAGCAATATTCCTGTTTTGGAAAGTTATACAAAATCTAACTCTGACACTGAAACAAAAAAGGAAAGTGTGGCTGAAATTGAATCAGATGTTTGCATGGAGACTGAGGATGAATTTCCTGCTTCTGCTCCTCAGCAAGATCTGTCATTTGAAAAGGCTAAGGTTGTTGTTGAGAGTTTTAGAGATGAAATCAAAGAAAGAATTTCTGATGGTCACCCTGAAAATGATGGGTTTGAGGCAAAACGCCCAAAACTAGATAAAGGATTGATCGATGACAAAACAGAAAATAATCCTGAAATGCAATTTGAAAATTCTATTCTGATTAACAAGGTTGGTATAGATGGAAAGAAAAATGCAGAGTTATCTGAGAATGTGACACCAGCAGAGGAAACAACAAGTAATGGTGATGATGAGACAACTGTATTATTGAAATCTTTTGTGAACTCATACCCTGACAGTGAATAACAAAATATTTACTCTGTATTTTCTTTATTTACTGTCATTTTCTTTATTGCATCTGGTTATTCTGCATTATATTGTAACAATATATTCAGAAAGATAATTTTTTCTAGTACACCTGTTTATTACAAAAAGCTCTGATCCTGATGACAATAATTTTTTCATCAGCCACATGAACTTGATTGTACCTTGCAAAGTTGATATAGCAAAATTCGTAAAGAAAGAATAGTCTATTTTGATTTTCATGTGTATCACCCAGTACATTGGATGAAGCATTCTTTGTTTGAAAGATTTACCGTTACTGAGAAGGAAAAAAATCATCTGTATTTGAATTATTAATGATTGGCCTTTGATAGATTATTAAAAACATAATATCAAACATAGGTAGAGGACTGACCTTCTCTATGGTTCATTTGCATTTTCTTTCCATTTCATGAATATAGATGTCTTCACTGCTATATACAGAGTCTTGTTCTTCTAAAAGTATCTTTTTTATCTCAAAGTGCTCCTTTGCTAGCTAGCAAAAAGAGAAATCTAATAACAAGAAACCAAAAAGTAAACAACAGCTGCATTGAGAGGACACTATTATGCTACAATAAAAATGAAAGATACTGCCATCTTTTGGGCAGGTACTAAATTAAAATTTTGCCTATGTGAGATGTATCAAAATTAATGGAACATCTTACCAGGCAAAATAAAGCAAATTGTTTGATACTTGTTTGCTCTGAGTAACAAAAGACATTCCAAGATAACAACCCTAATATATGAAGAAATGATGAATGCAAGGCTAGGTGGATCTAGAATTAATCCTGTCACATAAGAGAAATGCAAGGGCAAAACTGAAGCATGTACCATGAGATAACCAAAGAAGTGGGGTGTTGAGGTAGCCAAAGAAGTATAACCATTTCAACCTTTTAAATTACAGATATGTGGATTTTTCACTTTCAAAGTGAAGGTTTTGTCATGTCAGTGACTAGAACTAAAGACCTTTGATCTGTAGTCAGAGAACCTAACAACTGAGCCATCTCCAAATCTATCTTATTTGTTTCATCTTTTTATAAAAAAAATTATACAGCCCCCATGCTTTTAACAATGTGTACCCCTTGTGATCAGTATAGTTTAATATTTCTTGTTGAAAGACCTGACACTAATTACAAGGGTCCAGATAATTTCATTAGAAAATTGGTATAAAAGTCACCCTTCTTTACAGAAGGATGTGATAGTAAAAAGTAAGTTAATTTCAAGTATGTGCAAGTTATGCAGAAATCATAATTATGGTTACTCAACTTAAGAAAGGAAACAAAGAATTTTCAGTAATTTGTCATTAAATGCTCCATCAATTTTTCAATGTGTAATATAAAGTTTGAACTATCATAATTTTGAACATAAACTAAACATATTATGGATATTAATATGGATCAAAATACAAGAGTAATAATTTATTGTTTGAATTGACATTTGTTACTTTCAGTTATAATTTTTTGCTTTATTTTATTTGCATGATCATAGATAGAAAAACTAGGCTCAAATTCTATAAAATTGCCAAAATAAACTCTTTATCATTACCATTTAAGGAAAAAAAGCTGTCTCCTCTAGTATTGTTCATTATTGAAAATGGACATGAGTATTTCTGCCACAGTGCATCTTTATATAAGAGCTTTTTGCTATTTTATTTATTCCTGACAAGGCCCACAAGAAACTTACAGCAAGATGCAACACTTAATTGGTTTTGCCTGTTCCTTACTATTAGCCATAAAGGATTTTTGCTTGTCATCATTAAAATAAAGAAGAATAGAAGTATGTTTGCATTCTTGTTTTTACCTCGAAAAATTGTCTTTCTAATTCTTGCTTGTTTCCAGTGGTTCTCTCTTCATGTGACATTAGAATTTTTGTCCCTTTTGATGACAAACCAACCATTGTTTGAATTAGTGGCTCAATTGACTAAAATATAAAATATAAGACATATTAGGTGTGGTGTTGTTGAAATTTTATGCATCGCAAAGGGAGAGATAATTGAAATGGAAATACACACTTCTTTATAATAGATTAGGTCTGCCATAAGAATAACATCATAAGTGCTTGTGAAGTTTTCAAGGTCTTCTCCCCTACAAATAAGACAACAAAAAATTATTAAACAAGATACATACTAATTATACTTTTAGAAAATAATACTGCCAAGCAAATGATACTGCAATGTTTAGATAGTGGCCTAACTAAAAAAGAATAACACTCAAAGTTCCAGATTGAGATCTAAAATATGATTTTTAAGTTTACTTGTGGGATAAACCTTATGAATTGATCATGGTTGATTATAATAGAAAACTTGAAAGAAATCATTTGTAACTGGGGTCCTTTAAACTGAAAATCAATTCAAAATGATGTCAAAAGTTGTTATATTAAGTATTCATTCCACCATATAAATATATGGATGCTGGGGTTTGTGGATCCCCAGGTCAGCCATATTTTTTTAAACAAATCTCAGATCTTCTTTTGTTTTATTACAAATTTAATGAACCAGGCAAATTGCAGATCTCTATTTTAGATTTGGATTTGATCCATTCAAGAAAGTGTAATGAACAATTAAATGAAACAAAAATGAACCACAACAGATTGAAAGATCAGCAAGTGCAGAAAACTGATTACATCTATGCAAACAAAACCAACATCACCATTTTAACTTTTTTGCTGTTATTTTTGCTTCCTTGAAACTTTTAGTGTTGAGTGAAATGTTTTTCTCCATCAGAGGAATAAATTCTGGCAGATCTGTTATTGTGACATTGGCCCTAAAAGAAAACAACCTGTTTTATTTATTTTAGTGCAAAATAGATTAATTGAATAATTGAATCCCTCTTGATTCTAATTGATTTTTTTCTCTTATTGGGAAATGGTTTTTCATGGTTATTAAGGCAATGAACACAACATGAAATGAACATTGATAATTAATTGGACTTTTACCATCACAATGATATAAAAGTTGACTCTCTGTGTGGCAACATGAAAATATGAAGCGTATCAATGTTACTTTTGGCCAGAGGCTTTATCAAACAAAAGTGACACCATTGCCAAGACCAAGTTTCATAGTCTAAACTGGTGCCCTAAGGATCAACTCAATTATTCAAAGCATTATAAGAGGTTTATCTAATCACTCCGAAAACCTAAACTACATTTAGGAACTTTGAAATTAAACAAACCATTATTTTGTAAAATCATTCTAAAAAATAAAATTTTGAGGGATTTTAAAAAAACTTGAAATTGATTAAGGCTTTTCAAATAATTTCATACCCTAGGGTAGCTGCAGCTAGACCAACAATACCGGTGCCAGCACCAAGCTCGATGACATTCATCCCTTTCCACTGCATTTGTCCTTTCGACTGCTGCAAGTCAATGTATTTAGCAAGAGTAATAGCGGCATCCCAAACAACACACCCGACATCACCTTCGAGCTGCTGATAAATTTCCAGTGAGCAGTTATTCAGCTCCAACTCTCGTACAAAATAATTTGCCATTTGACTGCAATACTGTAGGATAGAAGAAATAATGCATTAAATCGCTGGACTTTGTTGTGTGAAGTCTAGGTAACCAAAGCCTTTTAAAAAAATGCGGGAAAATGACTCCAGGAGATGAATTTCTCCTTCGCAAGAACAGGCAAGTTGAGGAGGAATTCTACAAGCCTCTTTCACAATATCGGTAAAAGAACGGACTAGAGGCTGTTCATATACTTTTAAGCTCATTTTTTAGATTTCTTTTAGGCCTTTTTGAGATCTTTTAGGCAGTTTTTCATCAGCATTTCACCAGCCTGGCACTTAAACCAGGGTCCCCTACCTTTTTACGAAGCAAGTGCAGTAAAAAGGGAACAAGCCTTGGCCCCCTACTTTTGCTAGCCTTGACCCCCCTACTTTAAAATTCGAGGCGTAGGCCCTGTAAGCTGTCTCAGCTCAACATTTCGGTTGAACTCATTGAGTCCTGAACTCATTTTTCAGGTGAATTGGCAAAACCTAAAAAAACAATCAGTTTTACCGACAAATAACAAAATTTACAGATTTTCCAGAAAAAGCATTTTCCACCCCTGCATTTTCCACTCCTTCTCGGTATTACATTACATATAAAAGCCATGTCCGGTTACAAACACGGATAGAATGAAACAATTTTTTTCGGTTGCATGAAAACCTCATAATTGTTCACCACCATCAAACGTTGGTATAATCAGAGATAATAAACAAATAAAGAATTCAAAATCTGGTGCTATCGTTATGATCAAGCCATGTCCAAGCCAATGTGCTGTGATTGTTACTACTTACGACTCGAAACTACAAAACCCGATATCAAAGACTGATCTCCGAAAGACCATAAACAAAGATACAAACTCGCTTAAGAAGCTTCAGTTTCATGCAACCGCAAATCAATTATTGCTAAACGAGGTTAGACATGTACTTATATTGGTGTGGGGATACGAAAGGTCTTAAGTATTTTTATCTCTACACTTGAGATAGCCAAAAATCAAGAATGAAATTTGCAAAAAATGACCAAACCCCTGACCAAAAATTTGTAGGCGCTGTAACTAGTAAGCTTCCCATATCTTACAGACTTTTTGCAATAAGAGTAAAAAATGAAATGGAAAAAATTAAGACATCCAGCAGCACGTCTAATCAAACAAAATAGAAGCTGTGACACGAGTAAGTATTTGCAGCTCAAGAGCGTGCTCTTTTATTCCTACATTTTTCATACAAAGCAATTGCAGTTCATGATTCTGTAATTTGGTGTTGACGATGTGCATTAAAACATGAACTTTATAACAGAGAAAACAGTTTAATTATTCATGATTATTTTCCTAAAAGTTTTTTCTCTGAAGAAGTGAACCTGCTAGAGGCGGATACTTCACAGTAACTGGCAAAAATCTGCTGTTTTGAGACTGTCATAACGCTAAATTTTATTGCAGATTTGAGAGGTAGAAACAAAAAGATTAACCATAATTCAACACTAAATCTACGAAATGAATATTTTCAAGGGAACTAAGATGTCAACGATGCCTGCAAGATGGCAAGAAAGTGGTGCGATGTACTACGAAAGGTCTCCGTTCTTTTAGGGTCCCCGCACCAAAAATGTTTGCTGTGTTAATTCAGTTTGAAGTTGGTATTCTTCATGCAGTGAAGAAGGTATAATAGCCCAAAAGCTGCATTATTTCTCTGCTTAAAGGAATGGAAAGTATTTTAACTACTAATGATTTGAACTGGATGTCCCAAAAAGTAAATCCCAAGGGGTTCTGGCTGCCTCCAGTACGCGCAAGATTGCCGAATTTTAAAAAAGCTTGAAAATTTAAAACATGTGTTAAGGCACTTCAATTTTCTAGCCTATGTATGTCGTTTATTTACTGTTCTATCATGTTCAGCAGCTTCTCTTGAAGTAAGGATTCCCCAGCATTTCAGCTTAAAAGTTCCCTTAGTTACATTTTGCCTGGCTTCCCATTCTTACAGAGCATAGCTTGGTAAGATGAATTTTTATGGTATTTTTTCAGCTTGGGAAAACCTTGCTGGGTACAGTTTTCAAGTAATTTACTTGAATAGGGACGTAGCTCGCACAGGGGTTGTAAGAGGTGTGACACCCCCGCCTCCCTCCAATTTGGTCGTTAAATTTGCGTATCGGTGAAATAACACCTAAATTGTTCTTCATGGATGTTTTCATTAGTAAATTTGCTACTGATGGCTCTCCACCCTCCCTATTCTGGAAGTTCAAGCTACGCCACTGTATCTGATCATAGATGGTAGGGTTGGCACTCATATCCTCTTACTTTATAAGATCAAAATATTTCATGTGACGTCACATGACGTCACTGTCGCAAAGGTTGTTTGTAAGGATGTATTGATTCTGCAGTTTGTTTCTTTCTGTTCTGTTTTTGACGCTTAGTTCAGAGATGCTCTGCCAAATCGTTGCAAAACAATGGTATCTGCTTTGAAAGTCAGGCAGGTTAAAACTGAACTTAACGTTTAACCATAAGATTAAGTGATTTGAGCCCTTATTGTTATTCGAATGCCGCACGTTCAGACACAAGTCATCTTAAAACATGTGCCAAGAATAGCAATCATTGAAAATGAAAATGAATCGGAAACAGCAGCATTGAAGCAATCAACAAAGACATGATAAAAATTTTCTTAGAATTTTCAAGCTTTGGCCACATAAGCAGACATGATTAAATACCTCAAAACGTGTAAAATCAGTTAATTCCAATTTAGATTTCCTGAATTGTTTGATGTCTGCTAAAAGGGTACTGTTATTCTACCTTGGCCCATATAAGCTTTAGAAAAACAATAATCCTTCACAAGATATATTGAGACCTGCCTCTATTGACTTACTTTCAAATGTTTTCTGTAAAAACGTAATTGATTAGCGGAGACGTTTCACGAACATAAAAACTTTGTATGGTGACAAAAATTCTTTAAGAACAAGCTCGATGAAATTATTTACCCTAAAAGTACTAATAAATTATAAATTTACATATTACTTATAAATACATTATTATATGATTCACAACCATATTCACAATAAATACAACACATGTTAGCTGTTACAAAAACATGATGATAATACACTGACGATCACGAGCAATATCAAGTAACACGTATCTGATTATTCTTTACAAGATACCAATGCGAAATAAATAAAGCCGTATGTTCACAGTTTACAGATCCAATACTTTATAGGGGATATTTTCATACCTCCAACGACTGCTCGTTTTTATTATTAATGACAAATCAAAATGTGGCATCAAGACTGCAATTGTACTTTGCTATTTTGACATAATAAAGCAGGATTGATTTCTGCATTTTCTGTTCTACAACGCGTAATTGATTTCTAAAACATATTAACTGAATATCGAATTTCTAAAACATATTAACTGAATATTAACTGAAGCTTTTCAAACAGAATATCGACCAAGCCACCTTATACCTTTCAAAAATTTTTGCTGGCCTACTGTTTTCTCGAGGCTTTGATAGTATTAAGACATTTATGCAACTTACCAATGGAAGGAGTTGCAAAAAACAGACAAATACCAAAAGACCCTAAGCACGTTTTGAGAAAGGGAATAAACCTTAAAACTATACTTTACAGGTAGGATTGATGACTTAGTGGAAAGCTAGGAAACTGCCCGTCATCACCGACACTGTGTGGATTGAAATTAGTCCCTACAATACTGTGTAATGTAAAGGAATGTTAAGGTCACGGTACCAAAACTCCTCAACTGACTCCAGAATAATGCTTATCGCAAAGTAGATAAAAAACGATGAAAAAACAAAAACGACCGCAAATGAATTATAGACTACTGATATTTCGCCCCGGTTTGCAGGGCTTCCTCAGAGCTGGTTGAACTCAGAGGTTACTTTCTGTTAAAACATGTTGGTACAACATGTAACTACCAGGAACTTTGGATTTCAATGCAGCTTATTGTCTTGCGTGACAAGAGGAATGGATCACCAGGAAAATTTGTTGTACAGACTCCAATCACCTTCCGGTTGTAATATATTAAAATTTACAGTTTCTTTCCTGTTGAGATTTCTCAAAGTTTTTTATCTTAGGGCTGGTGATTAAAAATTTTGATAATATCGTCCAGTATGAGAGAGGATTTCAAGTCTCTGTCCCACTGACAATCCATTTATTCTACTTTCTTTGGACATGGAATGATTATCAGCTTGATAAGAATACTTTCCAGCTGCCACTCCAAGAAGGTCTGATAAAGATTTGATGTAATTGCACGCATATCGCAATACACGCAGCTTTGTCATGCGTTTGTTGTTTTTTGGCAATGGAATACAGCCTTTCAGTGCATCTAAGGCGCTGTTGAGCGACTCCATTCGTCTTCGCTCCCGATCATTGGCTCTGAATCGTCGCGCGCTTTTCTTTGGATCCCTGTGAACCTGGCTGTAAACACGACGTTTTCTCGACGCCTTGCTCCTCGATCGAAACAAGATCTCGCTTTGATTATTCTGAATCAAGCAGAAAGTCTTCTCATTCAGCTCTCTTGATAGCATCTCGTCAGCTGATGTATCAGGCTGTTCCATATCATTTTGGCCATCGCTGATTAGACTTGTTGCTGTTTCACATATACGGGAAAGGAACTGCTGGTTGGTGTTAGCCTCAATTCCATGGCAGCTGGAAAAGAAAACGTAAATTCAAAATTAAAGCGTAACTTACCAGGTCTTCTTTGCAATACATACTGCATCGTACTCTACTCTACTCTACTCTACTCTACTCTACTCTACTCTACTCTACTCTACTCTACTCTACTCTACTCTACTCTACTCTACTCTACTCTACTCTACTCTACTCTACTCTACTCTACTCTACACCACTCTTCTCTACTCTACTCTACTCTTCTCTACTCTTCTATACTCTACTGTACTCTACTATACACTACTGTACTCTACTCTACTCTACTCTACTCTACTCTACTCTACTCTACTCTACTCTACTCTACTCTACTCTACTCTACTCTACTCTACTCTACTCTACTCTACTCTACTTACTCTACTCTACTCTACTCTACTCTACTCTAATCTACTCTACTCTACTCTACTCTACTCTACTCTACTCTACTCTACTCTACTCTACTCTACTCTACTCTACTCTACTCTACTCTACTCTACTCTACTCTACTCTACTCTACTCTACTCTACTCTACTCTACTCTACTCTACTCTACTCTACTCTACTCTACTCTACTCTACTCTACTCTACTCTACTCTACTCTACTCTACTCTACTCTACTCTACTCTACTCTACTCTACTCTACTCTACTCTACTGTGCAATATATTGTTTGACGATGATGCATTGAAATGAATTTTGGAATAGTATTAAATAAAGTAACCTCAATTTCGTCTAATTCATCAAACTGCAAAGAAAAACGGATGCATTATGGCGGACAGCTTGTGACCAAACGGTAATTTTCACTCGATCTTCGATTTTCACTCAATTTCCAGCAATGAATAAACCAACAATTTAAATCATGATTATTTCGAAGGCACGCTTAGCTGAAACACTTAACAATGAGAAAGCACGGTCGCTAGTACAAAGATATTGAGCTTAACATGATTAACTTCGATGATTTCTGTGAATGAAAGGTTTTAATTCTGCTGGCTCGTGGCTTGCTCTTTTATCCTTTTGTAAAGATGTGTGTCTCTCCAGTGCAAATTAACCTTGTCACGTAACTTTTTATTAAGTCTCAACCACAAAACTTTGCCAACACAAGCAAAAAGAGCTATTAGAAGCTCTTTAGAGTATGCGAGAGGGTTTACAGCTTAACATTTTTGACAGTTTCAAATCTTTTTACCATAAGACATATAGAGTTTTTATAGAGTTTTGATCATAATCCTCAGCAAAAACTTTGATGCCAAGCGACTGTAAAAGCTTAAAAGAAAACCATACGCCGACGAAGGATTTCAGAACACAGTAGACGTAAAGCTGTGTTTATATTTTAGATAAAGATTTGATGAAGTTGTAAAGAGATCAATCTCTAAAGCTAAAGAAAAGATTTGACCCACTACTGTTGACCGCAACTATTCAATTGTGAAGACCGTTCCTCGTGAACTTCTACACTTTTCGTCTTTAATATGAAAAATTTAAACAGAACATATTTATAGTCTTCTTTTAATGAATCTTGATAAATAAAACTGTTTTAACGATGATACTATCACTTTGTGCTTTGCCATTTCAACACCAAGGCCTCAACAAATGCGCCATCGGATAATGTTTGCATTCCAATATAAGATATAGTTTAGTTCAGTAGCAAATACTCTGTGCTTTTTAATTAAATTGCCATATTATCTTTGGTGCTCTTCTTTGAGAATTTAAACATTGGTTGTGATTTAGTTGTACTGCATAACTGGTGTGCTATATCATGGATGTGCGAAAGAGGCTTGAAATTTTATCATTAGAGCTAAGTTTACAAAGAAATCATGAAATTACTTTGGGAATTCTTAATCACTGTAAGCTACATTTTCTTGTTGCATACTGTTTGCTATTTTACTGGGAAAACTTTTATTCAGTTTTATTTAGCTCGGACCTACTCCATTCTTTTGAGAATCGCAAAATGCTAATCATAAAAATTCATTTTGCTTCGGATTGAGCGAAGCAGATGATAAGAAAAAGCAGAACAAGTGTCAATACAACGGGAAAGTGATTTCCTGACAAAGAAAAAATAAACCCTAATTGTCATTACAATAGTAAAAGTAACAAACAAGCAGAAATATGGTCTTGGACTTTTCTCTAGCCTTGCTCCGACAACGCAGTCGGCGACTCGTGGAACTATTTGATAAATGATTTGAAGTCATGCCAAAAGCCTGATCAGCATTGTTTATTGGATATTTCTTTTCGGAAATCCTAGCATCGTGTTTTTAACTCAAAACAGTAATAAGATTTATTTTCTAGTGTTTAAATGATTGCTTCTAACGCGAAAACTCTAAAGGGCTGCCTTTTTGCAACTTCAGCTGTTCGTCACATGAGAATGTTTCACGCATTAGCCAGGATTCAACCGCGCATCATAATCCTCAAAAGATGACCCTGGTGGACAGCCACTGTTATACCCCCCTCGTCAATTGAAAGACACTGCGTAACCCTATGTTGAAAATGAAACTTACAAATCTACTCTCAGATAGCCAGAATGTTTCTAATCAGATTATTATAAACTACAGTTTGACTTTAAGCCTAAATGTTAATCGAAAATCTTATTTTATCTGCTTGAGTAATATTAATCTTATTGTACTTTTGAAATATCACTGACTCTAAAAATGTGTCGGCCAACAATATTCGGTTGCAAAGTTAAAATTCAAACTTTATACTCGAAGTTAAAGAGAGAAAAGGTTCTATTTAACGGTTTTAGCTATTAAAAGTATCATTTTTATAACGAAAGACTAAAAATACTTGATACAGTAACGGGTAGACTATATTATGCCAAAATTGAGGCAGTTTGCTTCATAGCGAATCCGTCAAATGTAGCCTGACATGTCCGCTTAAATCAAAACGGAATGGGTGTGAAAGTCAATTCATAAGAATTCAGTTCTTAAACATTAAGTAAATACAAATTAAGAAATGATCGATAATGAAATTTTCACAAAAATATCGATGATTCTTATCGAAGTCTTTTCGGATCACATCTTCTTGTTTTTTGCATTGATTAAATAATAAGCGAGCAAATATGTAAACAAGGGAAGCAATGCTCCTTCAATCTGGGTCTATTGATTTGCTTTCACTAATTGAGGTTCTTGAAACTCTCGCATTGAAAATTTCTTTAAGCAAAATTGGTTATTTGTTACCTGATTCCTAATAAGAAACTTCAACTCATTTGTGCTATACAGCTGATAGCAATAGCACCCATATATCATATTAATGAACAACTACGTATCTTGGTTTTTCAATTATATATAAATTATTGTAATATATTATACTAGAATTATTGTAATATAATAATTGTATAAAGTTGCATCATTTTTAGCATATTTTATGTCTTCATTGCCTTGGTGATTTTTTTCTTTTACTTTCATAACGGTGATTGAAAGAGCTTCAAATTTTCAGATGAAATTCTGTTGTTAAAAGCCATAAATTATGTTCGAGATTAGGTTTTATCTCATTTTTTTACGCATCATAAACCATTACGTATGCTGCATTTTTAATACACTTATTCCTATTTTATTTAAGTTTCATATGATTACATGTTACAATTAGTAGGAAATATAAACATGATTTGTTTTGATAAACATAGAAACGTCATTTTGAAAGCGAAATTTCCGCTTTAAACTCTAGGAAGTCATCAAAATCATATTATTTGTCCTCACCCCTACTTTTGCTTTGAGCGATCTCTATCATGACTCGAAAATTTATCTGTGGTTTTAAACGGCTTGGAGCTATTTCTTCTATCTTTTCAACAAAAGTTGATTTGAAACGGAGAAAATTTAGTCCAAATATACTAAAATTTGACTCATTTTGACAACTGGCCCAAAATTTCATAGCCTAAATCTAATACCTAAAATGTTTCAATCAGAATCATATTTCTAATTACTGTGAATGAGGTTACATTTTTTATATTTTATCATTTTTTGTGCTGATTCATTATATCAACCAATTCTTTTTCGACTTCCTTGTTAGTTAAGATTAACGCATTATCAAATGTACTTTTTTAATGTTGCATAAAAAAGGCCAAAACAAAGTGATGTGAAAGCATAACAAATTTAAAAAAAGTTTAGTCAAGTTTCTTAACTTGTTGATTAAACAAAAGTCTATTTACTGAAACGTTTATTGATCATATGCAAGAAAAATAATTGAGATTTATACCCAGTAATATTTCGTTTTTAATGTTTGTTCAAATATCTATTAGTTAGTCATGTGGATAACGCAACGATAATTAACACTATGCTTGTCATGAGAGTGTTTTCATCTATAGCAAAGAACAGATATTACTATTGCCTATAAGGTCGTGGCAATATTTGTAAATAAAGAATTTTAATATTTGCTCGATGATTCAAAATATACGAAGATTTCTAACACTTTACAATGGACAAGCTTGTAATTGGGTCATGAAGTTTAAGCGATGGCCAAAGAGAAGAACATCTTATCAGCACTTAGACTTCGAGCTATGAGGCGATGTAATGTAAATCAAATAGAATTTGTAATGAACCATGATACCTTAGAAAGAGAAAACTTAGGTTATCAATGCAAGTTGCAATATATTTTCAAGCTAATGAAATCTCAAGGAAGACTCAAATTATTTCAGAAAGGTAGCGAAGGAATGGTAATGATTGAGAAGATTCCATTATCTCTTAAAAGAGATACCATTTGATTTTAAAGGAGATACCATTTGCTTTTAAAGGTATCAAGACCAATCTATTTCAATGATCGTGTAATCAAGCTACACTATTAGTGGATGCTAAGCTGCTTCAGCAGATAGTAAATTGCGCAACATGGCTGTGTTTCCATTTTCAAAACGTAGTTGAGTTTAAATATTCTGATTTGACTTGCTCTCTATATTAACAAAAATGATAAGAAATTGTATTTGAAACACTGATGATGCTATTGAAACGCAAGACATTTACATCAAACCCACCAGTTTGAGTGCAGAACCTTCTAGCGAAACTACGCATGGCTAAGTAGGTACCCTTGAAACGAACAGAAGAATGTCAAGAGCTTTGAGATGCTCACTTATATAGATAACAATTATTTACAATCAAATAAAACTCACTGTTGCTCAGGTGCTCCTCTTAGATCGTACATCTTCAGGTGTCACTTGGTCTGTGCAGGTTTACAACAAGATGCCTGACTCAGGTGCCCTTGAAAAATTCAGCAAATCCCATGCCTCGCTAATTTTTATAGACGCGCACGTGGGAGATCTGGAAGCGAGATCCCCTATTATTCATTCATGTCTATTGTTACTAATGTGTTGCTAAGGTCGCTTTGGGATGTTCTTTTAGTCGCGCTAGTCTATGAAGGCAATAAAAAACATTTTGCTACCTTAACATAAAGAGAATAAACATTTTAGAATTATCTGGACATTCTATTTTGCCGTTCACTTGACTCTTTAAGCCATTGTACAAGTTCACAGCCTTACACGCCTTGATGCAACCTAGATTCATTGACCCTCTTTGTGCAGAAGTCAAAAAGACAAGTAAACAATGACGCTTGATATAAAGAAAGACATTTCGTTATTGAAGAAAGCTAACACCTGGGTTTGACTTACTGTTAATCACTTTAGTTTATATAACTGAAGAATCGATTTAATATGAGTGTTAAGTAAACACATTGTGTCAACAACATTTCTTTGGATGCACTTGAACAAAAATCTATTGATAAAATCCTTGCAAAATTCACAGTAAAGTTTTTTTACCAATAAATCTTCTTAGCGGATTTGAGTTTGACGCCTGGGTGCTTCTCTAATCCGTTAAAAGTGAGAGGTTGTGGGTGACATACAGGTGCGAAACGTTAGATCAAAATTGCAACTAAAGACGGTAATGGAACAACGCACGTTGAAATATTCGAAAATGACATAACTGTCATACAGTCTCTTATCTGCATTGACGTCACAAAGCGGGCAAAAGTTATTATCATCGAAGGAGATGCCAGATTAATTCTTTTTTCTCAGTTTTGGGCAAAGATATGGATTCAATTCTACAATCTACTTTGCAAATTATTTGTAGATTACAGTCAACATGGTTGCAGACAACCAAAGAAGCTAGATCCAGCAATGATATACCACAATCTCTAAATAATTTTTTGATAATCTTCTTTAGAGACTCATTTGCATATTACAAAGTGCTATATTTTTGATGCCGATAATGCTGTTGATGCTAAAGCTAACTTCGTTATTGATTAATTAGAGCATTCCAGCACATTCTGCTTCTAGAAGAAACCAGAGAGGGAATTATAGGGGCAGAGTGTCTGGTTAGTAGTCTGTAATCTCTAGCTAAAGGGGTGCCAAAATTACTTTCTCTAGCAGTAGATGTGGATGTTGTCGGTGCTCTTGGCATCCTCTATGACAACGTTGCTCTAGATCTACTTTCTATAACGGACAATTAGGTTGAAGAAGTGTGGGACATAGCACATGATGGTGGATAATTAACAATGCTTCATTTGACGTTCCACGTTGAAATTAAATGGTTTACATTTTGCCTCTGCATGTCCCCTCACTTGTCAGCTACACACAGGTTTTATCCCTTTGTCTGTTATAAACAAAAGCCATCTGTTCATTGTCGAATAATAGCTATAACTTTCCAAAAACATGCCATTACTTTTGAAATATTACCAATTTTTACCCAGTCTTTGCACAGGATGTACCCTATAGGTATCAGACATAATACCCCATCCAAAAATATATTTGCTGTGCAAAAAATTGCACAAAAATTGAGGTAGAAACTTTGGAGGATATGATAATGTAAATTCTTTAGAACAAATAGAAAACGTGGTTCATAAGCCTATTTACCAAAGAACACAATGTAAGGAGTACACCATATAGCCAACACGTGGAGATAGGCCGTCTAAAGCAGCAATACGCATTGCGCATTTTATGAAGCAACGTGTAATTCTAACAGTGAACTTGCCCTACATCATGACATGTGCCTAAGCCTAGAAATGAATGCTTGATAAAATGCTCACAATGAGAAAACACATGCTACTTGTCTGTTACTTTAAGTTCCTGCCTTATTTCTAAGGGGTGTGGTCTTTCCTTGTACCCCATGGCGGTTCTCTAGAGTAACAGAGGAGCATCCAGCTGTTCTTTCATCTAAATAGCCCTATATGTGCGAGAGATATCTAAAGATCCTTTGTTTTCAAGTAATATTTGTTGTTGTGTATTCAGGACTTTAGTGGGACAAGAATCTACCCCTCTGGGGCAGTACCCATCTTATTCCATGGATGCCATTCTCCCATTAAATCTCCATAGCAACAGTGTAAACAATAAAGCAACCTCGAACTCACTTCAGCGCCAAAGGAACAGAGCATAGAAAACCCGCTAGTATTAAAGCATTTTAGAGTGATCTTTTGAAAGAACGTTAGAAACTGGGAGTGGTAGTATGAAATCTGAAGTGGAATGCTTATTCAATAATAGTACAAAGAGCGCCTTGTTAACAATTAAGAATTCGGATAAGTTTTGTGGCGATTCACAGTTTAAAAACTGGGAGAAAATACATATGATTCAAGTTTTTAAGGAAAGGGTTAGTTACCTCACAAGACGTTCTCTTGGTTAACCTCACAAAAACATCAATGATGTGAATGGGTATAAATAGAAATCCATGACACATGTTTGCTTGCGTCTATATGTCAATGGCATATAAACAAACGTTAGCTATAAGCTGTGGAAAAGTAACTATATTTTCAATTGTTAGCTTTAATTGCTCATCGCTTTTCACCAATGGACTCTAAATTAATGAAATAAAGCACAGTAACTATAAGATGTTGGCAGCTACAAATATGTCAGAAAGCACTGCGTGGGTGAATCGAATGTTATTGTTTAGTTTATCCAACCAGTAGAAAAGTTTATGCCTACGAGTATTGTAGTTATCAATCAATGGTTTAGCAGAATGCCATTCAGGAAACGAGGTGTTGCTAATTGACTTATGATGTAAATAGAAGAGAAGAGGTTGCTGTTCCTAAAGAAACAGTGAAAGCTGTTCTAAAGATGATGTTACGTCATCATCGATGTTCTATAGGTCGGCAATTTTTCTTCTTTTTCAACTGGCAAACAAGAAACAACCAAAACGTTAAATTTTGAGTTATGTTGAGCGGGTTATTTCATTTTCACAGCATAAACCTTAACTTGGAAAATTTTTAATCAATGATTATTTCTAATCAAATCCGTCTTGCCATTCTGATATGTCTAAATTTCTGCTTTTGTAATATTTTACTTAGTTACTAGCTAAATGGATTTTTCATTTGTTGTAAATATTCCCCACGAAGAGTTGATAGGCAATAGAAAAACCGATATATCAGTGTAATTTTTTTTATTTTTAAGTGTTCAAGCGTTCTGTCTTTGGTTGTCATTTGTTGGTACTTTGGTACACGGTTATCAGCTTCAAATTAAATCACATTGGAAATAGCCAGCAAATCAAGTGCAATTGTCTTTACCCAAAAAATTCTGTGTTGAGATTGATGCTTTGTGAAGATGTCGTTAAGTAACAGTTTAAAAACCGTATGAGAATACTGCAGTTTTCCTGGTAAATGATTACTTTATCTTTTTTGAGGGCATCCTCTAACTATTTCTGTTTTGGAACTAATCTCACAATTTTTTAGCTAATTGACTGTTAAAAAGAACACCATGATTGAGAATCAGCTTGACTAAATTTATTTATCACCATGGCTGTTTAACGTTTCTTGTAAGTAGATTTTAGTCGGAGCCTTTTTGATAAAATGAGACAGAATCCTTCAATACAATAGAGCATTTGGTGGAGATATTTTAGAAGTTATTAGACTACAACACAGTAGATTATAATGAAAGCCAAATTGGATCTTGTAGCCTGAAGCAAAACAACCACGATCAATGGTGTGACCGAAAAGTTTTAGCCACGCCCTTTAGAAGGCAAGAAAATGCTTTTTCCACCTATCATTTACAAACAGCCCGATTCAGAGAAGATATCAATTACCTTAAAAATAGACATAATTAGCTCAAGGATTATCAAACACCAAGTTAACCAAGTTAGAAAATTCAACATATCATTAATCAAGAGAGAAAAAAGAAAATGAACAAAATGGGGTTCCCAGTCAAGAAGAAATGCTACAGGTAATGGATCAGTTATAGTAAACTTTCCAATTTTGCGTTAGAGTAAACTTTTTAAATATTTTCTAACCAATTATTGCAAAAAGTGTGGGTATAGCCCCAGGCTAGCCAAATGGCTGCGTGGTGCCTGATTCAGGTCCCTAAATCTAGTTGCCTAGATATTCAATTGAACAGATCTCATTTATCCAGTCGCGTAGATACTGATTTGATCAGGTCCCTTAAACGTTGTATTCTATCAATCAATCAGCCAGATCTTCTGAATTTAGTGTCGTAAAACTTTATCTGGCTAGGTCTCCTAAATTAGCAGGCCTAAATATTGATCTGCTTAGATCTTATAAATCTAGTGGTTTAAACATTTATTTGGCACATACGTTTCCTAAATCCATCGGTCTAAATACTAACTCTCTTGTTTCTCTTAAATCTTCTAGGCACAGAAAAAAACATGCACTTACCAGCTGTCTATCTTTTTTTTCCTTCATTGGGAACAAGCACAAGAATAGAAATTGAGTCCACTTCTTCCTAGAATAATTGATTTCGATGAATTCATCCATTTCAAAAAAATTCAAACTTTTATGGCTAGCTCAAGATTTTCTTTTTTATTCAATTTAAAATATTGTATTTCTCTATGAAGTCCAATCTTAATCCTAATATAAATATAACCGAAGCTTTTCTTCATAATTTATATCCAAAACGTCTCCACTTTTAAGTATTTTCTAAAATTACTTATAATTGCAGGCCAAGATAGTAGTGACAGGCTCGATAAAATTAGACAAATCTTAGCAATCTTAGCAACACATAACAAAAATAAAATCCCAAGTTTGTGAGTCAATGAATAGATTTGATAAGTATATTTTTTCATATAAGAAATATGAATAATGAATGAACAAGTAAATAGATAGGTAGAAAAATAAAAAAAATAGATGAATATTCATAAAAATGTATAAAAGTACAAAAAATAGCAAATTTGTAAATGAATATATAAACAGGATATTTGTCTTGGGATTAAGGTATTTTCATACTGCCAAGCCTCTATATCTTGAAGTAAAATTTTAAGCATAAAGGCTTTTAGAGAAAACAGTTCTGTTTATCTTGTAGAGGCTATAATTCTCATAAATCTAGATATGGCACAATTGATTATTTTGCAGCAAGTTTATTAAGTTATGCGACGCACCAAATGATGTATTACGGCGAGAAGGAGGGATGAGAAAAAGGAAGAGACATCAAGGGACAGGACATTACTATCTCGATCATTACTCGGGCCTTTCATGTTTCGTCATGTCAAACATGCTTTACCAGACTCTCAAGTTCTTTTC